GGCCGAGAAGCTGCTTGAGACAGTTTCCTACCTGATTTACTAGCAATACTGTCGCGACCGCCTTCTCCCTCGAAACCCGTGCCAATTAGCCACCTCGTATAAGTCAGTCAGACTGATCACCCCCGTGCCTCCGTCCCGCTGCCAACCCGGGTCCTGCGACCCGTTACACTTTAGCCTAGCTTGACCTTATTTGCTTTGTCTAATTAGCTATTTAGAAAGACACTAAGCTAGCAATAACCTTTGCAGCTGTATAGGCAAAGTATTAGTATAACTAAAAGCACTGCCTAGTCAAATTTAATGTTAACAATAAGGTTTTCCTTTGACTTTACCATAGCTACTACCTTTCTAGTTAACCTTTTTGCAAATGATTTTAGCAGCATGCTAGACCTTTTACGATTCTTGAGAAAGTTGGCAAGCTAGCTTACAAATTAGACTTTTCTAACAATTGGAATATCTACCTAGTTATCTTAGTATAGCACTTGGTTTTAGATACTAGCAATAACAAGGATCTCTATAGCTAGGTTTAGCCTCTGCCAAGCTTAATCAACATTAGCCTTGACAAGTCTAACAGTAACCTTAACAACTTTAACGCAGTATACAAGATAAAGCAGCTAGTTAGGAAGCAAGAGGTTAAGATTGGCTGCAGCTATATGGCTATAACTTAATATCTAATTAAATGGAAAGGTTAAGGCTATAAGTATAACAAGTGGAAAAAGGTAGCAAATCTAAACCACTTACAACGCCTTATTGACAAATATAAGGCTAGGGCAAGCAAGCTTTCTACTAAGAAGACTAAAGGCTAGAAGGCTAAAGCCTCTAAAGCTATAAAGCTAGCTACTAAGCTAACTAAAGGACTGGCAAAGCTAGCTACTAAGCTGCACATATAGCAATTAGGCTGTTGCATGCAATAAGCTTGACTTACAAGGATGTTAGCAGTTAATTTAACATTGGCATGTGACTTATTTAAGCCAATTATGTGTCTTGTTAGTTCTAGGATTGGAAGAAGGTTAATCTGTTGTATTAGAATTAATCTTAGGAAATTGACAATTTTAGCACTGTAGAATCTAGCCTTTTGAATTGTTTAAAAGCGTCTAGATTCACAATATTTGTATAATTAGATAATCTCTGGATTTTTTGGTGGTGGTAGCCTGACTAGTTAGGCCAATTAGGCCTCTACCAATAGCAGCATTGCCATGTGACACCTAAGGGCAGGTAGATCCTTTTTCAAGCCTGGCATATTGATGCGTAGGGCTTGGTGGGGTAGAAAGGATGGTTTCTACTGGCTGTAAATAGACAGTGAGGGCGGGGCCCGAAGTGGCCCCGGGGGCCTGTGACCTGGCCTATGCGCCAGCGCAGGTTAGTCAAAGCCTACGCGCCCTCTGCGTAGAAACCACTGATTAACATCACCACTTTTACTTCGTACAATATCACTAGATTGCTATTGAAGTAGCCCCCTGCCAACGCGCCAAATGCCTAAGAGTTCCCACGCATTACTAGCACATAGTGATAGTCTGGGGGATGACATGATCATACGACTCAACGTCCGTGATCCAACTCTTCTCGACCCAAAAGTGCGTTACCAGAACGTCCAAGAACGATGCTAAGACCTGCGATCCTTGAAATGTGTTGTTCGAACACAACGGAACAGTGTAGTCCATTGGATCCGTCTGCGCTGGCGGGGTACTGGCGGTGGTGGCATACTTGATGTCATCATCCCTCGAAACCCCACAGCTCCTCATCAAATCCGTACAGTTGAGAACACCGTTGCTGCAACTCACTTCGGCGTCGAGAAAGTCCCATCCTCTAGGAGCCTTGAACTCCTCGATACTTCTGTTGAATGCTCGGTTGAGGTCGTTGAATAGGTCAGGCGATATCAGCATTGACCACACGAGATCGGCCACCTTGGGGAGCGATCTCGATGCCTTTCCAATCACCACCATGTCCCCGATCGTAAAGTGGGCACGGCCGTGCAGGCGAATGTGTTGAAAGTTGTTGCAGAGCACCATGGTGTAGTGCAAGCACTCACGGTCGTTACAGGTTGTTGGCCAATCTTTCAACTGGAGCTCGGGGAATACGGCCTCCTCATTCTTTGGGTTTTCACAAGCTCGGTTGATATGCCGGTAGACCTCAGCAACATCCGAGGCCAACCACTTGGTTGGCGTGAAGTAGAAACCATCCGGCTTGATAAATCCCACTGCTTGCTTCATCAGCTTCAAAAGGTCTTCGTCCATGAACAGATCTCCGAGACGGTACGGCGTTCTTTTCTGGTTGACGTCGTCGTAGTCAACATATGCCCGGCTGTATTCTGTGCAATCCTGGATGCTGAGGCCACGGCTGTTGGCCAGCTCGCCTTGGACGACGACGGAGAGGAGGCCCTCGCACGGCACAAAGACCTCCATCTTTCCCAGCCCTTTTTCGCGCATTCTGCGGAGCATGTCCCTTAATCCTCCTAACTCTGCATCCAGTTCGGTTTCCCAGTCCGATTCGTCTTTGCCCCTTGGATTGTTGGGATTTCGAAGCTTTTTCATGATGTCCTCCTTCGACGGAGCTTTCATCAAGTCCTCAAATAGGTCGTCGTCTTCTCTCCTCTTGAGACCAGCATCGGGAATGGGGGTGTGAGGTGTCGCCACGGTTGTTGAAGCTGTCGAGAGATTGCGCTTCTCAGTTGGAGCCCCAGTCTTACCCTTCATCAGGCCATCAAAGTCGGGGCGGCTGTCGTCTGAACCTGTCTTCTCGAGGTTCTCTCCCGCCTCACGGCGCTTGGCGCGCCTCTCAGACCGTTCATCCGTGCCTCCAAGGTAGAGGGCCTTTTTGTCTCCAATCATCATCCCATTGATGGATCGCCACAATCGAGCGACAAAGCTGTGGTCCTCGGTCCGTTGGGGAACGGACTTGAAGAACAAGTGGACTTCGGGACTGATTTGGTCGGCAATAAGGGCCCTCCTTCGATACTCGACGATGCATCCGTTGGGGCCTTCACGAAACTGAAGCCATCCCAAGGGGCCCGTCCAATGCATGGGAAGCTTCATGGGTTCCTTGAAACTGGGCTTCTGTTCCGATGACTGGAATCCAAGGAGGCTGCATATGGCAGCGAGACTCTTCCCTTCCCAGCGCATGGGAACGATGCCATTCACCAAGTTGGGCTGCGGGCTCATTTGGTAAAGGTTTTGATCATTCAACTTGACACCAATAGCGGCAAGGAAGTTGACCCAGCTGGCCTTGGCGAGTGCCTTCTCTGGATCCGTCCTGCCATCCTGAGGGGTCGAAGCGGGTGCCCCTGGGAACACAAACTGGGGGTTCCAATTCGCCTTCAGGAGCGAAGGCACGGTTATTGTTGGTGTGTTGATTTCCTGTTGCTGCAGATCCGGTGAGCCTGGCGGCACAACAGAGCTGATGAGGGAGACGAGAAAACATACCAGGCCCAGGAGACGTCTTGTTCTGACTTTGTCGTGCCAGGGTCCCAGCGCCTGCTGGGACAGGCCGGATGCGTAAGCTCGGTGCTCCGTGAGCAACTGTCTGACGGCGACAACGACAGTAACAACAGTGACCAATCCAAACACTGCAGCAATAACCGAGCAGACTGTCGAGATATAATCCGCCACGGAGATGCTCTCAGAAGCCATTGGTGATGTGATTTGTTTTTTATCGGCGAGCGCGAAGTTTGGGCGACGGGCTTCATGGAGCTGTATCGCAACCAGCGTCCCTAATAAGTAGCAATATAGCAAGGTGACGAGCAGGGGTGTGATATACCCAAATCATATTATCGGGCGGCTCAGAAAGGGCGGCAACTGCGCTTCAGCTAGAACTTAGCTAGCCAGTTGTGGTAAAGGAGAGGGAGGAACAGAGTGCGGGCTTGAGCCTGGGCCCAAGTCAGAGACTCCGTGTCGCAAGAGGAGTGGTGCTTTCTGTGCATTGTGTAACGTGTAGGCAGATGCCGCTGAGCTGGCTGCATCTGACATGTGCCAATTAGGGCGACACGAAGCGAGCCAGCAGGTGGAGGAAAGCGTTCCTCGACGACTGATTGGTGGGCGGTGCAACCTGACATGGTCTTGGGCAGAGATTGTCAACGACCACACCACCCTCGACCCCTCCCCAGTCACCAAAGCAAGAAGGTCGGCGAACTCTATCGGCCCGGTGGATGGTGCAGCCTGACAGGGTCTTGGGCAGAGATTGTCAACGAGCACAGCACCCTCGACCCCTCCCCAGCCACCAAAGCAAGAAGGTCGGCGAACTCTATCGGCCCGGTGGACGGTGCAGCCTGACAGGGTCTTGGGCAGAGATTGTCAACGAGCACAGCACCCTCGACCCCTCCCCAGCCACCAAAGAAAGAAGGTCGGCGAACTCTATCGGCCCAAGGTCGCCGCATCGCATCCGAGACCCTCCATAAGGTATTTTGGCCAAGCCCAGCCCTAAGTTGGGAGCCCGTCCCCTCCTGCTCACCTCTGTCCATGCGATCGTTTGCAAACTGGCCCGTCTTGGATACCATCGTGACAAATCAGCATGTCTTCTGTTGTGGACGACTGTGTCGATCCCGTCAACCCTTCTCCACCCCCCAACAATGACAATGGCATTCAAGCTCGCGACGACCCGGAACGTGGCGATCCCTCTCGCCATCTCCGGCCACCGCTGGCACCCTTCGTTGATGTTCCCAATGACTTCACTCTTGGCATCCGTCGTAGACCTACGCTACCCGTTTCTTCTCAAATCCCGACTCCCCAAGGCTCAGAGGACGAGGATGGCGGCATCAGGGTCAGGCGTAGGAGATCCCAGACGTCCGAGTCGACCGATTCGTCGCTCTCCAACGATTCCAATGATTCAGAGGACAAGCCCTTTTCCGATGGAGCGCTTGAAGTTATGGCGAAGCTCGACACCCTCGTGGGCCTTGACGACGTCAAGAGCCACTTCAGAGAGCTCGGGCTGTACATACACAACAGCCAGGTGCTTGGAGTGGAACCTGGCGACGAGCGCTTTCACGCCTTGTTCCAGGGGAACCCGGGGACAGGAAAAACCACAGTCGCGAAGCTGTATGCTCAGTTTCTCGAGTCGATGGGCGTCTTGGAGTCGGAGGATGTGGTGGAGACCTCGGGTGTCAAGCTTGCATCCAATGGACCCAAGGCTATCATGGACATCTTCGAGCAAGGAGATGGTGGCGTGTTGTTCGTGGACGAGGCCTACCAGCTTGTTGCATCTCACTCAAGTCTTGCTGGCAAACAAGTCCTTGATGTCATCCTCGGCGAGATGGATAGCAATCCCCCAAGATGGGTCGTCATCTTTGCTGGCTACAAGGAGGAATTCGACCCCTTCTTTGCCCACAACGACGGCCTCAGCAGCCGCATCCCTCAGGTTCTGACCTTTGAAGACTTTTCCAATGCTCAGCTCCACTCCATCCTTCTGAGTTTCTTTCAAAAACGCTTCTCTCGACACAGCTTCGAAATTGAGGGCGGGCCGGATGGTCCGTTTGTCGGTGCAGTTGTCCGTCGTATATCCCAAGGTCGCGGGAGGCGCAGGTTTGGAAATGCGCGAACCGTTCGGAACTACTTCCAGAGAATTTGCCAGCGTCAAGCCCGTCGACTTGGTCAACTCGACAAGCCAACAATGAAGGATCGTTTGTTCTTCACCAAGGAAGACCTGCTTGGACCGAAACCGCTGGATGTGAAAGCCACAAGCAAGACATGGGCCAAACTGAATTCGCTTATTGGGTTGCACGAGGTCAAGAAGTCGGTCGACATCATGTTCAAGATTGTGGACACCAACTACCAACGAGAACTCAAGGGCAAGCGACCCCACACTCACTCACTCAACCGCGTCTTTGTGGGCTCGCCGGGGACAGGAAAGACAACGGTTGCAAAGCTCTACGGCAAAATCCTTGCCGAGCTTGGATTTTTGAGCCAAGGAGACGGTACGTCCAAACTCTTGTGGCTTCACGACAGGCAGCTGACCCCAGCATCTGTCTCCAGTGGTCATCAAAACTCCGGCAGACTTCATCGGTGATGCTGTCGGCAGGTCGGAATCAAACACGCGGGCCATCCTCGCGTCGACTTTAGGCAAGGTCCTGATCATTGACGAAGCCTACATGCTTGACCCCGGCGATGCCACGGCAACTCGAGACTCCTTCAAAACCGCTGTGCTCGATAGCATTGTTGCAGAGGTACAAGGCAATCCTGGCGACGACAGGTGCGTTCTCTTGCTCGGATACGAGGACAGGATGGAGTCGCTCTTTCAGAATGGCAACCCTGGGCTGTCAGGCCGCTTCATGGCTGACATGCCATTCCGATTCGCCGATTTCTCGGCGGAGGAACTGGGCGAGATTCTCAAACTCGATCTCAGGACCCGCCACATCGACTATGAGCCGGCTGCCCTGGTTGCTGCGATTGACCTACTGTCTCGATACAAGTACAACCGGAACTTCAGCAACGCAAGAGAGGTCAAGCTCTTGGTATCCGAAGCAGTTCTGCGAAACCAGGAGCGACACATGACAAGTCAAAATCATGACGAAGACTTTGAAGCTTGCCTTGAACCCCAGGACTTTGACCCGTGGTTGCGGCCACAGACGGTATCAACAGGCAACGTGGTCAACTGCAGAGCTGATCTGACAGGTCAGATATCGGACTCGGTCATTGAGCAGTTGGAGAGGTACCTCCCGACCTCTTTGAACCGCGACTTGAACCGCCATGTGCCGCGAACCTTCGTATTGAAGGGGCCACCGGGTAAGTAGCAGCATTCTCCTTTCCTTCCTCTCATTCCGAGTACTGCTCGCAGACGCTGACCTAGACATCTTGTCCCTCAGGCACCGGGAAGACAACGCTCGCCAAGTACATGGGGAAGTTATTCCGTGACATTGGCCTCCTTCCAACCCACCAGTCTGTCGTCTGCTCGGCAATCAACTTCATCGGGCAACACGTGGGACAGACTACGCCCAAGACTCGAATGCAGCTCGAGAAGGGCTTCGGCAAGGTCCTCATTATCCGCGATATCCACCGACTTGCGAAAGGTGGCTACTCGAGCGAAGCTCTCGACGAACTCACCTCGTTTGTGCGCACCTTCTCTGGGAGAATGGCGATCGTTCTCACAGGGCCCTCGGAGCCAGTCGACGAGCTGTTGGCCGAGAGACATGAACTTGGGACCATGTTTCCAGATCGCATCACCTTCCAAGACCTCTCACCTCGGGACTGCCTGAATCTGCTGGACAGGCTAATTCACGATCTCGAACCCACCGCAGAAACGCCCTTTTTCACATCGCAGGCTACCGCGGAAATGTTTCAACAGGCAATGTCGATTCTTACCATGTTTGAGGGCTGGGGGAATGCCTCGCTTGTTGCGGTGATCAAGACTCGCATGATCCAAAAGGGGGACACTGAGCAATTCTTGGCGCGTACACGAGATCCGGGGGTCAAGCACCGCTGGAAGCTCACGGAAGGGACGGCCATGTCATGTATCAGGGCTCTGTTCCACGAGATCCGCAACACGGGTGCTGCGGTGAGGAAGGTTGTCTCTGAGCCTGCCAGCAATACCGGCGAAACCCAAGAAACTCCCGAGCCCCAGTCGGGTACCGACGTCACCCAACCGACACAAACGACGATCGAGGCGACTTCGGCACCCAAGCGGGTGGTGCAGGCGACTCATCAGGTTGAGATTGTAGTCAAAGATAATTCGAAGCCCATAGGGGATCAGGGGCCTGGGGAAAAGGAGTCCAAGCTGCGGGACAAGACGGCAGCCAACGCAGCGACATCAACTTCAAAGGCCTCAAAGTTGACGGAAGAGCAAATCAAACAACGAGACAAGAATCAAAAAGACTCTGAGAGAGAGAAGCAAGCCGTGCAGGAAGCTATTAAGCGGATGGGTAAATGCGAGCAAGGGTACGACTGGGACAGGGTTCCTGGTGGCTACAAATGCCAGGGGGGCACTCATTTTGTGTCTGATGCCGATGTGGCAGATGCTATTCGATGAAGACAGATTCGGATTTATTAGATTTGAGTAATTAAGTTGGCGTGCCAGGGAAGACCCTTGAGACCTACCGGACTCCCACAGGCTACCAGTAGATTCGCTGTGGGGGTTGTCCGCCCATTCCTGTATGTCGTGGAGAAGGTCGACGCGCGTATCTAGACAGACCGCTCGCTGTGCTCCTCGGCGCAGGAATCGAATGCGGCATTGTCGGCAGTCGGGAGGTCGATTTCTCGAGCACTAGGAGCGGTCGGCGTCTGTAGTAGTGGTGGATGATGTACTTGCCGCAGGGGAGACGTTATGTGTGGTCCTACATACAGCTATTATATGAAGCTGGCATCGGTGCTGAGCATGTCAGCATCATGGCCGTGGCAGAGTTCCTTGTTCACTGTGGCCGGGACTGTTGTGCCGGCGTGAATTTGGCAGAGTCAATATTCAAAGCCTTTTAGTCCGTGGTGGTGCTTAGGAAAGGAAGGATAGGATCTTGGAATCTTGGATTTGCAGGGTGCATGATCAGCGTGCAGAACATGCGATGGTGGCAGCGCTATGCGTTCATGCTGGTCCTCAGCATCTGGGTCGATTATGCCCGTATCAGGCATCATCTTGACGACTGCCTCCTCCCCATTCATTGCTGCCGCCATTAGCGGCGCCCATGCGCCTTTGTACCTGATAAGTAAGTCTATGATCTTTTCATCTCCCTTCCTCTAACGGCCGTGACATGAGTAGGTTAAGTCTGGGCGGTCCATGCGTCTCAATGCCGTCTCAAATATCTTCGAGCACTCGGGCCGTTGACTGCGCATGATGTTTCCGTAATCGTCCCTGGATATATATCCCAGTCTTACACAAGCAGAAAATCATGCGGAAAAATTGTTATCCATCGTACAAGTCCTGACCATGTGATATCTCCGCTCGGAGCTTGTACATTGTCCATAGGGGGGAGGGGTTCCAATCATTATAACAGCCCAAAAATCGTTGAATAACCGGACGATTGTAGGCCGGCCTAGACGCTCCTTGTAGAAGGCAGACTACGTCGCCCTCCTGTACGGATTGTTCTGAAGCTTGGAATTAAAGGACCGATGGGTATATGAGATTTGGAAAAGGGGGGGGGAACGTCCTCCACGCATGATGGCGAATCTATAATCGTCCGGAACACGGTTGAGATGCGAAACATGAAGCAAACAAGCCATACTATCATCCCATTTCCACCCAAGGCTCCAGCTCTAGCCGTTTCTCATCAGCACCCATCCACCCATGGCCACTCAAGCCGAGTCGGAAGCCAAGTGTGTTTCTCGGCGGATCTGGAACCACTGCATGCCCCCAGCAATGGAGATGCCGAACTGCAGAAGCCTATCCATTTTGTTAGACCACAAACGTCAGTTAGTTGGCAAGGAAGTGCATACATGGAGCTAAACATGCAGAATAAAATGGCCGCCCCAACCGCCGCCGTCGCCGGTGTCGAGGTAGGCTTCGACCGGACCAGGTCGCCTAGCATGAAGGACACCAGGAACCCTGACGCGATGGCGAACCCCACGCCGATGGCACCGTCATAGAGCATACGGGTGAGCGCGTGGGAGCGCCGATCCAGACTCACGACGAGGAATATGTCCACGGCGCTGACGGAAAAGGACGTGATGGCTGGCGAAAGTATAGGCGACATCCAAGTCTCGCGGTCGATGGAGCGTAGGGCGACAACGGAGAGCGCGATTTCGACCAGGCCAAAAGCTGCGAGAAGCATGCGCGTCGCAAGGAAGGTGGTACGGTGGGGAGACGTCGCTGGGTAGGCGCGGGCGGTGAGGTGGGCAGCCGCACGGCTCCTAGGGCAGGTGTGGGTTGGTTGGGCGGGCGGGTCGATTCGGGTGGGCTTTTCGAGGCTGTGAGAGGAGAGGGAGGATAAGGTGCTGTTTGTTCGAGCCGGGAAAGGCATCATTGCGATAGTGGTTGTCCTTCGATAGCTTGTGTTAGATTTAGATGATGCTAGATGTATATTAATGCGATGAAAAGATGTCCGGATTGCTAGGTCACTTGGATGGCATTGTGTCGTTGCTAGAAGGAAGGAGTTGGCAAGGGTTGGATGAGTGGGATGGGTTGGATACTTATCGCCGTTGAGCCAGCAGGCCGTATTTCTCGGGATTTCAGCCTTAGGAGTCACGCGAATAGTGGGGCATGACTTCAATTCTGACCACCCGGAAATTTGTGGGGGCTAGGCTGTCTTGTCTGCCAAAGCCATGACAACAATCCAATAAGGTGCCTGCCTTGTTTGGTCTTTGATGGTGTCACTGCGCCACTCGTCTCGGTCACTGGTTCGGTCCATGTACGGATTACGGATCCGTACAGTGCAACAACGAGCCCATCAGGTACTGTAGATGTGAGCCTGAAGGAACATCTGTACGGAGTACACGTAATCTCACCAAATCGATGGTGCAGTGCGCGGGGCGCACAGAAGGGAGTAATGATCTGGGAGAGAGTCTCCGGCCGGATATGAGTTATTCCGGATTACGGTTACACTGGACCTTACTGCAGAATTATGGCGCCACGGCTTTCGTACTTGGAGAAAAACAACGCACACGGGACGCACTTTAATATACGGTTGGAGACCACCTGCTCTTCTTCTTGAGCTGCTGATCAGCAGGCCCTGACCTTGCCCCTTTGTTTTGTTTTTGTTGTTTTGCCCATTTGCCCCCCTTACGGGGCGAAGTCTAGGACTTTGCCTTGTTTTCAGTATTTGCATAGAGGCTTATACAGGGCTTACCTCCGCATTACCTGGACGCAGCCTCGAAGTCTCTCGTTGTTTAGTTTTAGTTCTCTAAAGCTGTCTGGCCTGCACAAGTTGGTGTTGCTAGGCTAGCTTGTGTTACAGTTTGGCTGTCGACAATGCTCTGTAGGATAGAGAGTATCTAGTCAACCTAACTACTGAACCGGCACCATCAAGCGGTCAACATCGGGACCCCAAGTAGTCCCATCCCCCTCAATGACAATCGTATTATCCGATCCCTTCTTCAGCTGAGCGTGGAGCGTGCTGCTTGCCGGATTCCCAGTAGCCGGTAAGAAGGCCACTCTCTTTCCGCCATCCCCGTTGACCTTCACATTCGCGTAGCGCGGGCTACTGTCTCCGTTGAGGAACTTGATCCGAATAGTTGTCAACCCGTCAATATCGCTCTTAATGCCACTAAAGGTGACACTGCCCTTGTCAGGTCCCCCGATGTATCCGGCGGCAACCCCGTTCGAGCACGCGGAGCAGCTGACGTCCCTTGCCTGACCGCCGTAGGTTGCTCGTTCGCCCTCGTAGCTGTTCTCGGCTGGCGGGTTCTGCCACGACGCGGGATTCGACGTTGGAACCCAGCTCACAAAATTCTTCATGGTGACGCTGGTTCCCCTGATGTCCAATGGGAGCCACACGTACGTGCTCGCCATTAGATTGTCTGAGACCCACCTATCTCCCATATAGATCGCGGTGCTCTCGCTGGTCTTGAGAATATAAGTTGTTTGTGAATCATAGGTCTATCTTAATGTAAGTCATTCAAGGTCTTTAGGTCATCGGAAGATTATGTTGGTAGAGGATAGCTCGGGAACTGACACATCGCGCAAATACTGCCCGGGGCCGGGGGGGGGCTTACATTTGTCCCACTATCTGCGAATTTCTTCCACCCAGACCAGCCAGAACTGAGAGAAGTTGACGTCGTGTACTGGTTGTCATTTGCGTCCCATCCAGTCATCATGGACGCGAACATGTAGTACGTATTGCCCAGCTTGATCATAGCTGGTGCCTCGACACGGTTGCCGCCTTCTAGCTGCCACCCAAAGACGTTGGTCGTAGGACTTAGGAAGTCATCTGAGAGAGCAACGATGCGGAGGCCGTAGTTTCGCTACTGAGTTTCAGCGTCTGCTTAATATGCGTAAATGAGGAGCAACACACGTCCTCGGTTAGCAGGTAACCCTTGCCATCATCATCCTTGAACAATCCCATATCGCGACTCTCCCTTCCTAACCTGCAATATTTGGAATTAATCCCCGACAAATTTGAGGGCGGCCACCTGTTACTTACGGTTGAAAGCTTCGGATGTACTCGTACTTCCCACACACGGAATCCCCAGTCGCCACAGCGACCTTTGCTTCGCCGTAGCTACTACTGTCCATGTGCATCCAAAGCACATACTTCTGGGTTTTGTCATTGTAGATCACCTTGGGTCTTTCTACCACACGGTTGGGTCCGAGATCGCCAGAGCTGGTTCGGGACAAGAGGGCGCCAGCAAAGGTCCACTGGACGAGGTCCGTCGAGGAGTAGCAATTGACGTTGGAAAACTGGCCACCGCCGCTCTTGTCCTCGCCGATTATGTAGTATGTGCCATTTTCTTGGAAGAGACCCGCCCCATGCGCTTGGAGGTGTTCGCCGTCGGGCTAGACAGTTGATTAGATGACTTTGGCTCTGTGAGACGCATTGAAAGCACTACTGCCAAATGAATACGAGAGCAGGCTCACAGTTGTCCATGTACTTCCCGGCACGACTTGCAACGAGGCTGTTGCAAGGCGAGAGAGCGTCGTTGTGAGAGCGATTGAGAGGAACCGCATCTTGTATGATGGATACAGATGAGTTGCGAAACCACCTTGAAAAGTCGGCCTAGGCATAATAGCCGGTTGATCGAGCCCTTTATACCTGGACATCGCCATTGATAGTGCAGCTGTGCGGGGGTACAATTTGGGGCGCGGTCTAGTTGGTGGACAAATTAATCCTCGGAGCATCCACGGTTGCGGTTGATTAGAACACTATAGTTGGTACAACTAAGAGCTTGCCGAAGACATACAACGACCACTCAATACGCCATAAAGGCCGCTCGGGTTTGGCAACTAGGAGCAGATGGGACCATTACTATCTAGATCACATGCTAGCCGTACCTCTAAGACTTTAGACTTAAACCAAGTCATTTTTTATATGCACAGAATTACGCATGTCGGAGGTATTTGAGATAGCGGGTAAAGTCACTCGTTTTGTATGTCTACGCAATGTGGCGGCGGAGCGTGCGCCGAAATGCTACCGTTACAATACGCAATTACGGCTCGGAGGCCTTTGGGGATCGACCTTCACCGCCTCAGTCCCCCTACCTTTTCGAGGCTCTGCATCTGTACCGGGTTTTCGACCCGAGGCTTTAGCCGCAATAGCCCCCCAACTTTGCTACATCGGCGAGCGGGTGGGCTACTCGCTCCCAGTACAGCTGTATGCCAGACACAAGCCACTGTGTGTATTGCAAAATGCCATAGCACTTAAACACTGAAACACGGGACTTTCACTAAGCTATGGGGCCCACGTCGTCGAGGTCATCGGCTCCTACTCGGTTGGAGACTTCCTGTGCACCATCCTCATGTCTCCGGTGACCGACTGCCACCTAGGCGCCTACCTCCGCAGCGATTGCGGCACCAGGAGTGACGGCCGCCGCCGCCTAGTACGCTGGCTTGGCTGCGTTACGGACGGGCTGGCCTACCTGCACTTGCAGCGGCGCGTCAAGCACAAGGACGTTAAGCTGAAAAACATTAAATTTAGTCCATGGCGACAACGTGCTCTGGACAGATTTTGGCATCGCCCACGAGATAGCCGGCGCCGACCCCACCTGCAGCCCAACCGCTCACGCCGACACGTACAGCGCACCCGAGGTCGCCGCCGCCAAACAGTCGTGGCAGGCGGTGGCGCGGACACTGCGAACCCTAGCCACCGACATCTTCTCGCTAGGCTGCATCTTTGCCGAGCTACTGACTGTTATCTGCGGCAAGACACTAGCCGATTTTGAGAATCGCCGCCGCCAGGGCACCGGTAACAAGTGCTACCGCGACACCAACGGCAAAGCTGCCTCGGGCTAGCTGGAAGAGCTCCGGCCGCAGTGCGCCATCACTAACGGCGCCCCAGGAACCATAGTCGACTTAGTAAAGGGGAGATGCTGTCGAGGGCTCCACACAAGCGGCCATTAATCGACGAGCTGGCCGACAAAGTTCCCCACGCCGTGTGAGGCATAGGATATACAACAATGTATCTACATATAGAACAGAGATACTAGCGTAGGCTGCATGCAGATGACTATAAATGTAAAGGTAGCCACTACTATGTAAACGGATAAAACCACACTTACTTGGAAGCGCTATGCCTTGCCTTGCCTTTTGCTAGGAATACTAATAAACTTATGTTGCTTGTATTAAGCTACTTTAGTATTTAACCGAAGTTTGGACGAATTAACACGGCGGACGCGCCAAGGAATAATTATCCAGTAGTTTTACAGATATGTGATATGTGTGTCACGCTAACTAATATTTCAGACGCGTAGTGTATCCGTTGCCAATTTCCCCCTCTTCGCCACTTCGCTGCTCCAACGCGTCTTAATTATCTATCGCCATTGACTTTGCGGTTCTTCAAACCTCTACGCTCACACGGCTAAAGAATCGAGTACGATGTGGCCCTTCGACGTCCCAAGCGCGCCCGTCGCACCCACCAGCTCAATCCTGGACAACGGGCCCAGTCTGACCCCCGTCTACGCCCCTCACCCATACTATCCCCTCGAAATAGAAATCACCGGCTATCTCGCCAATCAGTATGGCGTGCCTACTCTGATCGCCCTTTTTGCTGCAGGCTGTGCCGGCATCTTCACTCTCACCCACATTGTTGTCACTCATATCCGGCCGGGCTTGCCCACCTCTGAGCTCCTGACCATTCTCTGGTTTGTCCTCTCGGGCTGCATCCATGCCTTCTTCGAGGGCTACTATGTCTACAACTTCCGCGCCATGGGCGGGTTGCAGACCCTGTTCGGCCAGCTCTGGAAAGAGTACTCGCTCTCGGACTCGAGGTATCTAACCAGGGACCCGTTTGTTCTCTGTATGGAGACGATCACTGCAGTATGATACTCGCCATTCTTTGAGTCTGGTCATGTAACTGATGGTGAGATAGGTCTTCTGGGGCCCCTTGTCCTTTGTCGTGGCATACATGATCTCGACGGAGCATGTCCTACGCCATCCGCTGCAGATCATTGTGTCGCTGGGTCAGCTTTACGGCGATGTGCTCTACTATGCCACCAGCATGTTTGACCACTACATCTTTGACAAGTCGTACTCGAGGCCGGAGCCGTACTATTTTTATGGATACTATGTGTTTATGAATGCGTTTTGGATTGTTATCCCCACTTGTATGTGCCTCCCCAACCCTTAACCCCCCCGCGGTAGAGGTTGTGTGAGAGAGTGAAGTGAGCTAAAGAACAATGTCAGGTCTTATTTTGGGCAGCGTCAAGGCGAGTGGGAGAGCTGCAAACGTGCTGAAGAAAGTTGGAGAAAGAGCGGGACGTGATGCCATGAGTAAGAAGACAAAGACGACATAAACAAAAGGGAGCGTTTGTATTATCCAGTATTAATTATACTCAGTCTGAGATGCAGGGCATCTTAATACCCAATCGTCTTCCACATTGCCCACTCCGTCTGTCCGCATATAAGTCCCGCCCCATACTCATTTCTCGTGGCCACCTTAACCCGATGCATCCTTGGCCTCGAAGTCCTCGGTCCTATAGGAAACCAAATTCTCGTCTTGACCGCCTGATCCCCATCGACTGCTTCAGTCCGGTCAAACGTCTGGATGATCCGAATCAGCGCGAAACCAGCTCTTCGTTCAACGCAAACTGCTGGCCCATGTAGATTCTTGTTCCGCCCGAGAATGGGATACAATGCCAGCCCAGCTTCTCGCCATCCCATCTCGTGGGGCGGAAATCCTCCACGCGGGGACCCCAAATATCCTCCTGCCGGTTCATGACGTACTGTAACATGCCGATGAGCTCACCCTTGCGAACCGCCACGGGGAGCTTATCGTCCGGCCCGCCGCCATGGGGCAGGATTGTGCCGCACCTGGCTTGGCAGAAGGTGAGCGGTGCGACGGGGAAGAGGCGCATCGTCGTGTCCTGAAGACAACAAGACAACGCTATGGGTCAAATACGCATAGGCAAACCTGTTCTAGAACAGCCCGCTGGATATTATTGCTGCTTCAACCTAGCAGCCTTGCCAGGACTAAGGTGTGTTAGATTTGTGGCGCAGTGTTCCCTCCTATAACTAGGATAAAATATGCACGAAATGGTCTAGTGGAATTCATGTGAAAGTGGTGTAAGTCAGATGCTATGGTGCTTACTGCCGTCGGGCACTGGATCTATCCGACAACCGAGGGGGTTGACCACATGCAAATACACCTGATTATTTCTGACATGACTAGAACCATATCTTAGCCAACAGACTCGGGTTAGGTGTCTGACGGGTTAAGAATAGCATCTCCGCGTCGCCCAACCAGAAACAATAACGCTCCAATTGTGCAGCATCCCAAATCTTAGCGCGAGTACCTTGCGGGGCAACATCGCCGATACTTACCATGTTTATACAAATGCCAAGCGTGCCAAGCTAACAGCGCCACGCGGCGATGTTCTCGCGTGGTATTTTAGTTTTTAGGAAAAGGGGGTAAAATGTTGCGATGCTAATTTTGGCAAGGGTAGTGTTGACAAGCGCCTCACATGTTTGTGCAGTGACTCGAGAAATGACTGTATATAATCATCCTGGGAATCCCAGCTTTGACATAACATTTTCCCAACAATTCACCACTATCAATCCTCTACGCAACAAGTGCGGGCCATATCTTTGTCACAGTTCCCATCTTCTCGTCCTACTGAAATCAGTCCAGTGAGTTACCAACAAACTCAGTCAAGATCAACCCGTCTAACCACCAACTACAGATCTACCCATTCTCAATCATTTCCACCAAACAAGCGAAAACAGAATGAAGCTGTCTCTAGCCATCCTCTCCACCGCCCTTCTCGCCCTCGCTGCCAATGTCGGCGCATCGGCCATCCCGATTGAGGAGTCGCAATTAGCCGCCCGCGCCAAAGTCAACCCTAGCCAGCTCAACAACCTCGCCAAGGTGGTTTCCCAATCCCGGTCGTCCATCCAGTCTCAGGCGAACCAGGTGGACTCCCATTCAAGGAGCGTGCTCAGTAGCTGGACCGGTTCGGCAGCGAAGGCTTATCAGAAGCAGTTGTCTCAGTTCGACGCCGATGCCAAACACCTGGCTGCAGAGATGAACAACATGGCTCAGAAGCTGAAAGCTGCGGCGAAGGCAGCTAGTGGATAGACGAGAGTCATGTATTAAACACCCAGGTATTTAGAAATACATACTCAGCTTAGCCCACACCGGCGGTACCATTTGTTGCGCTGTAAGAGGGATAGTAATTACTATTTACTCCTAGCTATTCTCTGTGTTTGCGGTTCCGGTTGCTTTCTCCCAGGCCCAAAGCGGGGAGAACCATGGCCTCTGTTGCATCGCCGGCTCCGAAACATCGTCCTCGACTTGCCCCTGAATCGTGGCCGTGGACCATAGCGTCATTGCCGCATAAGCGGTCTGGCGGTCTCCGTTGTTTTGTTGTTTCGGTTGCGACGAAGCGAGTCACCCTTAGGCTAGTGGCCTCTGGAAAGGTTTGCAAGATGAATAGTATTTCACCCATTGCTACTGTCTTGGCGATGAGCGAACGGGAGATGTCGATATCATGGGGACTAGTACCCGGTCCTGTGGGGATATTAGTAATTATCTCTGAAAACTGGTGGTGAATCTTGAGTTGATCGATAGTGGGATTCTCCGTGATGATATTGTCAATCTCAATATGAATGCCGGTTGTCCTGATCCGCTTAGGGTTAACCGGAGGGCACTGCTTGTTTTGTTGCCGTGAACAGCTGCTAGACTCGCCGCGTCGAGGATCGGCCCAGTCATGTGGCCCGTTATTGTTGTAAGTGAATTGTTGACTGACACCAAGCGTTTGCTGGGGTCCTTTCCTTGTACCTACACTCATCCGGAGCTGCCGATCCCTGACAGAAATATCAGTGCTGGGGTCAATTCACACATTGGATGTAGAAAGCTGGATGGGAGAGGAGAAAAGTCAACCAAAGCATGAACGATCGTGGAAGGTGAAGGTAGACGAGTGAAGTGATCTATAATCTAACTAACTAACTGCTTCAGCTATTGCCAAACTCCCTGTGTTTTAATGGAACGTATTTTTATCCGCGAGAGCGTCGTTCTCAAGAAAAACCTCGATCTTCTTGGTCATTTTGGGAGTGATATCCTCGCAGGCGACAGCCAAGCCGATACCGACTAACCCAAAGGCCAAAGACGCAAGAGCAGCGTTGCTAATAATTAATAGACCTCAACATCAGCTTCAGAGAATGATGATTGACAAGACATGGAGCTAACGTACCGAAGACCAAAAGCCGCAGCATACTTATATGCTACTCCAACAGCCTCGTTCACAGCGGGTGTTACGCCGGGGACCTTGGAAATAGCAGCCACGCCTTGGGGAACCGCTGCCATAAGCTGGTCCAACGAGGAGCGGGGCAAACCGGCATCCAAGGCCGCCTTGGGGATGAGTACAGCGCCCTTAGTTTTCAGGCCGTTTCCGATGGCGCTGGAGTAGCACGCCGATGCCACTGCCCCCCCGGCGTATCGCGCCAGGCCGGCCAGACCGCCCGATATACCTAGGTATATTTGCGGTACACCGAGCTGCGTGAAGGTCACGGCGAGGTAGGCCGCCCACCCGTACGAGATATGGCCGAGGACCACGAAGGCAATCATCATGGCCTTGTTGTACGGCGTAACCAGCGCCATCAGGCTGCCCCATAGGACAAGTGAGAACACCGACCCGACGAGCGTCCATCGCCAATGGCCAATCTTATTGCCAAAAAGGATCAAGAGGAGCGAGCCAAAAGGTAGGCCCAGATTTGCAGGCAGGGTCAGGAGCATCTGCTCAGATGCTGGGGTGTTGGCATCAATGTAGAAGTCGTCTGTAAACATGTCAGTGTCTAGTAGGAAGAAAGTGCGGCGGTAGTGGAGGAGGAGAAAGCAGCGTTAGGAGATGGGTGAAAATGGGGTTTATAGGGGAAACCTACTCAGCATGGTAGGATAGATGACTGCAAGTCCATAGAAGAATCCAACTACGATGAAGGACAGACAGAACGGAGCTGTGAATTCCTGGCCTTTGTGGCTTCGGAAGATCTCGGTCGGGCAAAGAGGATACTTGACGCCGGAGAACCGCTCCCACAACCCAAAAGCGGTGATTAACACGAAACCAAGTGTAAGGCATATGATAACCCTCTTATCGCTAGCTGGGATGTAGGTGGTGTAGACAACTGCCTTCAGGTTAGCGAGATATTCTTCGTGGAGCAGAGTAGGATTAGTTTCGCCTCACTTCCAACAAGCACCATCACAGCGCCAGGGGTGAATAAGAGGGCCCCGATCCAATCTAACCCTCTTAGGGCATCTCTCCATGGAACACCTCTCGGGTGCTTGGGAGGGACTGCATCATAAACCTTAGCATCAACGCCTCGATCACAGGGCAGGAACAAGGGTCCGCGACATACAGTAGAAGAAAAGAAGTCCGAAGAAAGCAATGCACGAAATGATAAACCCTGCCCAATAGATGTACTTCCAGCGATCATCGTCGTGAATGATGGCAGCACGACCTACCACAGGGCCAATGATAATCATCAAGTAGACAAACCCGTCCGCCAGGGCGACCCCGATGTGCCTGTACCGATTCGGCAGCAACTCAGGGCACGCGATCAGCGCGACCCCTGCTATCCCTGAGCCAGCACCGTTGAGGCACAGCCCGGCAATGAGTTGGTTTGAGTTATTGGACGTCGCGATCACGGCGTACCCGACGGCGTTGATGAGGTTGGAGAAGAGGAGGAAGGGCCGGCGGCCGAACAGGTCCGAGTTGCACCCGAACAGGAGGATCGTCACCGTCGCGGCTGTCGTGATGCAGGGGACGACCCAGGCCGAAAGGGAGCTGTCGCCGAATGTCTCCAGCAGCTGGAATGCGACGGCCGAGGTTGTTGGGGTGGCCCTGTGATGGGTTGGTTAGCGCAGGCGAGCAAGTTGGGGTTTAGACAAGTCTTTACCAAAATGGGACGCCGAAACTCAGTGAGAGGAGCTACGTGAGTCGGTTAATTGGCCACATTTCCTTGCTGATGGCTCTCTCTCTTGGCGCAGTGAGGGTTACGCACAAAGACACACAGCCATGCTTTCGCTGTGACGCGCTCCTCTCGAGACCCGTCTACCTCTGCGGCGGTCTCGTCCACCAAACTGTTGCCACCGTCTGAAGACTTCAGGCGTTGTTCGACCATATCGAGGCCCGGGGTTGCTCCCTCATTTTTGCGTACGTCATCTTAGCTCATCTCTGTTGCCGTGATATGTTGTTGGTTGTAAAATGCTCTGTTTGCCCGATAATTAGGTGCGAGTATTTGCTGCGGAACCGGGACTTGGTCTCGTCTCATCAAACATCTATATATTTTTCAGTCCATGGAGTGCATCAAATAGTCCAAACGTGTCGTAGTTCGAAGTTCCTCGCCCAAGACATAGACCTTCACGGATTAGCAATCTGGTTACCCCCAAGCTGCAAGGCCTAGAAGCTACCCCATGGGGAACCTGGGACCTGTTTAACGCTACGGTAATTGAATGCCGTCCTTGACCTTGGGGAGGCTAGTTGTGGGGAAGACGCCAATAAAATGATGCTACTGATTCAGTAGCTCGATAGTGATCATCCAACTACCACATTCCCCACAGCCTAAACGACGGTACACTGGGCATCGGCGATCAAATCCCGGAGGCACCCGGTCCAAAGCACGTGCCTGCCTTCTTGCGTCTCAATGTTGTATGAACTTATCTAGCGAAGATTGCAGCTGGTAGACTAAAAGAGCAAGGCGCGGAATGATGGCCAAATGGAGGCGTATAAAGCCGAGAGAATATACAGTATTGGAATGCCTTGAAGAGGGACTAGGGTCGCGCAAATTAACGCCAAGATCCTCTGCCGACACTTCCGGTCATACAGGTCGGTGACCAAGCCTCGAGTCCCTTCACATCAGGAAAGATCCAACAGAGTGGAGCATATCGGTCTGTGACCCCGGCGGCAGGAACTCCTCAAAGGAGAATGTCTCCGATATATCTGCAAAGAAGTCCGAGCCTCCACTACTCACGCCATCTCCTAGATTAACCCCGGCAGAGGGATCGAAATGCTCGGCAAGGGCCTGTCTCGGACTTCTCGCAGGGGCGGCGCGGCATTGACCCTGTCATCAAGGTCGAGAACACGTATGGCGTGCTGGATGACCTTCCGAGCTCGCTTAGTAGGAAGATGGCTCTTTTCTAGCTCGCTGAGAGCACGAATACAGGTCTGGAGACACGAGAAGTGGAGGTCCTCGAGGGAATTGCTTTGGTTCTCTGCGGTGCTCGCGATCAGCGTCGTGGCCCCCGTGGCGACGATGTGTAGCGATATCCAGGAGAGAGTCATGGCGCTACCGTAGCGGTCGTGGTAGTCCTGGACATAGTGCGCGATCAAACATGCGTGCTGCACGCAGATCTGGCGAGACACGTTCCCTGTGGTGACCGATGTTGCGTTGCCAAATTGCACCAATGGCCTGTGGAGAAGGATGTTCGCTGCGGCGTATTGCATGCTGTTGCGATGTCAGTCGACGCTGTGGGGGTGGGGGGGAAAAGAGCTTATGCAGAGCACCACTGACTGGAGCAGAAAGACAGCCGGACTCTGCTGTGAGTTGTAATGGAGCGAGATATCCAACGAAGCGCACCAGTCGCGGAGTTTCTGGTCCAGGGATGTAACCCTATGTTTCGTCGTCTGTACCCCATTTCTTGATCAAACCGCAGTGTAAGTATTTCTCTCCCTCGCTCTCCGCCCAAGAGGAAGATACACCCGTGAGAGAAACTTACAGTGCATCACAAATAACCCCCACGATCTCGAGCAAGCTTGCCCATGCGGCCGAGACTTTGATGTCGAAAGATGCTTCAACATGAGGAGAATCCGGTCTCTGATCTGTGATGTCCTCCATTTTGATCATCTGAGGCCGGCCGAGATACAGAGCCCATATTCTGCTCAGATTAGCACCGGAAGCGCGCGGCCTTGGTCTGTCCGGGATTAACGTGCCTGTCAAAACTCACACAGCTCCACAGAGCTATCTGGCGAGTGTCCAGATCGACTTGAGATAGTTTTGCACAGCCGATGGTGTTGCTGTCGGTATGGAGACCCAGTTCAAAAGCAAGTCTACAGGCTCCACCTTATCCAGGGCCATTAGAATAGATCCAGCAAACTCGAGGCGCTGCTGAGATAATTTACCAGCGTCAAGCCACCCCTTCGTGTCATTCCCCACGACGCAGTATATTTCACTCAGAAGCTGGAGGGCCTGCAGCGTCGTGATTCCCGGCCGATTCAATTCTGTTTCGAGCAGCGACGCGCACTTGCTAACGAGGAAGGGCGGGTCTTCGTTCGTGTCGTCCTCGGCGAGAGCCAATGCTCGGATATCTGGCTGATCGGATATGGCGGCGGCTCGCGTGAGCACACAGCAGACAAGGAGTTTGCTGCAGTACTTCGTCTGACCAGTGTCGAAGTCGTGGAGGAATGCTTTCCACTTGATTAGTGCAATCCCACACTCGATACAGGAGCTTGTGCCCGTGGGACAGCCAAACCTTCTTTGTGGATAATCGGGATCATCTGGTGTTGATATTTCCAATAGAGATCCATGAGATGGGCCTGTAGGTCCAGCGGAAGGATCTCCTGCCACTGATGCCAGCCTCTCGTGTTATTTGGTTCCCGAATGAGGACAGACGATGTTACACTCTCGCTGAGGTGCAGACTAGATGTCGGGCCGAAGAAGCGGAGCCGGCCTACCCGGTCACTGTTCAACTGTTGCTGTCCCCCGCAGAGTCTGACGATCATGTTGTCCGAGCTATTTGAGCCGTCCGAATTGGTAGACGACGGCCCGGGACTTAGCTCCTCGTCTCGGGTCGAAAACCACTCAGCTGTCGTCCCGCTGCAGTATGACCGGTGTGCCTCGAGTTCTTTCTCCAGGGCGATAATCCGCGCGGAAAGGTCTCTTATGGTCTTCCTGGAGTTTCTGAGTTTGCGTTCGTCGATCATAGGCACGATACATTCGACTCCCGTCTTCAAGCATAGGGAACAGTTGTCGGATCCGTCGTTGCTCGGTTGGCACTGCGTCTCGTTGTTAGAAACAGCCGTTTTTCTTATCGTACAAGTTCTGGGTTTCTTCACTGACTCGGACTTTCTTTCGTCGGCAACTGAAGCAGGCCATTTGCGGGGTCCCTTTGCGTCCACATCTGCGGCCGCTCTGTTGAGGGCTTGCCTGATCTCGGACACTAGATCTCGGGTCGTACATCGAGGAAATGGCCAAGTTTGGTGACAGGACGTTCATTTTAGCAGGTCTTCAAACAAAGATCCAGACTTTACATAAAAGTAATAAAATAAAAATGTTATAAAAATGAAAAGGTGTCAGCGTATGGCATGTGAGATAGGTCATGTGTGCCTTCTCTAGCCTCCGCGCCCGCACCCCCCCCCGCCCCCTCAAGCCACCCACCGGAAATGTGGACCCGAAAGCTCGCAAACCTGGCGTAGAAATAATTACCGGTAGTGATAACACTACTGACTAGTGGCCCCCGTTAATTTGTCGCGCTGCAGTAGAGATGATGGCATGGATAGGTGAAACTAGGAAATACTTGGCTCCCGGGCATTGGCAGACACGGACACCAAGCCCGTGGGCACCGACAAACTCTAGATTTTAACTCAGTCAAATCTAATCGCGAGCCTTCCCTGTACCTTCCCCTGATTCATCAGATCTATCATCTCATGGATGTCTTCCAGCTTGCGATAATATGTGACATGCGGCTTGATCCCGTGCTCTTGCGAGAAGTCGATACACTCCCTCAAATTCGCGGGGATCGAGTTGCTGGCCCCCATGATCCTGAACTTGTGCAGTGCTATGTCGATCGTCGTGAACGTCAGAGACTGCTGTGGATGGCCGACAACCATGAGGATGCCATTGACCCGGAGCACCTTGGGAGCTTGGTCGTACGACGGCTTGGAGCTCGTGTAGTTGACGACGGCATGGCACCCTCCCGACGTGAGCTTCTTAATCTGCTGGACATAGTCGCCGTCGGTCCTGGTATTGAACACATGGTCGGCACCACAGGCCATCGCCTCGTCCAGTTGGCTGTCCACAACGTCAAGGCCGATGACTCTATACCCCTTGGCCTTGGCATATTGGATTCCCAAGTGACCTAGTCCACCGCACCCGATAATAGCCACCCATTGTCCCTGCGGTATCCCCAGGTCCGCAATGCCGTGATAGCTCGTGACCCCGGCGCAAAAGAGCGGCGCCGCCTCGATCGCCGACAGCCCCTTCGGCAAGACGATGGCATTCCGGTGGTGCACGGCGATGTACTCCTGGAAGAACCCGTCGGCAGCATGGCCGGGCATCTTGCATCCGCCCAGCGCCGTGCACCACATCTGATGGACCTGACATTCCTCGCAGTCGAAGCAGACGTTTGTGGATGGTAGGAAGCCCACTTCGTCCCCGACCTTGAAACCCTTGCAATCTGGTCCGACCTGGACGACGACGCCGGCGGCTTCGTGGCCAAGCGTGATAGGAGGGGTGTTAGGATCCGTTGGCTTGAGACCGAGCTCGTCGGGCTCGAAGTTCATGAGGTCGGAGCGGCAGAGACTGCTGCATAGCGCCTTGACCAGCAACTCGAATGGTTGTGGCTTCGGGACGGGAATTTCGTTAATGTGTATCTGGTTGTCATGCGCGTGGTACTGCGCCGCCTTCATCGTCCGGGGAATAGCTACGCTGCCCATTGCTTCGGCAAGTTGAGATATCAGCAATATGGGGAAAGAATATAGAGATAAAATAAGCGACTTAGAAGGGCATTTGTTTTGGATAATCAAAGGCCAGAGGCGATCAAAGATATTCTTATCGCGCTCCAATCCGCCATTCATCGGCCGACAAGCGGTTCCACCGAAAGTTCCCATATCCAGACCACGAGCAATGCCGAACGAGAAAACAAGAACAGGGCTCTTTTCTTGATCGCAGTGGCGCTCGGCTAGGTGCCGGGGCCCGATCCGAGCTTCGGAGATCATGGCCCGTAGCGTTGCCAGCTTCCTCGACGTCATACCCGTCCGCCAGCTACTCCGTTTTCATGGCAACAACGAGGTGCGGGGTACCCATACTGACATGCATTTCCGAGATGGCCTTCGCGAATGCCAAGTCCGTGTTCGTCGCGTGCTACTTAGACGCTACGGTGATTGAATACCGGAAACAAGTGGGCCGGCACTATTTAATATCATGACGTCCCTTGGTGCGAGAACATGTGCAATAGCAAAAAAGGAGGTGCAATCTGTTCGAGCAAAATGTCCAACCAAAGGTACCCTACTTTCTTGATGGGATCTCAAATATAATTAGAAGTCGAGGATCCGACAGAGTTCATCCATCTGTTCTAAAAGTTTCTCGGACCACTCTGCAAGATGTCGACGGAAAAGCTTATTCGGATCACAACTCTCATCCCGCGCATGAAGGGAATCTCGGAACAAGAATTCTACAGGCACTGGACGCAAGTACACGCCCCAGTATGCGTTGACTTCATGATGAGACACGGTGTGGCCGAGTACCGTCAGGTGAGTCCAGGCTCTAATTATGCCAGGCACCTAGTCCAGTGTCTATTTAATGAATAGCATCCTGACTCGCCTGCTTAGTACCACACTTCGCCAGAGACGAAGACTCTCGGGGAAGCCATGGCAAAAGCAGCAGGGCGGCCGATGCTTAGCTTCGACGGAATGAGCGATGCCTACGTGAAAGACTTCAAAACGTTTGAGGATGCTTTTAAGGACCCCGAGTACCTTGAGAAAATCCGGCCAGACGAGTTGGCATTCATCGACGTGGAGAATCTGCAGATGACAATCGGCTATGACTACGTCGTTGTGGAAAATGGAAAGATTGTCACGGAACATGCTCGAGGTTTCAAGTAGGGATGGGATGTATGTCGGAGCTGGGGCTGAGCAGACAAAGATGGGCAATTGGACATACTATTTGCACTTGAGGGTTTCGTCACCGGCATCGACATCTCTACGTGAACTCGGCGACAGCAAATGCGGCGTTGATCGTATATTCGAGTGTCTTTGCTTTTGTTTCCAGGAGATTCCGCCGCCTTTTCCCTCTATGCTAAAGACTACCGAGACGTCGGGACCTACACAGGAATAGGAAATGTCCATAAGCACTTTTGGAAGTCTGATAGGCCCTCCGGTAAATGGGGTGTTTGTCCCCAGATATGAGGGTTTTTTCAAGTATCCACGTTTAGCGCAGCCATATGCACAAAGGCTTAGGGACTGTTACTTGGAGCAGCGCTCGACGCAAGTCAAATATAAGTATAAGAATACTATATTTGGCTTACTTGGCTGCCAACCCTACTTATTTGCCAAATATGGAGTATTATTTGATTTAGACTTGACTATTTGATAAGTCTGCTTAAGAAGCGCACTATACCTAATCAGAAAGGGGCGTTTTGAGGCGGGTTGTTGGAAAGTCTAGTACCGAGGTTGTGCCAGGCCAGAATGAGATAGTAGAATGGTGGTGGTAGAATAAGGTGATAGAAAGAATGGCAGTAGTAGAATGAGGTAGAATAAGGTGGTGGTAGAATGAGGTGGTGGCAGTGTAACGCTCGGCCGAGGTGGCTTGGTCCGCCGCATGCAGTGGCTTCAAGTGATTAGCGAGCGCGGCCTTCAATTGGAAGGCCTTGTAATTAGTACGGTCCCGCCCTGCGGGGTTGGAAGGTTCAGCTGGCCTGGTCGACTGGTCCTACAGGGTCCCCGCGGGGGCCCCGCGAAGGGACAGCAGGGCAGCCCCTGAGTTAAAGACTACGATGGACCTGCCCGAAGGTTTACGAGGGCAGGCTTCAATAGACGTTCCGACTGAGAAGCTACTCGAGACAGTTTGCTACCCATTTCCTTAGCAATACTGTCGCGACCGCCTCTCTCTGTCGGAACCCGTGCCAATTAGCCACCTCGTATAAGTCAGTCGCACTGATCACCCCCGTGCCTCCATCCCGCTGCCGACCCGGGTTCTACAACCTGTTACAAGTAGAATGGTAGAACGGAAATGACAGGACAGACTAAAAGGCTAGAAAAACCAGTATTTTACCATGTAGAATTGCTAGTAAAATAGGTAGGGGCTGACATATTAGGTAGGGTAGGCTTACCATATACGGTGTCTAAAAAGATATTTTATTGAAGAATAAACCCTGTATCAGCCACAAAACAAGCCTCGTACTTAAAACTCGAATAAGCAAGTGCCTCAACTTAATTTGGCTTATTTGGTAATTTGGACTTGGCTATTTGCTTATGTAGAGCGCTGACTTGGAGGACACAGAAACAGTGATCCAGCCAACGCTCATCCCCGCAGCCAGTCGCACTTCGTCCAAAACCTCCTTCTTTCCATGGTCACACAAGGCTCCCAGCCACATCCGCATTTGTGCGTCGCAGCACCAAGCCTTGCAAGTTTCTCAGGTGTTTCGGTCTGATATTGGGCCGTCTGACTGCAGGATGCTTGGATAGTTGCCTCATGTCACACCAGGGGCGCAAAAGTGCACTTTTGACCCCCGCAAATATTTAAATGCCGATCGAGACGAGAACCTGGGTCAGAATGAATCCTGCTGTGCTGCTTTGACCCACAGGAACAAGATCGACTCAGACCAACCTCGCTATGAAGTCCACATCCATCAAGTCGTCCGTCCCCGTCCTCTTTACGTTCCTGCAGCTGGCTTCCTCAAACTTCATTGCCCCTTGGGCTCGTGGTCCTGGACCCTTATTCGAAAGTCTACAAGGCCGCAACGGTGTCACGTTAGGACGCTTGTCCAACTCCGCGGCAGCACGAGGTCTCCATGTCGACATCTCGAGCCGCCAGGAGGAGGAGTGTATAGACCCCGGCTACCGTAACCTTCTCATGGCTGCCGTAAAAGATGTGCCAAGAAACTAATCGCGGCCCGCAGTTCCCTGCCCTAATATCCCCGACTCATGCTGTCCCGCTGGATACAACTGCTTCTCCGAAGGTTGTTGCGTTGGGACTCCCGCAGGGTTTGAGCCATGTCCAGACAGCCAATGGTGCTACAGACCTGGTTTGGATATATGTTGTCCCAACGGATCATGCCTGACGGACTACACCTGCTGTGACAATCAATGCTGCAAATCAATCGCCTACTGCGGCTCCGACGGCTGGTGCTCTGCGTGCCCTCCAGTGACGAGGACCGAGGTGATCACGACGATATCCACCACGCTCCAAGTGGTCCAAGTGACGGTCACGAAGCTGGAGGAGCCCGAAGAGGCAAGCGACTTCAGCTGCATCCCCGTGACGGTGACCAACAGCGATAACGCGATCTGGGCGCTCGACGCGGACTGCGCTCTCTCGTATAGTCCCCCCACCACCACTTCCACCAGCAGTGAGGCTGGAGCTGACGCGGCAGTCGTTCGCAACCCCATTCTGCGGGAAAGACAGTTCTCCTGCACACCCTTCGCCACGGAGACCGAATTCGTGACTTTGACGAGCATCTCCACCTTGAAGTCGACTGTGATGCGGACCGTTTCCACTACGTTATCTGAATCGGAATTCTCATGCCCTACCATGGCTTTTACGAATGCTGGTGGCGTGCTTTCGCTAGATGCGTCTTGCGGGCTGGCGTTCTCACTAGCTTTGCCGAGCTCCAGCTCCGCCATAGCTGGAAGCAATAGTCCCGGAAGTAGTGGTGGTGGTCTGAAGTTGGCTGGGGGGACCATACAAGTCTGCGCTGTGCAAGGATGGCAGGTATTCATTGTGAGCCTTGTGGGATTTTTAATATTGTAGTGTCATCTCATTTTGAGAGAATGCGGTGGTAATACGAGTATCTAATTACTTGAATTGGGTTTTATGGAGCTGGATGCACTCAAGGTGTGATAGCGCCAAGTTGATAGTATTTGAGGCAGGTTTTGGATCATGCTTGGCTGGCTTAGGTTTTCCCTGGTAATTAGAAATAAGAGAGTAATCATCTCCTGAATAATATTTCCTTGACTAATTAAAGCCTATAAAAGGCTTAGTGTTTGGGATATCTAGCGACTAAAAAGGGTAAAAGACAGTTAAATTAAGGGAAAGAGATAAGTAAAAGCTAAAACTAGCCATCTTCTTCGTTAAGCTTCAAGCACTTCCAGCAGCCAAGGCTTCCGTCCTGGACTTGCTGTTTGGATCGAGGTATGGTCTCTCACCAATACCAACAACCCGGTGGCCAAACCGGTCTCCAAGCCCATCATAATCAAACGTCGCCGTGTGGAAGGCGCTCCGGTTGTCCCAAATTGCTGTTTAGCACACACATAAGTTACTAGGTAAAATCCGCGTCTCAAAACCCGGGCGAGACTTACCGATATCGTTCTCATTCCTCCACTTGAACCTGACCTGGAGATCGTGGTTCTCGGTGATAACAGAACGGAACTTGTTCAACAGCTCCTCCGACTCGGTCGAGTTCAGCTCGTTAATGTACTTGGGGAACGGACCAAGGGCGAAGATACTCTTCCAGCCGGTCACCGGGTTCGTCCGCACGACCGGGTGGACCGCCTTGAGCTCCTTGCCGACGTTTAAGGGGCTGCCCCTCGGCTCTTCGTAAAGTTTCACCTTAGAGGGGTTCCGCTCGGCCGCCTTGATGAAGCCGTCACCGATGAAGGTGGCCGTTAGACCCTCGAAGAACTCCTGGTACTTCTTGGAGAAGCGGTCGTAGATTTCGTAGCCCGAGGCCCACAGAGTGTCGCCGCCGGAGCTGGGCAGCTGGGTCAGACGCAGCGAGGTGTAGTCAGCCGGGACTGGCTCGAACTGGATGTCTGAGTGCCACTGCGCGGCATCGTAGCGGCGCTGGTCTGACTGGCGGTCCTGGCTGAATAGCTTCTTGCGGGCGAGCGAGCTGATGGTGCTGACCTGAGCGTCGGCGACGCCAAACTCATGGGTGTTGTTGAGAATTGGGTGGATATGCAGCGTTGAGCTGGCCGGTTTATCGCTCAGCTGGCCGAGCCGCTGAATGAACTGCTTCTGCAGGTCGTCGGTGAGGTTGTCCTGGGCACGGAAGAACACGACGCCGCGTTGCGAGACTGGACCGGGACGAGGGCATGTTAGAAACACGTTTGGTTGAAGGAGTAGAACAGGGCTGCGGAACGTCAGGCAATACTTGTTATGGCAAGGTCTCGGAGCAGCTCGTCAGAGTTGGATGCATTGAGCAAGTCGTCAACAATGTTGACGTTGGGGAACTCGCGGCCGATGACCGGCGTTGTCTCCTCGAATATGAACTGCTCCAGTGCGCCGCTCGGAGTCAGTGGCGCTGGGTACGTGGGCTGCTGAGTGCTCTGCTTCTCATTTTTGGATGGGAGGGAATGGACTGGGATGTCCGAGGTGACTCCAGGGGCCATGATGAAAATATTGCAGTCAATATGCACTTGATGTGATTTGAGAGGATGCTTTGCCAAGTTACCCCAGGTGGACTGACGACAGGAATCCGGCGAATATATACTCTGACATGAGGGATTGAGATTGGGAAGGAATACCGACTTCCGATGCAGAAGGGAGGGTTGACGCATCACGCAATCTCAACTAAATACACGCGACTCTTGCAAAACCAGTAGCTCAACTCCATGTGCCTCGGACGCAGCAGGGAATGGCGTGCTATTATAAACTAATAATTGCATTAAGCGTTATAAGACAATAACCATCTTCCTCTGAGGCAAGAGAGAAGACGGAGCATAATTACCGGCTATGTCTACGACCTCTCATCAGTCCACAACCCTTCGCGGCTGTGAATAGTCGTGCTATCCCGCATGATTTTGTCATGTGGCAGTTGCCTCATGGAGCCAGATCTTCACGAAGCTTAGACGTGTTCTGCTCATCTGCTGTTCCAGGTATTTATATTGGTTGCCGGCAGCGTCACTTAAAAGACGTCGAATGGATCAAGATGAGTGCAAGTCTTGGCTGAGTCATCAGTCTCCGAGTCGTACATTTAAGTGCAGACGGTAGGATATCAGTACACCAGGCAGGCGCAATTATTTGGCCGCTTCGGCACCGATTGCCCATTTGACTGCAAGCCACTTTCAAAAATTGTGGTGATCGCCGTGATCGGTGCCGAGACCCTCCGAATCATAACGGCCAAATTTCAAAGCCAAATATCAGACATCAACTGCCATTAATCATCAGTCACTTAGTTAGTGAGTCAATTCAATACCATCAGTTCACCATGTCTTGTCCCGATTGCTTCAGCGGCGCTGTACACGAGGGAATTCCTCGAGGCAAGGTCATCAAGTTCCATGACCTCAACACATACATCACCGAGCCTGCTGATGGACGCGAGGTGAAGAACATCATCGTCATCATCCCCGACGCGTTTGGATGGGAATTCGTGAACAATAGGATTCTAGCAGACCACTACGCCGACAAGGGGCATTACAGAGTCTACCTGCCAGACTTCATGCTGGGTAAACTCCATCAACTCTTCCCCAACAAATCTCACGTCGCGGTAATTGGTTCCTAACACTAAGTTCTCCAGGCCACGCTTCTCCCCTTTGGATGATTGGCACCATGAGGACTCTCATGAACCCCGGAAATGTCTTCAAGAAGCTGTGAGCGCTCCGTTTTTGTGATCGCCCATGTACGGACTCCCTGCTCACAGATTCAGGTACGCGGTTCCCATAGCAATATACGGCATCGCCCCCTTCCTTTTCTTCAACCGCCAAGCCCGGTCGTACCCCATTGTCAAGAAGTTCTTCGCAGCCCTGCGCAAGAACGAGGGTGCCAACCTCTCCGTCGGCGCAGCTGGATTTTGCTGGGGCGGCAAGCTCACGGTCTTGCTTGCAGCTGACGCAGACCTGGTCGACGGCAAGCCACTGATCGACGCAGGTTTCACGGGCCATCCAAGTAGGCTGGACATCCCTGCTGAAATTGAGGCGATTAAAAAGCCCGTGTCGTTCGCCTGCGCCGAGAATGACTCGCAGCTGCCGAAGGAGCAGGCCGACAAGATCGCCGCCATTGTCGAGGCTAAGGGTGAGGGCGAGAAGGGCGAGGTGGTATGGTACGCGGGTTGCGGCCATGGGTTCTGCGTGAGGGCGGACTCGGGGTTCGAGGACGTGGCTAAGCAGGCGGCCGAAGCCGAGGACCAGTGTATCCGTTGGTTTGATTCTCACTTTATACAATGAGGTTGTGGTAGGACTCCCAAACTATGATGACGTGGTAATCTTCCAGGCGTGCTGCTGGTGAAGACCACGAGCCGAGGATCAGGCTCACAAGAGAGCAGACAATGGGTCTCTTCACCAGCGCGGATTGACAGAAGTATTGAAGTTCAAGGATCTAGTTCAAGGTCCGGCACGATATACCCAACGCAGGCAGATACAAAAAACAGGGACAAATGATAGATGCGTTCGCCTTACAAATCGGAGGCTAACAGGCAAGTGTGACGCTGTCCGGAGAGAACAGTATAGTTAAAAACCAACCCGCTTGTCCTTGAGATAGTTGGTAGGGAAGCTGGGGGCATGGCGAGAACAGGCTTCGGCACCCTAGCCCGATCCCATCTGAACAAATTGCCTCACTGTTTGCATATAAACTAGATATGCAGTTAATACAACCATCTTCACTGCACGTACTGACACAATCCGGGCGCCACCAATCGTCAATCCCGGCCCTCTCAGTCCAGCTTCTCTACCAGCCCGGTTTCTGCACCCCGGCGCGATTAAAAAAAAAAAAAAAAAAACTAGGAAATTCACCGCAACAGGGGCTAGTGGAACTACACGGGGAAATTATTTTGTAGATCTCACAATCCGCTACCCCCCCTAATCCCCTAATCTGGTCCAGGTACAAGTACTATCATGACGGAGGGCCTGGTGATTACGAAATCCATAGTGTCGAGGTGCTTCACATGCGGCTTTTGAATGATGTTTACCCACGATCTGCATGACTCGGGACCACTGGGGAGACGGGGGCGGAATTTCCGAACTGTGGAGCACAGAGGGCGGAGGGAGGGAGATGCAATCATACAACCATTCCGGCAGCGGCAACGGAAGGCGGAAGCTTGGGCTCCGAATTTGAGCCCATAAATACCTTAACCTTTCCCTTTTCCCGAACTTCGCTTTCTTGCCCGTCATATCCTTACCTACTACTAGTAACTTCGGGAATCCATCCGCAACCATGTTCCGCCAAACCGCCCTTCTCGCTCTGGCTGCCCTCCTCCCCTTCTCCCTTGCCCAAGTCTCCGACGACTTCGAAAGCGGATGGGACCAAACCGCATGGCCCACCTACGCGCCCGACTGCAACCAGGGCGGCACAGTCACCCTTGACAGCTCCACCGCCCACAGCGGCAAGAACTCCATCAGGGTTGATGGTGCGGGTGGCTACTGTGGACACGTTTTCTTCGGCACGACGAAAGTCCCCAGCGGTAATGTCTACGTCAGGGCTTACGTGTAAGTTTCCGCGGTGGCAGACTTGGAGCGCCGGAGGGGGTGAAGCGATTTCAGGGGTTGAAAGGCAATGCTGACATCCATCCTCTTCCAGCAAAGCCTCCAAGGCCCTCACCGACTCCCACGTCTCCTTCATCACTATGCCTGACTCGGCCCAAGGCAGCGGCAAACACCTCCGCATTGGTGGCCAGAGCAAAATCCTGATGTACAACCGCGAGTCTGACGATGCCACCCTTCCCGACCTCTCCCCGCAAGGTATTGCCGCCTCCACCGCCCTTCCCACTGGCTCCTGGCAATGCTTCGAATACCACCTGGGCGCCGACGGCACCATTGAGACTTGGTTGAACGGCAATGTTATTGATGGTCTTACCAGCAAGGCCGGTGTCGCCAACCCCAACGCCGCCCAGTGGCAGAGGAGCTCCTCCTCGCCCAAAATCACCGCTGTCTACTTCGGTTGGGAGTCGTACGGTGGGGACGCCAACACCTTCTGGTACGACGACATCGTCATTGGCACGAGCCGTGTTGGATGCTCTGAATCTCCTGCCGCTTAGTTAAACCACTCAACAACCAACCCGCACCACCACTGGCACCGCCCTTCTCCCTCTCGTTAGGATAAGCAATCTGTCATGGACGGTGTTCCATCTTCCTTCTAGATGACAGACCAGTTAAGCTTTGGATGCTAAAACCCGAGCATAGTACATGAACTTTGTCAGAGCCTTGCATATTACCAGAGGTGTACCTTAGCCACATATTAGCCTAAATATTTGAACATATATCCAAACAAATTCCCCGGAGGCTCATGCAGCGTTTGCCAGATCTAGACTATCCGAAACCCGGATAACCCCGGCCGCCAAGACATTTGGTATGACCGAATGAAGCATGCCCCTTATATTACCATCTAATTGATAACCTGGCTCAGCGAGGCAACTCTATAGTGATAATGCAACCAGACATTTGACAACAAATTGGGCCGGCCTGTTTACTATTGCGCGGCCCCACACAGCTAGACTCATTCTTGAAGAACGGGAGTTTGGCAGTTTGACTATCCCAGATGACGGTATCGACCATAATTATCACGGACGCTGATAATTAACGACTCGTACAATACCCTTGCCCAGAGCTCTTAGCGCAGCCGAAGCACCAGGCTCATTTCATTGCTGACTTGGAAACCCGGACGCGGAACACGCATGCAACTCTTTATGAGATCGGTAAGTACATAGTGTTGCTCCGTTAAACACAGGCGATGATTGTCGTTCCGGCGCAGGACATGCTTGAAATTGGCTGTCGGATGTAGAACGCGCTTGCAATTGGCTGTTCGGCCCAGGTTGTCCTTTGAGCTTGATTAGGCTTAATCGTCGTACTCACGGCTATAAATGGTTTGAAATTTATCGATTGAGCGGAGGCGGCACGCGCTGTTGAGTTTCGGGGGCCTGTGGTCTGTGCGTAACAGGTGTCGGAACTTGCCAGCAGGTGGCAGGACCCTGCAACAGCCCGTTCCGTCGCCGCTGCCGTTGTCGCGTCGCCGTCGCCGTCGCCGTCGCCGTTGCCGTTGGTTTCTGTTATATTGCCGTTGCCGTTGTCGTTTCTGTCATGTTGCCATCGCCGAAGCTGTCTCCATTTCCGTCTCTATTTCTGTTGCTTGTACTGGCAATGAGCAAGACTCAGGGAATGGCGCCATCTCAGACAACCGCAGCCTGAACCAAGCGATTCCTAGCATTTCCAATGATTTCAAGTAGACCTATAATTAATCATTCCGCGCCTTCATTGATCAGTGCGAATGTCCTTTGACAACCACGAGGACCATTTCCAGCCGGATTAATCGCCGCCGATGGCAAACCCCGGGACTGCAACAGTCTGCTGCCGGAAATGCCTAGAGTGGTATCGATTAGTACTTGGTCAGTGCAGACGCCTTCTTGGATGTCGCCATATCTCCAGGATCGCCGCGTGACGCCCCTCCTAGACATCACCCGCTGTGGCTACGCACAGAATGCGGCGTTGCTTATCGATTGCGGAGCCCGCACGGCGGAGGCGACGTGCAGATTCAGGATAGGACTTCGCCAGTGGTAGGTCCCGGTTGGCTGCAAAGCTGCTGTTGGTTGTGACTTGCATGATGTTCCTGCAAGGATTGCAGCCTTCCCTTTCTCTTATTCGATTTCCTTAAGCCAAGACCTTGCTCTCGCACCACCCTCGGCGAGACAGGCCCCCCCAGCTGAAATACTCTTCCTCTACTTCCCCCTCACCCTGCCCCTCTCAATCTCCTAATATCTGGGTTCCAAGACCTTAAGCACCATTGATTTTGTTCACAACGCAAATACGATGGCTTACGTCTACCAAACGATAAATCTCATAGCATTCAGAGACGGGTCTGAGGTGGTCACCCCTACCCGTAAGGACATTCTCAAGAACTCGGATGTGTTCCATGGCTGGATCGAAAGCCCCGATACAGCGCCTGAAGGTATCGAGATCATCAACTGGCGCTTTAGGGCAGTCGACCCTGAAGTTATACGCGCCTTGGTGCGCCACCTTGAAAACCCCAATGCGCCTATCTATTTCGACATGCCACAAGAGCGCTATCCAGCCCTGCTAATAGGGCTCTATAAGCTTGCCTTATCGGCCGCGTATGTCACAGCCCTTTCCCTTACCTATTCTGAATCCTAGTGATGCAAATAATTAAAAAGCTTTGGTAGCTAATCTGCTACTCTGGATATTCAAGATTCAACGCTTAACTGACCAAGCCTTCGTGATGCTGACAAGGTCGGGACAAGGTATAAACGCCTTTCTTGAGATTATTGTGCTAGCAGAGCGAGCCAAGCTTCTAGGGAACTAGCGGTTTCGGAGCTGGGCTGTGTCATACTTTGCGCGGATCAGGGATAACTTCCAATCAGTGGAAAACGTTGTATTAAGGCAGGGCGTGGTCAAAGGCGGAGAAGACGTCTGGTTCCTCTGCTCGGCGCTTGTGTCGAGTGTGGCAGATCTGGCTGCAGAACACGGGTACTCGGGGGGCCAAGGTAGTGGGTTGTTGACGCCAGAGGCGTCGCCGAACAAGGCCGATGATCGCCTTGCTCTAGCCGTGGACTAGTGACTCTATGTTGCGTTATAGATGAGAGGGGATTCCTTGCTTTATGTTGCCTCTCTCAAACATTTTATAGCGGACCATCACGCCCGAGTCAGAGTAGGGGTCCATGATCCACCAACCAGTTCTTGGAAAGAATGGTGCAGAGATCTAGGTAGAATGGGTGCTACACAGACATAGTTTGTCCATGGATTCTCTTGTGTGGCCATGGAATGAAGGAGGCATTACAGTGTGGGAGACAACAGCTATCCCAGTGAACTTCGTTCCAATGCAAGTGTTCTGTAATTAATACGCTCCCGTGAACAGCCATGTCGCCCGGCTAGCGTGATAATTCCTCCTCGTGACTCCGAGGATGCTAGGAGGGCAAGGCTCCATATCGATGTGAACGCCATCGACTACGACAGCGAGACGCCAACCTCCTCCCAAATCCCTGCTGTTTACTGGGAATACCATGACGACACCATGTGTGAGTCTCGGGAAAACGCCCACGCATCCAAGTCTCCCTGTGCTGTTCCCGATGGCCACAGAGCCTCGGTATTGAGAGCATCTGCAGTGCCAGTGTCTTGAAAGTCAAAGGTTCCGGGCAAAAATGGAGCGAAGAGCTGTGAGCTTAGGAAATCGGCGTCTGCGCCGATAAGCTCTGGCATAAGACTGCTTTCGGTGGGCAATAATTCGTTAGCGTTGAGTGACACAGTAGGCTGATTATCGTGCAGCTCCCTATCAGGATCTGAAAGGGACTCCGTCGGGTTATCTGTAAGGCGTGTAATGGTGTTATCGGAGCTTTCGCGTGCGTTTTGGGATGGCTGGTCATCTCTCCTCGCTCCCTTTAGGCCTGACGTTCTTTCAGCTTCCGTCGTTTCTTTATGCCGCAACCATAGCTTTCTGAGCATCCTGCTGTAGCGGCGACCAACATGCGAGTCACTGGGAGAAGCTTTTTCCAGTACCCTTGCGAACCTGAGTACCAACTCCGCAGTTTCTTGTTGCTGCGCTTCAGCTGTATCGGCCCCAGCCAGCTCGACTTTGTATAGAAAGACGGCCGCGTAGACGGCATATCTGGTGGTACTGTCAGAAAATCATGTGCCATAATCGGCTTTGGGCATGGGCTGAGAACGTACAAATAATATCTCGAGGGCAGATACCGAAGCTCCTTGCTTGGATGCATCTCGACCATAATACGCAGGATTTTCAGAGCTGCGGTTAGAGCATCAAAGACATAGCGACCATCGGGTGATGACATGATACCACCGGAGAACGGGGCGGGGTGTGGCTTTTTCCCGGTGATCATCTCACCCCGAGCTCGGGTGCGTTGTCGGGAGGATTCCCTGGTGAGCACCGCCTGGAAGGAGAAGGCATTCACATAGAGAGATAAATACTCATACATCAGCGATAGAGTATTCTTGATCCGAGGAGCCACTTCGAGGTTGTCCCAGGCCAGCTGCCACACCGTGGCAGCCTTCTGAAAGTCGTCAAGGTATCGGTTGTAGTCTCCTGCCAAGACCAAGGCTAGGGTTCTAGACCGGGAGGAGTAGAGTATGTCGTGAGCGTTGTGCATTATCTGCGTCAATTCCACAGTTGCTTGTAGAACAGACGCATAATCCTCTCCCTCTTTCGTAGGCTGAAGCGTAGAAAAGTCCCTCGCCGTAAACTTCGTTGACAGTGATGGGCCGCGGGACCAAAACGACTGGCCAAGGCGAACCGAGATCTGTCGATCGGCAAGGAAGACATCTGGAAAAAGTGAGCTACGTACAGACAATGCCTATCCTGTGGCTGGGTTGGGTCTTACATGTCCACACAAGGCGTCTGTCGTCTATCTGTTCCTTTGTTTGCGTCCTGGTTGGTCTCGAAATGCGCCTCGATCTAAGCCCAGCAAGTATCCAAGCCTCACCGCTTGGCCAATGAGAGACCATGCCGTACGATCCTCGCTGAAAGGGTTGTTTGACGCTTCCAGAGTTGCTGTTGCGTGGGTCTGGATCTGAGGCAGCCATTCCGACAAGAGTAAGAGCCCCTTTACTGTGCGTGGGTTCTGGGTCCAGGGATATGCCAGGAGCACCTCGAGCAGCAGCTTTTGAGTGTGGTCCCAGCAATAGCGGTGAGTCAGAGCGTAGTCCGGGTGATCTCTGGATGCAATGGTGAACATCACGGTTAGAATGAAGAAGTCGGTCTCTCGAATATTTTCCATTGCCGAAGAGCCAATTAGGTATGCCGGAGCGATAGGACAGTATGGATGATATTCGTGTGAATATCTGGCGCCGCATCAGTAAGAGCGAATCATGAATGCTTCTATTTTCTTCAGCTTACATGTGTAGAAGCTCAGGCAGCATCCAACGAGGTAGCAATCCTCGAGTGATCAGCTCGAACTTGTCTAGAACCACAGCGGGGCGTTCACCGAATTGCGAGGTGCTCGCTTCTCCCGCTTCTGCCGCGTCACCGGAGTTTGCGGTCGGTGGCCTCGCGGCCATGTCATCCTTTTTGTAAGGGGTATCGTCGGATTGAGCCAGGATATGTAGCGCGTCTGAGGGGTTTCTCAGCTCAGTTCCGAGCTCTTCGTACCTTGCGCTTTCCTCGTTGTTGTTGCCGTTGTCGGCATGGTCGTCGCCAGCGGCTGCATGCTCCTGTTCCGAATTTGCTGAAATGTTGCGACACCGATGCCGGGATGTTTCTCTTTCAGGGGAAACAGCCTCTGCTCGAGCTACCGAGTTGGAGGATCCGGGCGTATTTGCACTTTGGAGAAGGCGTAAATTCCCTCCACGACGAGAGGCTCCCAAGATACATTGGTTCCCAGAGCGATAACACTCCAAACAAGGAGGCACCTGTGGTTCTCCGATGCGGTTCCTGTGTGTAATTACTCAGCAATTGGTCACGAAAGCGCTGGTCCGCAATTGGTGTTTGGTCTTACAGATCGCACCGCGTCTTTCGGCTGCGACATCTCTGGCATGCACGGTAAATTCGCTTTCCTGTGCTTTTTGTCATTGCTTTGGCCGTGCCAGCTAGGCGATTGAATATGGTATGACAGGAGAGGAGAGGACATTAGATGAGAGGATAGTAGGGAGACAAGATGGAGATAAACTCTTTGAAGTTCTCCACTTTGCACAAGCTCGCCACTTCGGCTACAGACGGATCTTTCCCCGAAACAGCCACGCCGTTATTTGTCTAATAAGCTAGCGGAGCAACTAGTTCAGAATATCAAGACTAATGTTTTTAATAGTCATCAAATGATGGGTGTCTATCCATTGTGCTTGCTCAAATAGGATTAACAGACTGTCTTGTTGGACGTACGTGAAGCTAGATGCGACCAATTTTGTCAAAGTCTCTTCATGCCATGCCCCGATCTAACAAGCCCCTATATACCATGGTACGCTCCCTTACGTCGTAAGCCCAAACCCAAACCCCATGGGGTCAATGACCAATAAAGTAATTAAGGCAGACCCTGTCGGACATCCGAGCGCTCATTCAGTCCCCAGGCATAGCTGCTGTCGTCGTGCACAGTTGCGCGCCTCATGTCTCTCCTGTACCTCTGAAGAAACGGGCCTCCCAGCGCGCGGTGCATCGTGCACGTATTATCCCAGATCACAAGGTCTCCAGGCTGCTCCCACTCAACTTCGACGACGTACTTGTCCTGCTGTGCGTGGGTATAGAGCTTGTCGAAAAGCGCTTTCGACTCATCTGGCTCAAGGCCTTCAATATGGTGCACATGCGCGGCGAGGTACAAGTTCATCCTGCCAGACCTCTCATGGCGCTGAACCAGTCGGTGTCGGCCCATGGGATATTTTGTGGGATCGACATTGGCGAAGAACTCAGGGGCGGCCAGTTTCCGAGAGTGATGCATGGAGTGACAAGCGACGTAGTCGCGCTTCAGGAGTTCTTCCTTCAAAGCCTCTGGCAGATCATCAAACGCGGTCCTGGTATCTGCGAAAGCCGTTCCACCTCCATTTCCGGCCGGTGGTAGCTCATGTGCAAGCAAGAGAGAATAGCCAGCTCGACGAGGATTGAAGCTTGAATCCACGTGGAAAAGGTTGTTTCCCTAGAACGTTCGTCAACGACCCATTATCGCCGGAGGATTGGTGGTCTTCGGTGGTCTTCTCATCTTACCTTGTTTGCCTGACCACGGGGGCTGAACGGATCGACGAGAGATCCATCCATCTCCACATTGCTCACGTCAAAAAGCTCATCGTATTTGAGTCGGTTCTTCCGCCCTGCAGCAAGATAGGGTTTGATGTCGTCGAGCTCGCCGAAGCGGCGAGCAAGGTCGATGTGCCCTTCGTCACTCAATTTGGTATCGCGTATCACTATCACGCCATACTATCACAAGGCCTGTTAGTGAAGGCAAATAAGAGCCACCTGAAGTGAAAGTTGCTTACTTTCGTGACAGCGTCCTGGATATCCTGGAACTGCTTGTCTGTGACACCGCCCGAAAAGTCCACACCACGAATCTCGGCCCCAAAACTGCGACGAAGTTTAGGCAAGAGAGGACCAGTCTGGCTGGGAAGGGGCTGGGCAATAATGGCGGCCATTGCTATATTTAATCACTTATCGGTCGGGTTTTGGTCTGAAGGGTTCTGGTTTGAGGGTTGGATACAGGATGATGAGACTGAACCTTCCAATTGCAAAATCCAGGGCAACGCATTGTTACTTATAGGCCATCAAAGGGTTGGCAAGGCATTGCTCCCTTTCCGATTCTTCAACGAAACCAGCAGAATGGCGAATGGTAGAAAGCTGAGTCCTCCAATAGCGGGGTACCGGGAAGCGGAGCCCGCCCATAACCGTTTATCGGAAGTGGGGCCCGTCCATAGCCGATCATTTAAGCGGAGCCCGTCCGGAGCCAACATATCCGTCATCGGAGCCGACGCTTAGATACTGCCGCCCACCCACCATTGAATTGTTATTTTGTATCAAGTCAACCCCCCGACTTGTTCCACCGAGGAGCTCTACTGGGGAGGAAGACGCCAACGTTTCATTATGTAATTATGACGCCAATTATCTCCGGCATTCGTGCCAGGCCGGGGCTCTTTTGACATCGCGTGTCGAAACTCCGCTTATACATGGATGGCATCAGCCGCGGTAATGCTGAGATGTACCGTCACTAAGGTCTCCGATTGCTGGCACGTTCTTAGGTATGCCCATCCCTAAATATACAGCGAAGCCCCTGCTCAAAAACACTAAGATACTTTGGCTATCGAGGGCACTAGACTACGTCGAAGAAGAAAAAAACACGCCAGAACATCCCAATGTATGGTCATGACTCTGACCTAAGAACCACTAATTAAGACCCCAGATTGCTGGCACCCCCTTGGGTATGTCCCCCTTGCTTTGTGTTAACAGACCAAATGTGCCATCATGCCATCATGGCGCAAGCCCCATCGCGGAACAGGCGTGGCGTAGTAATTATACTACGCTACCGTATTCCTGTGGCAGGCGCCTTTTGCGACCAGATCACTATGCTCTACGGATCCGTATTCCGTCTCACTGCGCGTTGGCGGCGGAAACTCGTATATCCGACATGTTTTAGGTATGATCGAGGCACATTAATATAATTCCCACTATGATTTGGTTGGATGAATACTAATTTATAAATGCCATGCCTCAAATGGCAGGTCACATTGAATTGGCCAGCAAACTGTGAAGAGTCCACCGCATGTCGTCATGCAGTGTAGACTTGACCTTCCTAGTTCAGCTTATTTCCGGTAGTTGTAGCAACCAGCCGTGCAGTGATCGCCGTCGATCATTTTGAACACATTCCAGCGAAGCCAAGCCAACCTTGTGTTCTCATTATGCGATTTCACCCCGCGCCGCCCTTTTTGTTGTCACCTCCATCGCGAGTCGGTCGGTCAAAATGCGGTTGACTCACCTTTTCGCGTCCATCCTCTGTTGCACCTCTGCGGCGAAAGCTGCAGTTGACAGCCCTCGGCTCCAATGGCGGCCTCCCAAGAATCAGCAACAGAAGGCGAATGCGCCCCTCCCAATTGCCAAACGGCAGTCGGAAAACGCGACCTTTTTAAACTCGAATAGCTCAAGTACGTGGCTCGGATTGTGCTTCTCATGCGTCTCTCGTGAATACGTGCTGTTGTCTTGATTAATTCTTGACTCACCATCGGCATCAGAATTCGTTGTGAACGGGACTGCCATTCCGGACGTCGACTTCGACATTGGCGAATCCTATGCAGGGTTGCTGCCAATTGGCGGGGACAGCGATGGGGAGTTGTACTTCTGGTTCTTCCCATCGACCTCCAATAAGGCGGAGAAGGAGATCCTCCTTTGGCTGAACGGTGGCGTAAGTTTGTGAATGTCGCATTTCCATTCGACTAATCAAGCAACTCGCCACGCTGACCGCAAGCTTTAGCCAGGATGCTCATCGCTTGACGGCCTGCTGAAGGAACACGGTCCTTTCACATGGGGGACCGGCACATATGCGCCGATCCAGAATCCATGGAGCTGGCATCACCTCACCAACATTGTCTATGTAGAGCAGCCAGTCGGCACCGGTTTCTCTAAGGGCACGGTCACTGCCAAGAACGAAGACGACGTGGCAGAGCAGTTCATGGGATTTTGGAAGAATTTCATCGACACCTTCAGCTTGCAGGGCTACAAGGTGTACATAGCGGGCGAGTCGTATGCGTACGTTGGGATTCCCTTCCCACACCCATGAAGGCAGCATGTCTCACTGACGAGAAAACAAAGAGGGATGTACTGCCCGTACATTGCCAGCCACATGTTGGATGCAAACGATACTGCCTACTTTGATGTCAAGGGAATGCTGATTTACGACCCGGTGATCGAGGACGGCGTCCTTCAGGAGGCCCCGACACGATACTTTGTCGACTACTGGGCCAATGTCTTCCCTCTCAATGACACCACAAAGGCTCAGATTGCAAACCGGTCTGAAGCATGCGGTTACGATTCTTTTACCGACAAGTACTTGACTTTCCCGCCGCCTGGACCCCAGCCAGTCGCAGCCGACCTTCCCGGCATGAACGGGACGCGGATCCGCCACGACTGCGTCATGTTCGACCTCGTTGCAGACGCCATCCTCGAGATCAATCCGGGCTGGAACTTGTATCAAGTGGCCCAGCTACTGCCGGTTCCCGACGACGTGCTCGGGTTCCCCTACTCGGACTTCTACGTCGCTCCGGGCCGAGAAATCTACTTTAACCGCACGGACGTCAAGAAGGCGATCAACGCACCACTCGACGTCGACTGGCAGATTTGCGCCGAGGAAAGTGTCTTCGACAGCGATCACGATGGCTCAGACCCGTCCAGCTACGCCGCCATCCCCAACGTCGTCGACAGGACCAAAAACGTGCAGATCGCCCACGGAAGCATGGACTTCGTTCTCCTCGCCAACTCCACGCTGCTCGCTATCCAGAACATGACCTGGGGTGGCAAGCAGGGATTCCAGTCCTTGCCGCAGAGCCCGCTGTTTGTACCCCACCACGACAACCCGTCGGTTGCGGGAACTTCTGGACAGGGCGTGCTAGGAACGTGGCACGAGGAGAGGGGCCTGACCTGGGCACTAGTCGAGCTGACCGGCCACATGGTTCCGATGTGGCAGGCTGCCCTGGCCTTCAGGCAGGTTGAGGTGCTCCTGGGTCGTGTTGACGCCCTGAATAGCACGACACCCTTCCCCATGTACGCCAATGCCAGCCAACCGGCCGCCGATGAGCTTGGATCTGGCACGGGATCGCCTATCCAGTGGAATGGCAAGTCCGGTCCTGGCGCCAGTGGCTGCAGTTCTGGTGGGAGCTCCACGACGACGGGGCAGTCTTCAACCGCGTCTTGTAAGTTTCCCAGCGTGAACATTGCCCGTTGGTCCCTTCTTGTTTAAAACTCATACTGCACCGTTAGGAACCCAGTTAACTTGGTAATCGTAGCATCGGCAACCTCCTTGGACGGAAGAAGTGTTGCTAAATCTCTATCTGTTGCTCTAGGCTTTCTTTTAGCATTGGGGGCATAAATATTTCCTGGAAACCCAACGTAGGCAAACGCCTAAATATTGTACCGATCTGTGTTCTGAGTTCTATGTTGCCATGGACTGGATGATCTGACATATTGGTTGATGTTGTCAGCACCTATGGCAACACAGGAGATCAATAAGGGAATTTCTCTGCGACAGACAGCAACGGCAATGGCGATGGACAGCAATGGTAATAGCGATGGAGAGCAATGGCAATAGCGATACACAGTGAAGACAATAGCGATGGACAGCGATGGCAAGAGCGATAGATAGTGATCGCAATAGCGATGGACAGCAACAGAAAGAGCGACTAGAAAGCGATGGTAAGACCGACGGAAACAGCATCAGTAGCTGTTGCCAATTTCCCCGCAGAAAAATTCCCATCGATATTACATTGACAAGACACACCAGCCGCTCTAGCCGCATATGTACAGCGTCCTGGGCATGGAAATCGTCCAACGTTGAGGCATTGTTTGTCCAGTCGAATCGAACAGCTGCGGCATCCCGGGCAGCTCAACTAGATATACCTCCTGGCATTCGGTTTTGATCAGGCGAACGAATTGGTCAATGTACTGGGTTAAGAGATTGAACTAAGTGTCGCCGATGGGATATAGGCATGGCTGGCCACGGTCTCTGCGTCCTATCACAATCTCCCTCGCGAGCTCACGGAACCCTTACATCCCCCTTTCGCTTTCGAGATTAAGCAGACCGCGATCGAATATGGTTCTCACTACTCGGTACCGTCTGTCGTTTCGCGGCAATTCGATGGTGTCAGTCCCGTGGCCCTGCGTGGTCACAATGGCTTGGATGTGATGAGAGAGAAGTGGAAACGATGGCAGGAAAAAGGAGCCCCAAACTCATAGGTGTCTTCTGGCAAGAGAGAAGGGAACGGTTTGGGCGGAAGTATCACGGATCGTGGGAGTCCAAACCGACAAGGGGAGGGAAAAGTCTGTTCCATACGCGAGCTATCCCCCGTGGGTTGGTATTTGTGTGAGATACATGGCGACGCGTCACAGGCACCGCGTAAGGGCTACCGAGATATAGGTAGCTACCAAAGTAGGTAGAGGTACCAAAGTAGGTGGTAGAAGCACTGTGTAGGAGGTACCTCCTTACCTTAGATAGAGAGAGGTTGCGGTAGTTCCGCTTGCTATCAAGGTGGTACCATCTACTAGAGCAAGACGAGTGAGGGTGTACTCCGCAGGTAGCTTGGGAAAACTGAGGCGAAGGTGATTCATTGGTAGAAACAAGGAACTTCTTTCTCGAGCTCCTAGTATGGGGAGTTTCACCATGCTTATTTTACAGGGTTTTTGCTGGCACAGCTGCGAAGATGACAGCCACCGATCAAATTCTTTATTTTTCCTAATTCGCATGATTTACTCCCATCCATAAAAAGGGTCGGCATTGTGAGTAGGTAGGTAGCCAGGCATGTCGCCAAATTTGGCAGGCGGCACGTATCGTGGCGTATACAGAGTAGTAATAATCGATTTAACTTTGACCTTCGACGACGCCGACACGTCACCTACACAATTCCTTACGCCACTCTTGCCTAGAATCAATCGCTCTACGGCCTTTAAATCCCGGTCCTCTTGTCTTCCGTCGTGCTGAATGGGACTCCATCTCTCGCCGGTTTTCTGTCGAGTCTCCTCAATCCTCATCGCTTTTCGCTGCCAACGCCGCCTCCGTCATCACATTTACATCATCATACATAGGTAGGTAACATACAAACCAAAACCCGAAAACCTGCATCTCTCAAAAACTGACCAAACCACCAGGATCTGTCATCTATTATTCTGAGCGATCATCTCCCAAGATGGACAGTGACGCTAAGTCCCAAAAGCTGTCGATTGATGGGAGTGCTGCAGAGAGCGCAGCAACTTCCGACAATTTTCAATGCCAGTGCTTTGCAGGTTGATGCAGAGGTAGGCGATCCATTCTATCCACACCAAGTTCCACTGACGCCGACGTTAAATATTCTTAGCTCATCCATGCGTACCAAGCAGCTGCCCCGGGTTCTCAAGCCTTCCACACAAGGCTCATCGAGCTTGTCGTTGTGGCTGTGCACCAGCTTGCCGTCTGCCTATTCAAGTCGACAGACTCCAACCTGCACAGAGACGATGATCTTGGCACATGGCGGCCATCTGAAGACCTTAGGAACTTTTACCCCAAGGGTCCACTCCGAACTCTCTTCCGACACACCTGGTACCACGATTATGACCAGTATCCCGAAGGTGTTGCTGATGGAGTTGGGTACTGGGTTGAGACGCGCATCTTTGGCGGTGTCGTCCTGTTCGACAGACGCCAGCCAGGATCCGCCCCTGATGTTGCGGCGAGTATTCAGACGTCCTGCATTTGGCGACAACTATTGAAATTGGACTAACTAGTCACCTAGCCTGATGCTGTATACATTCATCCCGACCTGCGAAATGTGACCTATCGTATCTGCCGACTCCTCGAGGACCAGAAGCAACAGCTTGTGCAATTCCTGGTCTCTGATGCAACGCCGCCACCAACCTGCCCACTTCCCTTCCGCGGCGACCGTAACAACCGTCAACGTGTTGACCCAGAGGAGCCCATCGAGACCAGTGGCATCTATCGCGATAAGTGGGAGCGTCGGCCGCCATCAGCAGATGACGGCGATATGCGCCGGAAAGACGTGGTAGACACCTTTAACTACATCTCGGAGGAGGACTGGACTGCAGCACGACTCCGTGGTTTCGAGCAAAAGCGTAAATTTCTGAGAGAGCCGGAATAAAAGCTCCCTGTCCATGCAATTTCATAGCTACCCCATTTCCCCAAAATTCAGTCTCTAATTAGTTGCTTTGCTGAGAAAACCAATCATCCACATCCTTCTTGAAGTCCGGCTTGTAAAGCCAGCCAAGTTCGAACGCCTCCCTCGCAGATTGCCCCTTTGCCGCAGTAACCGCGTCGTCGGCAGGCATCCGCCTGAGGTCGATCTGCTCGTTGAGCTTGAGAATCTCGTCGACCCTCTGCTGGCGGTATGTCTGCCAAAATCCAAGGGCCTCCTGAGGCCTGCCGATCTCGTCGGACCGCCCCAGCAACAGCGCCAGCATGTACACGTCCTCGAAAGCCTGGTTGATGCCCTGCCCCGCGGACGGCGGGATGGCGTGGGCGGCGTCGCCGAGGATGATGACGCGGCGTGTCTCCGACACCCATCTCTCGAGCTTGGGTACCACGAAGAAGGGCCACTTGTTGACCTTGGCCGGGCTGATGTGCGAGACGGCGTTCTGCACCATCTCGGGGAAGTGCTCGGCGTCCTGTTTCAGGAACTCGACCCCCGACTCCTTGTCCGCAACGAAGGCCCGATCCCACCCGGGGAGGTCTTGTGGGGCCGCCACGCGCTGCTGCTTGCCGATCAGGACCTCGGAGCCGTCGACTCCCTGTGGGGCAATGACGAAGGCGCCGTGCGGTGAGGTGATGGTGACGGGAAGGTGGTAGCCAGCGGGAAGATTCAACTGCGAGGTCGGCACGGCGGCGGTGATGCCGGCCATTCCGATGAACTTGGTCTGGAGGTCGGGGTAGAGGTGACGACGAACGGTCGAGTGGATGCCGTCTGCGCCTACAAGGAGGGCAGCAGATTCGGTCGTTCCATTGGTAAAGGCAAAGGTCACGCGTTCGGGGCCGTCCTCGATGACGTGGGAAAACTTGACTCCGTATCGCACAACGATTTCCTTCTCCTTCAATGCTGCAACCAGCTCGTCGATGAGCACATGGCGGTAGATGCGAAGTCCTCTGTAGCCGTACTTGTTCTCGCCACCAAACTCATACGTCTCGAGTATGTTCCCGGCAACGTCCCTGTATTCGAGAGTCTCGAAATTGTAGCCCTTGGTCTTGACACTGCCGTATAGCCCCAGAGCATCAAGGACTCGGAGAGCATTGGGCGACAACATAACGGCACCCCCGATGTTCAAAGGGGCAGGCCGGGATTCGTAGACGGTGACTGGGATGGACTGCTGGTGCAGAGCAACAGCGAGGGTGAGGCCTGCAAGGCCTGCGCCGATGATGGCCACATGGGGCTTGGGGGATTCCATTGCGGGATCTGAGAGTAGAGTGAGGCTCTGGTCTTGATGTTGATGTTGATGTTGATGTTGATGTTGATGCTTTGAAGACCGGGATGGACATCTGATGGCTTTTTATAAAGAAGTAAACCCTGAGATGGGTTGGGCAGACTCGAGATCCGACTCATCCCCGAACCGTGGTCCGGTACGGCCGCCAAGCTCCCGGTGCCCACCATCACCCTCAAAAGGGGCCTCGGGGTTAACGGAGAAGAGCTCCGGTAACTCCGTTGAAGTCCGACGTTGTTCGTCAGCACAGCGTCATGACGGTGACGACGCCTGCAGCGCTGTCAAGTGTAGTGGACAATATTTTACTCTATTAGCATGGCAATAGGGGGTTGTTCCCACACCGACGGTTGGGGTGATGACTCAGAGAGTGTCTGGGAAATTACTCCATGTGCAGGTTTAAGACTACCCTTGCAGAGTAAGAAACAGTATCGAGGGTAATGGAGGGTTTCAAGGGCTGATTTATCGGTTTGGAGTCTATGCATAAATAAATACCAGCCGCCCTCAAACGAGCCTCGATTCTCTTGATATCACCAATCATATCCATGTCCTCCGCGTCTGCCTGACCATCCTTCTCAAATTCGATCCCCCATTCTCGCCCCTGATTTATCCTTGCCACAGCGCAGGACCAGGGATGGTATATTGAAGATCTGGCTCGTAAAGATTGAACAGAATGCCCGGATCCTCCGGGGTGTAGAAAGAGGTGGCGGGTTCGCCGGACGGAACCGCGGACCCGGAGCCGGTGACCTCCAAGTTGATGCACTGCGGGTAGGCCTGGGCACCGTTCGGCTGGCCCGCAGAGTGGAGCGCGATGATCTCGTGTCGGAGGACGTAGTTTCCCGGGGCGACGCTGCTGGGAATGGTGACGGTCCAGGAATTTCCATTGGCGATGAGGTCGTCGGTGGCCCAGTTGCCCGGGTTGGATCCCGAGATCAGGCCGTCTTCGTCAATCTTCGCAAACGACAACGAGGTCTTGTCGACGGATGAACACTCGCCGTTGCATGCGGCCAGGTAATCGATGACTGGGCCGTGGTGGGAGTCGGGCCAGGTATTCCACACCAGCGTGACCGTTCCGCCAGCCGCGACGGTCGCATATGCCGTCGCCGCTGTGGCTTCTTTGTGGCAGATGATATCGGGGCTCGAAAAGGCGTCTGGCGCCACGAAGCCGTTGTCCAGATTTGAGGCGGTCCAGCCGACAGACTCGGGCGGTACATTGCCGGGAACTGCGCCGGGGTACTCCACTCCGTCGGCGATGATGGTTGCAACGTGGCCATGGGCACTCGCCACAGCGGAGAGCGAAAGAACGGAAAGGGCTGTGAGAAAAGCCATGTTTTCTACAAACGAAAAAATGTCGTACAATACTAGAGTAAAGAGGTGCCTGTTATCTGAGACTGCAGAACGTGGACAATAATTACTCGACAGGTGATTATTGGGACATATATATATTATATCTAAAAATGGCTGAGCTCCATCAGACATTGCCATGGTAATCAAGATCTTCCCATAAACCTTCCATTTTCAGGATTTACCATGTTTCTACACTCCCAATGACCACCTTCTGGGGGACTTGGTAGCCACTTTTAATATATATGCGGCGCCGGGACGGTGTGGCACGTGCCCGCGGCCCGCCAACCCGGCTTTTTGGCGCCGATCCCTGGGCCCGATAAGGAAGGCGGGGCGGTCGGGGTTCCGTGGTCCGGCTCCTGGCAAACCGCAATTTGGGACCCTGTCTTGCAGATCTGCAGATCGGGGTTGGGAAAGCCTTCGATAACCTGGAACAGGATCAGGTGTTCGGCATGCGCTCCACATTATAGATTATGCAATTCGATACCCTTCATATATGTTCTCCATTTCCTGCCTTGTGCCGAGCAACATTCCGGGTCAGTCACTCCCCGAATCCGCCCATGGTAGCTAAAAGTTGCTTGAGACTCCCAGCATGCAGATACAACTCACTTCCGCCGATATGCTGGTGCCTGAATACCTACCTCGAAAATGATTTCATCGTCAAGGTCTGTACTTGGCGATGACGAATGATGTCAATGCCCGCCGCGCCTGTGGTGCATTGCCCTCCGCATCGGCCCGAAGAAAAGCTCTCTCTCGCTGCTGCACTTTTGTGGGGTGAGGGATTAGGGAAAGAAAGATGGAAGGGGGGTGATTGCGAGAGAGTATGGAGGTGCTAGAAACTGGATAAGAAAAGAGAGGAGGCTGATAGCTATGACTGCAGTTTGGCAATGGAAAGTATATGAGTATGGTAACAAGAATAGCGAGACAGTTCCCAATAGTATCCAGCCTTGAATGTCACGAGCTCGTGGCTAGAGTTGCAGTCGAGTAGGGGACACCGGACATTGGCGACATTGGGGGCTTAACAGTATAAGAGCATCGACAAAGAGCAGCAACTCCTGCTGAGATCCAGAGGGCCTGTGTGCCCAGTCACGTGTTTTTGGAAGTTTGGAGGGGTAATAATCCAGGTCTGACCTCAGATGGATTTTGGGGAGAACCAACCAATACACAGACCTGAGAAACCCCCCCTTTCTTTTGAGACCCCCTTCACTCTTTTTGAGCCTTCGTGAGGAAAGCACTCTTTTTCTTGTAGATCACAGTCCTGATCTATCTACTCCTGCCGGCTTTGCCACCAATCGATACGGGGCGAGGGCATAATTAGTGTGACACCCTCTGGGAAAGGTTAATGTTCCCATCCACATCAAAGTCTCCTCAGTGAATGAAAGCCACATAAGTAGGTTAGCGCAGTACAAGTGCCAGCCCCTGCACCAAGGAGGTTGCATTAAGCTTCGCGAAATGCACACCAAGGTTTGATATGGAAAACCTTAACTAGCTGATATTGTTGATCGGAACTGGTAATTAGTCTTCCAACCTTCGCCGAAACCCTTGACACAATGTCGAAATCCTTGACGCAGCTGGACTTCACCACAAAGAAAGCTGAGCTTGCAGCTCACCGGATATTATTAGGCTTTTCCATTAAGCACCTGCCAATTTTGACAGGTGGTACTCTCGCATCGGCAGTTACTGGTGTGTGCTCTGCGGGGTATTTTAATGAGGGACGAAGCGGTTGCCTCTTCCCGCTGGAGGGATTAACTGGTTCATAACCGTCTCTGCACTCTGTGCGGATATCGGTTATTATTTTGATTGGCCAACCTTGCTCACCAATATGCTGCTTGGGGAAGGTGGTCAACACTTCAAGCCAAACAAGCACGAGCAAATGCGGCATCATAATTGGGGGCCGTTGGTTCGCACCGGCTTGCGAATTGCGGGGGATATTCGCGAAGGTTTAATTATATGCCACTGCCTGGAAGGAAAATCCCCACTCCTCCTCCGTCGCAACCCGCCTCGTTTGTTTAAAGTATGATTTCCCCTCATCCAAGCTTGAAGCATCCGTAAGTTGCTTCTTCAGCCATGTCTGGAGCGATGGAAATCACCGGGGATGGGGTCAACATGTCAGACCCCGAGAAGACCCAGAACCCACGGGTTACGTGTGAACGCATTGGAGATCAGGTCACTCACGAGATGCTCGAGGTGCTCGCCCCTAACGGCGAAAGGGAGTACATTCTGGACAAGATCAACAACATGACGGAGGAAGAAGCTTTGGCGATCGTCCAGGAGTCGGTCAAGTTCCACGCGGACGACTGGAACTTCCCTTCCGACATGAGGGAGCGCATGAAGAGGCTTCTCGAAGGCCCAAAAGCGTACGGCGACTTTTACGATCGCGACCTGCGGATTGACGCCACCATGATGAGGTACTCGTCCCCCTATCCTGGAGTCCGCTCCGTTGCGGATCCCGTGGACGACGCCGATGTCCCAATCGAAACCATCCGTGCATACTTTCTGGGCATCGGATGGGCCGTGATTGGCACCTTCATGTCGACATTTTTCAACAGCAGATTCCCGTCCATCAGTGAGATTGAACCAAAGGCATAAATGCTTCCCGGCCCTTTCCGCTTGCTAATCCTAGCCGTTTTTAAACAGGCCTGAATGGCTCGGTAATCCAGATATTGCTGTTTCCGTGCGCCAAGTTCCTGGAGGCCGTGTTGCCCGATTGGGGGGTTACCGTCATGGGGGTTCGCCACTCGCTCAATCCTGGACGTTGGAGCTTCAAGGAGCAAATGTTTGCGACTATCACGTACAACATCGCCATCTACACAACGAATAGCTACTCCATGATACTCGTCCAGAGGTCTCCGGTCTTCTATGGACAGACATTCGTCACGTTTGGATACCAGCTGATGCTGACCTTGTTCGTGCAGCTCATGGGCATGGGGTTTGCGGGCTACCTGAGGCGGTTCAGCGTGTACCCAGTCAAGGCACTGTGGCCGACGATTCTACCAACCATCGCAATGAACCGGGCCCTCACTCGTCCCGAGCCGAAGGAAAACATCTACGGGTGGACAGTCTCGCGGTACAGGTTCTTCTACATCTGCACCATCTGTATGTTCTTCTACTACTGGCTGCCCGGCTATCTGTTCACTGCGTTATCGACGTTCAACTGGATGACCTGGATAGCTCCGGAGAACGTTACACTGGCCATCCTCACCGGATCCTCGCTGGGGTTAGGCTTGTTCAACCCCATCACGACATTTGACTGGAACGTTGCCACGTCTTCCTATGCTGCCCTGGCCCAGCCCTTCTTCAGCACATGCACCATGTACTTTGGGGGTCTCCTCGGCGGTTTGATTATCCTCGGGATATACTACAGCGGGATGTATAACACGGCTTACCTGCCCATCAACTCGTCCTCTGCGTTTGCCAACGATGGCACCGTCTTCCAGGTACAAAAAGTGGTCGTTAACAACAAGCTCGACCAGACGCTCTACCAGGAGTACTCACCTCCATTCTATTCGGCCGGATACATCTTGACGGTTGGGGCGAACTTTGCTTTTTACCCGGTTTACTTCCTCTACATCATGGCCAACCAGTGGACCACCGTGTCGACGGCTTACGTCGATTTCTACAAGGGGCTGCGGTATGGCAAGGGCAACTACGAAGGGGCCATGGATGTGCACAGCCGGCTAATGTCCAGGTACAAGGAGGTGCCCGACTGGTGGTTCTTGCTGATCTTGCTCGGCTCCATTATCGTCTCGATGGTATTCCTCAACATCTACCCGCTCGATACCCCCGTGTGGCTCGTGTTCCTGATGATCGGCATCAATCTCGTGTTTGCCGTCCCCCTCTCGTTTCTGTCGGCGACTACGGGGACCAATCTGGGGCTGGGCGCTCTCATCCAAGTCATCACCGGGTATATGCTCCCCAACAACCCCAACGCCTTCCTGTTTTCGCAAACACTGGGTTCCTGGGCCCTGGCCGGGTACGGAGACAACTATGTGCAGGATCAGAAAATGGCGCATTACTGCAAGATTGCTCCGCGCGCCGTGTTCCGGAGTCAGATCGGCACGATCATCATCACTTGCTTCGTCGCCGTCGGTACCCAGGACTTCATCTTCAACAACGTCAAGGGCCTGTGCACGCCCAAGCAGCCCAGCAGATTCACATGCGCCAACGACGGGGCACCGCTGTACGCGAGCTCCCTGATGTGGGGCCTGCTCGGGTCTAACCGCATGTTTGGCTCGCTCTATCCGCTTTTTAAGTGGTGCTTCCTCATCGGAGTCGTCATTGCTCTCGTCTTCTTGGTCGGGCAAGGTCTTGGGCCAAAGTACCTGCCCGGCGTGCGAGAACACCTACGGTCGAGGCTCAGGCCGAGGACCTTTGCGATCCTAGATCGGACTCTGTTCCCCTTTGTGGCTTCATTGCTCTGGCTAAACCCCATCCTGATCATCCAGGGAGTGCAGCACTGGGCGCCGTCCAACATGTCGTACAAGACCCCGGGCATGATACTATCGTTCATCTTCATGTACTGGCTCCCACGGCATAGGCTGGCGTGGTGGGAGAAGTACAATTATGTTCTGTCGGCTGCCTTGACAGCGGGAGTGGCCATCAGTGCCCTTATCATGTTCTTTGCGATTGGATATAACCCCATTAGTCTGAAGTGGTGGGGAAACACGGTCAGTTCAGCTGGAGTCGACGGGTCTAGTGTTGGCATTTGGCCAATGCCCGCCAGGGGATACTTTGGTCCCGAAAAGGGGAGTTTTCCATAGGTACTAGATTACGGGGTGAGACAAGTAGTCAACCAGAATGGGCGCCGTCTGGGACTCCTCATCTGTGATAATGTGAGTAACCCGCTTGCCAGTGCCGTGTATCCGCCAGCCTGCAACCAAGATGGAAAAAACACAGAAGGCTATTCTGGACCGCCCGGGCTTTCCCAAATTTGTCTAGTTACATGCTGGGCTGCCTCGTGTGGGGTCACCTCGAATCCGGAGCTGTTGGAAGGAAGCGTCGCTTTCTGGGTTGGTAAAGCGGATGTTGTTGCACACACTTTGACAGCCTGGCTGCCTACTCACAGTACATCCAAGACGTGATATTTGGAGTCTTGAGAGGAAGTCTATGTACCGAGGGTGGAAATATATATCCAGCAAATCTAATTTTATCAGGCGTTGTGCAGTTTTCTCCTGCGGTCTGTTAATGAGTTTCTTCAAGCGAGATGGGGACCCAAGGGGGTGGGGGTGTGATGGGGAGGGGGGGGAATTAAATTACATCAAGTCAAGGTTTCGTTCCATGGACGCCAGGTCTGCTGGTCAAAAGTTGGCATGCACTTGACTTGGTCCGGAGGCGGTTGCCACTCGACCTTGTCCTCCGGCCCAGCGCCCTGGCTGATCCACTGCGACACGTATCCCTTGTCCTCCTTAATCCGCTTCCCATTCTCGTTAGAGTATTCCAAGTTTACACTGGGAACAACGGCAATCTTCCCGTACCCCTGGAACCACATGTCTTTGCAGAACAGCTGCGGCTCGCCCTGATGGCACTCTCCTGCATCCGCCCGGGACGATCGGAAAGCTACTCTCCCCTCCACCAGCGGGGCTGCCGTAAAGGCCACAGCTCCATTCCAGCACGCAAACACCTGAAAGGGCCTATGCGCCTCGAGGCGTTCCTGGGAGGTGGGCTCGTTCCAGAAGAGATTGGATGAGAATCTCCAGCTCAGGTCCGGTGGGATCTCAAAAAAGGTGTCGCCATTGATGGCGCGTGCTACGTAGACATCGTAGAAACTCGGTTCATCCTCGCCGTAAATCCAGTCGAAGGCACACGTCATGTCGGCGCCAAGGACGTGGCGTTGGTGGACCAGCTCCAGGATGTCCTCCAGGCAGATGGCGACGTCGTTCAGGAAAATAACGGTGGTGTTGGAGAATCGAGTTGGATCGCTGAGCATTGGCTCAAGAGCCAAATTTCTCAACTCGGCGAGCTTGGTAAATCTGGCACCTGCGAGTGGATCAATGTCGTTCGATAGTTCGAGATGCACCGTCGTCAACTTGTCCAGGTGAGGTTGCAAAGCCGCGAGTACTTCAGCGGTTCCGTCAGGAGAGTTTCCTTCAACGATCGATATAGCGCAGTTTTCCGGTCCAAGGAAACGGATGGCCTCCACCACGCTTCCAATCAATCGTGGAAGAAGTGGGAGACATGCTCGGAGATTCAGGGCAAAGAAGTATCGTATCTCGGAAGGTTCACGAAACGCTGGTTTCAAGTATTCGTACCGAACCAGATCGGGCTTTGGGCATTCCAGTCTCGGCATATGCGTGTCGTCAGGATCCAGGATGGCACTGACATACGCCGTGAGGTTGTCGCGCGACAGGATGCCTACTTCGGAGTTAGAGAAACGCGGAGGGGCAGGTCTGTTTTCGCACGTACTGCTCCGCAAAGGATCGGGAGAATCATGGCCCCGAAGGGGAGTCGGCCGGTACAGGCTAGAGGTTATGTCGGGATGAAAATATAAGGCGAGTGCGACCAAGGCAAGGATCACAGCTTGGCAGGCAGCAAACAACTTCACACGGCCCATCGTCATGCCGATGCAAGACGTATAGAATGAAGCAAATAGCTAGGTGACCATCGGAGGTTAAAGTAAGATGTCGCTGGAGATATGATTGAAGGCAGTAGGAGAGGTAGAGTTTGTGAAGAGGTGATTCCTTGGGCAAAGGGGCGCCGGGTGATATTTAGGCGCCGGGTATTAGAACCCCCCAAGGCGGCCGAACCAGACTGTCGGGACAAGTAAGCCAGTAAGATGGCCGCGGTTCCGACTTTGACAGGGGTAAAGCGCTTGTCTGCAACTCCAGGTCAGATAATCCTGGTGTACTCACGCTTTTGATTGGTTAACCAAGGCAGCATCCAAGGAGGAGTCGCAAATTCTCCCAAGATTTATCAGTCCCAGCAAGTCAGAACCAACAACCAGTAATTAGCACAGGAGCACGGGGTTGGGGTCCAATGCCCCAGTAATTAATTACCAACTGCTTTCCAGCATCTTCCCCGATTCCTCTTCTGTCAAAGATGCACTCCAAGTTTCCCGTCCTCCCACTTGAAAATCCATATTGAAGCCCGGCAGTCTTCTTCGGCTTTGCGAATTCTGTGCAAACTATGGCGTTTGGAAGGGGACTCATCACTGCAGCGCCCGCGCGTCCTACCGGCCAGAGTCCTTCTCGCCTTCTCGAGGAGCGGATTACAAGCGAACCTGTTACTTGCGGTTATCGCAGTGGTGATCCCGCCCACGCCTGGCTGGCACCCTCGGGCTACAACTGCCGCGTGGACACATTGAACGGTCTCTGGGGCTTCTGTCCTACCACCGTGATTGCAGCAACTGACTGCGGGCTGGGTGGATATTGCTTCGACACAAACACCTGCACTTCAGGCTGTGGCCAGCCGGGCCTGAGGAACAACCCAACCATTACCACATGGACATGGTATGTACAGTGTGATACAAGAGACCATCGGTTTGATGTGCATGGTGAGCTAATCATGATCCAATTAATTAGCACTCCATCAGATTCCCAACCCCGCTTTTGCTCGACAGCATTCTTGACGTTTGGGATCGACCAGACGTACGTTTACCTCCATTGTGGCCCCGATGCCGGCACCCAGCACTACATGGCTTCCCCGACAGCTTCTCCGGCTTCTTTGTCGTCCACTCATTCGACTTCTCCCTCTCCGATAACAACCTCAGAAAGCCCAGTCTCGTCAGCGACGCCTTCCTCGAATGGTACGTCGACTTCATCGATGCCTTCACTCGCATCAGAACCCAATAAGAATAGCGACGGTGTCAGCAGTGGGGGAAGCACAAACAACATGGGCGCGATTATAGGTGGGAGTATTGGGGGGTTTGCACTGCTGTGTGGCTTTGGGATCGTGGCTATCTGCCTCCTGAGGAATAACCGGTCTCGAGGGGTAGACTCTCTCCAGAGACCTAGAACACCTCAAGGTAACAGCTGGTCGCCATCCAACATGATAAAACAGGGCGGTTGGGGTCCTCGGGAGCTCCCAGCACACGTCCCTAGTGAGTTGCCGGTACATCCCGTAGAGTTGCCTGCTGGGCACGACCGGTAACAAACCAAATCATGTTACGTGTACCGTGCATATATACCCAATAGATAACAGAAACCGGATTCCAATCCGGGTTACTATGTAATTAGAGCATGCTCTATCCCACTCATCATGCGCCACAAAGTCCTATCATCGATCAATGTATTGTTGCACTTCAGCGAGACGCTGTCTACTTCGCCTAGGATTAGCAACACACGAACCCTGTGCATGGATAGGCACCGGCCAAGACGTGGGGTTCCCTCGCATCACTCGAATAATTCTCATCAATGAAGATCTCATCCTCGGTCAGGTAGGTATTCATTCTAGCTATTTTTCTTCATCAAACTGCAAGACATTTTCCACCGACAATCAAAAAAGAATGTCCCTACACTTTGCACTCCGCCTGGGGATACGTGTCTTCAGTCTTTCCACAAACGGTTTCCGCCTAAGTATTGCCTTGGGGACAGGAAGCGTCGTTTGTCCCAATAAAGACAACGAGAACAGCAGCGAAACTGCACAATCATGTCAGTGATTTTTCAACCAGGGCCAATGTATTTATCAAGGAAGCGGGGACCTACGCTGCGGTGGCTCCGAATATATCCTTGGTGCTTGCTGTCGTGATGATATTAAGAGAGAATGAGAACAAGGCTGTGAAGATGGCGGTGGCTCCGAGCCGGCCCGGCATGTCCTGTATCACATACAGAGCTGCGATACCTGCTATCGGAAGTAGGCAAGCTACAAGCGTTGCCAGCGTCTTCAAAACCCTGAAGGTCCCTTCGTCGCGGTAGCGGACGGTATTCTGGAGGTAATCCTCCGTCTCCTCTCGCTGATGAACGTTAGCAGTCCTGTCATATCGCAAGTGAGCGTTCTAGGAGCAAGTGAGGACATGCATGGATGTGTCTCCCCAGGAGCGAATTGTAACGGTGGACCAGCCGTAGAGTGAGCTCCGAGGTAAAGCTGTCCTCGGGCGATGGGGGTTTGAGGGTGACCATATCGTCCAGGTTTGGTTCACTCCATGTCTTGCGGTCCGAGCCTTCGAGGATGATGTTTCCCATTATTGGGTTATCCATCCACCCATTGAGAGCGCGTACTTGGCCCTGCAGAGGGCGGCGAAGTTCAAGAACCTTGTGATGTCGCAGTAAGGCGTCGTCTGATTTTATGAGCTCAAATTATTTCACCCAACTCGCGATCGGATGACGGAAACTTACAATACTCCTTCAACTTTTCCCTAATCTCCAGGATGGTCTCCAACTGGGCCCCATCATTGCCTTCCGGCGCGTTATCGCTGCCTGATAGCTGGAGCGTATCCCAGTCGTAGGCATAGCGCTCACGGTCCTCATGAGCCGACTCTTTGTCTTTCTTCTGGTATTTCCGGAGACTCCTCTCCAGCTCGACCAGCTCCGCTTGCCTGTACAGGAGATCTTCCGCCCCCAATGCGCCGAAGCGCCGGAAGGCTGTGAACTCTGGGAGGTTGCCCATGAACTGACCTAACCGGTCATATCCCTCTGCGGGGTTATCTGGGAGCCCTAGGACCTCGCCCAAATCCTCATTGCTTTCTTCAGACATGTTCTGATGTCCGATCATGGCGCATGGTTCTTACCGACGATGATGATGGAATTACCGGTCTTTAGAGTGTAATATGATTTGGAAGGGGAGCGCAAATTCAGTTTTATGTAGGTTAGCACGGCCCGTGGCTTGCTTTGTTGTGAGACGATGTGCGTCAGCACTGCCCCCTTTCCCGTGTGGCACATGTTATCTATTGGCCATTTCGCTGGCTGTGCCACCACACTTCGCTGATGCAGGTGTTTTGCCTGCCTATCACAACACTAGCCGCCTTAGGCGAAGCAGGGTGGTGGTGGCGATGATCCTGTGACCGGTCTCGCAGAGCCTCGTCGGGCTGGCGGGGAGGGATGCCCAAATTAATCATTCCTCTGTAATAAAACCCGAACCCCGCCATTCCATTGCCGGAAACCGCGCCTTGTGGACGATCACTTTTGGAAACGTCTCTCAGTGTGTGACGTGCCAGTCGTCGTACCACAAATAATTACAGCCCCAGAAGCAAAATGCTTTCGCCACATCGAGGCGGCAAGGAAAGCGAGGCGGCAGGCAAAAAACAGGGCAAAACGGGGAAGAGTCACTCGGAAAGGGAGCCTCGCGGGGGCGGCGACAAGACAGGCCACCAACAATCCACATCGCATCAACAGGAGGCACCAAGTGATGGTCTGGAGCTGTCAAATGAGGGTCAAGGGGAACCCGAAGACGACGGTCTCGGCAACAACGAGACAAACTATCATTTCGACTGGCGAAATGATGGCAGTGCCAACGATCATGCAACAGGCACCGGAGCGTCACAGTGGTCGGCGTGGAATGGAGAGTGGGATGTGCAATATTCCTTGAAGGGAGAAGGACCGGAGCCCGGAAATCCCCCAAGTTCGGTATCACATGCCAGCAAGCCTCCATCCAAAGGCAAGCAACACGAGCCTCGACAGAGGCACATTGAAAAACATACCGAGGCGCCCCCTGAGGAACCTTCGTCGTACGACCAGTCAGCCGGGGCGAGCGCCTCGCCGAATGTTGTACCTCACGGATATTACGGAGAGCCGTACCAATATGACGGTCAACTGCTAGATCAATTTTCTCAGGTGTCTCTCTACGGTGATCCCACAACTCAGGACGATTATGTGCCTGCACTTGGCTACGAGGGAGGAAGTGGTGATTATGATGCACTCTATAGGCATGGCGGACAACAAGCAGAACCTCCTGTCAGGGAGGAACCCGAGTCTGTGAGTCGTCGTTTACCATTTCGCCTCTCGAGGTGCACATCGCTCACTACAGAGGCAGAAGTATGATGTGTCCTTGCACTTCAAGATGAAACTGAAGGAGAAATGGAAGGACGCCCGGGGGATGTTCGACACCGGGAACCGGGCCGGATCCCTTATTCTGTGTGACACCGTCTTTAGTCTGGGTTACCGTCACGAAGACATCGACTTTAGCCGCATGATGGCCCTAGAAGTCGTCGGTGGCCACCGAACCGACACCGTGGGAGTAATCAAGTTAGCGTACTGCTACTCCAAGGGGTCGGAGACACTTGAGGGCGACTTCCATATCCTGATGAAGGTGATAAAGGATTACGACGTGCTCATCGCCCCTCCAGACCAACCTCGCTACCCGGGGGAGGTACCGCCCGTTGCGGCGACGATTGGGGCGAAGCGTGAGCTAACTGGTGGTGGGTACTCTATTTTTTCCTTCCAACATCTTCGCAGAAGTAGATGGTTCCAGCTAACTTTGGAGGTGGGACAGAGGAGAAGACAGAATGGAAGAAAAAGGTACTCAAGGCGGAGAAACGGGCGCAGAAAGCACAGGAGGAGAAGGACAAAAGGAAGGAGGCAGAGAGGGCCAAGAAGAAGGAGGCCGACAAGAAGAAGCACCACAAGTAGCGCCCGGCTCTGAGATTTGGCACTGTTATGCGAAGCTGACCGGATTTTGTCATGCGTGAAGGGAGAGAGCATGCTGTGGTAGATTAGAAACCTGTCGTGTAATTATTGCCAGCATGTTGTTTATTTGGGAGATGGAATATTTGGCATTGATACCTTGAATAACGGCGCCTAGGAACTGCTATATTACTCTCCAGTCACATAGAAGAGGCTCAGACCCTTCACAGATTGCAAATGCGAGTCAACCATTCAGCAGTAATTAATTAATGTGCTGGGACAGCCATCACCAAGCAGGCTAATACTTAGAGGGGAGCGTACACGCAGGCGGGAATTTGCAGGCAGGTTACTCCTGGCATAACTAACCAGACAGAGCCCAGTCCAGCGAATAGGGAGCATGATTTGCCTCCTTGCCATCTTCCCCCCAGCCACAACAAAATCGAGCCATCTGGAAACCTAGAAACCTCATTTCAAGTTTGAACCGTTCCCATACCTCATGCAGGGGCAAGACGCCTTGTCACTTAATATTGACGATCCAGAGTCTTGGGAACTGCACGTGGAGCAAGATGCACCCACGATGCATTAGCCTCAGAACACCCGCCGCCCCACAATTGCCCGACGAGGTGAGGGGCAAGCTTCAGCTCATCTTATTAATGGCGCTTCTGCCAAGTGAAAGGGTTTGGGGCGCACATCGAGGACAACGTGCTTGATAAAGTTATTCACTCAGTACTGTACCTTTTGATGTCAGGAAACTCTTGGAAGCATGGAATGCACCAATCAAGTCGACTCAACTCTCCAAGGAAACGTGGGGACTTTAACGGGATCGAGGGCACACACCCCCACTCCTCCCAGAACCCAAGCTTACATGGGCGAGGTAGACGCAGGCCAATCAGTGCTTGCGCTACCACACATGTGCGCTGACAAGAGGCTCAAGTGGCTCTGCGGGAGGCCCCAAGGTTACCGCAACAGCCCCCACTAGAGGGATGATTTGACCCAACGGCACCTTTATTTCCGTGAGGTGAACTGATTCTTGGGCGTGCCAAGAGCAAGCTAGCGAAACCTGGTCTGCGGGACCCTCACAAGTCACAACTCTTCCCCCCACGCACATGCATATAACCTTGGCTTAGCCTGCCTGCCTTTGGCATGCGCATCCTTTCGTCTGGTGGTCATAAAATGCTCCAACGATAAAACCACTCGCCCCGGCGCCGCATGAATCTCCTCCGTCAGTCAGCTCGATCCGCATGGGGCTAGTTGTACCCATGGCCGATATTCATTGATCGGGCCGCCCTGACCCCGCGGGCCCGTCCCGGGACAAACACCACGGCGCGACAGCGAAAACAAGACCCTCGGCAGCCAAGATGAATGACCGGTTCTTCGAGCCCATGTCACCGGAGATACATCCGCATACATACGGGGGGAACAAGGCCTTCTACAACATCGCAAACGACTACACCCACATTCCCGACCCGAATCTGAGACGGCGTTTGGCCTTGTCCGATATCGACAAGGTTCCCTTCAGCCTGTACCGTGAGAGCTCCTCAGCAGCAACTGGCCTCCAATGTTGGGACTAACCACATGATGCGCTCCCACAGATGTCCGTGCCGTCCTCGTCGCCGGGATAGGCTTCTTCCTCGACTCGTACGACATATTCGCCATCAACCTCATCACGACCTTCCTGGGCGTGGTATTCTGGCAAGGCGATGGCTCTGCCAACGGCTTCGGCGGGAATCGCGGCGAGCTGCCGACCCCCGTCAGCCAGGCGCTGAAGGCCTCGACCAGCGCCGGCATCATCATCGGCCAGGTCCTCTTCGGGTGGCTGGCCGACGTGTTCGGCCGCAGGAAGATGTACGGCATCGAGCTGGGCATTATCCTCCTCTCCACCATGAACTGTGCGCTGGCGAGCTCGAGCCCGGCCATGACCTCGACGGGGCTGTTTGTCTTCTGGAGGGTGATGATGGTAAGGAGACCTCCTGAGTTGCAAGCTGCAACAACGGTGACCCGCGATGGATGATAACTGAGTTCTTTCTAGGGAGTTGGCATCGGTGGAGATTATCCACTCTCTTCTGTCATCACAGCTGAGTGAGTACAAAGCGCCCCTCCCCTGAATTGGGCATACAATCGGCTACCTGCCGAACGTTTCCTCTTTCGCTGACCGTCTATCATAGATTCGCCCCTACTCGTTGGCGTGGGGCTATGATGGCGGCCGTGTTCTCGATGCAGGGCATCGGTCAGCTAAGTGCGGCGATCGTGGCTCTGATCGTCACCGTGGCGTTCAAGGAATCCTTCATCAACATCAAGAACGTCGCGAGCTGCGACTACCCCTGCCAAGTCGCCGCCGATAGGTCGTGGCGCATCATCGTCGGTGCCGGTGCCGTTCCCGCCTGTATCGCCTTGTACTACCGAATCACGATCCCCGAGACACCACGATACACATTCGATATCGCACAGGACGTCGAGAAGGCCGATGCCGATATCAAGGCGTATATGGCCAGCCAATCTGAGGGTGTCGTCGACGCCATCCAGCAGGCCAAGACGATGAAGGCCGTGTCTCCGTCCCTGGCCATCCCCTCGGCATCCTGGCCGGACGTCTTCTCCTATTTTGGTCAGTGGAAAAACTTCAAGATCCTCATCGGCACCACATTCTCCTGGTTCTTCCTTGTAAGTATTCCGGTTCCCCACACATCTCGCTTTGACAACTGACACAGCCCCGTAGGACCTCGCATTTTATGGCCTCGGCCTCAACAATTCCATCGTCCTCCACTCGATTGGTTATTCCCACGGCCCGACATTGTATCACACACTGTACAACAACGCCGTCGGGATGATCATCCTCGCGTGTGCCGGCAGCCTGCCGGGCTACTGGACGGCCATCCTCACCGTCGACAACCTCGGACGCAAACCGCTGCAAGTCCTCGGCTTCATCGTATTAACCATCATCTTCTGCATCCTCGGCTTCGCCTTCCACAGCCTCTCCGAAGTCCCGATGCTAGTCCTCTACGTAGCCGCCCAGTTCTTCTTCAACTGGGGCCCCAACACGACGACCTTCCTCGTGCCGGGGGAGTGTTTCCCGACCCGGTACCGCTCCACCGGCCACGGCATCTCCGCGGCGATGGGCAAAGTCGGCGCCATCCTCGCCCAGGTGATCAGCATCCCTCTTCTGACCCGGGACTCACCCGAGGGCTGCACGGGCATGGACTGCAGCCCCTGGATCGACCGCCTGATGCAGCTGTTTGCGCTATTCATGTTCTGCGGCATCTTCGTCTCGCTTCTCATCCCCGAGACCAAGGGCGCGACACTCGAGGAGCTCGCCGGAGAGGCTCCCGCCCGGCCGTCCAACTCGAGCCGCAAGGGCAGCAGCAGCATCCGCACCACGACCCAGCCACCGTCCTGGTGGGCCGAGCTGAACCCCTTCTCCGGCGGCCAGCCCGCCGGATTCTTCTACCCGGGCGCCTCGGGTGGCCGGAAGGGCCGCCGCAGCCCCAGTAGCGACATCATGAGCAGCCCCGAGCTGGCGGCGCAGAAGGCCGAGGCGGCGGCCAGGGAGAAGGGCCTCTGGCACGGGCGGTTGATGGGGAGGAAGGAGAGGGCGCCGAGTAGCGAGAGCAGCGGGTACGCGCTTAGCAACGCCTCCGGAGGCGGGGACGAGATGCCCATGATGCCGCCGAGCGCGCTGCCGGCCTGGGGAGGTGGCTGGGGGCGAGCCGGGGAGCGTGGCGGGGTGCTGCCGATGACGCCGATGGAGAGTATTCGGCTGCATGACGTTGGGTCGTTGTTGAAATGAGATAGATTTCGTTGTGCCCCCCTTTTTTGCTTTCATTGTTTTTGGTTTCGGTTTTGGTTGAAACATCCCCAGGAGATACCAGGTCGTCCGTAGATAGCGACTCCAGCGATGATGGGTGGTCTTGTGGCCCCGCTGTACTAAAGAGCAAGCAGGGCGCACAGGAGTTTTAAGATGGGTTATACCTCAGAGCGGAGACTCTATGATATCAGGAACATCGGGTTTTTACTTGAGCATTTTTAAAGATGTGAGTAGATAGAATAGTGGCTAAGCTCATTTAAAGAGACTTCTATCACTTATTAACAAGATGGGGGAAGCGGGTGAAGTTGACTTCACGAGGAGGAAGGAGGAAGTTCGGTGATGTGTTCGTCAGTCCATCGCCTTGGACTTTGTAAGCAACTCAACCATCCACTCCTTCATACTACTCATCGCTGTTCCCATTATCCCATCCCGTCCCTCAAGAAGGATGAAATCATGGGCCTGTTTCGGGAAGACATCCAACCGGACAACCAGACGAGGATTCCGGCTTCTCAGCTCCGAAGCCACAGCCACGGATTGATCTCGGAATAGCTCGAATTCCCCGGCGGTTACATATATCTCCTTCACCACTGAATCCATGCCGTCGAAGCTGGTCCCGTCTCCATCGAGGGGGAAAGCCGCATGCCTGATATCTTCACCGCTCGTGCTGCCAAAATCAGGACCAAGAAGCGTCCGCCCACACTGAGTGACCAGCCCCGCTGACAGCATATCCAGTGCATGGTTCTCCCTGAACGACCGGTCCGTCGTCTTCTTGCTGACCCACGGCGAAACCAGAAACGACCCAGCCAGTGGTTCTGCCAGCTGGACAGCCCCGATCCCCGGCAGCGGACGATTGAGGTGGCAGAGCAGCTGCGCGGTCAAATTACCCCCGGCCGAATCACCGCCGATGATAATGTCCCCCGGACGAACCCCGTCTGCTAGGAGTCTCTCCAACCCGGCCACGGCCTGCTGTAGCTGGTCGGGGAACTTGGCCGCGGGGCAGAGCGTGTACTCGAGCACGGCGACAGCAGTCTCGACGTCGCAGGCGATGCCGGCTTCGACGTAGGCGCGCCAGCACCACTCCAAATGGCCCGGGACGAGCGGGGATATGTATCCGCCGCCGTGGAAGAAGAGCACGACCTTGCGGGCCTGGGCGCGGTTGCCGACCCAGAGGAGGGAGGACTTGCCGTCGGGGAGGGGAACGATTTCGGGCTTGAGCCTGTTCGCCGATTCCTGGGTGGCGGTTGGTGGGAGCTTAGAAGCCTTCCGGCGGATCCATGACTGGTAAGTGGCTCGGGTCGAAGGGGAAAGCAACTGGATTTGGCGCGGGTAGAAGCCGCCGAGAAAGACGCGGATGACGGCGCAGATGCAGAAGAATTTTAGGGGCACGCCGCGATACCATCCCACCACGAGGGTGCGGGCTAAGTTCACGGATATTTTGAAGGGGGCTGATGGGATCAGTCAGTAATCTGAGTAGGCTTGTGGTTGAACTATTTTAAGATGTGCATACCATAGCATGTAAGACGGTACACCAAGTCAAGATACTCGAGCAAGGAAAGTCTGGGAGCCATGCTGAACGATAATAACCCATTTGGGATGGATTCAGATCAAGAGCAGCTTGCTGAGTTTGGGCTGATCTGATGCCAATTAAAGGCAGCTCGGCAAACCATGAGAATCCCATGTGAAATATCCCCGCACTCCTGTAATTACCTAGGTAAACCACTAATTAAGCTAGGACCATGCCAAGACGATCGCCGATCGCGCCGGTCGGTCACTAATTACTCGTAGCAAAGCTAAGAGGACATTGCACTTTCCGTTGTAGCATCCTATTTCACTCAATCTGTCAACACACCTTCTAATATTGCAGACCACATCGCGCTCTCCAAAATGTCTCTTCTTCCCAGAGAAGGACTGACCCTCGACTTCCTCGCCAGCGGCATCCGGAAATCCCTCCTCAATCCCAACCTAACCCTCCCCGCAGCCCTCGGCATCCTCCTCTCCACCACCTCCCACTGGCCCTCCACCCTCGAACGCATCCCCATCTCCCTACCACCCTGGGCCAAGGCAACCGCCTACTCCCTCGCCGCAACCAGCGCCCTCCTCTCGCTCACCGAGCACCTCAACCACGGATTCGCCAACAACTGGACGTCGGACCCGTCCTGGGACTGGTCGCGCGAAATCGTGCTCATCACGGGCGGCAGCAGCGGCATCGGCGCGACCGTCGCGCAGAAGCTGCTGCGCGCCCACCCGGCCACGACGCTGGTCATCATCGACTTTGCGCCGCTGGCATGGACGCCGCCACCGCCACCACCAGCGGAGGGGGGGAGAGTCCGCTTCTTCCAGTGCGATCTGAGCGATGCCGCCGCGCTGAGGAGGGTGTGCGACGCCGTGAGGACCGAGGTTGGCGATCCGACCGTGCTGGTGAACAATGCCGGGTTGTGTCGGGGGTTTTCTGTCACGGAGGGGACGTATGCGGATATCGAAGTCACGGTGAGGACGAATCTAGTCGCGCCATTTTTGCTGGTCAAGGAGTTCTTGCCGGCGATGGTGGAGAAGGATCACGGCCATATCGTAAATATCAGTTCAATGAGCGCGGTGATTCCCCCGGCCAGGATGGCGGATTATGCGGCTACAAAGGCTGGACTGGCTGCTCTGCACGAGGTAATTTAAGCTTGGTCCTTGTTTCGTAGCCCGGGTGTGACTGCTTTCCTCGCTAACACGATCTCTCAGTCGCTTCAGCTGGAGTTGAAGAACATCCACGGCGCCCGACGGGTCCGTATGACACTCGCCATGTTCAGCTTCATCCGGACGCCGCTTCTCAGGGGGGAGACGCGCCAGTGGAACTTCTTCTTCCCGTTGTTGCATGTCGAAACGGTGGCTGAAGCCATCGTCGAGGCACTCTTGAGCGGCCACGGCAGGACTATCTACCTACCCAAGATCATGAGATACGTGTCTATCCTGGTACGATGGCATTCCCGGAAGGCACTTATTTTGCAAGAGACTAATCAACTATGGCTGAACTAGCGAGGTGGGCCTGAGTGGCTGTTCCGGATTGCTAGAGATTCTACAAAGTCGTTGGGCGTGGACTTTAAAGGACGACAGGAAATTGATCCCGAGACCGGTGCGCTGCGTGCAGCATGAATCACCAATTAATGGCTGAATAACGAGACTCCACGAGAGCGTAGTTTACTTCATTAGGACCAATCTGGATTCTAGATAATGTTGAGTTCTATCTTAAGTTTAAACAATTAAACATAGCCCCATGTAACATCGGGGGGGAGACAGTAGAACACCATGTCTGGAAAGGCATCCAGGGCTCGCGCCAAGGCGGACAGGTTCCGATTCTGTGCCTAGGTATCCCCGCATCACATGTAAAAATTGACTCCGGGTTTCGGCAACCCGCTTCGACACGATCGTCAACAATCCGATGTTAGTGTAATTAATAGCGGTTGCTCGAGTTGAATATGGCTTGCTCGTGTGTGAATAAAACCTGTTCCAGCATTCGTCAATTTCGTGATTTCCGTGTGGTTCCAAAGCGTTAAGCGGAAATTTTGCTCCCTTCTCCCCCCCCCCCACCCCCCCCCCAACCCCCTTTTGTGGTTCGATTATTCGTGTCACCATGGATTCCCACGAGGACAGCAATCACAGCTACAGCCAGTTCGCCTGCATTGGCGCCGGCTTCTCAGGTATCGGCCTTGGCGCGACCCTGAAGCGATGGTACGGCATCAGCGACATCCGCTTCTTCGAGCGACACGACCAGCTCGGCGGCACCTGGTACATCAACCAGTACCCAGGTGCTGCCTGTGACGTGCCCAGCGCGCTGTACAGCTACTCCTTCGAGCCAAACCCCAACTGGTCTCGCGTGCTCCCCTCCCACGACGAGCTCTGGGCATACCAGCGCCGCGTGGCCGACAAATACGGCCTGATCCCCAACATGACCTTTGGCGTCGTTGTCCAGCGCTGCGAATGGGTCGAGTCCAAGAAACGCTGGCGCCTGCACGTCCACCACTCCAAGACCGACAGCGTCTTCACCCACGAGTGCCAATTCCTCTTTTCCGGCACCGGCCAACTCGTCCAGCCCCGCGACCTCGACGTGCCGGGCGTCGACACGTTCAAGGGCGCCATCTTCCACTCCTCGCGCTGGCGGCACGACGTAGACCTGACGGGAAAACGCGTGGTCGTCATCGGCAACGGCTGCACCGGCGCCCAGATCGTGCCCTCCATCGTCGGCAAGACGGCGCACCTGACCCAGATTGTCCGGTCCAAGCACTGGATCCTCCCCGCCATCGATGGGAAGCGCACCGACGCGATGCGTATGTTGTTCAAGTACATCCCGGGGAGCATGGCGCTGCAGCGCCTGGTGGTGTTTTTGGTGGCCGAGAACGACCTGCGCGGGTTCCCGATGACCAAGTCGGGCGCGCGGTTCCGGCGGAAGAAGCGCGAGGGGGCAGAGAGGTACATGCGGGCGACGGCGCCGGAGAAGTACCATGATTTGCTGATCCCGGATTTCGAGGTCGGGTGCAAACGACGTATCTTCGATTCTGGGTACCTGGAATGCTTGCACGCGGAGAATCTGACGCTGACGGGCGATCAGGCCATCGAGGTCACGCCCGAGGGGGTGCGGACGGAGAAGGGGTTCATCGAGGCCGACGTCATCGTGCTTGCAAATGGGTTTGTGACCAACTCGTTCCTAGGTGACGTTGAGGTCCAAGGCCTGACGGAGACGTTGGCTCAGCACTGGGAGAAGTTTGGTGGTGCAGAGGCGTACAATTGCTCGGCCATGAGCGGGTTTCCCAATTTCTTCTTGCTGTTCGGTGGGTCGATCTCAACTCTGTCCGGAACTAATCAGGGACTAACTCGCTGTGCTCGACGATTAGGACCGAATGCGGCTACGGGGCACACATCCGCCATTATGGCCGCCGAGAATTCCATTAACTATGCTCTTCGCGTGATCAAGCCCGTCCTCGATGGGAAGGCGAGCGCCGTAGATCTCCGGCTCGAGGCAGAGCAGCACTACGTGGACCAGATCCAGGACGATTTGCAGAAGACGGTGTGGAACTCGGGATGCCAGAGCTGGTACGTCGAGGAGAATGAGCAAGGACGCAAGTGGAATGCTATGAGTTACCCGTACTCGCAGGCCTATTATTGGTACAGGAGCCTGTTCCCTGTCTGGCGAGATTGGGAGTTCTATGTGAGTCAAGTGGGTCAAGTGAGCCAAACAAGGAAGAGAAGGCACCCTAACTCGAGCTTAGGAGCCGACGACACGCAAACCATCGAGTCTCTGCCGCAGGATTTTCAGAACGATATTCTTTAAGAGAGGCATCTTCACCGCAGGTATCCTATCCTACCTCGCCTGGAGACACCAGTGGGATATCCGAAGACTTGCTCTCCTGTTGGTACACCGGCTGAAGACGCTCTTGGGTATGTCTCGTGTGCAATGGTGACCCCCAGTGTGCATAGTCTGTGTCAGGCTACTACTGTTGTATTTTAGTTAGAATTAATTAGTAGACTTCTGCAATTTCTCTCTAACCGCAGACTTGGGAGCCAAATGCATCCACACTTTATCGCCATCATCTCCTTCCATGGCCTCTTGCAGTCCCACAAGTTTGCGCTTGCACTTGTCCCTCTCCTTCTTCCGCATAACCCAGGTACGCAGACGGATACAGGATTCCTTCGGGATCTTCAGTCTCGCCGCCACCCATTTCTTCTTTGGCCTGTGCTCAAGCGTTATGCATCCCCCTGAATCCGCATCCGAGAGCGTAGACCCAACCCAAGGGCTTCCAAATTCCACCTGCTCTGGAGGCAATACTAGCTTCAGGAACTCAAGACATAGTCCAACTGTCATATACACGCCCCGTCTGGAGTTCACCGTCGTCTTCATGACAATGGACAGAAGCCTGGGGTACAAGAGCGCAAAGTCCGTCTGGGAGAGATGTGCCGACCCGCGGAGAGTAAGCATCCAAACCGGCTGGTTCCCGTCGCGGGCCTCCCGGCAGATCTTCTGAAGAGTCGTGAAGTTGTCTTCCCAGTACATGAATGCCTCGGAGCCGATCGCCAATAGCGGTTTGTACCGTTGGGCGGCGTCCTGTTTGCGCTGTGGAATCGCGACGCCCCAAGCATCGAGGAGGATCCCTCGACCGATGCAGGGGAACTGGCTATCGCGTCTGAGCACCTGAACTGTCGTGGCGCCGCCAAACGAGTGCCCCATCATGGTGATATCATGCAAGTTCATTCTTCCTCTCCAAGTCGTCCAGTCAATGCCATCAAGCCCGTGCGAGCTAGATCCAACGTTGCCCTTTCTGCGTAAGTTACGTCCCGCGATTTCCTCTCCGCCTCCATCGTTGATGAGCTGAAGGATATAGATGACTTCCTCGATCTCCTCGAGCCGCATGTCGATCTGCGCTGACCGTAGCTCCATGTCTACGCCGCGGTCGTTGTTTGGTGCAGTGTCTCTTGGGTTGCCTTCGGGGAAGAGGTAGTCCACGACGTAATAGTTCCTAGCCCTCTGCTTCTGCACCTTCCGACTGCCCGGATCCACACCCGACTCTCCAGGATCTGACGGTGCCGATGGCGACGCCGTTGGCCTTGCCACGTTGACATAGGTGCGCGCACAACTTCCGTCCCGGTGTTCCGGGGCAATAACCACGAATCCCGAGCTTGCCAGCTCACCGCATACTGCGCTACATACTGTTCTAGACCCTCCGAGGCCGTGACTGAAGATGACAACCGGAAATGGACAGCCTTCTCCGTTGCCTTGTCTCGTCCCTGATGAAGTGTGATCATTGCTCTCCGCGCAACCCACGGTATGCTTCTGCGCGAGTTGGGCGTTCCGTACAGCCGGCATTTTCGTGAACATAGATGTGCTGGCCAAAAACGTCGTGACTGGAAGATTGGGGACGTTGAAGAACTTGGCATACCCTTTGCATGTCTGCACTCTCGGGCGGGGAAGCCACGGGAGTCTTGTCTCGACGAATTGATCCCCAGTCCTGAGATCGCACGGGTAGTAGACACAGAACAATGCCGTGTCTAGTCGGAGAGCCGGCTTGCCGTGTCGTTCGACTTGCGGGAATGCGCGCGGTTGCCTTACGGCGAGCTCAATCTCCATGCAACTAACGCTGTACTTCCCTGTGTATGGCGGAAGGGTCGGCACGAAATGTTCTCGAAACAGCCTGGGAGGTTGGGGAGGCAGTGACGGTTTGTCCTGATTGCCCGTGGTTTTGTTCATCCTGCCTGTGTAAAATGGAGCTGAAACACCACTTGGTCCAGCCAGGAAAACATTCTTTGGCCGGTTGAAGAAAGAGCGTATTCCATCAAGCAATGCTTTGGTTGAGTAATAGAGCTGAGAGATTAGCAATAGTTAATTCCCATGTAGGAGCATGTCCCTGGTTTGAGGCTTCCGACTCCTCGGGATATGTATGTCGTCATCAGGTGGATGGGTTTAATGACCTAGTTGTGTCTCCGCTAATCACGTCCTAGTCTGGGGAACGGCGGAATATTCTAATGGCCCACGCACCACGCACCACACGCCAGCACCCGAGTAATTGGCGAGGCCTACGCCCACGGCGCGATGCGCGGAGAGGCAGGGCATATGCTTACGGACGGATCAAAACCACTGCGATTGTAAATAATTACTACCAACCCCCGAAGATCGATTCCCTTAACCAGTCCTACTTAGTCAACAACGGCGCGGCAACATACAGCTGATCAAACCTTTTTTCCAGCAATAGCGGCATCTTGGCCATCTTCGCTAGCGCAGCATCCCAACCAAAGGCGACAGCCCACGTCGCCACAAAAGTCGTCTGAACACCGTCCTTCTCCTCCTCTCGCTCACCCTCCTCCTCTTCATCCTTCCCCCCTAACGCGGCGGCGGCATCGCTATCCCAATTGGGTGTCTCCCACATTCTATGCACCTCGTCCCACTGGGCCTTACCCTCCTGAGGCTGCGCACCCACCCACTCCTCGCTTGCCGGCACGGGGACGGGGAATTTTCTCACAGCGTCAAGATCCTCCAGGTTGGCATCCAAGATGATGAATGTGGGCAGCTTGTCCTCGGACATGAAGGGCGGCGGGCCGGTCAGCAGCACGCCCATCATCAGCCTTATACCGCCGTCTGAGGTGTCGAGCAGCTCGCTAATGTTGTTACCGCTCTTGGAGGGGTCGGAGCGGTCGTTATCTGTAGGCATACACCCACATTTGTTAGCGTTTTCTGCTTACCCAACTCGATTTAGAAGTGAGTGGGCGAACACGGGGGAGAAAAAAAGGTTACGCAAGGGAAACAGAAAGAATAATCTAGTCTTACACTTAGCCCACAACCCCGTCGGGACCGACTTGACAAACTTCTCCATAGGCCACACCTTGGGCGGCTCATGACTGTCCTCCTGCGTGATCGAGATCTTGACGCTCGAATCAAGAGCATCCGTCAGATGCATCGGTTTGGCGTAGATGGTTTCATCCGTATACTCGACAGTCGCGATGGGTTTATCTTTCTCGTCGACCTGCTCCGCTTTTGCTATGGCTATCTTGCACCCGACCACAAACGAGAAGGTTCCACCCCGCACCGTCCACGTCTGGTTGTGGTCTCGCTCGGGCTTGTCGGTGTCGTTCATCAGGCCGGATTGCGCGAGAAACGTGTGGCCTTCGTCTTTTTTCGGGGGGTCATCCTCGCCTTCTTCCTCTGCCTCTGCGGCTTGTGGTAATAGGGGCTGGTCGTCATCGTCGAGTTCAATGACCCGGGACCTCTCGAACTCTGCCAGGGCCTTGGGGGCGGTAGCGGCGGCGGCGGTGGTCTTGGTCTGTTTGCTACTGGCTTGCAATACCAGATGGTAAAACTCCAGTAGTGAGGCGGGAGGTTTATCGTCCCCAGCGCTGCCAAAGTTGATGTCGAATTTGGCCACCTTGATATCGACATGCACTCGCCCGGCCATTGGCGGACCCCAGAGTGTCAGGTCGGCGCCCACTTCCACCGAGATATGGATGTGAATGAAGAGGACATCCAGGTTGAACCGGACACCAACGCTGATTCCGGCCTCGGCAAGGAAGTGGAACGGCTTGTAGTTGATCAAGAAGTCGGCGAACGCATCAAACCACGCCTCGATCGGTCCCGCGTGGAAGGCAGCATGCAATCTCCCGCCGCCCATGCACGCCTTGGGTGTGATGGCAAAGTACGCCTGTCCGGTGATGGACAAGTTACTTCCCAGACTCCAGCTGATGGCCAGACGTGGGGGGTTGGGATACCCAGCCGGCACCGCGAACGCCTGGTGGTACCCTCCCAGGGTAAACACGAAATCCCCAATCAGCGACCGGTCGGCGTGGGGGGCATCAAACCAATAGTACAGTGCAGACCCGCCCGTCAGATGGCAGTTGGGATCCAGAATGTAGGAATTGGGAGACAACTGGGCCTCTGCCTTGAGCGTGCCATAATCTAGATCGATCACCACCGCAATTCCCAGTTCGACGTGGGCGAACTTGACTTTGGACGCCGAGGTGGGAATGTCGGCCAGCGCAACAGCGAACAGGCCCATTTTGATCGACTGGCCAAACTGGATCACAGCCACCGCATCGAGCGAGATCATCTGGAAGGCATCAATCTTCATGCCCGCCGCGGCCCAATACGTGTCGTCCAGCGGCTTGAACCACCCGTCCGCCTTTGGACTCGTGAGTCTCTCCAGCGTCGTCAGGGCGCTTTCGGTGGCTCCCGCCAGGCTAGTGGATTTGACAAAGGGGAAATTGACGACCTGGTCGGCCGTGGGTACGCGAACCTCGGATTTGTAACCGAACCCGCCCGTCACTCCTGATATCTCGGCAAATTCGAGTGTGACAAGCGGGCCATCGAGTCGGGCGAATACGAACACCGACTTGAATCTCTTATTGGGGTCTGTCGATCCCTCGGGAAGGGCGTCGCCGTAGAATCCGGCTGCTTGGAGTTGATAGGGCACCCATCCGATAATGAGGCCGCCGGCGTAGTAGTCGAGATTCTCGGACTTTCCATGTCTGATGATGCCGGCGATAGTCAGCGGGGGTTTTTCAAAGGACGCAGACAGGCCCTCGAGGCTCGGGAGTAACATCGTGATCCCGTCGAGATGGAGTGAGGTGATCTGCAGGTTGATGCTGAAGCCGATGAGGGAGAAGCCCAGGGGGCCGAGCTCGAAGGTGGCTGTGAACTGGATGTGGAGGGTCTTGTCGGCATATTTGAGACCGATGTTGCTGATGGCCAGCGGGCCGGATTTCTTTTTGAACGGGGCCGAGGAGCTGTTCCCGTCCGAGTCAGGCTTTGGTGGGCCCTCTGCCTCCAAGTCGTCGTCGTCTTGTTCTTCTTCTTCTTCTTCTCCAGCGAGCGTGAGTGCCTTGGCTTGCTTCGGTGGCTTGGGTTGCTGCTGCGGCTGAGACTTCTTAAAGTCGTAGTCCAAGACGCAAGTCCGGACGCCCTGTTGGTCCTTGGTGATGATGGCGAAATGGGATCCCGCAGAGATGAGCACGTCCTTGGGGGCCGGGCTCTGGAACTTGTCTTTGGGTACTAGCGGGTGGTCGGTCAGGGTCTTGTTGAGGTCATCGATCTCTTGACGGGTCAACCCTGGGGATGCCTTGTTGAGGCCGGTCCCGTCCTGTACCCACATCAGGTACATCTCGTCGAAGGGCTGTGTGAGGTCGCCGATCAGGGGTAAATCGACTTCCGGCAGGCCGACGAGAGCAAACTTGACGAAGCGCTTCGAGGGTATCTTGGCGTCCCACTCGGCCAGATGGATCTGCGCGAAAGTGAGTTCTAGTTCTCCGACCTGGATAGAGGACATGAACTGGAACACCCCTTCCGCCCCGGGGGATTTCTCGACATCTAACTTGATGCCGCCCGGACTGTCCTTGGCGCTGATCTTGGTGTCCGCCAGGAACGTTGGTAAGTCCAGGTCGTCGTCGCCGAGAATGTCCGACAGGACAGATCCGATGGTGGCCTCCTTGTCCTGTGGCTGGAGAGTTGCGGTAAAACTCCATGGCTTCTGATTCTCGTAATGGAAATCAAGCTGAAGAGCCAAACCGCCGACGAGAATCAGGCCGTCAAACTTGAAGTAGGTCCCGACAGCTTTCCCCTGGACCTCTGACGAACCCGTGTACTTGTAGTCCAGAGTCAGGTGGTCGATGACAAGAGAATCAATCAGAGGGATCACATGATCGACCGAGTCCGGGTCGAAGAACTCGCAGAGAGTGGAAGCGTAGAGGCTTTGGAGCGAAGCCTTTAGCTCCCACGTCTTATCGCCGGAGCTGTAGTCCAAGGAGCCTGTGAGAATGGCCGACTCGGGGTGTTTGGAGGTCTTGCTCGGGATCAAGACAGACGTGATGCCTAGGCTGAGCTTGAAGTCCTTCTGGCTGCCCCAGCTGTACGAAGCAGACAGGTCGATCCTTCCGAGGTCGATCTGGGGGACAGTAGACTCCTTTTCGCCTGTGGTAGAATCCTTGGACTGAAGGGTGGCTTGGATGGCGAACTGGGATTGTGAGAGGTAGATGCTGGCCTTGGTGACCTGGGTGGGCACATTGGCAGGTAGAGTATCGACTTTCTGACCAGGAATCAATGTGACCACGTCGAGTGCGGTTGCCGGGGTATTCGTGACTGGCAGTAAGTCGGATGCCGCCCGGTAGTTGGGGTTGAGAACGCGGGCATCGTCAGAGTTGAACCCTGAGCCAAGTCAGCATCGTTCTGTTCCGTGCAGGGAAAAAAAGGGCGGGAAGATGGGGGGCGGTTAGAAACTCACAGTTCCAGAAACTGCCACTGATGGTTCCCAGCGTGCCCATGCCCGCCGACCAGTTGTATGAGACTAAAAACGCCACTCGCTGGCTCTGGTCGCTCCCCTGACCAAAGGTGCCAGACACCTCGATATCGAGGCTCACGCCCGCAATCTTGGGCGAAGATCCTGAGGCATCTACAGCAACCTTCAACCGGCGGAGGAAGATGTGGTCCTTGAAGAGATTATCGCTGGCTAGGACATTCTCGACAGAGTCTACGCCCGACCCCTGAGGCAGCAGACCAATCAGCCAGCCGATGATTCCCGTCAAACCATCTTTAGACTCGGGCTTTATTTTGAACGTCAGTTCGTAATTGTTCTTCGAGATCTGGAGAGCGAGGAGCATCTTGACGGGATCCCCGGACGGGGGCTGGACCGAACAGTCGATCTCGATTTCGATTTCGCCAGTCGCGACGGGTTGGGCTCCCTTGTTGGTTCCCACAAGCACCATCGTCTTCTTGCAGGCGATGCTCACGCCTTGAAAGTCAAGCCCCGGGAGAAAAGCCCTCAGCGCTTCTTCCAACACCTCGGCCCCATCAATATCGAATTGGAGCCGCATGGTGGTCTTCAGCTGCAGATCTGGACTGAACCACAGGGCGTTTCGCTTCTCACCCGCGTTGTCAAGCTTGAGCGTGACGCCCAGTCCAGCCAGGCCTTTGATCGGTAGAGATTTGCCAAGGGTGTCCAGACCAGCGAATGTGTAAAGATTGCCAACCGTCGATTTCAAGTTGTTGGGAGTCGCCTCGGGGTCGAGACCAAGGTACAGCGGCGTGCCGTCGTCCGTCATTCCGGGACTTGGGACAAGCGAGCTACTATCCAGCGTTCTGGTGCCGAACGCAAACTTGATAGCATCGGCGCTGGAGCTAAAGGTGACATCCCAGGGGACTTTGAGGCGGAACTCGAATGACTGGATGTTCAGATCTTTCGCGTTGTCGTATGTCACCGAGACCTGGCCACTGGGGTCCCAGTTGGTCATCCATGTGTCCCACCTGTCGGTGGCATCCAAAGATGCAGATATTCCGGACGGCTCTGCGCTGAGAATAATGCCTTGGTCCGGAAGGAGGAAGAGAAAATTGTCAACATTCTTGGGCGACGGCGAGAGGACATGGACATTGCCCCCAGACGATTTACCGGTTTTGCTTGAGTAGATGTAGTACTTGTCTCCTGAGTTGGTTGCCGCTACCGTTCCCTCTGGTCTTCGACCCGGGATGACCGCCACCAGGCGGCGTTGATAAGGGGTGATTTCGACCATGACAGCAACGAGCAACCCGATATCTACCCCAGGTCTAGGAAGGGGAGCAAGAAGCAAGGGCCAAGAAATGAGAGGGTTTGGGTTCGTTGTCTCAAAAACGCGGTGTCAACATTGAGGGCTCTGGCGGTTTGTCACGAGCAACGCTGATGGTGGGGCCGTCCACTCTTCCCGGACGGGAAGCTTCATCAACCACTGTTCGACTTCCAAGTACTACAATGAAAAGAGGGGTTCGGAATGTTGTGCGTCTGCCGACTCCGTTCTCGGGGTGGAAGATGGCGGGGTTGGTTCGTGTATAATTACGCTGTGGTAGTGAGCCAAGCCAGCCACAGGCCAGCGCAAGTCCTCGTGGTCGTCCTCTTGGTCATCTTCGTAGTTGTCACCGAGCGGTTCGACAGACAGTTTAGGCAGGGATAGCCGCCCTTCGCTGCACGGAGAAGAGCTGAATCGCATGCACATGTTGATAGAATCATCACGGCTGCAGCTACTATGTAACCCTGGGTGAGATAAACAAACACCCCTAGCCATGGGTTGAGTACATATGCATTATCTTCTGCATATCGCTGTAATGAAGGACATGGTAATTCAGGAGGGGGCGTGTGCATTAAAACCACTAAGAAAGCGTAACCGTTATTTGACGTGCAGCCTACTGCAGTTTCAGCTCGCCTCTTGCAGTCAGCCCTGGAGATCACCAACGCCGTGTTTGTGTGCCCGCGCGTCGTCATCTCGGCTTTCCCCGCAATCGCGACACGCAACCGGAGCGACATCCAACCGATGTACTCGCTGGTCCATCCCAGGCAACGGCCCGAACCGACAAACCTAAATTATAATAGGCCAGAACCTAGTCATAAGATCACCGCTTATGCCTCGAAATTTACCGAGCCTGCAATGTTACCCAACCACTTCTTCCTCCGCGCTCAGCCAGCCTGCGATGATGAGTTTTTCCTCATTCGAAACTCTTTGCAGGTCATGCAGAGAACAGCTGTGTGACATAGCAATAAGGGCCGAAGAATGATGCAAGCAGAGGGTGATTGGATGCCATGCAAGTAATATCGACTGACGTATCGAGTGGGGAAAGGATGAAGTAAGGAACAATTGTGTGTGGCCTGGACTGCAACCATCTCGGGCATTCGGGATATCCTGGTGCGGCCATACCCCCCATCCCATGCCCCCGTTACCGCTGTTGATTGACTTTGTTTATCACAGCTCACGGTGAGCTGTAATTACTGTTTACTTTATCCGCTGTGGTTTGGGAGGACTCGCCCTGACACCTGACCCCTGACTCATTCTACTCGGTACCCCTCCCCTCCCGTCTTGCCCAGGCTTGCTTGCAACATCTTCTTGCTTCGTGATAGCATAGCATCTACACACCATGGCAGATTCGTTGCTTCTTGTGCCGGTACAGTTGCAGGCGTTCGTTCTGAACCCGGCGGTGTGCAACACTGGACAGGATGGCGACGATGGGGCCCGCATCGTTCCAATCACCCAGCCAAACTACACCTTCCTTCGTCTGGACAACTTTGTTCTTCAAAGCGATGTAATGAACCATGCAGACATGCACAACTCTGCCCCAGCGGACAAAAACTCGCGCATGACAGATCTGGGGGCGAGACCAGACCCTGCTCCTCGTCGAAACCGCCATGGAGTTTACATCCACTGGATCTTGCCCCAGGTCTACCGCACGGGTGTGACCTCGGCCGACTCGGTGCCAGAGAATCGGCGAGACCATGAGCGGCTCCAACGCGGATTGCCACCAAGGGACAAGAATCTGAAGACCGCCGAGTCCAGCAACACGCCCGAATTCCTCCAGCCCCCGACTAGATGGATTGTTGTGCGCAAGCTGGACCTGGATAGTATTTCCCCAGAATCTGCCAAATCCAGCTTCAAGGAGTACCAGGCTTGGGTGATCGAAAGCGACTACCGTTGGAAGCTGGACTGCATTCCGGCCGACTACGACCTCGAGGTTGACGTCTCCCCGTTTGTCGTCGGGGTGGCCGATGGACACGATGGACGGGATGCCAACATTGTGCAGCAAGCCGAGGTGTTCGTCGGGAGGAAGACACCCCTCGAGAAGTGGACCTCGGGCCAGGAAAAGGGAACCGCGTACATCGACAACATGAGTCTACTCCGCAGCAACAACCAACTGTTCGCCGATTTCCAGCTGCACAACTCCAATGTCTTCAGCATCTTGGACAACTTCCAGTATGACGGGCCCGACGGGTCACCACTCTACCTGGACCACGCCAATGCGAGCTACTACCTCTTTGGCTGGCACAAAGACAATGTCACAGATCCTCTCTATGACGAGTCCCGGCAGTTTACCCACTCGCAGAAGCTCGATGGTCTGTTCATGACGCTCGTCGACAGCGGCATCTCGGAGGTTACCGATGCATGGCTCAAGTCGTCAGATCCGGCACGCCTGTGTTGCCACGGCGCCATTTACGACGTGAAGTGGGACCACAGCTCGAAGCCCAAGTCGGTCCCAGCGGACGACTATGCTGCAAGAATCAAGAACCATGAAGTTGCCGCCCTTTCCATCGGTACGACGCCAATGGATGCCCTGCTCACCTACTGCAAGGCACGCGAAGGGCACGAAGAGGGTCTGATAGCCAAGTTGGAAGAGGACATTCTGGCCATCGACTCGCTACTGCACGCCCGAGACGACGGTGTCGAGGGACAGCGCGAGGCCAAGGACACGGTGTATAACTGGAATTTCTCCCGCGCCAAGGGGGGCACACACTTCTTCCTCGGCGGCGAAGACTCAACTGGAAGGCCAACGAAGCCCAATGATGATTCCATCGGGGCCCTGGAGGAGATCAACCAGCTCCAACAGCTGCTCGATGGCTGCGACCGCCTGGCTCGTCAGCGTCGCTGGGACATGTTTTCCCTCTGGTGGAAATACGTCAGTGACGTGTCCAACAAGGATCGGCCGAGCAAGAACCCGACGTACAACAGCCAAGCCACCGACCTCGCCACGCGAATTAGCCAGATGCAGTCCTTCATCGTCACCCTGCGCCGGCAGATAGAAGATAAGAGGCAGCAGAACACCCCCCTAGCCACCTCAAAGACCGGCACCCTGCCCTTCTTTTATCGGGCCCGCGATCCTACCTTGCTCGTCGGTGGCGTCGAGTCAGGATGGCCCGCTGATTTCTCCAACAATGTCTCGGTTCGACTACCCGTGCAGACAGTCGTATCAGACCACGTCCCTGACGAATTGAATCAGCTGGGGCTAGACATTCAGAAGGCGTTCCCCGATACCCTCCCTCTCAAGGAGGTCGCTAGCCTTCTTGGCGAATTCTTTGCCCTGCTCCCTGAGCAGCAGCCCTCCAAGGATCCCCCGAAAGAACATGCGTATCCCCAATTCCACGACTCACCCGGCGGCGAGGCCACACTGCGAGATGAGTGGGGTGATCGGCAGCCGTGGTTCCCGCTCTACGTCGAGTGGGAAGCAGAATACACCCACGTCCCCTTCGAGTGGTGGGCCCTGGACGAACAAGCATCCCGGCTATCGGACAATAAGCTCGTCCGGTATGGCGTCGAGGTCCCGAGTGGAAAGCCTCTATGGGAGGAGATTGCGAAGCGCCTGCAGTCCCCAAACACGAAGGAGCCTCCCGACACCCGGATCCTTTCGGGGCGGGTCCTTATCCTACCCCAGCCAAGTTTCTCCCTTGCCGCCAAGGTGAGGCAGCTGTTTTCCGACACGCCTCCGAAGATTCTCAATGAGTACCTCTCTGAAGATGAGCGCAAAAACCTACTGGACCACATCAACGAGCTGTCATACTTGTCTTGTCCGCTGTCGGGACTCACCGAGGGCCTGCTCACACTCAACCAGGGCACGCATGTAAAACCCGAGTACAAAGAGGTGGCGCGGGACGGGGACAAGGTCACGGCGGTCGGGGCGGCGCAGTTTAACCAGGCCGGGCTTACAAAGGAGAACATCGAGCTTATCGCCGGCAATTCCGCGTTTACACCCTTTGCGGCGTCGGCGAGCTTTGCCAACGACAAGTATTGCCCGTTCAAGCCGGCCACGCACGGTCAGATGAGGTAATTATTGACCCTCAACCTCCCTCCCCTCTTTCCCTTTTTACAAGTCAATTAATACTTAACATGTGGTCCAGATTCCGGAAGCTCAACATCATCGACAAGTTCGGCCAGGCGGTAGTCGCCATAGATCCGCAGCCACGCCTGGAAGGTCACCCACCTCTGTACCCCTGCATCAGCGACTTTTACGAGCCGCAGGGGGTCCAGGTGGGTGATGAGAAGGTCGCCAACACGGTAATTCAGAACAACGGTGGCGCGTGCGAGTTCATCCAGCTGCCCCCTCAGATCAATCAGAACGCACGGCTCAACGCAGAGTTTATCACCACGACCGCCCTCCCTGCTCCTACTCCTGCACCCCCCACATCCACCGGGAAACCAAAGGCAAAGGAAACGCAGTCACCGCCATACTGGCGCCCTACGACGGAGTGGGAGAGTCCCATCTGGGGGTGGATCGTAACCAACTACGCGGACTACGGCATCCAGCTCTTCCTCAAGGACGGCACCTTTTACGGCGAGGTTCGCATCGGGGGACCCAACGGGGCACTCGAATCACCCAAGTGGTCTCCGTTCGAACCTCCCAAGCCTTCCCCCACAACAACATCGAATGATCTTGCCAGGCTCGACGCCCTGATCCAGCGCCTCAGGCAGCCAGACTACCTCAAGGGGTTCTGGTCGATGCTAACCATGGCCCTGGACAGCTTGCCCCCTGCTCCAAGCTCCTACGCCCAGTTTCTTGGTTCGGTCGTCGGCAAGCCCCTGGCATTGGTAAACACCGGCTGGTCGCTCGAACTGGACTCCCCGCCGCTCACCAACCAATCAACCCGCTCCAAGATCTCTACCCCCGAGCGGCAGCTCATCGACCCCTCCAATCCCGACGACGGATACATCTTTCATGTCAAACTTGGCGACAAAGAACGCGAGTACGACGGCCTGGTAGGGTACTTTGACGGCTACTCCCAGCCTGACCCTGAATCCGGCGAAGAACTCGCGTACGACTTCGTCAAGACCTACTTCGTCTCCAAGAACAACGAATTCAAGAACCTCATTCCAATCGCCAAGGACAACTACCCCACCTTCAAGCCCTACTATGTTCCCCCCTTCCCCGAGGACGATCCCCCCAATTATTCGGGGCTCGTATCCCCGCGGTCGTATGCAGACCAACACAACTCCCAGCTGGGCCTACACGTGTTCGGAGCCATTGTCGACCCTTTCACCGCCATCCATGCATATTCCTCTTTTCTCCCGGCCACGGCGCTGGCGTTGAGATCGTGGACCTGGCAAGACGCGCTGAACAACATGGTCGCCTTCCTCCACGCCGGTCCGCTCACTCTGATCGACGACGTCAAGGGCTACGACCCCTCTAGGAAACTGACGGCCGATATCGCAAAGGAGAGACCCCCGGTGAATGTGGGGTTGCCGGCGCTGGCTGCGGGCGATTGGAACTGGTTGCAGCCGTATGTTGATCCGACGCCGCCCCAGGACCAGGGAAAAGAAGAAGAAGACGTGCCGGTACCGGTGTACAATGCGTACGGGATTGAGAAGAAGGGGAATCTGTTGAGTCCGGGGTTCCAGAACGCGCCGTACACGGCTGTGGAGGGGTTCTTACAGTTGAGGAGGCCGATCATGACGGAGGATCCCAAGACGGATGATGACGGTGACAATGGGGAGTAATGAGCCGAGACTTTCTGAAATTGGAGGAATTGGAGTTGCTATATAACGGCTTTCAGACACGCGTGATGCAAGACAACGTTTTGGCCTCCACGCCCGTGCCCCTTTTCAGAGATTCAGGGGATTCAGGGGTCGAGTTGCGTTACCTGTCCGGCCATGTTGGTCATCTATAACTTTCAGTCAGTTTATCCGATACTGAATAATTTTGTATTTATTTGTCATGCGTAAACTACCTCCATGTGGATATGGCAATCTGCGCAAAGTAAGGGCCACTGATTACATCACATTTGAAGCTGCATCTTGGTTATCACCCAGCGGCGGAAGAGATCAGGGCAACCAAAGTAGCAAACAAAGTAGCATTAACACGACAGCACTGTCCAGCATTGAGCGAGACACTAGTTTGGCCCCGTGTGTCTCCAGGATGCACAGCCCAAGCTATGGACGGACGAACTAGACAATAGACAAATAACGGTAAAGACCGTACTCTCGGCTGCCAGAATGCGAACCCCCGTCTCCCCACACACACATGTCTCAAGACACAAAGAAAGTGGGTGCCACTAATAGGGGACAATACCACGGTGGCTCCCTATGTGCGCTTGTCAACTATGTGTTGGAACTTGTACTTGGTGTCTCCCTGGGCGGTATAGAAGATGTGGTTGCCGTTGGCGGCTGGCACGATGGCGATCTGGCTCGCGTCGTCGACCGAGGCGTGCGCCGAAGCAACGGGCGAGGACGATCCCCAGCTACCGCCGGTCTTGGTGATGACGCGGAGCTGGTTGCTGCCGTCGATGTAGTAGAGGTAGACCTTGCCGTCGACGATGGTAGCCGCCAGCGGAGTGTTCGGCTTGGCGTCGCCCGAGTTGACGAGTTCGGTGTCTGCCCAAGCCCCCCAATTGTTTAGCAAATCATTTATTTGTCTTGGGAGAGAAGATGGATGGCAGGACTACCGCTTACCGCTAACGCTCTCGGTATTGGGAGAGTACTCGTGCAGTCTCACCGGCTTGTGGGCCTGGTAGAGGATGTAGCGGTTATCCTGCTCTGCGACGTAGTAGGCAGCGAGGGAGCTCCCGGGCAGGATTCTGACCGTGTTTTCATAGCTGCCAGGAGAATCCTCGCCGAGGGTGATCTCATTGATGGTCGTGGTATTGAAATCGGTGCCACTGGGTTAATTTGTTTGTCAGTATTATTTTCTGTTCTTGGACTCTCATTGTCAGGTGTGGGCTCACGTCAGGTAGAAGATATAGGCAGTGCTGTCCGAAGAGGTGCTGGCAATGGTCAGGTTGCTGACCTCGGTCGCGGAAATGGGCTTGTAGACGGGGCTGATGATGGAGACATCGTTCTGGGTCGGGTCGCAGCCGCAGTTCTCATGCGAAACCGTCGTTTCTTTCGGCTTGGCAGTGAAACCGACGACAATATTGACGCCCGTCAAATCGGTGCTGGTGATCTGCGAGGGATTGACGATGAGGCCAGGCTGGTCAGTGTCGGAGGGCACGAAGGTCTCAGTCTCGTCAACGGTCTTTGACTCATCACGAAGCTGAATGCCGAGGTTCTTGGTGTTGGTGTTATAGAACAGATGAATCCGCTTGCTCGCGGGAGCGTTGGGGTTGATGATGGCGGCTGCTCCAGGCATGGTGATGATAGTTGTTTGGGTGGATTTGGAAGTGTTGATATGGGGAAATGGAGATGTTGGGATAAGGTGCTGGTTGAGTGCTTGCTTGTTGTGGGGGCGGCTGGGCTGTGAGTCTCGTTCAGAGAGTCGATGGCGCTGAATTTATATCCACGGAGACGGAGAATCCCAGACACAATTCAAAATTCCAAGAGCTTCCATGGTATCCCAAGACTCGACATCTCTCGCCAGCATTGTTGATGAGGTAGCCGGTGGCGCAAGAGCTGATGTGCATGTGTAACTGCTCATCGACCTAGCTGTTGCCGCAGCGAAAGCGGATTCATCATGATTGGGAGAGCCGAGTCGGCATGGCAGCCACTCGTTGTCGTAAAGCGGAGGATCCTTTGTCTGACATGTCCTCCTCCCTCGCCTAGCCTTCGACGAAGGGACGACGAAGGGAAGTGATCGGCTTGGGGGACCCCGCACCGGTGTTCTCCACGAGTTGCAGAGGATATGGCAACAATTGGGCTGGGATCTGCAAAAAAAGCCTCGAGCCGAGGGTGGTTCAGCTCTCTTGGAAGCCAATCTTGCATGTAGGCTTTACCAATTCCATTTATGAATGCATCGTAATCATCACATGCGACTCCTTGGTGCTCGAGGTTTTGAATGGCGATAAACATGCTCGAGTTGACGATATGGCGATTGGATGCGCGTTGTCGCGCGATCGACGGTTACTAGCGCAACTATTGGGATTTATGCATGCATATTCAGACGCATTTGACAGATGCATGCTCGACTTTCCACGCACACAAGCATGTCAAGCGTGGGTGCGGGGTTGCTGTCAAATGTGGTTCTATGTACTGTACCTACTGTACATGCGTTTGTACGTACCTGGTGACGGGACAGACTGGAGGGAGAGGTGAATGTATAAACATGGCTTGGATATGGGCCGAGGGGTGACATTATCACGCATGGGACCTTTGCCAAGTAATTAATAATTATGCACCTACGTGAACATGTTGCAAACACGCCCCCTGAATTCCCCTCCTCTTCTTCCCCCTCCCTCTCCGCCGTGGAGTCCTGCTGGTTCACTAGTAAACCTTTCCGATGCCGATGCCAGACGAAGCTTAGTAGCTGAGACTGAACCGGATCTCTTTTGTGACTGATTCCTAGCATGCAAAACGAGGAGAAAGTTGAACGCTCATGAGATCTTTTGGTCCGAAGGCTCATCCACCGCCCCCGCCTCCTAGCCAGCCGTCCAGAATCGGGAAAAAAAACACTGACTTTCTTCTGCTTTTTTGTTCTGTCCCATCATGGCCATCTTCACTGGGGGCAAGAGTCGGGCAATCAACTCCCCCCGCCATCTGACCCTCCGTCATGCCCGCCGGAAAGTCACCCTCAGTAAAATCGCACACGGTCTCCTCGGTGCCGAAGAAGATGACCAGCCTACCTTGAATCCCGGCGAGGAGAAGCTCAACTCCTTCTGGGCTCCCGGGCTCGAGGCCGGCCCGAAGCACACCGTACTGGCCACGCAGACCGTTAAAGCACCAGGAGGTGGCAATGATCTTGTGCTCGTCTCGGAGCAAGACTTCTTTGTCGACGCGCCCCAGTTCTCCCTGCCCGAGGGATCAGTCTACTCCACTTACCCTCCGTCTGGATATCCCGACGACCATCGTATCCTTCCCCATGTCGTGCTCAGCGACCCTCATCTGCCCTGGGAGAGACGGGGCAGTCCCAAGGACGACGACAGAGGAGACAAGCGCAACAAGGTGCCATGGCTGACCCTCTTCACCTTCACCCAGGACGAACTCAAGCTCGCCCCCGACGCTCTGGGTGGCATGCAGTTCAAGCAGACACCGACTCTGGCCGTCAACATGGCGGTGGGAGACCTCTGGAAGATCAGCACTGCCGCCACTCCCATCACCCCCGAGCTGGGGCCCGAGAGCATTAAAGATGCCAAGGGCGATTTCATCTTCATCAAGCCCGATCTGTTCAAGAGCATGTTCTCCACCTTTGACGAAAACAACAAGCGGCTTGTCCCGGCATCGCCAGACACGACCAAATACAAGTACCTCGCCCATGTGCGCAACATCAACACCACGGGCATGGCCGTGGCTGGCAAGGAGGATGTCGGCATCTTCTCCGTCGTGGTGGGGAGCCGTGCTGGGCCTCTTGAGAACGAAACGCCAGTCTCCGTGTCGGTCCATCTCGTCTCCATAGAGGGAGTGGAGGGCATGGAGGGCTTTCCCGATGACAAGAACTTTGTGGCCCTGTGTTCCCTCCACAGCTGGAACTACACCGTCAACCCGCCCAACATGCTCAACGTCTACGACGCGTTTGTCAACCTCGGGAAGACATTGGATGTCCTCCGCGCCCCTGACCCGATCATCAACCCTCTCCTTGCCTTGCCCGACAAGGTGCCAAGGCGCCTCGCTCAGCGTCTCCAGGACGGGTACACGCTTGTCAAGTACCGAGTCCAGACAGGAGAGCAGGTGGCGGCGCTCTATCGCGGCCCTTTCACGCCGACGTTTGTTGCACGTCTCCCAAACCGCGACAGATGCTCCAACTCGGGCCAGGATCTCCAGATCCTCGATCGACAGGTAGGCATCATGGATGTGAGCTACTCGGTCGCGTGGCAAGTTGGGCGCGTTCTGGCCCTGGGAGACCAGGGGTTCGCTGCGGCTTTGGCTCGGTTGCGCACGGCGATCCAGCATCGCGCCATGAAGGAGTCCAAGATCAACATCATCCTATCTGTGGGCGGCAAGTCGAGCTTCCGCAGCCGAGCCGACATTCTCGAGGATCTCAAGAGTACAGTAGGCCATCTGGACCGTATCCATCTCGGCGACGGCGGTCGTGGTTTTATGCCCCGTCCGCCCAGGAAGAGGTGGCTCCGGCCGCGCCTGGCGAAAAGTCAGTACCCGTCGCTAGGGTTCAACTCGATCCAGATCAAGGACCAGTATCTCTTCCAAGCCACCCGGGCGGCGCACGACCTCGCCATGGCCAAAGACGGGACCATCTACGACGAGACCAACGATCCAGTCTCGACGGACTGGATGCAGGTGCTGGCATGGGTGATGGACCGCATGTTCTTGTCCGGTGTGCCCGCGCATTATCTGATCAGCGACCCAAGCCACTTGCAACACGAGAGCCTTCGCTTCTTCTACATCGACCCCAACTGGGTGGATGCCCTGATCGACGGGGCGCTTAGTCTGGCCAACCACATGGGCGAAGACCGCGACCGCGTGGCCATCAAGAGCGCCATCAACACCTTCATCCATCATACGCCCGAGCATCAGACCCATTCGCCCCAGATCCCCACCTACGGCTTCTATCTCAGGTCCGACCTTGTGACCATGTTCCCCGACCTCAAGGTGACTACAGTCCCCGAGCCGCCCGAGGGGACAATTCCCGACAGGGCTCCGCTGCTGAGGCACGAGATTGTAGCCGACGGAGTCATGATGGGCATGCTGGACAGGCTACCTGGCTCGACGGATTTTACCGGTCTGCGATTCACTCAGCCTCCGCACCAACAGAGGTTTGCCGTTGGACACGGTCTGACCAAGGACAACGTGGGCATCGATATTCAGAAGGAGTACACCGTCGACCAGGCCTCTCGAGAAACGGATCCGCTCCGGCACAAGCCTCTTGTGTCGATCGACATGAAGTCGAGCGATGCCAGCAATTTCTTCGTCTGGAGCACCGACCCTTCCACCCAACTGAACGACCTGCGCGTCATTCGGCTGCCCTTTTTCGCCGAGCAGCAGTTGTCTATCTTGAGGGAGAAGATGGACAAAAAGTACTTTGACGACGACACACCCAACTCAGCGTTGATGGCCATGCAGCTCAACGACCCCTTTTACAGCCTCACCATCAGCGCCCAAGATCAGGCCGCGTCAGCAATATTTGCGAAGCTGGTGGATGAGAGCAAAGGACCTCGGAGTCTCAGGCTCATGAATCCCTCGCGTGTCCGCCGACTTGTTGAGGAGGATGACGACGATGACAGCGATCAAGATGATGATGACGAGTCCGCCGGAGAGAGTACACCTGCCGAAGAGGAGGCTGAAGTGGTGCCCAACGCCGCCCTCTTCCAGCGACACGACTCTTACCAACCGCTCTCGCACGTCCTTCAATCCAACCTCGCCCCTCACGTCCGCTCCATCCCCATTTACGAACCCTCTCACCCGGGCATGCTTCCCCCTTCTGGAATCAACCCCCCAGGGCGAGATTTCGTAGCACGCCCCATCAAAACCATTTACATCCCCCAGGGTTCCGACCCCGCCGGACCGCCCGTGTACGACTGCAGCGTGTACACCACGGGGTTTTCCTCAGTGCAGACCTCCTCCTCCCCCAACACCGCCGTGGCCCAGGACATAGTCTTCTCGGTGCAGGTATCCAACACGGAGCACAGCGACTACCGGCTGATGGAGTTCCAGATCATCGTCCCCCTGGGCCCGGCAGACGACCCCAACAGCCATCGTCTGTTCGGGGCCTACGACGGGCCGGGCCCGCGCATGCTGAGCAACCTGCGGTTCGCCGTGCTGTCCGCCCTGGGGGACATGGACGGGGTGCCGTGCCTGATCCTGCGCCTGCTGCCGCGCAGCGCCAAGGGGTGGACGTTTCTTAGGGCGGTCAGGGAGATGAGTTTTCTGCTGTGCTTGGCGCTGCCGAATAGCACGTTTGGGGGGGAGGACAGGACGCTGTTGACGCTGTACACGGCGGCGTATTACAAGTATGTCAACGAGACGGTGCCGAGGGAGGGGCAGTTTATTGTTTCGCTGCGCAAGAGCGGCAGTGGGGGTTGACTTGGGAGTTGGTATGCTACGGATGATCTTGCGTGAGGTGGTTTTGGGGGGGGGAGGGGGGGTTGTTAGTGCCTTTGAGGGTGTCTAGGTCGTGCAGTCTTCAAGTCATTCACGCTGGTCTTTGTCATCGAGATTGTGGAAATTTTCGTAGATCAGTACGTAAATAAGTATTCTCAAAGAGGTGCTCCTGGCGCTAGTGCTACTGCTAAGTTCAAAAACTATTGGGATCTAGATCGACGTCTTCGACGTAGTTGTTGATCCAAATGATGCCGGCAAACGAGAGCAGTGCCTGGCAGTTGATGCAGGGCGGGCCAAGGAACCTGAAGAAGTCTGGAGTGCTGTACTCCACAACCGAAGAAAAATCGCGCTGAAGGGCGAGTCCGTGAATCCTCCTCCTGTCCTCTACGTCGTTTACGTGGGGGCTGGAAGTGGAACTCGTCAGCAAAAGGTACATCATCGGGCTTGCTTAGACCATCCTATGACGACTTCATAATTATATTACAGGAAAGGAGAGCAGAGAGCGAGCGAGCAAGTGGAGGAGAAAGATACAGTAGGGTGATTAAGGGGGATAGGGAGTCTCACCCAAGCATCTCCAGGTAAGGATATGTCTCGCCACAGTTGCCAAACCGTGTGGTCTTTTGTTGAATCTCGTGGGTAGGGGCTGCTGGATACTCCCAAGTGCCGGGGAACTGGTGGAAGTTGTTCAGGAGGTCGTACCGTTTCAACTTCAACGTCTCCTCCCATGTGCCGGTCTCGTTTCCACCGCCGTACGCGTACCCGGCCAGGGTGGCGCCGAGGAAGAAGTCGCCGGTGGTTGGGTCCCAGGTGCACTGGTAGAAGTAGGATGGGTCGCCGACGCCCTTACCCTTTGGGCCCTTCTTCCTCTTTGTTGGGTCCTCAGGAGGCACCGTGGCCGGTTCCATGTTGCCGCCGATCCACTGACAGAAGCGGGCATAGACGGCTGTGAGCGGGAGGTAGAAATTGTGCATGTCGGCGGCGCCGTGGCCCGGAGCCGGGCCCATCTTAGAAAGGAACAACCCCAAGAGGTCGTATGGGTTCCAGTAGGGGCGCTTGACGTCCTGCTTGGACCAGTAGTGGGGGGACTCTTTTGCCAATACCGAGAACTTGGAGGCGCCGGCTGGCTTGGGTTTGTCCAGCCAGGTCTTCATAAACTCGCGGCGAATATGTTGGTCGGGCCTCATATTCGGAGCGGGCTTCATGTTCTTGTTCAATACAATGTATTCGGCACCCGCTGGAAGGCTGCGCGACCAGTATTACCGTATTAGCTGCGACCGCGACTCAGCAGTAGAGGGGCAAGAGTGGTGGATATTCGGCATTTAATTACCTCAGAAGCATCAACTGATCCCTGATTGTGATCAACTCATCCCTGGTAGCGTCGCTAATCTGAGGTTCGAGTGTGTTATAGTTGGTAATGACTTGTTGAAGATACTCGTAGACCTATTCTCATGGCAGCCATGGAATCGAATCAGAAAAGGTAATCTTCCCACAGCGATAAAACGCTTGTCAGATGGTGCATAAGGTAAGTAGGTTGTACTTACGTCAGTTGCGCCGTTTTTAGTGTCGTATAACGTCTTCAGGTTCACGCCGCCAAAGTCCAAGATGACTTCAGCATCAGCATCGGCCATGGCGTCTGTCTGAAGTGGGAGAACTGTTGGGAATCAAGAATAGGGGGGCCAAGTGTGCTCTCGGTGTTGCAAAGGTGCCTCCAGACCTCGACCGGATGCCAGCATGCAGTGCTTTCGAGGATCACCTTTTATTCCTTGCTCCGGTTCTCTCTCCGCATGGGCTCTCTCTGCATGGGACAAGGGGTGTGTATATTCAGAGGTACATACATATATTCCAGGTACAGTACACTGCTCTGCATTGTACTGTATGTACAGTACATACTTTTGGCAAGTTGGTAGGTAGGTACTACCTAGTTAGGCGTGGGGGGGGCCCATGTCTCTGATTGGCCCATTTTCGCCGCCAATAGACACTGTAAAGAACAACGCTACGGAGTACCCCCTCCGCTGACCAGCTCGCTGTATTTATGGCACCTATTGATTCCCCGCCCTGCTTCTCCTTTCATTTCGAACCACACACAGAATATCGTCCGCAACACCACGCATAAACACGCCTAAAAATGGCTAGCGGAACCAGTGGTAGCGGCAGTGCCAATGTAAGCACCAAATCTCATTTCGTCCCCCAACCCCGTGTAATGCAGTGTCAGGTGGATTGAACAGAGAAACAAAAAGGCTGCCATGCCGACAGGGTGGACCGACGATTACGAGGAAATGGGCGGCTCCTGTGAGTGGGACGAGGACGACGGATTGGGAACACTCGCCGCAGTGAGCCTCGGGCTCGGGAAGCCGACCCCCAAGATGGGCAGGAAAGTCGCGTATGGCGGCGGCCAGTCCATCTTCACAGCCGAAAAGAACCCCGGCAAGCTGTACCTGTGGAACGCCGAGTCCAGCGACGTGCTCGCCATCACCAGCCCTACCACACTGGACGAGATCAAGCAGCTCATCTCCGCCAATAAGATGAAGGACATGAAGCTAGAGAAGGTCGAGAACCCGACCACCGCGCAACAGGAGGAGCATCGGGAGAGGCATTGGAGCGAGCGCCGGAAGGTTTGATCCTACCACAAATGTACTGTACAGTATAGTACGCTGCAGATAGTCCGAAAAAATGCACATCAGCCTCAGAAAATAGATAGAAGTAGGGAATGAACGACCTCAGTACCTTGGTTGCAACCAATGACCCGAGGGGGGGGTGTGGCAATGACACCTGAAATCCCCTTGCTGTTCGGTTAAGCCCTTCATACGCATAATTGCATGCCTGATTGATATCGGCACAACACCCCCCCACCCCCAATATGCCAGCCAGCCACAACGCACTCACCCGCAGCAAGTAAGTTTGAGAAAACTGTATATTTCATTTGTCTAGTGGAGTAAGCTGGCAGACGCCCGCAGTTCGGTGGGAGCTTCATTGGCGCCGACTCCGCAATGCTGTGCCTTACGCAGCTGGCGGAGGGGTAGGGTGGGAAGGAGATAGATATCAGATTATAGCTCCAAGACTACTGCAGTATGCTATCCTATCAATGTTCTTGAACTTCGCCGACCAAAGCAGGGCTTTGATAGGCACCACGGGGATGATCAGCGTAAATAAATGCAGGAATGAAGCCTCTCGAGAGAAACACCGGCAGGCAAGAGATATGCACCCGCTCTCCAGCTGGGGTCTAGACTAGGAGGCGTCCTCCTTTCAATAAGCATGTCGTGCAATACCAAGGCGTCATCTGCTACTCCAAGTAGAGTCTAATGGAGGGTTTCGCCGAAGGACAAGCCGTGGCCCTTGTGCCCGGCCACAGATGCCGCCTTTTCACTCACAGCGGAGGAAAGACCGACCGTGATGACCCAGATGAGCTACCCCCGGGTACAAGGCCATCTTGATCAAGCATGTAGCATGTAGCCCGATACCCTAGCTTGATCGAGGGGTTTCTGGTCGGCGCGTAGCGCGACATAATAATCCCAAACCAGGCAGTGGTCTGGATCCGCCCCGTGCCTCATCGGGATCCGGAGGATGTTCCGCCTGACCGCCGAGGGCTGCAAAGTGGCAAGCAGCAAGATCGGGGTCGTGGGTGAGAGCAGTCATTCACCTTTGCCCCTGCCCGTAACAGATCCTCGACGACCTCACCGTGCCCCACGCGGCATGCGGCGTGAAGTGGACTCCTCCCGACTTCGTCGGGGGCGTCAGGATCTGCTCCATGTACTAACAAAAGTCTGGCAACGTCAAGTATTCATCGCGAGACGCATCGTCCTCCCGTTCGTTGGCGTTGGGGACCAAGCTCGGGAGCCCACCAAATTTCATCAAGTAGAAACTGCACGTGTAAACCAGCATTCGTCACGGTAGACGCGGCGCTTGCTTGTGGCGAACCCTAAGCCCGCTTGGCCAGGCGTGCCGAGTCGCGGATTTTGGCGAAGCCGGCCCTCTCGGCGACGCGATGCGTTAACGGCCCGTCTGGTCGTCCGACAATCAGAGCCAACCCGCAGGAGCTAATAAGGATTGACGAACCAATTTTAGAAAAATATTGTAGCGCGAATAAAACCAACCACAGCTCATCGTAGGCGCTCGCGCTGGCGTTTCATCACTGAAGTTGGCCTGTTAGTGAGTGGGTCTGGGCGGGTCGGCCACCAATCATATGTCGCACATTCTTGGAATTCTTGGCCATGCCAGCTTGATTGGAAGCCGCTTTTCAACGACGAACCTCACATGTTTCGAACTCAACGTGTTCCTGCGAACCGACAAAGAAAGGGAAAAGGTCTCGCCGTCCATTGAAAGACCTCTTTGTCATTCACTGGGAATCCGCTGGGCCACAATACGCCAGATGTGACTCGCCAGCTGGGTATTTAGCTGGGACGTTCTCTACTTCCGCATTCCCAACATTCTCCTCTCAGTTTCTCGGATAACGACAATTATTTTCGTTTAATTTTTTATTTTTTTAAAAAAAAAATTCAAACGTCTCTCGCACTTTCTTTTGTGCCTCCACCTAATTAGCATTTGCACCCGCTATCAACTCTCCTTATATCTTGAGACATATCTTTTAGAAGACCAGTTAGAAGCTGCTAGACAGCACACCACAGACGACAAATCCCTTGCTTTTCATTATTTGCCCTTCATCCTCCCATCTACCCGATTTACCCGATCACGCGACACACCATCTGGCAACAATCATACCCGTTCGCATCGGCAGGCATTCGTTACCTACGAGATGGGTCTATCCACTTTCATCGAGCTCGGCAAAACCGCCGCCCAAGGCAAGCAGGCTATGGATTCCTTCAACCCGCAGACAGCGACAGCCCTGGGCAAGAAGGCGGCCACGGCACCGCTCAAGGTCTGGGAAAACATCCCGCGCTGGGTCGTCCGCGGCCTCCAGCTCCTCCTCGGCCTCATAGTGGTGGCACTCTACGGCCACCGCGTGGACGCGGACCGCAAGGCCGGCAACGCCCAGGTGGCGGAGTGGGTGTTTGGCGTCGCCGTCGCTAGCATGTCGTGCATCACGGCCGTGGTGTTTGCGCTTGCCGCGCCCCTGGGCGCTGTGAGCGACAAGTTCAAGACCTACCGCTTGTTTGCCTGGGATGTCGTGCTCTTCGTTCTGTGGATTATTCTGTTTGGCGTCATGGGGATGATCTTTCTGAAGCGGGACGATGGGCTCGACTACAAGGGGGCTAGTACTTCAACCATGAAAAAGGTTGTCTGGTTGGATCTTGTCAATTCCATTCTTTGGATGGCCAGCGGCGTTTACGGGTTTGTCAAGAAGTTTCTAGGTGCGAAGGTCGATAGCGTCGGTGGGCGTGTTGCTGGAAGATTGTTTGGGAAGAAAGCGCAGCCGGCCAAGGAGGTGTACGAGGTCTAGGGTTCCTGTTGTCTCCTCCAACCTCTTGCATACCATCTCAGGCATTGTTTCACGTCAAGCTTGTACAATTACACAATTTAATCGGTGAGCGATGCTTGATGTTTTCACACCAGCCCGATATGCACAGATGACACGTCAAGCAGATGCAGAAGATACAGCACAAGAGGCTGGCAACGCTACGACATTGTTAGCCTTCTCGTCCCTCGGGGCACAACTGGTCTTGTGGCAATAATTTGACTCACACCTGCATCGGGGTTCCCTCTTTCCTCACTATGGTCTGCGTCCGCCGCTTGCAGAAAGGGAAGTCGATCCGCTGCGGAGCTGCGCTCGGAAGGTGCAGCGGAGTCACGGTTGGGGTTGGGTTTGACAACGACTCAGTTGTCAAGGATTGTTATTGAGTGGGAGCCGTGGCGATGGAAATAAAATACATTGAGACACGGCATCTCAACATCGCCTACGAATAAGCAGGGGACCCGAACGGAAAGCCGGCGATGCTCGCCCATAGGTACCATATCGGATACAAGGCCAATGGTGGCAGATAATTAGTGTGCAATCCAAGTTGCATGAGTTCCCTCGCTTGAACCAGGTAAGCGAGTGTTGGGATTTTCGCTTAATTGGGCATCTGTGGCACCTTCGTCGCAAGATGGAGTGAAACAGGACGTCTCAATGTCTGAGACTCTGCCGCTGGTGGACAGTGCACGGGGCCACCCCCTATCCCCCTTTTTCAGTTGCAGCGGGGTCGGTAGCAACTGCTTTTTCCCTTGAGGAAACGCGCTTGGCCACCGGACTTGCCGTTCTCAGCAAGGCCGACCTTTGGAACCTGGTTGCTCCTACCATGCACCTTTGAGACACACGTCCCCAGCCTCGGCTACCTACTTAGACAACAACGCATTGGAATCGCTCAAATCTGGCATCCTGTCTACAACCGTGTCACGGAGGAGGGGCTGCTTGTCCGTATCTTAATAGCGCAGCTCAGAAAATATGGAGCCGGCCATATTTACCTCGACACAGACAGTCCTGAATGGCGCCGTCGTTGGCCGGGGTGGACTTGCTGAGGTGTCACCTCCTACTCGGAGAAGTGGCGTAGGATAACGGCGGAGGGTTGCCCGAATCATTCAAGAATAATGCGCCTATTTGATCTATGATTCTTAGCTAGACTTGCGTACCGCGCAGCAGACTCTCAATTTACAACCCGAAAAGATGGCTTTCTTCGGAGCCGACTCCGAACCGGGCTTGCGTTCCACTGCTCCAAATCGACAGCTCGTTGCGCGTGGGATGATCTCAGCTCCGGATAAATTTAGCTAGACCCATGTCTAGGCCAACCAGACCAGTCCCGTTGCGTTAATGTAGCACTACAAAATACATGATACGTTCTCAATTATGTCTTGGCGCCAATGTCGGCTCTCAGGCAGGCAAGGAAGTGTCCTGTCCTGGTGCCTAGGAAGACATCAATGGTGCCTGCAAGCCCATTGCAATCATACGATGAAGCCGTTCACACCGGTCGAAGCGAATACTTTAGTTGCCCCCCTTCTTGCCGCCCTTGCCTTCTGTTACGAGGTTAGCTCGAGCACATCAGGTTGGAATCTTAGGGGATGCTCACGGTGATGGGGCTCACGGGTGTCGAGTTCGATATCTCGGCCGTTGTTCTTGCCGCCCTTCTTGCCTTCTATTACAAGGTTAGCTCGAGCACATCAGGTTGGAATCCAGGGGATACTCACGGTGATGGGGCTCACGGGTCTCGAGCTCTTCCAGATCGCGGCCGTTGTTCTTGCCACCCTTCTTACCCTCTGTTGTATATGAGATCAGCTAATGCAACAATAGGAAGACTTTGGGGAGGGGCGCGTACGATGATGGGGCTCACGGGTCTCAAGCTCTTCCACATCGCGACCGTTGTTCTTACCGCCCTTCTTTCCCTCTATGCCAATGTTAGCCCAGGCAAATCATTGTACTCTTCAGGGCATACTCACGGTGATGGGGCTCGCGGGTCTCGAGTTCAACGTCACGGCCGTTGTTCTTGCCGCCCTTCTTGCCCTCTATCCCAATGTTAGCACAGGCGAACCAAGAAAGAGAGTATCCATGCATGCTTACGGTGATGGGGCTCACGGGTCTCAAGCTCTTCCACATCGCGGCCGTTGTTCTTACCGCCCTTCTTACCCTCTTTAGTATATGAGATTAGTCAATGCAACAATAGGAAGACTTTGGGGAGGGGGGCGCGTACGATGATGAGGCTCACGGGTCTCGAGCTCGTCCACATCGCGGCCATTGTTCTTGCCGCCCTTCTTGCCTTGGTGATGGGGCTCGCGGGTCTCCAACTCGACGTCACGGCCGTTGTTCTTGCCACCCTTCTTGCCTTGGTGATGAGGCTCGCGGGCATCCAGCTCAACGTCGCGACCGTTGTTCTTGCCACCCTTCTTTCCCTCTGGTACTTGTCAGATAGTGTGGGTGGGATCACGGTCGATGATGCACTTACGGTGGTGAGGCTCGCGGGTTTCCAGTTCTTCAACGTCGCGGCCGTTGTTCTTGCCGCCCTTCTTGCCTTGGTGGTGAGGCTCGCGGGTCTCCAACTCAACGTCACGGCCGTTGTTCTTGCCACCCTTCTTGCCTTGGTGATGAGGCTCGCGGGCCTCCAGTTCAACATCGCGGCCGTTGTTCTTGCCGCCCTTCTTTCCTTCTAGAAGGAGTAAGCTGATGGGACTGGGGCAGAAGCATTTCGAGGATGAACTTACGGTGATGGGGCTCACGGGCGTCTAGCTCGACGTCGCGGCCGTTGTTCTTACCACCCTTCTTACCTTCTATAAAGGCGTGTTGTCAGCCAGTGTGTCTGCAACAAGTGTTAAAGGGACAGACTTACGGTGGTGAGGCTCACGAGTCTCGAGGACTTCAACGTCGCGGCCGTTGTTCTTGCCACCCTTCTTGCCTTCTAATGAAAAGGGTAAGCAAGTGTGGCTGTGGGAGGTGTTGGACGAAGGGCTTACGGTGATGGGGCTCACGAGTGTCAAGCTCCTCCTCATCGCGCTTGTTGTTCTTGCCACCCTTCTTTCCCTCTGTTCTAGGTATTAACAACAGAAGCAATCATGACGGGGGCCCAGAATTACTAACGATGATGGGGCATGCGAGCCTCGATCTCGACCGGCATGGCCCAAGCTGGTGCAGCGAGGGCAAGAAGGGTCCCCACATTCCTCCGAGCGAGTCCTCCAACGTTGCCAACTTCAAAGCTAGCAACGGTGGACGTGGCTGCCAGGCCAGTGATGACGATCCGCACAATAGAGGGAGAATGCATTGCGAAATATAATGTGCTGGCCGGCAGCTGAAGAATGGGAACAAAGGTACAGGAAGAAAGGTAGAAGAAAGGTAGAGACCGGAAAACTGACGACGGAGAGCGGGATGGGAGGGAGTAGAGGACAACAACTGGAGGAGTGAGAAGGTTTGCGTTCTTTATACCTTGTCTTGGCAAAAAAGCAGACACCCTGGGTCATTCCAGTGGGTGCTGGTTTCGCGTTGATCACGACATTGGCTAGTCTGACAACAATGGGACGAAATGTCAAACCTGATCGACACGCAGCCTCTCGTTGAGGATCAAGGGCCCGTGTGTCACAATCCAGGGTTGAAGACGCAGCTGACCTCCCCCAAGTTCTCCATCGTGCTGGGTAGACCAGCCACAGGCAGGGACACAGGCAAGGGACACACAGGCAGGGACACAGGCAAGGGACACACAGGCAGGGAGTTGTGTCGTCGACAATGACTTGCTGTCCCATCATGCAGCCATACCCTTCTCTCGTTACATATCAATGCCGCGTATCCTTGCCGTTTACTCGAATTTGGTTTCACCGGGCTCAGTCTGCGGCAAGGGTAGACAATTCTGCCAAGCAGCCCTTCCCAGCCATCCTCTCTCCACAATCCCTGCAAGCCATCACCAACAAAACCGTTCATAATTTACCCCAGATCTTATTTAGGAAAAGCTTGTTTGCCCCTGGCTGCCACTAGCGAGGCGAAATACGCATAGCCCGCACAGGCTAAGCTTTTAGCGCTGAGGATGCGGCATAAAAGATCGGTAGATTGTGCCGCATCTTGGCAAGGGCTACCAGAGCTAGACCCCGTCAGATATAGTTGAAACAGTCATGCACGTCTGAAGTTCCGCCCTCCAGTCCGAGCCGCCACAGCATGGTCGCTTCGGCCTGCCCGCTACAGCGTGATGAAACTGCTGCAACAAGTCAAAGCAATTCTAGACCAAGGCCAGCGCGACTGTCGGTGGAACTTTAGGAAGCGTTGTCCAAACAATTACCACGCTGGCAGATTTGGCAAGAAGATGGGATAGGAGTGAGCGAATGTCCAACAGAAATGGGGGGATCTGAAGCATATGGTAGATTGAGGTAGAGATTGATGTCTCGTGCCAAGATTCAAGATTTTGGACTGCAGTTGGGAATGGTTCCGCTGGGGTGTGAACCGCTCCGAACCTGGGAAGTCGACTTTTTATTTTATTGTATTTACTGGGATTCGCCGGATTCTGGGGAAGGCGCCCGGCTTTTGCACATAAAGAGACTAGTGGCCATGACAGGCTTTGGCCCAATCACAATGTCCCCCCCCATCCGCCCCCTGTCAAACGTCTGTCGCCGCTGTGTCTCAAGTTACCAAGCACGAGGCTCTCGCACGTTTCGCTTTTTCTGGAACACTCAGATCTTCAACCGCTATGGATTTTGCATGGTGATGTGCTACATGTCGTGGACCCCAGAGGCGCCTCCCTCTCGCTTCTCCTTTCCTTTTCTCCTGTTCTCCTGTCCATGATTTTCGTCATCTGCGTTACCTATGACGATCTCCTGAGCCTGTCTGTCGCTCACATACCCTATTACAGGGCCCTGGGAAAGCTTGGCTGTCAACTTTTGCGGCTGTTACTGCTCGTCTCGTCTCTTCTTGCTCCTCGTCTCGTGTGTTTTGCCGCTCTTCGTCTTGTCACCCACCGTGTCCCACCATCTCCCACCATCTCCTACCGCCTCCCAAAGAAGTCACATCCCTCTTCGTCCTTCCACTTCCATTCTGCCCACTTGCACCAGGTGTGCTTCGTTCCAACTCTTTCTTACCTTCATCATGGCGAAAGGATACCATTCATTACCTCTACACGAGGGCAGCCTCGAGGGCGCAGGCGAGAAGCACACCACCCGGACAGCCAGATTCGACAGAGGGTCCGCGACGACTACATTTGAGAGACTTGCGAGGAATTGGGCATGGCTTGGCCATCTTGTTCTTCTTTCCATTTCAATGAGTTTATTCCTTGTGTCATTCTGCGTAAGGAGCGGCAACCATTCCGATCTCGCATACACTGAATTATACTCGTCGTACTGTACGTCCTGTCTTGCTCGTCTTGGGTGCTCGCCTTGGGGTATCGGTGTGGCCTGGAACTAATCGGCATGGCAGCACCCGTCGCACCCATCGTGAGATACGAAACTGTGCGGTATAATTTAACTCCCATCGTCGAGGGACCGTTTGTCGGCTACGGCCCTGAAGTGGACAAGGCGTGGAACTACATTGCCAACGATGGTGAGTTATTTCCCCACGATTGCCTGCCTACTTTGTTTTGAACTGCTGGCTGACCATCGATAAAAAGTGGGCGATCAAATGATCTCGCAAGCAGAGCTTGACCGACTCGGCCTACCCCCTCAGTCGCTCACGATTAAGGACCCACGTACGGGTGCCAAAGGCTACAGAGCTGCAGTCGAAGTCTTCCACCAACTGCACTGCCTCAACCTCATTCGCCAGGCTGTCTATAAGGACTACTACAAGCACCAGGGAGGTGACGTGGACGCCTCGGAAGGCAAGGAGGACGTCCAGGGGCATGTCGGTAGGGATACATCATCAACTGCCAAGAGATTGCGACCCCCAAGCCCCCAACTGACAGGATTGTAGATCATTGCATCGAGACTCTGAGGTTGAATCTCATGTGCCAGAGCGACATTGGTATCTTCACCTTCCGAACCTATCCGGAATACGGATACGAAAACGACGACTACTGGCCCGACTTCAGCACGATGCATACATGCAGGAACTTTGAGGATATTAGGAAGTGGGCAATCCAGAAGACTGTGGCTTGGGATCACGACGTTTAGAAGGCGAACTGTCATATTTACATCCAGGGTTATTGGTAATGCGGGCGTCTGGGGCGTTAGCTATTGTGTCTTCCGGAGGAAACTGCGCATGTAGATGAGGGTGGGGGAGGCTGTTGGGCAGACTTTCCTCGTGGGGTTAAATTGTGCATATTCTATGATGAGCACCACTCCATGGTATGTTGGAGGGAGACCTTCCCTGCAGTGATGGAGTTCTCTAGTTGCGTGTTTTGTAGAAATTTACAACATAAATATCAGTTCACGAGGTCCCCCATCCCAAACATACGGTTTAGCATAGTTGAACACGTATCCCTTTCACCAGCCAGAGGATTGACCGCTATGCCCCAATCTCCACGAACAATCTCCATAGGGAACTCCCCGCAGACCATCCACTCCAGACTAGGAATGGCAACCGCGTACTTCTCAACGTGTGTGATCATGCGGTTCCGGTGACCGAGTTCCCAGACTTCCTCGGCGTTCAGCGATCGAAAGTGTTCTTCGTGCTCTCCGAGGTGAGGACCATCATCGGCCATTGGGTCATCATCACTCTCATGATAGAATGCTGTTCCGCCGGGGTAGTCAAGTTCAGGCCGAGTCCTCGCATCGTACCGCATCTGAGGACTGGCAACCCGATAAGAGTAGTACTTCTCCGGCTCAAAGATCGTCTCCAGGTATGTATCGCGGGAAAGGGCTAGCCTTTTCAGTCTCTTCAGTCCGCTCAGGTGCCCACGTAGCTCGTCGTGGTCCACAAGCCACTGGTGGCGCCATCCGCCATTCTCGCCCGCACTGAGATAAAGCTGCTCCAGTGATTCGATTGTCCCAATGGCGGCGAGTGACGTATTGGAGATTGTTGCGATATGAGGTCGCGTTTCTTCGGCAGTACCAGGGCCCGACCACGACAGGGAGAGCGAGCGGAGGTTTGTGAAGCTGCCTGCCGATATGATGGGGACGATTAGGGTGTCGAGGGCCTCAGACGCGGCTTGCTCTACGCAGAGCTTCCGAATCTGTTTGTGGTCCTCGAGGAGGGCGACCAGAGACTTGGACCTCTCGTCGGCTCTCCACCTGCTTAGCGTGAGGGACGGAATGACCAACGTCTCAAGGCAGGGTAGGGGCGAGCATTTCGAGAGAGCCTTGTCGACACCTTTGCAATCCGGTACGACGAGGTGTCTGAGGGGTGCTTTGAGCAGAGCTATCATGGAGGGTAGCGACAGTTTGAGGTACCGAACGACCAGGCGCCGAAGGCAAGGGAAAGACAGAGGTTCATCGCCAAGAGAGACCACGTGCTGCTGGTAGAGACCATGCAGGCAGTCTAGCGACTCGAGCGTGGGCGCGCAGCCCCTGAGTAGTGTTGCGAAGAAGATGGATATAGGATCGATGCTAGTGTCCGTGCCAATACCAGCACCATCGTCTGCACCGCGTTTTATTTCCACGTGAACATCGTTCAGGAAGAGGCGGCGGAGGGGCAAGGAAGGCGGCGACAGGGGAGGCTCTATGCGGTAAGCCTTGTCGATGGTAAGCCCATGCAGTATAAGTTCTTGAATGTTCAAGCGGGTGATAGTATAAAAGAAGTCGGCGCGGACAATCAGTCGATCATGCCAAGAAATTGCCGAGACATGAGGCATGGCCAAGGCAATTGCCCCCATGAGTATGGAACGGTACCGCAGGTATGTTCGGTTTCCACCTTGCAAATCTGCGCCTTCTGGTCCCTGCTGTAGGACTCACTGTGGTCCCCAAACACGGCTTCAAAGGCATCGGAATGGGTCTCTCTAACCCAGCCTGGATGGGGGCTGATGGTCACTCTGCGGACGTATATTCCGAGGCGGCTCTCCGTCTTGCGCTTCCTCACGACGTGGGTGAGAAATTCCCAGGCGCGAGGGCTGTAGTCGAAACACACGTGGGCAAACTGACAAGAACGCGCGAGGTGTCTGCAGTCGCTGTTGACCAATGCCAGGGCAGCTAGGGTTGCCTTGTCGTCAGCGATACCATCCAATATCTCGGCGAGAATTTCGGCCGGTAGGCTGACCAACGGGCTGTTGGACTTTCGAGGTCTGCCGTCCATCAGAACATCAAGCCAGAGCGCCCGCGTCGTGTCCATTTCCTTGCCAAACTCGTCCTTTCCCGACCCTAGCTTGCGCATCATGAGCGTAGTGATATCGGAATCCATGGTGAGGGCTCTTCAACCAGTCAGCACGCCCTCCTTGACTCCTGGCAGTGGGGGTTGCACTTTGTGTCGAATCAGATGAACCCAAATAGTTCGAATGAGGATGGCTCCGTGAGGGTTTCTGGGAAGAAGGTGCTGAGTGACAGAGCTCTCTCTGGGTTGCATGACCGGGGTGGAGTGCGGAAAGGAACCCTATTGGCCGGAAGGCCCCCATGACGACACCGGAAGGTCAGTAGTCAAGCCACATAGTCAAGCCACACAGTCAAGCCACACCGTTCTCATGACCCTTGTACTACACTGTGCCCAAGAAGCAAAACTCCCATGTCCACACAGTACGCTTCTCCGCTTTTCCCGCGAGTGGGCCGCCTGTGAAGATTTTTGTTGTTCCCGTCTTGCGTGCTCGTTAATGTGGAACCAAATTACTAATTATCGCGCACTCAGACGGCGAGAAAAAGTGAAAGCAAACCCAAACAGAAACGCCATTATTTGCAACTCCTAATTATCCTTCCACATGATTCTCATCTAGAACTTTGGCTCCACTTTACCAACCCAGAGTCTCTGTCAAAACAACCAAACCATGGCGGGTGTCGCAGTGCGGTCCCAAACCTCGCTCACCAAAGCCGCATGCAGGATCTCGTCGCCGACAACGAGAAGCTATGCAACCTCGATTCCCGCAAGAGCCCATCACCGCATCGTCATTGTCGGCGGAGGAACAGCCGGCGTGACGGTCGCTGCCCAGGTGGCTCGCGCAAACCAGCTCGATAAGCCCGATATTGCCATTCTAGACCCCGCGTCAACTCACCACTACCAGGTGAGCAACTAATTAGATATCGCTTGCCCCTGGACTTTTACAGATATCTAATTATATGGACGGATAGCCTGGATGGACCCTTGTAGGCTCAGGACTCAAGCCTCTGTCTCAGATGCAGCGGCCGCTCCCTTCGGTTATCCCGCCTGGAGTGAAGCACTACCCCCTCAGTGTGTCCAACTTCGACCCAGCAAACAGCGTGGTCAAGACCTCTGAAGGCGTCGATATCTCCTATGACTTCCTAGTCGTTGCCCCCGGCCTTGAGACCAATATCTCGGGCGTGTCGGGTCTTTCCGAGGCCCTGCAAGATCCCGCGAGGCCCGTTTCATCCATCTACTCGGCCCAAACGGTCGAAAAGGTCTGGAAGAACATCCAAGCACTTAAGCAGGGAAATGCCATCTTCACCCAGCCGGCTGGTATGATCAAGTGTGCTGGTGCACCGCAGAAGATCCTCTGGATGGCTCTTTCACAGTGGACCCGGGACGGGGTCCGAGGCAACATTGACGCGACTTTCGCTACTGGCGCGCCCGGTGAGCTGTTTTCCAACCTTCTTCAATGAATGGCGCTTTGCCAGTTTTGGTTGCTCGCTTGCTGACACCCGATATAGTAATGTTTGCGGTGCCAAAGTATTCCCAGGCACTCGAATCGCTCCGCCAGCAACGTAATGTCGAGGGTTTATTTCAGCACAACCTCATCGCGGTCGATTCGAAGAGTAATGTTGCCACCTTCAAGAATCTTGCCGATGGTGGAAAGGAGGTGCAGAAACCATTCGATTTCCTGCACGTAGTCCCGCCGCAGAAACCGTGGGACTGGGTTGCAAAGTCGCCCCTGGGTGAGTTGATCACCATTGCCATGCTGTGCCGCCGTCTGTGTATAGCGGGGGGGTGGTCTTCATGTGAAGTCTTTAAACGGCAAACTGACGGTCTCTTTTAGCTGATGAGGCGGGCTGGGTCGCTGTCGACAAAGCGACGACCCAACACACCAAGTAAGCCAATGTCCAGCCCTTTACAAGCTTGTCTCGGAAGTGGGAAGACGGAAAGACGCCTTCTCAACTTCGTCCATGCATCAGTTGCTAACCCAAGAACGTGAAGATACCCTAACGTGTTCTCGCTTGGCGATGCGTCGAGCCTGCCCAACAGCAAGACAGCCGCCGCCATCACCTCGCAAGCCCCAGTTCTCGTGCACAACCTGCTCTCCGTCATGAGCGGAAAGCAGCTGAACGCCGAGTATGACGGCTATGCGAGCTGTCCACTGTTGACTGGACACAACGAGCTCATGCTCTGCGAGTTCAAGTACGGCGGGGTGCCAAAGGAGACGTTCTCAAGCCTTGTCGGTGGCCAGGAGAAACCGAGACGCGCGTTTTACCACTTGAAGAAGGATTTCTTTGTAAGTTTTCATCAAGTCGGGCCCTTGTTCTGCAATGCGAAGCTAACTAGTTTGTCCAAAGCCAAGCATCTATTGGAGTAGCTTCGTGAAAGGGAAATGGTTTGGACCAAAGGCGTTTTCTCAGCCAAAGTATCCGTAGATTTTCAGCACAGTATCTGCATTGTAATTGGAAGGCATTATATAGCGCATAGCACGTGGATCAGAGGCATGAGGAATACCATTGTTTAGCCCCTGAAAGAGGCCGGGTTTTCAGAGATTGTACGAGTTCACCAATCGTCGCTGTTTGACACGACCCGACAACCCGCACCTCCGATATACTCACGCGCCTCTGCTTCGTTCCTGACCACGCGTGGTTGACGGGCTTCGGGTGCATCATCGCCATTCATCTTCAAGACCCCAGAGGGATCGATCACCACCACATTCCTCTCCCCTGTAAGCAAGCGACGGATGTTTTCCCGTATGATCCGCTGAGCCACATGGTTGAGGGAATACGCGTCGCGGAACGAGAAAATGACCGCACAGGCATCCGCATGCCGTCCAGAACCCGGGTCCTCAGGGTTGGGGTCGCCGAGCTCGCGCGCAACAGCATGAGTGAGGCGCTCGGCGCCCGCGAAGCGAACAGCACCCCGCAGATCGAAGACGGCCACCTTCTGGTCGCACCCGTGGGGCTGGAGCGTGCCGCCGGAAATGGTCTTGACCCAGGTCCGCACGGTGGCCCTGCCGATCTGGCTGACGTCCATCATGTGCAGGCCCATGTCGCGCGACAGCTGCTCGCACATGATGACGCCCCGCACGCTGGTGCCGCGTGCGTCCAGCTTGGGCGAGAAGACGGCGAGGCCGACTTGGCCCGGCAGGGCGCCGATGATGCCGCCAGCCACGCCGCTCTTTGCGGGGATCCCGACGTTGGAGACCCAGTCGCCGGCAGCGTCGTACATGCCGCAAGTGGTCATGACGGACAGGACCTGGCGCACGCTGTGGTGGGGGATGATCTCCTCGCCCGAGATTGGGTGGACACCGGCGTTGCCGAGGGTTGCCGCCATCATGGCGAGGTCGCGCACGTTGACGTTGATGGCACACTGGCGAACATAGCCACGCACCGCTTCCCGTGGATCGCAGCTTATGATGCCCGCTGCCTTGAGCATGTAACCGATGCCCATGTTGCGGTTGGCATCCCTAAACTCGGCCTCGTACACGGCTTCGTCCACATGCAACTGTCGGCCCGCCAGCTTGGACAGTTTCGCCAATATACGCTCGACTCGCTGCTCTGCCGTGGCGTCAGGCCCCACGACCAACGAGTGCGCGGCGATGGCGCCGGCGTTGATCATGGGGTTCATGGGCCGATTGGTGACGCGCTCCAGCGACAGTTTGTTGAACGCGTCGCCGGACGGTTCTACGCCAATCTTCTCCAAGACCCGCGGCAGTCCCGCATCTTGGATCGCCAGCGCATAGACAAACGCCTTGGAGATGGATTGGATGGAGAATTCGACCTGGTCGTCCCCGGCCGAGTATAGGTGGCCATCCACTGTTGCCAGCGCCACTGCCATCTTCGACGTGTCGGCGTTGGCCAGAACATCAATATAGCTGGCAGGTTCGCCCGATTCAACCGGGCGCGCATTCTCCAGCACAACCCTAAGATAGTCGGGGATTGGGGACTTCATGGCCAAAGGTTGCTGGATTTGTGTCCTAATTAAATGATCTGCAGGGTTGTCAGGTTCGGCGATCAAAGAGTCCTCCACGTATGACGTCAACTGAAGTGCCGAAATTTGACTAGTAAAGCAGCTTAATCTTCAAGGTTTCGATCTACCATATCAAGGTAAGTATGTCGGGGTTGAAATGGCGCATTGTGAGGAGAAAATCTTAACAAGGGATGCACGTGACTACGTCTCTTGGCTCACCCCAGGGCCAATTATGCAGGGAGGGCGCCGCCCCCTTTACCCCCTGGAATCGTTATTCTTGCATGTCATGTTCGTCGTCTCCGATTCGTTGATGAACTTGATGGATAGGTAGGGACCTGGAGAGGTTTCTGGAGGCGCTTAAAATACGAAAATATGTTTAATTCAGACTACATTGGCCAACAATCATGACCAAACCGTGGTTCCCATCCCTCACCCAACGCTCTACAACACATAACGGAAGTTACGCAGCTCCAAATCTTCAGCACGCTCGAGCTTCTTGTTCTCCTTCTTCAGCCAAAACCGGAGCGAGAACGACGACACGGCACAAACGAATAGTGCGACTGTGATCACAATGCAACCTTTGCGATAGAGCCTGAAAGTCACCCATTGTTAGCAGGTCTCGTCTTGAGCAGTTTGTCTCACGGTTCTGACTTACGGGGCATCAGATTTGGGGTACAGGTACGCGGTGCTGATATTGGTGGCGTTGCTGACGGCGGTACAGAGGGCGAGAGCCACGGCTCGCTTCGCCTTGGGGCGGGGGATGGTAGTCGATATCCAGGAGAGGATGATCTGGAAGGCGGAGAAGGACCCGGCCGCCTGAAGGAACATGGCCTGATGGGCAATGCATGTTAGTATCTCTGTTTTCTGGGGACCTTCTTCAAGTTGGATGGTAGATTTTGTAACGTACGAAGTAACGGGCGCCAACGTTATAAGTGGACATGGAGAGAATCTGGCCGATGATCGAGATGACGCAGCAGCCTACTATGTGGAAGCAGCGCTCCTTCGTCTTGCCGCTGTGCCAAGAATTTACGATGGAGAAGATGCAGGCGAAGAAGTAGGGAGGAGAGGTTAGAAGAAGCGTCTCCACATTGGGGTATCCGAGGGTCTGGACGATTGATGGGAAGAAATCTGTGGAAATCCCGCGTAAATATTCGAATCCAAGTTGGTTTTGACGCATTTCTGCATGTCAGGGACTTACAAGTGAAGCTCATGCCCACCACGGCGCCGGTGAGGATCAGAACCAACAGCCACGCCTTTGGGTCGGTGAGACAGTCCTTAAGCCCGAGCAGAACGGATTCATTGACCTCGTCCGTCTCTCCGTCAGCCTCACGAGAGAGACGGTACTGAGCCAACGCGCTCTCGGCCTCGCTGAGCCACGGTGTGTTGGTAGGGTAGTTGGGCAACAGGATGTAGCCTAAGAAGGCCATCACAATTGTGACAGACCCTTCAATGATGAAGACCCATCGCTGGTGTGGGACCTGTTAACGATGTGGCCAAGTATCATCTGACGGGTATCAAACTAACCCATGCAGGATATCCACCAGCCCCGTCCATATTGCCAATAATCCCGGCGGCGATGAGCCCACCGAAGGCAGAGGAAAGCGTGTAGCCAGAATAGAAGATGGCAATTCTTGACGGCAGCTCGGACTTGGTGTACCAAGACGATAGAAGGAAGATGCATCCAGGGAAGTAGGGAGCTTCGACGACGCCGACTAGGAAACGAAGGACCACAAGGCCGGCGTGGTTTTGAACAAATCCGGTCGCCCCGGAGACCTGCACATAATGTGAGTACGGATAGCCTTGGACCACGCTGTATGGTTTCTTGTATGTATGTGTGTAGTACGTACCACACCCCAGACGATGACAACGGTGGGAAGATAGATCCTGGGCTTGAAGATGGAAAGCAGCATGTTTGAAGGAACCATCATGGAGATATAACCGGCTAGTAGTAGGTCAGCATAGGAAAAGGTTGCTGCTTGACTTGTGCAGTCCTCCAACGAAGTAAATACGAACCCCAAAGAACCATGACTGCCGTTTGATACTGCACATCGTTTATCTTCAGCGACTTCTCCAAGCCACCGAGACGTGCGTTGGCAATGGCATTTCTGTCGAGAATGTTGAGGAGAAAGAGGATGCACAGGATAGGCAGACTTCGCAGATCGATCTTGCGGACCAAAGACTTCTCCATGGTGTGCAGTTGCTCAGGGCTATACGAACGGAGAATCTCCGGCATATGCTCGTTGATCGGTGTCTTTGCATCCTCGAGCGCGACTGGGTCGGCCTTGGCCTCGATTTTGTCGTTATGTGCCACCACCGACATGATGGGCGAAAGACTGAGAGAAGTGACAGAAGGATTTCATGCAGCTTTGAGTCTGGGTCTTGGGAGTCGGAGCAAGACGATGCGTCGCCCCCTATTTATTCACCTCGCCGTGCCGACTGTCTTGCAGAGAAATTTTAATAGCGTATTTCCATCCCCGCGATCCCCCACAATCCCCCGCAAACTATTGCCGACCCGCTACACTGTCACCAGAGAATGAACCCAGTAGTGGAGATTGCCCGACCTTGATTTGCAGTCATGTGTGAGGGGGGTTCGGCGAAGCGCCGAGAACGACTTTCTCCACAGCGACGTCGTCTCGCCTCGGAGAATCGCCGAGTCCCACATTCCCGCCTACCCTGGGCCGAGGGGTTTGGCTGCTGCATGAAGATCGCCCTGTTTGGTTGTGGACCTTTTGCTAATTCTCCCATGCCTTGGCTACCTGGGGAATTTAAGCCAGTAAAATAAAGCTGCGTTGGTACCTCAGTCGCGTTCACGGTCGGGCTTGTTTTTTGTGGTATGCACGTTGGTTTCCAGTCTCATCACATACATCTCTTCCTAGCCTCTTTCTAGACGTATTATTGCCTACCCTTGTCCCAAAACACAACCAGCCAACCAATCAACCAACCAACAACATGCGCATTCTCATTACTGGAGCTGCTGGATTCATCGGCCAGCTCCTGGCCAAGACCCTCCTTGATGATGAAGAGGGCCGGTATCACGTTGTCTTGACCGACATCGTCGAGCCCCCTATTCCGCAGGGGGCAAGGTGGCCGCAACTTGCCAAGTCGATCAAGGCAGACCTCCTCGTCAGTTCCCACAGTGTTGTCGATAAGGGCCTGGATGCGGTATTTGTCTTCCATGGCATCATGTCGTCCGGCTCAGAAGCCGACTTCGACTTAGGTGAGAGCAACCCACCCGTGGCGTGGATTCCGAGGCCTGGGCTAATGTATAACTTACCACCGTGCTAGGCATGAAGGTGAACTTTGACGCAACCAGGGCCCTTCTTGAGGTCCTTCGCAAGTCTTGCCCTGGCGTTAAGGTCATCTACACGTCAAGCCAGGCTGTCTACGGCGGTGACATCGTCGAACCGGTGGATGAGGCGGCGCGCCCGACACCAGAGAGTTCCTATGGCTGCGAAAAGATGATGTGCGAGTATCTCATTACCGAGTTCAGCCGCCGCAGCTTCATCAACGGCTTCATCTTCAGGCTCCCGACGGTATCTGTGCGACCCGGCAAGCCCACCGCAGCAGCGTCGTCTTTCCTGTCGGGGATGATCCGCGAGCCCATGCAAGGTCTGCCCTGCGTGATTCCCCTCAAAGACCGAGGCTTCCGCCACTGGCTATGCTCTCCGCGCATCCTCGTTTCCAACCTGGTCTACTCGCTGAGCATCCCGCGGGATTCATTGCCAAGCTGGGACCGTGTCGTCAATCTGCCTGGCATTGGCGTTACCGTGCAGGACATGATGGACTCTCTTGCCAGGGTGGGAGGACAGGATAAGCTCCGGCATCTCTCGGAGGAGGAGGACCCCAAACTGAAGCCTATCTTGTACTCATGGCCGACAATGTTCGACAACACAAGAGCCATGGATCTTGGGTTTGTGCGAGACACGTCGTTTGATGACATTGTACGGGATTTCAAGGATAGCCTAGAGTCTGTGTAGATAAGTAATTAGAACTCTCTCATTCAGTCTCCTTTGTCGCTTTCAAGGATTTCCCGATACTGTTATATAATTGCTGTTAGATTTGTAACCAACTACATGTCTATACTTAAATATCCAAGACCAGTTGCGGTCTCTTGATCAGACGCCTTGTAAATAATTACAGAGTAACGCATATTAGCAGACAGAATCTTTTGTTAAAACCAGCCCACGTCTTCAGTCCAAGTTCAATCATTGACGGATATCTTTTGCAAGTCTCATATATGCGCGTTCTACACAATGAATCCACTAGCTCGACACAATATAGAATTTGTTACGCCTTTCCCGTAGATCCCAACCAGTCCATATGCTCCTCCACGGCTTTCTGCATCGCCAAGGTCCCTTGCTCCATGACTGCCGTCAGGGGTATCCGGCCCGCCTTCTCCCTCTGCACCTCGGTGAACTTGGCGTTTACCGCGTCGTTGATGTTGCATTTTGCCATGCCGCGCTTGATGCACTCCTTGAAAAGCTTCTCGTCGAAGTCATTTGCGCCGTGGAGAACGAGGTGGACTCTGCCCTTGGTGGTCTCGTAAATCCGGCTCAGGCGATCATAGTCCAGGCTCGGCCCCTTGGGTCCGTACTTGCCATGGACGTTCCCAAACGCCGGGGCTAGCCAGTCGATCCCCAACGCAAGGAACTCCTCGGCCTGTTCTGGAGTCGTGAGAACACCCTCGAGGTCGCCGGTATCCTCGACACCATCCTCCCCGCCGTTGATCCGTCCGGGTTCTGCCTCGGTAATGATGCCCCTTGCGTGCAGGTACTCGACCAGTTCCTTGGTCTTGGCCATGTTCTCTTCCTTCTCGTAGTGGCTCATGTCCACCATGATGCCGTCGAACCCGCCAAGGTCGGCCGCCCTCTTTATGATCTCGGGAGATTGGGCATGGTCCATGTGCACGGCTACGGGCACGTTCGCCTTGTCCGCAGCCTCCTTGGCGGCGTGGATGAGAAGTCCGTCCGCAAACTCAATGGCCCAGGGGAAGAGCTGGACGATGACCGGGGATCGCTTTGCCTCGGCAGCTCGCACAGACGCGATGATGCCTTCAAGGTTGTAGCAGCATATCGCGGGGACTGCGTAGCCACCAGCCCCTGCTGCTTCAACGATCGCCAATGCCCGGTTCTTCTTGTCGTTTGCCATGATTGCCAATACTATCTTGTCTTGGAGTTGAAAAAAGGATAGTTCGACAGATGTGGTGTAGCTTCTTGGTAGCTTCTTGAGAAAGCAAAAGCTAATTAAAGTAGCAATGTGTGATGACGACCCGTGACGTCCCCGCGAATATCAACAATGGTTTGCCGAGAATGAAATCGGCGAAAATGCCGAGTCAGATCGGATCTAGACCGGCAAAAAAGCCGACTGAGAGCAGATCGCTTCCCTTTTTGGCGGTTCCACCCAACCCATCCTGGCTCGGCTTAAACCCCTGGCGTGCATTTCCGTCCACTTTTACCACAGTAAATAATACATGACCCGATGGTCATCAGAGAGGTTGACACGACCGAGCCAATTCGCCAATGGCATGCGCGACTGCATTTTTCATTGAGTGTATGATTTCCAAGATTTTTATCGGTTTGAGTTCGCAATGACATCCAAGATTCCCATCACCGCCAGCGAGCTGCGAAAACGCTCCTCGCCAGAGAACTGCTGGCTTGCCGTCGACGGGGCAGTTTGGGATCTGACCGAGTTTGCTCCTGAACATCCCGGAGGAGCAGATAGTAGGATATGGACCCCACCCCCAAACAAACGCCTCCTGGTTAAGTCGAGACGGCCTGTTGACGGCGCAGCACAGTCATCTATAAGTACGCAGGCCGAGATGCCACGGCGATATACAACAGCATCCACGCCCCTTCCCTGATCCAAACCGAGTTGGGTGCCTCCAAGAGGATAGGCGACTTTGACTCCAGCAACGTCCTCCCGGATTCCGATATCTCAGAGGACCCGGAACCAGCTGTATCTCCTCTGCCCGCGAAAACTGCAGCGGGCAGGCGGCCGCTCCAAACGCTCATCAGCAGCCATGACTTTGAGCAAGCCGCGTCCGAGAATCTCTCGGAGAAGGCCTGGGCCTTCTTCTCTTCTGCGGCGACCGACTGCATCACCGAGAAGGCAAACGCAGCCTACTTCGGGCGCATGTGGCTGCGCCCGCGGATCCTGCGGAACGTCAGAGAGGTCAGCACGAGGACGAAGATGCTTGGAAACGACGTCAGCCTCCCATTGTTTGTCAGCCCGACTGCCATGGCAAAATTGGCCCATCCGGACGGAGAGCTGGCCATTGCCAAGGGGTGTTCTAAGTATAACATTGCTCAAACGGTGAGTAGCCGCGGGGGAGAAACACTTTGACCACCACTTGCTAACAATCAACCAGATCTCGACCAATGCCTCCTTTCCGATGACCGACATTGCATCATCCACGGACATCCCCCTGTTCTTCCAGCTCTACGTGAACAAGGATCGGGCTGCGTCCGAGAAGCTCCTGAAGCAAGCCGAGCAGTGCGGCATGCGGGGCATATTCGTCACCGTCGACCAGCCGACGCCAGGGAAGCGCGAGGCCGACGAGCGCATCAAGGCCGACGCGGCAGCACTGAGGCCGACGCCAAACGGCGCCGTGGCGAGGAATGACACCAAGGGGAGCGGCCTGGGACGCACAATGAGTGGATATATCGACTCTACGACGAGTTGGCAGGACATCAAGTGGCTTCGGAGCGTCACGAGGCTGCCCATCGTGCTGAAGGGCGTGCAGACTGCGGCGGATGCGATTCTGGCTGTCGAGCACGGCATCGATGGCTTGCTGATAGGTAATCACGGCGGCAGGAGTTTGGATACGTCAACACCGGCGATCCTGGTGCTGCTGGAGCTGCAGTTGAGGTGCCCGGACATATTCAGACACATCGAGGTCTACCTTGACGGTGGCATTCGGCGCGGCACCGACATATTCAAGGCGCTGTGTCTTGGGGCCAAGGCTGTCGGCATGGGCCGGTCGTTCTTATATGCTGCCAACTACGGGTCGGAAGGCGTCGAACAGTTGATCGAGAGTAAGTGTTAATTCTCCGCAGAACTACTGAGACCGAGAGTGATTCGCTGACCCCTCTTGCACAGTAATGAAAGACGAATTTGAGACGACAATGCGAATGATGGGTTGCACCGACCTGTCTCAACTTCATCCAGGTCTCTTGAACACTTGCGAGGTCGATAACATGATCCCAAGAACTCTTGACAGAGGGTTAGGTCCTATGGTACCGAAGTCGAGGCTCTGAGTGCTTTCTATGGGCAGTAATGATGGATAGCTAAAGACCATACTAGAATATATCCTTAAATTATTGCTATTTACAGTGAAGAAGCTGTGCACAACTAGAATCATGTATTTATCGAACAGAAAGTCATATCATCTTCAAGGCTTGCTTCAAGTCGGAGCTGGCCATGTTTCATACCCAACTTCCGACCATTGGCTCAGAAACGTCTCGCCAGAGTCGAACTCCAGGAAGCCCACAAGGGTGTTCAAGTCCATGTTGCAAATCATTTCCTGGACATCGTTGCCCGCCTGCCCAGCCACAGAGTCGACAGCCGAATCAGCTGGTCCTCCTTGGCTTTCCATCCGCAAAGGAACATGGTGATCATCAGTATCGCCACGATTCATATCGGCCCATTGCGCGCTCGACACGGTGACCCGCTGTATCAGCTCCCTGATCCCCGCCACAATCACCCTGGTCAAGTGCTTCTCGCTGACCTTCTCCGCCACCTCGGAAAGCAAGTCAGCCGACCGGTGCGCGAGACGAAGCACTCCGTCCAGGCTGAAGCCCAAGCCCATCCCCTGCGACAGCAAGTCGTCGCCGCCGAACCCCCACATGGCCGCCATTTTGAGCAGGAAGGTGGCGCAGAAGGCCACCATGGCGTGCGTGAAGAGCGGGACGCCGTTGAGCGCCCTCTTCAGGTCGCTCTCGCCGAGGATGTCCATGAGCGTGTTCATCGCCGCCGAGATGGCTGCCATGGCTGCCTCGCGGCGGTTCGGCGAGAGCGGCTCGATGCTCGGCCATCGCACGCCGCGTAGGGCCAGCGAGTTGAGCTGGAAGCGCGCAAAGTGGTAGTACAGGACCACGCCCTTGGACGGGTAGGAGCCGATGCTGACGCTGTCCAATGAGCGCGGCTGCCAGAGGAGGCGCCACTGCTCGATGGCGATGTTGAAGGTGCGCAGCCTCTCGAGGTCCTGCTCGCTCAGGGCCTGGTTCTGGTCGCTGCCGTACTCGAGGTATGCCTCGGTCAGGATCTTGAACAGCGCCACCTGGGCCGAGAGCCTGATGTCGCCCGCCTCGGCGGAGGGGCTCTGGATAAACTTCTCCACGCCGAAGATGGCGGCGTCGCCGTGCATGGCCGATGGCCGGCCGTAGGCGATGCTGAAGTGGCGGTCGCATATGTAGAGCGCGTACCACAACCTGACTCTCTCGCGGTGGCTGACATCGCCGTTCACGAGCTTCTGGAACGACTGGTGGATGTTCATCTCGGCGGCCATCCTGACGGCCTGCCCAGAGAGCCTCCAGCTGAGGTTGGGGAGGAAGAAGGCCGCGAGACAGAGCGCGCGGATGTCGTCGATGTTGTGGCGTCTCGACAGGAACGAGTTGCTGACAAGAGTCACAAAGGAGTCGTAGCACAGCTGAAGGACCTCGGCGCGGTCGGGCGTGTGTAGGGCAGCGACCGTCAACACGGCCGTGGAGAGCAGGGCCGAAGCCCTCCGTACAGCATCCAGGGTCCGGTAGGGGAAAAGAACGCCACCCCAGAGGAGTTGGTGGTGGTTCTTGAGGTAGAGTGCAAAGAGGTGGTCGCCCTCGGCTATCGGGATGATGCCTCGGGAGATGATGTCCTCCTCGGGGGGTGTGACCTGCGGCACTAACGAGGTGGTCGCGTTGCGCAAATTGGCCACCTTGGTCAACTCGTACAGGCTTCCCATGGGCGCCGGGACGAGGCCTGGATCCTCATGCTGCCGCTCGGGAGAACCCTCTCTCCGCATGTCGATGGGCTCTATGGCGGCATTCCCGGTCGAGACGCCGCCTCCCAGCGCCGAGTTGGCCGGGCTGGTGGTGACTGTTGGTGTGGTGCTGAAGCTGGACAGGTCTGGGAGCTGGTCGCGCTGGAGTAGACTCCTCACAGCTGCCTGCAGCTGGCCGATGTGGGCTGATGCCTCGGCTTTCCAACTGTTTGGACCGTCAAGGAACTGATCGCGAAGAGGATGTAGAAAATATTGGGCAAAAGCTACTCACGCTGCATGCTCGTCCAAAATCCGCTGAGTCGGGTCGTACGGCGCACACTCGGCGCCGCTGCGGAGACACCTGGTGCACGCCGTCTCACCTCGCCTCACCTCGCACTTGATCTTGTGTTTCTTGCATTCGGCACCTAAATCAGATCAGCGGGATAGTCTCGCGTAAACCTGAAGAAGTGAAGTGAATGCGCGAGGAGTCATGGGGAGAGTGGAGCAGGCTCCAAAAGGCTACGCACAAGCTCGCACTCTTGACAGACGCGGGCGGCCGCGATTGCGGAGGCCGGGGGAGTCAGCGGCGCCAGGCAGTGGGGACCCTCTTTGCGACATTGTAACGCCGACGTGGTGCAACGTTGGTGTCGAAGCACCCGTTTGCAGGAGAAACAGTAATAAGAACAGGAAAATGACCAGTAGAAAATGATCAGGAGAAGACGACCCGCACGCGTGGAGTCGCTGCTTGTCTCCCAAGGCGGGGGGGGGGCGCCCAGTCATGGAATGGGAGTGGACACTTGAACACGAGTTGGGAAATACACTAAATCCGTACTAAACCCCAACGTTAGTGCGGATCCGTACTGCCTAGGTATGCCCTATGCCCATGTAGATACTGTGGAGCGAGTCAGGCTTACTTTCGGCCCTGGTTATTGATGCGAACGAAATGTGTCAATCTACATCGACATCCACATCCACCTTTGACAGGCAACTGCATCCTGGCCCCGGCAACATCTGGTCAGCTTTTGTCTCTGGATGCTTGTTCGGCGGCTTCAAGGTGGAATGTATCGTATCCAGGGTATGATGAGCCGGCTCACGTTGTCGGGGTCCAGTCAGCAGTTGTGCAAAATGCATCGAGATACCGCGATGGACGAAGGATCAGACTGGTCCACCACACCTTTCACGGTTTTGCCCTCCACGATGAACCCGTAACGGTAGAATAAACCGGCCATCCTAGCAGCCCGAATGAGCTGCAGATCAGTATCCGAGACATTGTTGGCTTCTCTAAAAGTTTGCCAGAAGAGGTCCTCCAGTTCATGGGGATTGTCATAGTATTGCCATCCCTTAGGACCCATGTACCCAAGAATATTTTCAAGCCCCCACAAGGGAAAACCGAACGGAAGAATGCTTGCCTCTGCCCAATCCACAATTCCCGTGATCCTGCCAGTTTCGGGATCTATGAGAATATTCATCTCACGGAGGTCCCCATGACTGAGAACGAAACGAAGTGCCCCTGAGAGGAGGGATGGAAGCTCTTGGCAAACTCTGCCCAAGTTCGACGCGAACCGAGATGGTAGCGATCGAGCAAGGAGGTCGAACTTAGAATGACACTCAGTAAGCAGGGCAGCTGCATCGTCTGGGTTTAACGGTCGGCTGGTGTTCCACGACTGCCCAAAAAAACCTGTGTACATCGTCAGCCTCGGACCATCATGAAACAATGGGCATCTGCACAACGCACTTTGCAAAGTCTTTGACAGGGTTGCGCTGCCGCAATACAGCGTCTGGCGGCTGTACATTGGAGATATCGCGCGCCATAATGTAAGCAGTCCCGGGGACGTTGTCCATCTCGTATATGTGGATGGGTCTTGATTGTCCAAAGTTCCGTGATACTTGCAGTCGGCCACAAGTGGTGGGCGAACTGCCTTGGCGAGGCTCATGAGGTCCATGTCGAGACTGGAGTCCTGAACTCGGAACTGGAAGAGTTTGGACTCGTGTGTCCCTGCCGTCACAGTATAGCTGAACGTCCCCTGTATCGGCACAGGATTGACCCGCTCCCCAGCCAGAGAAACCGCAAGCTCATCCCATTGCTGTCTTGTTACACTTGTGTTTGACTCGAAGAACAGACTGATTGCATTGTGAAGGCAGTAGTAAGCAGTCATTGTGGTAAAGGGCGGTGAAGCTGTAAAGTAATACGCAGTAGTAAGTTAATATTAAGTCCACAGAACAAAGGTTTCTGAAATATAGCCTAGAGGAAAAGGAAAGTTGATTAAAACAAAATAAAGATTGGGGAAAAAGAAGAAGAAAAAGAAAAAGGAGAGGGATGGTGCAAAAATAAAAACGTACAACACCGGGGATTCGCTGGTCGTCACCGACCCAACTACTGATCCGGCCCTCATTGGCTTATCTATGGGAGAGCGGACGGGATCCCGAGTTTTCCAATGGGTATGGTCGTACGTGACAGTCTGAACTCCAAATAGCCGTTATATAGATCACTTTCTTTGTCCTACTGGCCACAGATGGTGGCACCTAGGTACATTCTTATAGATTGAGTTGATGGAAAGTCTCGAGAGCAAAGCATGGGTTTACGCTGTTGATAGACGGCGGGATTTCTTCTCCTTTTCTCTCTCATCCTTCCCTTCCCTTTCCCCCCAGTATAACCCCCAACCCCTCCTCCCTTCCCCCCCCCCAGAAAAAAAAAACTCCCAGTATTCCCTGTGTTAATATTACTTCGCATTCTACATTTGATGTCAATTGCCTTTTGTGCATCGATTACTCTTTTGTCTATTTACCATACTCGGATGATGCAAAGTCAATCAATTGTTCTCCCCCGGTATCACCAGATATGGATGACGTCACTTTGAGCTCACTAAAACTCGGTGCTCGGGAGAGCTGAGTAGTGTGAGAATTATCTTGGAATGGGCTCTAGCCATCGACGTCATGATTGTCTTAGTGAGAACAAGCCGTGTTCCTGCCCCAAATATCTCTAAACCACAGACAATCTCTTCTGTGATTACAGTGAATTATTTCTACTTATTCCGAAGCATAGTCTGTACTGTACAAGAACACTTGCAGTCGCGTGATCAAACATGGCGTCTACCGAGGGCCCGGAGCCCACCAACATGCTCTCCGGGGATAGTGGCCCAGGGACGGGACTGAAGGATTTAGTTCCCCTCCCGACGAGCACACATCCCGTCAGCGATCCAGGGCGAAAAGAAGTAGCCAACACCCTCGCCGATGGCCCGTCCCTCTCGCACGCCCTGGCCACAGATGCCTATGAGGTTCAAGATGCCGCGCAGCAGGATCACGAGAAGGAGGTTCTGGATCTGGGATGGAATGAGAAAAAGCAGTACATCGCTCAACCGCTGGTGGGACGGATGGACAACGAGGAATTATGGCTTCTTATCCGCCGGTTCAACAAGGTAATAAATCAGTGATGCAGGAGATCCCCAGGAGAATCCGGCATGGTGAGTCAAGCTTACTGATGACATTGCAGCAAATGTACCACGTCAAGGCAGTCACCTATCCGGTCCCGGGCGACCTAGACTTGAACATCGCAGACGAGGAGGAGTTTTCACCGGACAAGCTACGAGCAACCATCGAGAGGTTGTACATGACCGTTATCGTTGGGATTCTTGCGGCTGTTAAGCACATTGCCCGTCTCCGATCATGGCGAGAGACACAGAGAACCGCATATTTCTGCGCCGTATGTTCTTCCAAATCACCATGGCAAACAGGCCAGCGTACAGCCCAGACTGACAACCATCCAGGCATACTTCACCGCGTGGCTATTCGATTTCATTGTCCCGCTTCTCTGCGTCACTCTCATTACACTCATTGCATATCCACCTTCACGGACCCTCCTCTTCCCGCCGGCGCCGATTGCACTGGTTGATAGCAAGTCCGGCGGTGTTCAGAAACCAAAGGCCGGCGTCCTCGGCAGCCACGACAGTGCCACCGGGGCCCCGGAGAACCACAAGGGCGAGGCCGTAGAGCAAGAGGCCAGCAACTTCGTCAACGGCATCGCGTCTGTGGCGCTGAGTAGTGCAACAGGTAAGCACCCTCAAGGCGACCCGGAGGCAGACGAGGAAGGGGCGCAAGATGCGGTGCCAGATCCTACTGCCATTGCCGTCGGAGCAGCAGACGCCAAGGACAGGGCAGCAGGAGAGAAGACTGCCGCGAAACATGACAAGACCAAGGTGCCCATGGAAACTGCAATGTGGACAAAGATGAGACCAATCATGCACGGGATCGCCGCGTTCACCGATACCTGGGAACGGATTGCAAAGTAAGTAGGAACTCAGAACTGCGTCTCCCCTGTCAATCTGGAACCATTCTGACGGGTTCATCAGTGCTCTGTCGCCAACTCCCCCCTTTCCCGAGGACACTTACCGCCTGCGACTTGTTTCTCTGGTAATGCCGCTTTTGGGGCTTTCCTTCTTCGTCACTTCATACATGTTTATGAAGGGACTGACGCTTGCCGTCGGGTTCGGCTTCTTTGGCAACCCTGTCATCTCTCGCGGACTCGACTGGCTCAACCGAACGATTCCTAATTGGCAGAAATTGCTAGAGATCAGAAAGTAAGCCGACCATCCTTGCCCTGCCCCCGGGTCCCTCGTGACTAACTTCATATAGCACCATTCTCAAAGGCGTGCCAACCAATGTCCAGCTCACAATCACTCTCCTTCGACTAGCCGAGGCGAACAAAGCACCGCTTCCCCCACCCCCACGCGTCGACCATGCACCACCAGAGAAGCCAGCCGAGCTGACCGACGAGCATCTACGAGCCACGGGCGCCGAGCCACCCCTCAACGCCACAGACGCGGAACTGGACGAGGCAATCCATCACGATCCCCAGACCGCCCACGAGACCGGCGGCGGCGACATCGATGCGTCGAAGAACGCAAAGCACGGCAAGCGCGCCAGCAAGATCCTAGGCTTCTTCAAGGGCACGACCAAGGGGGCCGTCAAGGCCGCCATCGGCACGGATACGGCGCGGGCCAAGGCCGGCTCGCGCCCAGCCAAGGACCATCTCGGCGTGGTGCCCCGTCGCGGCAGCGATCTGACGTCCGGGCCGGTCGAGTTCAAGGCGCGATACGGCGGTCGGAAGGGCCATGTGTACATCAGCACCAAGGCTACGATCCCCATGGTGGCGTTCAGCACCGACTCGACCATTGAGAAGATCGGCGAGCAGGAGCGGGAGGACTTGCATGCACTGTGGAGTATTGCGCTGGCGGATATCGTCGAGCTCAAGAAGTTTGGCGGGTATGGGTGGAAGACGAAGCTGGTCGTTGGCTGGTCGCTGGGACGCGAGATTGCCGATGGACTGGAGATCGTGGTGGCCAGTGGGGAGAGCTGGAGGATCACAGCATGCCCACTGAGAGACGAGCTGTTCAACCGGCTTGTGGCTATGGGTGGGCAGAAATGGGAAGCCTGGTGAGCTGCCTGCAGGTATTTGGTCATACTCGAGAATCGGAATCTGGCCCATGTAAGCAGGAATTAATCAGCTAGATCCAAGACCTCGCTCGACATGATGTCTGCCTCGAGTCTAGCCACACTGGTGCTCATCTTTGGATAGGTACACGACGCGTAATTAATGGATCGCGGTGTTTTAATTCTCTTTCAAGTCCATGGACGTAAGCGCATCTTACCAAGCACTGGAGGCTACGGCAGCTCTGATTGGCTCGCTCGCCAAACAGGAATCCAACATTTTACCCGTTTACCACCACAGCCGAGCCGTCGTAATTCGAACGCGTGGCGCACAAGGCCAGCCCTGCAGTGCCGCCCTCGTGTCATTGGACTGCTCGCCAGACACGACGCTGTCCAACTCCAGGGCTGAGCAACCCGTATCATCAAATTATACAGATCCGTAGAAATCAGCATGCCTCCTAGGTCCCCGGGGTCATCGACTTGGATATAAAATGATGGCGTCTGGAACGCCATTGACAACGACAGAGTAGCCCCTCGTCTCTTCACCGTCACCAGATCCACCCTTGCCCCTTTTCTTTTCTTAACGCAATGCTCGTCTTCGAAGTACTTGCACGAACAGCGGCTCGGCTCGCCCTTGCCCAGCAACTGGTGTCTCTTGCAGTTGCTCAAAGCTTTCTCCCCCGACCTGAGGGCGTCACCTTGATAGAATCCAAAAACTATCCCGGGTCATCCATCTCCTACAAACAAGTAAGTAATCCTCACAAAAGCGTGTTGTTGATGCGCCGCTAATATGCTGCTTCCAGACCTCGATTTGCGAAACCACGCCTGGTGTGAAGGGGTACAGTGGATATGTGTCCATCGGTGATGATAATTTCTTCTTCTGGTATTTCGGTCAGTCTCTCTGTCGAGCAACACAAGTTTAGACGGACCACTCACAGCCCTTGATTAGACGCCAGAAACGACCCGGCCAATGCCCCCGTAACCATCTACCTCCCCGGAGGCCCTGGTACGTCCTTCCTCGACGATACTAGTGGCCTCCCTTGCTCCGTCAACGCCGACTCGAACAGCACCACGCTCAACCCCTGGTCGTGGAACAACGACGTGAACATGCTCTACATTGACCAGCCCATCCAGACGGGTTACTCGTATACGAAACCTCAGGATGGAATGGTGGACCTTTTCACGGGAGAATTCACCCCTTTGGCAACCACCGACGACCCGATTGCGACCAACTTGACAGCACTTGCGGCCACGCTATCAAGTCAGAGCCCTAGTGATACTGTCAACACCACGGCCCAAGCCGCTAGGATGATGTGGAAGTTTGCCCAAATCTGGTTCCAAGAGTAAGTAAGACCCTTCCTGAAAGCTATTTGACAGCCATTCTAACTGATGGATAAGGTTCCCCGAATACAAAACTACCAACGACGAAGTCAATCTCTGGTCTTTCTCTGTGAGTTCTCAGCGCAGGACACCTAAAGGCGGGAAATTCGAGAGCTGGCAGGCAATAATAAACTAACCTCCTCCCTACTAACCAGTACGGCGGCTTCTTCGGGCCCGGGACATTCTCCTACTTCCAGCAACAAAACGAACGGATAGCCAACGGCACCTCCGACGACCCCAAGGCGAAGCCCCTCCGCCTCGGCACGCTCGGAATCAACAACGGCTGCATCGACTCTCTGATCGAAGGACCCGAATACCCCGAGATGGCCGTGAACAACACGTACGGCATCCAGGCCATCCCGACCGATGTCTACCAGGCCGCGAAGCACAACATGACCAAGGAGGGCGATGGGTGTGTTTCGCTCATCGGAGCCTGCCGTGCTGCAGCGGCGGTGGGAGATCCCGAGGGGATGGGGAATAACGACACTGTGAATGAGGCTTGCCAAGCGGCGATGGGCGTTTGCTTCGGGCTAGTGCAGGGGGCCTATACCACTTACTCAAACGTGAGTCACCATATTCTTCCCCAGCGAGGCCTATGAGTGATACACTGACAACGAATACCAGCGGAGCCCATTCGATCTAGCGGTGATCCTCCCCGGGGTCTTCCTGCCCGAGAGTTCAATGGCTTTCTACAACCAGCGGTGGGTGCAAGAAGCCCTCGGCGTGCCTGTCAACTTCACGTACAGTTCGAATGTCGTCGTTGGGAACTTCTTCCAGGCGACCGGCGATCCCATGCGTCGCACAATTGCAGATCTAGAGCATGTCCTCTCTGCGGGAGTGAACCTCGCACTGGTGTACGGCGATCGAGACTACCGCTGCAACTGTACGGAAAAGAACCCTCCCCCAACCCGTTTGAACAACCAACCCCCTTGATTGCAAAGCTAACCCCCTCATCCCAGGGCGCGGCGCCGAAAAGGTCAGCCTGGCAATGTCCTACCCCTCCGCCAGCTCCTTCCGCGCGGCCGGCTACGCCAACATCACGACCAACGCGAGCTACACGGGTGGCGTCGTCCGGCAGCACGGCAACGTGTCCTTCTCGCGGGTCTTCCAGTCGGGCCACCCGGTGGCGGCGTACCAGCCCGAAACCATGTACCGCATCTTCCGGCGGGCTATCTCCGGTCGGGACATCGCCACGGGGGAGGTGGCGATCAAGAAGAGGGACAAGTACAGCTCGGCGGGGCCGGAGAGTAGCTTTGAGATTAAGTTAGATGCACCGCCGAGCCCGCCTTCGGTTTGCTATCTTTACGACATTAGTAATACCTGCAGGCTGGAGGAGGTTGAGGCTCTCAGGGACGGGACCGCTGTCGTGGAGAACTTTGTAGTTGTCGGGACTGATGGTTCGACAAGTGAAATTAAGAATGGCGCTGGCAGGGGCGGGGTGTCGATGATTGTCGTCTCCTTCGCGATGGCGCTTGTTCTTGGTTGTACACTATCTTGAAGGCAGATCCTTTGCCGATACTTGTATTCATAGCAAAGCGATCAAACCTAGACTAAAATTCCACCACGATATTTCTCGACCGCATTGAGCCATCCTCCTCCTTAGCCGCCAACAGTAACATCATATCAACCTTCCCCTTTTCCACATCTGCCTCGAATATCGAATCAACAACCCGCTGCTCTTCCGGCACCACCGGCACACCCTCCCAGCTCGACTCCGATCTCCAGTCCTGATCGCCGCCAAGCCAATCACCAGCTCCCTCGCCGCGAACCCTATCCGCCCACCGTCCCAGATCAGCCGCACGGATCGGCAAACCCGACGGCGCCAGCATCCCCAAGCCCTCCTCCTCAACAGCGACGATCCTCCCCGCCACCGCCGCCGCGCCGATGCTAGACCACATACCCTCCTGCCTATTTGCCCGCCACAGCAGCGCGAGGGCACGCCGGCGGATAGCAGGGTGCCTGCAGCGCGTCGCGGTCATGTACAGCGGGGCGACGATTCCCGGCTCCAGGGACAGGGAGGAGGAGGCGCCACCGGGCCGGGCCGATCGGATGAGTGAGGCGGAGAGGCATGTGATGCGCTCAAAGTGCGGCAGGCATGCGTCGTGTCGGCGCTCTGGGCCGGCTACTCCGGCTCTCAGGAGGAGGCGGAGGGTGGCGTGGTAGAGCTTGAGGGAGAGCAGGGCGGCGTCGTCGTCGTCGTCGGGATGCGGCGCTTGTGATAGATAGCTGGCCATGGCGGCTTCCCATGCTGCTGTCTGTTCGGTGATACGTGCTTCTAGGTGGGTGACTGATTGGGCAACCTGGTGCTCGTCAAGGAGAGGACCGCCCAGTTTTAAAAGGCTTCTCAGCAGCCTGAACAAGCTCGTGGTGGCTTGGTGTATGTTCTCTATCAGAAACAGCGGTTCTTGGGCCGGCGCTAGGCCGGGTGTGTTGCCATCCCCGTACGTAAATGGGTACGGCGCACTGCTGTCGGAGAAGGTCGCTGCGTGAAGATCCATCCGGGCCAGACTCTCGGCGGCACTGTCCACATCTGCATGGGAAATGTTCGTCGTCCTCTGTATTTCTCCCAACAACTTCTGGGCAGAAACAATGTGGACCCGACTATCCACCCACTTCCCTCCTAGGGTCGAGATCCCAAGGAGAACAATACTGAGCACGAGAAGCGTGGCCGGATCCCGGATAGAGCGGGCAAGTGAGAGGGCCTGGCCATAACAGCGGAAAGCCTTCCCGACAAAGAGAGAGCCACTCGCGCCCGCCCATTCAACTTCAGGCATCAACCTAATTTCCAGGCTCCGATGCAGCGCCCCGAGCGCGACAGCAGCACGCCAGACGGCGGGCTCGGCGTGCGCAACTTGCAGAACACGGCGGGCCCAAAACTCGGAGGGCGAGAACCCCCCTGCGGCAGGCGCCGTCAGCAGCCGGAAGAAATCGAAGCATGCAACGTCGCCGGTGGCCTGCGGGCCCGCGAGAGCCGGAGACGCCGGTCCGGCGAGGGGCAGGTTGCGCACAGCTGCGGCGAGGGCGCGGCGCGACAGGCCCGAGACGTTGGCCGGGGGATAGCCGTCGCATGTGCGCTGGGACTGCGCGCAGCGGTTGCATCGGGGCCTCGTCTCGTCGCATTTGACGCGTCGGATTCTGGGGCTGAGTTAATAGGGGGCGGACGAGGGCAGGACCATGCCCCAGAGGTTGGAACGCACCTGCAGGTAATGCAGCCGTTGCGGGAGCGCCGTATCGACTTGCTAGATGACGTGGACGTGTCGTTCATTTTTTTTTGTTATAAAGTGATTCCGCGCATCGTACTGGTACGTTGGTAAGTATGAAAGTTATTTTGCCTTGTCTGACAAGGAAATCTTTCAGCAAGCATACGTAACCTCGTGCATTTCGATCTATTGGCAAGGGGTCTGTATGGATCGGACGCTAACACACGCTGCAAAGTTCGGGTTGATTTCAAACAGGTCAATTCTGTTCCTGCAACCTGCATCCGAATACTCAATCTGGATTCCGGGATCACCTTTCTTCTCCCCAACCAACACAAAATCGACTTGATCAAAGCCTCAACTGGAGATGCCTGGGCTCATTCTGTGGCCAACGAGCAAAATCACATCAAAGCGTCACCGACACCTCAGAAAATAACGAGTTGTAACATCTTCGCGAGGGAGCAGTTCCTCTGAACTTGGACTGATCCCTTCGTCTTCTCTTCATCTTGGAGGATTTGAAGCTTTCGTTCGACGGCCATGACCTCGCTGTCAAAGCGTCGGAAAGCCTGTGCAAACCGGATACTGACGTAGCTTCTTCGCAGGATTATCAGATGCGAGGGCAGAGTGTCGACATCAAGCCAGCCGCTGAAAATGAGAGCCAGACTTTGCAGGTTCTTATAATTCGCTTGTTCGCGTAAAGTATGTACAATCCCGGGTCCGGGGACCGGACGGTAATGGCACCCCGGCGGTGGAGAAACCGAGTGTGGAGATTTCATGCGGGGGCTAGATCATGTCATGTCACTTCCACGCCCTTCGGCAAAAATTGTCTCTGGACTTGGTCCAATTACTTCATAATTCGCACAAATTCTGAACCACTCCAAATTACAAGGAAATATCATCGCCGAAATCTCAGTAAAGCAACCGATTCAAGACAATGGCATCCAGCACGCAGACAATGGTGGCGGCACCATCACTCCGCAACGCCCACGGCCCCGAAGACGGCATTCCTCTCACCTCACTCGTCGGCGCCGCCAACTCAACCCCCGAGAATGACCCGCCACCCCCCCGCGGCTCCCATCTCCAAAAAGCCCTAATAACCTTCCAACTCTCCGGCGTCAACCTAACCTCCAGCATGATCAACGGCCTCATCACCGTCGGCCTCCCCACCATCGCCGCCGACCTCGACCTCGCGCCCTCGCTAGCCCTCTGGCCAGCCTCGGTGTCGGGCCTCGCAACAGCGACCACGCTCCTCCTAGCGGGCTCCATTGCCGACGTCCTGGGGTCCCGCGGCGTGGAGCTGCTGGGCTGTTTCGCCAACGGCGCCGTCATGCTCGGCCAGGGGGCGTCGCGGACCGGCGCCGAGCTGGTCGGCCTGCGCGCCATCCAGGGGGTTGCGCTGGCGTTGCATCTCGCCGCGTCGGTGGGCGTCATCACCGAGCATGTGCCGGAGGGGCGGGGGCGGAACATTGCCTTCTCGTGTCTGGGGCTTAGCCAGGTGCTGGGGTTCTCGGTCGGGCTCGTGCTGGGGGGGATCTTTGTTGATACCATTGGGTGGAGGGCCGGGTGGTATCTTTCCGGCGGGGCGACGCTGCTGCTCGGTGTCTTGGGGCTCTGGGTGCTCCCACGGGGCCGTGATGGCCGGAAGATCGGGCATGTTGTGCGTCAGATTGCCACGACGGTTGATTGGGTTGGTGCTGGATTGGCGTCTGCCTTTATGGCTCTGCTATCCTACCTCCTCGCGTAAGGGCTCGCTTTTACCTCTCCCAGTCTGTATTTTGCTTCTCTCACTCGACGCTAACACTACTTTTGCTTCAGGGTTGTCAGTACCGATATCTCACGCATTCGACACACAGACAGTATCGTGATTCTATGCCTCAGCCTCATCGTGTTACCATCATTCGTATTCTGGGTCCATCGCCAGGTCAGATTGGGCCGGCCTGCTTTAATTCCCAATTCGCTCTGGAAGAATACCGCATTCTCGAGTATCTGCATTACCGTTGCGCTGTCGTCTGCCGTCCTCAACTCCTTAGAGTTATTTGCTAGCCTGTTGTGAGTTTCAGTTTCCCCTCTCTTAAATACTCTCTAACAAACAGATGCACCAGCTTCCAAGATGTGCAACGCCTGCCCGCCCTGCAGGCATCCATCCGCATTTTGCCAAGCATGCTTATCGGGGTGGTGCTCAACGTGACGACCGGCTTCTTCGTCGACCGAGTTCCTGCCTTCTGGCTTGTGACGGTATCCTCGCTCCTCTGTGCCGGCTCGCCTCTGCTCATGGCGGTGATTAAACCCGAGTCGACGTACTGGGCCAATGGCTTCGTGGCGCAGCTTCTGCAGCCCACCAGCTTCGATGTGCTCTTCACCGTCGGTCTTATTGTGGTCTCGAACTCCTTCGACGACAATAACAAGTCACTGGCCGGCGCTGTGTTCAACGCCGCGGCACAATTCGGCAGTGCCCTCGGGCTCGGAATCATGCAGGTCGTCTCAACGCTGGTCACCAAGCAGTCTGGCGCAGAGGGGATCCGGGCGATAATGGAAGGTTTCAGAGCCAGCTTTTGGACCATGTTTGCCTTCATGATCCTCTGTGCGGTGCTAGGAGGGTTTGGCTTGGGGAAGACGGGAAAGGTTGGACTAAAGAGAGACTAGAGCGTTCACATGGGCAGAGGTTCTGTACGCAAAATCAAGGGTCCCATTGACCCTAAAAATCAAGGGTCCCATCCCAAAAATCCATAGAAACATTTGAGGTTGTACTGAAGGAGATGACATCGCTGACCCGTAAAATTTGACGCCCTGTACGCTAGATCATATCGTCATATCTTTTGCCCTCCAACTTTGGTGAAATCATTTGCTCATCCGCTGAAAAAGCTGACCAATTTTGTGCTCAAACGGAGCAAGGGGGTGCTCCTCACCCAAACCCAGGTCCTTGAGTTTGTACCGAGGATTTGTCGTGTGCATGGCCATGTAGCCTCTGACACTCTCGTCCCAGGACTGTGCGTAAATACCCCTCTTCTTGAGAACCTCCTTGACCCGGTTTGCAGCCTCTATTGTCTCCTTATTCACCTCCTCGAGCACGGTAAGCACCGGCTTTCCCGTGCAAGTAGCACGGTTGTGGATGTAATTCCTCGTATCGCCGCCTAGTTCCTCCTTGTAGAAACTGGCAGCCGTTAGCGAATTTGTCCAGGGATTATTAATACAGGCTGGGCTGGGGCTACTCACGACAGCACGTCGTTGGAGATGTCGATGAACTTGGCCATGTCCGGTATCGCCTCCAAGAAGGCTCCAACGTCGGGATAGAGCGCTTTGGGGTAGCAGAACACGGCATACGCCACGTTCATGCCCGACATGTCTCTGTAGAACCCCGGAAACTGCTTGCCCGCTGGCGTGACAGGCATGTTCTGGAAGCCATCGTGTCGCTCCAACGAGTTGCTCGTCAGAAACTTGAGGACGGAGATCTGCAGCAGGTTCGCCATGACAGGATCGAAATGGTCATGAGCCTCCCGGATCATGCCCGCGATCCCCTCGAGAAGGTTATTCGGCTGGGGCTCGCCTCGGAAAAACCGCTGGTGGAAAAGAAGCGCCTCCTCTACCATCTGGTTGCTCTGCCCGACTATGTCATCGTACTGGACGACAAGCCAAGTGAAGAGCCCGACATATCCCTGGACTTCAACCGGATGGCCGGGATGGGCAAGCTGCCTGGCCGTTAGCAATAACTTCAGTGTGTAGAAAATGGCGGGGCTTGGATCATGCCAGTCCTTCCGCATAGCCCAGGCGGAACCCTTTCGCGGAGATAGGGGTGTCCAGTGGCACGCCGATCTCAACAGCCCTCTTGTACATGTACTCCAGAAGAGCCTCAACGGCCTCGCCTTTCAGCTGCGGCGCGCCAGGGTAGTTCAACTGGGCAAGCATCTGGGCGCAGATCGGCCCGACGAGGGAAGCGAGCCGTTCCGGCTCCTTGGCTAGGTCGAGCCCGATACGGTTTCTGGAGAAGAGTCCCCATCGCAGGCTGAGGAATCTGCGCCATGAGGCCACGGCGGCGGTGTGAATCCCGGAGCTAAACATGGTACAAGACGGGAACCAGAGGGTGCACAGACTGGGCACAGACTGAAGGCTAGTTGACTGCTACGTAGTCTAAGGATCAAGACAGGGGAGACCCGGACTCTGAGGAAGACAGGGGCGACCTGGACTTTTTATCAGACTACAGAGAAGTGGATACATGAATAGCAACAAGGTCGGAGTCAGTTCTGACAAATAGTTTTCTTATCTCGTCCCAGTGCAGAGTGCAGTGCAGTGCGCGGTTCGAGTGAAAGTGATGCTACTGCGTAATGTGATCCCGAGTGCCTTGGTAAACATAGGAAAGAGCCGTATTGTGTGCTCGCTCAAGGAATGACGATCCACTTGTTGGAGGGGAGTCTGGAACGGCTGACCACTACCGGTTAGTATAGTGTTTATTGGATCCACCAAGACCCTGGCTCATACTGTGGACCCTAGTATACTATTAGTATACTATAGGTAGCAACGATGCTACTCCGCAGTAGTGTTGATACTGGACTGGGAATAATTGTCCGTTGGTTGTGTCGGCAGGCAGAGACAAACAAGTCTCGAAGCGAGGCACATGAGAGCAAGTGAACTGATGAGCTGATGGACAATAACGAGAGGTGCACGTCGAATTCTTGAGTGACCAAGCAGTCAAGTGTCTCTTGTCTTTACTTATCCATGACCACAATCCTCGTCATACACTCCAAAATACTGCAGCACATTTTTCATCTGTCCCTTTCTTCGGAATGGAATACCCTTCAGTTCGGTGATAAGCAAGAAAAGGAGAGAAGAGGGGAGAGAAGAGGGAAGAGAAGATTCGAGAGAAGAATGGGGAAAAGACGGTGTACGCATACTGGCCTGGAAGTGGGGGGTAACCGGGGTTGTTGAAACGCTAATACACACTAAATACCCCAAAAGACGACCTGTCATCTCTCCAAGAGTAAATCCGCACAGGGGGGCTCAATCGTTATCTCGGCAAGCAGTCGGTTGCTTCCGCCAGATGACTTCCTGGTTCACTGCCTTTGGCAAGTCCTCCACAAAGGGGTTCCCAGTGCCACGTTCCAGTTACCACATTCCCGGCAATTTAAGGCGGTCAGTCGGGACTTTTAGTGGGGCGGTGCAACAGCTCTGGGGGGGTATAGGTTTCCAAATATTAGCGAAATACACGTGTACAAACCCCGCGATTCATCCACTTCCAACGCATATTTCTACTTGGACAATCTTCTCTTGTTTGGGTTTGGTCAAGTCGCAGGCTAACGTCTGGAACCCCGACTACTCCAGGATTTCACATGTTAGACCCAAAACCTTGTGGGGCTGTACTGTCAATCGCTTCCTGATTGGTACTCAATCAAAAGCGTAAACCCCGGTAGAGGTAGGGATTCCCGACAAGGCCTTCCACACAAATTATCGTGGCACGGTATCCGTGAGTACACTAAATTAATACCTAAGGGAGAGACTGCCCCAGCTCTGACGGTCCCCTGAGGGTATGAAACCCATCTATCTTATTAACAATTCCCTACGCATCCCTACGCATCCTCGCAAGATTGAGATTGTTTGGCGGCACAAGCGACGGCAGTATAAACCCGTCCTATGCTGCACCTCTCGTTGCATTGGTGTTAATCCGAGACGAGATGCATTTTGCAGTCTCTGAATCAACCCCCCACCCCGCTTCCCCCCACCCCTGCATCACAGCAGAGTTCTTCTGCACCCAACTGCAGCTGTCGTACGTTCCCTCGGTCCGAATGAATCCAACATGAGCATCCCATACAGGCGTCTTGACCCCTCGAGGCGCGAGATCCGCCTGCTTGAGATCCAGCCGGCACGCATCATCGACGACCCCATCGACTGCCGCCTCGTCACCGTTCGCCTTACCGACGAAGTCGAGTACATCGCCCTCTCGTCGCTCTATGGCGAAGTGTCCGAAACCGATAAGATCCTCCTCGGCGGCCGCCCCGTCACCATCACCGCCCATCTCTCCCAGGCCCTGAAACATGTGCGCGCCGTCTTCTACCCGACCGTCTCGCAGCGCTTCCAGCGCACCCCCGCCAGGCGCCCACACGGCGCCCCTCGCTGGCTTCGGCAACTGTTCGGCCTGAGCAGCTCGCAGTCCAAGTCCGGTGGCGGCGACCCCAACGGGCAGCCGAGGGCCCTACGGGTGTGGATCGACTTCCTCTGCGTCAACCAGCGCGACGAGTTCGAGAAGTCGAACCACCTCGCCGAGCTGCGGCACATCTACCGGTCCGCCGAGCTCGTCGTCGGCTGGCTGGGCGAGAAGAGCGAGCACACCGACGTCGCGATGGCGACGCTGGCCGAGATCGAGGACGCCATGCCGGCCCGCTGGGGTGACCCCGGCGACAGGGAGAAGCACCCGGACGACTACTCGCCCACTCACAGGTGGGCATCGGGGATAACGCACATATGGTCGGAGGGAGCCGACGGCGAGATCCCGTTCCTGATGCCGCACTGGATTGGCTGCAATGACTTCATGACCCGCCAGTACTTCCAGCGCCGCTGGATCCTCGAGGAGATCGCCATGGCCCGGTTTCCGTGCTTCCTGATTGGCGACACCATAGTGCCGTGGAAGCAGGTGCTTCGCCTGAACCGAATGATGGAGGAGTTTAAGTACCATCCTTCAAATATTTTCCCTCCGGTATGTTCGCCTTGACCTCCTGCCAACCAGTTTGTTCACCTCGATGGCACGGTGTATGACTGACTCGCTTTTTTTTTTCTTTAACAGCATCTGAGCGCCATGATTGCCGATTTGCCATTGGAAACGGCGCATAAGCTGTTGGATGAGTTCGCAAAGAGGGAAGCGCTGGAGGATGCGCAGATCCTCAAAGAGACAGGAAGTAGCAGGGCGACTTCTTCTACGCGGTCTACTTAGCAATTCATTCATTGGGATGGTTACGGTTGGCTTTAACTAGTATTTAATGATGAGGATACCCCAAAAGCAACTTTGTTCTGGCGTCTCTGGCAAGACATAGAATTTCCATATCGGAGCATATATAAACCTCACGGTATAAGAAGACACCTCTGTCAACCCAAGACGACGAGTTTCCATGTAGGATTAGCTACCATCCCGTTATTTTACCGAGGGAACTGGAACTTCCCAAAGATCAAGTAGGCCTGGCAGCCACTAATTCTGTGATTGGTGATTGGAGCGGTGATGGTTGCTCCTCTTCCCCGCCCCACCCACGCGCAGCAGACCAACCAAATTTGCAGCACCATCGACTGCCCCGTCACGGAGAGGCACATAGCAGAACTCTTGAGATGGAGGAGGAGCAGATAGAGATGAGGTCGCGGACGGAAGGAGCAACAATGCGGAGAAAGGACATGGAACATTGAGCATCCCACATGTCGGTTCGGTCATTTTGGTCGAGGCGCAATGGCTTGCGCAAGTGGGGAGCGAGACTGGCGCAGGATTTGCCCATGGCGACCCTCTCGATTGGCGGCAGAGCTCGACTGAAGGGACGATGCATGCGTGCAGGCTTCCCTGGCTTTCTCATCTGTGTGTAGAAAGGTATAAGAAGAAACAATTCAGCTGCTACTGTTTCCAGCATCTGCCACAGCCATCAAAATCACCCACATCCCCTCTAAACACATTGAAGTCATGGCACCCGCCGCCCCGTTCAACCCACCTTCAGTCGATCTACCTAGCAAACCCTTTGTGGCAGAATGGATTGGCCCTCCAGTCACCAAGGAATAACACAACTTTGCTCAACCAAGTCCACTGATCTGTCGTTGCTTGGCTCCGATGACCCAGCCGTCGTCGATAACCTTGTGAAGCAGGTTAAACAGGCCATTCTCGATGATGGCTTTCTGTTCCTCGAGAATTATGGCGTTTCCTTGGAGCAGGTAAGAGAGAAAGGGTGCGGCGAAAGAAAAGAAAGAAGCCACTACCGCTGACCGCGTTCATCTTGCTCTTCCAACAGCTCCACCGTCAATTCGCGCTTGCACAGTATCTATACAACAACAACATCAGCCATGAGGACAAGGAACGCCTCCTTTTCAACCCTGAAACCGGTATATGGTCCGGTTACAAGTATCCGTATGGATTCAAGGTAAGAATACCTTGATAGTGAAGGTGGGGAGCTTCCCCAGACTTGTTGTAATTACTGACTCTCCGTTCTCGTCTTTTAGCGCCACCATGGACCTCCTGATGGCATTGAGCAATTTAACTGGTACAAGCCAGACTGGGAAAATATCGACCGTGTCCCCGAGTGCCTGCACCCCTTCATGGATAAGACTGAGCCGTTTTGCAACTACCTTACAAATCCGGAGCGCTGGTCATCAACATTGGCGATACCCTGGAGATTGTCTCTGGCGGTCATTTCAAGGCCACTCGCCACCGCATCTTCAGGCCGCCGGCAGATCAGTTGCACGAGGAGCGCCTGTCACTGGTGCTGTTCAACAGCTCCGTTGGCGAGCTGCGTATGCAGCCTGCAAAAGGTGAGTTCAATTGACCCGGGCAGACGGTGCACCGCCCCGTGTACTAATTAATCAATCTCACCAGAATCACCCCTCATCCAACGGAAGGGCTGTGTTGATGGTCAAGGCGTCTACCAGGAATTCAAGAACCGCACCGAACAAGGCAAACTTGTGCCCACCAATCGCCAGTGGCGCGAGATCCAGATTGCTACGGCTACGGATCCAACGGATACGGAACGCAACCGAGTCGGTGCTCATCAAGTCATCGTCAACGGTAAGATCATGCATCAACGAGAGTACATGGGCGTCAAAGTTGTTCTGCCCGTGTGAAAGACTCTACATGCTCGACACTGGGGATATGGTCAAACTTCTACAGACCTTCATCGGATAATGGCATATTTGTGAAGCAGCCGGTACAAGTACGAATGCAATTTTTAAGAACGATAGGAGAAAGCTGGAAAGCATAATCGAGCAGCTGAAGACGGAGGAGGGGGCAAAGTTGCTGAGTTCCAAGCATCCCTACTTCTGGGCTGCATTCGCGAGCGGGAAACACGGAAAACTCAGGGGGTTGCTAAAGAGGTGCAATCTCCATGCGCTACTGTATTGTACCAGCAGTATATTATTGCAATACTCTCTTTGTCGATATCCAAAGTCCTGTACAACCCGAGCGAGCCAGGCAACGTCAACCCTGAATTTGGCCCGCCTTCTCCCACCTCATGTCCCAATTATGCAAAAGAACCTCGATCTTCTCTCTTGCCTCTGCCACTCTGATAGCCACCTTCTGAGTCGACTTGCCCTGGTGTGAGAATGAAAGCCTCTCGGTGATTGTTGGAGAACCCTCGAGGTACTTGTCGAGCATGCCTGGGGGGGTGACATCGTTTCCAATGCTGCCTTGGTAAGTATGAAGCATTCCCGTCCATCATACTCAATGTTGCAGCTGACTTACGTGGAATTGCCGGTGGTAGTTGCCGATGGGTCTGATCTCGTCGACATGATCTTGTAATTGTTCTACTGCGTCGTATTTTTCAAAGTACGATAATGTGTGGGCAGTGTCGCTCGGAAGTTGGTCCTGACATGGCATCTTCCAGCTCTCTTATAATCATCCACGGGCTCATTATTTGGTACTAACCCTCGGGCCGTTCTTCAATCATTAACACCATCGTGCAGGTGTGTAGTTCTTCGCACCGTAGTAGCTCAACACAATTGGGATTTAACATTGCACACCTTCAGCAGAATCGGTGGCTTGACACTTTTGTGCCATTCCATGTCATTGGTGCGAATCCTGGACTCTGTATTTGTGTCGGAAAGATCCGAGCCAACGAGATGCAACAACACAAGCGTGCTATCGGCGGCTCAGCTCAGCTGCAGTCATCTGCCTCTTGGCCGCCTGATTTCCCCCTCAATACCAGGTCGCCAGGACACATCCAACCTGATCTTCACATTGATCATACTGGTGGTTCTTGCCCGTAAACGCCTCTCGAAAACACCACGTCAAGTGTGAGTCGACCTTCGAAATTAGCCTTGGATCGAGTGTGAAGTCGGGTAATTGCTTTTCGCATTCACCATGGCGACTATGGGTGATACGCATCGTACGGGTGGTAAGGGGTAAGGATCAGGTGGTGAAAGCGCTCAAGCGCAAGGATGGGAGAGGCCATTTAAAACAACGCCACCATCCTGGAAGCACTGTTCACGACCCCAACGACGAAGGTCTCGGAGGATCCAATTATCCCAATAGCCATACCAATGATCCTCACACAGCTTATTGCGAGCCTTACGAACCCCTTTACCACGTCAGCCAGGGCCACGGAGATGACTCGTTCGGGCAAAACGAAGGTTGGTGATACGGAGGTAGCTTTATTGCGAAGCAATCTGAGGATGTTACGGGGCTTTTTCTTGAAGGGTCCAATCGCAAAGACACGTCGATAGGATATAGCGACGAGCCACAGCTCTATTTGGGCCAGCAAGTTGAAGCACCCACCACATTTCTGGCCTCGCGTCAGGTCCCTTCTCTTATCGCCAATATTTGCAGCACTCTCCGGCAAGAAGTGGACCCTCTGAGCTATGAATCGGTATCCGACAGCCTTCCCGATCTCATCGATGCCTTCGCAACCAAGCTCGGTGCTGAAGGTTGGGACACTGAAAATACACGGATCATGGACTTGGTTCACCAACATAATCGGTGAGTTTGGAGCGATTCAAAACCTCAAGGATCTCTTCTCTTGTCTGAATTTGCGAGGAAGTAAGTAACATGTTGACCAGCCAGATTGTCGAATGGCTGAAGCCCAAATCCGAAGCTGGCAAGGACCGTGACGGCATGTCTCTACCTGACAAGATGAGCATGTGGGGAAGAAAATCCCCACGAGAGGACTTCGAAGCCAAAAGGCTGGAGTCTGATCCTTTCTGGCGGGTAGGCTACGCTTGTTTCGACCCGATTGAGTCGACTGGGTCATCAACCCACATCAAAACGGTTTTGAACAGCAAGGCGTACAAGTGGCTCCTTGCCAGCCTGAAGAAGGCATCATCCCTTCAGTGGGGACGGTCGAATGTGATGATCTACCAGATTCGACGGGAACTCCTGAAAATGTCTCCGAAAGAGCGTTCCCCGACACCCGAAGTTGGTTTTTGGCTTCCATGGCGACCCTTACGGGACCGACTTCTTCAGGCGCAACGAAATCAAGTCCCAGTTGGATCAGACTCGACATGGCACATGGCTTACGGCAAGGCTTACCAATCGCCTTCATTCCCAGGCGTTATCGCCCTTACAAGCTCGTCTCATGATGAGATCCAGGCCACCACTGTTGGGGAGTATTTCGAGCAAACTTGGCTGGATAGCGGAGCTCAGCTGCTTGACTGGCTCGATGAGGTGTTTGATGAGAGGAATGATGTCGAGTGCTTCACAGGTAAGAGCACTAAACCAACTCGTACGTTTCAACTAATGCTCAAGATTCTTCAGCCACTACGATCGATGGAGTCAGGGTTGAATTCTCTCATGCAGGATTGCACCTCAGCGTCAAAGCTACTGGCTCTCCATTCTCCGTAGCCCAATTCGCCGAACAGTTAGCCTGGATAGGGACTGCCGTTCAACCCTGGACCTCCGGTTCTCCGACTCATTACGAGCCTTCCTTATCGGAGATCTGTGCTTCAACATTCTCGATAAAACCAAGTCCAGTCGTCTCTGTGTTCGGTTCTCGTCTCTTCCAGACAGATTTCTGGCACCGCTTGCAGGACCAAAACGCTAGCCCTGTTTCGGCATGGGGATATCCGACAGCTTGCCGCCCAGATAGCTTTCCCGGCCTCGAAGTCTCCTCCAGCATCCTTCTGGCCTTGAAGTTAACGATCAAGGTACGCCACGGCAGTGGACGCATATTACTACAAGGACACCGCACGACCATGGAGCTGGTGAAGCATAGAGACGGCGTTTACCTTTGGCATGTTCTCGACTCGCCCTCCTGCGCTTGCTCCTGCCAAAATCGCCAATCTTTTGGATACGACAAAGAAAGGACCATTGAATGTCTAGATATTATGGGACTTGCCCTCCAGCGCCATATCATCAGCAATTGCGAAGATGCCGAGACTTCCACCGATCTGCAAAAATGTGATGATCCCATGTCTAGTGACGGGGACGAGATGTCAAGTGTCGACCTGGAGCACCATACCACCTCATCATTCAACCCGTCGGTCTATAGTTTGGTCGGATTGGCACGTACCATCCCCATGGATCACAATTCTACACCAGATTCCTTCGACTCTGACTTGCTCTCGATGTCCAGCTTCTCGGAGGACGATAAACTTGATCCCCTAGATGCCGACTCTAGTCTTTTCCCAATCATCAAAACCGTGTCCGATCACCTGCTGGTGGCGTTCCGAGGATCTGCAACTGGAGACTCTAGTCCTTGTGACGGCGGTGAATCCTCAGGCGGCAAGAGCGGGACTCATGGAACCGCAACACACACCCTAGTCGGAAACACCAACACTCCTTCGGGATCATCATCAAAGAGAAACACAGTCCAGCGCGATGACGATGAATTCGATGACGATGGTATCCATAAGCCTCCCTCCAAGAAAGGAAAGCAAAACGAAGACCCACAACAGAAGCTACTCGCCTGCCCGTTCTAGAAACTGGATCCGATCAAGTACAGAGGGTGTTTCTCCATGAAGCTCCGCGGAATTCCGAGCGTGAAGCAGCACCTGACCAGGAAACACACGCCCACTTTCTACTGCCAGCGCTGCTTGGTGATATTCCCGGACGGGGAGACCCTTGAAAGACATGTGATGCGCGAGGCAGGCGACGACTACTGCGCCCGAGGTCCCTTGGCAGTGCTGGAAGGCATATCGCCCCAACAGCAGCGGAACCTCTCCCGGAAGTCAAACCTCATCCTCTCCGAAGCCGCGAAGTGGTTTGCGATCTGGGACATCGTGCTTCCGGGGTGCCAGCATCCAAGCTCGCCGTATATAGACGGCCGATTGTCAGAAGACTGTTCCATGTTTCAGGAGTATACTCTACACCATGGACCGGAGCTTCTGGCCCAGGCTGTTGAGGATAGCGAGGATTTGTTGATAGCGAAACTGGACGAAGAAGCGAGAAGCCGGGCCCTACTACGCCAGGTTCTTGCTCGGGGGCTCGAGACAATCCTAGAGAGTTGGGACCCACCTCGAGCGTCGTCGCCGAACGTATCAACAGGGTCGAGTAGTCGCCAAAATATCGGCAGCTCGGACAGTAATCTTGATAACTCGGGAATCGCCGGTGGCCCAACTCCAGCTGGTTCTTCTGCAGACAGCGGCTTGGGGTCAATAAATCACCCGTCTGGCAGATCATCACCAGACGACCCTCATCCTGGAGAGGGAGTGTTCAAGGCCCATCCTAGCACATCCGGTGGTCAACGTTCCAACAACGCCGGGGAGCCCCTACTAGAAACCGTAGCTGGATCCTCTCGGAACAATCAACCTAGCGACCGGCGGGGAACTTTCGACCCTCCAAGCTCCAGCGGTCCGGGGATGGGGGAAGGGCAGGACCTGGGATCTTTCCTATCTTCTGACTTTAACGACTTGGCCTTTTACGATTTTGATCCACAACGATATGGAGGATGACTGAACACAAGGGAGGCATTTAAAGCCCCGAAAGAGCTTGGAGGCTGCAGTCAATATATATATACATAGCTCGTTTCCTGTATCATATACTATACCTCCTAACCACTCTTCAGTATGCCTCTAAGCATTGCAGTTGACACATCCCTCTTAACTGTAGAGAGGGGCAAGTTGAGACGCAAACTTTTGAAGAGATTGATCCCCTTGAGCCGAATTCTATTGGCTGGGGATAGACGACATCACGGAAGAAAACAGTTATGGGCAGCCAAATGGGCTGCGGACCTGGATCAGAGAGTGATGCAAATATCTAGTTTGCCACTACCCCTTGGCACATATGTACAACCACCCTTAAAGAATATACCTGAATCCCTTCGTCATCTTCAGCGCCTCCTCAGGCCGAATAATGCCTCCAGAGAAACCATCCTTCTCAGACGTTCCCTCAGGCAGGGCCTCAGCCTCACGCTCGCGCTCCTCGAGCTGCTTGTTGAGGTTGGCCAGGATGACGCGGAAGATCCACGAGCCGAAGATGGTGAGGCCGAACATGGCCGTCACGATGCCATAGCTCTTGCGGTAGCCGTTCTCCTTGAGATCCCACACGTACGAGCCCGCCACGTTGCCCAGCTGGCTGAAGGCGTTGACGAGCGCGATGGCGACGGCTCGCTTGGCTGGGGGGCGGGGGAAGGAGGAGCTGATCCAGGAGTAGAAGACGATGAAGCTGGAGAAGGGGAGCGGTTGGGTTAGCGCCCGAAGTTTCGGTGTAATGTGTACAAGAAGAGGGGCAGGGGAACATACCCGGCATAGGCGCTGGCTTGCAAAAAGAGGGCGATGTAACGAGCCGCGACGTTAAGGGTGGACATGCTGATGATGAAGCCGACCATTCCGACCATGATGGGCCCGATGATATGCCAGAACTACATCCGAGGGAAGGAAGAATTAGTTCCGCGCTACATGAAGCCCGCACAGCACTGGCTGTGCCGTGCCAAGGGTAACTCACCTTCTCCTGTGTGCGATCGGCATGCCAGGCGTTGATGAGCGAGACTATGCATGAAAACACCCACGGCGGGGAGCTCATGAGCAGAGTCGGGACGTAATCGAAACCCAATGTGCCGGTGAGTGTGGGCTGGAGATGTATTAGCATGGAATGAAGAAAACGACGAAACCCTTTATGGGGGGGAATGCTCACGAAGAAGGCATTGAACGACAGTCCAACGACGTAGGCGGTGAAGGTGAGCATCATGACGTAGATCTTGACATCCTTAAGGGCCATGATAAGTCCATCAAAGACTCCCTGGTTGGGAGCGTCCTCATCAGCCTCTCCGACGTCCTCGGTCATCCGGAGCCGGGCAACCAGCAGCTCCTCCTCAGTGAAGCCACGCGAGTTGTGCGGCAAGTCGGGCAGGATGAAGGCGGCGGAGATGGCGACACCCATGGTAACGGCTCCCTCAACTGTAATCGTCAGCGGCTGTCTCCATGCACGAGGCCAAGGCCAATTGGATCCCCCTCTTTCCAGGGGAGGTGGGTTGGAAAGCACTCACTCCAGAAAAGCCACCGCCAGGCGGCATGGCCCAGCACGCCCTGCATGTTGGAGAGAACGCCGGCGCCGACAAGGGCGGAGAAGGCGTTCGAGATGAGGTTACCGCAGAACAGGATGGCGTTCCTCTCGGTCAGCTCCCGGCGGGTGTACCACTTGGAGAGGATCATCAGGGCACCGGGCAGGAAGGCGGCCTCGACGAAGCCGAGGAAGAAGCGGATGGTGACCATGTGGGAGAAGCTGGTGGCGACGCCGGAGAGGGTGGAGATGAGGCCCCAGAGCAGCATGGCACAGGCGATGTAGAGCGAGGGCCGGGAGATGCGGTTGATGAACATGTTGCTCGGCACCTGCATGAGGATGTATCCGACATACAAGATGCTGAGGCAGGTGGCATACTGCGTGTTGTTGAGCTTGAGGTCGTCCTGCAGGCCCTTGAGACGCGCCGACGCGATGTTGTTGCGGTCGAGGTAGTTCATGATGTAGATGAGCACGAAGAGGCCGCACCGCGCGTCGAGCTTGCGCTTGAGACTCTTCTCGACGGCGCGCCGGTGCTCGGGATCCATCCTGGCGGTGTTCAGGTTGCTGTCCTCGTCGTGCGACCTCTTTGCCTCCAGCTGCTCGTCATCAACCCGCTTGTCGACGGCGTCCGTGGAATCTATCTTTGCGATTGCGTCCGCCATCTTGTGCCTTCCTGTCACTCTCTGACTTTGTCTGGGGGGTTTCCCTGGTTGCCTGTGTGAGGACGCCCGCCCACAATCGCTGGTCACCTTGTCAAGTCTCGTGGAAAATTACGAGAGGTGATTGTTATTGGGCGTAGTGTTGAGGGGGACAAAGTGGGATAATTCAAGGGACGGGAACCGAGAGTGTGGTATGGGGAGTCCTTTAAATTTATTTTTCGCCTTCCCCCAGCCAGTGTGCTGTCCCCTCCCTTCTCCCACCCTCCCCGCCTCATTACCCCGATTCCATGGTGCGGGACTCTCCGCCAATCCATCTATAGCTATTCCTATTTCCCCTGTCGGTCTGTCTTGCAGGATCCATCGTGCAGGGTCCAATACCAGGAAAAGAGTTTTACACCTACTTACGTACACTTACGTACACTTACGTACACTTTTCACTGTACCTCCACCTCCAACAGGGTTTCAACTGTTAGTTCGGCCGGGGACCAGGTAAGCTTTGCTAACACTCGAGACCCGTATAGTAGCCTGCAGCTACTGCGTAACTCCCGACCCTATGAAAACATTTCGCTGTCAGGTGGCTCGGGCCCTTCCTCGGCTCCTTGGCACGGTTATTTGCCCCCACAGTTCCAATCCTTCTTTGGGGCAGGGGGCGGCGGCAAATCTCAACAAGCCAGGATCCTCTTCGTTTTTGGGGGTTTCCTTCGCGTCAGCAGGCCCCGAAAAGAACACCCATGTATGTATGTACACTGTAACTAACTTGCAGTATCAAATTCATTAGCGGAAGAGTAGTCGGATAGCAATTGCTCAAATGCTGAGGCTCATATTCCCTGTTGCTCCTTTCGTCCTTGATCCACGACTCATGATGTCGTTTTCTCCAAGGAACGAGCTATTTGACGTCACCCTGCAGTAGCGCCCAATCCTGAGCCAATCTAACGGTTTCTCCTTGGCAAATCTAGATGTGCTAGGGGGGGCGAATAACCTCCGTCTAGCGCGAAATCGGTAGTTGAATCCGGCTATTTTCCCACTAAGACGACTTGCTAGCTGGCAATTACACGTAGCGCTTGTTCTAGTCGGATTCTGCAGAACCAAAGCTTCGGAGAACACTGCCTCCTTTGCTTTGGGAAACCAGGTGACCAAGTATTCCGGTGCTTCATCCGTCAACCCTTTGTCATCCTTCTCCAGTCTTCCCCACACCTCGTTCGATGGTTTCCCACCCTCGTGGTTTCTTACCTCTTCTGGCTCGCATCCGATTGGTGGTTGAAAGGCTAAATCTAATGGAATAGTTCGCTCAACTTCGAAATTCCTTTCCACGCTATTTTCACGTGGGGATCCTTGATCAGCTACGACGGGAGGGATGAAACTGAAAAGGGGACGGAGAAAGAAATATGCCACTGAACTAAAGAGATGTCTTGCTAAATACAATAAGGGCATGAGGAAATAAGCACCAAAATGGGGGGAATTGGGTAATTAGAGACAAAAAAGGCAACATGTGAAAGAGGGAAAACCGAGCCTAATCAAGTGATCAATAAGTAAACAAACGAAGCCAGGTCAGAATCGGGTTGTCATTCTCAACTTCTTGTGGTGATACAAGGGGAAGGCCTCTCCATAGGAACCCCTTCTGCATTAGACGGAGAGAAGACCGGGTGGGGAGGTCGTAGACACGTCGGTGGGGTTAGAATGGAAGGGTCTAGACTAGCGTGGGGGTCATTAACGGGATAGGGGTTGTCGTTGGGAATGGTTAAGGGATCCCTGACGACGGAAGATGTCCGAATCGTTGTCGCCACTGGCGGTGAGAGGGCAAAGAACCCTCCTAAGGCACTCCCTCTATCAAACATTTTGCCATAACCACCTTCCTGGAACGGAAAGTAAGAATCGATGTGCAAAGTTCCCAAAGGTCAAGCCAGTAGCAAGCTGGTATCCAAGTAGGACACCATGGGTGGAGTGGCATTATAACACTAAACGTGCGAGGTGAAGGGCTGGCCACAGCTTCTCGTTGACCGAGACGGTGACATGAGGAGATCGCCGGTGCTGAGAAGGAGTTAAAGCTTGGCAAGAACTTGACAATTCTCCAGTTTCGAGAATATAATTATAGCTCTCTTCCTGTATTTAGATCTTATGCGCTTCCTCTAGTTTTCATTTCCGGCCAACTCATCTCGATTATCCTAATACGGATCCGACCATGACTACTCCGGCTTCCGACCCCAAACAACCCTTTGGCGATAGAAGGCATGTTTCTTGCCGGAGCGGATCTCCCGCCGCAGTTGCGTCGTGTAGACCTGGATCTCCTCCTTCGACCATCCCACCATGACATTCGCCATAAATAGTACCCAGCCCTCCGAGTCTTGCTCGAGCGAGAGCTGCGCATACTGTCCTATCTCCTTCAACTTCGGGTCCTGAGCCCATCCGCCGATGGGGACCTGTTTATCGAATCAGCACCCTGGACACAGATAACAGTGGGTTACCCCCATGTCACACACAACACAGGCTGTCGTCGACTCACCTTACAATCCCACTCTTCGATATCAACAAACCCCGCCTCCTCCATCGCCTTCCTCTGGACCTTGTCGTCGATAACCGTAAACGTCCGGCCCAACTTGCGCCCGCCCTCGATGAAGAACTTGCCCCACTGGTGCATGGCGCTCTTGTCGTCGACGGTGCCGTCGTCACTCTCCATCGCCGGCGACGCCTCGTAGCTCTCGAGATAGCCGCCTGGCTTGAGGACCTTGTAGGCTTCCCTAAACAGTTCGGTCCAGTCAATAACGCTGCCAACGAGTAGGCGGATATGCACGTAATCCATGCAGTCGGGACGGAAGGTCCAGGGCCTTGTGCAATCTTCGATTTCGCTGCATGTGATGAGGAGCGGTTGTCAGTCTAGATGGCTGGGGGGTGTGGGATGGGATGGCGGTGTTTAGATGCTTACAACTTGAGGTTTGGTGGGACCCAGCCTGGTTGGATGGGCGATACGTCGGTGCCGATTACTTCGGTGTCGGGATACTCGTCGGCGAAGTCGCTGTGCGACGCCGCTAGGTTAAACTTGCATTTCTTGACACCCTCGGAATGTTGAGAGAGGGGAAGGTTTGGGACGACTTACATAGCCCAGATTCCTGCGGGAAGCGACATGGGTAGGTCAGCACAGCAGTGGCATCGTCAGGTCTAGCACGATAAGTGGATGCACTCACCCGTCCCAGTCCCGATATCAAGTGCTTTCTGAAACTTGAAGTCAGCGGGGGGGTCAAAATGGTCAAAAGACAGGTCCAAGTCAATATATGACCTTGATATTCTTCTTCAGTGGCGCACGATAAAGCTTGCCGTCCATTGTGAGCGTCATCAAATGGTGGCTGGCTCCAAAATCAGCAGAGGGTTTATTTATTTCTCCTCCATAGCGCTGCCTTCCTTACCCGATATCCATCGACTCATTTTTCTTGTCATCGTTGGACCCCCTTCGACGAGCATCAGCCTCGATTCTTCCTCAATAGTTAATTGGGCGTAGGGGGAAGCACCAGTATTGGGCATTGCCCGTCTCGCTGTGGAATGTCCTGCCGTGAATCGTTCTGTAATTGAGAATAGTCGAGGTGATTGAGGCGGTCGAGCTCGCTGCGTCCTCACCCAGAGCCGAGTCGCCGTCGTCATCCGATGCATTATCCTAATTCGGGCGGTTAATTTAGTCCAGTCAAGGGACGGTACGGATGTATTGCCAAACAATATACGGCAAGTTAGGTCCCACTGACTTGGGCCGCTTGTACCCAGTGTTGGGGTGGCAGGATGTCCAGTGGGGGTGCTGGGTTGGATTGTTCACCACTACCCGCCGGCCCAGGGACGGTCCCAGGATTTTTCTCGCCAGCCGCGGCCGCGCCGCCGGTCTCGGGCTCTCTATCGTCAGCCATGGCAATGGAAACACTGAAGGAATAGGAATTGATCAGCTCTCAACTCTCAAAAATGGGGCCAGGTTGCAAGTAAATAAATGGACCGGGAGCAATGCGACATCCATCTGCAGTCGTGTCAATTCCTTAACATTCATTGAGGGGAAGCCAATCGCGATAGTTTCCGGAGTTTCCGAGCCAATTCTGCTCGACTTGATTGGCGGTCAGGAGAGTCCACGTCTCCAACGTTTTGTGATATCTGACATACTCAAGCACGACCGCACTTCAGTCGCCTATTTTCTCCCCCTTTGGGCCGTTCAGGCCTTTTATTTTTATTTGCTCCAATGGGACACGTGCATGTGCGGGGTGCGAATGCACACATGAAGAGTTGCTGCATATTCCTTCAAGCGCGTAGGCCATCAGGTATAACCTTCTCCGGAAGCTGCTGTGTGAACTTCTACATATACGTTCGAACTATCGTGCCACAATGCAAACCAAGCCGAACTCCATGGCTGGCTCCCTTTGGGCTCGGTATTACGGAAGCGAGGGCAACCAGATCAAACTGCATTATAATTAATGTCAACTAGGAGGTGGTGAAGGGGTCTTGCCAGTTTAATGTAGGTACCTAGTCACAAAGAATATGACTTCAAATCTCCCCCCTTCTTTTTAGCTCTGATACCAAAAAATACCCTATCCTCAACTACAGTGAGAATTAAACTTGGATCTTCCGTATCATCCAACGCTGGGGGCTGGAACTTTGGTTTCCGATTGCTGTACAATGGCCACTTATATTTAGATCACGACGTTGTTCCGTCTCTCAGACTCTGCAGAAGAATAGATGACAATGCACCACCATTGGCGTCGTCAACGTAGAGTAGGTATGTAGGTAGGTGGTTTTGTGTCCTCCTCATCAATACTCACTGCCTGTTTAGGTCTAGGACCGGGTTGTCAGGAGGTGCTATTAAGACCCCCTATGCCATGTTCACTGCCTTACAAACAATAACCTGTTGGCAGTAATAATGTAAGGAAATGGGTGACCCGATCGTAAGCCAACTATGGAACCATTATTACCTAATTGCTCATAAGAGACGATGCGTTGAGTCCTTACATTATATTTTCTTGTTTACCAGTTCTATTTAGCCTGCTTTCCTACATTTGTAAACTTCGCGTCCTGATGGAAACACCAGCAGCTCCCTTGCGGCTACCGGACTTGACTTAATTAGTAAATAATGGCTGGCAATCAGTACGGCATAAAGTTATCTCCGGCAGTTTTGATGGGATTTTTGAGAAAGTCATCCCTTGTCGAGAGTAGCTTAGAGTTAAGCGCCGAGAGCACCAGTAAAGCCGACAGGCCGATAGTATCTGCAACTTACTTATTCTTGCCTGGCTGACTTGCCTCGGAAACTCGGGGTTTTCATTAGGCACCGTTTATGCGATTCATCAACACCACATTTAGGCCTGTAGGCTTCTTGAATTAACACTCCCTACCAAGGATATTCGAAACTGTTTCTCAATTTGTTCCAACGGCCCTGGAAAATGAAGACGTCACGAACAAGTACGGCCGAATAATTGAGATTCGGCAGGTCTCATACTGGCGAGCGCGAGGGATCGGTGTAACGGCTGCTGCACGTAGAACAGATGGAACAAAGAAGATTGTGAATGGGCGTGGGAAGTGTGCAGATGCGATGGCACGGGCTCAGGAGGGGGGAACGAATGGAGTAGGAAAAAACCACGGAAAGAGACGACGCAGGGCACCTTGGGCGAGAGTGTCCAAAAAAATAAGTCGAGATGACAGACAGTAAGCACAAAGTATCAACCGGGGATGTCTAGGGGTTTCCGGTTTCCCGAAACGGGAAGAATGGGGGGTAGTAATGGTGACACAGGGTAGTTCTTTCTGCAGGCGATTCTGCGTGGTGTAGATGATCTTAGTCCTTCGGTCTGGGGTTGGTGCTTACATGCGCGGAGTATTTCGAAATAGGAATTCGATCCGACGCTGTGCGATTTTGGTCAAAGGCTTGTTTAAAGCGCTATCACTCTGGTGGCCGCAGTTAAGCCCACTAGGCAGCATTGAAAATCCGGGGAAGCCAGCAAGGTTGCCCCAAAGCAATGGGGGGGTGGAGGTGGCGTTCGGTCTATTCGTCGTGTGACAACGATTAGTGATGGGCGGTGCTTCGTGGATTGTGAGGAAGGTTCAACTACTGCGTCTTCCAAGCTTCTCCGAGGAGTTATATATTTGAGGCTGCTTCTATGGCTGTGCGCCTCCCGAGCGACTTCCACCAACCGTAGCAACAGGCCTACTCAGCGCGTAAGCCCGCAGCCGCATGCGGTCTAACCCCCCACGCCCGACCTAAACAAGCAAGTATTAGGGCCGGACCACCTTCGGGATCGGCAGCCCGACATGACGACAGGACATTGCAGCTGACTGGAATGTCGCACCGCGTCGACATGCATGCATGTCTTTCCTCCGAACCTGAAGTCAACCAAGACAGCAACAGCAACGACAACACTACTACCTACAAGTCTCCTCAGTTCGACATGGAACCATCTGATGACTCTGCATCATCACGCGGTCTCGTTGAAATTTGATGTAGGACAGTCGCACGGCGGCGGTGGGTGGAGATCATGGTTATGCCCCCTAACCTAGGTCGCCACTTAGCAGCCCGACAAAGAAACGTTGCTGAACGTGGCACCACTACCCCGCCAAGCCAAAGTCACCCCTTCTGGGGGATGGGGAGAAGATGGCGAGACACCGAAGTTCGAAAGCCCACGCCTCTCATCGGCCACTCGACACTCGACACACCCTCTTCAAATGATGCACCAGCCATCCACTCGCGCAGTTGGCGAATCTATTTGGTAATTGTATTTGTGTCGGTGAGAGACAAGTGCGGCTGACAGCGGTCCGAAATAGTCAACTGCATGGCGGTTAGCAGGTTTCTTCCCAGGCAGTATCACACCACGAGACACCTGGCGTTGTGGCGGTTTATAGGCTGGGATCCTCCAGTCTTTGTCCCCTCTCTCGTCCTCTGTCTTCCGTTCTATCGACACTTCTTGTCCTTCTCCATTTAACAGCAGTTGACGCTTTATGTTTTTGACCATGTTTCAAATGCGCTGCGCTCCCAAACCGGCAATGTTATTGTCGTGCGGGCGGATAACGAGTGCCAGTGCCAGGCATTTGCGTGGAGCATTGGGGCCGTCCTGGAGGGTGGCTTCGACGACCAGGCAACAATCTGCATCACGGAGCAGAACACTCGTTCCTACTTCCTCCTTCGCAACGCCGCTCACACCAACACTGTGGAGGCAGGTTGGTTGGGTCCCATCATGTGGAGATCGGACTGTTTCCTCGAGAGCAGGAGCCAACAACAACAGGAGTCATGCCCGTTTGGTTTCTATCCTCGCCGTCTCCACGTCTGTTGCCCTCGGCGTGGTTTGGCACCTCCGTCGACAGAGTCCAGTTCGCATGGACTGGACACCAGATACCAAAACCCCCGCGGCAACCCCCTCGGATGCACTAGTAAGCGGCCGAATAGCATCTCGGGAATTATTATTCCAGAGGGGGGAATTAATACCGCAGCTAACATCAGCACAGCCCGGCATCTCCTTTCCAGCGCCCCGACAGGGCGAGACAGCAGACTCGCACCTTGATTTCTACGAGGCCCTCGAAGTGGAGTCGTTGGACATGTCGAAACTCCCAATAGAGCAAGCGATACTCACAACCGCGCCCCACGTCCCGCCACCAATCACCCGGGACCACCCCGTGCTCCTCCAAGTTCCCCTGACGACCACGACCAAGCTGGTGCAGCTGACGAACCAGTACAAGTACGAGCAGTGGTCTTTCAACGACACGGTGCCGGGCCCCTTCATCAGGGCGCGGGTCGGCGACGTGGTAGAGCTGACGCTGACGAACCGCGATGAGTCGGGCAACCCGCACAACATCGACAGCCACGCCTTCACGGGTCCCGGCGGCGGAGCGGCGGTGACGACGGCGGAGGAGAACGAGACCAAGACGGCTCGGTTCCGGCTCCTGTGCCCGGGCCTGTACCTGTACCACTGCGCTGCGGCGCCGGTGCCGGTGCACATCGCCAACGGCATGTACGGGCTCATATACGTGCAGCCGGCCGAGGGGAACCTCCCGCCCGTGGACAAGGAGTACTACGTCATGCAGAGCGAGTTCTACCACGAGCCGCCCGAGGTCCTCGACGACGGGCGCCCGTCATCGGTCGTCGAGTTCTCGTACCCCAACGGCCTGCGCGAGGAGCCGAACATCGTCGTCTTCAACGGCACCGAGTCCGCCCTGACGAGGGACAAGCCCCTGAAAGCCAACGTCGGCGAGAGCGTCCGCATCTTCTTCGGCAACGCGGGGCCGAACCTCACGAGCTCGTTCCACGTCATCGGCAGCCACTTCAGGAAGGTGTACCGGGAAGGCGACGTCGTGAGCCCTCCCGGGCGGTTCATCCAGACCGTCAGCGTGCCGCCGGGTGCCGCGACAATCGTGGACATGAAGATGGTCGTTCCGGGGACGTACACCCTCGTGGATCATGCCATATTCCGACTCGATAAGGGCGCTGTCGGCTTCCTGAATGTCTCGGGGGAGCAGAATCCGAATATCTTTCAGAGCACGCAGCCGCCGGCCCCATGCGTTGGGTGCAAACTCCACGCCTAACGCTTCGATCTTCTCTTCGAGGTCGTATTTGCGTTGATGGAGGATTGGGCAGGCGATGCACCGTGAACGTCGTCAGACCGTACTGAACTCTGATGGTAGATAATGGGAGGAGAATGCCAGTTTTGCCACAAGATTTTCTATCACTTGAGATAATTCCACCTATAGGGGAGATTTTGCCGACTCTATCAAAACAAATCTATGGTCGCCATCGACCACCAGCTTCACATACCTTCCCAGTTACTGCTTCCGTAACTTTGGCTTCGTTTTCCACATCTGATTCCTATTTATTCTCCGCTTTATCCTCCGCGCCCTTTACCTGACTAGAAACATCCTTCTTGTCTTTCTTGATACTCTTCCACTCACAAAACGCCGACCCAAACACGCTCAGACACGCAAGCACCACCGAGATCAGAAACACCCTCTGCAGAGCCGCCGCATACGCCGCCAGTATCCCCTCGACATCATCCGGATAGACCCTCCCCATAGCCTCCCTCAGGCGCGACGCCCCGCTGCGAACAACTACGCCGGGGTCGACGTCCGGCACGCGCGCCGCCAGCTCGGCCCTCAGACGGTCCTGGAAGTCGTTGCCGCTGACGGAGAGGAACACCGTTCCGGAGATGGTCTGCATGAATACCATTGCCGATGTGCCGAGGGCGACGTCGGCGCCGGAGAGGACCGTCTGCGGGACCATGAGGGACTGCTGGGCGCCGGCGCCGACGCCTAGGCCGAGGAGAATGAGGGAGGCGAGCCTGGGGGGGTGGTTAGTCTGGTGACTTGTGTTTGTTGGGGTCGTTGGGAGAGAGGCTTAATACCAGTATCCGGTGCTCGTGTTGAGGGAGAATCTGGAGATGAGTCCGGTTGCGACGGAGCTTAGTATCGTACCGGTAATCATCAAAGGCACGTAATAGCCGATTTTACTCGTCTGGCATCTGTTAGTAGGATGTTGTCCAAGTGTGAGAGAGCCCCGCATGACTCACGATAAACCCAGCGCTGATAGCCATGATGGCGGTTGCAACAGTGTTAGCGAGGTTGTTAATCCCAGATTGCTGAGCCGAGACGTTCAGAACCGCCTGGAACCAGATGGGAACATAGTAGACAAGCGTGAAGAGCATCCCCATGAGACAGAACATGTACCACAGGGCACAAGCTATCGACCGCTGGGCCACAATGCGCAGAGGCACCGTTACGGTGTCCCCTTGACAGACCTGGATGAACCCCCAGACGACGAAGCAGACACCGAACACGCAGAGCAGCAAAATAATCCTCCAGCTGTTCCAGGGATGCTGACTCCCACCCCACTGGAGCGCCAGCAGCAGGCAGGTTATCGCCGGCATGAGGAAGACCGTGCCGAGCAAGTCGAACTTCTGGAGCACTTGCATGATGCTGGCGGGGTTACCAGTTTTCGTCCTTGCGGGGATATTCAGGAAAAGGGCAACGGTGACAAGCGTGACACCTCCGAGGGGCAGGTTGATCCAGAAACACCACCCTTGGGAAATGTTAGCCACATCGGTGAAGGCTGCTTGGAAGTACTGTACAGTGACTGACTCCATGTTACGTGAATCGGCAAAGGCACCTGGAAGCATATAATTAAATAATTAGCCAAAATCCATTTTGCAGGCACCATTCCCAGACAATCTCAGAAAGGAATCAATTACCTCCAAGAGTAGGACCAACCACCTGAGCAACACCCATCGCCGCGCCTATAGCTCCAGTGTACTTTGGCCTGTCCTCTAACAGTGCGATGGCAGCTAATATCTGATGCTCAATCTTAGTCAAAGCGTGAAGGGATCGACCGCCGGGAATACCTACGGTCAAGGCCCCGATCGCAACCCCGGCTGCACCCAATCCAGCAATGGCGCGACCCACGATGAGGACAGGCGAGTTCGGGGCAGCGGCACAAACGATTGAACCAGCTTCGAAGATCAACAGGGCGGTCAGGAAGATCCACTTGAGGCCGAACTCGGCATACAGCTTGCCGAACATCAATTGGAAGCAGCAGGAGGTGAGCAGGTAGGCAGATCAGTACCAGCCCACGTCCGGAAGGGAGTTGAACTCGTTGGTGATCCTGGGGATGGCGGTTGCGATTATTTACCGGTCCTTGGAGATGTTGTTAGCGCTCGGTCTGTCCTTTGCCACGTTGAAGGATATTTGGCCTGAGGGCGTTTACAAGTCCGACGCAGAGACACGCCAGGAAGAGCCCGGTGAAGATGGAGATGACTTTGATTCCGTGTGGATAATTGTCTTCTTCCTTGCCTTGGGCGGTCTTGTGTGTGCCTCTATCATCTTGGCTGTCTTGTTTTTCTTCCTCTACAGCTTGGGAGGGGGGCGACTGGGGCGACCTATATAAGCGGGTTTTAGTTAACAGACAGCTCCTCGTCTGAATAGAAGGGGGACTGAGATACCTGTCTGACTCTGGCATGTCTAAAGCAAACAACCAAATCCGAATACTGTAGAGTTGCTTGTAGGATACTTGCTGAGTGTTGGATGGCGGAGGAAGTTGTTGGAGGGCTGTACTCAAGGAGCACAAGTCCGGTCATGACGAAGAGGGCCTATTTCTTGGTCGGTATAGCCCCTGAGAGTCTGATCCGGGGCTCGTCGGCGCTCCCGACCTTTGACATTGGTATCATTCCACCACCTTCGCTGATACAGTGTTAACTACCTCTAGATGAGACATTGAATCCTATTGGATGTGGGCTTCCCACGGGCAGATGTCGGGAAAACTGTTAGAACCCGAGCCGAATGCCCCACTTTTATTTACGCGTCCTTGGTCGGCTTACGGGGAAACATTTGGAACCCGAGCCGAATTCGAATGCCACCCTCTCACGAGAAACTCAGCTCCCGGCATCTTCGGGGCTCCACGGCACCGCCGAAATACAGCCATTCTTGAGGGATGCATACGCGTAGATGAACCTAATTTCCGCTTCATGTCGTCGCATTAGAAATCCTCGTTTACCGCCGGTCAATCGGTAATGCCGTCTAATCTGCCAAGCCCGCTCCGAGAGGCCGAGCGGCGACATGTCCGCACCGCCCACGTCAACCCCAACGTCGACCTCCTCGGCGGAGGAACCACTGCAGGGACATTCTACGTCAAAGTTTAAACCTCGAGCTTGCGCAAGATGCAGCCAGTCCAAGGTGAAGTGCAAATGGGTCTCTGAGCCGGGGGAGGCTCCCTGCGAGAGGTTTACACTCAGCCCACTCTCACCAGTAATTAATTAGCTAGTAATTAGGAGCTGACCGCGTTCCTAGATGTCGACGAAGTAGCCTAGATTGTGTTCTACCCAGCCTTAAACCTAGAGGCCCAAGGCGCGGCAAGTCGACGTGAGTTGATAATTAATGCCGTATTTCGTTGCAAGTCCCATTGACTCTGGATACTGGCGCCAAGACGAGTCGGTCAACTTGAGCAGAGGATTGACGGCATCATGTCATTACTGGCAGCAAACCACCACATCCAGCAGAGCTCGGGCCCGCCAAAGCCGCCGTCCATCGCAAATGGGACAAGCGAGCTGCTACAACCTTTCCAGGAGGACTTGCAAGGGCATCTCGCTCCTCCCGCACTTCAACCGTTGGGACCCCCTTCACTCCCGCGCACACCGGCCCTGGAACATATCGAAATTGTTCCCGGTCTCGAGACTACATTTCGTGACGCTGACCAAGCACTCGATGAATACCGCACCGTGTACATGCCATGTTTTCCCTTCATCCCCCTCCGTCATGACATATCTGCCGTCGACTTGTACCAGAAGCAGCCTCTGCTCTTCCGCATGCTTGTTCAGGTTGCCTTGCCGCAGAACTTCCAGTCTCAGCGTGACGTGGGGACTTGGTTCCGTAAATATATCGCCGAGCACATGGTTGTCCAGCAAGAGAGGCGTCTGGAACTTCTCCAGGCAATACTGGTATTTGTGGGGTGGTATGTATCCAACGGTTTCAAATAACCCCTCATGATACAACAGCTGAAAGTCGAGTGAATCTAGGGGCGGCTTTGGGTTCTACATCGAATCATGGGCAACGGCTCTTCTTCAACTAGCCACGGGTCTTGTCATTGATCTTGGCCTCAACAAGTCGCCCATGTCGCTGAGCGGGGTGCCCTATTCCCTCGTCACTGAGGCAATCAAGGTCATGAGAATCGCCGAGGTCAAGGAAGGCCACACTTTCGAGGAAAGGCGTGCCGTCCTTGGATGCTTTTATGTCATTTCCACGTATGTGTCCCGAGCACGAGACAGACGGACAGGAGCAAATAAATATTAACTAAATTCTTTTTTAGGGTATCGACATTGTTCCGGCGAATGCACCCTTTCCCCTTCACGGGATATTTAAACCAGTGTTGTGATGCGCTCCTAGAAGCCCATGAGTATGAATCGGACAAGTTGCTAGTAGCACTGGTGCGAATGCAGCGTCTCGTGGACCGAGTCCATGCTGTATTCCCGAACCCAGAAGCCGACAGCGAGGCGTCTCGGGTGTTCTCTGCCCCGTTGCACATGGCGATAGCGACGCTCCGTAAGGAACTAGATGCACTGGTGGAGAAAGCAGCCCCCGAAATCAAAAATAACGGTGAGTTCGGACCTGGGAATGACAACCAGATCCGCCACATGCTATGCCTGATGTGCTGACAAACATAGTCTTCCTTTGGATACACTACCACGGCTCGGTCCTCCGCCTCTACGAGCCAATCATATACATGAACCCATCGCTCTCTGCAACCGATCCGACAGAGGCTGGGCTCCGCACCGAGGGTCTTTGGAGCTGCCTGAAGTCTGCCAATGACTTCTTTACATCCTTCCTAGCCATCCCAGTTGACAAAGTTGGGCCCTTGCCTTTTGTGGTGAAGGCCCGACTCTCCTTTGCTATTGTGACCTGCAGCCGGTTACTCTTTCTGGATGATTCTAAGTGGGATATCAAGCTCGCGCGGAAGAGTCTCGATTTCGCTGGTATTGCCGCTCGCCTTGAGGAGCTCTTCAATGCGGCAGAGTTATTTGAAACCAACCACACGGGCCGCCGGAAGAGGAAGTTGATCGACGATGACCGATCAATAGTGGCCAAGTATGGAGAGAGGATACGGTGGATCCGACACTGGTACAACTCGATGCTTCCTCTTGAAGCGGACAGCGCCATGGAGATGGACACGGGGGGATTCATGGAACCGGCGCGGGACCATGGCGGGGCCTTTTGGCAGGCACTGTTAAATCTCGATGGGCCATGGGACTTGGGTGATCAAGTGTGAGATTTACGGCACGCCTTGATTCAGATGGCAACCGCATCACTTCGTTCAGTCTGCTTCAACGGCAGACCTTTTATCTCGAGCATATCGCCAAGATTTGCCCTTCCCCGATAGCGATGCTTTGTGCCCAGAAATATGCTGTATGTACTGTACATTATTGAAGAACATCTAATTAGACCCCATTACGCCGATTGCGACTTTTGACCTCTAATCCAGCCTGTGGCCTATGCCCCTTCCCAACCAATACAGTACTGTGCTGTACAGGCGCCCCAGAGTGTCCCCCATAACTCCAGACCAAAACCCCAGTTAAACTATATCGCCCCAAACGCATTAACCAAAGCAATCGTGCTAAAGTACCCCCCGCAATAATCATCCGTAGGCTCCGTGAAGTTGCACGGAGTATTACAATCAAAACTAATAGGCTGCGTCGCCGTAAAGCTATTCCCGCAAGTACAGATCGAGTTCCCGTCAGCGTCCGTGCCGAGCGTGAAGAAGCGCGTCCGCCCGCCCGGCTGGCCAGAGCAGAAGGAGGAACAGTCGGCGATCGATGTCGTGAGTACCTCCTGCGCCACGTACGGGTTGAGCCCGAACGTGCCCCCCGACGCCGCCGAGAAGCACCCCAGGTAGCCGTACGCATCTGTGAAGCTCGCGGCTCCCGATCCCGCTGGGCCGGGCGGGCCGGTGGCTCCCGTGGGGCCAGCCGGTCCGGTGGCTCCCGTTGGGCCGGGTGGGCCGGGTGGGCCGGCAGCACCGGTAGGCCCAGCTGGTCCGGTGGCGCCCGTAGGGCCAGCTGGTCCGGGTGGCCCTGGGGTGCCGGCTGGCCCTTGTGGACCGGTGTCTCCCGCTGGGCCGGTGGATCCGGCTGGGCCGGGTGGGCCGGCAGCACCCGTAGGCCCAGCTGGTCCGGTGGCACCCGAGGGGCCAGATATACCGGCCGGACCGGCCGGGCCTGGGGCGCCGGCCGGGCCTTGAGGACCTGGATCACCCGCAGGACCTTGGGCGCCGTTGGTACCTGCCGGGCCTGGCGCACCGTTGGTACCTGCCGGGCCCGGAGCACCGTTGGCACCAGCAGGGCCGGCTGGCCCGGCGGGACCTGGGGCACCATCGATGCCGTTTGCCCCTGCAGGGCCTGCAGGGCCTGTGGCACCGGGTGCACCGGGCGCTCCGTCAGAGCCATTGTTGCCAGCCGGGCCAGCCGGACCAGGTGAACCAGGAGGTCCAGGAGGTCCAGGCGCGCCGTTTTCTCCATTTTGGCCGTTTGCACCGTTGTGGCCGTTTGCACCGTTGTGGCCGTTTGCACCGTTGGCGCCGTTGGTACCATTAGCACCGTCAGCACCGTCAACACCGTCGGTGCCGTCGGCGCCTGCCTGTCCGGTGGCACCCGGGGGGCCGGCTGGACCTTCCGGTCCCGGCGCTCCGGGGTCTCCTTTTGCGCCCGCAGGATCGTACCCTGGTTGAAAGCCCGGTCCTGGTTGGGAGCCATCTCCGGGTTGAGAGCCTGCTCCTGGTTGTGAGCCTGCTCCTGGTTGAGAGCCGCCACTGCCCCCTTCATCGCCGCCTCCCACAACCACAACCACCCCATCAGGGTCTTCCCCAAGTATTCCCCCAGACTGCGGCCCTTGTGGCGACGAGCACTGGGCGCATTCCACTGCTGGTTGCGAGCCACTGCTGCCTTGCCAGCCAGGTGGTGCATCTGCGGACCCCGGCGATCCTTGCTGAGTTGATGTGTGTGGAGCAGCACCTGGGGCAGCACCTGAGGTACCCGGGGGGTTCGGGGCACCCGGTATTATGGCAGGTGCAGCCAGTGAATTTGGACCACCACCGCCGCTGCCACCGTCGCTGCTGCCACTGCCACTGGTATCGACTTCTATGACCAAAGTGATGGATGGAAAGCATTGAGTGTCTAACAACCACCGTCAATAAGTATACGGTGATGGCCAAGTCTGAGACCTTTGTTTGGGACTTACATGGCACGTAGGTTAGATTGACTGGAGCGCAGCCGGCAGGTATTGCGGCGAGGTTAAACACGGCGTGAATGTCGTTATCCTTCGATAGGCAGAAGGTCGCCGCTTCACTGGTGAAGTTCGGATGCCTCCATTCGAGGTGATTATCCACTATGCCGAAGCCACTGTCGATACTCGCGTCGGCCGAGTACTCAAGAAGGCGCTCATGGTCGGCGCCCTCACTCGCCGCCACAAGCTTCTTGTCGGCGTAGAGTTGGTCGCCGACAAGGGTGAAGACTGAGGCGAGCTGGCAGACTGGACAGGTTCCCTCGGCGGAGACGTAAGGCGATGAGGTTCGTCGTCTCGCTAACCATCGCCGTGCGGGTTTCGGCGTGTCGAACTGTAGTAAGAACTGTGATGATGCGCCTCTGACTTGGGGAGTAAGTGACATGAACAGGTAACGGGGATAAAACAACTCAGGAGCTTGTGTGTATAAGGTATGATAGCGACAATCATAACCACCATCATCATCATCATCACTATGATCAACATGAAGGCAACTTACTGTGTTTCGGCTCCCAGCAATGTCCCAAGGCTGGTATCAGATAGACTTGGGGAAGAATAGTCGAAGCCGCCGAAGTTGGCGAGGTTTAATACGGAGAGCAGCGACGATAGTTCGGATAGCAGCCCCATGGCTACAGGCTAGAGACCTTTTTTTTTTCTTTTTTTTTTCTCCTTTGGAACAAACAATTGACCAAGAGAGGAAACGAGAAAGGCCAAACAATTGGCCAACACGAAGTGTAGGGCGCGTAGATTGAGGAAAGACTGGATTGTTCGAGAGCAAAGGAATGGGGTTTTTTAAGTACGACAGGAACTAGCATCCCTCTCCCTACGAGACAAACGTTCGCAAACGGAGCGATCTGCATCGAGATGGCGTAGTTTTTAAGACCTTAAAGTCAACACGCGAGCAGAAAGCGTGGGGAAACCGGCAACTGAAAGCGAGCAGAAGGCCAAACTGACTCGGGTTGTTTCAAGCCAAAAGAAGATGCAAACATGATGGACTGTGCGCGCAGTCTTGTGAGGGGGCTTGGGAATGCAAAGGTTTCTAGTTTCAGTCTCAAGTAGCATACTGCGTAGAAAGTTCATATGTCTCGGATTGGACGGCCTTATTGCTTCCTAGAGGCAAGGGGTTTACAAAACGTTAGGAATTCGTCTAAATCCCCAGGCACAGCCTTAATGTCTTGGACTCAACGGCGAACCGAACAGGTTTCGGCTAAGACAACCCCTCCACATTCCCGAGGCTCTGTTCCTTGCAAGACGTCCAAAGCTAAGATCGGCATCCCCAAGCTAGTCTAGCCCAGTCTATGACTCAACTTGAGGTTGCGACACGTTCCTGGCACGTTCCTGGCACGTTCCTGGCCAGCAACGGGACCTCCCGTGGCTGTTCTTGCTCCTGCAGTCTCGAGACAACCAACCACCATTCTACACCTCCGCAAACATACTGATCAGTTAACCCTCACGAATCTGCAACAACACACATTACAGACATATATCTAGACGCGGAGAATAACCTCCATGATTTATCAGATCTTCGACTGCTGCCACCAATCCGTTGCCGTTTCCTGGAATGCAGATTTGAACGGTAGTGCCTGACTATACAGGCTATACCGAATCCGGTCCAGTTGACTCCCATAGGGCCTTTCATATTCCATACCAGACTTGGAACGTACAACTACTACGTAATCGGTGCTATCACGGCGCTTCTCAACCTCCCCCGCCCTGTTCTTCATCGTCTCGCTTGATCACCACACATAGTAGCCACGAGATGGTCGTGCTGCTTGGCGCGGAGACTCGAGACAGAGACAGAGATCGTCGGGCTAGTAGTCAACGACAGGGCAGCTATTGGGAAAGAGTTGCGACTTGGAAGTCGACATGACATGCACCTTGCTTAGCTTGAAAGAACAAACCAACGGTATAAAACCCTCAGTTGTCGCCGCTGTGCCTTCTCAGGTCGAAGACAGGCTTCACACACAATATCCCACACAAAGATCCAGACCAAACAAGCTTGTGCCGCCTTTCCGCACCGAGATCAACCAATATCAAGATGATGACGCCAAAGAGCCTTGTTAGCCTGGCAGCTGCCAGCCTGATCGCCTTCTCCATGAACGCTGACGCCTTTACCACGCCCTGCATCTACCAGCAGTACAAATGCGGCTACACCATGGTTGCCGACTATGGTACTTGCTCCTTCCTTCCCTCAACATCCAGTTGTTTCGTCACTTCTAACGCATGCCCCCTCTCTCAACAGGCTACACTGTTCCTGAGTTGACCGCTGCCGTCAACATGACTGGACTGATCATCCCTCCCTTGACGGACAATCAACTTCTGGGGGCCCTCTACCGCTGCAGGGACATTGTGGGCAGCATCGTCGGCAACTCGTTCTGCATCAGCGGCTGCATCACCATCGCCAACGTCACGATAGACGACATGTGCGCCTTCTAGGGGCAGCCCCCCGGGACTGGCTCTGGCTCTGGTAGTTTACCGAGCGGGCAGTAATTTGTTTCTCGGGCATGAACACATTCACGACAACAAAGGAAGACATGGTCTTTGCATCCGTCGCTTCTCGGAGACTCTTTTAAGATTATTATAACCATGGGAAAGGCTACGATGTGCATGAACCGGGTCATCGGGATTGTAGTCACTGGGCTTGTTTTCCTTTCCTCGACGAATACTGCAGCTGGTGGCGTGCCGGCGAGAAGTCTACAGGTGATGGCGGGCAGAGCTGTATCAGGGTCCGGGCAACTAAAATAGAAGTCACAATCTAACCACCCGAGTGTTATGCGAGCCGTGCCGGCTGTGACTAAATTACCGATTTTTGATGATTCGCTCAAATATAAGAGACCACGAATGCAGGCTGAAGCTGATCTCGACAAATTTCATGAACAGACTGCGCCAGGAAGGTTCTACTGGGATTTCCATCTTTCTGTCAGCCTTTCGATCTGACCAAATTGTGCCAGGGTTATTATGATTGATTCTTATGTCTGATGGAGCGGGCACCATGCTGTTCCATGTACATGACATGCACTGGCGTGATAAAAATGTCAGCCATTAATAGACCACTCCTCGAGCTGGCAAACTACCACATCCTCGGTCGCATCCTCTACTACGTCCCCTATTGCTCCCGATCCACCCCAGTCGCACCCTCACGACATTCGGCGCCCTTTCCGCCGTGGTCGAGGTCATAAACAGGCTCGGGGTCGCCTGAGCCGTGAATCCAAGGTTCTCGGCGGCGTGCTCAGGGCAAGTTTCAGAGGACCCCTTGAATCCTAGGAATCGTCCAAGTGCTCAGATATGTGAGGAAGCTGGATATGGGACTGGCATTTTACACCCCCTTAGCCTGGACCGCACCCTTTTTGAGCAGACCATTACGGTATTTCAGCTGCCGGATAGACTCCGAGAGGTGGTCGACTCTATATATGAAGCATTTGTGCTCTTCTTCCTCACGGAGCACAACCGTGAGGCCCCAAAAATAGTAATATTGCTACTGCCTCAGGGCCTTAAAGACCTCGTCATTCCTGGATTCCGACTCGTTGTCTCGGCTTTCCCCACCATTCAAAAGCTCCGGATACCAGTTCCGCTCTAAGAGACACAGTCAGCATAACACAACCATACGTTCAAGGCGGGGTGGGGCGTGGCGGCATTTGATAGAACACCAATCACGTACCAGTCGGATTCTCCTCCATAGCAAGCCTCAGGTTCCTCCTAACAAACGCCGCATCTTCGAAGAAGTCCCTGAGCACATCACAAGCCTCGGCGTGCCCCAACACAGACACCCATTCCATCCCCGGGCCCAGGCGCGCCTGCCCCAGCCGATTAGCCGGCTCATGCCCCGGCGAGTCCGCCACGCCGCGCGCCAGCTCCTCCAGGCGGCGCCTGACCAGCGTCGCGTCGACGCCGCCGCCGGGGGCCGTATCCCTCAGGAACTCCTCCAAGCCGCCGACCTCGAGCGTCCGCGGGCCCAGATCCAGGCTCCGGATCTCGTCGACCGACCTGTCCTCGACGGAGACGCGCTCGCGCGCGCGCACGAACGCGTACCGGATGAACCGCGCCTCGGTGGGTCGGTGGTGGTGGTCCTGGGCGTTGCGGGCCGCCGCGCGGGCGTCGAAGTACCTCTCCTGCGAGACGAGCACGGTCCACCCGCCGGGCACGAGGTCGCGGGCCTTGGACCAGCACTCGGCGCGCGAGTTGGTGGTGTAGCCGTGCGTGGCGAGGGGTCGCAGCGGGATGGTGAATGCTTCGGCGGGGATGGGGCTGATGGCGGTGCGGTCGGGGGGGGATGCTAGGTCGGGAGGGCTGGTGGCGAGGGTGAGGAGGTGGTCGTCGGTGTTTAGGTTGTGGAGGAAGACGAGGAAGCCGGCGGCGAAGCGCTGCGGGGAGAGGAGCGCGTCGCCGAGGTAGAAGTGGTTGGGCCAGAATTTGGTGGTGTCGTCGGTGGTGGGGAGTTGGTGGCGGACGAACATTTGCTGCACGGGGAAGGCGTGCACCGGCGGGCTGTAGTTGGTTGTGGGTAGCCAGAAGGTCTTGCGCAGCGAGGCAGAGTAGGCGCCTGTAAATATGATGCGGGCGTCTTGGAGGAGGCGTTGGGTCCTTGGGTCTGCCGCTGCTGCTGCCGACAGCTGTACGAATAATTCTGCGCTTGGGTCGTCGTCGGTCCTTATTGGTTCTTGGAGCACGCACAGCTGCTGGAGGCTCGCCAACCGTAGTAGTGATTTGGCGAGTTGCGCAGTCTTGCCGCAGTTGGAGCCGATGCGGAAGATGAGCGACTCTGCACCCTCTAGTTCCGGAGAATCAAGGGCAACTGCAATTCCGTCGGCGGAGAGATGCTTGTACGGGACCCAATCTAGGTGCTTGTGACCCGCATAGGCGAGCTTGAGGAGTTGACCGGCTGAACGTGTGGGGCCAAGCCGGTCTGGGTGTTCTTCCAGCAGTCGCAAGAGCCTGGATGAGAAGCCTGGAAGGAGCAGGACATCGTCGAAGATGGACATGTTGAAGCCGTCTTCCTCCTGGGTGCTGCCAATCAGGCTGACGATTGCTTGGTCTCCAAGGGTTCTCTTGGAACCCTCGGGAGGTTGCGTTGAAGTTGTTGGACCATCAATGTCCACGTCCACCAACGTCGGGGATGATCCCGGATTGAGGGCATTAGTTGGCCAGATGTCTGCAAATATAAAATTGTGTTAGTAAAGTATGGGCGTGATATATCCAAGTCCCATCCTGATCCTGATCTTCATCACATACAGTCTAGAGCTTGGATGTCAACAAGCGGCACCTCCTCCAGCGTCTGCACGACGTCCTCGGGGCCGTAGTAGTGGAATTTGGCCATATACTCTCTGGCGGACAGGGGCACCCGCGGACGATTCTCCTCCACAGTTGGTACGCCATCATCCTCAGGCGGGCTGTCCTCCACCGGGTCGTAACCCGCATCGTCATCACGTACGTTCACCTCTGCCATCAGATTCACGGTGAACCCGACAATCCCATAACGGATCCTTTCCAGCTCGGAAATATCCAGCGCTACCATGCCGTACTCGAGGCTGTCGTCGCGGTATGCGGTTCCTAGGGGCTCGGTGCGGACCTCCCACAATTCGCCGGTCGAGGGATCGTAGCCTGCTCCGAGCAGTAGACATGCGGAGAGAAAGGGAAATTCCCTCAGCCCTCGATCCCAGCCACGCTCTGGCTCATCCTCTACCAGCTCGAAGAGGCCCAGGAGGTCCGGCGAGACGCTGGGTTCCGGGAGCTCGGCGCGCGGGGGGTTGTGCCCACGTGTGTAGAATTCCTCGGCCAGGCGCAGCTCTCCTTGGATGGCAAGTTGGTTTGCCGGGTCGGACAGGATGGTGATGATTTGCAGACATGTTCGGACGAGATCGGACCCGCGGTTGCTCCTGGTGGCACTGCCTGCCAGGAGGGTAACCGCTAATGGGCGGTAGCTACCGCTTGGCCCGACTCTGGCCACGATGTAAATTAGGAAGGATCGAGGGCCGCTGGCCTCTAGCGATACTTGGGTCATGGCCAAGTGAGGACTTCTTGTCGCACTGAAGAATGAACCGTGCCTGAGGCAATATGTAATTTACGAAATGCAGTTCTGGGATGCTGGGGTGCTGGGGAATGGGAGAGATTGTATTTATGGCTGGTCCAGGGTTTGATTTGTGATGTGAGTCAGCAGTCAGCAGTCAGCAGTCAGCAGTGTGTTTGTACCTGCAGCCTAATAACGCGGGTAATCACGTCCATTTGGTCCCCCTATTTCACACAGGAGAAACCGCACGTGAAATTCTGAAATGACAGCATTTAATAATTGATCCTCATTCAAGCCTTTCTGCCATTGTCTGAGGCTGGCGAATCCTGCAGAATCTCAATGAAATGTCCTCGCTAATTAGATACCATCCCAACCAGACCCATGCTTCCGTCCATGACGGAGACAAAGCTAAAGAACGAAAATAGGATAGGCACCTAAATTACAGTACCTAGGTACGTATGGCTCTTGCCCGTATAAGTAAATAATATGTATGGTGAGTCATTATGCGGCAGACAGGATCCAGTCCACTCCTTCCTTCCTTCCATTTAGCTCCCTCCTTTCCATCTAATCCCTCCCTTCTACCTAGGCCCCCGAGTTGACAATCTTGACCATGATGCCGTCAGGGGTGTAGCCCTCCGCTGTGTAAGTGGTAGAAGTATACGCCGGGTTCGTCGCGTTGAACACGACACCCAGCGATCCACCGTTGGACAGGCAGCCGATAATGGCGGCTTGCTTCTGCGCATCCGTGGCCGACGGGCCGCCATCAATCGTGTTCGCGATGTCCTCAAAGAGAACCGACGAGTCGACCTTGTTGTCGATGTGCTTGGCGAGAGCTGTGACGCTGTTCCGTGCATACAGCGTCCACTCGTCGCAATTCGGCGTATCGGCAGCGGCCATGGTGAACAGGCGACCGGCCCAGGTCTCTTGGCCGTAGGAGCGGAGATACGCTGCCACGTACGTCACATCGGCGACAGTGACGTTCTGGGGGGTGTTGTCAGGTGCGGTGTAGCACAGGAGTGCCGCCGTCTCGGTGTCATAGCAGGTCTGGGCTGCCCTTGGGGATGGCTGAATGCTGGCGGCTGCGGCCCGGCCTACAAGGAGGATGGCGGCAATCTTGGTCATGGTGGAGGAGAACATGTTGCCAAATGCGGTCTCAGAGGGGCAAAATGGGTTTGTTCTTGGGAAAAAAAGAAGAAGGGCGTGGGTGTGGAGCAAAGGCGTGAGTGATGAGATATCTTGCTCTAGGTAAGCGATACGCTGGATAGACGGGCGGCTGTAACTACTATTATATAATGGAGCCAAACTGAACCTCTCTTGCCGGTTTTCCGCTTACTCTTCGGCTTCACTCACTGCTTTCCAATGGAATGTATAATAGTATATTTGATCACAAGAATACGAACTCCTCGCTCTTTGCACAATGCGGTAATACTGTTGCCTAGGACTACCCGGTCTTGTTTCTCCCTCGCTATGGCGTGCCCAGCAGACACCACGTGTTGAAAATACCGCAAATTGGTCCGTTCTATCGGCGACAATATGCGTTTGGATCCTACGAGATGCAACTTCATATCTTGACGGATGCCAATCTGACATGGTCTTACATGGGATACGGCAAAAGCCGTAACTGGGCTAAGTCGGTCCAGACCGATCTGTAAGATCCATGCTACATTAATCGATTATGTCCCAATTATACCCCCTATGGACTACTATGATTCGACTCGATGAGTGGAACGATAAGACAAGCTTTGGTGGCACTTGTTCGGCCCGCTCATGCATAGGACTTTTATGTACGATCCTAGAGGCGAGGTACGCGACCGCTCTACGTTGGATCAATGCCAGCCTAGCGCAGAATTGATGCAGGGGAAATTAGCCGCCCACGGCGAAGGAACGGGTAGTGTGGCATTCAAGACACAAATTGATTAACATCGTCAGAAAGTAGCTTGACATGAGTTAAGTGGTAGCCTAATACAATATGAGGTATGCAGTAGCCTAGCTGAAGGATCATTCTTGCTCAGCCTCACTAACTATACCATCGGCTCTCCGAATATCGTGACATCCATACACCTGTGGGATCAAAATCACGCGGCAGAATTTAAATTGTTGCTTTCATTCTAGCTGTGTCTAATCTCGGGTTTGGCCTCACCGCGTTCCCTCGATAGAGTATTCTACCACCAAGAGGCATCTCTATTCGGTGTGCCTTGCTGTGCCTCACTAATTCTGACTGAGTGGTCCAGTCGTCGGAGAGCCATAATCACCGATAAAGAACGAAAGTCCAAATGGCTCATTTACACCTTGTATAGGAAGATCCGACGTTACATGTCATGGTTCGGGGCCTCACGCAGGTTGCAGTGGTTATCGTGAATCCCGGATCGAGATGGAGAGGAATGGGACTGGCTGATAGTTAAACTGAACCATACATATCTCCCGCGTCCCTTCTGTCTTTGCCTTCTCTGTATCGTCTTCGCACACTTGCTCATCTAGCGCTGCTATACGCCGTTGATATCGTCTCTCCTTGGGTGTACGCGTTGTACACTCGAAGTAACAGCCATGTCGGTGATTGTATTGGCGGTGTTTCTTTCGCTTCTGTATCCTGTCGCCGCAAGATGGAGCTTCGCTCCTATGGACCGCTATCCCCATGTCCCAGACTACGGGCCTCAGGTGCGAACATATCCTAAAAAGCAGCCTTGCGTTGCCATGCTGGCGAAATAGTGAACTGACGTGACGCACTTTGTGTTGTTTACTAGGCCAACATGGCATACATGGTCGACAACCAACACAACTACTTCAAGTCTGCACCAGACAAAGGTATTGTTGAACTCAATTCTGATGGTATTATCCTCATTCGAGGTCTGGCTCCTGACATTGTCCCAGGAACCCAAAATGGCGCCGTATGGCTACAGTCTGGGAGCTTTGAGAATTACATGGCCAAGCTCCGTTCCAACCAGACGGTTGCGCATGGACAAGGGAACTCGGGTACACCAGCAAACGCGACTTGGCATGCAAGCCGATCAGGCAAACTCCATGCTCGAGATTCCAGTTACTGGTTGCCAGCACTTGCTCCGAAGGGACAGGTCGGTTAGCACCATTCTGAACGTCCCGAGGACTCCACTAATATGGATCGATGCTCATAGCAACCATTGGCTGGCGCGGGATACAAAATGTATCGCGATGTTGTCAAAGACTATAACGCGGATCCCACTGGAGGCAGTGATACGACTGAGGCAATCAACGCCGCTATTCAGGACGGCAATCGCTGTGGCCTGGAATGTGGCAATACATTCAAGCAGGGCGCTGTCATTTACTTTCCTGTATGTCCACCGAAGTCCAGTTATGGCTCGTCTAGGTTTACATACTGACATGTTGTGGAAAGCCCGGGACTTACAAGATCTGCCGGCCCATAGTGCAGTACTACTTCACGCAGTTTGTCGGTGATGCACTCAACCCCCCCACTATCAAGGGGTGCGACACATTCCAGGGCATCGGACTCATCGACACTGATCCGTACATCCCGGGAGGGAACGGCGTGAATTGGTACACCAACCAGAACCAGTTCTTCCGCCAGATCCGCAACTTCATCTTTGACTTGAACGACATGCCCCTGGCTACAGACGACGATGGCCAGCCGCTTGCGCCAACTGGAATCCACTGGCAGGTGTCCCAGGCCTGTTCTCTGCAGAATCTCGTCTTCAACATGCCGACTGCTACTGATAGCAACAAGGCGACGCACGTCGGTATCTTCATGGAGAACGGCAGTGGTGGGTTTGTGTCAGACTTGGTACGACAGTTGATGAAGCATTCCTCCCGTTAAACACACACAGAGCCAGGTGCTGACCAATGATTACTTTACGTCTTGCAGGTCTTCAATGGTGGTAGCATTGGATGGCGCGCTGGTTCCCAACAATACACTGCCATGAACCTCAAGTTCAACGGCTGTCTTACGGCTGTTCAGATGGTCTGGGACTGGGGTTTCAATTGGCAGCGGATCGAGGTTGACGGCAGCGCCATTGCCTTCAACATCAGCGGAAGAGGCGGCGACACGGGCCAGGGCACAGGTTCGGTTTCCATCATCGGTAAGTTTCCCAGTCCCCCCCCTACGTCCAATATCCTCGGTGTGTTCTGTGCTCATCAAGTTCATCTTCATCATCATCATCAGACTCTAAGATCACCAATTGCCCCATCGGCATCCTGACCAACTCCCGCACGGATGCGAGTGCCGGGCCTCCAAACATCGTCATTGACAATCTCGAGATGAGCAACGTAGCCGCCACGGTCCAGGACGAAGGCGGTTCCGTCATCCTCGCCGGTTCGAACCACGTCGACCTCTGGGCCATCGGCCGCCGCTACAATGGTACCAAGGGATCCCACGAGAGTGGAGCGGTCGACGCACCGGCCAAGGCAGCGCGCCTCCTCGATCATGGCAAACTGTTCTATCGCCCGCGCCCGCAGTACGAGAATGTTGGCGCAGATGGTTTCTTGATCGCCACTGATGAAGGTTGCCTGAATGATGGCACTGGTGACCAGAAGGATAAAATCAATGCCTTCCTCCAGAAAGCCAAGGCTGCGGGCAAGATCGCCTTCTTCCCAGCAGGCATCTACACCGTCGGCGGCACGGTCCAGATTCCCACTGGCTCGAGGGTTCAAGGCTCGCTTTGGTCCCAGATCCAGGGTGGCGGCTTCTACTTCAACGACATCAACAACCCGAAGGTCGTCGTCCAGGTCGGCAATCGAGGCGACGTTGGCAACGTGGAAATCGTGGAGATGATGTTTACCGTCACGGGAGCAACGGCCGGCGCTATCATCTTGGAGTGGAATGTGCATGAGGAGACGCAAGGGTCCGGTAAGTGTGCAATCTTGCTTCTCTTCTTGGAGTGACGATCATGTCTGGCATGCATTAACACACCTACTAATACTATACCTGTCGTTGTCAATAATTAGCGGCCATGTGGGACTCGCACATCCGTGTTGGCGGTGCAACGGGCACGAACTTGGATGCTTCTACGTGTCCCAAGAAGGGGGCGTTCAATGACAATTGTATATGTGCTTCGCTGCTCTTCCACGTCACCCCTCAGGCATCGGGTTATTTCGAAAATGCGTGGATCTGGCTGGCAGACCAGTGAGTCCTTGCTTCTTCGGCCATTAACACCAGCAACTACCTACTTGAGTTAAGCTTTACTAACATGTGTCGTTACCAGCGACAATGATTTGAGCGTGTACGACAGCCCGGACAAAGGCGTCAACCAAATCAGCTTGTATGCCGCTCGCGGTACTCTCATTGAATCCGAAGGGCCGTCATGGTTCTATGGCACAGGCTCGGAGCACAGCGTTCTCTACCAGTACCAGGTATACGGTGCAAAGGACGTAAGTGGAACATTCACATTGTTCCCAGTTGAGTTGGTTGACCGGTGGGCCAAGAGCTGACTTTGCTGTCTATTCTAGATCTATCTCGGTCATATCCAGACAGAGACTCCCTACTTCCAGCCTAATCCCGTCGCTCCCTATCCCTTTGACGGACAGAAGAGCTTCCCCGGCGATCCCTCATTCGCAGACTGCACGACTGATGACTGCAAAGCGGCATGGGGCCTACGTGTTATCGACTCTCAAGGGGTCACGATCCATAGCGCCGGGCTCTACAGCTTCTTCCAGGAGTATTATCAAGATTGCGTCGATACGGAAAACTGCCAGGAACGAATTGCTGAAATCAAGGGTAGCAAGGATGTTGTTCTGTTCAACCTGTTCACCATTGCCACCGAGGAGGTTGGGAATGGCATCAAGTAAGTCAAAGGTGTTAAATCGCTTTATATCCATGGGCTACTATGCTGACAACCGTGGGCACAGCAATGGTGCTATTTTCCAAAACGACTCGAACCAGAGGTATGTTATGTTATCCGTTAACTACGGAATAGGGCAGGCCATATCAATAAATATTTGATAATTAACTGGCATTGTTATTAGCGGTTTTACCACCGAGGTCAGCGTCTGGCTCCCCCTGGATGGCGATGATAACATCGATGTGGTATATGTTGGAACTGAGGTCTGGACCGGTACCCCGATGACCTGCTCCAGCACTTGTGTTCTAGTTATCCCAACTAGCTCACTATCAACGCCGTCAGTCATCGACCCCGGACTCTACCACACGTCGTTCGAGTACGGCCACATTTCAACAATCACCAGTGCCAATGGGGTGACCGCCACCACCTTCATCACAGAAACCACCACCGTCACCATCACCATCCCGAAGACTACTGTCGGTGCCATGTCATACTCCAATGTCAACATAACCTCGGGTCAGACGGTCGGCAGTGTCGTTGTACAGCCTAGCGTTAACCTCCCCCCTATTGGCGTCCCGCTCCCAGATGGCGAGGGGGGCACAACAACGAGAATTGTATCGCTTCCCCCATGGCCCGCGGTCACCAACGGTCCACCTGACAGCTGGAATAACCCCACAGACCCCTTCGATATCACTGGCACTGGCGGTGCGACTGGGTCATCGCCGAGCATCTACCGCACTCAGTACTCTACAACGGTATCGGCGAGGGGACCAACCGTCACCACCCTCTCGTTCCCATCGACCGTCAGCCCCATCACGGTGAACTGTCCACCAGACACGACAATCGCCTTCAACACGCCCAAGACCACCATCACTACCGACTGTGACCACCCGACCGCCTTGACTCTGGGCTTCACTTGCGCACCAACAAAGATAGTCACCTTTCTCGCCGCATCTTCCGGGGTGTTCTCAGTGGACTGCACTCTGGTGACTCTTTTCCATCCGCCGGCGCCGCCAACTAATACTTCGCCGACCACCACCCAGACCACCACCTCGCCTCTCCCGGTCTGGGCTACGTGGCCTGGAGGGATCATCACGCCGGTGCCGACTCCTGTCAATGAACCGCAACCAACCGACGACGGTGTTGTGACGCCGTGCAAGCTCTGGTTCTTCAATGTAAGTCCAACACCTGGATGAATCCACGGTTACTTGGTGTCTATCGCACGAAGCATGCGGCCTGTCTGACTGACTGATCTGTTCCAGATATGCATTCTGCGGAGTGACATCAACATCGGTGGATGGCACTGGATCTTGCCGCCGGGTATTTATCCGCCGTATGTTCATGTCCCGATTGCCCGTCTTACCCCTTTGTCTTGAGGCGCTTACTGAACAAAATTGTTTCCGCTCAGAGGCCCGCCTCCTGGATTTATCAAGTTCCCCAAGGGATGGGACATCGAGGGCACACTACCACCTTGGCCCAGAATCACGTAAGTGTCCTACTGCATAGGGTTATATCACGTACAGGTAATTATAGCATCAAGTTCTCTAACGCACTGATAATTAGCATTGGATGGGATCATGTCATGACCTACGAGAGCGACCCTGAGAAGCAGTGTGAGACCGAGTCAGCTTCCATCTGCTCGACAACCACGTCGTATGGAGTGACCACCACGGGCACCATCACCAGCACAACAACAACCTCGGTGTCGTCGACATGTGAAACTGTATTCGGCTGCGACGTGACAGACTCGGCAACCGCCACGGTTACAACATCAGTCACTGGTGCTTGCCCCCTGCCCACCAACGCACGTCGCCATGTCCGTTGGTCCGATTCCGACGAGGAATATAATAATAACTCCAGCGACTCCTCCCCCTTGGCGACCCGCCAGGATGCCCCATGTGGCGCCAACGCCGTCGTGTACCCGGCGAACCCGGAGGCTGTGGGAGAAATCCCCAGAATCCTGGCGGCGTACGAGGGGAAATATGTCGCCGTCGGGTCGGCCCAGGGCGGTTTCACATCCTTCTACTGGGTCCCTGGTATGGATGCTGAGACCATGAGCAACTGCACCAAATCGGTACGTAATTAATTACCAAACCATACACACTCAGGAAGGCCCTCAACTAACGTCAGGGACTTGTTCCCGTTGGGATTCCAAGGGCGATGTCAGTTATGCCTATTACTACGAGGAATGGAACGCCAACGTCGGCCCAGACGACGACGACGACGATGACGAAGCAGTATCGGCAGCTCATAACGCGGTCCGTGACGCCAGCCTTGAGCGGGACAGAAGCAGAAACTTCGACGGTGCCTTGTACCCACCCAGTGGCAAACTTGACGACGACCTCCCGTCGGCGAGTCTTGATACGAGATCCGACAATGCCACCTTCGAGCTCGCCCTTCAGGGCCATACTCTCGACAAGCGTGACGGGACATTCCGCTCGTCGGTGTACTGGGATCTTCCGTTTGACTCGGTACCTCCGGGCACGGTTTATCAAGCCACTTCCGAGACGTACATCAATGGACCGAACCCATGGCAGTTCAGATACGACGTGACGGCCGGAGAAGGGCAGTTTGTTTATCTCATTTCAGAGGAAGGAATCTGGACAAATCACGACGTACGTTTCATGCATATCCCCACGACGAAAAGTAGCTGACTTTCAATCTCGTACTAGGAATTCACCAAGAGCGACGGAACAATCGAGACTCTAGGAACGACTACCCTCGGTAATCCACTCACAGGCGCAAAGCCCGATCCTGCTCACGGGTCGGGCTGTGCCGCCAAGATCATGGGGGCGAAGCTAGGTGTATGCAAGAAGTGCACCTTGATCTTCTGCTCTTCGGACAACCTAGTCACGCCACCGGGCCAGGCCCAGACCAAGGTCAAGGAGGCCATTATCCAGCAGCTCGACGCCGTTTTAGATCACATAATCAGCAAAAAGCGGGTGGGCAAGGCCTCCGTCAGCATGAGCTTATCCTATGGTCCTGGGAAAATGAACCCAGCATTCTACCAGAGCATGAGTACGTTGCTTGAAGCCTTCTCTGAGCTATTTATTCTCTTTCTCTTGCTTTCTAGACTAACCGGTCTTTCTCGCGATAGGATACTCACTCAACCAGCTGGTCATCAAGGGGAAGGCGGTGATTGTTGCCTCATCCAACAACCACGCCAAGAAAGAAGGCCGCGCCATTAACAGGTATCCCGCGTTATACGGGGACCCGCAGGACAGAAATGGCCAGTTGGCCACCCTCATCACGGTGGGATCCGTCGACTCGGACACGTACCAGGCGGACTCCAGTCAGTACGCAGACTGGATGACGACGTTCGCGCCCGGTGACGGTGTTTATCTTCCGGCCAATCCCAACAACGGCGACACCAACGCGATGAGGAAGGGCAGCGGGACATCATACGGTAATTTAAGCCCCGAAAATCTGTTAATCAACTCTAAGCCCAAACAAACAGTGATGCTAACTACGAACCTAATTAGCCGCTCCCCAGGTGGCAGCACTGGCAGCTTACCTGCGAGGCTTGAACTCCCCCTGGAAAACCCAGCTGGAAGACCCCGCCAACGTCAAGAAGCTGATCCGAATACTCCACCGGCGCTTCGCCGTCCTGCACTACAAGTTTTATGTCACGCCCGCCGACCGGAAGCCAGTCATCTGGAATGGAGAGGTAGGCGACAAGTCGTGCGTGGCGGACTACGCCTCCAGGGCCAACTGGGACCACGACAAGGTATGTCCGACCATCGACGACAACCTAGACAACGTGTCCCTCGACCCCCCGCCCGGCCAGACCGTCGGCCAGTGCGGCGCCGGCGTCGGCGGGAACCCGACGAAGCGAAAGCGTCAAGTCAGCGGCGGCGCCGGCGGCAGCTGCCCCCTGAACCTGGGCGGCGGTGGAGGCGCGGACGGCCAGACGCTCAGCTTCACGACGGGACCTACGGCGGCGCCGACGTGCCCGTCGCAAACCGGCGGCGGCGGCCGCCTCTGCACGGGCTACTACTGCGTGCCCAACCCGACGGGCCTGCCGCCCGATTACCCGGACCCCAAGGATCCCAGCGCCGGAGGCCGAGTGCCGACTACGACGGTTGGGGGCGGCGGGGGGACGAAGACGCCTACGACGACACCTACAACGACGCCTACGACGACACCTCCTACGACGACGACACCTCCCACGTCGACACCGCCTACATCGACGCCTACCGCCGTCCCGTGCACCGACTGCCAGTACAACCTCGTCATCGGCCAGACCACCAGCAGCGGGTCCATCGTGTACTCGTGGTACGGCTATAAGACGCCCCTGGACGGCTGGCCGCTAGCTTCTGGCCAGTGCACGAAGCCGGACTGGAGCGGGGGGCGGCGGACGGACGGCGGCGGGCAGACTCCGTGGCCATCGAAGCTGGACGGGATCAGCATGGGCGACATCACGTGCAGCTTCGTCGGTGACGGCAAGGACTGGCGGAGCACGAAGCGCGGCGATAGGCTGGGCGAGCTGGATTGTAAGGGGTATGCGCCGGCGGCGTGCTACCAGGGTTGGGTGACGGATCAGCCCGAGCAGTGTTTTGGGCTGGATGGGAATTCGGGGATTGATCAGATTATGGCTTGTCACTGGTAGGGGAGGAGCTGTTGGGATGGGAGGATGGCGATGGGGATATCTCTGTGCAACGACTGTCGCCAAAGACTGGTCTCGATTATAAAGTGCACAGGAATTCAGTGCACAGGAATTCCTTCGTCTTTCAAAAAAAACAGCCTGTTCAAGGACAGACAGCTCTTAATGGTGCTGTTAAAGTTATATGTAGACTGTCCACCCGCCGTTGTTGGGGGACCTCCGCGTCTTCGGCATAGCCGAACCGCAGCCGCGTTCATGGGCGTCGTCCCATTGCGCTTCAGCTGCTGTTGAACAGCCTAGAGAATAGGTTCCTCGTGCGCGCCCCACTCTTTTGTCGGAGGGTTCCGCCGAGGGGTTTTCGGAGCCCCACCATACGATGGAGGCGACTTAGCGCCGAAGCTTCCCGGCGTTGCCGGTACGGATGCGGTCAACACAATTTGTCTTAACTACATAATTCAGTCCTCTCAACCGCGAGATTAGAGTGTAGTGGCTTAGTATAGTTTCATTCCAAAAGAAGAGCTTTTGTAACTGTCGGGTAATTGTAATTATTCCCGTTAACCCAAATGTTCTCATGATAGGAGGATGATTAATGTCGTCATTGCGCCCCTCCCAGAAATGCCCCTTCCCTACCACCCCGCCACCCACCCCTTCGCTGGTCGGAATGACCGGGAGTCTAGTTCGAGATTTTGGCATAGAAAGGCGCTCTCCCCCCCAATACACCACATAATGCCTTCTGACATTGCAATCACCCTCTTGTCCCTGAGTTAATTATAATTAGCATTTTCTTTCCGTCTAGTGCGCAGCGCCTAAGATGCAGAAGGCGGCGGCTATTCTGCCGTCCTGGGACACGACCAAGACCCAGAGCAAGAAAGGCTTCGATAAAGTCTGGGGGTGGGTTGATAAGCTGGGGGCCCCCATTAACAGGTTCTCCAATCGCATTGGCAGTGAAGCTTTCTGGCCCACGACGCTGGACAAGGAAAGTTACAAGGCTGCCAGGATCCTGAGATCGTTCTGCAGTGAGTATTTATCTTAGTCTCTGGCTTAAAGATCAATGGCTATGATGTATCGGTTATACAAATATGCGAAATATTCGTCGGATTTGCGGCTGCAGTGGCTAACAGACGCAGAGGATGGCTTCTACACTGAAGAAGAGGGGCCAATGGTTGAGGCTGGCCCAAGGCAGAAACAGCGAGTCTTGAAGAAGATTCCAGAAAAGGTCATACAGAATGCCGTTGGCCTCGCTATCTTCACCACTATGCGCACTGGCCTATGGGTCTCCGGAGCCGGCGGTTCCGGCGTTCTGGTTGCGCGCACAGAGGATGGATCGTGGTCTCCTCCCTCGGGCATCATGCTGCACACGGCCGGGCTAGGATTCCTTGTCGGCGTGGACATCTACGATTGCGTCCTTGTTATCAACGATCGCAAGGCTCTCGGGGCGTTCACCAAGATCCGAGCTACGCTGGGCGGCGAGATTAGCGCAGTCGCCGGTCCTGTCGGGGCTGGGGGGGTTCTCGAGAACGATGGCAAATGGAAGCAAATAAACAAGCCGGTATTCACTTACCTCAAGTCTCGAGGTTTCTACGCCGGTATCCAGGTCGACGGAACCATCATCATCGAACGTACCGACGAAAACGCACGATTCTATCGACAGACGATAGGCGTGGCGGATATTTTGGCTGGAAAAATCCGGCACCCGCCACCTGAGCTCAAGATGCTGATGGAGACATTGAAGGCTGCAGAAGGCCGCACTGATGTTGATGCGAAGCTAATGGGTGAGCTGGACGGACAGCCCACGCCGGGAGATGTCGATGTCGATGCCCCTAGTGATAGCAAGATATTCGGAATCCCAGAGTCCGACGACTTAGATCCATTTGGTGTGCATGCTCTGGAAAGAGAAGGACTCGAAATCCGCGAGGCTGCAACTCGCTCGAGGCCCTCAAGCCAGCAATTCGAATATAATCCGAGCCCTACAAGTCCGATTTATAACATATTCCACCGCAGGAGTATGTCTGGAACGAGGAGCAATTGGGAGAACATCCCAGCAGCACATGCGCCGCCACCGAAGGGACCGCCGCCACCGCTGCCACCCAGGAACATCACTCAGCCTATAATAATGGCTGAGTCTGAGAAAGATGGCTTAACTGAAGCCGAAAGGAAGGATAGTGAGGAAATATCCTCTACTGTCTTGCCGTCAGAGTCGAACGTTGAGAAGGCGGATGAGACGAGGGGCAAGATTAGCGACGCAGCATCTGAGCCAACAGATGCGAAGCAGGATGAGAGGGGGGACAGGATTAACGACTCAGCATCCGAGCCAACGAATGTTAAGGCGGATGAGAGGAGGGACGAGATTAGCGACGCAGCATCCGAGCCAACAGATGCGAGGCCGGATGAGAAGAGGGACAAGATTAACGACGCAGAATCCGAGCCAACAGATGCGAAGAGAATTGACAAGGAAACCGACGACGTGCTCGTATCCAACGGCTCTTCTGACTACGCTACTGGCTCCAACTCTCCTTCTCCTAAGCTTACAGCTTGGGATGAAGAAGCTGACAAATTCCACAGCGTACCAGGCAGTCCCAACAAGCTTGAGTAACGATATCATGTATGCTTATAATTGCGCCTCTTAGAGAGATCATTTATTGAGATTCAAACGTCTTTACCAAAGTTAAAACTAGAACAGCAGCATTTAGAATTTTCCAGGGATAATAGCCACAAGGGTCGGTCCATTGTTTATGATTCTACTGTCCCTCACTCGTAAGGCTTCTCAAGGTTCTACCCCCTCAGAAAAAAGAGAGAAAAAAAAAACGTGTGGGGGCTTATGCCTCTTGCTAGATAAGAGCCAACATCCCAGAGCTTACACGGAATGGTGCGAATCCGGGAAAGCGAGATATGTTGCCTGCACCGGAGCCACCACCGCATCATAGAACTGCTGCCGGAACCTTGAGACGTCAAAGTCATTGTATACATCCCGTCCCTCGAACGAGAACTTCACGCACCGCTCTGTCGCATATCCGTAAGAGTCCCCCGCGAGGCGGTACACCTCGTCCAGTCTGCTCAGCGCAGATTGGTAATCGTCGACGAGTGTGGTAGGCACGCCCTCGCCTTGACGGGATTTCGACACGGGCTCGCTGATGCAGAACTCGATGAGTAGAATTCCAAGAGCGAAGACGGTTCTGTTGGGAACGAGATGGCTGAAATTGGGAACCAGATGGCTGAAATTGGGAACCAGATGGCTGAAATCGTCCGCAGTGGCCTGCTCCTGGCAGGTTCGGGGCGAGAAGACGTACGATGCACAGGGGTGCCGCGAGAGAACCTCCCGACCATTCTGCGTCTTCTCAAGGAAAATGCCCATCTGCGTCTGATCCCAGTGTTCTGTGAGCCATGGACTGCAACTCAGGTGTAGGACCGACCACGCGATAGTGGCGGCAATGCCGAACCGCTGTTTTGCGGATAGGGAGAGGTAAGGGTTTCGCCTCTGCGCTTGTTGCTCGCGTGACGAAAATAGCGACTTCAGGGTTATTGCTTTGACGATGTTTTTCGAATCCACTGGATGGTGATAGAGAGAATAATGTCGATTTTTGTCCTCATCGGGGTCTTTGAGAAAGCGTATCAAGGGCCACCGGCTACTCTCTGTGCATAGCGCAGCACAGAGGCTGGTTACCTCGGTGTTTGCTGGGGTCGACACTGCAACCGACGCCTCAAGAACTTGTGGATTTGGAGATGGACCTGTCACTGTTAGCCGGGCAAAAGCATTCAAAACAGGAGACATCGGTCACTTACCTGTCGTGGTCGGCGAAGCTGGTGGAGGTGGGGGTGATCGGGATAGCGACCTGGCAAGCCTGAAATGTGCAACCGTAGATCGGAACAACGAATTTGGTGAAGAGGCTCTAATGGGTGCCGGAGGTGATGGAGTCAGTAAGTCAAGGGCCGGCTCAGGCGTTTGGACAACAGTCTCGGAGGTAATGCCAAGCTTGCACCACGAGCCGAGCCCCTGAGGCTGCGAGCTTGTCTTGTACGAGACGGCGACTTTGATGGTTTTAGCTGAATCGGACTCGTAGGCCGCCCAGTCGAGATCGATCGCAGCTTGGTGAGGCGTCGAACAAGTACAGTGGAATCCGAACTCAAGTGCCCTGTGGAAAGAAGCGAGGGACTGCCGAATAGCATCGCTGCGCGTAATGTTGAAACGGCGCTTCAAGTCCTGAACCTTTCGGGTGTCGTCCTGCGCGGGGACCTCGAGCTTCTCAAGTGACCTCTTTAGGTCCTCGTTCCAGTGCCTGAGATCTTCAACCACTTTATTGCGCTTTTTGACGGTGAAGCTGTGCTTTACTCTGCGCCATTCCCACTGGAACTTCTCGGGCAAGGCATCTGGCTATACGCATCCAAAAGTTAGCTTTGCTTCGGATACCGCGTGTTGTAAGTATTTCGAGGTTTTATGCCTTTCCCTTGACGTCGAGATCCAGAGTCTTCAGAAGCGCCGCGGTGACCTCGTCCATTCGTTCAATGATGGACATCAGTTGAGGACAGATTTCCGGATACTTCGTTTCGAAACACTCACGCAACTCTTGAGTTGACGGATCGGCATGCAGCCCGACATTAGATAGCGTTGTTTGCAGTTGCCACTTTTGCAAAATGAGATCGGCTCGGAACGTGTCTATCGAAGTGCGGTACCGGTGGAAAGCCTCGAAGGGTTCTGCATATTTCTCCAGCGCCCAAATTGCGAGGGGAATTCCGCCCAAAACAAGACCTGCAATTTCAGCCATGGTTGCGATCGAACCTGGCGGGGGAAAGTCGAAAAGCTCATGAACACCCCAACGCGGAGGAGGTTGGCAGTTGAGCGGGGATCTTGTTCTGCAATGGAGATTGGGCCTCAGCCGCATCTGCACCGGCCTGACTATGAGCCGAATCCAGAGCCCGAGCAGGCTGCGCGGGCTGATTGCTGGCGTGGCGCGACCCCATTGGATGAAGGTCACATCCACTTCTCCTGCCCCTCGCTCGAGCCTGCTGACTCAAGTGACGAGGGGTCATTGTATTCGACCCTTGCGCCTCAAAGTCTCTTTCAGCGTTAAGCACGTCACGACCGCCAGACCGTGAACTATCGTGGGTTCAAGGAATTCTCGAGGGCGCATAGTTGACATACTCCATCGCTTGCCGTCATGGCGGGCTCGTCAACCGCCGCCAACCCCGCATCCCTCTCCGAGTGGTACGAGAACTGCATGCAAGCCTTCAGGGAATTCCTGCTGGCCCTCGGCGAGACGAACTGCCGTGCAATCCGCCTCGAGCAAGTTCACCTTCCAGAGATATTAGAGGAGTACGGGAGGGCCAAGATCTGGGGAGACCAGACCAAAGCAGACCTTCCGGCAAGAGCCCGCGGCTCTTTGGATGACGCACTCCGACACGATGACGATCTCAAACAACTGGTTCAGGGTATCTTCGTCCGCCTGAGGGCACTCCTCGGTCAAGGTGGGTTTCATAGCTCGCAGGCCTAGGCCTTTCATCTAACCTTGCTTCAGCAACATCTATCGCCGAGAGGAAGTATGATCTACTCGCCGGATCGGATTGCGATTCGATTAGCAGTGTCAGCGCCGACTCTGATTCTGGTACAGACGACGACGCGGATGCCGATGGCCAACACCAGCGCCGTAGCATGCCCAAGATTCGTCTTATTGTCCAGCAGATTGTGGGACAGATCCGATCACTTTATGACCTGTCTTCCTTGCTTCGGCGCCCAAGTATTGCAGACAAATACATCCGCTCCGTCAGCTCCAAGTTGAACACATCCACGTCGAGTGACTCGGACGCCTTGCCACTAAGTGTTGGATTCCGCACCTCGGACGAGAGCCACGTAGCCGAGAAGGTGCTACAATGGCGCGGCCTGACGAAGAGCGGGCTAGGCGTTAAGTTTGAAGAGGAGGAGCCTGCTCCTACCGGGAAGGACTCGACAAGTGACGGCATGGAAGATATTCTGTGGTTTTGCCAACGGCTTGCGAGAGCGAACACGAGGCGACGAGAACAGCTTCAGTACTGGACTGCCAATCCCTACGACCCCAAGAAAGACGTGCCCAGCGCAGCTCAGCTCCCTTCGCAGGATCTGGCAGACGTTCTAGTCAAACAGATAGAAGTGGCACAGGAGTCACGAAGCCAAACGTCTACTCTTAAACCACCGGATAGAAATCTCCTGCGCACAGGGCCAAGGTCAGCAGTGTCAAAGCAGAGTTTCTCGACGGCTGCCGTCTCGCTCGTTCACGATACGAAAACAAATGTTCGGCCTCGGACGGTCTATGCGCTCACGGCCGTCGGCAAAGGCCGATCCAACTCTGTCCCCGATCCACCTAAGGCGAAAGATGGATTGAGCACCTTTCCGTGTCCGTATTGCGGAATGACACTCGAGGTCAGCGAGATGCGGAACAGGCAATCATGGCAGTAGGTTGATCCCCCTGAATACTCTGCTACAATGATACTCGTACATGCATGCTGAGCGGAGAACTAATAGACGCCATGTATTTCGGGATCTCCGTCCCTACGTTTGCACGTTTGAGGATTGCCAGAATTCCGGGAAGCTATACATAAGCCGCGGTGACTGGATACACCACGAACTACAGGTCCATCGGCGCAATTACGTCTGTAAAGAGTGTAATAAGAGGTGCCCAAATAGACGGGAAGCGTCGACACACCTCCGAGAACACTACGGAGAGTCAACTTCGCCGTCCCAGCTCAATGTCATCCTGGATCTCTCCGAACGACAAGTCGACGTCTCAGCAGAGGAGAAAGACCCATGCCTCATTTGTGGAGAGGAGCTCTCACTGTCTACATTACAGAGCCATATTGCGACCCACATGGAGGACATCGCTCTCTTTGTCTTGCCCAATGTCGACGAAGAGGAAGGAACCGGGGGCTCAAAGGCTTCGGTGCAGGTAGCGAGACTCGAGTCCAAGGGCAAAGCCAGTTATCTTGAGTCGGATGTTGGGAGCCTCGGCTTCTCTGTATCTGGAGGCCATGGGCAAAATCCGCTCGATTTTGCGAAGATACTCGCCGACGAAGAAGTGGGATATGCCGCCAAATTTTCGTCTTGGGAGACCAAGGGTGATGAAGACGGAACGTCCACCTCCATTCTGCGATCGAACATGTCCGATCTAAACAACTACACCGTCGGTGTCGACTTTCTAGCCCGGTTAAACAACCAGGAATACAAGCTTGAGAGCCCGTACGAGCGGATGGAGAAGATGAATAACCTTGGGAATGCGCTTTATAGCCAGGGCAAGCACGATGAGGCTGAGGCGATGCATCACGAGGCGCTTGAGTTACGCAAGCAGTTGCTTGGCCGCGACCATCCTGATACGCTTACTAGCATGGAAAAACTTGGGAATGCGCTTTATAGCCAGGGAAAGTACGATGAGGCTGAGGCGATGCATTGCGAGGCGCTTGAGTTACGCGAGAAGGTGCTTGGCCCCAACCATCCCGATACGCTTACCAGCATGAACAACCTTGCGCTTGTGCGCGATAGCCAGGGCAAGTTCTTTGGGGACAGAGACGCAATCTCGGCACGACCCCTCGTTGTACGACGTGATGGAGGGAGAATTTATCTTCCCATGGGCAGATTTCACGGCGTTCTAAAGATGTCGGAATTTACAACTTATCCGCCTACGCAGGCAACGTTTTCGGTGGATCAAATCGACGACTGGGAATGCAGCGCTCTGGTTCCATCGGACCTCGCCGCACAGGCTTTGCAGCAGAGCCACGATCAGGTCGTTCCTCGTCGGTGGAGTTTGGGAATCGACACTCTCAAAGTGCTTGTTCACCCCAGTCTTGGCGGCGAATTCCAGAAGGCGCTATATGCGGCCCTTCAATATCGGATCAAAGGAAACGTCGACATCACCGAAACCAACGACAGCTACAAACCTGACTCCGCCGTGTTCAGGATTACGATGAATACAGATGACAATGACCGCATCGATATCGCCGGATCTCCGTCTCTGATCGGGTATGAAGGCCCAGTGCGCGGGCTGGATCTCACGGGCGTCAACGTCGCTCAGAGGGCCGCAAAGTCCGCCGCTATTTTGGCTCACCTGGTCCGGCTCAGACAGATCCTCGACCTCAGCAACGGCGCGGGCCAGCCGGATGCGCCATTTAAGGTTACACTGAAGCCGTACGGGAGCGAGGGCGGTCCATTGGCGGGTCAGTGGCTAAGGATGAGATTCGTATTCGAGAACATGGCTAAGTCTCGGCTCTACTTTACATTCTTGGTCCTCGGTTCTGGATTTTGTGTGATGCAGCTCTACCCTTTAGCGGATTCCCCACAATCGGTAGATGAGGGAGGCGAGGTTTCGCTCGACTGCAGAATACCGATACCCGACCTGCTCAAGGATTATGAAGATCAGCGAGACATAATCCGGATAGTTGTCACGAGGGGTAGGCAGGTTTCGTGGAAAAGTTTGGAACTGCCTGACATCTGGCATACTGAGCGGTGGGCCGACGAGCCCTGTGGCTCAGGGATGGGCGCGACAACGCGGTCGGAATGTAGCTACTGGGTAGAAGATATCAAGGTATTGTCAACAAAACGAGGCGATGGAGACGACGTCTATTGGAGGTCACGGATATATAGTTAATAGGACAGTGCGCCCCCCTTGTCTTTCCTTGTATTCCACTGGTTTTCAGCCTCTGACACTGTTTATATGCGCGAATTGTCTCTCATCAAGATACTTGCTGCCTTTTCTCGCCCCAGCTTCTGCGTTGTGGCTCTGTGGACTCATTCCAGGGTAATCCTGCGTGGCGTGCAATATGCTACTAGCCATCTCTACGCCCGATGCCAGGACATAAATATTGGCTGCATAATGCACATCACTTCTGCATGAACCTCAACCTCTGCTGCAAAAACAGAAAATGAAACAAGATGAAGTAACTGTTGATATAACCTTGTACACCAGCCTTCAATAATACCCAACCTACTGACAAGTTTTCTTCTAGGGCCATGAGACACCGAGGAGGAGTGCTCTTACGAGTCCGCCTCGGGCCACGAGGCAAAGTACAAGCTTATGTATGCCCGAACTTCTTCGATAGGTTTTCCTCCGGTTTTAGAATCTGCGAGAACGAGTGCGCATGAGTGATCGCAGATCAAGACAAAGTAAAAAGTCGGCGGATCAAGCACGTACCTGAAACGAGCACAGCAGAGATTCATCCACAGCCATGACTGCGCCGGCGTTGTCATAGTTGCCGTTCCAGTTCGGGGCGCTAAAGAGGGTGACCAGCTGTCGTCGCGCAAAGAATTCGTAACCCGCTTTTACTATCTGGTTGGACCTGACGATAAGAGACATATCCTGTTTCTGCAGGAAACGAGTCACGACGTCTGGACCAAAGGTCAAGGACACGCCGCGGTCGTTCTCAGACCACCCGGTAATGTCCTTGTCTGGGTCGCTGTTGAGCAAATCGCACATGAGCCCCGAAACAGGTATCTGTATCATCGTGTTAGTCAGGTAGCAATAATACGCCAGAGATCGCGCATGGTCTTATGGGGGTCCTTCTCGAATACTGGAGACGACTAACATCGGTTGGTCGCTGGATTCGTCGAATCTGGTACATTGAGTTCAGATCCGGACTCAAACCACCGTGCATGGCGAATATCTGCTCATCGATGATGGCAGCCACAGGCATGCAGTTGAAGCAGTCTGTGAATATTTTCCACAGTAGGATGTTGTACAGCTGTTTGCACTCATCGTAGAAACCGAAAACCCGATTCGCCGCTGCACTTTCATGGCTGCCTCGCAAGAGGAAAAAGTTCTCGGGATACTTGATTTTGAATGCGAGGAGGAGGCACATGGTTTCTATCGACTGTTTGCCGTAGTCGACGTAGTTTCCCATAAACAGATAGTTGGCCTCGGGCGGAAAACCGCAGTACTCGAAAATTCGGAGGAGGTCGTAGTACTGGCCGTGAATGTCACCCACAACCTAACTATGTGAGCCAAATGCTATTCAAAACTTAAACGCTTCAGGGTTGCTTACCTTTATTGGGGCTTCCAACTCTAACAACATCTCTTGGGACATGAAGATCTCTCTAGACTTGTTGCAAAGATACAGAATCTCAAACTCTAATAGGTGAACTCGCTTTCCAGGCCTGGAGCCTCTTACTTCCAGCAGACGATCTATTACCGAGTCTAGGTCGAAAGCGCTTTCGGTTCCTAAAATAGTCTGGGGCGTGGATATGGAAGCGCCCTGGGTCTCGTCTGTGCGAGGGGGATCTCTCTCGCCGCTAGCACCGGCGTCGAGTGTTGGTTTAGGGACGGCCTGGACCGGGTCTGTTTGTGAGACAGCCTCTGGTTCAACGTAAATTGCTGACAGACCTGGAGTAGGATCACGTGGCTGCTGTGGTTCCTCTTCTCCTGCGCCGGGGGATGCTGGTCTTCCAGGCTCGGCGGGACTTGAGATGTTGGCTTCGGGCGCAACTGGCGACGCCAGGTCGCTGTCGTCGCTGTCAAACCCGTCATTTTCTTCCGCTGGCTGAGGCAGGACAGAAAGCGACACTTCTCGGAGATGGGCAGAGACGTGCTTGAAGTAGGCAGGGGTTCCAGCTTGGCAGCCAGCCGCACAAAAAGGGCATTCCGATAATCTCGAAGACTCAGAATGAGAAACTTCGTGCTGGGCCCACATCGCACTGTGATTGTACAAGGCCATGGGCTCATCGCAGGTCTCGAACGTGCAAACATACGGTCTCAGATCGTCAAAAACATGCTTCCTATAACAACATGTCAACAATCGCTATGCGGTTTCAGGAGCCTTGAGACTTTGACTTACTTCCATGCTTTCCTAGAAGTGATGTCGACAATACGTGCAGAGCAGGAAGGGCAGTTGAAGCCGTTCCCTTCCAGCTCAGGCATGGGGGGGACTCGGGGACGCCCCTGGTTGAAGGTGGACTGCGCTGTGGAGAAAGAAGCAAAGGTGGCTTCTGATGCACCATCCGATAAGCGCCTAGTGGGTATCTTGAAGTCGAATGAATTCGAAAATACAGAGGATGAAGGGACCGTCGATTTCGTAGTGTCGGTAACCCGGTGATCGGTTGTGGTGAAGAGACTTTCGCTGACCATGTCATCGGCTATCTGGGGATCCTGCTTGGACGGTCGAGATCGGAGAGACCGAAGCTCAGCAGCTCGTAGGACATTTGCTTCGGCCAACCGTTCCACGAGATACTTGGGGAGATCGCTGAAGCGATCCCGGAGCCTCCGGCAGTAGATCAACGCCTCTTCATTGGATGCGACAAACGATTCCTTATCCAGGCTTGAAGCTTCACCGGAGCTCTCAAATTGCATGTCCAAGGCTGGATTGTCCAAGGACGGAGCCAAATCGAGAAGGCAGTCAACATAGGTGGTAATGTCATCCAGAGCATCCTCGACGCCGTAATCCGAATCAGCGTAGTCCGACAGCGTATCCGGCCCGAGACGCTCGGAGTCGCACTCTTGAAGCATGGTCTCGGTCGTCTCCAGCAAGGTCCGGAGATCGTCGCGTTGATCTGTTAGGATTTTGGATGCGGAAACTGCATGTCGGGAGAGGCTGTGAAGGATTACGGTCCCGAGCTGTGAGAGAAGGGATAGAACTCGGAAATGAAGTTCCTTTGAATGAGCTAGGACCTCGTCGAGACCTCCGTCCACGACTGAGAGGCCCTGGCCCCAAAGAAAGAATCGCTCAAGCTCATTACGGCACTTCTGATGCTCGCCGTCTGAGAGCACTGCTGGGAGTAAAGCCATTGCTGCGGCTATCGTCGTGAACATCTTGGCAACAAAACCGGCACTTCTGGAAGGCGCCGGCTCAGGCACCCAGCTTTCGACATCCTGACGTGAAAGAAAGGATGAAGACATTGTTGTGAGGTACACTGCGCCATGTAGAGTTGGAGGCATATGTAGTTTGAGATGGTCAACATCCCCAACGAGGCTGGTGTCACCTTCTCTGAGCAATTTAATGTCGCATGGCGCGGGGAAGCCTGGCGGTTACGGAGTTCGCCGGCCGAATGAGAGGTGCAGGAAGAAGCAGGAGTATCGGCTATTGCGGAACCGTGCATCGTGCGGCTGAGCAATCTCATGGAAGGCCTGGAGTGGTCGGACACGCAGAAAATTCGAGTCCGGTTTTCTCCTCGAACATCTGTCCATACCCAAATTGGCTGAGATTCTTAAGCCTTCCAGAGCCTCTCGCAGGACTCTATCGCCACCCCATTCTCCCATGAGGTTGTGTTAGTACGTGAAGAACGTACTGACTTGAGGATGAGCGGGGTTGAGTTTATCGTGGGGACAGTGCTTGCATCAGTGCCACTAGCTCTCGAGTTGTACGACCGTTCAGAGAGAGCATTCCAAATCTTTTCCGTCTTCAAGCATTACCCAAGAGAACTTCGCAGTCTCAAGACAACTCTGGGCGCCCAGCGAACCATCTTCCGCAACAATGCCATCATTCTACTCACCGCCATAACGAAAGACCGGGCGAAGGTTCAGGGGGTCGTCAACCAGCCTTCGTCACAAGCCGCCAGGCAAGCTTTGGCCATGAGTTCCATGTATCAATGCCAAACGGATGGCCTTGCCGAATCATTTGTCTCCTGCCGTCAAACAGCAGAGCAGATAAATGATACGCTGCAACGAGTCTGCGCGCAAGCCGAGGATTTTTATGGCCATCTGGGCCAGAAGCAGGCCGTGAGTCTCTCTCTGGCGACTCTATGACAGCGCGCTGCTGCAGAGACATTAACCTAGGCATAGAATACAACTGCGTCAGACTGGCTGAAGCATGTCAGGAGCCGCTTTAAGCTCAGTCTGAACAAGCCTCATATGGAAAAGGCCATCACAGAGCTTCGAGACTTCAACAAGGATTTTGAATTGATCACCCAGCAGACGACCAGGATGCTTGAAGGGATACTCAATGACCAGAAGGAAGAGTTCCATCTCCATCGGAAATCGGCAAGGTATCTCAACACATTGCAGAGATACCACCGAGTCCGTTTCGCATCCAAAGCCTTGTATTCGACGCTGCAGGTGAGGTGGATGTGCCCATCTCACCCCTGTCACGTTTTCGATCTACGCATAATCGACAATGATGCTCATATTGGCAAAGGCAAAGGCCCCCTCAACCAGAACATTACCTGCGAGCTAGCCATCACACATGACGATGCATCGTTGGCGGCATACGGCCCTCTCAGGCTTGAGATCGAACAAGCATGCGAAGACGAAGACGATGATATGGGGGTTGAGGAGGACGGCCACCATGGCGGCAACATGGAGCAGTTGACCACCGTTCTGGAGACAAGTGCCGACACATTCACCTTGACTAGGCCAGCCAAGAGCGTCCGCATAGACAGATACGCCAAGGCCGGAATGAAAGGCACCACCGAAGTACCAGACCTCACGCAGCCATTTGCTGGTCTCCATCTCGATGAACCTGCAAGCACCGTGGCCGTTGCAGCTAGTCCGGCGAGGGACCTGGGACAGCTGGAGGACTTCTGCAAGACATTCCATGAGGTAACCATGGACTCTCTCGGCCGATCCTTGCTCGGGATCCTGAAAGACCCTCACGCTCAATGGTTCTACCTGTCGCCCCCCAAGACCCCACTCGGCACTTCTCAATCATTGTCTGACATGATAGCATGGATTGCCAAAGAACCTCTGCTCAGGTCACTACCACGTCCTCGGCTGGTCGAGCTGGCCGGCGACCTAGCAGAGGGGATCATGCAGTTCTACTCAACACCATGGCTAACCCAGGCAAGCCTGGGCCAGAATGTGAGGATCTTTCACCCTTCGGATCCCTCTCTGGACTCCATTCAGCTGAATGGCCCCTACTTTATGGCGAGGCTCGAAACCCGCGCCAAAGGGAAGATGAAGGCTACCAGTGTCTTAGACGAGTCGGTAAGCGAAGGAGGGTCCAGGGCGGACTCTGCCGGCGCACGAAATAAGCTGCTATTCAACTTTGGCATTCTTTTGCTCGAGATCGGTTTCGGGCAGCCCTGGCACGAGCTGAAACAGGCTGTCTCGAAGTCAACAACCACCGGACAACCGCTTACTGATTACCGGACTGCAGAGAAGCTAGCGCAGCTTCTCGTCAACCGGATGGGCCTTACGTATCCCAAGATCATCAAGAAGTGTCTCGGCTGTGACTTTGGGCTAGGCGAGACGGATTTGGACAACGAAGACTTGCAGCGGAGATTTCTGGAGGACGTGGTGTTGGGGCTTCAGCAACTCCGGGAGCATATGAGGGAGATGAATTTGTACCCGTTGGGCTAGTTAAAGACGGAAGGAGGAGAGCCAGAGGGAAGCAGCCTAGCCTATCGTCGACTTCTGGGCCAGCCAAAGAATACATGATCAAGAAAGTAAGGCTCCCAAGGGGATAGCAAATGGCATCAGCGAATTTGGTGGGGGAGGGTGGTCTAAGCGATTGGTTGGATGCACGACAGCAGTAGTGCTAGAGACCTGTTGAGGGTTAGTGGACGATAATTAACAGCCATAAGTGCCCCTCCAGGTGGTTGTGTCAGCACGCCGCTGAGAACCTTGACCAATCTGTGCAATGAATCGGGAGCTGGCGCTTCGGGTGCCTGGCTCTGTGCGTGCGGTTCGCTCGTCGCTGGTCTGTGAGCGTCCATAGCGCAGAACCTTGGCTGGCAGTGTATTTTCTCTTCTGTTGGTATGATGGCAGATGATGGGAGATCAATGGCGGGAGTTGGACAGCGCTGTGTAGTGACTGGGAGAGTCGAGTCGGTGAACGGAATTGCTATTGTCAATGGGCGGTGTGCGCTGCCGAGTTTGAACAATGGGTTCATCAGGCCGAACTCGGCATGTCAGGGTGATAAAGCTGTGGTGGCGTCGCTGTGGTGGTGTAGAGCCAGACGTATCCATCCTCTTCGTACCCGATAGCCTAGCGAAGGTAAGCTAGGTAGCTCACGGGAGAAGCCAAGGTCGCGCCTGTGCGGCGTATTGTCGAGAACAACAGGGAACGGAAGGAGCCAGGGTGTTTGACAGCATAGATGCTCGAGGCGGTAACAGATCTAGCGGTGGTAATCTGAGGGAATTATGTTTCCGGGGTATTTTTTAAGCGTCCGCAAAGTCGATCCCTTACTCAAAGCTGCGGAATTTTGGGTCCCTGTCAGGGGCGGAAAGTGGTTCCCGCCCGTGGAGGTTGATGGAGCTAATTGCTAACTAGGAACTCAGGTACGGATATAACATCCCGCATGCCAAGAGAGTAGAAGAATGGGGCGCTAGAATTCCTAAATGCAAGAGTGCCCGCCTCGGCATCCCAAGCCCCAGTAAGTAGATAAGATATTCTTCTTTCCCACCTAGAACCGTTGTCTTAAGACGTGTACGCGTCTCAACATCTATACGTCCTCGCTTAACATAACCTAGCAACGCAATGTCAGACCTCAGTAGCAAGAGCAAGACAAACATGTCTCTCAACGACATCAAAAACCAGATCGATCTGTCTGACCAACCCGTCGATGGCCTCTCGCCTCCCCCTAGGGAAATTGTGCAACCACTCAACTCCGAGGAACTCAAGCGCGAGCGGGCCGTTGTCTGGAAGCTCGATCTCTACATCGCGCCCCTCATCTTTTTATTGCAGTTTGTCTCAAACATCGACAAAGGGAATATTGGCTTTGCTGCTACTCAAGGCCTCACTACCGATCTTCACCTGAAAGGCAACCAGTTGAATGGGGCTGTTTCCGTGTTTTACGTCTTGTATATCTGCGTTGAGATCCCCGCCGCCCTGATGGTCAAGAGGCTCGGGTTCCATAGGTTTGTGCCATGCATTGTGGGGATCTGGGGCCTAGTGTGCATGTGTACAGGGTTTGTCCAGAGCTATGGCGGGCTGATGGCTACGAGGCTGATGCTAGGCGCGGCGGAGGGATGTTTATTTCCCAGCCTGAGTATCTTCCTGCTGAACTGGTATCGGAGGGAGGAAATGGGGGTGAGGATCTTCCTGCTGTTTGGTATGTTCTAATCATTCATTGTCGTTTCGACGTTTCTTTCGATGTTTTGCTACCCATATCTTCTAACCTATCCCTTTTGATGTTGCCGTTTCCCAGGATGAAGGGAAAGTTAACTCGTGATAATAGGTGCCCCAGCCGTGGCAGGGGCATTTGGAGGTCTTCTTGCATTCGCAATCCTCCACATGGACGGCGTTGCAGGGTATCCAGGGTGGCGATGGTATGTAAATTCATTTCTTCCGGCGTATCCCTCCCCCTTCCTCCCCACTTCTCACTTACAACGTACACATGCAGGCTATACATTATCGAAGGCCTCATCACCCTCGTAGTCGCATTCGCTTGCGTCTTTATTATCCCTAAATCCTTCGAGACAGCCTACTTCCTCAATGCCGATGACAAGCGCATCATGCGCCGCCGCGCCGAACTTGCAGAGGCATACAGTGGCGGCTCAGGCCACTACAAATGGGCGGACGTGAAGCTGGCGCTGGCTGACCCGAAGGTTTTTGTCAGTGGTGTGGCCCAGCATGCCACCATCACCATTCTCTATGGTTAGTCACCTCCGTGAGAATGGTAGCTAATTAGGATTGGTGATAAAGGTTTCGTTATAAATTAGCTGATTGATTATTTGATGGCAGGGTTCGGAACATTTCTGCCTGTGATTATCAAGAGCGGGCTGGGCTACTCTACTGTCCAGGCGCAGTATCTGACGATTCCGGGTTGGCTTCCCCTTCTCTCCTTTCCTCTGATAAGGTCTTCGTCTAATCTTGTCTACAGTCTTCGTTTGGGGTACGATTGTTTACTTCTCCGTCGCCCTACTCTCCGACAAACTCTCTACCCGTTTCATCCCCATGATGGCCCTCGCGCCCTTCATGGTGGCGGGATATGCCGTCCTTCTGGCCCCTGTTTCGTCAGGTGTCCACTACTTTGCGACATTTCTCGTCGCCACGGGCGTTTATATTTGCGCTGGGATCAACTTTTCGTGGCTCTCGTCCAACTCGGCCCCAGACGGCAAACGGGCTGCAAGCGTCGGCATACAGCAATCCATGGCGCAGGTTGCAGGCGTTGTTTCCGGGCAGATCTACCAGAGTACGCGCGCGCCGGGGTACACGTTGGGACATGCGTATAGCCTTGGGTGCGTCGGCGTGGCCATGGTCGGTTGGTGCGTCATGCGATGGATCCTGGGAAGGAGGGAAGAGAGGAAGAAGGAGGCGGGGAACAACCGGGAGGGATGGGCGGGAGTGTGGGATGACCGCGCGCCCGACTTCAAGTATTTGATGTAATTAAATCTAAATAGCCCGGGACAGACTTTAGTCAACTTTAGTCAGGGGTGGTGAGTGGTGTCGGGATGGACGAGTCGTGGAAATAGGAGGCGCTAATCACACGAGTTCTAAAATGCATAATTAGAGCAAGCCTGTCTCGAATGAAGTAGAGAGGGATTCGAAGGCTGAATGTCTTTTGACTCCGCTCTACGCGCCTCCCTCTGGGGTTGAAGCAGCAGCACAAGACACACGTCTCAGTCCCACCCACCAAACCGTAATGACTTTGTAAGCTTTTGATATAATTATGCCAAACAGCTAGGTATTGAAAGACAGAAATAATAAAATGTCGCCTGAATCACTCAGCAAGAGTCTTGTCTTCGTCGTGACATGTTGAAATGAAGGAGGGGGGTTCAGCTCAAGTCTGTCTAGAACAGACCATCACAAATATTAACGTCTCATCTGACACTACCCTACAGCTCCCTCCATCCGAATCTCCTTGCATCCTGCCCATCCAATTCCGTCAGATATGTCAACACTCTCTTCTGGATGCCTTCCGCATCAAGTCCAAATCGGGCGTAGTTGCTTTCGTTGCTGGCCGAGTATCCATAGCTCTTCATGCCGCAGCTAGCTGTAGCATACCGAGCCCAAATCGTTGGCACGTACTCCTCGACGCTGACCACGGGCCTCCCATCGCGCGGAAAAACTTGGTCTTTGTATGTTTGGGGCTGCAGCTGGAACAAGTCGAGCGAGGGCGCCGAGACCAGGCGTACCTTCAAGCCGTCGTGCTGGGAAAGGAGTGAGGCTGCGGCGACGGCGTGGTGCAGGTTCGAGCCGCAGCTTGCGAGCGTGAGAACGGCCTCGGGGTCGTCCTGGATGACGTAGGCGCCGAACTCGACTTTGAGGCGAGAGGTGTTGGGAACGAGGCCGACAGGGTCACGCGCGACGGAGAGCATGGTGGGGGTATGTCTGGCCGAAATGGCGTGGGACCACGCGCCTAGGAGCTCCTCGCCGTCGCAAGGCCGGATGTAGTGCAGGTTGGGCATGGCCCGATAGAGCGAGTCGAGCTCGACGGGCTGGTGGGTTGGGCCATTCTGGCCTTCCGCAAAGGAGTCGTGCGTCGCGATATGGATGGCTTGGAGCCCGCTGAGGGCACCCATGCGGATTCCAGGGGCAGCCTGCAGCCGGCGTTATTAGCCCGCCAACACAAAAAAAAACAAAAAAAAACAGGATGGAACAAGATGAGGGAAAAGGGAGTACGAGTACTGCAACCTACGTAGATATAAAACATGAAAAATGTGGCCGTGATGGGCAGGAATGTGCCTGGGTTGTAGGCTGCGAGGCCGTTGGAGATGGAGGCCATTGCATGCTCCCGGATGCCGTAGCGTATGTATCGGCCAGAGTAGTCCTTTGGATTTGGTCATCCATTGATTGATTAGCTGCTGCGATTATGGTATATAACTACGGCTGATGGAAGCAATGGATGGGAATGATGACAAACGCAGACACACCTGGCTTACATTTGGCCCAAAAACATCCGTCTCGGCGTAGCGCAGGTTATTGGAGTTGACCAGGTCAGCACCACCACCGCAGAGCGAGGTGTTCTCCTTCCACAGCTGCTCGAGGATGATTCCGTTTATCTTCCGTGTTGGCATTCCCTTGAACTGTGCGATATCGGCCATTTCGAGCACCTTTGTCGACTTTCCGAACTCGCCACGGCGGCAAGACGAAAATGATGCGGCTTTGTTGGGATGAGCCTGGGCGTACCGGCCCACCAACTCGTTCCACTCTTGCTCGATCTGCATGCCGTGCAGTTTACGTTCACGGAAGAAGCGCAAGGCCCTGTCCGGCACGACGTGGGTCGCTGCGGGCGGTAGACCTGCCAGGACCTTGGACCTCGCGATGCTCTCCTTGTCGAAGGCGCCGTGGTGGGCCCGGGCCGTGCCGGCCATGGCGGTGTCAACGCCGATGACGGTGCGGATGTTGATGAGAACAGGCTTGGCTTGTGTCTGCTGACTGTGGCGCGCGAGCTGCAGCGCTCGCACGATGGCTGACACGTCGTAGCGCCCGTCGGTCACGTCCAGGACTTCCCAACCGCAGGCGCGCATCTTGGCGTTGGTGTCCTCCGTGTTGATCCAGTCAAGGGGACCGTCACAGGTAACCTGGTTGTTGTCGTAGAGCAGCACCAGGTTGTCGAGGCGAAAGTGTCCCGCCAGAGCGATTGCTGAAAAGGAGGGTCAGATCCACGCTGCTGCTGCGCAGGGGTTGGGGAGTAGGGGAGTCGTTCAAATCACCTTCAAGAGCGACACCCTCCATCAAACACCCGTCTCCCGTCATGCAGTAGACCCGCGACTTTACCACCTCGTGGCCGGGCTCATTGAACCTCGCGGCGAGGTTCTTGGACGCCATGGCCAACCCTACGGCGTTGGCGATGCCTTGGCCAAGGGGGCCAGTCGTGACCTCTACCCCGGGACACTCAATCTCGGGATGGGCATGAGAAAGCGTCTTGAAGCCGTTTAACTTTGGGTTTCCGTAACCTTTGAGCTCGTCCATGGTCCAGCCATCGTAGCCAACGAGGTGGTTCATCGTGTAGAGAAACATGCTCGCATGCCCTTTGCATCATTGCTCGTCAGCAATTATTAATTGCCAAACATCAACCAGGTGTTTGGTCAGTCATCAGACCTCTGTCACCTGCGGGAGGACTGGATAGATACGAACCATTCGAGAGGACAAATCGATCTCGATCAAACCAGTCCGGATTGCTTGGGCAGTATCGCATCGTGTACTTCCACAGCGCAACGCCAATCGCCGCCATGCCAACGGCTGATCCGCCGTGGCCGCCCCCGTTCTGCGCCGTCAAGTCAAGCGTCAGGTTACGGACCGCGAGCACTGCGTGGTCGTCGTCGGTCTTGGGCTCCCAGCGGCCTTGATGGTTATCGTTCGCCGCGCCCAAGACAGCGACTGTGACGGTTTCAGACGGCTTCTTGGAAGGGGACGTGTCATTTGCTGCTGAGGCGACGTTTTCTACGAGGATAGGAGCCATGACCAAGCAACCGGGCGATTGCCACCTGGATTGGGTTAGATAGAGGGGATCGACTTGGGATAATTATGACTACGGATCTGATTGCATTTCCTCGAGACGGATTAGGCCTCTTAAAGCATGGACATGTACATTCTCAGACGCAATATCGGAAGCCCTTAGCGCGTCCAACGCGCAACTCCATACGAGGGAAACAAACCGAAGCCGGAGGTTCGTTAGGAGCGAGTGACAAGCGACACGCGGGATCAGGATCCCGCCTGACCCACTCGGCACATTGATGTGCCGCGGTGGGGTCTCGTAGGTAGCCGGATTCCATCTGGCCGGTCGCGGCGATCCGGATCCATAATGATACGTACCTGATTAACTTAGCGACTCCGCTACGTATAGTTGCTGTGGGCGTGGCGGCACGAGGGAACCTCTGTCTCCAAACTCAACCCGGCCCCTCCACCTCGGTAATTATTATCCCCGGTTTCTGCATCTTGTCCATCGCTGTTACCTATTCACGATTTCTGCCACCAGATCGATTAAATCTGCTCTCATTGCTGGTCTGCGAAGCAACTAGTTCAAAGTTGAAAATGTCGTCTGAGCTCTTCAGCCTGGCGGGCAAAACGGCCATGGTGACGGGAGGCACTCGAGGCATCGGCCTAGCAATGGCCGTAGGTCTCGCCGAGGCAGGCGCCGATATCATCCTCATCCAGGCAAGTCCCCCGGGTATTATTACATCTTTTTTCAGCTCAGCCATGGTTTCTGACATGCTACACAGCGGTCCGCCTCCCCCACCGCCACCAAAGAGGCTATCGAAGCCCTGGGCCGCGAATGCCACACCTTTACCTGCGACATGACCGACCGTTCCGCCCTCGCAGCCCTGATCCCTGCCGTCACCGCATCCCACCGCGTTGACATTCTCTTGAATGTCGCTGGAATCCTCCAGCGCATCCCCACCGTCGATTGTCCTATCGAAGTATACGATGAAATCATCCAAACCAACCTCACCGCCACGTTTCAGCTGTGCCAGGCTATCGGCCGCTACTGGATTGCCAACAAGATGAGAGGCAAAATTATCAATACGGCCAGTCTCACGACGTTTCTTGGGAGTGTCAACCTGGCTGCGTACGCGATGAGCAAGGGAGGCGTAGGGCAGTTGACCAAGGCGCTGAGCAATGAGTGGGCGGCAAACGGGATTAATGTGAACGCCATTGCTCCTGGGTGAGTTTGGTCTTTTTGATTTGGTTTTGTATTTTCCCCTAATTAGGTACTTCGCCCTCGTCTTCTTGATTTCTGGCTGATGAAGAACTGGCTGGCAGATACGTCGCAACTGACATGAACATCGACACACGAATCACTGGTGATCCAGCCTATCTCAGGTCATTAAACGAGAGGATTCCTGCTGGCCGTTGGGGGGACCCACAGGATTTCAAGGGACCGGCCGTCTTCCTATGTAGCAAGGCCAGCGACTACGTCCATGGCGAGATCTTACTGGTGAGTCATCGACCCCTTTGCGTCTTTCACGAGGCCGAAAATTGTATAGTAGAATTACTGACTGTCGTGTGTAATTACAGGTAGACGGAGGGTTCATGGGGAGGTGATAGAGGGTCGGGCAATTATAAGCATAGGCATATTGAGAAACATCCGTAAATAATTATTATGCCCGAGTAAACATTCAAAATCGCCCCCCCCCCCCGGTGCCAAGGAAAAGAAAAGGTGAACTAGACACAATATTTGGCACATTCTACGGAATAATTAAGTCCTAATAAGATACGGCCTTAAAGCATCTTGCATCTTTCAAGCCCACACACCCGGTAATTTTGTAAGAATTTTGCGATGATCTAGCCTCATAGAATGCGACAACACCTGCGCTACGAGCAAATCAAATTTTCCTCTATGGGGGGCATTTGAACTCAACGGTAATTATTTCGGGGCAAAGGGGCGATAAAGGAGCGGGGGAAACCCGTAACCAGTTATCTGGGATCGGAAATGAGATCCCGCCCTTCCCTTTTGCAACTGGGGGTGCCCATGTACGGGTATAATTTGTGGACAGGCAAGATTTAAAAGGCAGGATTTTTAAAAGGCAGGATTTCTCAGGGTGGAACGGAAATGCAATCACCGCACGCTTTTTCAATACCAAGGCGGCCAAGAAACTATTCCCCCTGTCTTAGGGAGGCAGGCACGCTGTGTAAGGTGAACGGTAAACGAACAAAAGTAAGGAAACACGAAGGAACAGAATGGGTTCTCCGACGAAGGGCGTTTTGTCCGGCGGACACGCTGCCAATGCCTTGGCTACGGTATGAATGACCTCACCTCCGTGCCCTCCTTCCGCTTCTTGGAAGATAGATGGACTGACAGCAACCCCTCCGCGCAGCTGTCCGACAAGAGCCTTTTCATTAGCGATGCCTTCTACGAGGACAAATGGCACAGGACGGCCGATACCTTTGAAGTCTTCGGTATGAGCTCCCCCAACCACTGTGCTTCCAGAACAGAATAGATTGAGAGATATAGCTAGACCCCGTATCGGGTACGGCTTTCAGCAATGTCGCCAACCTGGATAAAGCGGCGATCCAGGCGGCGATTCGAAGCGCGAAGAAGGCGCAGCAAGAATATTACTGGTCGACGACGGCCGCCGAGAGAGGCGCGTACTTGCGTAAGTGGTTTGATCTGTGCATAGCGAACAAGAAGGATTGTAAGTCTCATCCCCCCATCTCTTCCAAGCAAAGACGGATGATCTCTCTCTCTGACATTGGAGCTTGGCAGTGGCGACGATCCTCTGTCTCGAAAACGGAAAGACACTGGCCGAGGCCGAGGGCGAGATCTCTTATGCAGCATCCTTTATCAGCTGGTTCAGCGAGGAAGCTACGCGCTCGTACGGCGACGTCATCTCCTCCAGCACGCCGCACACAACCGTCATGACGCTCAGGCAGCCCGTGGGTGTCTGCGGCATCATCACTCCCTGGAACTTCCCCGCGGCCATGATCACCCGCAAAGTCGCACCGGCCTTGGCTGCCGGCTGTGCCGTCGTAATCAAGCCCCCCTCTGAAACCCCCCACACCGCTCTAGCCTTGGCCAGGCTGGCAGTCGACGCAGGCATCCCAGCCGGGTGCGTGCAAGTCTGCCCGACCAAGGACCGCGAGGCTGCCACCGAGCTCGCGACCAGCGAGCTGGTCGACAAGATCAGCTTCACGGGCAGCACGGGGGTGGGCAAACTGCTCGCCAAGCTCGCGGCTGGGACGCTCAAGAGGGTCAGCCTGGAACTGGGCGGCAACGCACCGTTCATCGTCTTCGAGGACGCCGACCTCGATCTCGCCGTCGAAGGAGTCATGGCCTGCAAGTTCCGCTGCTCGGGCCAGACGTGCGTCTGCGCCAACCGCCTGCTGGTCCACAGATCCGTGGCCGAGGCCTTCGCGGCCAAGCTCGTCACCCGCGTCAACACCCTGAAGATGGGCTCAGGATTCAACCCGGGCACGACCCAGGGACCCCTCGTCAACCGCGCCGCCGTGAACAAGGTCGCCCAGCACGTCCGGGATGCGCTCTCGAAGGGTGCCCAGCTCGCGGCGGGTGGATCCCAGCCCGCCGCAGACTCCCACCCGGGATTCTTCTACGCGCCCACGGTCCTCACGCGCGTCACGACGGACATGCAAGTCGCCAACGAAGAAACGTTTGGCCCGTTGGCCCCGATCTTCGAGTTTGAGAGCGAGGGGGAGGCGGTTGAGCTGGCGAACGAGACTGAGTTCGGGCTTGCAGGCTACTTCTTCAGTAAGAATGTCGGACGGATCATGCGGGTTGCGGCCCGCTTGCAGTGCGGAATGGTGGGAGTGAACACGGGCAAGATCAGCGCTGTAGAGACGCCCTTCGGGGGCATCAAAGAAAGCGGATATGGACGCGAGGGTAGCAAGCATGGTATGGCGGAGTACGAGGTCATCAAGTCGGTGACGATTGGCAACCTGGATCGTTAGTTAGAATCGGCATCGAGGTATTAATTACTACCTAGTCAGCACGTGTGTGCTGTTGGAAAGGCTGTTGTAAACGCGTGATACGCGCGACGATCAAAAGGCTGGTGGTGATTCCGAAAGCCTTCTTCCCCTGTCCTCTACCTCCACGTAATTATTATTAGACTGTCACAAACCCAACACAGTCCAACATATCGCCTTACATCATTCCAATACACCGAAAGACAAGTTGAGAAATTCAAACCGATACGTCATGTCCCTGCCGGCGCGACATTGTCCTCTTCTTGGATCCCACAGCGGGCCTCGAGTTGGCCGAGTTGCGCCTCTTGGACCCCGTCGATGCCAGCAGCTCTGCCTGCCACTTGCGTTTGATTGCCAGTAGCACCTCGAGCGTACGCGACGCGTTTTGGAACACATGCCCGAGATCTGCCAACGCCTTGCAGCATGTGTCGAGGTGCGTCGCCACGCTGCCCCCCCCTCCGCCTCCTATGCCGCTGCCGAGCGGCGGGACTTGATGCGATGGGGTGCTTGCGACAGACGCGAACACCAAAATGATGGCGGCAGAGAAGATGATGCTGACGAGTTCGACGTTGGTGTAGCGGAGCGTGTAGGTCGTGCGGTAGAGCCGTAGAAGAGTGGATATGGCGACGGCGCTGTCGATACATATTTTCCGCGCGTGGAGGTAGCCACGGTTGAGAGCAGGCCCGACGGAACGCGCGCCTTGTCGCGAGATGAACGGCCGATGGATGTATATCATCGACTGGTGGTATTTCATGCTGGAAACAAACGCAATGTAAGTATGAGGTCCAGAAAGAAAGGAAGGGAGGGTTCGGAAATGGAAGCGGGGAAGGGGGGGGGGGGGTGGGTGGGAGTCAGTACTGCAGCACGAGGACGTGTGGAAGACAAATCGCGCCGTCGTGAAGGTCGACCTGCAACTCTGGAGGGAGGTTGCTCTTCCAGGCTTCGAGCTGCGAGACGGTGCTATGGACAACCGACTCTAGGGACGTGTCGTCGACGTTGTGGCGGTCGTACCTAGACCATGGTCAGCAAAAAATAAAATATAAAATATAAAAAAAGGGGCGGGGTGGGGGGGGGGGGAAGAGGAAAGTGTCGCAGGCTCAAGGGGAGACTAGAAGGAGGATAATAGTGTCAGTCTTACAGCACATGGCAGAACGAGCCCATAACCTCGCAGAGAAGAACCCACTGCCGGGCGACTAGATCGATGGGGTCTGCAAGCGCTTGGACAGTAACGGCCTTGGATAGGCCGTATGGAACCCATTCGCCATGCTTAGACGCGTACATGCGCTCGGCGGGCTTTTGCACCGAGACTTCGTCTGTGTTGATGTGGAAGGGCGGTCGTCCTAGATAGAACCCCCAGAGACTGTGCTGCCTGCGTTAGCCGTCTGTGGCTGCCATGGGAGGAATGCACCGGAGGGAAGACGGGAAGAAGAAAACAAAACATGGAAAATCTAGGAAAACGAAAACCACAGGGGAGAAACGCTTACTGGTCCACTATGAAGCTCCCCCAGAACGCGACCTTGCGCACCTCTGCCTCGGCGGCGCTCACCCGTCCGCTGTTCACGTACGGCGTCATGTCGATGTGTAGGCCTAGATCAAACGAAAGCCGTATCGACATGCCGCTGTACAACCATCCGCGGGCGTCTCTCGTCTGGGCCGCTTCAAAGCTGCTGAGAATGACCAACGCCTGCACCGTCGCCACGTGTGGGCTGTCCAGCTCGATCTCCAGCCAGATTTTGGCTCGCTTCACGAAGAAGTCAGACAGCGGTGTGGGCAAGTCCGCGTGCCGGCGCGCGTCATATAGCGCCCCGAATGCACATCTGGTCACCAAATGTCAGTTTGTCTCTCCATTGCGTATGGGGATCCCGCGCCAAGAGCTGCTTGCATGGTATTCGTCAGTGTCTCGGAATAGAACGTGCTGTTCTCACTGGATAGAAACCGCGCCTGCTCCCGCTCGTACATGTCCTTGTCGACGACATGGAAGCTCGGGTCCTGCCAGGCAAAATACAGGCTGCTCAGATGCTGAACCAAGGCCGGATTGACATGCTGGCCCACTCCTGCAGCCTCCATCATTGCCTGCCCGCGCTTCCGCACGTTGCCCGCCTCCAGGTCGTGCCGATGGTCCAGCGGCGACGTGTCGTCTAGGAGCGTCAGGTTTGACGTCGCGCCGTAGTAGCGCAACTCGCCATCCTCGGACAGGTGCAGCGAGCCCACCCGCTCCGAGACTTGGTTCACCACATCCTCCTCTTCCTCGTCGCCCGACTCTTCGCTGGACAGGTTGCCCTCGCCGCGCGGAAGACGCCAGTTTTGGTCCGACGGTGGCGCTAGCGGCATGCCAAAGTCGAGATTCGGATGCACAGGGAACAGCTGCTGCCGGAGCTGGTCCCAGCCGCAGGCGGTCGTCTCAAGCGGGAGAATGCCGAGTTCCGGGAAATCGGGCAAGTCCATGTTGTCCATGCTGAAGCCCGTCATCCCGTCTAGGTCGACCCCATCCGGAGCCATCGACGGCACACCGTCACCGCCACCCTGCATGTCGTAGGTGTTGTCCGGGCTACTTTCCGAACCCGGCGAAGGTCCAGTAGTATTCTCACCCAGCGGATTGGACGTGTGGGGGGGGCGATGGTGCCGCTTGTGGGACGACGCGATCGGCTACATGTGTGGTGCATGTCGCGTCCCTCTCTAGAGCCATCTCGGCGGGCCTCGGCCCAAGACCACACTGGCCCTCATCGGCCCGGTCATCGTTCGACGACTCTCTGTCGGTCGGTGTAGATAACATTTCCATCATCCTTCCGATCATCATTGCATCGTCGGCGCGCTCGCTAATGGGTACCTCTAGCCCGTGGGCCTCGATAAAATCCTCCAGCTGGCCAGCTCGGCGCGAAAAGACCTCAATGACCTTTCGAACCGACAGTCTAATTAATATTAGAGAGTTATTAGACCGGGTCAATTTTCAAGAGTTGATGTTGGGAGGCGAGTGGATGGGGGGGGAAGGGGGGGGGAAGGGGGGGAGACCGGCACAACGTGCCTTCGTTTGTCTTCACCCTGCTGATACTGACATTCCTTCGCCTTGGTCTTGCAGTTTCCGCACCGGGGATGCCTTCCATCACACTATGACACACAGTCAGCTATCTATGCGCTCTCTCCTTCTCCCACGGAGCACCTAAACCAGTGAATTTTACTCTGATCTTGCTCTCACGGCAAGCGGTGCACGCCGTCGTGATGTGTTTTCGGGGCATCTGCTACTGGTCGGCCAGCGGTGGAAGGTTGCTTCAATTTTGGGTGGTCTTTCTCTCCGAGGACGCGGCTGTCGACAAAAAAGACGTAAATCATAGGACCGGTGACTGTTGACAGTAGCAGGAAGTGAAAAGTGACGAGTGGTAAGCTGACTTGATCTCGCAGGTAGTGTGGGGAAAAGTGTGGTAGATGTTCCACAGAAAAAGGGGAAGAAAAGGAATACCGGCAGTGACCGGGCATGGCATGCAATTACCCCAACCTCCATGCACCTCATACTACACCCCGGAAATAGTACTGTACACTTTATACACAATTGGTGCTGATTACAAATGACACGCCACCATCACTATCGTCATCGCCCACCCGGCCGCACGGCACTCCTCTCGACCTCGCCCCTCCTACACTCCCTGAACACCCTTCCGGACGTGAGAGTCAGCTTGCTAGTATATTCCGATGGGGATGAGGAGAAAGCGGGAAACCATGTCAGCCACAACGTATGTTATTGGGTCTCTTGCATACACTAGCGCCCAGATCCACTACAAAATTGATCCCTTATGCCTAGTTCGGAGTAGTCATGCAGATGGTCGTCTTGTTCTCCGCCACGGTAGTCGAAAGTAAAAAAAACAAGGCAGGCAAATTGTCAATAAGGGTACTTTAACATGTTGTAAGCGCTCCATGGCAATCTCAGGGATCTATTCTATCATTGGGCCCTCCAGGCATGCAAGTGGAAACTAGGCACGCACACGGTAAACGGAAGAATCAATTGTTCACCACCACCACCACCTTGATAACCACCTCCCCGTCGTCGTCGGTCGTCCGCGCAGCGGTGACAAACGCCTTGGGGGCCGTCTCGAGCCCGTGGAAGCGGTGTGTCAGCAGCTTCTGCAAGTCGGGGACGTTGGTGCCCTCCTTGCCTGCGGCCTGCATAATCTCGAGCGCACGGGGGTACGTGTTTGCATAGCGCCAAACGCCTACAAGGTCGACCTCATGCTGGACCACGACGGACATAGGGAGGGTTTCGATAGGCACGCCAAGGCCGATGAGAAGGACTTTGCCGCCTGGTCGCGTTGCCTTGACCGAGGGTTGAATTTATTGATTAGCAGACAATATCGGAGACCACACGAGCTGGAGGACATACGTAAATCGATGTCTGCACGCAGCTCTCCACGCCCGTACACTCAAAGGTTGCGTGGAACTTGCCACCTTTGCTTGTAGCCGTTGTTTTTGCTTCCGTGGCTCGTACCGCGTTCTCTCGTGCTGACGCCAGCCCATCTTCCAGCGTCGGCACGCTGTTCCTCTTTGGGGGCGCCACCACGCTGGTGGCGTCTGCGAAGCCATTCTCCAGGGCAAAGCGGAGTCGGTTGGCCGCAATATCCGTCATGGTCACGTCGGCGCACCCTGCCGCCTTTGCGACTGCCGCGCACATCAGTCCCACCGCACCGGCACCCACCACCAGCACGCTCGCGCCCGGCCTCAGGCCCGCTTTCCGGACGGCATGCACCGCAACGGACAGCGGCTCGAGCAGCGCGCCGGCATCCCACGACATGTCCACCGGCAGCGGGTGGCACCACCGGGCCGGGTGGTTCACCCGCTCGCGCAGCGTGCCCTGGAAGTGCGGGAAGCGGGCGGCGCTGCTGCGGAACCGCATCTGCCCGCAGAGGTTGTACCGCCCGGTGTCGCACTCATCGCAGCTCGGCAGCTCGCACGGCACGCCGACTTCGAGGGCCACACGGTCGCCGATGTGGAGCGCCGTGACGTCGCGGCCGAGGGCGACGACCTCGCCGGCGGATTCGTGGCCCTGGGATAAGGGTTCGCGGATCTTGATGTCGCCGTTGGCGTAGTGCGTGTAGTAGTGCACGTCCGAGCCGCAGAGGGTAGTACTTCGGATTGCGACCTGAACTTCGTCCGCTGCCGGGGGCGGAATTGGGCGGGAGATCTGTCACAGGGAGTCAAAGCCAGTGTCAGTGGATCATGCTGCATGGCAGAGGGGGGAAGGGGAAAGAAACCGAGTACCAAACGGAGATCCTTAGGCCCGTAGAGCACCTGGGCTTTGTTTTCGTACAGCATGGGGGCTGACATGGCGATAGTTAGTAGGCGAGTGCTCTCTTACTGGTGCGCTTCAACGGCTTTGGCTAATTATAGAAAGAGGGAGCCCTTCCGAGGTGAATTGTAACGATGTGTCAACACAAGGATCGACTGAGAAGTAGGTATGCAATGTAAAGCAGATTATAAAACGGAAGATGACACTTGAAGACTATGAAAAGGAAGACGATGGCTTTTGCCGGGATTCCGTGTCGTTGAGCTGTGGTGGGGCGCGATCGTTAGGTCCGGAATCCGTCCGGGATTCAGGTCCCGAACTGAGAAACAATCCCAAGCCGGTGAAGTCCCACCACCTAGGTACCGTGTGATACGCCCCACCTTATTCGGCCCTCGCGAGCTCAATCACAAGTGCAGTAATTATAGATTGAGCAAATATTGATATTCCCGATGTCATTCAGTCCTTCGACGGACATGTCGCTATCTTTTGAATGCGCGATGCCGCTCTGCTCTGGTTGCTTTGCGCGTGGGGTTGAGAGTTGAAGTACACGGCTGCAAACTCACACCTAGGGTAGAATATACGACAGCCCAATGCAGCAGAGCTGTCGGTCTCAAACGTCTACGTCTGGTAAACAAAGTCCGGAGCGCGGTCATCCCACTCCTCAGGGGGCACCACCTCGCCGGCGGCTGCCCGCCTCTCCTTGGCCGCGTTCCTACTCTTGTAGATCCGCGTAACGACGCAGAAGAGGATCAGCCCAACCATGACAACACTGAACGTCCAGGCATTCCCGAGCGTATACCTAGGCGCGTCTTTGGCCGGGTAGATTTGTCCCACAATGACGCCTAAGATTCGATTCCCACAAGTCAGCCTTTCTTGCCATTCTCGTGATAATTAATAGATGAAGTGCCCATTGCATGAACGAGCAAGAGGGAAGAGCTTGGAAGGGCCGAGGAGAATAGAATTACCAGCCAAATCTGTGAGGGTCAAGACGATGCCCACAGTGGCGCCTCTCTTTCCGTCAGGAGCCGCGTTGGACGATGCCCAGGCCAGATTGTTCCCCGAAATGATGTAAACACCGCCGGTGATGAGGAACGTGGCAAAGTACTGGGCGCCGGCAGGGATCGGGCAAAGCTGGAGCAGGTACCCCAGCGCGCAGATGGGAGTAAAGATTGCCATAAACAGAAATCGTTTCCGGTACTTGTCCGAGAGCCACGCAATGAACATGTAGATGATTGCCCCCCAAAGCTGCACGGGAATCGTGAGGTATTGCGCCTGAAGCGTGTTGAAACCGAGGCCGTCTTCGATAATGATTGGGAGGAATTGGCTGAATGCTGCACCAAGGTCATCAAACTGTTCGTTAGTCCTGATAATTGGTACATAACCGACGTCGTGTCGGTTATTACAAGCCCTAAGAGGGGGGGGGGGTTAAAAAATCGTACCGTAGAGAGGCGTGATCACACAGAACTGGATCCAGCCGTGACACCAAGTTTTGGGATCCTTGACTGCGATCCAGATGTCGCGCATCTTGAAGTGCCCGCTGCCGCCGCTGTACTGGTGCGTCAGCTCGGCGCGGTAGCGCATGATCTCCTTATCTTCGTTGTTGAAGAAGTACGCGTTTTCGAACGACGACGGCACCAGGTAGTAGCACGCCAGCCCGAACACGATGGTGATAATGCCTTCAATGATGTAGATCCTGTATGGTTTGTTAAGGAGGCAGTCAAATAGAAGTGGGCAAGAATAGAGGCGTACCAGCGCCAGCCGGCAATGTTCGCCACACCGTCCATGTTGTAGATGGCATACGCCAGGAGCCCTCCAAAGGCACCAGCGATGGCCGTCGAAGCTGCAATGAAAACATGAATGAGTATTAAGGGCTTCGAACAAGCAGTCCGGTACATAAAGTCCGAGACTTACCGAAAAGGAAGGCCATGCGGACGGCCATCTCCTCGCGCTTGTACCAGTTTGCGACAAACAGGGCAACACAAGGAAACATGCATCCCTCAAACAGGCCCAGGAGCAGTCGTGTGGCTGCCAGCGCGCCGTAAGATTGGACGAAGCCGCCGCCCAACGTAATGGCGCCGAAGCAGATAGTCAGGGTGGGCAAGACACGCTCGAACTTCCACCGCTTTGCGACCATCGAAATCGGAAGCTGCGTGATAATATGTCAATTGTGGCCAAGAATCAAGAAACGGGACTCGCTACGGGACGGCTGTTACTTCTGATAGGAGATATAGGACATAGAACACAGACACGGCAGCCTGTGCACAAAGTTAGCAGATGGCACCAACGCTCCCCCCCCCCCCCCCGCCCCTAGAGAGAAGAGTCGGACGAGCTTACATTCAAGTCGGACCCAACAAGGTTGAGGTCCTTGCCCATTCCCTGCGTTGCAGCAAAGCCGATATTCGATCGGCATATGTACGACTAACACGCCACGTCAACAATGTCATGCTTGATCAAGAGGAAAGGGGAAACCGTTTGGACTGACGATGAAGTTGAAGGCTCCCATGAGCGGGGCAATGAAGATATCGAGCTTCCGAACGACCTTGCGCTCCCGCTCATGGAACTCCGCCGAATCAGTATAGAGCTGCGGCGTGCTTTCGAGATCCCCGAGATCCTTCGCCGGGACGTCATCATCCTGGGGGGTTTTCTCGGCATGCGTCATCTTGCCGGCTCGGGTTTACTCCTCCTCAATATGGCAGCGTCTTTGAACTCGTGAAAAGCGAATCACAGGCCAGTTCTAGATTGAGAAGGAGATGGGGAAATATGGGAGGAGAGGGGAGAGTTGCGAACAGAGGAGAGAGGGAGAGTGTGTATGTACTGTATATTATAGAACGAAATCAGAAGAGAGAAAAACCAGACCGTGCCCCAGTCACCTACCCCAAGTTTAAATGTGGCAATGCCCAATGGAGATCCTTTTCGCTTCGCCCTCTAAGTAATTGTCGACGAAAATCAAGACTCGGCCACGTTCATCCCCGCGCCTCGATATTCAGCGTCGGAAAATGGATTGCGACCAACCAGATGTGAATCAAAGCAAGTAGGCCATCGGTTCACGAATGACTGCGTGCCTTCGATCCCAAGGGCCTGGATAATCAACGGCAAGACTGGGTATCATAACCCTCTCAGCAAATGACTTTTCCCAAAGCAGGCAATAATTAATTAGTAAACCATTTTGCGCCAATTCTGATGAATGGTGATGGATTTTCTAAACAGCATAATCACCAGCTTGCTACATGGCCTCATTTTCTCCATAACCAGTCGGTTAATACTGGAGTAATATTCAGCGAGTATAATTCCGAGTTTATTCCCACTTCTTGTACAGCTGCCAGGTTCTCCTTTCCTCCTTATCCTTGTTCTGCCTCTCCATCACACTATTCCTCCACTCCGTGCTAATCGCCCGCTTGAACTCCGAGTGCTCGAAGATTTGAGCAGTGTCCCACTCGTGAATGGCAATGAACTGTGGGATTTTGTCCTCGTTTGCGTTGACTCGACTGCCTGCCGCACCCGCTGCATCGACCAACTCTAGTCGCGTGCTCCGCAACCACCCAGGCACGCTCGATAGGAGCGGTATGTGCTCTTCAGCGTACCACCGATCGAGCTCGGTAGTACCTAAACGAGCCGACGGCTCAATCCCCACGTACTGGAAGATGTGTCCCTCCCTTGCGCGGGCAGTGTAGTCCAGGGCTGTCTTGCGGGAGATGAAGCGGTACACGCGCCGGTCCAAAATCGCGAGATCCCCCAACATCTTCTTCTCCCACTCGGGCTGATTTGCCCACTGCGCTTTGTATTGCTTGGATTGCAGCACATCGGGAGATGTCAGCTCGTAGGTGGCGAGCCATTCGGGCAGTCTGCCGTCGGTCGCTTGGTATCGTGTCGCGTCGAGGACACCTGGACACGACCGCCGCAGCGGCCCGTGGTCGGTGTCGTACCAGGTGTTAAATCTTTCTTCGTCGACCGGGGAGCCTTTGGCGCTGGAGAGGACGAAGAGCATCCCCCCTGGATAGGCTTCTTGCCGGTAGGCAGGCTGGGGCAGGTTGGACTTCGCCGCAACATAGCCGTGGTCGGACATGGTGATGGTGATGGTGATGGTGATGGTGATATATGAGTCTGGATTGTGTTATATGTATCTGGCTTGGTGGACTAGGAAGAGGATACCTAGATATGTGCGTCTCGATGTTGATAAAGGAGGAGGAGGAATGTCGTCTTTGCGTCCTCATGCCGCGCTCAAGGGTTGGAGATTTTGGGTATTGATATTAATAAATTATTTACACGGAAGCCAATTAATTACCAGCTCATTATTAATCGCCCTGCAATAGAGATTGGGTTACCCTTTGTTGCCGAGACGTCACTGGAACCTGAATTCCGACCCTCGCTCCCTGACTAATTGTCAGAGATGAATTGACTCAATGTGCCAGATACCCCCCATCGATTGTCAAGCAAGTCCCATGCACGAAGTTGCTCCTGCTCCCCAGCAGCCATACGATGCTCTCGGCCACCTCCTCTGGCAAGCCGAAGCGCTTCACCGGCGTCCAGTTATTGACCTTTTCCAGCGCGTTCCGCTGCATCTCGCCAGGAACCGATGTCAATGGTGTTTTGATGTATCCAGGAACTACCGCATTCGATTTCACTTCAGGATAGTCGAGTGCGGCGGTTTGCGTGATGCCGACCACTCCGTGCTTCGCTGCCGTGTAGGCGCCTGAGTGACGCAGACCGACGAGACCGGAGAGGGAGGCGATGTTGACGATGGAGCCGCGCTGCAGCTGAGCATATGTATTACTGAACACACGATATTGTTAGCACATCATCTTCCTTACTCGCATGGACATGGATGTTGGGACATGCTCGGCCTGCAGCGGCTCCTGCTGCATCATCTGCTTGATCTCTGCCTTGACGCATGCAAACACGCCTGTGAGATTCACCGCAATCATGCGCTCCCACTCTTCCCGCTCCGTCTCGGCCAGTCCGTGCTTCACTGCCCCAATTCCCGCACAGTTTACCGCATAATCCACCCGCCCAAACGTCTCCACCGCCACCGTCACCATCGCTTCCACCGACCCGTCGTTCACAACATCCACGGTACATGTTATGGCCTTGAAAGACGGGTTCGTCGCGACCTGTCGCGCTTCTTTGGCCACGGACGAGGCCGACTTGCCGGATATGTCGGCGATACAAACCCCCCCACACCCTTCCCGCGCCAGAAGCAGGCAGGTGGCACGCCCGATGCCCGAGCCGCCGCCCGTCACTAACGCAAAGCCACTGACGCCGAGAGGTGATGTGCATGTGCTGCTACCGCGGCTGGTCGCGGTGGTGGATGCCATGGCTGCGGTAGCACGGGTATTGTTGAGCTTGCGTTTAGCGGCGAGAGATGGCAACAAAGACGGGTACAGAGTTTATGACCGGTGATGTTTTTAGGTTGCCCTTGTTTTTGACAGCAAAAGGGAAGTTAGTTATACTATTCTCGCAGGCCGGGACAGATCGGACCTAAGTAGCAATTCAGTCGCGCTGCGGCCCGAAGTGGAAGCCATATCCCGTTGAGAGATGTGCGATCTCCCCCTTTCGCCTTCTGGCAAAATAAAAGCTGTCTGCTTCTTGAAATATCAGTTGTAAAGCATTCGTCGCACACTGTGATCTAGATGAGATCTGAATGACGTTGCATCATGAGGCTTAAATCATACATACCTATGTAGGCATGCATGGTGTATGGTGGAGTAATTTAGACGGTCACAGTGCTGGAAGGCCTTCCCAAGCCACTCTCGACCGACTGTTTCCATGAACATTTGCGTATCTACCCATAGCCCAACCCCTAGGAACCGATGGACTTGCTACGTATGTACGTACTGCACAATTGCATTTCTATCTCAATCTCAATCTCAATCCCCATCGCGACTGAAGCGCACAGGGTCTCGCTCACTAGGGTTAGGGTAGGTGAACATGGTTTAACATCGGAATCTAGAAGCCGAGAGCTTAGCCAGTTTAGAGCTACTTACCCACTAATTTACTGTCGGCTCCTGGATTATGAGAGTGTTAATCATCCATTAATAATACCCCGCTCGCACATGCCGCCCCCGTAGCACTTCTTCAATTAGGGACCTTATTTGCAACAGTTTGTCGAGACTGACCACCAACACTAAAATCATCTGGAGTTTAAATTTGGTGTGCTGCAGCTCGACAAAAAACCCCCCCAAAAAAAGATGGGTGATCAACCAAATCGCGAGGCCATCGAGAAGGCCCAGCAAGTCCTCTACGAAGAGGGCATGAAAATCCGCGCCGAGGTCCTCGGCGCCTCCCATGTGGCCGACTCGAAATCGCTAGACCCCTTCCAACAACCCATGCAGTCAATGGCAGTCGCGATGGGCTGGTCGATGTGCTGGACACGTCCAAACTTGGAAAAACGAGTGCGGTCTCTGCTGGTTATCGTCATGTTGGCCGTTCTAGGAAGGAACCATGAGCTGTAAGGAGATTTCCGTTCATCTTATTTGCCATGATCTCCTTTCGCAGTGATGCTTGTCTATGTCCTTCCTTATTTTTTTATCACTTTTATTATATTTCGTAAATCTTGGCTAACTGTCGCTGGTTTGTAATTAGGGGAGTTCACGTCCAAGGTGCTATCAGGAACGGGGCCACAGAGCAGGACATTCAAGAGGCGTTGATGCAGGCTGCGGTTTACGCCGGCGCGCCTTGTGCTCTGGAGTCAACCCGAGTTGCTTTTGACGCACTTGAGCGGATGAGGGCAAGCGGTGAGCTAGAATAGACTGGCTTGGGGCGGTGGTGCTGATGATGTTGAGGTAGAATCAAGTTAACCCTGCCTTAAGCAGTGAAATAATTAAGCTATCCCCGCGTAACTGAAGGAGAGTTGAAGGGTACTCGGGATCCGGGGTACTTGGTCAGCTCCCGGGGGAGCTACTTTTTATTCCTCTATGACACGCTTCAATAGCTAGGCCAAATGAGGATTCATTGCCCAGAGCCACTCTCGATATGTTGCGAATAAAATGAGAGGGTTTGCGGGCAAGCGGACCTCAAATCAGAATTATTTTACGGTCAATAACAGATAGACATGGCTCGAGTCTACACAAATTGCATTATCTCAACTAAAATACATACTTGAATTCGGGCGACCGGTCACTGAATACTACCTGCACGTCAACTGTACTCGCCTCTCTCATAGCATTCTTCTTCTTCTCTCGATTCTTCAAGATAAGACGGTAGGTCCACCAACCACACCATGCCACACAAGCACAGCCGAGGCTCCAACTATGTCCCAGCCGATACTTGGGTGCAGAAGTGCTGCTGTAGATCTGGCCACTGACAACACCAGCAAGCTGTGTCACACTCTGTTGGATACCCACACTGGCAGCTCTCTTGCCATCCGGTGCCGAGTTAGCTGTGAGCCAGGCAAAGTTGATACCTGCGCAGATATAGATGCCAGTGCTGATGAGGTAGGTTGCGCCGTACTTGGCGCCTGAGGAGACGGGCGAGAGCAGGACAGCGTAACCGCACACCATCAACGGTGCGAAGCTGACCAGGGGCAAGAAGCGATTGCTATGCTTATCCGCGAGTAGCGCCACGCAGATGTAGATAATAGCGCCCCAGAGGTTGACGGGGATGGTCAGGTACTGCGCCTGCGAGACGGAGTAGTGGAAGCTCTCCTGGATGATGAGGGGCAGGAAGGTGCCGAAGCCGTAGGTGATGGTGGTACAGGCCAGCTGGCATATCGCGTTGCACCAGACCTTGACATCGGACAGAGCGAGCTTGAGCTCCGAGAACTTGAAGTGGCCATCGCCACCTGAGTAAGCCTCGGCTTGCTCAGCGCGAATGCGCATGACCTGCTTGTCGTCGTCGTTGAGGAAGTAGGCGGTCTCGTAGTTTTTGGGGATCAGGAAAAAGCAGGCGGCGGCGAGTACAATGGTGATGAGACCCTCTATAATGTAAAGCCTACATGGGACTGAGTTAGTCTCTCAGTTGATAGCGATTAGACATAAATCAGGAGCGATGGAAAGAGGGGGGGGGGGGGGGGTGGGCATGCATAGGGAAGAGAGAAGCGAGGAGAGAAGAGACAGGTTGCCTTACCAACGCCATCCGCGATACCCGGCAACACCATCCATCTGCAACACTCCAAACGCGATCAATCCTCCAAAGGCAGCACTCAAGGCGGCTCCACCCCAGATGAAGGTGATCCGAGTCACAAGCTCCTCGCGCTTGTACCAGTTCAGGAGCAGCAGACTCAGACTGGGGAAGATGCAGCCCTCGGCTGCCCCCAGTAGTAGGCGGACAGCAACGAGGGAGCCAAATGACTGAACGAAGCCAGTGCACAAGCAGACAGTGCCCCAGATGAGCGCGCAGATGGGGATCACTCGCTGGAAGCCGATCCACTTGACGAATAGCGCGGCGGGGAACTCGAAAGTGATGTAGGTGACGAATAGAATGCTGACGGCGATGTTGAACTGGTTGCCCACGAGATGCAAGTCCTTGGCCATGCCCTGGGTGGCTGCAAAACCAATGTTACCGCGGTCGAGGTTGCTGACCAGTTCGACCAGCACCACGATTGGCGCGATGAAGATGTCGAGCTTGCGCACCACCTGACGCTCGCGCTTGGGGTCGATGGCCGGAGGGAGAGCCGCATACTCGGTGTGTAGCGAGCCCACCTTTTCCTTCTCTAGCGCAGAGAGGTCCTGGGTTCCGGTGCTGTCGATGATTCTGCCCATGCCTATATCCTTGGATCTGGTTATCTCTGTTCCAGGGAGTGAAAGTCGGGCGGCAGTGGCAGAGTGTAACAGTGATAATAAAACGTGTATTCACGACACCGGTCCCGATCCAAGAGCAGTGTTGGTTGAATGAATACATTTGGAAAACTGAGGAGCATCAAGGCGGTCTAGATCGATTTTCTCCGCCGTCGCGGCCGTGTAATTTACCTACCTAGGTACCTAGAAGACGGAAAACAGATCACGACCAATCAGGTTACCGCTTTCCCCCTATAAAAGTCCCCGCGGAGGATTTGCGGGGAACGTGGGGAAATGGTAGTCCCGACAGTTCGGAAAATGGGTTGCGAATGGATGGCGATGAAGATTCGTATCCCGGCTTCGGAATTACCTCGTTTGGGCCGGACTCAACTATCTCCTTCGGGGGCGCGAAGAAATACCATGGAAAACCTCTTGAGTTTTCCAACTGATTAGCTTGATGAAGCTTTTCCCACTCCTCCTCCCTAATTTGACTTTCTCCTAATCCTAACATCAAGATGGGCAAGCCGGGCATTCTCTACGTGACTATCGAGCACGCTCCAACGGTTTCCAGAACCGCATTCGAAGATTGGTACAACAATGAACATGGCCCCCTACGACTTCAGCTTCCCTTCATCACGTCTGGTCGCCGTTACCGCGCCACAGACGGGGAGAATCCGCCCTGGATGGCCGTCTACGACATCGCCGACCTGGACAAGATGACCACGCCCGGCTACACGGACCTGGCCGCGCACCCATCGCAGCGCGAGCAGGAAGTGCTCAAACACGTCGAAAGCTCTCGTTACTTTTACGAAGAAGAACTCTCTGCTGGCAGCGTGAACGAGACCGACCGCGTGCCCGGGTTCATCATGACGTTGCGTATGCACCTGCCCCCCAGCGCCAGCGAGGCGGAGAAGGAAGCCATGTCCGAGGATGTGCACCGATGGTACATGGACGAGCACGTTCCCTTGTTGGAGAAGATCCCCGGGTGGGTGCGCTCGCGGCGGTTCAAGCTCTCGCCCGCCTTCCACCGCGGTGAGGACCCGCACTGGTTCGCCATCCACGAATATACGTCAGCGCACGGAAATGGCGGTCCGGAGTTCAGATACGCCACAAGCACCGTCTGGCGGCAGCGGATTATGACGGACACCACCCAGGACCGGCGGAACTACATGCTGCACTACAACTTTGGGCCGTGCGCGCGTGACTTGGCAGCACTAGACGCGCTGCCGCCAAAGGCTGTCATCGAGCGCCCGTTTACTTTCGCGGATGGCACGGAGAGCACGTACCGGCTAGAGGGAAACACGGACCCGGACGCGCCGACCATGGTGTTCGTCAACAGCCTGATGACGAGCCGGGAGATCTGGGACGAGTTCATATCGCTCTGGGGCGGGTTCTTCCACCCGGAATATCGGTTCCTGCGATACGAAAGTCGTGGTCGAGGGCCAGTGACGTCTGAGGGCAAGATCACCGCCGAGGTTCTGGCTGCGGACCTGGCGCATCTACTGGACGGGCTCAAAATCCAGAGGGTGGACTCGGTGATAGGCGTCTCACTGGGGGGCGTCACGGCCCTTCAGTTCGCGCTGGAGCACCCAGGCCGCCTGAACCGTCTCGTGGTGTGCGACTGCGGGGTTAAGTCTGCCGCAGGCGCGTCGGCCGCGTGGGCTGGACGCATCAGCAAGGCCCAAGAAGGGGGCATGCAAGCGCTGGCGGCACCCACGGTCAAGCGCTGGTTCCTGCCTGAGAACGTGGAAGGGCCTGGAGGCAACAAGGTGGCGGCCATGGTGGCGAGCAACGACTTTGACGGGTTCAGACGTAGTTCAGAGGCACTGTACGACTATGACATGTCCGACCGCCTAGCGTCAGTCAAGTGCAAAATGATGCTCCTGAGCGGAGAGGCGGACGGCTTGGTGCCGGAAGCACTCAAGGCAGCAGCCGAGAAACTCGAGCATGGGAAGGGCCATGGTGGGTATGCCCAAGTGCAACTGGCTGGGCATCTACCCATGGTGGAGAATTGCCCAGAGTTTGTCAAAGTTGTTACCAACTTTCTGGCCTGAAACAGCTGTGTGAAGATGGTTTATTTTTAGCAAGAGTTACAGCAGCGTAATAAAAGCTGAAGTATAACCATTAGAAGCAGCTACCACCTTAGCATCTCCATCCTCAACACCCTTGCCGCTACTTCTGTTAACTCTAAGGGCTTGTTCGGTTCCGCGTTTTCAGCCGGCTGCGTTTTCAAATTAGGCCCGAATCGCCGCATGATAGGTTAGACCTTCCCGCGTTTTGAGGTCGAGGAGGTTCAAAAATACACGTTTTCAAGCCAGCCCAGCTAGCCAATCAAAAGCCTAGCTATCGTCAACTTCTGCCATTGATTCCCCGAGGCAACGGACTTGGTTTGGAGCGAGCCAAAGAATACATGATCAAGAAAGTAAGGCTCCCAAGGGATAGCAAATGACATCAGCGAATTGGGTGAGGGAGGGAGGGTGATCTCTAAGCGATATTGGTTGGATGCACGACCAGCAGTTGAGCTAGAGACCTACTGAAGGTTAGTGGACGATAACAGCCATAAGTTCCCCTCCAGGTGGTTGTGTCAGCACGCCGCTGAGAACCTCGACCAATCTGGGCAATGAATCGAGGTGTCCTTCCAAGGTTCCGCATAGCGGCCCAACGCGCTTTGACCGTTTGGGTAATCCGTGGCATCCCGCTAAAAGAGGCTACAGAGAGTCCCGTCGGTAACGCCGGCCAAACGCCTCGGACCGGACCGCACCTGTCAAAAAACCTCCTGACTGTCAAACGAACCCCACGCATGGCTTTCTCCAGCTTTCTCCAGCCTGGCCAAAACACCACACTGCATTACACCACAGAAGCCACACTCACTCACACACAGAGAGCAGAGACACGCGTGATAGCAAGCCCGCCGATGCAATCTTGAATATGGCTGAGGTCCTGGGACTTGTGTCAGCAATCGGCGCCATCGTCGAGCTGACCGCCAAGCTCGGCGGCACCTGCGTTCGCTACATCGACTCAGTCCGAAAGGCGCCGAAGGTAATCCTTGAGATTCAAGGGACAGTGACGTCGCTCGAAGAGGTCCTCGAGGACATGAAGGACTTTGGCGACGCGCGTTTGATGAAATCCAAGACCCTCGAGAGGGTGTTGAGCCCCGGCGGCGAGCTGGAAGCATGCAAAGGCGTGATGATTCATCTGCAGAAGCTCATCGACAAATACATCGACGATGTCAGCCCGAGTGGCCCTGGGAAGAAGCGCCTGGGAATCCATGCCGGAGTGGCAAGGGCGAAATGGCCGCTCACAGAACATAAAATACGGGAGCTTCTCAGGGAAATGGAGCAATACCACAACAAGATCAGCGAGGCGCGGGACATGGAGTCAGCGTAAGGACCCTCACCTCTTCTCCTTTCTGAACTTTCTGCATTTAATTTCTGTCCCCGCTCCACGGTTTCGATTCTTCTCTGTTTTGGCAATCCGAACACACAATCTAACAGTTTATTCGTTCCCCTCCAGGGTCCTGAATGCGGCCGTCTCCGAAACAGTGAACAAAATGCGCTCGGATCAGGTCGATCAAGGATACCTGGAGCGTCGCAGAAAGGTGGTCGAATGGCTCATCCACCGGAATTATGCCGAGGACCATAAGGCAAACAACGATCAAAGGTTGGGCGGAACCGGTCAATGGCTGCTGGAATCGACAGTGTATCAGGAGTGGCTAGATGGCGAGACACGTACGCTCTTCTGCCGCGGCATGCCCGGGGCGGGCAAGACTTTCATCACGGCAGCCGTCATCGAGGACCTCCATGGTAGGTTTCGACAGGAACCCGACTCAAGAGTGGCGATCGTATACCTCTACTTTAATTACCGGCAGGAGGAGAAGGATCAGAGGGCCGAGTGTCTACTCAGCAACCTCCTCGGGCAGCTGACTCGGGACCTCCCTCCCGGGGCCTCTAATGCCTTCAACCATGTGCGAAACCTACACGATCTGCACAACCGGCCGGACCGTGGCGCGCAGCCCTCCCTGGCCGACATCCTCAAGGCCTTCCACCACGTCGCAGCATGGTATGACCGGGTTTTTATCGTCGCCGACGCGTTGGACGAGTGCAAAATGCCCAGCCAGTGTGAGAGACTCTTCTCCAGGATCGTTTCACTGCAATCCCAGCTGCATGTGCGCATCTTTGCCACTTCGAGGCTCAGCAGAGAGGGCCAAGGAATTGACGAAGACAACTGCTTGTCCCTCGAGATACGGGCAAGTGACGCAGACATTGGGAAATACCTGGATGATAAGATGCCTGACTTGAGAGATATTGTTAAGGAGCATCCTGGAATAAAAGAGAATATTAAGAGGAACATAATCAGCAAGGCCGACGGGATGTAAGCCACGTTCCTCTATTGTGTCCCAAGTTCTCTCTCTCTCTCTCCCCAGGTCGACCTTGGGGAGGGGGAGATATTGGAGAGTTGACCTAACATATATATATTCCTCGCTTAGATTCCTCCTCGCCCAGCTCTATATGGAGCATATCCTGCGCCTCTCCACAGTCTGGGAAATCGAGAAGCGGCTTGACGATTTCAAAAAAGGCAATGACCACTCCGAGACCTTGGCACTAGCCTACAAGGGAATCCTCGACAGGATCGACGACCAAGGTGAGAGCGCTCGGCGGCTGGCACAAAGGGCTCTCACATGGGTCACATTCGCGACGACATCTCTCACCGACATGGAACTCCGACATGCGCTCGCCGTAGACAAGTCCATGACCGAGTTTGAGGAAAAAAACCTCGCTAGCGTTGACAAGATCGTCACAGCATGCTGCGGCCTGTTAAGCATCAATAAGAAGAGCCACGCCGTGAGGCTGGCCCACTTTAGCACGAAGGAATATCTGGAGAGCCCTGAGTGTAAGTGGCTTCCAAAGCCAAACAGAGAGATGGCCGAGACCTGCATCACGTATCTCTCCTTCCGCGAGTTCTCCAAAGGGCCCATCCCGAAGGCCGAGTGGTTCGAGCTCGGCAACCTCGACACCCTCCTGAAGAAGGCCCCTCTGCTCCGGTACGCCTCGTTCAACTGGGCCCACCACCTCTCCCAGGCCAGCGACGATGAGACCTCCCAGGCCGGCAAAGACGAGATCCTACACTTACTCCTCAAGCTCTCCAACCGGCCCGAGAACCTCCGCCTGTCCCTACAGGTCCGCCTCCTCCTATCCCGCGAGCGCTTCCCAGCCGGCATCAAGACGACGCACATCGTGAGCTACCTCGGCACACCAGCCTTCCTCCGCGCCCTCAGCAAAGGCGGGACACTCGTTTGCAACGAGCGGGACGGCAGCGGCCGGACGGCGATGCACTGGGCGATCTTGCGGAAGGACGGCTCGGCGCGCGCGGCGGCCGCCGCCGCCGCCATGGTCTCACAGCTGCTGGAGCTGAAGTTTGACATCGACGCGGCCGACGTCGAGGGGCGGACGCCGCTGCACTACGCCTCCAAGGCCGGCGATGTGGCCATCGTGCTGCTGCTGCTGGACAGGAAGGCCAAGACGGAGGTGGGCAGGGGGTCGGTCACGCCACTGATCGAGGCGTGCTGCTGCGGGCACGCGGCGGTGGTGCGGGAGCTGTTGCGGCGGCGGGCCAACGTCAATGTCATCAGCAAGGGGTTCGGGACGCCTCTTTCGGCGGCCATACTTGGGTCGTCGGAGGACTGTGTGGCTGAGATCCTTGGCGACCCGCGCCTGAAGAAGTACCACGGCGACTACGAGTTTGGCACCGCGCTTCACGAGGCCGCGTGTCATGGCCAGTTGGGGATCGTGACGAGGCTTCTCGACGCCGGATTTGATCCGAACAAGACAGCCGGCGACGTCGGTACTCCTCTGCAGGTTACTGCTGCGGGCGCCTACAACTTCGCCCAGGCCGGGCAGAACGTCGAGGTGGCGAGGCTGTTGCTGGATCGCGGCGCCGACGTGAACGCGCCGGGCGGGAAATTTGGAACAGCCCTTGAAGCGGCTCTGGGCAACGACCACGGGCCTATGGAGGAGCTGTTACGGAGCCGCGGCGCGGCGGAGGCGAGCACTTACGGGCTGGATCGCCGGGATTCTTTCTTAGGACCGACGGAACTAGACCTGAGGCTGGGACAGCGCCGGAGGTTGCCCAAGATAGTTGAGAGCCAGGTGAGACACTTCATCACCGCCGTCATGATGGACAACGAGAAGGTGATAAAGCGATACGCGGACATGGAGATCAGGGCCTTCAGGGAGGCAGTCCAGTCAAAGAACGTCTCGGCTATTGACCTCCTCTGCCGAGTGTCGGTGATGGCGTTCGAACAGACCATCGACATGGTCAAGTACGACATGGAGGGCGGGGACGTTGCCGAGGGGAGTGAGAGGGCGCCGCCAACAGCAACAACAACAACAACAACAACACTGACGGCAAGCCCTCCCGGCAGCGGACTCTACACCCAGCTGCTCATGCCCGTCGTCGGGACCACAGCCAAGGCAGCCGCGTTCATCAGTTTCATCCTGGGGAGCCACAGCACCGGTACCAAGCAGCAACGGCAAGATCAGCAACAACAAATTAGACCAGGTGGCGGTGCTGGTGCGGCTGCCCTCCACGCCGTAGGGGCGGCTGGCTCGAAGCTGGAGTTGATGACGTCGACGGCGGTGTTGATCCTGACGGAGGCAATCATTGACGGGGACGAGGAGATCATCCAGATGCTCTCCAAATATTGGGCTAGCGCCCTCCGGCTCATCTCTTTCCCGGGCAAGGCTAGCGACCGCATGATGGAAGTGCTGGTGACGTGCAGGGTGGAGGAGTTTGAGGGCTTCTTCCGGGAAAACAAAACGATGGATGCCAAGGTTCGGGCGAGGCTTGGGGTTGAGCTGCTGGCCTCTGCCATCCAGGGCCGCAGGGGAGATGCACAGATGGCACAGTTAGCCGTCAACTTGGCCAAAATCTGGTCACTGGCTCTGCGGAACGTCGTCGAGAAGGACTATATTAGCTACTCCCGATTGGAAGAATTCATGCGAGGCCTGCAGAAGGACTTCACCGCCGGGGTCGAGCTGCACAACTGGCGGAACATCGAGAGGTTCGGGACCGCCTGCCTCGAGATCCTGGTAGGCATGGTGGCCGATGAAAACGCCACAACGGCGCACATCATGGCCCAGATGGTCACTGAAGGCTGGCAGCACGCTCTTGACCACGGCGGAGAGCATGTGATCGACAAGGTCATCATTCTGGATTTGGTAAACGAGTTCTGGATCAGCATCAACGAAAACGAGGACGAGAAGAGCAGTGGTGAGGAGAAGGAAAACACAAATAAGAGCGAGAAGGACAAGGCGAGGACCATGGAGACGAGCAGGGCGTGGAACGTGGCCGGCACGATGCTGAAAATCCTTCACACCGCCGGGCGGCACGGACTCCCTACCATTGCCGCGAAGATTTCTGAAGTCATCGCTGGCAACCTCGACCGCGCAAGCCGGTCCGGAAAGACAGTCGGTGTGGATGCGGTCCGGGGGCAGATGCTAAAGTCCATCGTGCCATGGTGCAAAGTAGACCCGTCCCCGGTCTACTACTTCGAAGCCATGTTGACGCTTCTACTTGCCGCTCAGAGGACAAGCTGCACTGCCGCGGCGGAAGTCATCGACCGAGAAATTGTGGCCATCCTCCGCCATCCCTCTCGAGAACGAGACGTGCTCACGGGGAAAGTAAAGGAGGTCACGATAGGCGGAGACAGACCTGACGATGCGGCTCAGCTTGCAACGGTCGTCCGAATGCTCCGGGAGAATCTGACAGAAGGGGATATTTTGGCTGATGAGGATGCTGAGTATAAATTTTCTTCGGTGACGACGGTCCAAGTCGAGATGGTGGAAATCGACACGGGGAGAGACGTGTCTGCGACGGACGTCACAATACCTGGGTAGACTTGAGACCTGCCTTCTATTATTGACTACGTCTCTCTCCTCCGGGACGTAGTATCGAGCATGGTACGATTGATACAGTCGCTTGGAGCCGACGGGAGATTATCTTGACATTGAAGAACGAGGCCAGGACTTTGCTACCAAACACAAGACCACAACACTAATTAAAGCACAGGACGGAAAAAAGAACAGAGATGCTTTGAAGTGTTCCGCTCCAAATAATATCAGCTAGCATGCTGGTCTTGTACTCCGTTCCCAATAGACTTGATGTCTCCTTCTCTTCTCCACCCTCCAAATCCTGGGGGATATGTTGGGCATGTAAAATCCCTTTCTGCCTCGAAAGCTGAGGATTGCATCTTCATTGAATCTCTATACACTTGCCATGGGGGAGAATTGTAGGTCAACTGGAAGTCCCGATGAACGACCAGCCGACCTCAATGGGCCCACGCACACCCGCTACACAGGTTGAAGCAGCTGCAGCACCGGTGCCCCCAAGGAAATTCTCAATGACAATGACGAGACCCTTCTTTTATTTTGGGCTGATAATATAAAGCTGCACCAACCAACTCGCCAAGAGAAATTAATTTCCCGTGAGCCCCATGCATACCATGCCACTCAGCTGACCTGTGGAACTTAAACCAGACCTCACGTCCTGATTACACCAATTCTCAACGTCCGGCATTCTGTGGTTTGAGAGGGTATCAGATCTTGCTGTTGATACCATACGAGCACTTTGCTAACGGGCGACTAAAACACACAATCTTGGGATTCAGCAAGCCCAGATACTGAGATTTCCGTCAATAATTATGGCTTCTCCGCAAAGACGAGAGACGGTCCGCCATATCCAAGCAGCAATGGCCGCTGGGTACTCAGGCATGGGTGCATGGTAGGTGTCTATCATAAGCCCACATTGTAATGCCGTACTGTATCTGCACCAGTTTCTAATGTGTTACAGGTGTTTATTCCACCCATCATCGGTCATCAGCTTGGCGTTAACACCGACTTATGCCGCCTTCGACCCAACAACATCTCTTTTCTGTCGGTGCTTTGGTGCTCAAGCCATGACGTGCGGGTTGCTCCTCGGCACATCCGACATGACTGTCAATAGCTTCGTGGCTTTTGGGCTTGCGATGATCCCGTATATTGGTTTCAATGCCTGGTTTGGTATTGGCCCAGGGAAGGGGGTGTTCACTAGATGGCTTTGGATGGACTTTATTGGGAACATGGTGTTTGGACTGGGCTCTATGTACTGTGCTAAACTGCTCGTGGAGGAAGAGGTGGACTGCAAGGGGAAGGTATCCTGATGCTTCCATCTTCGTCGTCGCCGACGAGGCCACTAGCGCGGTGGACGGCGACGCCGAGGGGGCGGGGGCGGGTTCCGGACGGTGGTGTACATCGCGCATCGCTTGTGGAGCGTCGTCGGGTTTGTTAGGGTGTGTGTCGTTGACGCGGGGAGGTTCGTTGAGATTGGGGCGCCGGGGGAGTTGTATGATGCTCGGGGGTGGTTTAGGGGGTTGTGCGAGGAGAGTCGGGTTGGGAGGGGGGATATTGAGGCTGCGCAGGGGTTGGGGCGTTAAATTGCTGGTTAATAACGGGAAGTGCGGATCTAGAAGACACGCTGTGGTGTCTTGTATCATAGCCTTCGATCAAGTCTTCTCACCCACTTGTCAGATTATCGAATGGAAGATGAAATCTCACCTCACCCACCTGTCAGATAGTAGAAATACAAATTACAACGTTCTACGCGCAGGGTTTCGGGCATTTCTTCCACTCATACCGTGGACCCGGATTATTGTGGGTAGATGCCGATGTGGAGTGTGGATTCCGAGGTGGGGAAAGACACTATCGACTCTGAAGAGGAGCCGGCTTGACGTGACAACCCCGCCCGTACACCGAGAACGCAAGCGAGGTCGGTCGCATCCCATAACTCGCTGCATCACCGTAATTCAACCATGTCTCTCGCGGATCCGATAACGGGACCCTCACCCGGAATGTCACCTCGCAAGGTTGCCCTCGTCACCGCCGGCAGTGCTGGGCTAGGCGCCGCCATTTCTCGCATGCTGGCCCTCGATCTGGGCATGAGCGTCATAATAAACTACTCCAACAACGCAGAACGGGCAGAAGCCCTTGTCCAAGACCTCCGCAATTCCTACTCCTCCGTCTCTCCCTCCCCCCTCCCCGCGCCCTCCTTCCACGCAATCCGCGCCGACCTCTCAGGCCCCAAATCCGAAGCCATCCGGCTCGTGGCCGAGGCCGCTGCCGCCGCGGGGGGCCGGCTGGACGTGGTCATCTCCAACGCCGGGTGGACGCGGGTGCGCGACTTCAGCGACCTCGACGACGGCGTCGACGAGGACGACTGGGACCGCTGTTTCGGCGCCAACGTCAAGGCGCACCTGTGGCTGTTCCATGCCGCGAGGCCGTGGCTGGAGGAGGCCAACGCGCGCGAGGAGGGTGCCGCCGTGTTTGTGAGCACGGCGAGCGTTGCGGGGTGCAAGCCGAGCGGGAGTAGCCTGGTATGTGATGATTGTGGAGTTCAACAGTTCCTTAAGTTCCTGCTCTTGGGGGCTCGTCCGAGTGCTAAACGCTACGAATCTAGCCGTATGCTGTAACGAAGGCGGCCCAAATTCACCTCATCAAGTCCCTGGCTGTCATCGCGGCTCCCACAATCAGGGTGAACAGTGTTTCGCCGGGCTTGTTGTTGACTGTACGTGTGGCCCTCGTATTCTTATCCGTTACTAATATTTTTCTGTCTCCCCCCTTGGTTTCTACAATCTCTAACGGTAGATAGGACTGGGGCCTCTCATTTCCCCCAGAGAGACTCGAGGCTATCAAGACGCAGCAGAAGCTTCAACGGTTTGCCACTGTCGAGGACGTGGCGGAACAGGTGAAGTCATTTGTGAGGTCAAAGTCAGTCACCGGTCAGAACGCTGTTGTCGATGCGGGATTCAGTCTTTAGATAGTTGCAATGCGATCTCCACATCCCGAAGGTTGTCACTACCGTCCTTTCTCTCCTCCTTTATAACCAGCCGACGCCCAATTAACTTTCTTCACCTAGGCTACAAGCCACAAAATATCTACCCATGTATTACTGATCGTCTCCCAAACCACACAAGTCCCAACAGGGCAGCACCAGACCATCAAACCCCTCGCCAAGCAATCCTGAACACCGAATCGAACCGGCGAATCACAAAGCAAACCACCCGACCTGTCGGATGCATCCTCACCAAGTCCCTTCCAATACCCATCGGCACCGAGACAGTTGCCACTCGACCGCTTCGTTCGGCATCACTGGTGTCTACAGATTCCACTCTTCGCGCTCAGGCTCCTGGTTGGATGCTGCTGCTGTCTTGTCATTGAGCGACATGTACTGTTCCTTCACCTCGAGGGTGCGCTCGTAGTCGGCGATCAGTGGTTTGAAAGGTTTGAGGGGGGGGATGGCCGGCAATATATAGATATTTCGTGGCTTGTGGCGGCCTGGAATTCCAGGTTAGGCCTCATCTAGTCCAGTAGGCGGGACCGGTGGTGCTTCAAATTAACTTGCCGGCTCTTGCCGTCGTTGTGGATGGCTCTTGCCCATTGCTGTCGATAGCTCTTTCCGTCGCGGTCGCCGCCTCGACCGCCTCATGTCGATTGCTAAAGTGCTTATAATTACGACTTCAACATACCGAAGCCAAAGACCTAGCAGGTCGAAAAGCATCCTTCTCGAGACAATGGATTCAATAGAGCATTTCGCAAAGCTCTTGACGATTGGGACAAGAATACGGCCCTGGGCCGAGTTTAACCCACTACCTTGGCATGCTCTTTTCACAGTCAGGACGTGATTGCTCCTAGGAATAGCTCCAAGGTTGATCCCCAATTGATCCCCTATTTGTGATATTCAGCAAGCAGTGCTGCTGAGTCACCTTTGTCTATCTGCCCGGCTTTCAACTACATGGGTTAGGAGGGGGCTAACATTGGGTGGAAAAGTATGTGTCAGATCCTGTCAAGCTGGCTGGTGGGCGGATAGCCTTCGAACTCCATGACATATGAGGCACATAACGTCATATGCTTATCTGTTCTTCGATGAGTATCATGCAAATTTGAAGACATGCTGAAAGAGGTTTATCAGAATATTTGTGGTTGGGAGCAAGGGAACCCCAACTGGGGAAGGCATCAGAGGAGGGGTAGATTTGTAGAGCTCGATACACCGCAGCTCTGACAGTACAGATTCAATCCATTCAATCCATGCAATTGATGCAATCAAAAGAGATACAAGGTTGAATGTCTTCTATCCAGCTGCCGTCAAGCTGCTCAACCCAGCCAGGACCAAGGACGGCAGGGTTGATCCAAAAGTTCAGGTCGGGTTCCCTAAGTCAATGGATGCTTCGCTACCTACTCCAGGAAGCATCTACAGCCAGCACTCTCCGGCAAAAATTTGACCTGTAGGCTGCAACGGTCTGGGATTCTGCAAAGACAGCCATGCGATATCAGGAAAACAAGCTTAAATATGTCGAAGCTGACCTTTGTGAAGTGTCTGCTGTGCTGCGCATGCTTCGTGCGCAAGCAGGATGCGCCAGTGACGATACCAGGGGCGCAGAAAACACTGGTAGCAGAATTCTAGAAGCTGAACTTGATATCTTCACTAGCTTTGCAAAGGCGACCATCCGTGGCGACCTACTGTATGCGACACGCGTGCTGACCGAGGTCTGCCTGGGCAACATGACCAACCCAGAAGTCCTGGCACTCATCCCTACGCTCGATTGGAAGTAACCACACTCACAACGACGACGCGGCTGGCATGAGGTTAAACAAGGTTTTTGATGTTGGCGAAGGTTTTTGATGTTGGCGAAGGTTTTTGATGTTGGCGAAGGTTTTGACGCTTTTCTGGACTCTCGCGATAGCATTGTGCTCGCGATAGCATTGTGCTCGCGATGGCTACAACGAGGACGTTGCGTTCTTTCGGAGCCGGGCAAGCTGTCACATAACCCGCAAGATATCCATAAGAGAATTTCTCTGCAGGCATGCGCAATTTGCTCTACAGGCAGGTGGCAAGTTGGCAACAGCAAGAGCGATGGATAGTATTGGCAAGAGGATAGGAGTGACGGCAAGAGCGATAGACAGGAATAGCAATAGCAAGACAGCGACAGCAATAGGCAATAGCGACAGCAACTGCCACCTATAATGCACTAACTGCCTGCCTGCAAAGCAAATAGCGCATGCCCCTGGAGAAATTCCCATCCATAAAGGATCCACAACACAGATATTGGTAAACAATGGCCCCTTTTCTCTCGCGGAACAGGAGATAGGGCAGACCTTAGTGGATATATCGGCCGATTTTAGGTTACCTAGGTTTACATACTTGCTGCAGGTTCTACATAGTTAATAAATTGGTGGATTGGTATTTCGGTCTATGCCAGGAGATGATAATAAGCTTGGAGCAGAAGGAACACTAGAACCAGCCGCTACCCGTTCTCAAGCGCGCTGGATAGTTTTGAAGGTAACGACGTTCACGGGGGAGACTCCTGGACTGGGTTTCTCCAGATGTAAGCCTGTGCGGTTATCACGTTGCTCTCGCATGGGACCTTTGTCAAGTTTTGCCGAGTAGAGGTCTGTTATAGTGTCTCTGACGTTGGTTAAGGACACGGAGCGGGCTCTGGAGGCCAGGCAGGTGAGCTCTAATTCCTTTTGGGACTGCAGCAAGAACGCTTCCTCCGGACATCAGTTTTTAATCAGTCAGCCCACGACCCAGCATCTTTGGGGACAATTTTTCAGCTACAAGGACGTACAGCAGCAACAACTAATTAGTCCGCAATTATTACCGCCAAGAGGGAATTTCACAAAGCACCCAGCTACTGCGGGCCTCGCAGGAACAAACCAAACGCATCCGACAGCTTGTCCAACATCTCGGGCTTACCCCCGACGATCTCCACCAACTTGGCCCGCCGCCCCTTCCCGCCCGCCTCCGCCGCCGCCAAGAGCGTCGATCCGTCGGTCTCGGCCGCGACACCGGCAGTGTAGACCATCTCGACGCCGCCGTTCTCGCCGCCAAACGGCGGGAACGGCCCCCTCCCGCTAGCGAAGGCGATGAGGTCGCGGCCGAGCCTCTCGGCGCAAGCGCGCTGGCCGGGCGCCAGGTGGGCGTTGTAGTTCTGCAGGGCGAAGGCGACTTCGAGGGCGTGGGTGGCGTAGCCTGCGTAGGCGCCCGGCCAGGGGTTCGGGGCGTCGAAGTGCATGAGGCGCGTGGTCGTGCCGTGGCGGTCGCGGGCGTCGGCCCAGGCCTGGGCTGTAGCCCTCGCGCCCTGGCCGAAGCAGATGTCGTGGAGGAAGCCGGTGACAGCGAGGGTCTTGGTCTTGGTGTCCATCACGCTGGCTTTGTCGAGGCCGTACAGCGAGAGGATCGATGGGACTAGAGAGTCCGCGTCGGATTTCAGTGCGGCTCTCAGGGACTGCTCTAGGGTGGCTGCTAAGTCATCCTTGCGACCGGGAAGAGCTGTTGCCGCAAAGATCATGCCCTGTGATGACATATTAGTGAGATGCTCTCATTAGATGCACTTGTCTGTCTGTGCTGTATCAGGGAGTAGGTCAACAAACATCGAACTGGCAGCTGCCCAACAGAACATCCTTGACCGACCCGATTCCAGGAAACAGGCGGTCCACTTCCTGGGGTTTGGAAAGGACATCGTACGTCGTCACGCCTCGAATGACATCGCCGTCGACGACGGAACAAACGGGGGCGGGCACATTGCGCAATTTAGCCTCGAGATCGGCAGCAGGCATCTCGAGAAGAGCCCGCACCTGTTCCGCCGGCGAGAGGGACTCAAGCCCAAGGGCCTTGGTGACCATCCCGTATGCGAATTCTGCGACTTCGGTGGGGAATGGGCGGATGAGCGGACTGCCACCCAGAGCGGCCAGCCGCTTGAATAATCGCTCCCCACTCTGCAGATGGATGAAGCCAGAAGCTAATTAGAGGTTAGCCTGGTTAATGAAGGCAACCAATGTCGATTTCACTTACCGGCCCCGATACTGTTCCCCAGGTAGGTGACGTTGTTAGGGTCACCCCCAAACCCATGGATGAATTTCTGAATCCATCGGAAGGCGACTTTCTGGTCGTACAGGCCGTTATTGGGTAGATATCCCGCATCCCGCAGGGCAGCCGAGGTCAGGAAGCCAAAATGTCCCAGGCGGTAACTTCATTGCAACAAGGCCTCGTGAGTAGCTGCCGCCGTATAACATGAATAGGGGGTGGACTTGGATTCGCAACTTACTTGATGCTCACGGCAACGATTGGGCTCTTGGCCTCGATGCTCTTCTCCACGATGGCGGCAACGTCCCACTGCGGCCAGTTGGCACTCCCCGTGACGAAGCCGCCGCCATGAACGAAGACGAGGACGGGTAGCGGAGTGGCCGACTGCTCTGACGGGGCGGCTACATTTAAAGTGAGGCACTCGGTGTCGCTGAATGTGTAGGTTGGGTGAGGGAGTGCGTGTTGGAGCAACAACTGCTCATTATCACATCCGGCTGGGTCGGCGACAGGCAGGGGACTAGTGGTTAATCAGGAATCAGAATCACGTCTCACACTCACCCTCACACACCCTCTCACAACCCCGGAGGATGACCACACTCACCCTAGGGCAGTTCCGTCTATAGAATTCGGATAAGCCTCGATAAGAGTTGCCCTTGAGAAGCGATCGGCCAGGGTGGCATATTGGATGCCCAAGAATTGATCCACCTGTGGAAGTCGACGGATGCCACTGACGGTGCCGATGGCCGGATGCTGAACCGAGACTGTTTGTTGAGCCATGGCTGATACTGAGGCTGATGTTGGTGCTGATCGAGAGGGTTGGGTGTTGATTAATTAATTGGAGGGGAATCTTGTGTCAAGTCTCTTAACGCATTACTGCTGCTGCATCCGGCACCTAGTTAAAAGGTAATTAACAGTGTCTGCCTCTCTGGAAGAGCAATAATTTTGTTCGAGTCGCCCTCGGCAAGACTGACCAAGGGCTGATAAATCAGGTCACCTCTTCCCCCTCACGCTACCTCGGCCCCCACCCGAGATCTTCCCCACATCATCCACACATGCGGATCCGGGTTACACAAGGTAAAGTACCTCCTGCACCTGCATAGTAGGTCCTGTACCTACTAAAGAGTCAAGATAGGAAAGCGGCGCCAAGACTCCAAACCCTACCTAATTGGCATCAGGGGGATCCTTTCTACTCGCCCAAACATTCTCGAAGTACGGATCGGAAGGGACGATTTGAGGGGGTTTGGCGGGGGATTGGAGTGGTCCCCACTCAAAGATGGAAGCATGGCTTTCAGGGATCCGGTCAGCAAGGAGAATCAGATCAGACCCACACTGCAAGTGCCGATCTGTAAAGGAGCAGCCACTGGGTTCTCCCCACATATCCCCCTCAATGCACGGTCACTTGGGGTGACGGGTTGAGGTGGGGAAGAAAGACATGGGGATGGGGTTTGACGGCAACAGAGCCGCTGTAGATGGTGGTTTCGCTGCGAGTTACGGGATGCATGGGTCTACCTTAGTTTGACGGGACCCCGCCCCCTCATCGGCGGCGATAAGCTTGTTCCCGGTCGCCGCTCTTATTCCTGGGGTCATTATCCCCACGCGCCTCGTCTCCCAGGGGCGGAATCGAACACTACACGGAATACTCACTTACTACTCACTTGCTCCTCTTCCATTCTCACAACTCTCTCCTGTCCCCCGCCATGGCCGTCTCCAAGATCATCATCGTCGGCGCGGGACCCGCGGGCCTGCTGCTGGCCCTCCTCCTCGCGAAAGACGGCATCAACGTCGAGCTGCTGGAGATGACGCACGGCCTGGACAAGAGGCCGCGCGCCAGCCACTACGGCGACTCGTCGTGCTACGAGTTCGAGCGGGCCGGCATCCTAGACCAGGTGCGGGCCGAAGGGTTCATGCCCAACGGCGTGTCGTGGCGCAAGGTCGACGAGGCCAAGACGCGCATCGTGGCCGTCGGGAACCCGGGCGGCGGCCGCATGCACGACAGCAGCGCCACCGCCGAGGAGGCCAAGGATGACAAGTACCGCATGGTGTGCCTGCCGCTGCACCGCCTGGGCAAGATCCTCGAGGCCGCCGTCGAGACCCAGCCCACCGCCAAGATCCTGTACGGCCACCGGGTGCTGGACATCGGCCAGGACGAGGGCAAGGCGTGGGTGCGCGTCGAGACCACCACCGGCGGCGAGGTGCAGACGCACACCAGGGAGGCAGACTACATCGTGGGGTGCGACGGGGCGAACAGCAAGATCCGGCAGTCGCTGTTCGGGACCGATGTGTTCCCGGGTTTCACGTGGGAGGAGCAGATCGTGGCCACGGACATGTACTACGACTTCTCTCCCTACGACTACGACGACTCGCAGTTCTTCGTCGACAAGGACCACTGGCACATGGTCGCCAAGATCCAGCCCGACGGCCTGTACCGCGTCACCTACGGCGAGCTGCCGGGCCTGACCCCCGAGCAGCTGCTCGAGCGCCAGCCCATGAAGTACGCCGCCTTCCTGCCGGGCAACCCGGATCCGTCAAAGTACAAGATCGTCAACTTCAGCCCGTACAGGGTCCACCAGCGGTGTGTCGACAAGATGCGCGTCGGGCGGTTCCTGCTAGCTGCAGACGCCGCACATCTGTGTAATCCATTGTAAGGACAGCATGATTCATTCCGATCTTCTTGCATCTCTCTGTGTAGCGGGAAAGAAATCGCTAATCTGACCTGCTTCAAAACAAAAGCGGTGGATTGGGCCTCACGGGCGGCATCGCCGACGTCGGCAGCCTGTACGAGGCCTTGGCCGGCATCCACAAGGGATTGGCGGATGACTCGATCCTCGACAGGTACGACGAGGCGCGGCGCAGGGTCTACCAGGAGATCATCAATCCCAGGTCCACTGAGAACCTGAGGCGCCTGTTCACGCTGGACGCGGAGACGGCGGCGGAGACGGATCCGTTCTTCAAGATGGTTAAGCAGGCGGAGAATGACCCGGAGCTCAGGGAGCGGATGAAACACGTAAGAATAAAGAACCTACAAGGGGCTGATAGTGTGCTGACATGACCTAACTAGGCCTTTATGGCTCTACGCGCCGACATGACACAGTATTACAACAAACCGGCATGAAACAGGACTTAGGATATTCGGCTGGGGGTCAGTGTAGCGGCAGTGGATGGTGAAATCAGCACAGGCATCTGCAGGAAGTGTTTCTCGATTTTGATTACCCTACTATCTAATCCTGATGTCCCGCGACTCCGTCATTCTATAACTCTATTACGAGAGTGCTGGCACCTCAACATGCTCCTAAACCTTTGTTGTCAGATCGCTCCCAAATGCGACCCTCCCCACGCCTCCCCGCGCCGTCGCCAACGCTCGAATCCTTTGATTGGGAAATCTAGACATATACTTCGTGGTTCTGCTCTGGTTTATCGTGTCATCGTGCCAAAAATGTCGTCTCTCGAGCCTCACGCCTCACGCCTCACTTCTCTCTCGGAGACTCCTCGCCAGAGTCATAGAACCTCTCAAAAGTCCTCTTCTCCAAATCCTCCTCCCCCGACCCGGCATCCTTCCTATGCATCAAGTTCCTCCTCCTCAGGAAGATTCTCTTCGTCCACTTCCACGTCTCAGCCCCAACAAAGAAGAGAATAGTCATGGCAAACACAATGCCCCACTCCTTATCAATCCCCGTATGCAGGAACACAACCCTGTTCAGTCCGGGGATATACAGCGTCAAGAAGATGACGAAGAACCCAATGACCACGGACCAGAACAGGAACGTATTCCGCCACAGCCTGCCCGCCCACGCCCTCGTATTGCCCACGGCGCCGTCGAAGAAGGACCTCCGGCTGTCGACCAGCTCCCACGCGAAGAAGAGGAAGATCCACATCATGACGGTGTAGCACGTCGAGCGCGCGCGGAAGACGCCGTCGCACGACGCCGAGTAGGCCAGATTGCAGTCGGCCCCGAGGTTGCCGTCGTAGAAGCCAAAGAGCACGATGGAGAAGGAGCTGAGCAGACACGCCGCCATCAGGATGCCGTACGCCACGAGGTCGGCCATGAACTCGGGTGTGAAGACGCCGTATTTGAGCTGTGGGGGATGAAGGTCAGCGATTGATTAATTAACACTTTTGGTGGCCCACCAGGGGAAAAAAAAAGGGGGTGGGGGGGTAAGGAAGACGTCTAATCGGGAAGAACTCACACTCTGGGGAGGTCGGTTTAGGATATCCGGTGAAGCCGACTCGAAACCCAGACCCGTCTCGGTGAAAGCTCCCGCCACAAGCAACATAAAGAGAATCTCAACGGGGGTGAGCTGGAAGATGGACGTGCCCTCCGCATCCTTGTAGGCGAGTCCGATAAGGAGGGTCGTGACGAAAGCGACGTTGGCAGCCAGGACGTGGAGCATGAACTTTTGGACGTTGTCGAAAATGCGACGGCCTTCCTCGACGGCGTTGAGGATGCTCGCGAAGTTGTCGTCGCTGAGGACGATGTCCGAGGAGGATTTCGCCACGTCGCTCCCTGCGAGGCCCATGGCAATGCCGACATCTGCCCGCTTCAGACTCGGACTGTCGTTGACGCCGTCGCCGGTCATGGCGACGTATCGCTTCCGGCGGTGCAGGGCATCGATCATGCGCACCTTGGTCGAAGGGGCGCACCGCGCGACGACCAGTGGCAGTTCGGGGAGCTGGTCGAGCTCCTCGTCGGTAAGCCGGTCGAAGTCGTGGGCCGTCATGACGAGGCCCTCGGCGACGTCGGCCCGCAGAAGATCCATCCGTGAAGGCAGAATCCCGACTTCGATGGCGATCGTGCGCGCCGTTTCGGGGTGATCCCCGGTGAGCATGTGGACACCGATACCAGCTTGGTGGCACTTGAACACGCTCGGCCTCGATTCTGGCCTTGGGGGGTCGTAGATGCCGATCAACCCGCGGAAGATAAGGTCGCACTCAAACTCGTCACGCTGCAGACGGCCCTGTCGTGCTTCGTCTTCGGACACGGATCGGACGCCCGACTTGTTGGCCAGCGCGAGCACGCGAAGGCCGTGGCGCGCCAGGGCTTCCATGTTGGCCAAGATATTGGCCTTGAACTCCTTCGTCATCTTGGAAACGTCGCCGTCGGACGACGAGATTGCCGAACAGCTGTCGATGACACGCTCGACGGCGCCTTTTGTGAAGATATGAACCTCCTGCGTGGTCTGGTTCTGGCATAGGACGGACATCTTCTTGACCGAAGAGTCGAATGGGAACTCGGCGAGCTGGTTCCATTCCGGCGTCAGGCCAGTCCGTGCGAACCGGGTAGCGAAAACCTGGATCGCAACCTCGGTGGGATCGCCATGAGCCTGCCACTGACCAGATCCCGACGAGTTCTCTTCTTCCGAGATCTTCTTCACTGTTGCCAGGTTGGCGAAAGAGGCCACGTCGAGGTATTGCTGCAGAGACTGGTGGGCCTCGTTTGCAGGAACGACAACCGCAGAGCTGTCGTTTTCCGACTTCCGCATTTCTCTGGGCTGGGACCGCGTGAAGGTCACTTCTCCAGCCTCGGGGTTGTACGGGTCGTTGCTGGTATCGACCGAATAAGTACCGTGGTCGGGAATCCAGGCCATTTTCGTCACCATCTTCCCTTGGGTCAATGTGCCGGTCTTGTCGGAACAGATGTCTGCCATCATGAGTCAGTCAATCTGGTTAAGTGAGTGTGCCGTGATACGACTTGTTACTTACTAGTTACACCCCCGAGGGCCTCCAAGGAGCGCATATTGCGCACCACCACGTTTCTCTGTACCATCACCTTGGTACCGGCAGCCATGGTGATGGTGAGGACCAAGATCAGCGTTACGGGTAGCGTGCCAATGGCGGTGGCAACTGCATAAATGATAACATCATTTCGTGCACGGAACTATGATCATAGTTAGCTTTTCTCGCCTAACCAAGTCCTTCTGCAGAGGGGTGTTATTAGACTTACGTCGTTTGCAGCGAGAACGACGATGGCGCAGACGATGGCGAAAAAGAAGATGTACAGGAAGAGCCGGGCCAGTTTCCGCTGCAACGGTGTGCCAACCGTCACACCCAGAAAGTTGCCAAGCCAATCCCATGTTTTACCGCAGCCGAAGACAAAGTACGAGCCGATAGACGCCTCGCCATTTTCGTCCCTTTTGAGCTTTCGCTTCTCGCCACCTTCGTCCCTCAGAGCAGCTGCGATAGCACCAATCTCAGTCGACATGCCCGTGGCAAAGACAATGGCTCGTCCACGGCCCTTCGTGATGACACTGGAGGAGAAGACAACATTCAGTCGGTCACCCGGGCCGGTGTCCTCGTCGTAAACCTCCCGGGGGTCCTTCCTCGTCGGCACGCTCTCGCCGGTGAGAAGGGCCTCGTCGGCCTCCAAGTTGACGGCATGAAAGAGGCGAGCATCCGCCGGAACGTTGTCGCCAACTTTAAGCTCAATGATGTCGCCGGGCACGAGTTTGGGGGCCTCAATTGACGAGCTTTCGCCGGCTCGAATGACACGAGCCGTCGGAGAGTTTAGGGACTTGAGTGATGCGATTGTCTTGGCGGCTTGGAGATCCTGCAAAAATCCAATAACGACATTGATCAGGATGAGTGCAGCCAACACGCCGCCCTCGATCCAAGCTTGGATGGCAAAACAAGCAGCAAGGGCGAGGACGAGAACCTGGAAGGAGCAAGCGGTGTAAGCAGTCGGTGACGAGCCGGAAGAGATTTCTTGTTAATAATTACCACAGTCATGGCATTGACGACTTGGGCGATAAGGATCTCGATGGGTTGAACACCCTTCTCCTTGCCAAGGTCATTTGCCCCGTACTTGGCTAACCGAGAGGATGCTTCATCTAGACTCAACCCTACAGTTGTGTCTGTCTGAAGTTCCTCAGCAACCCGATCATAGGCCAAGGCATGGGCCGGTTGGGATATGGGCTCATTGGCTTGGCCAGAAACGTGGCTGCTCTCTGTGGCCATCTTGATCCGGGTTGAGGCACCGTGGGACGAGTACGAATGGTACTAATGAAAGTCCAAAATGACTAGAATGATCGACTGACTGAAGGATTCGCAAAAGGAAGGCCAGAAACCGAAGAAGAAAAAAGGGTCGTTTTAAAACGTGGTGGGAGAGGACAATCCTCATCGCCACTGGAGCCCCTCAATAGTTTGGCTACCAAGCCCAGCCATGATCTGCCCAGCGAAGCCATCCAAGACAAATCCAAGAGATTCTCCTTAGAAGCCGATGCAAAATACACTCCCAAGCCATTAAAGAGGAAGCCAAGACGCATATGGTGGAGGGGGCACGAGGGGCAAACGATTCCCCATTACAAACAAGATGGAACTTGGCCAGTCGCAGGCTGCAAAAATGACGGACAGCCGGCCGGCGGTGGAGCTTAGTTGCGATTACCTTGGTAGCCAAGCCTTTATCTCGAACACATTGGCCGGGTTAGCAGCGCCGTCAAGAAGCCATTGAGTCATGTGCGAAATCACGACGCGGGGTGGAGGTCAAGCTGGTTGAGAGCGGAACATGGACTTGCCGCTCTGAAACTTGAATTTGCCCAGTGACTGAACGAGATTGGATAACCCCAAATTGTGCATTTGCATTCACAAAAAAGAAGTGTTCAAAGTTGTCCATCGCCACGGTCCCACTCTCGCCTATCTGGATTTTCTTGGTGAAGGGGGGTGTAAGCGGGGTGTAAGCGGGGTGCAAGTCCAAGAGTCACGTGCCCTGGCCTATTCATCCAGTCAAAGCTGTTACATTGCCCACGTGGGTGCACTTCTAGTTATCTATGCAGCCCTCCGTCAATTTGTGCAGAGTGCAAATCAAGAGTGGCGTGCCCTAGAAGTTGTGAAGTGTACGGATCCGTACGGGTACCTTATTTACACACACACAGGAATAGAGCCATTCTATCCAACAAGCAATGGGAAAGTATCGAGGTAATCGGCAAGAGCCTATTAGTTGACCGAGAAACTGCCAAGTCTTGTTGTCTTCGTGATGACGAAATTGCAGACGTGACCTACCTGTGTCTGCCAAGACCTTGGCTTGAGTTGGCCAAGGGCTTGCGGTGAGATGACGCTACTGGCCCGCCAACTCCAGCTGCGCACTCCTCTGTGCTCATGCGTGATAACCGTTGGATGAAAACAGACAGACGAGCTCTTCGGAATGCATGATATTAAATGAGCACGACGGAGGCAGTGGCAGTGGTCAGCCTGCTTTCTATCCGGAAATAGATGATCGGCAATGTGGTCAGCCTGCAGGACACGGACCGCAGTCGTTCCTGCGTCTAATCTTGCTGCCTAGCATTATCAAATACTAACATCTGTGCGCAATAAGCGCTGCCAAATATGTTAATATTTGTTTGACCATGCCTTAGGTCAGGGGCTTGTCGGCGGCAGCACTGCCACGTTCAGGGGATCATTCTCCAGGCACAACGGCGTGGAGGCTGATCAGTCCAACTTCAATCGGTTCTTATTTCATGTTCGCCAGTGCCAACTCTTTTTTTTTTAACCCGGTGCTGGACAATCCTTGCAATTTCAGTGTCAATGCGGATCCCGGAACCGACAAGAGTAAAACCGGCGTACGGCAAATGGGGTCACAATGGCTCCGGCGGTCCTGGCCGGCGAGCGGGTGGCGCCGTACGGCGGTGGTCAACACGATTTTCGTCTTCACCTTCGCCGTGACCATGCTTGTCTTCGTGGCGGTGACCAGCTCCAAGGCGGGCGGCATCAACAGGAACCTCATCTTCTTCAAGGGCGACTGCGGCACGAGCACGAGGACCAACCTGCTGCTGCATCTGCTGCTGAACATCTTCTCGACATGCATCATCGCGTCGTCCAACTTCTTCATGCAGATCCTCAACGCGCCGAGCAGGAGCGAGGTTGACTTCGTCCACACAAACATGCCTCATGCGAACGTCGAGATCGGGGTGCCCTCCCTCAAAAACATCCTGTTTGTCTCGCCGGTCAAGACGGCCTACTGGTTTCTGTTCATGCTGAGCTCCGTGCCGATCCACCTCTTCTTCAACAGCGCCGTCTTTGAGACCGAGTACCAAGGCTCTGACTGGCAGCTCACCCTCGCCGCCGAGGGGTTCGCTTCCGGGGCGCAATACTTCCCGCCGGGTGCGATTCTCTGGCCTGCGGGGGGTGGCCGGGATGCGGTTCCCCAGTTTAGAGACACAGACGGATATGGAAAATCCGTAAACATCGCAGAGTACTTCAACCCGGACTCCCCCGCCGTCCGCAACACGACCACGATGTCGGCCTCGTCGGGCAACTGGACTCGCCTCGAGGCCTCCGATTGCATCGCCCAATACCACGACTGCGCCCCGAGGACCAAGTACCAGGACGTGATCATGGTGGTACAGTCCCACGACGCCAGCTCCATGGCCGACCCGGCGCTCGGTTGGAGGCGAGACGACGTCCTCGCCGACATGGGGGCCGCATCGGCCTCGTTCTGGGACCCCGTCGTCCCCGGCAACGAGACCAACTCGCTCTGGTTCTCAACACAGTGCCACACCATGGCCGACCTCAACCCGCGGACCTACCGCGTGGAGGGGTGCTTCCAGACCTGCTACCGCGGGTGGGGCAGCCAGGAGGGCAGACACGTCGACCTCGCCGGCAAACCAGCCACCGTCGTCGCGCCAGACTTCACCTTCGACTTCCTGCCGACCGACTCCACGCACAGCTTCCAGTCGATCGAGAACCCGGGGCTCCGGTCCCCGGGCATGTCCGTCCTCGAGCTGCGGTACTGCCTGGCGCAGGAGGTGGCGCGGGACTGCAAGCTCGGGCTGGCCAACAACCTCCTGCTCGTCGTCTGCCTCTGCCTCGCCGCCAAGACGGCCCTGTGCGTCATGGTGCTGGCCACCTCGCGCGACGACCCGCTGGTCACGCCCGGCGACGCCATGGTCTCGTTCCTGACGCGCCAGGACGACGCGACGGGCTTCGACTGCACGCTCGACGTCACGCGCAAGGAGGCGCGTCCGCCGGCTCCCCGATCGACGGTGCCGCTCCCCGGTGCCCCTGCGAGGTGGGAGCGGAGGAGGCCGAGACTGTTCACGGTGATACCTGTGCAGGTCTGGGTGCGGAGCTAGTATGTTTGGTGTCTTTTCCCCTCGGCTTCTTTCCTTGACCCACGGCCAAACCACCTGGTAGCTAACGTCTGAACCACGCAGCCTCCTCTTTACCCTAGTCATTATATTTACAGGCGCCATGTTGGGTAACGCCCTGTCCACCCAAGGTCTAACCCGGTACGTGAGCTCACGGCCCCTGTTCCCCAGCCCAACCAAGTCACTGACACCAATCCAAATCCAGAGGCCGCTTCTTCGAGCACAGCGGGAACAACGGGATCCTCACACCGGAGAGCGAGGCGAAGGGCGGCATGTGGGGCTCCGTGCTGCTGGCCAATAGCCCGCAGCTGCTCCTGTCTGTTTCGTATTTCGTGTACAACTCGCTGTTCACCCGGCTGCAGGTCGAGAAGGAGTGGAACAGGTACAGCAAGGACTACAGGCCTCTCCGCGTGACGGCCCCCGTGGGCGAGCAGGTGTCGACGTACCGGCTGCAGCTCCCTTACCGGTATAGCATCCCGCTCATCACGATAAGCATCATCCTACACTGGCTCGTGTCGAACACGCTTTACGTATTCATCATCGAAGGAGGTAAGTTCCCCCTCACTCCTGTCAAATCATCCAACTCTAACACCCCTTCCCCTCCAGGCTACTACAGCATCACCACCGACAGCTCGACATCCCCACCCACAGGACTAGGCCTCTCAGACGACGCCTACATCGGCATCGGCTTCTCCAGCCTCGCAATCCTAACCGTCTTCATCCTAGCCTGCGTCCTCGTCCCCGTCCCCATCGCCCTCTGCATCCCGCGCGTCGACGGCGACATGGTGATCGGGGCCAGCAACTCGCGGGTGATATCGGCGGCATGCCACGCTCCCCCGTCGTCGGCTACACCCGCACCACCGCCGTCTCCCGGGGAAGAAGAACCGCGATCGGATCCCGGCTCTAGCGGCGACAGCATCGAGCTGGACAGCCTGCTGACGGCGGGGTCGGATGGCGGGAAGGACGGCGCCGACGACGCGTTTGAGGAGTATAGGTTGGGGCTGGTCCGGCTGTCGAGGGGCAAGGTGCGGTGGGGGGTTGTGCCGGCGCCCGAGTCGTTTGGACAGCTTTACGCGGGCATGGGAAGGGGGGAGGGGGAGGGGGAGGGGGAAAGGGAGGTGGTGGGGCATCTGAGTTTCGGGGCGCGCGAGCATGATGTGCAGCCGCCCGTTGCCGGGAAGTTATATGCCTAGAAAGACAGGAATTGATGTTGGAATTGTTGCCTGTCCAAATTCCATCAAACATGCAATTACCAGTGCCTGATTGCATTGTCATTTCATCCACGATCTCCATCTAGCCAGTCAGCTGGAGTGACAGCTGGGTTTTTCGTGTTGCAGCTGTCATGTCGAGTGAGAGTGCCTGGATTTATGACACGTCACATGAGGACCCACATGACGGGGAGGGTATGCGGGCGTGGCTGGTCACGGCCCTGGCGCCAAATTGTTGAAGGAATCCCCTCCCCCAATCTCCGAGGTCACCTTACCTTGGCCGTTCAAGGTCGCGTCTTCATCCCAATGGCAGCTCGAAATACGGAATAGGCACTAAAGGCGGTGGACGCAAGCCGAGCTCCCCAAGCTACGCGCCGCCTGATCAGCCAACAAGGGAACAGAGTTGAGGGGAAAACAAAGCAGCAGCCGCAAGGTAAGGTCACTTCGAAGCAGCCACCAGCGTCGCGCGCGCTAAACCAGGTCAGTTTGTGTTAATTTGCGCTTCGGTGCAACGCGACCTTCTACCCCGCACCCGGTCAACCTTCCACCATTTGTCTCCCTGAGGCAACTCTTGCTAGCTTCACCTCGAGGAGCTATCGCCGCGCGCACTACGGGATCAGCCCACCTCCCCATTCACATTCCCATTCGCACTCTCACCTCCCCCACAGCAATGGAATACCACCCGGCATCATCCCCCACCTACCTCGCCCCCGCCCCGCCAGCACCTCACACCCGCGACGACGAGTTACGCGCCTCGATGACGAGGACGCCAGCAAACCCAGCGCTCCAATCGCCACCCCCACGTCTTCCCCCTCCACGCACCACCGCCGTCGTGGCCCCGCAGTCATCCGCAGCCAGCAGTCCCGGCTCGACCGCGACGGCGATGACGGAGGGGTCGTCGTCGTCGTCCTCGGGGCCGGGCGCGCAGCGGCGACGGCAACGGCTGGGCGGTAGCAGCTCGCGCGCGACGACGGTGTCGCCAGGCCCAGCGGTAGCAGCGGAGGGCTCTTCGTCGTCATCGTCGTCTGGTTCGGCCGACAGTCCGGAGGCGTGGTCTCACGACGCGGCGGGGCCAGGGATGCCGATGGCTCCACAGGGGGTTGTGCCAGGCCCCGGGATGGGAACGGGGATGTTTGCGCCGCTGCCGCCGATAGTGCCGTTTGGGGTGGCGACCGAGTTTGCGCCGCCGATGATGATGCCGAGGGTGGGCGCAGGTGCTCCGAGGGCTGCCGCTGTGCCGGTGGCGGCGAATACGTCGCCGACGTATCTGGGGTCTCCCAGGTTCTCGCCGCAGCTGACGATCGGGTTTGAGATTGCCGAGCCGCCGAAATATCCGGCGTGGCGGCAATGACTCTTGGCCAGTGGGTGGGGCTTTGCGAGTGACTGGGGTGGATGGAGACCGGGATTTGGGTGTGAACGTTATCTCCAGGCTTTGACGGGGATGGCACAGAGCCGGCCCTCCCGCATGGCGCTTACTCGAAACGAAGGTTCTGCCCGAGATGAAGGGCCATCACAGCCCGGATCCAAAGCGGGGGCTTTTCCCCTTGAAAACGGCCCGGGGCTCTCACACCCGTTGGAGGGTGTTCCGATCCATCGGCTGCACAAATTAATGGAGGCTTGTTTTATCATCGACAAAAAGGCGTGCGGAATATTGCGGCGGTCGATACATCTCGGTTGTAAATACTTATGTTGTCACGAGGAGTTATCTTATTGCCCTTTCAATAATGTCACAACATGTTTCTGTTCGGTTTGTTCTGTAATTAATTGGTCGGCGTATTCAAGTCGTGCTCGGCTTCGAGGTGCTCCCCTGGGATGCACAGCCACACAATGGCGCCCTCATGGGGGGCTATGCTACAAACCTCTCACAAAATAAAGGCGTGATTACGAACATTACGAATCTCGACGCGGACATCTCACGGGTAACAATCAAACCTCTGTGTCCAGGCTGCGACGACCGGAATTCAAAATGTCGCTTCACCTTGACTCCCGATATACTCAACTCCTGTACACCAATATACCCATACTCCGCGGCTTGCGTAGCATCCGACTGCTACGTGTAGAACCCGGGCCGTGGTCTCAGCCCATATCATGCCATCTACACGAACTGTTCCTTGAACGCGCCCCAACCTACAAAGCATTATCTTATGCGTGGGCCAACGGGAATTTGGAGTCTGAGCCCATGGGTGACTCAATCTGGTGTAACGGGATCCCAATCCGCGTCAGCGCAAATCTCTACTCGGCATTACTGCAACTGAGGGACAGCGAAATGCCAGTCGAGCTCTGGGTCGACTCCATTTGCATCAACCAAAAGGACGTTTTAGAACGCTCTGACCAGGTCAGACTGATGCGCGACATCTACCAGAACAGTAGCGAGGTCATCATCTGGCTTGGGGGGCGCGCGGAACATGACGATTTGGGCGGGCAACCGCCGCCGTCGGGACTGGCTGGCTCAGAAATGGCCGCCGAGGAGGACGTTCCGGCTTGCGTCCACTGGTATGGAGATGGGAGAGACAACGACAAGTGGAAGACCTTTATCAAAGGACAACAGAGCCGGCAGCATTTGTTCGACGCCCAGGCCAGGGATGTATTCGGGGCCTTCTGTGTCATCTGGCTTCTTTCGGTGGGCATTAAGGCATCTCACATCATCCATCTGCGACATATCACCCAATCGGCAGCCATTATTAATGGATTGCGCGCGATCATGGATCAATCTTGGGTACCAGAAACATGCTCCAGTATAGATTGTTGTTAGAGGCATGCTGACAAAAGAGTTCAGTGGCGTCGCACATGGGTTGTCCAAGAGACGATAGTCGCCAATAAAGCCACCGTCTACTACAGCAATATTTCAGCCCCCTGGACCATGTTTGCCGACGCAGCAGTGGCATACGAAAAGACACGTCTCCTGACCAGTGTCGAGTCCGTTTATCCTTATCCTCAGCCCCTGATGCAGTTTGCTCGCATCATAACCGAGATGGAATCCACCAGACAAGTCTGGAACGACCCGTTGCGAATGACAACTCTCCTGCCACTTTTGCGCATGTTCAGACCAAGGCTTGCTACTGACGCAAGGGATAAGGTTTTTGCTCTGCTGGGACTGGTTCAGTGGTGGGGTGGGGGCCTCCCCAAACTTCTCCCCGACTACAACATGAGTGCCGAGCGCGTCTTTTGGCAGACCACGATCACACTGATCAAGAACACGAGGTCACTCAGCGTGCTTGCCGGGACCCTTCGGCGCGGCTTGGGCCATGCCAGGCCCTCGTGGGTCACCGACTGGAGTTGTTCCCCAGACACCCACGAGAACATAAGACTTAGTAACTTGCGCCACTACAATGCAGCGAAATCAGCAGCCGTTGGTGCGGCGAGGGTCCATGGCCAATCCCTCCTCGAAATCCATGGATTCAAATTCGACGAGGTCGAGTCCGTCAGATCCGTGTTGCCACTGGCAGAAGAGGGTGAGACCAGCCGATGGAGGCTGGTCGTGTCCGAGTGGGAACGATGTCTCGGGCTCCTGGGGACAGAGGACTACGTCGGGGGCGGCACCGTTGCGAGTGCATTCTGGCGAACTCTGTGCGGCGACATCCAACATCTCAAAGACCCCGAAAACGGCAGAGCAGAGTTCCGCAGGTCTACGGATTTGCAGTCGTCAACATATGCTAAATGGCGATGTCTGGATACAGGTAGAAAGAGGCGGACTTCTATTATTGCGGGCTACTGGCAGGAGAGTGGGGGGCCGACGGACCCGGACCCGGACCCGGACTCGGCCCCGGACGCAGACATAGACACAGCGACCAGGAACGCCTTTCACTATGGAGTGGAATGTGCGTCCGGCTGCAGAAGGTTTTTTATAACCAGGAAAGGATATATTGGAACAGGCCCAGCGGAAATCGCAGCCGGGGACAAAATTTATATCGTGTCTGGGTGTCCGGCACCTTTCATTCTCCGGGAGACATCCGCTTCCTATTGCAGGAGGGAAACGCTGGAGACTCTCATTGAGAAGCCACTCACCACCCTGGAATTCGGAGCGAATAACAAAGTGTGCAACGACGTCCATACTCATTGCTTCACAGTGGTTGGGGACGCGTATGTACATGGGATCATGGATGGTCAGGCAGGTTCACTACTTGAGAGTGAGACAGAGCCGATTACAGGGCCAATTTTCTTGCTGTAAATTATTATGTATGAAGTCAAGTGATAAATCAAATTAGTCCCTATTTTTAGGCCGTAACTCCTCGGCCAGTGACCGGTGCCGGAGCCTGTGCCGAATGGCAACAAGGTTCGGTACGGCCCGTCTTAGCGCACGTCTCAGTAGCCAATGAGCCAAATCTCCAACGAGTTCCTCCATCACCAACACCTCTTGACTTGAATCTTCAAGTCCCGATCCGGCTGAAAGACCGCCATTCCCTCCCCATTCCTCGCCTCCCGATCCGACGGCGACCCATCAGATGTGACCCACCCAATAACCTCCGTCTCAAACTGGGTGACAAACAATGCTAAAGTCCCAATAATCTCCTGCTTCGCAAAATGTCTCCCAGGACACATAGTGGCACCACCTCCGTAAGGAAAGAAATACCCGCTTCGACTCCCCAGGCTAAAATCCGTCGTTGTGGTCGTCTTTGAATTCTCATCTGTCGTCTCGACCGTTGTCAGATGTCGTTGAGGCCAAAACTCGAGCACGGGGTGACCTTCAGTCTCCCAGACAGCGTCGTGGTGGGCGATGGGAATGGGTGCTTGGACCATGGATCCTTTGGCGATGCGGAAACCGTCCACCTCGGTGTCACGGACGGCGTCGCGGGTGACGCTGAATCCGACCTGAAGTCGTAACGTCTCGGTATAGACCGCCTGCAACCAAGGCGACTTGATCAGTTTCTGCATGTCGAACGTTCTCTTCCCCGTCTTCCCATCTACTGTGGTGGCCGCCTGTGCCTCGGCGCGAATATTCTTCAGCAATTCGGGGTCCGGGCATGTGAGGGTATTCGCAATTGACCACGCCGCGGCAGGCACCGAGTTGGAATTCTGGTTCAAGACCTGAATTCCAAAAATGCCTGCAATGGTCTCGGTGTCCAGTCCAACATCCAGACCCCAGCGGATGAGGCCCCTAATCAGTGGCGATCCAAAGAGGGGCTCCCAGGGAGCGGAGGCCTCGGGACTACCCCAGTCGTAGTCCCTCAAGGCCTCCTCCATGTACTCTCTGTTCATTGCCAGGTACTTGTCACGAGCACGGTGTGGCTTGGGATTCATCCACCTCGGGGGCCCGAAAGCGATGGGAATAATCGACAATTTGAGTTCATGGAGTAGGTCGAAATATCCAGTGTTCTTCTCGAAAACTCGACTGCCGTTGAGTGCCCGCGCCGCACTCTCGGTTTGATATCGCCGAATCCAATCGGACACCAGAAAAGTATTCCATTCGCCCATTTTGAACAGCTCTGCAATCTTTGTCGTAAAATTATCAAAGAATATGGCTGCCAAGTCATTCGTCGACTTCGTGCGCAAGAGGTTCTCGGCAAAGATGCGATGCCAGGCCGCCCATATTCGATTCTTTTCAGCAAAATGCTCGGTCCCTGGGAGGGGAGCTTTGCCTCGCCCGGACACGTCGGCTCGAAATCAAGCCATGTCTCTCTTGGACGGGCCAAACATGACGTGTGAGAGGAGATGGTGGTAGTAGTCGACCGACAGGCCCGAATTGGGACGGAAAAGAACGTTGGTGTTCTTTTCGCCGACGACGAGGAAGGCGGGTCGTCCAGCGAGGCGGAGGCGGAGAATGTCGGTGCTGCGGTTTTGCATCGTCTTGCTAGCCATGGGGGGAGCTGTACCAGCAAAAAATAAAAAAGTTCTAATAGCTTTGCGGCAAACTTGGATCAAGCTTATGTACGGGATTGTATCGAACAAACTCACAGAGTGCGTGCCCAGAAAGCCTTTGGATCCGTGGAGACCTGGAGGGTATTCGACAGGAAAGGAATTGTTTCCGGGAGGTGTGGAGGCGCATCAGCGTTGCGTCTAAAGACATGCGATGATAAGAGGAGCAAAACGACGACGTTAGCAATGCTGGCGATAACAGCATTATGCCGCAGCAGCTCGTAGAGCGACGAGAGGATGCCCTCGGACAACATGATCATGGGCGCACTTGGAGATGGATGTGAGGTTCAGGGAAGAGCAGCGAGAGGAAGAAGCAAAGCGGGATCTATGGTGGTTTTCTACATGTGTAACACATCCCGAGGGTTGTCGATTCGAAAAGCCAAGTGTCGGGTGCCCCTAATCATGCAGACGGGAGTGACAACATTAGCGTAGGGATTCCCGGGGTGCAATTGGTTCCCGGAACGCGGCAGCTAGTGTGCTGTAACGGCCTTCCCGCATCCCCGCTGCTTGTCCGCCATTTGTGGGGCCTATCACCAGCGGGCTATTACTAGGTAGGTAGCACTTAATATTTCTACAAGTTGATGTGCCGGATGCTGGCAGCGACGACTCCATCGGAACATTTTGGAGCTCTTGGTTCAAGAGGCGGCAGCTCTTCACACGGCCAGGCCACGCCTATGGCTCTGGCAAGGAGGTCCGCTGGCTTAGCCAGACGTAATATGATCGACGTAATATGATCAAGGAAAACATCCGAATCCAACGGTGGTGGGCGAATCGGGGTCGTGGCGGCCAATCACCGAGTCGCCAGTTCGCCGGGCGCTAACAGAAAGCCCCAAAATCGAGCGTTGGAGCTGGCCAAATTCACTTCCATCCTCCCCGCTCCCAATTTATTCCGTCCACCCTTTTAAAAGCCCAGGGTCTCCATTCAAACGACTTCAGCGGCACGGCGGCGGCCTCTAGTTTTGCTGGGCGGCCGCACAAGCCACAGCGTTGGTTGGTGATCGCCGCTCCGCCACGTTGAACTGAGGCACTGCCTCGTCGTCCAGGAGAGACCCCCACATTTCATCATTAACAAGCTGCATTTCATTAAACGTTCAACCTCACGCCTGTTCCTCCGTAAACACAAATCAGCATATCCAAGCGAAAATGTTAACATTCGATGCCTCGCAGCAGGCATTCGAGGCTGCCAAGATTGCCTTCAAAAAGAGCCTAAAAGACGAGAAGATGTTCAAGGATCTGCTCGAAACTACTAGCATCGAAGGGGTCTGGAAAGCGGCAAAGGAGGTTCAGGCAAAGCAAGATTCTGAGAGACGCCTTCGACATATGGCAAAGATCAAGGGTTTCCTCGGCAAGCTGTCGGAGTATGCTTCCGCCGTGGAGACCTTTGTACAGGTCAAGCCGGGCATCTTGGCGTTGATATGGGGACCCATCCGCCTGCTGTTGGTATGGACTGCCAACATGGCCAAGTTTGCCGACGCCGTCACCTCAGCAATGACGAAGATTGGTGACGCCCTGCCACAGTTTGTCGAGGTTGTCAAGGTTTTCGGTAAGAACGACAAGCTGAATGACATGCTGGCACTGTTCTACAGGGACATCCTCGACTTTTACACCATAACCTTGGAGTTCTTCGGTTTGTCGCGTAAGTCGTATCACATCTTCGTCAGATCATTAAACGCACGCTTACTGACAACCTGTAGGACGAGGAATTTTCTTCGAGTCCATCTGGCCGAAGCAACGGGACAAGGTCGATGTTGTGGTCAGCAACATTGAACGGCATACCGCTTTGATCAGAAACGAGGTCACATTACAACACATCAGAGAAGAGTACGAAGCTCGAGCGAAGTCTTTGGCACACTTCGATCAGGAGACCGAGTTCCAGGAGCTCCAAAAGTTCCAAACCTTGAGAACGCACGCCTCCCCCCAGATTTACGACGACCGGCTGGACTGGTTGCTGAATCGTTCGTGCAAGGGCTCGGCGAAGTGGCTAGTTAGTGACAAGAGCTTCTTGGAGTGGCTTGACATGTCAAACCCAACCGTGCAGCTGTTGTGGCTGCGAGGGATACCGGGAGCAGGCAAGTACTCTGACCCTCGGCTCAAATGATCTCCGAGAACTCATCGTACAATCCAGGCAAGACCTTTCTTACGGCAGCGGCTATCGAGGAGGCCAAGGCACGCCATCGCACCCTCTTCGTGTTCGCCAGCTACGTATATCGGGGCAGCACCACGGCTAGATCCATTCTTCAGTCTCTCCTCTTCCAATTGGCATTCGATGCTAAGGATGTCCAGTCTGTCTTGGTCCAATCAAATGAACGGGATCTACTGGGCAGCACGAAATACGTCTCAGACCTCCTTAAGAAGCTGCTCAACGGCGTTGGACCAACGTACATTGTCCTCGACGGACTGGACGAGATGGATGCATTGGAGTGCAGAATACTGCTGCAAGAGCTTACGAACCTAGAGGACTGCCCCGAGACAAAAATCCTCGTCAGCAGCAGGCCCGAGGACGACATCTCCAAGGTTCTGGAGACCAAAGCCACGGGCATCCGTGTAGACCAGAGGAACTCGGGCAGCATCCAGTCGTACGTCAACCAGAGGATACGGGACTGGATGCACAATGGGGACTTCGACCAGGAAGCACGGGAGCAGATACAGCAGCTTCTGGCTCCTCTAGGCGCAAATGCAAACGGTAGCTTGCTTCTCACCGCCCTGTCACTGATCGGTAGGATGTTGCTAACCTTACGGATAAAGGCATGTTTCTCTACGCTCGCATCATCTTGGACAGCGCCGAACAATTCACCGACCTTGGGGAAATCGAACGAGAACTCAAAGTACTTCCCCTAGACTTGAATGACGCGTGAGTTCGGCAGCCAGAAACCTCCGCCGTCAATCATGAGTGAAGGCTGATGATGATTTTCCAGGTACCACCGAATATTTGCGCGAATCAACGAATCGCAACCAGCCTTGCGACAAAAGGCGAGGACGATTCTTGGCTGGATTGGATGTGCCCCTGTTCCCATGACGCAGCGGGAGATGGAACAAGCTTTGTTAGTCGACTCCGGCTCCCAAGCCGCTCCTTCAGTCATGGCTAGCGCAAACATAACCCGAATCTGCGGCCCGATTGTCGAAGTAGTCGATGAGAGTCCGCAGTTTGTGCATTTCACGGTCGAAGAGTAAGTGGGACTCGGACTCTTTGAAGGGAGACTTGATTTAGTTTCCACTGCCGGTTACTTCAAAGCACTGATAGAAGAGCAGATACATTTTCAGTCAACAGATCGGCGATTTCATCAACAAGTCCGAGGCTAACTATAGCCTTGCCAAGTCCTCATTAACGTACCTCTGTTCTGGGATATTCGACGTGGATCTTTCCAACAAAGGGCTTCAGGGGAACATCCTCGCCGGCAAATATCGACTTCACTGGTTCGCCACGAGTCATTGGATTGCCCTGACTAAGCGCTGTGTCGAGAACTCTAAGGATCTGTCAATCTACCCGGACCTGCTGGAGCTGCTTACGCGGCTGGCGCTGGAGCTCAGGAACTACAGCTTTGAAGGTCAGGTAGATGTCAAAGATGTCGTTTTTCGGAGCATCGAGTCGGACTGGCCCGAGATCTCCCAGATCATCTGCGGAGTTTCACAGTTTCGTCAGGACGAAAGGCAGACGGATTGGAACTTTACCAATGGTACGCTTTATTCCGCTGCGACTGTTTGGGCCGGATGCTAATGAATATCACCAATCCCTCAGGTCCGACGTGGGTTAATCTTGACCCTTCCATAATGTCGTTTATGTCGGTCCGCATCCACGAACAACTTGAGGGGCTGATGTGCGATGAGAGAGCCAAACACAAAAAGCCCTGCCACTGCGCAACGTTGCAGAAACACTACGGACCCAATATCTTCAAGTGTACGTTCCCCAGCTGTGGCCTTAATCGGCAGGGGTTCGACACGCGCCACGCTCGGAAGACGCACATTGACCACCATGCGCGGCCTTGGAAATGCTCCGTGCCGTCGTGCCTATACGCCGTCGTCGGGTTCGCCAAGATGGGAGCCCGACACGACCACTGGATGAAAAGGCACCGAGTTTCGGCGCCACCCGACCCAGCGAACCTAGCTCCTCACCAGCTCGACCGGGGTGATCTCCAGGTGCTAATGTTCGAGTTGACCAAAGCCGGCGATATCGACGGGCTGCAGCGGCTTTTATCACAATTTACGCTACGCCCCTGGGAGAGGACACCAGCACTGCTCCTCGCAGCGAAGATGGGATCGCTGCCGATGGTAGAAGTCATGAGCCACGGGGACGACAATTTGTTGGACTCGCCGTGGAGGAAGGATGCTCACATCCGCGCCATGGTGAAAAGCGAGAACAAGGACCTCTTCCGGTGGCTGCTGGACCAGCTGGCTAGCTTAGAACGCTTCGATGGCTACAAAATCTTGGCTGCCGAGGCCATCGCCACCACCTCGCCCGAAATATATGCTGAGTGGGAGGATTTCCTTTTCGACTCGACGCGCCTTTTGGAAGGTGGCAACCCCCATTACTCGGATGGCGAGTCAAATCCAAACAAACCCGACGAGTTTCGTCAGGCCATGAAGCTGATACCACAACACAACAAGCGCTCCGTACTGTTCTCCCAGATAGCCTTCAACGCGACGAGGAAGAACACCATGTTTGAGGCTCGCCTCATCCAGACGTGGCACCGGCTCATCGCCGTCCTCGGCGGTGCCCCCCTGAACCCCCGGTTCCTGGGCTGGTCGCTGACCTGCCTAGCACGGTCATCGAGCCTCTCCATCACGATCGCAACTGAGCTGCTACGGCTCGGAGCCCCACTAGACTTCCCGCGTGGGAAGGACGGCACCATTCCCACCACCGACCATAATCGCCACCAACCAGAGCCAGCCACTCGCCCGCGGAGCCAGACACCGGACCAGCCCGAGGAGCGACGGCGTCGCCAGACACGGCACCGGGGCATGACGGCGCTGCACTTTGCGTCGCGGGGCACTTCGGAGAAGGCGGCGCGGTTCGTGCGGTTCCTGCTGGAGGAAGGGGCCGACCCGGAGTACGGGTACGCCGGCAGGAGGCCGGCGCAGGAGAGGGCGGCGGCGCTGATGGAGAAGTGGGTGGGCGAGTCGTGGGAGGAGTTGGTGGAGAGGACTAGGGAGGCGAGGGTGAAGAGGAAGAGGTGGGATGGAGTGGAGGAGCTGGAGGGGGAGGATGACGAGTGGGAGGAGGAGGAGGAGGAGGAGGAGGAGGAGGAGGAGGAGGAGGAAGCGCCAGCAGCGAAAAGACGTAGGAAGACGGCGAAGAGGTGAGAATATTACGATGGTGATGATGATGAGGATTAGGATGACAGAATCAAATTATAGTTGCTAGCCACCGTTGCGATAGAGGTGACAGGCGTTCGCGGGGAAATATGGGAAGGACATAGATACTTGGAATTACCAGCCAGACTTCAGAGAAACAAGAATCCCATTTACCACCCATATCAAGATGCACCAGAGAAAACCCCTTATCGTGGGTACTGGTTAGAGAACACGTATCGCCAAAAGCAAACCGAAACGAGATTGATGTGACTGCTGTAACCATGCTCATGTACGGTACATTTGCCAATTTACTTGAGGAACTCGAGGAGTTTCTGATTGCATGATGGTCAGCATACCTCAGTCTAGCGTGTGTGCGTTTCCCAATATTGTTTTCCCTCTCCAACCACGATTCTCCGCAGCTAGCGGATTCATGAGGGGGCCATGGGCTGAAACTCACCTTCCATCGCTCCTCGATAAGATCTTCCTCTTCTTTCCTCTCGTCCATCCCCTGCCCCCCAGATGAGAGAGACTCGCTGATAAGCCTCAGCTTGCTGGCCTGGATCCATTGGATGTACTAAGAAGGAGAGAAGAGGTTAGTTTATGGGTAGTTTGGAGAGATTGAGGAGAGGAGAGTAGACTAGAAGAGACCGATGGCACACAGACTCGTCCGCATTCACCACATACAGAGAGATATATAGAACCAAACTCACCTCTTCAACACTCCCTTGCACACAGTACCTCGTGACCTTCACCTCCCTTGTCTGACCGATCCGATGCACACGATCCACTGCCTGCGCCTCGGCCATGGGATTCCAGTGCGGCTCGACCACGTGTGCCTCGGACGCGACGCTCAGATCGATCCTGTGGTTTGATTAATCATGTCAGCACCGATAAAGAGATGAAAAATGATAATCCAAAGGTACGTGTCGGGACGGAGAATACGTACCCCTCACCTACAGCCCCAATAGTAGCTAACATGACCACGCAGCCGTCATCGGAGTTGAACCTGTCAAGGGCGTCGCGACGCTGCTGTAACGTGGAGCGGCCGTCGATGCGTGCAGAGGAGACACCGAGCAACGAGAGATGTGGAGTCAAGGCGTCACATATCAGGTCAAGCATGCCAGTCCAGTGTGAGAATATGATGCTATGAATTGCCGATGGCCGGTGAGTTGGTGTACATGGAGTACAGGGGTTGGTTGTCGAGGCGAATCAGGGGAGACATACCTCTTGACTGGCGGATTTGTACCGTCAACGGCATCATTCTTGCTCTTAAGGGTGGGGAGGATGTTGCGCAGTAGGGCCGAGATCTTTGACGACGGGCTGTATACCTGGCTGTCTCTACACGGCGATGCTGACGCAGACGAGATATCCTCGGTAGTAGTCGAACACGCCGGACATATCCGCGGCGCGTCATCATCCTCCGTATGCGCTGCCACGCACGCTTCACAAGCGACGTGTTTATTGCACGAGAACTCTACTACGTCAGCCTCCTGCTTCTGGCCCTCCTCCTCCTCGCCGTCGATTCCCCGACCACAGATGCAACAACTTCGCTTTGTCTCAGCCGCCGTCTGCAGGACACCCCAGCCAACCGCGCCGGCGTCGCGATTGCGCCACGCTTGGAGAGCGACGCGAGGGAGCAGCGCTTCCCCGTGGTCGCATATCATGCGCAGCACCGAGATCAGCACGATGATGTTTCCCGCGCTTCTGCGCCGTGTTATTACCTCGGCGGTGGTTTCCGCTGCAGCAGCAGTTCTTGGTCGCCGCCTCGCTGTTTTGGCCCGACTGGCCTTCGAACCTGCCTTTGGATGACCCGGCTTCGAGTTCTCGTTGGTAAGCAGATACGACCTCCGCTTGAAGAAATCGTAGAGTTCCCTCTCGTCGGGCGCCAGCTCTACGATTTCGAGGTGCTCCGTCTTCGGGGGCAGATTCAGCGTCGAGGACAGGCGAGGGAGTGCCTTGGTCCGGCGTAGACAGGTTGCGCGCACGAGCTTCCGTAGCGTCTGCAGCGAGTGCTGCCGGTTATGGAGGGCGGGCGACGAGATCCAGAACCTGAACTGGTCGCGCGTCACAAAGGGTGGGACCCCGATGAAGGCAAGCAGAGACCCGAAGTCGTCAAGCGAGTTCTGGATCGGCGTGCCGGTCAGGCACCACCGGTAATGCGCGGGGATTTCGCATGTGGCGTGGAAGATCTTGGAGGAGCGGTTGCGGATCTTGTGAGCTAGGGGAGCAAAAGGTGGTTGGTAATTAAATTTCTGACGAAAAGGAAGGTACACGGAGACGCAGAAGGGACGGCGAGGGAAGTATATATGCGGAGAGGTGTACTTACCTTCATCTAGGATGATTCTGGCCCACTTTTGAGTATATAAAGGGCCGTATACTGTCCAATCGGAACGAAGTGTGTCATATGTGGTGATGACTACATCGAAGGTGTGCAACTCACTGGCAGCGTCTTGCCTTTTGGACCCGTGGTATACGAACGAGCGTATTCCACCAGGTTTGATGTGTCTGTACATCTTAGTCTTGGTCATAACGGAATAACAACGCAGCGATGTTACTAAATTGATACCTTTTGATCTGTTCCTGCCATCCATAGATGGCTTAGTCAAGTCAGCATATGCCTTAGGAGACAGATGGTCTTGCGTCTTGCATGGGTGTTGAGCACATACTTGACTTCGGTGTTACTATCAACGACGCTCTAGACACTCGGCTCGCCTGAGATGGCGAAAGCCCAGATATCCTGTCGATGTCATGGCAGATGAGTGCCAGGGTAGACAGTGTCTTTCCCAAACCCATCTCCTGTTCCGCGTCAGAATGGCTTGGACATTTTAATATCCTGGACTGTCAGACATACATCGGCTAGGATGCCCCCTCGTAAACTTGGCAGAGGAGACCCCTGAGGGGAACTTGTAACGACGTGGCGGTATCTGCAGGATCGTGAGCTCAAGGGACATATTGATGTTGGGTAGAGAAGAGAAAGTGGCGGGTCAGTTGGATTGCTCACATCATCCCCCCTTCCTCAACAGACTTCTCCCACAGAGAAGGAAACCTTGGTTTGTTGTCCAATGGGCCATGTTCCCTTTCAACCATCATGGCAAGTGCCTCGACTTGGTGGCTATGATATCGTTAGGTCAGCTTATTTTCCCAAACCTAGAGCTGCACCACATACTCTTTTAGTGTTGAGACAATCCTTGAGCTCTGCTTAACCTCAAATGGAACATCTGAATCTGCTCCACTGGCCTCGTCGAATATCCTCAGTACCCGACTCCTCTCGACCTCTCCAAGTTGCACCTCATCGAGAGGCGCAGCCATCTGTCCCCGCCCCGCAGATATTGAAGGACCCCCAATTATGGGCATGTCCTCTCCGGGAGGAAGGAGGTACATGGGGTTAAGATACCTTACTCTCCTGTCGTACTCGGACCCTTCTGGGCGTTGGAAGAATACATCACTCTCATCTAGAACATTTGCGACCTTATCCTTCTCGGAGAGCATACCATAGACGATGACCCTTAGAGGACGTGTTCGGACGGAAGTCAAGGAGAACGACAACGGGTCGGAGCGCCGCTGCCCGTTAAACGTGCCTATGGTTGCGACCAGAGTTATAGAGCACTCTTTGACGAGTCGTGATAGGGCTTCCGAGACTAGAAGTCCAGCCCGTTTCCCGCTGCCCTCGTACTGTAACAACAATATGTTGTCGTGGAAGGAGATCTGCACAGGAGCGGCTTCTGGAGGAGGATCCCATTCCCGGTACTGGCAGGTTGCCTCTAATATGAGCTGTGCAAATTAGTGAGAGTCCTTAAGATGGACTGACTGCTCAGGGGACTGTACCAATCCGAAGCACACGTCATATGACGGACCCGCCGGATCATCAGCAGAAACAGCTAGCTCTCGTTAGTCTTTGGACCTCGAACGGCGATGAGACATGTGACTGTACTTGTGGTGAGTGAGGAACCAGCCATGAGACTACACGATTGCTCATCTCTCGCGATAACTGCGTTAGAACCTCCTCGGCTCTCCTTGTCCAGCTGGGCTTGATACGATGCCGCCGGAGACGGAGACGGCGCGCGCGACGGGATCTCTATGACCTCGGAGTCGGCCTGTACTGGACCCTTCCTCCTTTTCTTCGTTGATTTTCTCTTACTATTTTCTGGCGAGGAAGAGGTGTCGTCCCCGGGGAGACGCCGTTTCCTAGCAGGGGCCATGCTGAAGGGCCGCAGAGTCGGTCAGTTGAGTTGATGTCGATTGTTGCCCAACCTTTGGGTCGATATTCGAGATGCCTGGATCAGGCAGTGGTCCCATGTGGTAGATATTCCTTCCTCTTGAAGGTGGTGCCGGTTGCCTCCTGTCTTCGCTCAAACAGGTAGGCACTGGGTCAAGGGTTTAAAACAGGGGCTGCACAGCCACCTGCCCCCACCCAACCCACCAATCCGCTTCCATGTCAAGCACCAACACCAGCCAACACGGAACCGCTTAGTAGAGGACGTTGGCAGGGCTGTGTGTGCAAAGCCTGATGGCTGTCGGCTGGGCGGAATTGTAGAAGCAAAGGTAGACAGAGTTTCGCTGGCCAAGGTGTTAGCTCGTAGAGTTTTGGGAAAACCACGGCTTACTCCACTTGATCACCACAGCTCGCTTCGACCCGAGCCGAAATGCGGGGGATACTAAGTGTACGCTCGATCGCAATCAAGCATGCTTGTTTCTGTCCACCTGGAGTCTAAAATCAACCAGGACACAGTGCTGGGACACATACCGTATGTCGCATGATGGACGGCGTCGCAGGTCAACACCCAGATTCCCTCTTCATATGAATGGTAGTGCTAACCGCTGGAAAAGTCAAAATTCGCCAAGGGGAGCCTGACGACGTGCCTTGGGTCATCGCACTTTCGGTCAGGGTGCAGGAGGCACTGACATCGTCTGGCAGCAAACAAGTCATCGGCCCTCTCCAAGTGGGCATGGTCGAATCCGCCATTTCAGCACGATGTTGTTATATCCTCTCACTCGAAAGCACATCAGACCGCCTCGGCTCGGTCATCATCATGCCTCTCCCTCACGACCACTTGTACCACCAACAGTTGGGCGCCGACACTATGAAGGATTTTTCCAAGCCGCATTGGGTGCTCCAGTCCCTGATGCTAGAACCAGAATGGCAAGGGAAGAGAATCGGAATTCGGTTTCTTGCCGGCGTGGCAGGGCTCATGGGTCCGGAGTTGGGCACCATCTTCCTCGATTGCTGGGAAGGTAACACGAAGCTGCAAAGTTTCTACTCGCGTGCCGGGTTCAAGCATCTGGGGACTGTTCCTGAGAATGACTACTATGTCGCAGTGTTTGCCAAGGAGATGTGTCGTGAAGACTGAGTTGGCCCCAGTCTAGGTATAGAAGCACTGGAAGAAGAAAAAACACAAGACCAGGTTGATCACATGCATCATCCCGAGTCCCAACCCCAACCCCCATTCCCGCGCAGCCTCAATTCTCCTTAGCCATTTTTCATATATCCAAGACCTTTTCCCGCCCGTCCCAGCGAATGCGAACAGAAACAGAGTGAACCGGATAAAATGGTGGCTTCGGTGCGGCGACATCTATATTAGCCGTCTCTCTCCACACGCTGCTTGACATCATAATAGACCGGCGATATTATGATGCCTCACTATTGGGGATCTCTGGCCACGTTGCCAAAAGCCGAGGCCAGAACATAAAGAAAATCCCATTCCATCCATTCTTCGATCCGAAGCTTTTCTCGTCTCGGCAGATCCCTCTCGGTGGGTTGTCATAGACTCCTTTCCTCGAACGAGTCAAAAGGCAGGCACACACAAACACACACATATACATACGCACACCAATCACACACGCACAATGGCTCGCGCAACACGCCCATCCTACCTCGCCATCGCAGCAACAATCTGCACCCTCCTCACCCACGGCGCCCTCTCCAAGACCACTGGCGACCCAATCCAGGTGCAGCCCCCCGCAGGCCAAGGCGATGGCCTCGCCTACGACACCACCATCGCAGGGTTAGACGCCTTCGCCAGCAACCTGACGGCGGGAATAGAGTTCGCCCAGGCGGCCGGCGGCGGCTGGTACGATCCCAAGCTATGCTCGGGCGGGTACTGCGTGTACGGCAACCGGCAAGCCGCCAACGGGCGGGGCGTCGCGGTGGTGACGACGGGCACCAACATGCAGCGGATCAAGCGCATGGAGCCGATCATGGGGCGGCGCGAGAACAACGGCCCCACGGCGGCCGGCGACCCGGGGTTCGAGGAGAGGGACGTACCCGGGCGGGGCGTCGTGCTGGTGGCCAACCGGACGCTTCGGCGGGGCGACACGCTGATGGCGTGGACGCCCGTGCTGTTCGTGCACAAGAGCCTGTACAAGGACCTGTCCGAGGACGAGCAGGGCCGGCTCCTCGCGGCGGCGGTGCACCTCCTCCCCGACGCGACGCGCGACCGGTTCAAGCGCATGATGCTGACGGCCAACGCGGGCGGCGGCAAGCGCGACCTCCGCGAGGTGGTGAAGCGCCTGTCGTTCGAGACCAACATGGCGTACCGGTTCGCGCCGTCGGACATGGACAACGAGAAGCACTACGTCACGTACCCGGAGGTGGTGTCGCTCGCGCACGACTGCCGCGGCAACGTGGCCTACTACATTGACGGCGCGCACACGCACCACAGCACCGTCGCGCGCAAGGTGGCCCCCGGCGAGGAGCTGACCATGTCGTACGTGGACCCGTTCATGCCGCGGGCGCAGCGGCAGGAGTGGGTGGACAAGTGGAAGAAGACGGGGTGCTCGTGCGCGCACTGCACGGCGGGCGGGGACCTTGGGGCGCTGGCGAGGTCGGACGAGCGCCTGGCCGAGATCCAGAGCATCGAGGCCGTGCTCAAGGAGCCCGACAGCAAGGGCGTCACCACCGACATGCTGGCCCGCCTGGTCGAGCTGTACAAGGAGGAGCGCCTCGAGCCGCGCATGTCCGACATGTACGAGCTCGTCGCCATCAACTACAACAATCTTGGCTATGCGAAGCGCGCCACAAAGTACGCGCTGCTCGCGGCGCAGGCTGGGGCCGTCGAGAGGGGCGCCGACGCGAACGATATCGTGGCGATGCGCATCTTGGCCAAGGACCCCGAGGGGCACTATTCGTGGCGGACTCGGGTGCCCAAGAGCAAGGGCAAGGGCAACAAGGTTGCTGGGAAATGATGGTAAACTGAAGTTGGCGTAGTTGGCGTAAATGACGGGGTCAATGGTACATGGAAGAAAGGGGTGGGCGGGAATGGGAGGAGAAACAAGAGAAAGTTATCTAAGAGCGTGCATGTCATATCTTCTATCAAATCTAAAAGCCCAGATTCCCGAGAGAAAATAGTATAAATAATTACACCCTCCCAACCAGGTCTACCCACCCAGGTCTATTCCGCTTTTGCCTTCTCCTCGGCATCCAAGCGCGCCTTGACAGCCTCGTACTGCGCATACGCATCAGCCTCGGCGTCAAAGTTGAGCACCCACTCCTCGCGCTTGAGCTGCAGCGAGTCCGGGTCCTTCCAGATGGCGTCCCAGTCGGCCTTGTGCCACATGTCCCTCGTCGAGACGCCCGTCGCCTGCACGCGGTGCACCCTGTCATACCTGATCTCCTGAAACACCTTCGCCGCCTCCCTGACGCGGTCCTTGCCGGCCACATCCAGGCACGCCGCCATCACCACCCCGTCCTCCATGCTCTGGCTGGCGCCCTGGATCGACGTGGGCAGGAACGGGTGCGCCGCGTCGCCGATGAGCACGGTGCGCCCCTTCGGCGACACGAAGGTGGGCACGGGGTCGCGGAACACGAGCTTGAAGTCGAACAGCCGGTCCGGCGGCGTGGCCTTCACCTGCTCCAGCACGACGGGGTCCCAGCCCTCGAGGCAGGCCAGCACGTCCTCGATCTTGCCGGGGAACTGCCAGTTCTCCTCAATGTCCGAGTCGTCCTTGTGCGTGCACACCCAGCTGATCTCCTCGCCGCCCTTGATCGTCGCCGTAAGGAAGTGCACGTCCTGCCCGATCCACGCGTTGTGCGTGTCCCCGTCGACAAGGTGCTTCGTCAGCGGGTTCGTCTTGAGGTCTCCCGACGGGAACCACGCGCGGTAGACGGCATACCCCGACGGCTGCGGCCTGTCGTCGAAGCCAAGCACAATCTTCCGGCCCTTCGACTTGACGCCCTCGGCCGCGAGCACGATGTCGGCGGTGAACCGCTGCCCGCCCTCGACCTCGACGCCGGCCTTGTCGTCGTCCTCAAAGTAGTCGACCACGGCCTGGCCGAGGCGGATGTCGATGCCCCTCTGGCGGGCGTGCTCGAACACGATGCGGTGCAGCTCGCCGCGGTGGCCGTTGATGCGGCGGCCCCAGGCGCGCTCGCCGGCGAAGTCCTGGGTGGTGACGTACCTGCCCTGCCAGTCGTGGTAGCGCAGCTTCTCGGCGCGGTGGATGATGGGGTCCATCTGCTCGACGACGCCGGGCCACTTGGCGAACATGCGGCTCGAGTTCTGGCCGAAGCTGATGATGTCGCCCAGCGGCTTCAGCTCGGGGAACCGCTCGAACACGACCACCGAGTGGCCCTTGCGGTCGCACTCGATCGCCGCCGAGAGCCCGCCGAAGCCGGCGCCGACGATGATGACGCTGATGCCCGAGGGGGGCAGTCTAGGGAAGTCTGCCATGGCTTGGTGGTGGTGTGTGCTGGTGTAGCTGTTACTTTGGTGCTGCAACTGCTACCTGCAACTGCTGGTGCCAGAACGGGGACTTGCGACGAGGAGGCAAGCTTGAGCGAGTGTTATATGATGGACACTTTGAATATCCCCAGTTCTCTCCATCTTAAGTCCGATCTGTGCTGACATCTCGGAGAAGAAGCAACCCTCCCTTCCCCGCGTGGCATCTTCCCCGCCTCCGTAGCGAATCGGCTTGTTGGAGAATATCCAGATTCGCCGCCCGCACTGGGGCTAGTTCCATCGGCAGTTGAACAAATCGCCCGAGCCCTATTGATAGTTCTGGGGGAAAAGGCCACCTCGGCAATACGCGGAGAACAGTGGGGGTTGCATTTCCTACACAGTACGCGCCGGGCCCGTCCAAGGGGCAGGGGTAAGCTGCGGATGCGGAGAAGAACCTGGTTAGCCTGAAATTAGTATTGGCAGAACCACACAAGCAAACAGTCGTCGCATGGTCTGTCGCCCTCAATCCAACCCAATAATCCAATTCTACTCTCCTCTCCTTTCCTTTCCTTTCCTTTCCAACCCAGTGTCCAGTGCCTCAGACACATACACACGCTCACACACGCCCACACACAGAGAGAACAAGAGAAACACGCCACAATGCCGTTCGGGATTCTGGAGTCGAAGCACATGGAAGACGTGCCTGGCACGGGTAAGTTGTCGCTCCCGCCTTGGCACCGCCTAGCATCCCGAGACTCTTCTTCCTCGCTGACGCGACTTGGCCGGCAGCTGTCATGACCGACCAGGACGACCTGCCACCCGAATTCAGTGACATCCCGAGAGATCAGCTGAAGCACGGAACCGGGAGGTTCAAGAGTGTCATCCTCGTGCCGCAGCCATCTGACAGTCCGAACGATCCCTTGAATGTGAGTGGAAGCACTCTCAAGTGCGGCGGTGCCTGGCTTTAGCCAAACTGACTAACGTGTGCATACAGTGGCCACAATGGTTTGTTGCTTTCCCCTTTTCCAACCTCACCATGTATGTCTTAGTTTTGCTGGGTGTCTGTCCCTGACACGGAGTATGTGCGTGTGCACTGCAGGAAAAAGGAGATGATCCTCCTCATCATCGGCCTCTCCGCCGCGGTTGTCGGCGCCTACGGCCCGATGCTGTCGCCGGGGTTCGTTGAGATCTCGGCGAACCTGAACATCACGGTCGAGATCCTGTCGCAGGCGACGGCGTGGCTCATCCTGACCATCGGGCTGGGCCTGTTCATCACGAACCCGCTGGCCAAGATCATCGGCCGCCGGCCCGTCTTCATCCTCGCCATCTGCATCATGTTCGCGACCAGCGTGTGGGGCGCCGCCGTCAAGAACTACAACTCGTTCCTGGCCAGCCGCATCGTCGCCGGAGTCGGCATGGCCCCCTACGAGGTCCTCGTACAGTGCACCATCGGCGACCTGTACTTTGTCCACGAGCGCGCCACCCGCATCGCCGTCTGGAACCTGTTCCTGCTCACCGGCATCAGCGGCGGCGCCCTGGTCGCCGGCTACATCATCGAGCGCGACGGCTACCAGTGGACCTTTGGCGTCTGCGCCATCTTCTTCGGCATCCTCATGATCGGCATCGTCTTCTTCGTGCCCGAGACCGTCTACCGCCGGGACTCGCTGGTCGTCGTCGCCCGCGCCGGCGCAAAGGAGTCCGACCCCGTGCACATGGTGTTGGCCCACGAGCATGACGCCCACCGCCATGCCGAGAAGAAGGACGAGAACCCCGGCCAGGTCGAGGTCGCGGTCGCCCACTTGGGAGCCGATGAGAAGAAGCACAGCTACATACGGTCTCTGCGCGTCTTCACCGGTCGTCACACCCACGCGCCGATGTGGAAGGTCTTCACGCGGCCCTTTGTGCTGCTGTTCTACCCGGCGGTCTTCTGGGCGTTCCTGTTATACGGCAAGCAAACCACCATTTTCTCCCTCTCCGCCCCTTCTCCTCTCCTCATGAAACACACCAACAGCCGAGCATGATCTCTAACCCCGACCCAATCACAGGCACAACAATCACATGGATCGTCGTCTTCTCCGTCGTCAACGCCGTCATCTTCGTCAACCCGCCCTACAACTTCTCAGTCAGCCAGACGGGCCTGATCAGCCTCTCCCCCTTCATCCTGACGGCCGTCGGCGAGGCGATCGCCGGCCCTCTCAACGACTACATCTGCCTGTGGCTGACGAAGCGCAACCGCGGCATCTACGAGCCCGAGTTCCGCCTGCCGCTCATGATCGTGGCGACCATCCTGGGGGTCGTGGGCTTCTTCGGCTTCGGCGCCACGGTCCAGTACCAGACGCACTGGCTCGGCCCCGTCCTGTGCTTCGGGTTCGCCAACATGAGCATGGCGTTCCTGGCCACGTGCGCGTTCGGGTACGTCGTCGACTGCCACCGCACGCTCAACGAGGAGGCGTTTGTGGCTATCAATGCCAGGAATATCTTGACTTTTGGGTTGACGTACTTTGTCAACGACTGGCTTGCCGAGGATGGCGCCTTGGTTGTGTTCTGCATCCTGGGAGCTCTGTTCCTTGTCGTGTGCTTGCTGACTATCCCTCTCTGGTGAGCTCCCCTTACCCCTGGCTTTGGCTCTGGTGTTGTCCATGGGGAATTGGATGGGACGGCTGTGCTGACGCTTGCGAATAGGATCTATGGGAAGCGGGCGCGTGCGCTAATCGCTCGAAACGAGTGGCTTCAGAGGTTCATGAACGATGAATCTGACGGGAGCTAGTGGACACAGGGTTCCGGTGAGACATCAGAGGTAATTCTTGAGTTTGTTTGGATGAGTGGGATGGACAAGACGCAGAGTGATACTGAATGAACTTCATATACAAAGTTTATGTCATAATAGCATATAGGCGGACATCATATGCCAGAGACTACTTAATATTTGCATATATTGTCGCCATAAATGCATATTACTCTTGAGCTGCGAGGGATTTATGGTGTTTCCGGGTTGAATGCAGTTACGCATACTAGCGTTGCTGATGTGCAACCAACCTGTGGGTGCTGGCGGGCCGGGGAGCCGGATCGGCAAGTCAGGCACCAACTGACCAGATGGACCAATCAATGCACCCCATAATCCCTGCCTGCCTGCCATGTCTCGCACTAGGCTATTGTAGGGATGCTAATTTCAAAATCCCCGGAGTCCCCTCGTCGTCGCGCGCAGGTGCCCGACATTTTCCCAGCCCTCAAAGTACAACTTCCGTGGCCAATGTTCGCGATCGCCTGAGTCGCCAATTCACCGCCCCATCGGCGGTTGAACCGCTCCTTTGCCCGAAGTCGAAGACGAAGACAAGACGAAGACGACGAAGACGACAAAGTCAAACAATAGCCGCTCTTTTCCGATGATGACATTTATCAGCCACTCCTTCACAATGCGCCGGGCGATTCTATTCCTATGGCTGCTCGCCTGCGCCGCCTCCCCCGCGATTGCCGCTTCTGGTACCGCCTGGGTGACACCTCACGAGAGCTACTCCTCCTCGGTCGGCGTGCTGGGCTGCAAGATCAACACAGACCGTGTCGCATACTGGCCGGGCTCGGTGGACTGCAACAACGTGTGCGTGTCGCTGAGCTACGGGGGGCGGACAGTGTACCTGCTGCGGATCGACCAGTCCGGCGGCGCGCACGACGTCAGCTACGACGCCTGGAACTACCTTTACACGGGCTACTCTGCGACGTCGAAGCCGACGGCGGGCGGCGAGGTGGCGATGGAGTACGCCGACGTGGACGCCTCCAAGTGCGCCGACCTGATACACACAAAGGGCCACAAGCTGCCGTTCAGCGCCGCCAACAGCATGAACTTCATCGCCAGCTGCCTCGACCAGAAGGACAGCTGGGTGGCGAAGAACTACCTCATGTACAACATCCTCGACCCGCTGTGCACCTGGGGCTACGACGAGCAATGTACGCTCAACTACCCGGCCGACAACCAGCCCAAGTGCCCCCGCACGCTGGGCACCCCCGCCGCCCTGACCAGCGCCCCGGTCTACAACATACAATACCCGTCCGGCAAAAGGGTGCTCGCGGGACAGGTGGCCTCCGTGCCGGGCACGTCCGGGAGCGCGTACAGTCTTGGGGGATCGCGGGGGAATATCATCCGTCTGGACGCGGTCAGGTGGACGATGCTCGCGTCCCTACTTTTCTTTTCGCTTCTATACTCTCTTTAGCCTCGGCGGGGCCACGCTGGGGCGTTTCTTACTTTTTCTCAGCTCGAGAGGGGGCTTTTGGAGAACCGCTCTCCGTCCTGATACCACCTGTGTATATGTGTATAGCTTAACGATTCCCTGTTTCTGATGAGCAACTGGTTCATCCCTTCGCTAGGTGCATGTGATGTGACCATATGATGATGAGCATGGAGAGGATTTGGGGAAGGAAATGACAATTCGACAATCTAACTAGGTAGGTATTCCGCATCAGTCAAGTACACGACATACGACAAAAGCAAACAAAAACAACGCATTCGCCAAGTAAAGCTAATAACACATCGCCCTCTCCTCGACCTCGGCGCACCCATCTCTCCCGAGTGTCCACTGGTCGCAGAGCACGTTGCACTGCACGCCGGGCCTCACAAACACCCTCCCCTCCTGCCCGACCCACGGCAACCTCATCTGTGCCGACACGTCCCCGGGCGCGACCCCAGCACCCCTAAAGCCATGCGCACAAGCACAGTAATGCGCCCCCGCGCCCGCCGCCCCGGTCCCTCCCACGACCGCGATACAGCTAGCAGTGAGCCCACACCCATTAAACCTCGGATCCGGGTCACACGCCTGCAGACACGCCTTCTTGCAAGCTGGCGTACAATCCGAGCTCCCAGCAGGCCCATCATCGCACTCCTCGCCGATCCCGGGCTGTACGATTCCGTCCCCGCAAAACTCCACGTGGCAGGTAGCATCGCACCCATCGCCAGCCACCAAATTCCCATCATCACACGCCTCCCCCGGCTCCAGGACGCCGTTCCCGCACACCGCCGGCGACACCTTGCAATCGGCCTCGCACCCGTCGCCGGACACGTTATTCCCGTCGTCGCACTCCTCCCCGCCATTATTGGGCGAGAGGATGCCGTCGCCACAGATCCCGCGACAGTCCTCGTAGTAGAGGTTACACACCCTCTGCAGGTCGAGCAGGGTCGGCACGACGCCGTTCCCGCCCCTCAGCGGGATGCCGGGCTTCGCCGGGGTCATGGGCGGGAGGTAGGAGGGCGGGCGGGCGAAGCTGGAGGCGCCGTACTGCATGATGGAGAGGACGTCGTAGGGGCCGGACCAGTCAACGGACGCGTCGGTGGGCGACAGTTTGTGGAAGTTGCAGCCGTAGTCGATGCAGGTGGGCGGCGAGCAGTGCGCGTCGGTGCAGTGGTCCACCTCGTTCTCGTGCGGCGGCGGCTTCATCACGAAGGAGCCGCAGACGCGCGTGCAGTCCAGGTCGATGTAGGCGTCGCGGTCGGGGCGCATCTGCTCGTGGATTAGGCCGAGGGCTGGGCGGTGTGTTAGTGGTGGGGGGGAGTAGTCAAGGGGGCATGGATGCTTGCTTACTGTGTCCGATCTCGTGCACGTAGACGCCCAGATCCTTGCCCGGCCCGCTGCCAATATCCCCCAGGACGAGGTAGTTCCCGTTAGCGGACTGGGCACGGCCGACGGGAGAGCTCGACACGCTCCCCTTGTCGAGCTTCAGCACGATGGGGCCGTTGGCCGTCGACACCGTCTTGAAGGATCCCTTGTCGATGAAGCTCAGGAACGGCAGCCGGTCGGTCCAGATCTTGGTGGCTTCGAGCCAGTTGTCGACCCGCGCGTCCTTCGTCGCCTGGCTCTCCCAGTAGTACTCGACGCGGCCGCCGGGCCACTTGAGCGAGCTCTCCCTGCCCAGCGATAGCGCTCGCCGCTGTATCTGGGGTTGGTCTCCATCCCGCTTGTGGACCACGGTCGAGTTGCCGTCGGGGACGCGGAGTGCGAGGAGCTCCTCCTCGGAGCCGAAGATGACGTCGCCGTCGATGATGGCGAGGTCGTGCATGACGAAGTACGACACCCGGCGTTGCACGGGGGGGTAGGTGATGTTGTAGGCATAGCCGGTGTTGTTGACGAACTCAGTGGGGGGCTGGTATTCGATTGTGATGGTGGTCAAGTTCTGTCCCGGAAAGGCCCAAGCAGTTGCATTGGCTATGGTGGTGTTGGATCTGTCAAATCCGGGAGTGGTTTCGTTCTGAGCGAAAGACTGGCTGAAGAGCAAAGCTCCCAACCCAAGGAGTTTCAGAGCAGCCGCCATGCTTAGGGAAAGAGAAGTCGATGGAGTGTGCTATCTCAGAAACTCCCACACTAGATCAGGTCGAGACGACCCTTTTTGACTTGATATTTCGATGTTTAATTTATGGCATCCATTTCCGGTCATCTGCCCGTGGCTTGCTTCGCAGGACACGGTTGGGGTTGAAACCTCGGACTTTTGACACTTGTGGAGGCATTGTTGGTGAAAATAGAAGTATTGCCAAGTGTTTGCTAAATGCACAACGAATGGGTTGAAAGGCACCCATTTTCTTGGCCCGACGGCTGAGAACGACAACACCGTCAAACAGCACGCAGAGCATAAGGATGGAGAAAAAGGAGGCGTCCGCTAGCGGCGAGCCAGCCACCATCGCCCACTAAGCTTTGAGTCTGGGTCACTTGGCATACGGGCGAAGCAACTGAAGTAAAGACAAGCTCAAGCTAGCAACGCAGGCCCGAGAATAAGGTTGCGGCTGAGGGTTAGAAATGCACGTTCAGCCTGAGAAGCCCATCACGAGGGTCGCTTCTCTTATTATTGAACAGCCCCCTTGCCGTAATCTCAGCCACCACCATACCACCATTCCATACTTTGCCGAACCGTTCCCAGACAAAGACGCCCCAGCTGTCGGGCTCTTGCTGCGGCACCATTAAAATCTTGGGCACTCTTCCGAAAGCTAAATACGAGAACAGAGGCCTTACAAAAGCAGAGGCCCAGAGCACATTGCCGTGTTTGGGCTGGAGAAGACCATCATCACGTTCAAGAAAAACCAGAAGAGAGAGAGAGAGAAAAACACCCCCATTATGACTCCCAAACGGTCCAACAAACCCCCCAGGCGGTCCCTCTACCCCTGCGTCACCTCCTACCTTATCCAGGTCCTCCAAGTCTTGTCAGCATGCACCGTCTCCGGCGTCATGTTCTTCTTCATCTCGCATCTCCACGGGAAGAGCTATACCATGCCCTGGATGTTCTTCATGGTGAGTCGTCATGTCTCTCTCAAGACAATTTCCAACCTTTTCGCCGAGTCTAATCCTCTGCAAGCTCCAAGCCTCAGCTCTCCTAACCCTGATCGCGATCCTGGGTCTCTCCATCTGGGGATGCCTGCGCGGCCCCATCCCGCTCATTGGAAGCATCATCCACGGGGTGCTGTTTGTCTCCTGGGGCATCGGGTTCGGCCTGCTCGCGCACGCGATGAGCACAACCATCACCAGGCCCTGTACGACTGTGTATTGGGGCAACAGCCAGGGTGTCCAGATCTGCACTCTGTACAAGGCCCTGTTTGCGGGTGCTGCCATGGGAGTGTAAGTAGATCGGCCCCTCTCTTTCAATGCATCAGTCTTGATTATTGGAGATAATTAACTGTTCGTTGGCTTTTCCAGTCTGTCCACTCTCGGGGCAACGGCCGTAGAGATCTCAGCCAGCCGCAAGCTGGCTGCAATGAGAAGGCGACAGCCCGAAGACACGGTGGTGCTGCTCACGAAAGGACCCGCTGATACTCGCTACATGCCCGTCTGGGGTGACGATGTTCATGGGCGGACACATCAGTACTCGGGGAGAGGCTGAGCTGGGGGACCACCCCCTGAGCTGCAGTTCCACAAATCAAGCATGTAATTAACACTTGACGAGATGTGGTTGGAACTATTAGGCAATCGGGACTGCGAAACGGAACATGGTTTTTATTTTCTCTGTCGTTTAGTCAAGAGGCTGGTGTTGTGTAGCTCAATACCAGATATCACCTTCACTCTTGAGTTCTGGGCCTCTGTCTACCGTCCCTTTCCATAGCGTATTCCGAGGCAATAGACCTTGGCCTTGCTGAACGTGTTTTCGAACGCGTTGGTGAAGTACAGGTCCCCGTCGCGGTACTTGATTCCATGTACCCCCTCTCATTAACAGGCGATCCCTCAGGCGCCTTCAATTCATCGTCCGCCAGTGCGACGCTGTACTCTCCCGTCGCGACGCTCATCCTATAGATGGACCCCTCTCCCGCGCCGGCGATGAAGACGGTGTCATTTTGTTGAGCCGATGAAGAAGCCCGACTCGGGCACCTTCTTCACCGGCGTCGTCCTCGTGAGGTCCACCTCGTACACGGCGTAGGATCCCGACCTCGGCGCGAACGTCTTGGTGTCGAGGTCGCCGGCCACGACGGCGAAGACGTCAGGCGAGATCTCGGCTATGCCCATCAGACCGGGCGCGCCAGAGATGGAGAGCACCCTGGACGCCTCCTTGGTCGCAGGGTCTACCTTGATGCTTCCTATCTACCCACTCTACCCATCCCCTGTGTCTATCTTCCAGTGTAGAAACTGTGCAGCTCGCACGCGTTCTAACCCCACAGAACATAACACAAATCAAGCAGCTCAAGGTAAGCCCAACCAATCTTACAAACTGGTTCTGTGGGAGGTTGATTACCCAGTCCAGTCCTCTGCAGCTCAAATGCCCCTAGAATGCGAAGAATGAAGAGGAACAGTTTCTATGGTATGGCCTTGATTATACGCGACCCTGTTAAACCACGGCTTCCCTAACGCATCGCTGATAGCTTAATCTGGAGTGAGACAAGTTTTTAACCCCCCCCATTGCCCCCAAACGAGGTGCTGATGCAGATCGGCACACGAAAGCCGACTAAGGCTCCAGTCATCGCCAATTCCAGTCCATCTCAGGCTCGCGAGTGCAGATCAATACCACTACATAGAGGTTGCAGGCAACATGTGGCAGCGCTAGGAATACGAGAACACATCCCGCCAATCAGCCGCGCAGCTTCAAAGCAATGCTACCCTCTATGACGCTGTAAATGACGAGAGCTTCCCGTCGGTCATTATTAATTAATGTCCTGTTCTGTTGTCGTGTGTGCTTGGCTCTAGATGCCTAGAACCCTTGGGTCTCTTGATCACTTGACGCAGTTTAGCACGCAGCTAAAAGGGCCGAAGGCGAAATGCGAGTAGACACGCATACCTGCCAGAGCCCTTCATTGCCGGAATAAGTAGCCAAAGGGAGCCCACCCGACGAGAAGGAGCCTGGATTATTTAACAGAGACACTCTGGTAGAATCTACTAAACCACAACAATCCAATTAAACCGTGAAATCTCTCCCAAGGCCAAAAATGCTCTTCCCCACAGCCGCCCTCGCCGCCTCCCTCTGGGCCTCCACGACCCTCAGCCAACCCTCCAACCCGTCGTCCCGCCCATTCCACCTCCACACGCAACTCAAGCCCGACCAGCCCGGCAAGGACCGCTTCGACAACCTATGGCTGTACGCCTACCACACGGGCGCGGGCCTCAACGACGCCATGCTATCGGGCAACAAGACGCACGCCATCGCGGGCTTCCTGACCGCCAGCAACATCACCACGACGCCCGGCGGCGACGCCCTCTACGGCGTTGGCTTCGACCTCGGCGGCGACACCGGCTTGTCCTGGGGCCTGGGCCCGCAGATCGGCGTCAACACGTACGCCGCGTGGCAGCCCGTGCGGATCGACGCCGGGGGCGCGGCTGCCGGCGAGTACAGCGCCTTCTTCGTCGACGGGGACGGGTTGCAGTGGACGACGAGTGCGACAGGGATACCGGATAGCTTTGGCGGGTGGTTTGGTGAGTTTGGTTTGCCCCTTTTCGTCTCGTTTCCGGCAAAAAAAAAAAGAGCGGCGTGGTTACTTCTGCGCACTGCGAACTGTGGGAGTGTCGGTTGCTGACCTGTTGGTTCGTCTTCTCATTAGTTTGCAACTGGTGGCATGGGGATATTGACGGGGCTGGCGCTGGGCCGCAGCTGTTTTTCAGGGTTAATGGGTTTGGTCACATTGCTCTTGAGACCTGTGCGGATGTCTTCCTAGTCCCTGAGTACATCTGAAATGTGTGAGTTCGAGTCGTGCATTCATGTTCCCCACGCAGAGGCGGCTGGGAAGATGCCGTTTTGGATAGGTAGGTAATTATTGGCGCAAGCATTTTTTACTAGAGATTATAGCACTTATTAGCATCCTAGCCAAGAAAATAAATAAAGTGATGGGAATAGATCTGATATCTTCGAAATCAAATATAGGCAGTCACCAAGATAATTAAAAAAAGACTAAAAAAAAGAGGGGGGTTTGGGAACCTGACAGGACTTGAAATGCGTCGACTTGAATACGTCGACGTGAATTTCAGGATCGTCCTACCTGACGACGACGGCTATAATAAAGGCCAGACGACGGCAGAAGATATTAAACCCAATGCTGTACCAATGCCCACTATGCCATCGGATGGCTGAGGTCTGGTTTGGAATTTGGTTCCACAATCGGGGTATATATGGATGTGTACAGTACCGACCTAGGTAGTTTGTACAGCCATGCCGTTGTCAAGTTGACTTCACCTTCACTTCACTTCACTTCACTTCACTTCCACCTCGAAACCGGTTTAGGGGCAAGTGGATTCCAAGACCGTGCGAGAGTTCACATGTTCTCTACTCTTGTGTTAGGTCTATTCGTGAGATACGATGCTCCCTCCACGTCTCGTTGCCCCCAAAAATGTTTACAGTCCGGTTTGTCTGGGGAGGATTCAGGGGCTAGGGGTAGAGCATATGGGAAACTCTCATTGGGCCGATGATATTGCTTGAGGCTCTTGGTGCTCTCTTTATCCAACCCAGCGACTGGAGATTTCACAGATTCTCGATCTTGAAGCAAGATAATAATTAAAGAGGAATTGGAGCCTGGTTTTGATCTGGAGGCAGACGGAAATCTCCGATAATAAGTTGGGTTGGTTCTAATGGACTTGAGCCCCGACTTGAGCCCCCCGAGAAGCAAACGCTTGTCGGACGTGGACGGAGGTTCATCTATCACCGAGATGTTTGGATGAGCTGCTCTGGGCATGTCTCCGCTTGAAAGACTGGGCGCCTGTGACTGTTGACCTGTTACTCTCGCAGCTACGCCGGTGCGCCCTGATTAATATAGTCTTGCCCTTGAACTCGTTTTGCTATCATTAATTAATGGAGGACGGCTTGTTTGAAGTGACACGTCGTCTTCTCTAGACCAGTGTAACACGGCCGGCCATTCCGGGGGAGAAACGGCGATTGGGGAAGGATTCCGTGCCCAGCTATGAGCATTGATGGGGGACTGTACTGCGGATGCTGTATCTATGCGGATCGCTGACGAAGACTGAGTTAAGCCGGAGAGGCTGTGGCTGTTTCGCTCGCTCCACGATTGTCAACGCCAACGCCAAGACCACGAACAACGACTTGAAACTTTGTTAAAGTTCCGTCCCCGGTTCGCAGGGGTGTATTCCAATTTCCGGGTCCCACGACCCATGACAGCCAGGAATTGTGAGACTGCATCTGCCGCACTTGCATGAGAACTCCACGGTTCCCCCACAACATGCATAAAACTGCTCTTCAGGCCAAAGGCATGATTCGCTCGCCGTTTCTTCGTCAATTGGAGGCGGAGCCAGGGATACCAAACAGAGCCGAACATCAAAGCGCAAATCTTCTCGACTCTGTGGCCCGCCGCGGTCTTCCCATAATTAAATAAAACACGATTGTCCCCGTCCGATGGGAACGACGAAAAGGGGGTCCGGTTGGCGTGCTTTATGCTTAAAATCTTGATCCAACCCAACCCAACCCAACCCGAACGGAATCGAAATTATGGCAGCACGCCCGCCTCCACGTCCACATGGACTGACGCGGCGGTAGGAAGAGACTCAACTCGTCCGGCCGACAGCTAGCCAGCAATGGAAACATTGACGACCAAGCTGGACTTGGACGGTGCAAGCCCATCACCATCCCAACTACCACCACCCCCGAGACCGAAATGGCTAGTAGCTGGGCCCGCCTCCCGCGGCCCGGGCTCGGAACCGACATCCTCCCCACCACCGGCACCTCCCCCAGCCCCAAGCCACCAGCGAAGCAGCAGACCCCCCACCCCTCCAAGCGCACCCTCATCGCCGTGCTCGCGCAGTTCCTGTCCTCGGGCGCCGGTATCGCGCTCTCCGCCGTCGAGGCCACGACGCTCTCGGCGGCTGCGGCGGCGGCGAGTCGCACCGATATCGCGAGAGGGCTCCTCCTTCTCGGCGCCTCGGCCATCGGTGCCACGTCGGCGGGTGTGCACGTCGCCGTCGGGGCCCGGAGGAGTGGCGGCGCCGGCGGCCGGCGGCGCAACTATTACTTGCGGGCCTGCGTGGCGCTGCTGGAGCGGCTCGGCGTCGTGGCGTGGGCTGGCGCTGTCGCCGTCACCTGCGTGGTTATCTCGCAGACTGGAATTGTGTCGTCGCGGGGCGGGTTGGGGAGAGAGGAGTTGTTGCGTCTTGGAGGTCTTGTCGCCTGCGTTGCTGGCTTGTAGGTGTTCTTGATGTGTGTACGCCGGTGAACTTAAGTGGGCTGACAAGCGATACATACAGGCTTTCACTCTCCGCCCTTGTATATATCCACGAGACCTCGGAAACACCGTTTGCCACGGCTTGGCTGTCGGGGAGCCGGGCACGACACAGCATGAGCGGCTCAAGCGTTGAGGACTACGCCGACTTGAGCGTCTCCCGCCGGGCGTCTCTGGAGAAGCAACAGGAGGATAATGTCTCAGAGGGGGATGACACCACCGAGCAACCCTCCTCGGACGGTACGAGGAGAAGCGTAGCCGGCAGGTCCAATGGCGGGGTGGATGATGACGATCCTTGGAGATTTACCTCGTCGAGTCCGTCGCCTTCCACTTTCCCAGCCTCGCCGAGAGGACCGACACATGCTGCACACGCAAGACTTTCGGTCTTCCCCGTACGACCAGCTCGATCATATGCCTTCGAGAGCCATGATAGGTTGAGAAGCCAAAGTGGGATCTGGCCTACTGTTGACATGTCTTACCCACACTTCAGAACCAGGTCAGAGCCTCAAGGGCGGCGGGCATCGACACAGGTGCAGGTCGGGTATTCTTCAGAGTCCCCAGATATCTCAACCCCGTCCTCAAACCCCCTAGAAACACCCTACACACCAACTCCATACCGAACACCAGATCCATCACCCACCACCACGACCGCTAGCACCGACACCGACGCCACCGACGAGGGCGAGCCAGACAGGGGACGCCGGCCCACGACCGCCGGCCACCAGCGGGGCCTGTCCCGGACGGCGCGGCGGGTGCAGAAGGAGCGGCAGCGGGGGCGGAGCGCGAGCGCGAGCGTGGGCGCGAGCGTCAACTTCTCGCGGCCGCTGCCGCGCGGGGCGGAGACGCACCAGCGTTCCAAGTCTGTGTCGGATGCTGGGCGAGTGGCTCGATCTTACGTGGCAGCAGCATCTCTCAGATATTTACCTGTCTAGGACTCAGCCCGAAGTGGAAGTGGAGAGGTCGGGATGCCTGTCATCACTATCCTTACCATCCCACTATTACCTCGACTCGTGGCCGGAAATACCTCCGAAGGCGTCAGTATGCTCGCCTATTTTTTATTCCGAGGGGTGGACGCATTCGCTGTTTTCTTGCCGTTTGCGCCCGCTTTCCGAACCCGGAGCTTGCACGGACCAGCAGGCGGTGCAAGTCGAGGTCGTTGTCATCGTTGCGCGCTTGTTGCGGGCCCTTTTCGGAATTCGGTTGTGAACAGCAACCTAGCAGCATGGGAATTCTCGGCGAGAGAGAGTGACGGAATTGGCCGCCAGGGCAGGCATCCGAGAATGCATGATAAGCTCATGATTCAGGGTCTCCACGTGTGTAGGGTCTCTCGCCTTCTGACTATGTACACGTGTATCACGTTCGATGGAGCAGGTATCTCGAAGATGATCTGGCAGACTGGGGCGATGCTCATGCGTGGCTAGCCAAACTTTATCTTCGAATCCGATGCCACGGGATTGGTCTACACAAGAGAGAAAAAATAGCACAGCAGTATCCATATATATAAAGTTACCCTATGACCTCAGTGGCGATGATCTCTTGCCCTGGTTGGTTGATTCGACGGAGTCTAACTCTTTCCAAAATGTGCGTACAACGTACACCCTGGGTAAAAGGCCTCGAGGGAAGGGTGCTACCGTGTCAAGATCTTGGTACTCGATTGCCATGATCTGAACACACTCGAAATAGGTAAAGATGCAACCTAACAATATAGGAGCAGGTTTTCGGGCTTACAAAACGCGTCTCGCGTGGAGCCAAGAAAGAACCTTGCGCTGGGTTGGCTCGTGCTAATTAACTATCGACGAAAAGGGTTAGACCCAATCATTGCCAAGGGAACCCCTTCCAGATTCCAGATTCCCGATTCCATTCCAAGTCCCAGTCATTCTCTGCTGTCCTCTGAATCAGCGTAAAAAAACAGTGTAGGTCCTGCAACGTGGGTCACTGACGTTGAATACCTAGGTACCTTGAGGTCTCCAACTCACGAGTCGGGTCCGGCTTATCAGCTCAGTATTGTCGCGATGGCGAGGGAAGAGCAGGTTCGTTCGTAGGTATCATGTGATGCATGGACGGCACTGCCCGGCATCTCTTACCCCACTGCCAAGAGTCCCAGTTAGCGTGTCATATACATCATCATGCAGATCATGGCCCAGCTTTCCATCTTTTCCGCGGCCCTGGACAGTGAAGGGCCTGGACCCTCCCCATCGTCATCATCTCATGTTGCAAATCCGTCGCTTATCCGCCCCGTTGTTCTGTTCCATTGCTCTGTTCACCCTGCCGGTGGAAGGAATATCGACGGACGGATTCAATTCCCAATTGCGACGACTCTTCTTCCTCTTGCCACCTCTGCCTCCACTCTCGAGCGTCCAGGGTCCAGAGTCCAGAGTCTAGACCCAGGGTCGTCTCGATCCACAACTTCTCGGAGGACTGTCCGTCGGCTTGGCATGTTTCCGTCATCCATCTCCAATCGTACACGTACTTTGTTATCGACAAGCGGCCCCCAAAAAGAAAACACCCCCCCCCAGCCACATCCCGCCCCTCCGCCGTTCCGCCCGCATATGCCAGAAACCAAGCCTTACATAGTGCTGCGTGTCTCGTTTGGCGGATATTAGCACCACACGGAATCAGCCATTTACCATAATAATGAGGGAGATATGATATGATTTAATGCACCGCCTGCATTTTAGCAACCACTGGAAGTACGTGTACGTGTTTGTCTCCCCTCCCTCTTCCCTCCTCCCTTCGCTCCGCCCTCCTTGCCGCCAGCTTCATCCCTACCGAGCTTCCCGTTCGACACCCTCACCTTCCCAAGGCCAGCGCATTAGGATATTAGTTCTCACCATCGACATCATCGTCCACATGGCAACGTTCCCCCTCTCCTCCCCCCCTTCCTCTAGCCTCAACACCGCCGATATGCCCTTCGATGGGAGCCCCTCAATAACCCCGATCCCCCCTTCACTGGTGCCCATCTGCTGCTACCCGCCCCCCATCAGCAATGCTCCCATCTCTTTGCCCGACGCAGTTCTCTGTCCTAACCGGAGCACCATGAGCAACACAGACACCACCACCCCCGCCCGGCGAAGAGTTGAGGTGATATCCTCTACCAGCGGCAACATCTCGTACACCCCGAGAGATCCGTTCGACTGGAAGCGCCGCGACGCCGAACCCCCGAGCTTTCCGTCCCCGCGCATCCAACCGCGCCAGCGCCGACCTCACTCCATCCATACCCTCTCGTACCCTCCCGGCTTTATTCCGTCCGACTTGCGGCGCGAACACGAACTCGAACTCGCAACACGGCTGCAAGACGAGGCCCGGCAGGCAAAAAGGAGGAAGGACGAGGAGAAAGAGCAGAAGGCACGCCAGAAGAGAGCCGCAGAAGCACAACAGTGGAGGAAGTCGCTTTCGCTCGAGCGTTCCAGTTTCGCCATCAAAGCCCTCGACAGCCTCCTCGCGACTCTGTCCCCGTCGCCCATCGGTTCTGTCTTTCGCTTCGGCTCGGGTTCCAACAGCTCGGCTCAACGGCCCCGACCGCCCCAACCGCCCCAACCGTCCTGCGATTCTCCGCCGACACCCAGCCATATACAGAGGCCTCCGAGCCTAGCCAGTATTGCCCGACGTTTTTCGAGATCCGAACCTGAGCCCGATCCCGAGCCCACCGTCGACGACGAACCGATAATGCGCGCGCCCGTCATGGTTGACGCAATCCGGCCGCCTTTGGCGGGCCCTCACGCGAATTCCCACCACCGGAACAGCATTATGTCCGTCCGGTCGGCAAAGAGCGTTGCAACATCCTCGGTAGCCGAGATACAGAAACCCGTCGCGTCCGGTAGTGGGGTTGCATGCTCGATACGGCTCGCCGAACCCAACGTCTTCCTCACCGGTTTCGACCACGACGGCCAGAACCGACCCGAGGACCGGAACGCGACGGCCCTTCTCAGGGGGACGCTCCAGTTGTCCGTGTCCAAGAACATCAAGATCAAGGCTATCACACTGAAGCTCGTTGGGAAGGCCCGGACGGAATGGCCCGAAGGCATCCCGCCTCTAAAAGTCGACCAGTTCGAGGAGGAGACGTTACGGGCCCAGTCGTTGGTCTTCTTCCACGCCATGCACCTGGGCATCTGGGAGACCGAGTTCGGCAACCAGTGCACGTATAACCTAAAAGGGAGCAGCGGTCCCATGACGAATCTTAGGCCTCCTCTGTCGGCCGACTCATCAGTCACCTCGCTTTCCTCCATAGCCAGGAGTCGCCAGAGCATCAGCCTCTCCCCCAAGGAGCTCAAGCGCCTGTCCCTCCGGTCGGCTAACTCGCGCAGTTTTGGCAAGGACGACAACCCTGCCGCCAACCCGGTCCAGGCAAAGGGATACAAGGTATTCTACCCGGGGACCTACGAGTACTCGTTCGAACTCCCCATCGACCACCACCAGCTCGAGACCACGAAGCTCCAGTACGGCTCGGTGAAATGGGAGCTGGAGGCCATAGTCGAGCGCGCCGGCGCCTTCAGGCCCAACCTCCGCGGCGCGAAGGAGGTGTCAGTCGTCCGCGTCCCCGACCAGCTGTCCCTGGAGATGACGGAGCCTATCTCCATATCGCGGCAATGGGAGGACCAGATGCACTACGACATCGTCATCTCGGGCAAGAGCTTCCCCATCGGGGGCAAGATACCGATCGCTTTCAAGCTCACCCCTCTCGCCAAGGTGCAGATCCACAAGCTCAAGGTGTTCCTGACCGAGAGCGTAGAATACCGCACCAACAACCGGCGGGTGACGCGGAAGGATCCCGGCCGCAAGATGCTGCTCCTCGAGAAGGCGGCGGGGAAGCCGCTGGACAAACAGTACAGTCAGAGCGAGTTCCACATTCTCGGCGGCGGAGAGCTCTCCCCGGGCGAGCGTGTGGAAGCCAGGGCGGCCGCGGCGAGACGGCGAACCCTGGAGGCTGCGAGGACGAACAGGGCACCCGAGCCGCTGCCCGAGCCGGCGGACAACCTCCTTGGAGATCTAGATCTGGGGCTCGAGACGTATTGGTGTAGCACTGAGATTGAGATGAACGTCCAGATACCGACCTGCGAGATGATGGCCAAGGACAAGGGATTGCGGTTGAACCCGGACTGCAGCTGGAAGAACGCTAACGTTTTCCACTGGATCAAGGTCTGTCCCTCATTGCTGGCCCAGTCTGCAGAAATCCCAAATAAATACTAACAAACCCCACACAGGTGGTCCTGCGCATCTCCCGCGTCGATCCCGAAGACCCCACTGGCCGCCGCCGACGCCACTTCGAGATCAGCATCGACAGCCCCATCACGGTGCTCAACTGCCGCGCTACCCAGGCCAACACGTCGCTCCCGCGGTACTCGGGCCTAGACAGGCTCCCCGCCTCCCAGCAGCAACAGCCACAGACAACATGCGGCTGCCCCGACGCCCTCGCCACCCTGACACCACCGACAAGTACCGACAGCCCGTCGAGCTCGACGGCGTCTCTGGAGAGTCGCGACAGCCCGGCCAACAGCATCGCCCCGTCCGCCCTCCCCGCCCCGCCCCAGGCCGCCCACTTCCAGTCGCCGGCGGCCCAGAGCAGGGCCAACATGGCGGCGGGCGTGTCGCCGCGGAACACGTGGCCGCTGGCGCAGTCCGCCGCCGCCGCCGGTTCCTCCCCCTACGGCGGCGGGCCCGCGGTCGGATACCGCCCCATGGAGCTGCTGCGGTACCCGTCATACAACCCCCCCGCGTTCGACGCCGACGAGCCGCCCCCTCCCCTGCCAATCGACCCGGCGGCGACGCCGCCGCCCAACTACGACGCCATTGTCGGCACGCCTAGCGTCGACGGGCTGGCCGACTACTTTGCGCGGCTGGCCGACTACAACCACGACGGCGGTCGAATGGCAGGGCAGGAGGAGGAGGTGGTGGTGGAGGGGGCCGATTACCTCTCTGCTGCGGCGACGGTGTCTCGGGCCGAGGAGGAGGAAGCGGACGAGGAGGATGATTCCGACAGCGGGGACGAGCACCACCCGGCCAGGATACACCGCGGCGGGAGGGTCAACGTGGCGAACCCGAGGACGCCCGGCGGGCGGATGGTGCCGAGCCGGAGCTTGGAGCTGGAGAGGCCTGCCATGGTGCTGAGCATGGCTGGGGTTGTGCGGAATGGGGAGTGAGTGGTGGTTGTGCTCGGGGGGATTGGAGGGGATGGCCTTGCATGCAACGTCTCGGTGTTTTCGTGGATTGGCCCCTCGGGGTTTTGTTTTGCCTGGCGTTTATAAGGGGGGTGTGATATGGGGTGGAGAGTGTGTTTGCATAGGACACCTGCATTCTTGGCCGGGGGGTTCGTGATTTTGCATGTATTGAAGGCATCGGGTTGGGGTTTGGGACATGCAGGGATATTTTGAATCTCTTGCACTACGTTACCTACTACCTACTTGAGTTTACTGATACCCGCCCCCATAGGCATCAAAACCAATCATCGTATGTATGTACATGTACACTCTCTCGTAGCATGACCAGCTTAACAACTCCCATCTCCCCCATCGCATCCTTGGGGTTTGGCGCAATAAAGGCGGCCGGTGATGGTGCTCATAGTTGTGGGGGCCGAGAACTACGGGTAGCTGCATGGGATCGAAAAGAGGCGGCGTCTAGAAGCGGGTTAGCACCGAGGACTGAAGTGATATTGGGGTTTATCGAGTACGTTCCAGTGGCGGCGCCGGCCGGCTAAAGCTTAGTAGGCGCAGTGGCTGAAGCTTATTCGGTATTGAATTAGTAGGCGCAGTCTGGGGGCTGAATGTCTGTATTCCATACTAGACCTCATGTGGCTTGCAATGCGCAAATCCATCTGGCTGTTGGTGCCACCAAGGTGGATGCAGTTAAATGTTCCAAGTCTGGTTCACCAGGAGCTGAAATCTGCCTTGTTTGTGGAGGGTGCGCGTCATCCGAGCTAGGGTCCTGCTCCTTACCTTTTCGGGTGACCCCCAGAGCTTCTCTGAAGGCGTATATCAATGACATTCCCTCCTGCTGCTCCATGCAATCTATCCATCCATCCCCCAACACATATTACAACCAGCGCCTCCTCAATCCAGTCCCACCATGGCCACCCAACAGCTCCCGGCCACCCAGCTCCCGGCCAACCAGCTCCCGCCCGTGCCGCAGCAGATCGGCGTCTTCGACCAGCTCGTGGCCAAGCAGACGGAGACGCTGATCCTCCGGGAGAAGGTCATGTCGCTGTCGGGCGACAGCTTCGAGATCAAGCTCGCCAGCGGGCAGCCGGTGCTGCAGGTCCGGGGCAGCGTCATGTCGATCTCGGGCCGCAAGTCCGTCTACGACATGGCCAACACGCACCTGTTCGACATCGTCAAGGAGCACATGCACGTACACACCACCTTCGCCGCGAAAGATCCGCAGGGCAAGAAGTTCCTCGAGGTGAGGAACAGCTTCTTCACGCGTACGTCATCTCACTCTGCTCTGTATCCCCCCACCCCCCGTCCCGGGCACAAACCTCCGATCTGACCCCCTCCCCCCCAACAGTCCTCGGTTCCAAGGCCACCGCGACCTTCACCTCTCCGAGCACGGGCAAGGTCGAGACGCTCGTGATGAAGGGCAACTGGCGAGACCGTGCCGAGATCGTCGACGAGAGCGCCGGCAACGCCGTGGTGGCGCGCATCGACCGCAAGCTCCTGAGCGGGCGCGACATCTTCCTCGGGTCCCAGACATACGCCCTCGTCGTCGCCCCGGGAGTCGACATGGCCCTCATGGCTGCGCTGGCCATCTGTCTTGACGAGAAGAGGAACGAGGGCGGCGGGAGTAGCTTCTTTGGTTGAGTGTGCGCACGTGTTTTTGTTTTGTGTGGTTTTAGTCTCTTCTGCTGTGGTCTTGTGGATGCTGGGGGGGTGCTTGTAAATTACGATACCCTTGGAATTGGTTATTTATATTCATGGAGACTTGCGCTTGGGTTCTTTTCAATCACAGGCCTGTGACACAAGACGTTGACCTGTGATCGAATGCCTTGTGGTGTCTGAAGGACAGTCTTCCAGTTGTATGGAGGATGAGACTACCATTAAGACATCCCTGAATTGGTTCTCTATCAGAGTAACCCTCGTGTATGAAGCCAGGTGGCTCCGTTGATGATTATCATCAGGGGCGGGCGATGCCCAATTGCCCCCGCCACCACCGTTTCGAAATATGGGTCGGACCGAGCAGGTAAGGGTCGAGGTTGCTCAGCTGAAGCTAAGCCATCAGGTGCCTGTCCCGAAAGAGTAACCCGTACGTGCGTGGTGGGCGCCGCCTTTTAGTAGTTGTTGACGCAGCGGAATGGCCTGGGGAGCTGCAACCTGACAATCTCCCTAAAACCCGCCCAAGCCACCAAAGGCTCGGTCCAGTCGTCGCTCACCTAGGTAGGTTATGATTTCATGGGGGAGCCTATTTATATACCATCATTATTAACGAGGCTTGGGTAAACATCTTCCAACCCCTAAGCGCATCCAAGGATACTGAGCAGTCGTTATCCAGCAACGAGACTACCCAGATTATCTTAAGACAATAAATGCTCCCCAATATGCTGCCACTATGCAACCTTGACCCCCCCTTGTGTGCCTCTCCGTTACAGAGCCCGCCCTTTCCGGGATGAGGCAGCGGAAACAATCCCCACTACGACCCATCACCCCCATTCTGCGCCCCAGAAGAACCACACCCCAGCCCACCCGCAACAACAGCAACCGGCAAGCTCGTCCCCGCCGCGGGATCCCTCTCCGCAGCCGGCGTCCCGCCCTCGCCGCACACGCCGCTCAGCCTCCCGTCGTTGAGCGGGAAGTTGCAGCCCAGCTTGCCCGCGGCCCCGCCCACCTTGATGTTGGAGCACACGCCGCGGACGGTGGACCCCGAGCCCCCGGACGCGCCGACGACGACCGGGAGGCCCGCGCAGCAGCCGAGCGCGCAGTCCTCGTTGGACAGGCACTCGCCCGTCACGAACTGCCCGCAGTTGGCGGCGCCGACGTTGGCCCGGCCGTTTTGGGTGTCGAGGATGGTCTGCGGGATGGCGAGGGTGAGGGGGGTGGTGACTGGCGGGGGGGGAGGTGCCTTTTTGTTAGCCCTTGGCCTTGGGGTTGGGGAGAATCGCTTGTGAGGGAATGGGGGGAACTTACAAGCCAGGGCTGCAGCGGCAGTGAAGATAGCGAAGCGAACCATGTTGACTTTTGGCGGGGCTGGAAGCTTGGGGGAGTTGTTTGGTGGGTTGGAGTAATAAGAGAGTATGCTTCGGGGAGATAATCAAGATAATATGTTGTGTTTGCTGTACTGATTCCGACACTGGGTCCTTGGAGTGATGTTCGAATCGAGTGGATGTGGTTGGTGATGATTCTGAGAAACAGTGTCGGATCAGGGAATGGAGTGGACAAATATATACTGCTTTGTGAACTTGGCCAGCCTGCATTTATTCACATAGCCATTCTATATTACCCTGGCAAGGTGGGCCGAGAGCGGGTGTTTCGGACAGGAATCAGACCTGGGTCGAAGGCCCAGTGCCGGTCACAATTCGGGCTTGAGTCGTGGAAAATGAGGCTATACCGGCCATGGCCTCGCCGGGGCGAGATGTTTTGACACGAGAAATAACAGTACGGTTCGGCGGCGGGTAATATTTCCGGCTGTGAAAGCTCCGATTGAGGTCTGCGATGTTTCGCCGCAAGATTCCGTCAGCTCTGCGGCCGGCATGGGAGGGTGAGCTTTTACTGCGGGACGGATGTTTGTTTCATTGCGGGTGTAAAACGCGCCGGCCTCGAGGAATGCAGGAGGCGGCGGCGATTTACGGCGACAGACCTCCTGCTGCGCCGTCGCCAACCCATTGCGGCATGGCTTATCTCCAGGGGGTTTCGCACAACCCCTCAAAGATGGGCCGCAGGACGGCCGCTGCCTCAGCCGGAGGGCGTAGAGGCCTCTCAATTCTCCCACCACAACCTAGCCGATGCTGACTCGGGTGGCCCTTGCCTTTCCAGGCCCGCACCGGAGATGATACGCCCGAAACGACAAACGCGGCCGATACCCAAGACATGCGCGATTCAGATCCGATCGCCGTCGCAAACCCGACCACGGCCTGCAACCTCATGCATGTCATCATCGGAAACATCTCGAAACGAACCATACCTCTCCTCCAAAGGGAGCGGGAATGTTGCGCCCATTTGCGCTTCAGGCCAAGAAGAGAAGAGCAGTTGATTCTCTTGCGAGGAAGCAAGCAACGACATACTGAAACAGAGTGTCTTAATTTCGCAACCCGAGGAGACAAGAGGAAAGCCACAAGCCTGGATTGATACCTATGCTGGTCCTTTGCAACGTATGCTGAAATCCATCTAGCCCACAATTGAAAAGATCGACCCCGAGCAGCATCTAACCGACAAGTTTACCTCCAGCTGCTCGCGTCTTTTCATGAAATCCCCAGACCTCATCGACGACATGTTCCCCTTGGCAGAGATATCCAACAAGCCCCTCGAACAGGAACGAAAAGAAGAGAACAAAACGCCACACCTATATACCCAACCAACCCGACCAGAGTCCCAGAAAGAAACGACAAAGAAGAAGAGCCACAATCCAAGCCCCCGCATTACATCAATATCAATCACCACTTCCCGCCAAACATCCCCCCTTTCTTCAGCCCCCCCGCCCCCGCAACTGACGCCTCCGAGACAGACGTCGACATCCACGCCACCATAGCGATCAACGTCCCCGCCACCACGACGGTAAGGATACTCGCCCCCGCCCGATCCCCCGTGGTGATAGGCGCAAACGACGTATCCACAAACGGATCCCCCCCCGCCCCGGGGTCCCCCCTACTCGTCCCGCCCGTCCCATTCGTCAGCGGCGCCACGATGCTCGGCTCATCCAGCAGCAGCGACGACAGCGCGGCGAGCACGTTCATCTGCTGGCCCGCGCCCGTGAGCCCGTCGTACGCGCCCGTGGTCCACCTGAAGCCGCAGGCCCGCCCGTTGGGCCCGCCCGAGCACGCCTTGACGGCCGCGGCCGTCGACTTGCGCAGCACCGGCATGATGGTGCCGTGCGTAAAGGGCGCCACCTGCGCCGTGCTCGCCATCCACCGGTGCAGGTAGCCCTTGAACGAGAGCATGTCCGTCGTGCACGAGATCTTGGTCTTTTGCTCGCACGCGATCTCGACCGCCGCGCCCGACGGCGACGAGAAGAAGGCCTCGATCGACCGGTTGACGAGGCCCTCGAGGCGCGTCTCCCAGAGCGACGAGCCGTTGGTCTGCGGAGAGCGGGAGATGGTAAGTTTCATGCGGCTAGGGGGGGGAGGGTTGGTCGCAAATGAATAGAATTGAAGAAAAAAGAAGGGGGGAAGACTCACAAAGTTGTACATAAAGGCGGCACCTTGCATCATCACGGCAGCGTTGTAGGTGAACTGAGGCTTCTGTATGTTGGTGCAGTTCGTTCCAATGTCCGCCCCGTCGTAGATGTTGTACTTGGCATCAATGAAGCCGACCCCCTCCAGCCAGTTCCACGTCTTGATAGACCAGTCGGCGTACGAGCTGTTGCCAGTGTAGCGGGCCAGCCGGGCGCCCATGTTGAAGAGGATGCCGTTGGCGATGGTGTTCTTGTAATTGTAACCGTTGTTGGTCGGCGGGATCTGCCACCGCAGCCCTCCCCCGCAGGTGTCGTCGTGCCGGTCCGGCGCCGCCTGTGTGTTGAAGACGGCCTGGGCGAGGGCCAGCCACTGCGGCTGGTCGGCTGGTGGGTTCTGGAAGTTGGTCTCAGCCGCCAGCATGGCCGACATGCCCCAGAATCCCTGGTCGTCGTTGCCCAGCGATGCGGTCCAGTTCGGTGGCATGTAGCAGTTCTGCGGCGCACCTGCCTGGAACACCAGCGAGGATTCGGTCAGGTCATTGTACGTCTTGTCGCCCGTGTAGTGCCAGTAATCGACCAGGGTTCCCCACATTGCGCCTGCCTGCCACCAGTAGTAGTCTCCGGCCGGCGGCGGCCCCGGTAGGATCCCCGGCGTATGTCCGGACTCGTTCCCGTGGTAGTAGGTCATGAGGTCGGAGGCCACCAGTTTCGCTGCCTTTTTGATCGAAGCTGGTCACGAGCGGATAGATAGCGTGTCAGTCCACGCCTTGTCGAATGGGCTGCATGCGACTCACCTGGAGAATCTAGATCAACTTGCAGCGCCGCCAAGGCGACGCTCGCGTGTAAGAGAACGGCTGCGGCCCGCATGTTATAATCGCAGCATGAAGCATTCAATCCGTCGTAATTAATTGCACGGTCAACAGAGGCCTGGAGTGACCCTGACAAGGCCTTTCGTCTGGAAGGGAATCGGGATCGGGATCGCTCCAGATGCTCATCGCAGGCTGTGAGAAAAGGGAGGATGAGGAGGAATGTGGAATCCGGGCTGCACCGCGTTGGAATTGGACGATTCAGCGGCAGGCACTCGCACGGATGTACACTATACTATGCAGTACAGCACACTAGTACTTCGTAACCAACCTTGCGCAGATTGCAGATTAACCACCCTCCCCCTTCCCCCAGCATTCCCTATCCATCCCTGGACAAGCCTTCGGGAGCGTTACCAAATCCGGTTAACTCCATTCAGCTGGTGACTTAAGCCTTTGGCCCCTAGGCCGGATATGGCGGGGCAGTGCAAGGGGCACAAATCTTACACGAGAAATCCTTCACTCTGCATCGCTATTTGGTGGGTTGGGCTGGAGGTAAATCAGGCTTCGAATTTCCGTTACCTAAAACCAGACTGCTGTTCGTACCACGTACCTGGTACTGCAGGACAGTACCCTCAATGGGCTGTTCTTCGTATTTCTTGGCATCCATACCTAACTAGGTTGGTATCCGTATCCGTATTTTGGAAAGAATCGTCGTGCGATTTTACACTTCCTGGACCTCGACTGGCTTCCTCTGATCAATCCAGCACGGAGGGTTGATTCCTCCGTTGATGATGTTGAGGACTCAACACCACTGATCCGATTAATTTCCCCGCTCCAGACTCCAGCACTCCAGATTTCGTTGGTTGCGGCTGATCGCCCCGCTTTTCTCCAACCGTTTCCGGCCGGTCGGTGACTCCCGAGTCCCGTGCCAATCTCGTAGGCATCTAACTTATCGGCAACGCAGAGAATATTCATCGGAGATGTCACAACGAAGAGTCAGTAGCCCGAGGATTGACAAAGGGCCACTGGACAGTGCCTTTATGGGTGCTTTTGCCCAGAGGAATGGGCCGGCGCGTATATCAGTTCCTAGTCCATCCCTCCCAGTCATTTTTGGGAACACTGTCGAGACAGCACCGAGATGGAGCCTGGCTTGACGATGCAGAGCACATATCCACGATTACCACAAGAGAAAGCGTCACATATCTGGCCCGACAAGCGGCTGGACCCTTGCGACCTGGGGAAACCTAGCAAGTCTCTGCCCTATCCGACAAAGCCACGCACGCCTCCATCGACGAGGCTTATGGAACCCTGCGGGATACCTACGAGCCGTACCACGTTACCACGATCGGGGCAGAGATAGAGTTATCAGAAACAATGGGAAGGGCCATCGCCAGCGATAGTCTGAGTCACAGCCATGGCAAGAGCAATGGCGACAACTATGGAGCTAAATGCACGTGTGCACGAACCAATTCTCGAAAATAAAATATAATACTGTGCCAAATATTCATCTCCCATGCTCGTGCAACTGTACACACAATCTCCCCATCCGGTCGGTCCCTGCCGCCACTGACAGCGTGCGACGCGTCGTAGAGCAGTATCGAAGCGACTAAATTGGCAGGGAACAAGATACCTTACCACTATGGGAACCGCTACATCGTCGGCGTCCTCAAGGAACTGCTCTCGGAGGCACTCGCCTCGTATGACGAGCTGATCAGCGGCGGATACGACAAGAAATTCAACACGTACGCGGACGCCGTCGTGCGAAGCGGGACAAAGGTGGTGGAGAGGTTCATGCGACCATGGGGGCGACAACTTTACCTGCGAAGGGACGGAGGTGGTCGACTGCTGCTCTAGGTGCTACTACTATTACAAAGCGCGCCATGAAAATGGTGAATGCCGCTCTTGCGAGGATTTCAACCGCGGGTGGAGCTCGGTCTATGGCCATCTTGAAGTGAACTGCGCCGGGAATTTAAACCGCTCCGCTATAAGAAGATCACCGGTTCTGGTCGACCTGTCCACGGACATGGGAACCGCCTAGGAGGACATCGCGTTCGAGAACGTCCTCCACCTGTCAAGCCGCGCTCCAACCGACGAGCACCGCGCAAACCACCGATGGGACTACCACTTCCCCGTCCCGCACGGCTACGAAGGAGGGCGCCATCAATCCCAGGCAGGTTGTGGATAAGACCTACAAGGCCCTCAAGAGCCTGGGGACCGACCTCGATGATGTGGCGGATACGACCAGCAACGGGCTCTACGACGCCAATGACGACGACCTCGTTGACGGCATCATCACTCCCGGCACTCCTAGTCCCGGAGGCGGTGGGAAGATGGCCCAGATCGTTGACACGGCCGACGAGCGGGCCTACCAGAAGTGCAAGGGCATCATGCTCACTTTTCTAGCAGTTAATTATCTTCTTCCTCATCCCCATCACCGGCAAGATGGCGGGTGCCGTCGCGTTGCCAGCCGCCTCGCCGCCCCGCTGAGTGCGGCGGACGAGCTAGCGCTTGACATATACGGCGTCGTCGTCGCTGTCCGGGCCGAGATAAGCATCGTTGTTGAAGGCTTAGAGATTGACAACCCAGTCGACGGTGCCAGCAAAGTTCATCCCGGACCAGTGCGTGCGCCGGGTGTCCTTGGTGGTCTAGCCCATGTACGCGACTCACCCCGTTTCTGGTGGCTGGAGTCTCTGGCAGAACAAACACCGGGCTCCCGAACTTGCCAGGCTCGAGTTGACTTAACCGTAGTAAACTGGCATGTCCAAGTCACCCTGCCGTGCCACAAATCAATTTTCGTCTCTTCCAGGAGGATGACCTTGTTGATCTCGGCATTCGAGATATAGTCACCATGTCCATCCACATCCCTTCGCCTCGTTCGAGTCGGCCGGTCCCGACGAAGATCTTGTTGGACACCACTCCAGCCTCGGTAACTGTTGCCGTCGTCGTCAGCGGTTGGATTCCCCCCCTACCCCCTGCCTTGGGTATTTGTTTCACTTACTCTTTGCAAGAGCTGCGATGGTACTGGTCACGTTGACTAGGATATACGTCACTGGGTACTGAGAAACGGGTGAAGCAAGTGGGGATGAAATGGGGAACACGGTTAACCAGCTCCTCACCGTGGCCTCTTCAACAACCCACTGATTACCGGCTTAATATTGACCTGTGTGGCGATCTTCACCGTCCAGCAAATCCTAGTGGAGTGCCGCTGGTGTTGGTGTTCAAGACGTGCTGGTTTGGACAGTCGCGGTTGAAGTTGGACATCGCGTAATACGCAATGTATCGGAAGTTGGCAGGGCCGACATCGTTGTTCGTGACCTATAACTTACATGTTGACACGCACCGGACAAGCGTTGATGTCCTCCATCTTCTGGTCGTTTGTGGAGGCTCGGAGCCGGGCTTGGTGGGGCTGCAAATAGGTTGAGTTGGATATCGGGAACGGCATCGGAGGTCTGTAACATGCCGGAGTCAGTGCTTGTTCAACAAGCAACCACCCCTGCCTCCTCTCCACTAAATCATCCGCAGCACGCATAATAGCTGATTTTACCTAGCAAACGATTGAAATTTGGCACAAGTTACCTCTGTAGATGGAAGTGCTGAACAACCCCTTTACAGCAAACCTAAAAATGCCCTCGATCCTTTTGGAAACAACCTAGTTGTGACTCACTCTTTGAATCGCGCAGAACATGGTTCCTCAAACTGCTCAAGGTTTTCCCTGCCGTTTAATAACTTCCACCTCTGATGAGCTTTCGCTCTCCTCTTCTTCCTCCAACCCACGTTTCTGCCACTGGCCGCTTCACAACTTGGACACTCACAGTCGAGAAACTATTCTTCCCACATGGCTTCCAACACATTCCACCCTTTCTCCAGATTGCCCAGAGAATTGAGGGATGAAATCTGGGACCTCTCGATCCGCCCAGCTCATCCAGGCGCACACTTTTTCACCTTGTTCAACAGCAAAAATGCGGACGAGTTGTCTGCCCTCGGCCAACATGCCATGGACTCTGTTGAGTCCGGAGCATTGCGCCCTGGCGGCACCGCGCTGCAGCGAATCGGATCGCCAAGCTCTTTCCTGGACCACGTCTAACCCTTCGGCATACTTGATCGACAGCGGGTTGTGGACGGCGTGCAAGGAGTTGCGGGAGCGGATGGAACGGCGGTTCGATACAGAAGGATGGAGACGCAGAATCATTCCATACCGAGAAACACCTTTCGAGAAAGAACTTCCGGATGCCCCCGCCACGGCGACATTTACAAGCAGCGGCGAAAGGCGGTGTTTTACCACGTATCCTAAATCGGATCTCTTCTGCCTCCAGCCGTTCGATTTCGACACCATCGACTGGCCAACTATCAGATATCAAGTTCCCCATATCCTATTGGCATTGGGGTTTCGAAGTCACTCATGTTGCTGTTGAGTTTGACCCTAAATGGAAAGTCCATGATTGGTGCTACGAGAAGAAAGACAGCCTCGGCTGTATCGCTAGAGCTGCCACTGACGAGGTTTCCTGGGCTAAGAACTTGTGGTTCATTGATTACCGTCTGCGCTGACGCCGAGACTTTCCACCCGCTGCGGGGGATGATCGTTGCGAGTTTTACGGGAACGGTGGTAGATTTGTTGAGGTTCAAGACCAAGATCCGGGCTGGGAGATGGAACCGGGTCATGACCCGTCGATAGGCATCTTTGCGTTCTTGAACGCCCTTGAATGGGATTTGGATTCGTATTTTGAGATGGTACGCTATCCAGATCATAGTCAGTTTGCACACGTTCCCCACGAAAACGCCCCATATATCCACGTGCTTGCTTGGGAAAGGTTGGCCACTTGATACTATCTCTACCAACCAAGCAAGCATTCATGCGGTTTGGGAGTGCGGTGACACAGAGAGAAGGGGTGGGGGGAGACAATGGAAATGGGCGGAAGGTCCTCACTTCAATAAGTTGTTAACATGCATCTATCAAAGTTAGTATGCCATTAGTAGGTACTTAGAGGACGTCGCACGGTGTGGTATGCAGGTACCAGATATGTCTAGATATCCACGTCTTAAAAGGAAGCACATACGAGTAACTAGGTACACATGCCATTCCACAATAATGCCCTCCACAACGAAAGAATGTCCAATCCCCACTGGTAGTTTTTACTGGCAGACATGGAAGTTATAGGTAAACAATAGCAAAGGGATTTAACAGCTAAGATATGATTTGATAGGGAAAATTTGCAGAAATCAAAGACTGGTGAAATACAATACAATCACTTCTTGTGCAAACATGTACAGAGACGCCGTAGGATTTAATTGCAGTGATAACAAGGACTCAGACAATGATACAACAACTTCATAAGGAAGAAGTGGAGGATTTCTGACGTTTCACAAAGGCATTCGGCGATTTGGCAATGTATAACCTCAACACGACTCAGCAAGCTCTGCAGAACCAAGGACACTAGACCTCACAGCTAGCACTAGGAGGATATTGGCAGAACTTGGGATACCCCTGGAAGTACAACCAATGGAAACAAGGGGGGCCAGCGTACAACAACCGAGATGGACCCCCAGGGCCATATCAGAATCTCCGAGATTTCGCACCACGCGACCGAAATCGCGAATAAGGTATCCGACACTTTGCTAACACAACTTGGGCCATCCGCCCTTTCCCCCGAGCCTCTCCCGCGGGATACAATATTACCTACGAACGTTTGAAGATTTGTTAGTGCCAGCGAATGATCTCTTCTCAGTCCCCTCGCATTGGACAGCCGAAGAACACGAGGATGACGGAGATATTCGACCTCTGGTGTCAAGGCAATGTTGGCGGGAAATAGGACAGTTGTTGGCGAGTGGAAGATCAGGATCTTGTACATTGATGAGAGAAAGTAAGAGTAACGAACCAGAGACAGCAAGAAATGAGCAACGGCGACGGAAAGAAAGTACGACAGCAACAGCAAGCAATAAATACCTAGGTGCTGTACCTATCACTGGGGATTCTGCTCGCATACTATGCCAAGCGCTGGAGCAAGCCCGTAACATACCCATACACTAGGACGGCCGAGTTGAGGGCCCTCAAGGACCCAAGCTCGCAAAATATGTCATTCAGAGAGGAGAACCTAGACAAGCCATTTGTCGGTAGACTCGGATTTGGCAGTTCTGGGGGGGGGGGGGGGGGATCCATCGACAAAATGACGGCCAGCATTCGCCACCGCCGGGTCTCAGAGATGGCGAGACTCTTCCTCCTCACCTGCCCGGGGGACTGGTCGTCAGGCCAAGAAGTCAGGCTGGGATCAGTCCTTCGACGATATGCGGCAGGTGAGGAGAAGGTTTACACCGATTGGGGTCTAGACGTCGTCGCCTGTATCCAATTCTGGTGAGAGCTGGCCCTGATAGCTGACCGCCTCGTCGACATGTTGGGTCTGCCACCCCCCTGCGGCCAACCCTGCATCATGGTGATTAGGCAGGTGCAACTGTACAGGAGATAATCTCGGTACTCCAAGTACTTAGGTGGAAACAACCTATCCTTCAACGAGGCTTGGGAAACTGGGGGGAGTGGGCCGGGTCGAGCTGGCCTCTAGAACCAGGAGAAAGATTGATGAGCAAAGACGCATTTCCTAACAGTCCCTAGCGATCCAGCCATCCTGTTCACCCTGTCCCACCTGGACGTTCACCCCTCCGAGGCACCAGCCTGGAGGACGCTGACATTATCGCTGCAAACCTGGCGGATCTCAGCTTGACATCACGACATCAGGAAAGCTCGACATCTCGCAACCCTATCCCATCTCTTCATCCGTCTCACCCATTTCACCAGTCCAGTCAGGGCGCCACATCAGTTCGAGACACGTGAGACACGTGACCAGGACCCACGATGGAGAAAGTAAATATCTTAGTAGGGGGCACTCGATTATTTTTATTCTAGAGAAGCATGCATGGATAATACCATTGTGATTTTTCTGGTCCGTTTTGGGCTTCACAGCGGGGCCCTACCCAAGTCCCCAAATGCCCCTTCACAAGTACCTAATTGCCCCTACCCAAGTAGGTACCTACCTAATTGGCCCCCCAGTGCCGTCCCAAGTAGGTACTGTACAGTTCCTAAATGCCCCTGCCCACGGAGACAATCTCCAATTAAAACGATGGAAATTTCCAGTGACTTCCGTTTTAGGATAGGACAACCAAGGTGAGGTGAGCTTCATTTAAACTGAACTGTGAAAGGCAGTTCTTTCTCTCTCCTCTCCTCAGACAACCAGCCCCGCCGGTAAGTGACCCAGAGGAGTGTTTGGTGGCCCATTTCCAGAGCAGGCAGCTAATATCTTGGAGCAAGTCTTCAGTTATTTGTCGTTCGTGTAAGTACAGTCCCAACTCGGCTGCCGCGTTTCCTCTCCGCTGACGCGCCATCCCCGACAGGAAAAAATAGATTTTGTGTGAGTATTGCACACAGAACACGAGAGCCGTTCTGTGAGGAGACTAACCCTGTGATCCTGGATGCAGGACGACCTGACCAACATGCCTGGGAAGGTAAGTTAAGCATCCTACCGTCTTCCCCCGCTGCTGCGTCTCAAACTGACTGACCATCTCCCAGAAGGCGAAGTCCAAGACTCCCCCCGACCCCGCCACAGGCGGGAAACGAAGCGTCCGTCCTCTGCATACAACCATTGGTGAATGATAACGACATGGTTGACAGAAATCATAGGCGAGCTCCATGAGCAGCGCGCCCCCGCCGGCCCCCGAGGCCAAAAAACCAAAGGTAAAAGCATCAATTCCCAAATGGCGACATCTATCGCTGATATACGTCGTTCTTAAGTTACAGAAAGGAACCATGGAGGCTAGTTTTTCTTCTTTCCATGACAGTTCAGCCATTTATTAACATAATGCTCTAATCAGTGGTTCAATGACGAGAAGACCGTATGTTTGTTCCACTCCTGGGTTTGCACCGAAATTACTGACAGTCTTGTAGAAGGCCCTCGACTTGGCGACGGTAAGCAAAGAGACACAGTCGGGTGCCAATCTTCTCACGCTAATGGCATTCTCTGAAGCTTTACCTGCAGAAGGTCAAAGTAATTATGACCTCGGCAGGGAATGATTTTCGACGCATCGGAATGGCTAACATGGTGCTGGCTGAAGCATTTTCAGACGCTCCACATGGCAAGTAGATAGATGCTCTCCCAATATAGGTTACGCAGACACTAACATTTGTCCAGGAGCAACTTAAGCGGGTCATCGTGAGTACTTGGTCTGTCACGAAGCGAAGATAATGTGCTAACATCTAGGCAGGAGCTGGAGAAGACGGCCGCCGTCAGTACCCCTGATACATCACAATGCCCGTGGTCATACCTAGCTAACATGATTGCAGGAAGCGCCGAGCATGGAGGTATGCCGCCACCGACAAGCTCACATGTACAGATGTTCTAACCCAATGTCTCTTCGAAGGATGCCCAGAGAGAATCGATTGTTAGAATTCGTCCGTTTTTTATATCTTGCGAGGTTGCTGACCAGAATGATACTAGCTGGCCCTGGAGAAGATGAGACGGGTAAGACTGGTGTTGTCATTGGTAAACCGAGTTACTTGCTGATCAGTCTTAGCCGTTGAAGGAGGAGGACGAGGAGAAGGACGAGGAGAAGGACGAGGAGACGGATGAGGTAAGTGCCCCACTCACTAACATGCCGCAGTCCGACTTACATGTGTGCTTAGGAGTCCGGGTTTACAATTGTGGTCTACGAGAGTGAGCAATTGCTTCCCATAGCACCCCCGTGCAAGCAACTGGGATGAATTTTCAGCTGACACGACTGATCTCAAGGCCCTTGACCTAGCAGGACTGTGAGTAGCTCCTGTTCTTCTGAGATTATGACGGGCATCTGCTAACTGGGTGTTCTGCAGAAGGAGCAATTACCCACTGCAAGTGTTCCCTCCACTCCTTGGAGCCCCTGACTTGGTTACTAACACTGAATAGATAATTAGTTCTAATTAAGAACGCGTGTCCTCCCAGTTGCCGAGGCGTCGTACAATTTCTCCGTGTTCTTGCTTTGTGCTGAATCTGCTGGCGCTGCTGACCAGGCCAATAATTAGTGGACTTGTTGCTGAATCTAGCTACGTTGCTAATCTTGCATCAGCTTTTCTCTTCCCTCTCGAACCACTTCCAGGACGACCCCGGAACGAAAGCGACATCCCTGAACGGAACACTGGCCAATCGGGAAAATCCTCTCTTTGGTCCCATGTGCCAACCTCCGCCTCGGGCTGTCAGAAGCTTGCAGCGCGATCAAGGTCGTCTCCGGCGGCAGCGGCGCGGCTTTTGACCTCCACGCGGTGTTGCCCGGGAACCTAGCCTTTGTGGCCAGAGCCGACACAGAGACGCTCCTGTATGTAAATATGGCTCTAGGCAACCACCTAGGTAGCCAGGGGAAATGGATATCTGTTCACATCGTGCACATCATGGGCAGGCGGGTTGGATGTCGAGGTCATGTTGGGGTGTCAGCTTTTGCATATTGTATGTAATTATGGCATTTTCATGTATTCATGGGCAACCGGTATCCATCAGTCATCCCTCTAGAGACAGAAGATACCCGTCGGACATTCACTATTGAACCTTTGTACGCATCCCAAACTTGCCGATGAAGATTCTACAGACAGGAAGCACACAGCCTTCACGACGTCATCAAGGCAATATGCTTCAGTTCACTGCAGAGTCGTCAGCCACCCCTCACCTCCACGACAAGACAAGATCAAGCAACACTCACCTCTGAACCTGGTGCCCAACCTTCATAGGCGGATACACCGCGGGGGGCCCCTCATCCCTGCCGAGCCTCCGCTGCTCCTCCCCGAGCCTCCGCGCCCTCTCCGCCAGCGCTGGCACGGGCGCGAGGTCGTGGTCGGACGAGAGGTGCCAGAAAAACGTGGACGACACGCGGATCAGCGGCCGCCGGCCCTCCTCTTGTCGGCGGCGGCGGACGGCCTCCAGCGTCCCCGCGTTGACGACGACCTCGTGGTAGCCGGCCCGGACCAGCCCGCCCGTGACGTGCTCCAGCTGCTTGCCAGCCTGCACCAACAAGTGGCCACCGCTGCCGCCGGCGTTGCTCGGGGGGATCCGGACGGCCATGCGCTTGCCCGTGTTGCGGGCCCAGATGTTCAGGCCTGGGTAGCGAGAGCGGCCGTGGATGGTCAGGAAGTTGAGATCTGTGTGGAAGCCCGCCAGGATGGTGTCCTCCTTCCCGTACTTGACCAGGTCGGAGGCCGTGGGGGCGAGAAGATGGGGTCTGGAACGTGTGGGGGAGGGGGGGTTGAGAATGAGATTTACGCTCTCTTTTTTATCTTTTCAAAGGGGCCGGCAATGGAATATCACTCACCCGTAACGTCCTGCCTCCCTGAACGTCTCAGCTGGCAACCCGAGGCCGATTGCAGCCATCTCGGCGAGGTCAGAGACTCTGGGGCGTATGTTAATCTCGAGTCGAGGGCGAGCTGCGGAGAACGTTTGCTGGAGCTCAACTCACGCATTCTTCATCGACAAACCCCACTGGTTCATGACGGGTGTCCAGCGTTCTCGGATTGCCGGTGACTGTGGAACCACGTTTGCCGCGTTCAGTCCCGGGAACTGGGTCTCGTATGGTGGCTGCTCGACCATCCTCCAGAAGAACCTGCATTTCGGGTCGGGAGAGTGCGCCGTGATGTCGAGCGGTCGCTCGGCGGGGTCGAGGCGCCTGATGACATCGAGGCAGGGCTCGTCTACGGCGCATTTCGGTTTCTCGGTATTCTCGAGCGTCACGCCGATCTGATAGCTGAGCTCAGGCCGCTCGTCCTTCTTCAGCTCCTCCTCCGGCTGGGCAAAGTAGTCCTCGAGGAGGTCAAGAAAGGTCGAGTTGTCCTCCTCCGAAACCCGAGAGTCGTGCAGAACCAAGGCGCCATAAGTGATCAACGCATCTGCCGCTTTTTTGCATTCCTCCTGAACCTCGGCCGACTCCCGCGGTCTGTTCAGGAAGACGTCAAGGTCGACGATTGGAAGATCCATCGGAAAGCCGGTTATAATCCTGATACCTAGTTTAACAAAGTGTCTTGCGGTTTGTTTCCATTCGCCTTATACGGAAGCACAATTGCGTTCCTCTTCCGTTGAGGCAGACATGCCCAAACACATCACATGTGCGATTTTATCCAGGTCAGCCAACCCCCCCCTTTAAACTCCACTGAGTCAGGCGCCTAGGCGCAGCGGCAAGTGGTTGGTTGCGAACCAATGAGCGTTCTCCTTTGGATCGCATGGACTAGCGAACACGTGAGAACCCGTTTCCCGACAACCATGTCATCCGTCGCCTTCACAAGATGGTTCTTTAGACGCAGGAGGAAGAGCTGTCTTTTCAACGGGGCCGGCGATTATATGGAATATCATATTACCGGGTTTGCTTGGGAGCGAACTGCTCCAAATTCCAGCCTCCGGTTAGATCAGCGCCAGCATTCGGATATTGTAGTTGGTCGGGTAGTGGTCGAGGGTGCAGTTGATGCCCAAGCCGCGGGAGGTCCTATGGTTGGCTACCGGCATTCATGATCGAGACCTCGTGATTATTGGCCGAGTGTTGCAGTTTCGACCTCAATCGGTTTATCAATGGCGGGGGTCGAAGAGATGGAGACGAAGAGGTGGAAGCGAAAATCGGATGAAAAACATTATGCTGTGATGATCAAAGTCAGCGTCAGCCAGTATCACGCCTGCAGCAGCCCTGAACTCACCAGGATGCGAAGGTTTGACGACAAATCCATAGCTAGGTCCCCTTGTCGAACAACCTAATTTGCCATGTCATGTTCGATCGATGTGACGGCTGGCCCAAGAAGGCAAGCGTATCGCCCCCAACGCTACACAAAAGTGAGATTCGTGGTGAAGGTCTATTTATTCAGGGAGGATCGTTAACAAGTCTTGCCAGCCAGCCGTCACGGCGTCTGGTGCTTGAATATCTTGTGTGGTTTTGTGGTCGTATCTGGAGAGTAGCTTGCTTATCCGTCCTTTGGTTGCCCCATATCTCACGACCAGCGGTTCGAAAAGGGGCGGCAAATTGTGTATGATGGCAGTAGAAAGAGGATGAGCGGTGTAAAGGTCGGTAAGCTGGGCGGGCTCTGATGGCGGCGTACTTGACTTGCTACGTTGAAACACGGCATGCGGATGAACGGCGAGTTGAGCTGGCGGCTCCGTCTCCGCAATGTCCGCTCGACAGCAAACCTGTGCCTGGCGGTAGGGTGAGGGTAGTCACATTGTTTCACAAGATGTGTCGTCGACGGGACAGAATGGGGTGGCTGAGAGGGGTTAGTTGTTCGATGGGTCGGATTGGATATTCCCCGCATTTCCATGCCAGGTCGGCGGTTTTCATGGTAGCTGTGCACCTGATGTTTTCCTACCTAGTCGAGCGTCTAGCATAATAAGAGACATATCCGACATACTTGGGGGTTTCAGTTGAGGGTGTGATGCCAGTAGGAGGCGGCGGTGTTGTGGCGCTTGGTGGGGGAGAGGCCTGTTACCAGACATCAGATGTTCAGACTCATCTAAATTGCGCTCAGATCATCCGTCAGCACTGGGCGTGTAATTGTGTAAATGCCATGGACAACCGACCTCGTGCAGTGGGTTTGGCCGGCCCTTCCTTCCTTTAAGAACATTCTGACAGTCAAAATTATCTCTGAGGAACTACCGTCGACTCTGAAGACGAAGGGGGTATCGGTGCCTGTGTGGTCTCGTGTATGTCATCGATTTTTCAGTTTGATCTTTTCCGGAGATATTGATGGTATCGTCGCGCGGTCCAACAGGCCGAAACTCGGGGCCGGGACCCTGCATTGCAACTCACGTGATATGTCACATGGAACCCGAGTCGGTGACTACATGTCTAGTCAGTAACCCATCAGAACAGGAATGAAACGGGACAGCTTTCGAGGAATGATGTTAGGATTGCCTCGGTTAGTAGCTCAGGTGGGCGCATCTGGCAGGGGAATGGTCGACTACCTAGGTGGATGATAGGGGGTGCTCAGGGGTGCTGTCGAGTAGTCCTGAGTCCGGTCTCTGACGCCCGCAATAAGTTCATCCGGCCGAGACATCAAATTGGCCTGGCCAGAGGCCTATGTCGTTTGACGGTTGCACTGAAGATGCTGTGCTGCTTCAGAGGCTGTAATTGTAACGGGGGGATATGATCGATATTCATGCTCGCGACCAGCCGCTTGAGGATGGCATGGCATACTGAGAAACAGCTCGAGAACCGAATTTTCGGGAGGCCAGTTGCACAGGTCAGATGTTGGACGTCCCAGGGTTCGTCGTCAGTCATCAATTATCTCGATGATGTAGTGTCGTCCAATATTAAAAATGGACTTTGATGGCCTTGCGCTGGCGCTATCCCTGGAGACTTGGGAAGCCATGGAAGGTGGTCATCGAAGTACACTGCTTGCTTTATTCACTTCTGCTCCCGTAGTGAGTATCTCCATCGTGCACCATGTGGGTCTGCTGCGTGGAAACACACTGGCATGGCCTCCTGACTTCCAAGATCCCGCCTTGCCTCAGGCCCCCCGCCCTCAGTCAACTTGGCAGAATCTCCATGAAGTAAATATTGCAGAGGTCTGGTGAAGGCGGTAGGATATTTTGTCGTTACGCACGTACCATCTGATCTGCCTATATAAGGAGCCTCTACTCCCGAGCCCCAGCTCACCCTCCTCATTACAACCCACGATCTGCACCAACACCACCTCACCATCGTCTTTTCCTCAACGTTTGACCATCACGCGGGCGCTTGCTTTCTCTCTCTCTCTCTGCCTGTTTATTTCCTCTTCCATTGCACGTTGGATACGTCGTATAGGGTCCTCTTAGATTCGCTTCTCGCGTCAGATATCTTGTATCTCCTCCAGTCTCCCCCCTCCCCCGTCTGTTTGTATTCACAACGCGTTCTGACGCGACCTCCCCACGCCCTCTCCTTCCAATTTTTATTCTGCCCGCATTTCTGTCCCTCCACCTGTAGCACACTCATCTGTCCCTCTCTTCATTTTTCTCCCCACGCTCTTGACCTCCATGTACTCTTGTACCTTTTCCATATCCCAGCATGGACTCCCTCACTTCACCATCCTTCCAAACTCCAATCCCGAGCACCAATTTTTTCTTCTCCTACCCTGCTCGTCCACCTCGAATCTTGTCTCTAGCTACTGTATTTTCTCACCTTGCTTCGGCTTCTTGTATCTCCTTCCTCTCTACATCGTTTTCCATCCCCCCCTCCCCTGGACAGCTGACCATTCGCCAGGATATTTTCCTTCGGGAACACTGACTACCTCACAGCTTTGCGCGAATTCGGTCTTCAACATCTTCCTGCCACTGATCTCCCTCCAGTAGCTGGTTTCGCGCCTCGCGCGCTTTGGTGGGTGCTCGACTAACGCGACGACCAGGACTACAAGAAGCTTTTTTTCTCTCTTTTTTTTTCTTTTAACCAAGTAAGTCCGCCGCCTTTTCCATCCATCCCTTCCATCCCACCTCACTTTTGAATCACGCGTCACCGGTGGTATCACGGATACCACGCGTCTTCCAACCCTTTCCCGCGCACATGTTGATCTTCGTCACCTGCCACGCCACTTGTGGTGAACCTGCTTACAATTCTATCCAGGAATCTAGGAACCATCATCATCTCTCACCACTGACGCAACACCGGCGGAATTCTCATCGACACCACCCAACACCCGCCACAGCCCCTGCCGGTGGCCTAGCTGACCCTACTGATGACTTGGCAGTGCCCTTTTCCATCCCGGTTGTAAGCCCTGGCGCGACCGTTTGAGCTTGTCAGTGTTGTATCCGGGTTGGGCGGCCTCGAGGTCCTGACTGGCCTCGGGGAACTGCACCACCCTCCCCGGTAACAAGGAAACGTCACGTCAGGTAGGGCGTTGTCCTTCAGCCTTGCTGACTTGCGATTTTTGATGGTGCGGTATTGTGGTCCCCTCGACTCAGCCGCAGGTTCCACGTTGTCACTCCTTGCAGGGAAGACAGGGCTAATTTTTCCTTACGAGGTGGCCGTCACGCGAACCGAACCGCCCTGCACTCGGTAAGCGTGGCGGTTTCCTTGTACGTGGAGCCCCGCCTGGTTCTCAGGTGGAGCGTACGCGGCTGTGGTGAAAGGTTGGTCTTTGAGAGGTGTCGTCCGCGAGGAGCCGCTCTTTCGCCGGGTTTGAGAAGTACGCCTCCTTCGTGTGGAAAGACGCTCGCCTGGTGGGGGGCATGCGAATCGTTTGTGTGGCGGTGCCTGGGACGAAAATGCCTGGCTAATGGAGGACCGGTCCGAAAGGAGCGTCAGCCGTCGAAGTTATGCCAGCCGTCTTCAGGGCTGAGGAAGTTAAAACCCTTGCTCCCCGGGCAGGCTGTGGTTCAGTGAGGGTGTTGGCGTGGTTGAATGTTGTCGTCCCGGCGGAGCGCACCGCACGCGCAAGACCAGCAATCATCTCATCAACAATCATCTCATCGGCAACCATCTCATCGGCAACCATCTCATCGGCAATCATCTCATCAACATCACCATCATCGGCATCACCATCATCGGCATCACCATCATCGGCATCACCATCATCGGCATCACTTCATCGGCATCACCATCATCGGCATCACTTCATCGGCATCACTTCATCGGCATCACCAAGTAAGTACAAACTCACTCCTCCCATTTCCTAATCTCGGTGCGCAGGGAGATTGTTGAAGACCAAATTCTTTTCCATTTTTTTTAATCCTGGCTACTCTCCCATCCCCCCTTTACGGATGGGAGAGTTCTCAAGCAATGTCCATGTCCCCTGGTATTACACTCCGTCCAGGAAGACATGGACTGAGCTCAATTTTTGACACCCCTTTTTTTTCATTGCACGAGGCAGCTGGCCTGGCTCTGCGAAGAAGAAAACAAGTTTTCATTCCGGAGTTTGTTTCTTCGACGTTGTCGTGGGGCACATCGTCGTGACAAACTCTGGGATCATCACGGTATGTGGGTTGTCTTACATGTTCCGGGTCTGTACATCGGTGTCCAGGTAAGTAATTATCCCTTCTCCCGGCAACTGTCCATCGCATTTTGCTGACCTCACGTCGTGCTAGATCACACACACACAAGATGTTGCCCCCGAAACCCCTTCGAAGAACAAGAACATGGCGTCTCGTTGTCAGCCAGCGAAATTCACCAAAGCTTTCCCCCACCCGACGAGTTCCACCACAGGCTCCGGGGAATGTCTCCAAGCTACAATCCCACTGCCCATCTTCGACGGGCCCGAGTATCGCGATTCCCAAAAAATTCCTCTTGCCTCGAACCCCGACGTCCTCCGATGAGTCCTCCATACCATCCATAATGCCGGGGTGTTCTCTGCGCATCTATCTCCAGCGCCTTCTAGTTCCCTAGCCAGTGCCCGTCCTGATTGCAGGACCATGGTCTTGCGGGTGTCCTGCGGCTGGCGCCCCGTTATAACTACAGCTGCTCCATGCGTCGGTGCGTCCGCCCACGGATGTGCCGGGGCGGACATGAGCAAGGGGCATCAGATCGAGGAAGCGAGCCTTGGGAATATCCACGAACCACATATCGGACGAGAGATGGGCACAACCGCGGAGAAGGGAGCGAGCGGTCTTCACAGTCGGTGGGAAGATCACTCGGGTATTGAAGATTGACAACTCTATTATCAAAGACCTGATATATAAGGTCGACAAAATGAAGCCGTCATATTCGTAAGATGTATATATTGCGTTGAACCACCTCCGTTTCTGAAATCGCTTTCCAATCATCTCCTCCTTTCCGTTAGTTTACCGTGGACGGCGGGAATATCTGGTGCCTCCCGAGCCCACCATCGTAAGGCACAAACAAGCAACCCCTTCCGTAGACACAACCCCCTCAGTCACGGGTCATGATCTGCACAAACTCACTGTCTGTCCGCCCATTCCAACGTCAGCACCGACCACAAGGGAGTGTAGCTCAGCGCCAAGGGGAAAAGGGTTCCTACAGTCAATGGTGCCATCACCGTTCTTGTCCGCCATCTTGAGCATGTCGTCGAGCTCCTCGTCGGTCAGGTTCTCGCCCAGGGAGGCGAGCACCTGTCGCAGCTCCGACGCCGAGATGGTACCGCTGTTGTCCTTGTCGAACACCCCGAACGCGTTCCGCAGCTCCTGCTCCGTGTCGCCCTCCTTGACGCTGCGGGCCATCATGTTGAGGAACTCTGTGAGGGGTGCTTTCCTTCAGCCGGGAAGGCGAAGAGAGAAGGGCTGTGAGGGAAGGGGGAGGGGGTGGGGGGGTTACCTACCGTCAAAGTCGATGCTGCCGTTGTTATCGATGTCGGCTTCGGCGACCAGGTCATGCAGCTCCGATTCGCTCGGTTGGAGGCCCAGAGACCTCATGACCTCGCCCAGCTCTTCGGCCGTGATGTCTCCTGATGGTATTTTGGTTCAGTGAGGGGGTCCTCCGGCTGGGTTGTGGTGCGAATAGAAGGCCATGCGAGGCTGGTCCTTCGACCCGCCCCGCCCCGGCAAGCCTGGCATATCCCGACGGGTGCAACATAAGAAGTGACTGACCAGTGTTGTCCTTGTCCTGCAATTGCGAAGGGGCCGCTAAATCAGCTCAGCCACAATGAAGGTTGGGCCGGATTGGTGGAGCTCGGGGCTTACGAAGTGATCAAACACCTGGCGGAATTGAGCGATTTGCTCCTGCGTCAAGGTCAAGGCCTGCGGGAAGAGTCAGCATCAATATATTTCGTGTCACACAACCATGCAAGTCATTCTCACCATGGCTACTGTTTTTCTGCTTCCCTTGGGGATCCTTAACTGTCTCTTTCCGGATGATCTGATGCTTGCCTCCCGTCCAGGTGGGGGATGAGGGGCAACCCAGAAACATGAAACATGTCGGTCACGTGACCCTTCTCGTCCCTCGGTAACCTTGATTGGGTTTAGGGCGTCGGGCCGTTCCGATGGCTGAACTGGTATCGGGGGGGGGTCCATACATCGGATATTCGCGGGCCATTTTCTATCGAGAGTGATTGTGGGCAACGTATCCTCATTTTAGGCTATGTATTGAAGCGTATCAAAAAGGAAAGGAAAGAAGGGAAATCCAATCGGGATGGCATTGAGTACCGCTCTCCTTCGGTTATGCGAAGAGAGCTCATGACTGCTAAAATTAGGTCTAGCTACATTGGTCTCTGAGTGGGTCAACTGGCGGAGATCTCCGTGTACTTCCTTCCACCCAGCATTGTTGGTCTCTTCCAAGGGAAAACGATCGAACTCTGTCTGTGGCTGTAAGTTCCACCTCTCGAAATCTGATAGCAATTGTAGGACGTGTTTGGACATACATGCAATAAACTTACCGATCCAGCAGCTGATATTTGCAGGGAACCAAAGATACTTCCAATGCCCCTTGCCCAACCTTGGGCAAAAGGTCATGTGTGGAGCATGGCGTGGATGAAATACGGCACTCGGCGCAGTCCAACCGCCGGCGCCCAGCAACACCGGAACATTGCATAGAAACAAGCTTCTGCCCAGAACAACCCTGTGCCCCCAGCTTCGAACTCTGCCGCGACCCTCAACCACCTTGCCGAGAGCATAGTCCCAGCCGAAGCTGGCAGCGTGGCTCTGCAGGGAAGAACTACAAGTGTTGTTGGCTACTGGCTGGTTCACGGTCTGATGTTGATCCGCACTTACCCAATTTCCGTTCGGCGATCGGAAGAGAGGCCCGAATGCAATAGCAGGTTGAATTCTTGCGGATCTGCTCTCACTGTATAACGGAATATTGGTGGCAGCCCCCAAAAATGTGTGTTTCCAACCCCAACCACGAAGGGGCCGCCTTCCCTCCCTATCTATATGCATCTGCAGTTTCCTTCCCCAGGCGTTTTCCAGTCCTCCCCTCCGCCCTCCCCTCTTTATGTCCCCTGGCTAAAAGCTCTGTTGGTTCGCCCCCCCAAACAGCGCAGCAGTCCTCTGGTTGATCGAAGCCGGGTGCATATAAGTGCGCATGGACTTAGCCCTGTAGCCGCCGACGCCGGCCCCGGGGGTAGCGACGAGCTCGATGATGGTGATCTCGGGCACGGGCAGCTCGAGGGCCTGCGGGTCCTGCTTCATGACGGTGGTGCTGACGGACTCGTACATGACCGTCCGGGCGCCGCCCCCCAGGTCAATGTCCCAGGCGGCCTTGACCTCGTGGCCGAAGCTGGACACCTTCTTGCTGCGCATCAGCTGCATGGGGCGCACCTTCTCGGCCGTCAGCGCCTGCCCGCCGTTGATGGTGAAGGTCGAGTCAGGGGTCAGGGCGTTGTCCAGGTCGGCGGCCACGGACTCCGGGTCTAGGGAGTCGAGGATGGGGAGGAGGTAGCGGAGGAAGAGGAGGCCTGGCGAGGCCGAGTCCGGGATCGAGGAGTGGGTGCCCGTGTGGATGAATGTCTGCGCCATGTTTGTGGTTTTCGGGAGGAGATTTGGATTTGTTGTTGTTGTTGTCGTTGTTGCTTGCTTGGGTGTTCTTGTGCTTTCTTGTGTTTCTTGACTGCTGGCTGGTGTGTGTCTGGAAGTGGAAGAACTGGGAAATTTATATATCGCTGGCTGGCTGTTCGAGATAGCCATGCGGGGAAGACTGGTAATAACTGGGCTGATATTGGAGATCTGTCCATCTCCTCTTACCCCGTCTCAGCGGTCCAGAACGCGTCACGCTTCAATACCCGCGCTGCATTACCGAATATATCCCAAGCAATCGGGTCGCCATTGATGCGCCAGGGTCCAGCGGCTAGCTTGGATGGAGCAGAGACAATTCATGCCATGCGCAATCAAGCCATCAATTGGTCCGACATGGTGGAAACAGAGTGGAAACAACCTGACGGCCACTTCCTCTTTAGATAGAAACACTGTTTCGGGTTGTTTAGCCTGGCGAGTTAGTGGTATTGTCAATGATTAGAAAGCTTTATGCAGCTCCTCGGAGCCAGCTCCGTTGAGGGTGCGAGGATATGGCAATAATTACCCGGCCATTGCAGAGCAGTATATATCAGAGTCAGGTAGGATTCCGCCCCAGCATGTAACATCACATCGAATCATAGAACTTTGGCATTATACCCCCGCCCAGGTTAGATCTGTACTGCCCGCCAACTCCGGGCACAGATGGTGCGGCGACCCGAGTTAGGAGATGGTGGACCGAGGCCGGCGGGAGAAGTGGAACATTGAATAACAAGGTCTCATTCCTCGAGGCTAATTCTCGGGGAGTAAATCCCACAATTAGTACGCGTACGTACTACTCTCAATTGGCATGTGCTCATTCTCACTGTTCTCACTCAAGCTCTAACAATCCTCCTGATGTGTCCGATAATAACCATTTCCAATCTATCCTCGTTCGGGATTTAGATTAATGTCTCCCGCGTAGCTTCCATCATGGCGTCCACAACATCCCTCGTTACGAGAGGCGGGACTGCATTCTCTCTCGGCCCCAAAAGCGGCGCTGTGTCATCAGAGCTCAGGATATCTCCACTGTCCGACAAGTAACACCAGCCATCATCTTCCTCCTCATCCGAACTGTCGGGTCGCCACCCTCCCTTTCTCCTAACAGGCTGTCGCTTGGACATGCTATCGGAATCCGAATCCGAGTTGTTTGGGTTTGGGCGACTGTGGGCAACCTCACCGTGCGACTCGGGGAAGTTGAACCTGGTGTCTACACTCGCGACATACCACGGTCCAAGGATCAGCCGGGCCTGGAGAGGAGTCTCCGCATCGTCGTAGTAGAGAGGCCTGGCATTCTGTGCCTTGCTGATGCTGTCCTCGTGGGGAGCCCGGTAGTCGACCTCACCCTTATCCACCCGGAGAAAGTGGTCTTCTGCCATTCCTGCGAGGCGGATGAGCTTTGACAGGCTTGGGAACCTGGTGAACATTGCCCCGGATGCTTGAATCTCCTTGACGACTTTGTCAAGACGATCCATCTCCCACACTACCGTTCCCAGGCGCCCCGCCCCTCTGATGACCTCGTCCACGTCGGCATCCCCCCCCGAATTCCGGTAGATCATCTCCCAGACATGCGCGCGCACGCTGGGGATATCCCACGACTTCACCGGCGTGCCTACGGCCGTCGTCCACTCATTCACCTCCTCCATCGTGGCCGCGTTCCCAAAGTCCCCGAGGTAGAAGTCCGGCATCTTGCCACCTGCCTCCCAGTGGACCCACACGTTGCCCGTGTTCAGGTCCCCGTGGATTACCCCCGCGCTGTGGCAGAACTCGAGTGACTCGAGAGCCTGGCGGGCGTAGCGGGCAATGGCCGCCATGGGGATGTCGTTACCGCTGGCCTTGATGAAGGCCCCCAGATCGCCTCCGTTGTAGAAGTCCCAGTACGAGACCCTCGTCCAGCTCAGAGGGCTGCCCGGCAGTCGCGTAACTCTGGGAATGTCAGCGTAGGCACGCAGCTTTGCGAGACGGGGCGTGATTCCGGGCATGCTCGGCGCTTTCTCGAGGAGGGACAAGGTTCTTACCTCGGTGTCGGGCTCCGTCACATCCTTGGACTCGAGTCTTCGATGTCTTACCTTTCGCACCATGATCTTGCGGGACTGGACATGCCAGACTTTTTGGGCGTGGCTGAAGCAGCCGTCACCCAGTCGGTCGACGAAGAGGTATGAATCCTCGCCTTCCTTGAAGAGGTGGGCGAATTTGAGAACACGGTCGTGTGTGCTCATCGTGTTCAGTCTTGGTCTGGTAAGTTGGAAGATCCGCTTCCCTGTTAAGAAAAGGCTGAAGTATTTGCAATCTTGGCGATGAGTGTCAGAGACGGTGATTGTTGGATGGGATTACAAAGATAGCCTTGGATTAGGGGCCGCCATGACATTATATACTCCCTATATACGACCATCTGTATTCCATCCGTTCCATCCGTTCCATTTTTACCCCTTTTAGTCTAGAAGAGAGACGTTATCGGGGACTCGAGGAGGAATAATTTCTTTATGTTAGGTGCGGAACAGAATAATGCCATTCTACGACAACGACCAAGGAGCCGATACAATGACATTATAAGAGTAAAGGTCCCTCACGTTTGGGTGAAGAGAAGTACAAAGCTGACCAAACAAAGATGTTGAGGCATACTTAGATTCGGACAACAAAGAACGACCTCAAAGCAAACATCAAGCTTAACTCGGAGCATTACCACGTTGAATTTTCGACTGATGTTGCTCGGATCCTTGTATCTGTACCAATCAAAGGCACTTCTTCGTCAGCCCGGGACCACCTTATCAAGGCAACTCGAAGAATTTGCGGTCTTCAATCTGGAGCCCCGACGCATCCCACACAAATTATGGACATGCTGAGCTATCGGGTCCCTCGTCGTATACCCGATTAATACAACGTATATTGCTAGGGATGCAGAGCTGACGTCCTGGTCGAACCCATGCGAACCATCTATTTGCAGATCCGATTTCTCCGTCACTACTCCAATCGCGGGCTGTTTGGTAGGTAGATGGGGGAAACTCTGGGGAGACTTTTCCAGGAAACCGCCAATCGCCAAGCCGAGAGCCGACGCCCATTCATCTGCCGTCCCGTTCCCAAATTCAGCCTTGGACGTCACCAGTAGACCCTGGCCATCCTTAATATTTAGCCAGAAGCTTCTTCCCGTGTCCGTCTGCAGGTACGGCTCACCCTCGCGACATGCCGTGGAATCCTTTCCTTGTCCGACGATGGGCCTCGTGCCGCTCCCGGAGGGGAGTGAGAGAGCGGGGGTGGGGGTGGGGGGCCAAAAAGAGAAGTTCAAATAATTGAAGTGCTGCCGCTTGCGGAGGGGCGCGGAAAGGGCAGGTCAGGTCCTGTATGAGGGCAGTTGAGAGAGATATCCCGCACCGTCAGCCCCTTACTAAAAGCAGACGCCTCCAAGGATGTACCGCCTGCTCCTCCCCTCAGCCTGCTCCCTCCTCCTGGGGGTGGCCCGAGGGATAAACTTCGCCTTCGAGTCGACGCAGCTCGAGACGAGCGACATCGCGGACTTTCCCGCCGTCGACTTCGGCAACAGGTCCCGGCCGCTCCACCACCATGAAGCTGAGTGCCGGGCTTTCCCCGGTAGTGATGACTGGCCCGACGAGCACGACTGGAACCGGCTCAACAAGACCATGGGGGGCGCGCTGCTCAAGCCGCTGCCTCTGGGCATGGCGTGCTACCCAGGGCCGCACTACGACGAGAAGACGTGCAGGTACCTGCTCAGCCCTTCTGCCTCGGTCTCACACTTCTACCTCGACGACCCCCTCACCGTCCTGACGCAGTGGACCGAGGGCGGCACGTGCATGGCCTCCCTCAAGCCCACGGGGAACTGCACCCAGGGTGGCTTCCCCGTCTACGTCGCCAACGTGACCACGGTCAAGCAGGTCCAGGCAGCTGTGAACTTCGCGAGGAACAAGAATATCAGGCTGGTCATCAAGTGCGTCACCCTCAAACACTGCCCTATTTTTGGGACCTGATACCTCCTCTCCCTCCTCTACCTCCCTTCCAAGTGCCTGACACATACCGCTCTTCAAACAGGAACACGGGCCACGACTTCGGCGGCAGGTCGGTTGGCGCAGGATCTCTCAGTGTGTGGACGCACCACCTGAAGGACTTTGAGTTCATCTCCAACTATACCAAGGGGCGGTACAAGGGGATGGCGGTCCGCTACGGGTCCGGCCTGGAGACGTGGGAGCTCTTCAACCACATGGCGGCCAACAACATCACCATGGTCGCCGCCGGCGTTGGCACAGTCGGGGCCAACGGGGGTTGGTTCGGCTACGGGGGCCACGGAAACCTCGTCTCGTACTACGGCCTGGGCTCGGACCAGGCCCTGTCCATCGAGGTTGTGACCGCCGACGGGAGGCTCGTGACTGCCGATCCGTACAACAATAGAGATCTGTTCTTTGCCCTTCGCGGTGGTGGCGGAAGTAAGTAACGGGGGAATCTGCCTGGTCTATGTTGCATGTGAAAACGCCGAAGCTGACAAAAGGGGTTGTGCGGTGAACAGGCACCTTCGGGATCATCACCTCGGTCGTCATGAAGGCATATCCTCCGGTAAACATCACCTCGACGTCCCTAAACTTCCAAGTGGCCGCTCCCAGGCCCGCGTTCAACCTGACCGGCTCCTGGAACGCCACCCTACCGAACGGGACCGTCGTCCCCATCACCCTCCCCCCGCGGCCCTTCGCCGGCTCCCTCGACAGCGCCGACACCTTCTGGAATGGCGTGAGCATCTACCTCCGGTTCAGCCGCAAGATCGTTGACGCGGGGGGCCTGAGCTTCAACTACGTGTACCCGCAGGGCAACAACACCTTCAGTTTCACCGCCTCGTCGACCTTCCCCAACAAGACCGCCGACGAGGTCGTCGCCCTCATGGCGCCCCTCTACGCCTCCCTCAACGCCGCCGGCATCCCCGCCACAAACCCGACCCGCCTGTCCCCTTCCCCCTTCGGCAGGCCGCGCGAGAAGCCCGGCGCCGCGCCCGGAAACGCGCGCTACCGCTCTCGCTTCTTCCCGCGCGGCCACTGGGACGACGACGAGCTGTGGAACAAGACCATGGCGTCCATCCGCGGGGCCGTCGAGGCGGGGTACAACTTCCACGGCAACTGCCAGGGGCCCAGCAAGGAGGTTGCGGGTTGGCCCGGCGCCGACTCGGCCGTCAACCCTGCGTGGCGGCGCGCGGCGATGCACGCCATGCTGATGACGACGCAGCCGACGGGGCTGACGGCCGCGGAGGCGACGGCGGAGGACGAGCGCATCAAGGAGTACATGGACGTGTGGCGCGAGCTGACGCCTGGGTCGGGGTCGTACATGAATGAGGGGGATCCCGGCGAGCCGGACTGGCAGGCGACGTACTTTGGGCACAACTACCCGCGGCTGCTGGACATCAAGCGGGATACGGATCCGTGGGGGGTGTTCTGGGCGCCTACGACGGTCGGGAGCGAGGACTGGGAGGTGCGTGTCGTGGATGGGTATCCGAACTCGCAGAACGGGAGGCTGTGTCGTGTCAAGGGCGAGGATGGGGATGATGACGAAGGTGACGATGACGATGATGATGATGGTGATGATGACGGCGACGATGACGGTGATGATGAAGATGACAACTAGACACCCACCACCTGCATGCCCTTCGATACTAGACAACAAGACGCTCCCCACCCTGAATGTCATAGAAAACACTCCCCTAAGCCTTCCTCTTGGGCACCCTCCTCATCAACACACACCTGTGAACCCCCTCGGGCGCGTGTCCAACCAGCGCCACCGCATTCCCGGCGCCCCAATTCTCGTCTTCCCTCCTGACGACCCCGTAGAGATCCGAGATGGGTAGGTCCTGCACATCCAGGTCCTCGAACCCGAACCGCCCGTACAGCGGATACCCCGCGGGCGTCGCCTCGAGCCACGTGTTGAGGCCCTCCCGGTCCGCCATCTCGATGCCCCACTGCACGAGAGCCGAGCCGGCCCCGAGGCGGGTGCGTGTGGGTTTGCAGGCGAGGATTGCAAGTTCTGGGATTGCAGTCAGTCAGCCAAGTCGGGTCAGGTCAGGCAAGTCTAATTTTCTGCTGGGAAGACTCACCCAGCGCAGCATCCCCCTTCACCCACGCCTTCCTCATCCTGCGCATCCCACCGATGAACCGATCAAACACCTCGAGATCCACCCCCTCACCCAGCATCTCCGTCGTCAGGGGCGGATCAGCGCTCCACTCCTCCTCAGGCCTACCCCCGGACTCAACAACCCACTTGGAAAAAGCCACAATCTCCGCATCCCGCTCATCCCCCTCCCCCTCCTCCTCCCCCTCCTCCCCCTCCTCAGCCACCAACTCCGCAACCACAAGGATAGTCCTCTTCCCCGCCGCCGCCGCCGTCGTCGTCCCCGTCCCCGCCCCATCCTTTTCGGCACCCGCATCTCCACCCGCACCCGGGGGCGCGAGCCCAGCGGCGAACTTTGCCCTCGCGTCGGCCGACTCGCCGCCGGGGTACATGAGGCGCGACATGACGTTTGGGCCGAAGGCGGCGAAGTGGATGTCCACGGCGGCGGCGACGTCGGCCGCGGTGGTGGCCTCGCGGATGCGGATGCGGGTGCGGGTGCGGGTGCGGCAGGGCCGGGTGCTGGTGGTGCTGCCGTAGGCCATTCTGTTGCTGCTGCTGGTTGGGGTGGGTTGTGTGATTCTACTGGTGGTGGTGGTGGTGGTGATGTTGATCCGCGCACACAGTTGTGGTGGCTTGGGGCTGCTTTATGGGTTCTCATCCACAGCCCCCCCCGCATCCGATGGGACGGCATTGCTGACGATGTGGGGTGGGGCGGGCCATTCGCCGGCGGACTCATTCGGCGTCGAATTCTGCTAGTTTTGCCGCCGGAGATAAGGCGTGCTTATTTGGCTATTTTTGCCCCTAAAAAAATGGAGCGGAGTCGAGGCCCGATCTACTAGTACGAGCTTCCCAAACGGGGAAGTCTAGATGCAGTTTCTCGCTCCTTGTTCCCCGTCCTTTGACAACCAATCCAATGAAATCATCCGGAGGATATCCGCAAGAAGGCAACCCCACCCCTCCCGAGTCACCGATCATCAAAGACCAACCAAAACCGGCCCCAGATCAATTCAATTCTCCTCTGCCGGCGCCGGGTACCTCTCCCTCCAACTCCGCCCCCACACCTGCGCAACGACGACCGCCATCGCCGCCGCCGCAATAACCGCCGCCTGGCCCCCGAACGCGGCCCCGGCCCCGGCACTCCGCACCCACGCGCCCTGGAAGTAGACGACCGAGAACCCGCCGACGACGCGCCAGCAGTTGATCCACGCCGACGCCGACGCCGCGTGGCGCGGGAGGCAGTCGAGCGCGTACGCCGACACGGCCGTCGTGCAGGAGAGGGTGCCGAAGCACACCATCGCCCACCCGAACGCCAGCCCGGCCCAGTGCAGGCGGTGCTGCATCGTCGCGCCGAAGAGCACCAAGCCCGCCACCGCCGCCGCCACACCGGGGTATACGGCCGTCAGGCGGCTCTCGGGGCCGAAGCGGGGCATGTGCCGGGCTGCGAGCGCGTCGTTGAACCAGTGGCCCCACAGCTCGGCCGCGAGGGTGCCGAGCATGGGCGCCCAGTAGAACATCGAGAGGCCGACGTAGCTGAAGCCGTAGCCGCCTTCGTCGGTAGCGGGGAGCACGAACTGCGGCATGGTCGTGACCAACCCGATGGTCCACATTGTCATGGGGGTGATGAACAGCGCCGTCGGGAGGAGCAGGTAGGGCCGCCCGAGCAGCGAGCACTGGTGCCGGAACACGGTCCACAGGCCCGGCCGCGCGGCCCGGTTGCGGTACCCCTCCACCCCGAGCAGCAGCGCCACCCGCCGGCCCGGCGACACTGGTTGGGGCCGCCCGCACACCTTGAGCCCCGCGCGCAGCAGGTCGTGGCCGTCGCGGTCGAAGAGGGTCTCGTCGCCGAGGAACGCCACCATGGCGACGCTGAGGCCGTAGAAGCCCGCCAGCACGGCGAAGTTGTCACGCCAGTCCAGCCGCAGGAGAAGCAGGCTGGAGATGAAGGGCCCCAGGTACGGCCCTATCAGGAACGAGGCCGCCCAGATGTTGATCTTGCGAGTCCGCTCTTGGAAGAAGAACATGTCGTGCACCACCGAGAGCCCGATCACCTGCGGCGCCGCCCCGAAGAACCCCTGCAGCGTCCGCATCGCCGTGAAGCTCGTGTAGCTGCGCGCGTGTATGGCCCCGATCGTGCAGACGAGGCAGAGGAGTTGCGACCAGAAGAGGACGGGGAGCCTGTCAGGAGGGGGTGGTGGGTTAGATGAGAATACAAAACTGTGAAATGGTCTGTACTATATTTTTCTTTCCTGGAGGTGGGGGGTTGCATCTTACCTCCCGTAACGTTGGCACAGAGGAACCGCCAGGATCCCCCCCGTCCCTTGCATGAAGATTCCCGGGCTCACGGACTGGGCCACTTCCTCGACCGCCATGTTCCTAGGTGCGGAGGAAGAGGAATTAGAACGGACTCAGGTCGAGAAACGGGGACGGCAAAGAAACGGACTCACCACTCGGACGCTTGTAGCTGGAAGACAGTCGTCCCCCATGTCAGAGTCCAGTCGCTGAGGAGGGATCCCGGGATCAGCGCGAACAGGACGGCATGCTTCTTGCGCCACGACCAGTTGAGCGGATCCTCGGGCCTGACGGACGGCTGCGGGTCGAGCGGAGGGCCGGTCAAGTCTCCGTGGTGGAAAGAGAAGGACGAGCCGCTGCCGTTGTCCGCCCCGGTGGACGTGTTGGCACCCGACCTGCTGAAAAGGGGGCTATTGTTCCATATTCTCGACGGGGAGGGGCTATGCCACATCCTCGAGGGGGACAGCGGCTCGAGGCCCATGTCGAACTGGGCCTTTGCCAGGGCGCGGGATTCGACGTCGGCATGCTCCCGGACTGCTCGAGCATACGCGTTCGACATGGCTGCTGCTGCTCTCTGGGGAGCATTCGGCGCGGCAACGGACGTTTTCTTCTTCGTTTCTTTAATTTTCCTTTTCCCTCAAGGCCAAGGGTTGATAGGGTTAAGAATCGGCGTTCCAGGGCCCAGGAGGCGGCAACCCCTCCCCTGCTAATCAAGGGTGAAACCATGGGCTGAGCTAACGGACATCCGATTAATCGAACTCCCAAGGCGTCAGAGGACACGCCATTGCGAGAGGTGCAGGAAGCTGGCAGGTCAAGGCATGCTTTCAGTCCAATGGGATTCCCGGGCTTCGACCTGCAGCTGTTCCGTGTGGAGGGTAATAAGTATTTATATACGGCCTGGGTGTCGCTCAAACCACGGCCAGGGCAAGGTACGAAACCTTAAGCCAAAGTTACTTTTCTCGGTCAACCGCCACATTCCCACGCAGGCCTTAGGGCAGGGCAGCTGCAGATCCGAGAGTGAGCTTGTGCTGTGCTCTTAGGAATCCTTGAGCAAGTCCAGTGCTCCTTTAAGCCGCCCATGGGTCTCTCGGCATGACTCTTCGAAGGCATCTGCTGTTCCATAAGAATGGTAATCTCTTCGATATTCTGATCTCAACTACTCACGGTCGGGGGTTCGTTCCATCCAACGTGATGCAGCCCGTGACTCCACACTTGTATCGCCAGTGTTCTGGCGGGGGAACTCCTGTTCAATAACAAGACGAGGATACGGTACAGTCTCTTCCAAACGTGCTGATGCTGAGTCACCTAACTCTAGTGCTCCTAGGGGACATCACTATTTACATACCATGCGTGAAATGTCGGGAAGTATGATGGCACTTCAATGGGACTTTCTCTGGGTCGCCCGTGAGCGACGTTCCTATCTGCTGGCAGATGGCTGATTTCATGGCAAATCCCATATCCTTGGCCATGATAAGGTATACCTCGTGAGGATTGCCAATCGTAATATCGACTTTACGTGTTGTAATTAAGGGATCCACTCCCGTCGATGGAAGTGTACGTCGCCTTTACCTCGTGGTATGCCCTGTGGGAGTAGGAAGATCCAGGAAATGCTGCGGATAATGTCCGGGTTGAGGTCATGACAGGCCTCGTTAGATACCGAGAAGCCATTGCTCGGGTTGTCGGAAGAGCGGTTGGTTTATGGAGAGATAGAGAGAGAGAAAGTCGGCGAAACGCGACTGCAGATGTGATGGGCTGAGTTAAAACTCCAGTCCCGCAATTCTCTCCCCACGTGATGACGACCTGGTCCAGGCGATGGGTGGCTGGCACCATCAGGACTTTTTACGCCGCTCCTTCCGCACGACGGTCCGGGAGCAAGGAGTCGATACGACCCAGCTAAGAGCTACCTAACTCGGGCTACAGCAGCTCATCTCAGGAGTGCATGGGGCGGTTTAGCCGAAGGTCGATATTATCTTGTAACTACCCTATAACGTTTTTCAAGGCTTGTACAAATCTTAGCCGACAACAGTTAGCTGCTGATTGAGACTCTGGATCTTGCTTCGATGTTACCGAGTTGCCTCGATTATCAAAAAGCACCTCAAGGATCCGTTGCTACCCTGTTGTCTACGTCCGACTGCTTTTTCAACCTTCCCTTCGTCCCAGTCACCTTTGCATTTTCAGCCTGCAGCCGACTATTGGCCGACGAAACCCATTCGTCATCCAGATAATCCCCGCGGACTGTTTCTCGGTATTAGCCAGGAAGGAAGATAACCGCACGGGTGATCCCCAGAGAGAGAGAGAGAGAAGGGGGATGTGTCTGGGACCTACCTCTGTGTCCATAGTTCATGACAATATCATTCGGCTCGTACGTCTTGGACGAGTCGTGCCCCTTGCAGGTTTTGCAGCTGTTGTAGTGCTCCAGCGCGAGCTCCGCCCGGAACGGGTGCGAGGTGAAGGTATGGGGCCTGGCGTACGGCCCGAGGTCGCATCGGAGCACGAACCATCCTGGCCCGAACGGGGGGTACTGGAAGATGTACTCGATCCCTTCCACCTCCCACGCGTCCACCCAGCCGTTCTTGGTCTTGGTCTGGGGCTGTGCCTGGATCTGGGCCTGGGCCTGGACCGCCTCGGCTGTCGCTGTCGCTGTCGCTGTTGCTGTCGCTGTCGCCGTCTTGGCCTTCTTCGGGGTCCGTTCCACGTGGTGATTTAGCGGTCGAGAACGCTTAGCCTGATGAATTGAGGTGGGTTAGCAGCTCGGTCAATCAGATACACGGGTGCGGGTTAATCCTGCTCACAAAATGTGCCTTGGGGCTTTCAGGAGATTTTGGCAGGACCGCAGGCCGGCGTTCGACAGCAGGAGCCGGGGTCGGGGAATGGAGAACGAGGTCTGCCGGCTTAGCATTGGGTGTCCCAGCGTTGGATGCCCCAGCCTTGGTTACCCCCGCCTTTAGGGTGGGCGTTGGCGTTGGCGTTCTAGGCTTCAAGTTGGCCACAAGCGTGGTGCCGGGAGAGGTCAGAGGCGTGGGGTACTCTTTCGGATCCTCGCCGTTCCGTATCATTTCCACCATGGCCTTGTACGTAGGCGGTACCACTTTGTCGAGGACGCCAGAACGGATGACTTCCTGGGCACGCTCCTCGCCCTCGGTGTGGCGTAGAGTCGCGAGGATGACCTCCCTTCTGGCCTCGAGGGATGCCATCTGCTTTTGGATGGTCTTCCATGCCTCCTTGATGACCAGCTCACGCGATTCGCATTCCCGCTGCAGCTGGGCGCTTAAGCTGTCCTTCAGGTGCTGTAGAACCTGAGACTTGAGGTCTGCAGCGAGCTGCTTATCGAACCCACAATCTGGTCTGCTCATGTTGGAGGCCGTATGGGAGGAGGCCGTGGGGTAGAAAGACGATGGACATTTGCATGTTTGAACTTTTGAAGAAAGAAGCCGGCTGCTCGAGGAGAAACGCCCTTTTACTTCTGGCTGGGAACGTTTGGTTGGTCAGTGGCCAAGGCTGGCTGCCTCCAACCGACCAGGCATTGGCATGACGCTTTTCCCAGCCACTGCCACTAAGTATGCGTAGCGGCGGTAGCTTGCATCTGTTGGTACAGGGTTATTTCACAGCGCCAAACAGGCGAACCAACAGGTCGTAAACCCGGAAACGGTGGTTTCTCGAAACATCAGTAAGGCAGGCCAATCAATGGTGGCTGCCACACACCACCCCACCTGTTTCCATCATGCTCCCCCCACTGCGGCTGGATTTTCTCCTGCATACTTCGCTATCTGCCTCGTGAGGATGCCTTAAAAGAATAATGGCGTAGCATACCTATATGTAGATGCGGGAGGGTGCAGGACAACCCAATAATTTGATTCGCTTGTGTCTTGTGGTGAGTTGCCACAATTAGCTGAGAGCATGAACCCAAGTCTGTTAATCCTAGTCAAACTGCATTAGAATCAACTGCTCTTGCTTGTCCTAATGATACAAGAGGATCCATCTCTTCTCGTGGGCCTGCCACTCTCATCATATTTTAGATCACTGTCAGGCCTAGTTGCCTTGTGACTGTATTGGTAGATCTGGGGCAACTTACTCTTAACTGGCTTGGTTAAATACTAAGAAAGAATTGGAGTCTGTTGGCAATCAAAGACACAGCATATTCAAGAAAGAGAACACAAATACATGAACAAGTCAGAACCAGAGGTCCCAGCTGTCCAATTTTTATATCAATATTCAAATGTGACAAGTCGAATCGTCTGCTCGTAGCTGATACATGTCATTTGATCAACCAGCCGTGATTCATATCTTGCACAATACACCATATGTCTTCTTTTCTGCCACTATGTAGTCAAAAGTGATTGATCATTGGTCTAGATCATGGCCTTGCTGAACATAGGCGGTGTAGCTCTCAAATTAGGAAAAGCAGGCGGAGCGCTGAGCAAGAGGAGCCCGGCCTTTGAGAGAGAAAGGATACCTGATACCCGACTCTTGCTTGTCATACAGATCCATTACATACTCACAATAAACTGCCTTGGCCTGGCAAGAAGGTAATTCATCTTCAAGGCGCTATTCAAATGCATCTTAATCACCTGATCTACATCCCTCTCTCTGAGCCCACGCCTTGGAACCCCGGCTACACAATCAAGCACCCCTCCCCACTCGACCTCAGCACCGCCAACCAGTTCCACCGCGCCCTCTCCCCCGGCGGGAGCGCGTCCCTGGCCGCCCAGACCCGCTGCAGCGTCTCCGCCGCCGTGTACACGTAGCCCCACGGACAGACCCACGGCGACGACGCCAGCCACAACGAGCTGATGCAGCCGAGGCACCACTCACGCCGGCCCGGGTCGTCCGTCTGCCCGCCCGCCACAAACGCCGGCCACACCGCCCCCTTGAAGAGCTCGTGCTCCGCCGGGATCGACGACAGGTGGTACAGGATCTCGTCCACCAGCTGCCCGGCCTGCTCGTCAACAGCAGCAGCGCCCGGCCCGCCACCGCCCCGCACAGCCGAGGGCACGCAGAGCCGCACGTACAGGCACGCGGCAGCCCTATGCGCCGACGCGAGCTTCACCCGTGTCTCACGGTCGTCGTCGGCCGACAGCTCCGCGATGCTCCCAACCCAGGCGCGGACATCCATCGCGCGAGCCCGCGAGAGGAGCGTGGAGGCAGTGGCCGCGATGGCGGCGCGGCGGTCGTCCGCCCCCTCGCCGCCGCCGAGCGTCCCGTCAATCATGTCGGGGCTCGCCATCCTGCTGGCCTCGGCGACGATCTGCAGTATGCCCGGCGGGCAGCAGTGGTAGCTGTGGGCCTGGGCGCGCCGCAGGACGGCCGGCACGTCGATGCCGTCGTAGACGCGGGCGGCGGCCTCGTCGGGGGCGCCCAGCGCCGAGCCGAGGATGTGGTAGGTCAGGCAGTCGGCGACGACCATGTCGCCGAGGCGCATCGTGGTGGCGTTCAGCGACTTTGCGCGGTTCGCGGGTCTCGGGTCGCCCTGCAGCGAGCGGATCAGCGACCCTGCCGCCTCGAGGTGCACCTTCCAGCCGCCCCTTCCGGAGTCGATGAGGTCGAAGTTGACGAAGAACACCACGGCGGCCAGGATCGCGGGCCGGTTGGATTCGTCGATGTTGTCCAGGGCGAGCTTCAGGAGCTTGATGGCTTGCGCCCTGGCTGAGAGGGCGTCCACTAGCTCGTGTCCCACCGGCACGCCCTGAGATCGCCGCCGGGCGACCAAATGGATTGCTGCGGTGGCGACGACGATTTCCTTCAGGTAGGCATACTGGTCCATCAGCGGGACCATGAAGCGAAATGGGTTGCGATCATGCTGGTCGAAAGAGACCAAGTCTCTACAGACTGTTTCGGTATCTGAAATTAATGGTTAGCCAGACTTGCAGGAACGTAAGATTGAAGGGGCCAGACAACATACAGTGACGAATGTAATACCGAGAGCTGGAGTCAAGGTCCTGCAACAGCGGATCTATGAGGGGGAAGAAGATATCAGGGTGCTGCTTTCCAGCTTGGAGGCGAGGAGGTTCATGCTGGCCAGGAGCATCCCCGAAGGTAGACAGGCCAGCCATCCTGCCCCGGCTGGCGACAGCATTGGTCCATCTGAATAGATTGCCATATCCGAGGCACTCTTCTCCATTGCTGGTGCATTTCCGACAGACGGGTTGTGACCGGTCGCAACGTCGTCTGCGGCGGCGACAATTGTGACAGGCTTTCTGGCCTCCGCTTTCCAGTGACGCAGAAACGAGGGAGAAGGGACCGTCCGGCATGGATCAGTGAGAATTACCTGAAGGGCTGCGTGCAGGTCATACTCGAAGGTGGTTTGCAAAACATTCATGGTTCCGCTGACGTAGCAAATCGCGACTCCGACAATGCCGAAGCTCGGGGGAAGGAGTGCCTAAAAACGCACGGACCCCGCCTTCCCCGGCGCGCACTGTAATCCGCGCAAACCTCCGTCGCTCCGTGCACCGAAATTCCTTGCGATAATTAAACCTAAGCTTTACTTCAGTCCTTCAGCGGGTAGTGATGTTGTGGAAGCAACCTTCATTGCCGACCCCTTGTTCCTTGCGATTATCCTTCAGGGCGGCCTGAAGCAGGCTGCCATCACCTATCCCGACGCGGCCCACGGTAAAGAAATCTACAATTTCTTCGGCAACCGCGTTCTCGAGCACACCACCTTGACAGGCGCAATCCTCGCCATCAAAGTCAAGCCGCCAACCGCCTTGGACCGCTCCGAGGCCGACATGATGCAGTACGCCGCAACAAACCATGTTCTGGCCCCGAACGTGCGCGGCGTCTACGACATCGTCACCACCAAGCCCATCGCGCGGGTGCTGGTCAGCGAGGGGGTGCGCCCGGCGTGCCCCTCGCCGACATCTGGACGGACCTCACCGACGCCGAGAAGTCCGGCCTCAAAGACCAGCTCCGCGCCCAGCCCGCTCGCATGCGCGCCTGCACGCAGCCCTTCATCGGGCGCGTCGGGCGCCAACACGTGCGCAACGTCTACGACCGCATCCCCCAGACGTACTGCGGGCCGTTTGCCGACGAGAAGGCGTTCGACAAGTGGCGTCTGGCCCGTCTCGCCGGTGGCCCGTTTAATGGCAGCGGGTGCTGGAGCGGGAGCGAAGGGACTCTCCTGGCGCGTTCGTCTTGACTCATGGCGATCTGACGCCGCGGAATTTCCTCGTGCAGGGCGGCGTCATCACCGGAATTGTGGACTGGGAAAGGAGCGGCTTCTTTCCCGAGTACGCCGAGTATGCGTTCGCCATGGCGCTATGCCATGGGCATGAGAAATGGTGGGTTCCGGTGTTGAAGGATGTGTTGCAGCCTTGCTCGGAGCAGAGACTCGAGTTCACGTGTTTGGTTGAGAAGAGAGGGTTCTGATACAACGGGGTTCCGAATGCCCACTCGACACTCGCCATCTAGGGACGACCGTCTCCCCTCGCCGAGTTCCTCCGTTAAGGGCGTCCTTCCACTTATTCCATTCGCAAGGGGGACATCCGTCTCATGATTACGGGCAGAGGTAAGATTGGCTAGAATGAACATCGCTTACACAAATCCTGGCCAACTATCAAAGCCTCTGGCGTCCTATATTGGGTTGCACCTACTTTGTCATGGGCCTGTCTGAATCATGTTGGTAAGTACCTAATCTCTCATTCTGCCAACCTTACAGGCTTGCAGAGATTCCTTCTCCCCTTGCTTTAGTGCTTTTATTCCTCACCACCTATTCAAGATTCGCGAGACGAGTCAAAATCCACTCGCTGCAATAGTCGTCCGCCTTAGGGTAGGCTCGAGAATGAGCCGGTCTTAGGGCCGGTAGTATCCAAGATACCTCCTCCATAATCGAGCCCGGCTGGGTCAAAGATAGGACAGGCAGGAATTCAAGGTTACAGAGGGAAAGTAGAAAATTGAAGATTGGTTCTCGTTACTTGACTAATAAGGTAATCTCAATTACTCAAGAACTTGTAGTATTGTGCTTTGGTTTTCCCGAGCATAATCCTTCATCTCAGGATAGAGATGGCCGCATAAAATTCTTAGCAGTTCCACCAAGTTAAGGGTTGATGTCACCCTCCCCGCGAGAGTCACCGCCGCCGCAAGAGAAATTCAGAGCCTAGTATTGGGAGTCTCATCATTAAGTCTACAATGGGGCCTCCTAGGCGTCTCTACTAGTACGTACGAGCTCGGTGGAAGTTTCCTCGGAAAGTAGGAGGTATTTCAGGGAACCACGTCGGAGCGGCTGTTAGTCGTTCTAAGATTGACATATCGGGGTACACCTACCTAGCTGGCAAGGAATCAATTCCGCGACAGTCTCTAGTAGTCTCTAGCGAAACTAGCAGCCGTCAAGATTTGTCCGATAATGTTCCTGCGCGAGAGCAGGGTCCCTAAGCTGGCCACTGCGGGCCAAGAGATTGGCAATATCAATCGTGTAAGTACGGTTCTCTTCTGGGAAGACTAGCCAATCTTCTAAGACAAAGTTGCGATAGCTGCAACGTAATGACCCCAAGATAGCCTATGACTTTCTCTGCCCTCCTTTCCTTTGAGAGCGGTTGGGGCGGGCCTGGCAGTGGCTTGACTGTTGGCTCTTACATGCGATATTGCAGGTGTTCCATCTTTCCAAGAAGAGCGAAGACCACCTGTACATGGACCATGGATTTGTCAAGTCAAGTCACGTTGCATGTACCCTGAGCCTGGTATAAAGTAGGTACTTGGGTACCTAGGCATGTGGTGGAAAAAATAACTGTATTAGAGGTTACCCTGCTTACTAACACTTGAAAAGTATCTACTAACAGTTAAGCATCACTTTATCTGTTGTTGACTTCGTTAAGGAGTGATCTAGGGTAGTTAGTACGTGGGGTTAATCGTACTACAGTTTTTTTTTCCACCGCTTGCTAGGCAGGCAGCGTGACTCACGGTCGGGTATTGCGGGGAATATGAGTTACAGCACGGATTCCATGATTCCGAGAAATGAAAAATTATTACGTACAAATATCGGGAGGGAGGAGGTGGGAATGGCAGCAAGCATTCTCCCCTCGAGGTCGACATATCATCAAGTCGTCAACGCAACATGAGGAGTTTTTTTTTAAGCACTGCGCTTGAGCCGAGCCAGGGGCAGGGATCCCGACGCTTTTCCCGATTCGGAAGCCAAGCCTCAATTCCTGCAGGTGGCGCTCGGCTCATTCGCTAGCGTCTTCGATCCACCCCCAGGGACCAGTTTGAGATTCGGGCGTCTCCATCGTTGACCCGCTGAATGGGTCATCGAGGCGTCGAGACTTTTCACTGCAGGCGATTAGGCGATTTGTAATGCGTAATGTCCCCGCCGAACACCTTGCCGGGCTCAATGGCGTAACCGAACCCACAACCCAAACGCCAAACATGACCACACTTATAAGATGGCTAGATCCTCCTCTTTCCGAGGTCGCGATGGTCGTCAACCTGGGCCTCTGCATGAAGCTGTCGTCAACAGATCACTACGTGCCTTGTAATGGCAACAATGGCAAGAGCTCCCTTGGCCCACGATGGTGCTGCTCTGGAGGAGCAGATTGACCTCGAAAAGCTGGGCCGACAGCGGCCTGCGGTATTTTCGTCGACCTTGTCGGAGATTCTGTTCTGCTTCTCGCTGCTGACGACGTCGATGATGGCGGTATGTGTGTTTGGGACATTTTTACCCTCCCTCGCCCCGCCTCGCCGTATCTAACATTGGATCTCGTAGGAGTACTTCATCAGCGGCTTCAACATCGTCCTGCCCGCCATCTCTGACTCTCTCTCCATCCCACCCGACTCACGCACCTGGCCGACGAGCGTCTTCGCCCTCGTGACGGGCGCCTTCCTGCTCCCCTTCGGCCGCCTCGCCGACATGTACGGCGGCCACGCCGTCTACGTCGGGGGCCTCGCCTGGCTGCTGGTGTGGTGCCTCGTCGGCGGCTTCAGCACCAACCCGGCCATGATGATCGTCACGCGCGCCGTCGCCGGCCTCGGCCCGGCCGCCTTCCTGCCCGCCAGCATCATGCTCCTCGGCAAGACGTACCGCCCGGGCCCGCGCAAGAACCTCGTCTTCAGCCTGTACGGCGCCTGCGCCCCGCTGGGCTTCTTCTTCGGCATCATCATGGGCGGCGTCACGGCCCAGTGCCTGACCTGGCGGTGGTACTTCTTCCTGGGCGCCATCGTGCTGGCCGTCGTCGTCGCCACCTCCGTCTTCTTCGTCCCCAGCGACTGGAACGAGGATCGGCCGGCAGGCGTCAAGATGGACTACCTCGGCGTCGCGACCACCGTCCCGGGCCTCGTCCTGCTCGTCTTCGCCATCACCGACGGCGCCCACGCCCCCGACGGGTGGAAGACGCCGTACATCATCGTGACCTTCATCCTCGGCGCCATCTTCATCGGCGCGGCCGTCTACGTCGAGGGCTGGGTCTCATCCCAGCCGTTGCTCCCCTTTGACATGTTCAAGCCCAAGTACATGATCCGGATGGTGATCGCCCTGTTCTTCTGCTACGGCGCCTTTGGCATCTTCTTGCTGTACGCGAGCTTCTAGTAAGTTTTGTCGCGCAAGTTTGTGGTCCGGCGTCCCCAAGCTAACAGCTCCACCAGCATCCAGGAGATCATCGGAAAAGCCCCACTCCTCACAGCCGTCTGGTTCGCCCCGATGGCAGCCGGGGGTATCGTGCTAGCCACGGTGGGCGGCTTCACGATGCACTTCCTCCCGGGGCGAGTCCTCCTCGTGATCGCGGGGCTAGGGGGCATCGCGCAGATGCTCCTCTTCGCCGTGATGCCCGACTACGCCGGGCCCCGAACCTTCTGGGCCTTCGTGTTCCCGGCCATGATCGGTGCGACCCTCTGCATCGACGTCGTGTACAACGTGTCCAACGTGTACATCACCACCAACGTGCCGCGCCACCGCCAGGGCGTCGCCGGCGCCGTCATCTTCAGCCTGCTGTTCCTCGGCACGAGCTTCTTCCTCGGCCTCGCCGACGTCGCCGTCGCCGAGTCCGCGGCCAGGGGCAAGGGCCTCAAGGAGAGCTATAAGGTTGCCTTCTGGTTCGGCACCGCCGTCGCCGCCGTGGTGCTGGTCCTGTTCTTCTTCATCAGGATCGGCTCGGCTAAGAGCGAGCTGTTGTTCGAGGAGAGGGAGAGGGTCCAGAGCGAGGAGGAGAGTCGATGATGCGCGCGCGGACACAGACACAGAGAAGGACTTGATGATTTGACGAGATATGATCTTAGTAGTTTTGCATCTTGTTGGGGCAAGGCGGAAGGCTAATTTAATGGGTTTTGCATATTTGATAGACCGACTATATACACCATCTAGGTTGTTAAATAGAAGTCAGACATACCACTCCAAAATAGAGGATGGGAAGGCTAGGGATAGAGGCATCGCGCGGTGGAGAGGCCTGGATAAACAAGGATATAATACATATGGGTAATACATCAGTCGGATCTATGTATCCTTGCAAAACTTCTCCGCACCAGCACCCATCAATACGGTGCCGGGAACTTCAAGGATTTAGTGCCCATACGTGCTCATACACGCTCCTTCTTGAGGGCCTGCCATATCTTCCACGGCAGCTTCCAGCTACTTTTGACCTGGAAAGTATCGAAATCGGCGGCCTCCAGCCTCGCCAAGTATTCAGAGGTCGGCACAGCCTCCAGCAGTATGCCGAATGTCCGGCGAACATCCGCCGCGGCGCGCTCATCGCGGTTCGCCGTGTGGGAGTAGACGTGCTCCGTCTCCCCCTCGTGTTCATAGTCGTGCCCGGGACTCATCCCCGCCTGCATGTTCTTCAACATCTCGCGCGCCGTAATGATGTGGTCGTTGGCCCGGGTGGCGACCTTGAAGACGGCGTCTTGGAGACCCTCGGCGTGGGGGCCCTTGCGGAACACGTCCTCCTCCCTCAGCCCGACCTCGGCCATCACGTCCAGAGGGAGCAGGAGGGCTGGAGTCCTGTTGCTGCCCACGTCCGCGCCCGAGGGAGAGCGCACGCGCTGCGACGGCGCGGCAAGGACGGGGATGCCTCGCAGCGTGGCGGCGATGCCCTGGGCCTTGCCGATGTGGCTTGCCAGGTGGTCCACGTGCACGGAGCGGACCGGCATGGAGGCCAGTGCCATGTACATCAGCGTCGAGTATGTGTTCTCGGCGTACTCCTCCAACGCGGCCAGGTTCGCAAAGGGCCGGTTATCCATATACTGTTCCCGGGTGTTGATGAACCGCAGGAGCCAAAACTTTAGCGACTTGACACTGCTGCCGTCGGATCGCGACCCGAGATCTGTTATCGCCTTGTGCAGCATGATGGAAATCGGCTCCCGGGGAGGGCTGCCGGCGAAGACTTTGTTGACCGTGTCCCGCCAGAACTGCATGCGGAATTGGCCGATGGTCGGGTTCGAGACCGTCTCTGGTAGCCTTGCCAGCTCGAGGTTGAGGGTTCGGAGCGCATCGTAGGCATCGCGCGCGGATCTGGGCACGAATTGGCGAATGAGGTAGGCCTCGTAGTCGCCTTTCCTAGAGAAGATGTGAGAAACGAGAGCCCAGCAGCAAAACAGCCAAGACATATACTGACTGTATCTGGTTCAGGCAATATTTCCTGGCCTGTTCGACATCGGCGTCTGTGACGATTCCACGAATTCCACGTCCAAGCTCGCTGGAGCTGGAGGTGGAGGCCCTTCGGAGCCCATGCCGGAAAGCCCGAATCGAATACATGAGGGAGAGGCTGGATCTATAAGTAGCAGGACATCTTTAGAGAAATACCCGCCATCGAGGCGAAATACCAAACAAAGCCAATGGCAGAAACACAATCTACTCTGTTCGAGGTCTCGCTTTGAAGATTCGCGCGGGATGACGACAATGGTCAAAGCTCTGCACTTGAACTTTTCCTCTGCGTCCCAGGTTTTCCTAGTGGCCCCCACTGTAAATGGGTCACACGCCAAAAGTCGCGCCTGCCTTCGGCCCATCGCGTCTCCCCTGATCGCGGTCATTTCATCGAGTCGGGATAGGCACCTCTTTCTTTGCCGGACAACAACTAGTTCTCCTGTCAATGGCCTCTGGTAACTTGCAATTATGGACTTCCCTCGCCGAGATGGATCTCCAACCAACAACAAGCGGCGATTCTTTACTGATCCCGACGATCCCACCAAGGCTCAGAGTCAGCTCCTCACGCCCCTCACTCCCCTCAGCTCTTCGCCAGCACCTAAGCGGCGACACCTCGACGACGAAGAACCGAATCCTCGCCTTCACCTGAAAGCCAATGCAAATGCAACTGCCACTGCCACTGCCACTGCGGTTGGCTTCTGGGGCTCGCCTACCCGGCGATCTCCCCTCTCCGAGAGAGGTGTAGACGACACATTCAATCGAACCTTGACAGCCCCATCCTCCAAGACTGCCGCTGCTCCGATGGCATTTGACCAGGATATGTTCGAAAGTTTCGTCGGAGACAAGGTCAAGCCCGAAGTGCTTGATATTATACGAGACAAGTGTGGCAACAGCATTGAGAGGGCAGTCAACATGTACTTGGACGGCACCTGGAAAGTCTTCAAGAAGGAACCGTCCACCCTTGGTTCTCGAGCGACTATGACGACGACGACGACGACGATTGCTCAGCCAAGATCCCTTCCTGCAGCGCAAGGCACCACTCCGGCCTTTGCACAACCCACTACTCCTCCTCGCCAGACCGTTCCCCACTCGCGGTACATCGGAGCATTTGGCGTTGAAGGGTGGGCGACACGAAGCGGGGCCAATCTCCTGAATCACGGCGATGTTGTCAAGATCGAGCGCCAGAAGATCCAGCCACCTAAAAGCATGATCAAGGGAAAGGACAAGTTTGGGGCTCCTGTTATCACGCAGCGTGTGAGCCTCGCTGCGGCCAGGAGAGTCGATGTCATCGTCCGCTTCACCAACACAAATGGCATGGAGATTGGGCGGCTCTCGAAAGACACGGCCAACTGGATCTCGACTTTGATGGACCAGAAGGTTGTCAAGTTCGAAGGGACATGTGTTTACGCCCCAGAGAGACTGCGAACCAACGACACGGTCTTCATCCAGCTCAGATGCTCTCTTCTCGGCTCTGCATTCTCCGGACGAGGTTTCCAGCTTGCCGACAATCGAAGTGTCGGGCTTTTTGAGCAGACCGAGACTTGGGAAGAGCAGAACTTGCGCTTGAGGCAGGTGGCACTGGTCAGGCTCTTCCAGGAGATCAATCTACTGCCTTCCAAGAGCAGCGAAACTGCTGCCAAGAGCCAGCGCCAGAAACTCCTTGAAGCGGCCGAACTAGCAGAGAAGAAGGCGAAGGAGCCCCCGAAGACCACCGACGGCGACAATCCAGGATCATCACCTCCTTCCGATGAGAATGAGGACGGAGAGGAACTCGAGCAAGATCAGCTCGATAGCCTGTACAAGAAGGCGCAGTCGTTCGACTTCAACACCCCGGAAGCCGAGCCATCCGACACATTCTCCATGACCCTGCGCCCCTATCAAAAGCAGTCGCTACACTGGATGATGTCCAAGGAGAAAGACCAGCGCAGCGAGCATCGCGAGGTATCAATGCATCCTCTTTGGGAAGAATACGTGTGGCCGACCAAAGACCACGACGACAAGGATCTTCCCCAAGTCGCCAACCAGCCAGTGTTTTACATGAATCCCTACTCCGGCGACATATCATTGGACTTTCCAGCTCAGGAGCAGCGCTGTCTGGGTGGGATCTTGGCCGACGAGATGGGCCTGGGCAAGACGATTCAGATGCTGAGCTTGATCCACTCGCACAAATCCGATGTGGCCATCGAGGCTCGCCAGTCGTCCAACTCTGGGTTTTTAGCTAAATCCCTTGCCCGACATCCACCGGGCCTGGTCAACGCCCCATGCACGACGCTGGTTGTTGCACCCATGTCGCTGCTAGCACAGTGGCATAGTGAGGCAGAGAGGGCATCAAAAGCAGGAACCCTCAACTCTATGGTCTACTACGGGAGCGAAAAGAATGCCAATCTGCGGGACCTATGCTGCGAGGCGAACGCTGCTACCGCTCCAAACGTCATCATCACAAGCTACGGAGTTGTCCTTTCCGAGTTCGGTCAGATCGCCTCTAGAAACGGCGACCGAGGTGCTCACCAAGGGCTCTTCTCGTTGAACTTCTTCCGAGTCATTCTCGACGAGGCACACACCATCAAGAACCGACAGTCCAAGACGGCCCGGGCCTGCTACGAGATAGCTGCCGACCATCGCTGGGCTCTGACGGGGACACCTATCGTGAATAGGCTGGAGGATTTGTTCAGCCTGGTCAGGTTCTTGCGAGTCGAGCCCTGGAACAACTTCTCGTTCTGGAGGACGTTCATCACGGTACCGTTCGAGTCGAAAGATTTCATGCGGGCCCTCGATGTCGTGCAAACAGTCCTCGAGCCCCTGGTCATGAGGAGAACCAAGGACATGAAGACGCCGGATGGTCAGCCACTTGTGCCGCTGCCACCAAAGGCAATCGAGATCGTCGATATCGAGCTCTCCGAGGCGGAACGTAACGTCTACGACTACATCTTCACCCGCGCTAAGCGTTCGTTCCAGGCCAACGTCGATGCCGGCACCGTCATGAAGGCCTTCACCAACATCTTCGCCCAGATCCTGCGGCTCCGCCAGTGCTGCTGCCACCCGGTCCTGGTCCGCAACCAGGAAATCGTCGCCGACGAAGAGGCGGCGGCGGCCCTCGCGGACGCCGCGGCCGGGCTCGGCGACGACATGGACCTGGCCTCGCTGATCGAGAAATTCACGGCGGAGACGGACGATGCTGCCGACTCGAATGCCTTTGGCGCGCACGTCCTCAAGCAGATCCGCGATGAGGCGGCCAACGAATGCCCTATCTGCTCCGAGGAGCCCATGGTCGAACAGACCGTCACGGGGTGCTGGCATTCCGCCTGCAAGAAGTGTCTCCTCGACTACATCAAGCACCAGACCGACCGCCACGAGGTCCCCCGTTGCTTCCAGTGCCGTGAGGTCATCAACTCGCGAGACCTGTTCGAAGTCGTCCGCGAGGATGACCCCTCAGTGCTCGGCGGGGCCCCGCGGATCAGCCTCCAGCGGCTCGGGGTCAACGCCTCGTCGGCCAAGGTGGTCGAGCTCGTTAAGCACCTCCGCGCGCTGCGCAGGGAGCACCCGACGATGAAGTCGGTCGTGTTCAGCCAGTTCACGTCGTTCCTCTCGCTGATCGAGGGGTCGCTGACGCGGGCCAACGTCAAGTTCCTGCGGCTGGACGGCACCATGGCGCAGAAGGCGCGGGCGGCCGTGCTTGCCGAGTTCCAGGAGTCGGCGCAGTTCACCGTCCTCCTCATCAGCCTGCGGGCGGGCGGCGTGGGGCTCAACCTGACCAGCGCGAAGCGCGTCTTCATGATGGACCCGTGGTGGAGCTTCGCGGTCGAGGCGCAGGCCATCGATCGCGTGCACCGCATGGGCCAGGAGGACGAGGTCAAGGTCTACCGGTTCATCGTGAAGGGCAGCGTGGAGGAGAGGATGCTCAAGGTCCAGGATCGGAAGAAGTTTATGTTGGTCGCCTCTTCCACTCCACTCCCTCTTTGTGAAATGATCCCGAAACTGACCTATTCCTCTAGTGCGACGTCCCTCGGGATGATGTCGGACGAGGAGAAGCGGGTGCAGAGAATTGAAGACATGAGGGAACTGCTCAGCTAATTGCTTGCCTTGCGTTGGACGAGGCTTACATGGAGATAGATATGGGCATTGGGGCATTGCTTTGGAGTTTGGAGAAGGCGTTGGGGGGACTGGTTGTTCTCCATCCAGGTTCAAGGGTACAAAGGTTCAAGATTCGGGCTGCCGTTCAGGCTGCTAACAAATGGAAGCGATACCTTGGTCGCCAGGCAAGTCGGCCAAGCAGGATCACTCGGATTCAAGACGTGGAATATCTAGTCTTGGGGTTGGAGATAAAGGGACTCATACGTAGAATCGTTGGGGCCGGAGCATTTATTCAGGGTTTGTCTACTTGCCAGACACTGCAATGCAAGTAGTATGCTCTTCACTCAAGGTTCTCACTCACAAACCACGGACATGGAGCGCGCGCCAATATCCCCCCAGCTTGTGGCTCTTGGTCCTGGGTTCATCCTCGGAGGGGGTGGGGGAGCGAAGTTGAACAGGAGGCACTTTGGATTTTTGTGTAAACATGTCACCCCAGAGTTACAAATGACTAACGGACAATCCAGAACAGTTTCCTCTTCATAACACAGGTGTAGCGTCCGATGCCCTTCACTTGTCGGGAACGTCACGTTGTCGGGTTTCGTTGCGGGTGATGAATGTCTTAACAGACCAAAGTCACGCGCCGCCCATTTGTGACTCGAGGGGTACATCATCACCATCCATCACCACCCATCACCACGAGCACCTACAGCACCACGCGAGAAACCAGATGCACAAGTCACGGTGACAAGCGAATCGATCAAATTGCAGCAAATTTAAACCTCTTCATCCGCCCGCCCATGACTTTGACCATGTCGTCTTCTTCCCTCCACCACAGCGCGCCTGGTCCAACCCCGAGAGCCAAACCTCGTATACATCTCCCCAGACTCTCTAAATACCTAGAAGGAGAAATACCCTATCCCCGAAACTCGACCCATCAAGTCCTCTTCCCTACCTTACAACCTTGACTGCCATCCTGCAGGCCATCCCCCCCCAACCCGACAGCAGCAAACAAACACCGGCACTGCCCCCAGCCCGAATGCCCAGCGAGGTCCTGGGCGACCTCGCCCGCCACGCACTCGACTTCTCAGTCCGGCACTACCTGGATAAGCAGAAGGAGAAGAAGAAGCCTTCCACGTCCTCGCGCTCCCGGGCTTCTTCCCGCTCCCGCTCCCGACGCACGACGGCGTCGTCATCTCACTCCGCAACCCGCCGCTCCCGCGGCCGCGGCGGCGGCCCAGACCGCAGCAGCACCGGCGACCGCGACCGCGGTAGCGGCGGAGATAATCAGAACCACACCGCCGAGCTGGTGGGCCACCTCCTCCGCGGGGCGGCAGCGCTGGCGGTGACGAGGTTCGCGCGGGCGCGCGAGGAGAAGCGGGCGCAGCGGACGAAGGAGAACGCGAAGAAGGCCTCTGCTGCTGCTGCTGTTCCTGCTGCCGGTCCTGCTGCCGGGGGGGCTAAGCCGGGGGCCAGCAGTAGCAGTTCCGGGCGGCGGCAGCACCGCCATCACGGCCGCCGCGACGGGCACTTGCGGGATCCGCTCGTCGCGGCCGGTGCAGCAGCAGCCGGCGTCGCCGCAGCCGCAACCGGCATCGGAGACGGATACAGGCACAGGCACAGACACGGACAACACGGACACAGAGACCCACCAACCAGGCTCCCGCCACAGCAGCAGCAGCAGCAGCAGCAGCAGCAGCCCCCCACCCCCGACCGGGCCGAGCTCGTCGCGGCGCTGGATGGCCTGTCGGAGGAGCTCCGCGTGGCGACGGGGAAGATCCGCGGCCTGGCCGACGGCGGCGGGCGCGCTGCCGCCGCCCACGAGCCGTGCGAGGTGCGGAGCGGCCTGAGGGCGTGTGCTGACGGGCTGCTTGCTTCGATGGCGGACCTGCGCACGGGGGTGAACAATATCCGGAATTTGCACGGGGAGACGCTTGCTGGTGGGCCGAGGGTGAGGGGTGGGGGGGCGTTTCTGGTGGGGAGGAGGGGGGTGGAGGGGGGAGGGGAGAGGGGGTATGACGCGAGAGACGGTGGGAGGGGTGAGGAAAGGGACCAGGGGAGGGAAGTGAGGAGGAATGAGAGGAGGGAGGCGAGGAGGGAGGCGAGGAGGGAGAGCAAGAGAGACGGGAAGAGAGAGAGCCGGAAGGACAGCCGGAGGGACAGCCGGAGGGACAGGACGAGGGAGAGCCGGAGGGACGCAGGGCTAGAAGCAATGAGGGAGGCAAGGAGGGAAGCGAGGAGGCGGGCAAGGGAGATAAGGGCGGAGGAGGAACGCTGGCAACGTCACCGTGAGCGGGATCAGGGCTGGATCCGAATGGGGGATCGTGGTCGGGGTCGGCATCGGGGACGGGATGAGCAAGAAAGGGGACGGCGGCGGCATAGAAAGTCCTCTGTGGACGAGAGAGGCCCTTCGAAGGGTAGAAGATGGATGGAGAAGACGAGTTCGGGATGGCGATTCTTTGGGTTTGGGCGTTGAAATAGCCGAGTTTGCACCGTCTGATGCTAAAGTAGTTAGAACTTGATACCTTCCTTACTCAGGACGGGTCGTGACACGGTATGCACCCGCCGTCTTGAACGCAGGTTTCCATTGGCACAATGATACAATTATGTCAAGATAGACTTGGAGTAGGCTTTTCTGACCAAAAACACGTCCACTCCAACCAAGCAAGAACCAAAAGTCAGTCCTCCAAGCTCCCTGGGAAGGCAAACTGGCCACTACTAACCCCGAGTATCGTTTCCCACCTTGTCCGTGCAAAATCCTAGCTCGCGCCATCCATAAACATCCCAGAACTCCCCACCCATGCATTCCGATTACTCAGGTTCATATCACACAGAGGCTTCTCCAATATCCTCATAACTATCTGTCTTGGTGCCTACGATGTTGTCAGATGGGACCGGTCGGCGAGAGCAGAACTCTTCGTCCTTGGCTGATGGCGCCGCTCAGGACTCGCCATGTCAATGACGAGCTTTGTCAAAGAGGGAGAAGAACTTTGCTCGAGCCAGGGGTATGAGATGCACGGCTGAGCAACACTCCCCGTTTGATTCGTCGAGTCAAGAGCTTCATCGGAGGAAGTAGAACACAGTCAGAACGAGCCTACTTACCATAATCAAGGGCCGCTCTGCAGTCGAAATACGGGGCAAGCTTCACAAAGCCCAGCAATTCTCTTCATGCGACCCTCCATCAACCACCTTGGTTTAGCCCGCCGGCGGAGGGGGGGCTTCTGCGGGTGCTGCGCCGCCATCCGACGACGCCTTGGAGCTCTTGGAGCTTCCCAACTTGCGCCGGTGCCGCTTCTTCTTCCTGGTGAACCGGATGGAGAACCTGTATCTGTGGCAGAACAGGAAGACAGCCACGAGGAAGGCTGCCAGGAGGATTCCGACAGTGACGCCAATCGTGATGTTTGTATTCTGGATGGACGATCCGCGCTTGCGAAGGCTTGAGATTCGGTTGTCAACCGATGATAACTGGTTCAAGACGCCAGCAATGGATGGGAGGATTCGTGAAGTGGGCTTGGGGTATGCGGCAACCTCATCAGGATCGGGATGTGTGAGGAACCGGGAGGAAGGTCGCTCCGCCGCGGTGGAGTGAGTCGGGCCGGCACCGGGTTCCGGGCGCAATGCCCAGCGGGCGGCGCCGGCTGCAGCGGCGGAGGACAGATGGTGGCGGGGGTCTCGGGGAGGGAATGGTATATACATCCAAGTGCTGGTGCTGGTGCTGTGGGTGACTGTTGAGGGGGGGAAGGGGGAGGCGGGAGGCGGGGTGCTGTGGGTGATACGAGTTGGGCAAAGGGGAAGGGGAGGAGAAAATTACAACTGGCCGATCAAACTCAGAGGGAAACCAGGCGGGCCAAATAGAGAAGGGGAACGAAGAGAAGCAAAGAAGAAAAAGCAAAAAATTATCTCACGACAGCTGACGGCGCGGGGGGATGCGACGACAGGGGAGTATAAGAAGTCCAACACCATCAGCCGATTTTCCCGGAGTACAGCAGACGAGAAACGTTCGCATGGCATTGGAGGCGAGACATCTCGCGTGAGCCGACGGAAATTATTTCATTTGAAGACATGTCGCAGTGCCCCATGTAGCCATGTACGAGCATGCAGAATGGAAAATCGAAGCTGTGGGGAACGTTGGGGTTCTGACCTGCTCCTTGGGCAAATGCCCATGCAGAGTAGCAGCCTGAGGCGGACCTCGATAGGTTGGTGACGATAAGCCGAATGCACATCGGAAAAGTGCTGCTGCTACTGTATGTACAGATACTGCACGGCAGCTGCATCGAGCGCTCAAGTTTGCTCCACTGTCCCCTCGGCGCGGGACCCTGATGAAGCATCTTAGGTCCAGCTGGTCCAAACAGGAAAGAATGGGATATTCAGCGGTTCCAATTGGCAAGCAACAAATCGCTGGCACGCAGTGTCCTCATATTCGAAAGAAATCGGGCTCCAAGGCAAGTCAGTCAGATGTTCGTCAGGCTCGAAGGCGCCCATCCTCTCGTCTAGCGTGCAGCCCCATTGATCCGTGATTGCGGTGCGGCGGCACGCTATCGCGGCCACGGTGGGCTGCCTTGGTGACTGACGAGGACTGAAGGACTGAAGAGGTGCTCGGCGACAGTGGGCGGGCCGGGGTTCGGCCAAAGCTGGCCTCGATCAGAGTGGCATGCTGCATGCAGATGCACGGGAGAGCCCATTGACAACTCATCGTTCCTCGGTTTCCACCCCCGCTCATCCAATGGGGCTTCCCCGTGGGAAAAGAGGAAAACGAAAAGCAGGGCGTGCAGCACACTTGAATCCTCGGCCACTGCTCACCCAACCTGCAAGCCGCATCTGCATGAGCAGCCAGCACCCTTAGAATCCTGTCTGGGACTGTAATTGGCCGTCAAGGGGAGCTCATTAAATCGGTAGACGATGGAGCTGGTTGCTGAGGAACGGGGCTGAACATGAAGAGGAGAAGAGCAGGAATCGCGGGGCTTGCAGCTAACAGGATAGGATGTATGCCGAACGCTCTAAATCGCAATACCCGTCAAGGGGGGCGAGTGTCCCCCAGCACGACATACCTGTTGTAGAACCTACGCGAAACGGTTTAAAATGCCGATAAGCAGCACGGCATATTCGCCGCACAAGATTCTCGGCTTGAGAGGGAAAGATGGAATTTCTGATAGGAAACCGAAGCTGAGCGCAGACTTATGGATCTAAGGGGGCATACTCGTTTTCAAGCATATATAATGCACTAGTCGGGGCTCGGTTGCCATGATTAATCGCAGCAACGGTCATGCCCCGCCATCACAAGATATCCATGTTCTTGTGAGCTCCCCCAGCAGACACGCAGCTTCCAGGCTCCGGACTTGTTGGTCAGGTCTTCCCACACCAAAGATTCGTATGGTATTATCGCGGCGGTGGCGCTAACAATAGGCGCGCACTTCGGGCTCAGCGCGTTTGCGGATCTCCTTGCGGATCTCCTTGCGCCTCCCTCGCGCTGTTCTATCCGCCCTTCAACTGACCCCTCGCCAGACTATCATGGCTCGAATATCCGATCGAGCACTCTTTTCGTTGGCGCCCGACTACGCCCGCTTCGTGCCTTGCCGAGACGACCGACAGCCTCCGATAAACGACGATCCGGGGCTCTAATCTTACAACAAACCCTTCGAATCCCGAATCACATACCCCTTCATACCCGGAGAGGCATCACCTTGACAGAGAAGGACATACGATGGCTGTTTCGCTCAAGCGACCATGGAAGATAGGTTGTCCCAAGCGCTGGGCCTTCCTGGGAAGCTCTCAGGCTTTGGACACAGCATACAGGGTCGGCCACGTTGTACTTCATATGGCGAGGACAGAACTGCCCACTACCACCACCGTTGGTGCTATCGAACACTACCAAGGCTCAGAAAGGAATAGTATGGTCAAACCTACGCAAAGGATAGGCAGTGGTGCGGAGAATGGGCTGCCAACCGCCCCGAGACGACACCGGACAAGGTGCAGGGCACTGTCTACCTGCTCAATAGAGATGTTGCTCCTTGTCTCCGATCTCGAAGCCGTGATCGTAGGCTCGGGCGCGGTTGTCGCTATGCGGTGCGTACATTTACATCTGGCACACTTCACCCAACGAGGCAGCTTCGTGCGATCCTCGGGAAATGCGATCCTCGTACCGTCCCTCCCCCATGACCAGAGGTTACTCGATATCTAACTGCAGCGCGATCCTGCCCATGGCCTATCACTCAGGTGCGTGTCAATGTCTGGAGCAAAATCGAACCCTCATCGATCGAGTGACTCGAGAGGGAACAACTGTCACTCTAGTTGAGGGCGAGCCGTCGCCCAATCAGTATCTCCCCAAGCTCCCTTCCTAGCAATCCTTTGTCAAGCAACCCCTACCGTATAGCTTTGGTTCCCGAGCCTATCCATGGGTCACACATTCGCCACGATGCACCCTTCCTACCGATGAATTTGAAGCGAATCGCTCGCGTCGTCGCTTCTCTTGCAGGGGATAGTCACACCCTTTCCAAGCCTGCACACCTCACCGATCTCACCCCCCAACGCACACAGTCCTGGCGAGACAGTCGCGTCTTCCATGGTAGAGATACCCATTTCTCCCCCCCCCACCCCCCGCGGCCTGCCGGCATGTCCATCCCCTTTCCATGCTGAAAGTTCAAGACGAAGCCGTGGGGCTTTCTCTGGGTCTCTCTACCGGCCCGCCGTTCTGCAGGGTCCCAAGTCCGTGTCGGCACCAACGCAGAACGGTGTCGGGCACACCTGGGAACGGGTATATATATTCCAAGGACTGACTGTGCTGGAGCATCGTCTCCGCGGAGTTGATCGGCCGACACCTATGTCCTGCACTCCATGCCTTCTTCCGAGCAGCAGACCCACGGTGGTGTGGGTTTGGCAAAAGAATGATCCTGAGCCAACTTCCCTTGCTCATGTCCTTTTCCCTCCCCCCGGAAGAGTCCCAACGAGAGTGCACGGCGTGGGCCCTTTTCCACCCAAAAAAGCCCTCGACCGCCTCCGTTTTCCAACAACAGCGAGGCTAGGTGTCTCCCCGCTAACCATCTCGGTCCTACATGGTAAGAGATAGTGATCGATCTAACTCCCACACATATTCGGAGTTGTCGTGGGGTTCAACTCCCTTCCCCCCTTCCCCCCCCCCCCCATTCACACTCTCAAGCCAAAGTTGGGCTTCAAGGGGGCAAGGGCTGTTCAGCTTTGTCGTAATAGTTTAGATTCATAGACTCCAACTGCGTCTTTACAACGGGAGACTGACCAGAATTAATATCATTGGAAACACCTAATCTCCACGAGTGTGACTTGCATCTCGTGTTCCTCTCGCACTTTCGTCGGAAGGCACAGCATGGTCCTGAATCCTTCAGCACTTCCCCGCCTTCTAAATTTAGCATCCGCTGATCTTGACTATGGCCTCCCGTGGGAGGAGACGAGATCTGATCTGACCTTGAAGAGATCATGATGCAGGATAAGGTGCTGGACGATCCTTGACAAGTTGGAGGAGCAGATGGCAATTCGAGGCCGACGTAGGAAAAATATCTTCGCCAGGTTTCTAAGTGATTGTTCGTTCTGGCGCATCGCTGATCGAGGCAGGGGCTGGAGAAGAAGAGGTTGAAATCCAGGTAACCCGTTGTGTTTTTGAGATATTGGTCCTCATAGCCTAGCCCCAAAAGACAAGAGAGGAGTAACTGATAACTAAGGATTGCAGCAGTCCTTACGGCTATTTGGTGCGATGTGAGTTATCAAGTTTCCCAATCAGCACTACCAACCCTTTCTCCCATGATGACCCCTTCCAGTCGGGCTTGGGTTTGGCCGATCATTCACCCATCTCTCCTCCCCAGACCTAGGTATTTTCTTCAACATAGGCGACCGGGATGACTTAGAACATCCCGTGCTGCTACGGATGCTGCTTACTTTACGTGCTTTGTTGGGCAGGGGGAAGAAACGTTACGCCGTACAAGTGGCCGTCACCTTTATCCGGTTACCCACCTCAGCACCTCGATGCTCCCATAACAATATAATGTTAATTGCTGGATCCAAAGTCCGGGCAGTTTCCATGCTCTATGTATAAATATAGAAACTTGGATGCAGTATAAAGACGTGCCAAATCCTGGTAAGCCACGTCTTGGCTCCAACTCCCTAACCACGCACCCCCTTTCCATCACCAACTAACCCTGTCCAGCCACAATGCGGCTCCCCAACTCTTCCCCCCTCCTTGCGACGGCAAGCCTCACCACCCTCTACTACATCTCATCCCTGGCCGCACTCGTCCCACCCAGCGAGACAACCCCCCCGCCAACCCTCCCCCCCGACATAACCTTCACCCCAAACTACATCCCCGCCAGCATAACCGTCTCCACAGACATCAACGCCACCTGCCACGTCATCCTCTCCGTCACGGCCCCCAACCCCTCCCAGGGCGCCCTAGACTGCGGCTACGCCCTACACCGCACCTCGTACGCCTCCACCTCCGTCTCAACCCTGCTCATCGACTGCCTCGGCTGCGACGACGGGCCCCCCCTCTCCGTCCGCGGCTGGCGGGTCAACTGCCCGCTAGGCCGCACCGTCTCGCCCTACGAGACGACCGTCACGTTCCCGGCGTCCACCTTCTTCACGTACGCGTGCAGCAGCACCATAACCCGCACCCTGGCCCTCCCCACACCGGCCGTCACGGGCCCGCCGTACACGCCCGGGGCGCTGATCGCCGTCTCGCCCAGCGGCGGGGGCGCCTGCACGGCGAGGCTGAGCCTGGCGCCGACGGCGCCGGGCCAGGTGCAGGAGGAGTGCGCCGGCGCCGGGCCGACGGCGACGGTGTGGCCCGGGACGGCGGCAACGAGCGAGGTCGGGGTCGACTGTGGCGGGTGCGCGACGCTGGAGGTGCGCGGGGACAGGCATGGCTGTCCCATGATAGCCTCCAAGGGGCCGACGGCGACGGTCACGGCCGCTAGCCCGGCGACGAGGTGGAGCTATGTCTGTGCAGCGAGCGCGACGCCGGAGACGGTCGATTAGGTAGTCTATGTTAAGAGGTACCTAGATAGGTGGTTTATTGCCGTTGTTGTCAGTCACTGTTGCCGTTGCTGCCAATCGCTGTTGCCGTTGCTGCCAATCGCTGTTGCCGTTGCTGCCAATCGCTGTTGCCGTTGCTGCCAATCGCTATTGCCGTTATCAGTCACTGTTGCCGTTGTTTTTAGTCCCCGTTCCGAGACCATTTCAAACTGATGCAGCGCAATAATAAAGACATATTGCCGCGAATTGCTGTGAAGGCGGCCAAGGCAGAGCCAAATGCCTTCCTCAAAGCCCGAAGTTCCACACACACTTGAAGAGGTTTGTCCCTCGACATCTCATATCAATGCTTAAGTCAGACCATGACAACCAAATTGTGGAGGAGATAATGTCTGTCTTAGGTGTGGTGAGCCGCCAGGCTCGAGATGCAATTGGGTCAAAGTAAGGGATTCGCTATAAAGAGAGAGCTAAACCGGCGCTCTGTCTCGACCAACCCTGCCGCCGAGTTCAACGTCACCTTCGAGTCAAAGACAATGGCCAACTACCTCCAGTACTGGAGGCGGATATTTCGGTATATGCTTGCTATTCTGCCTTATGCGGAAACAAACGATGCCATACCTTGCCGTCTCACTGTGGAACAAGAACGACTGCTCCTTCAGGCGACTAGTCTTAAGCAGGGAGACTCGTCCCAGGGACACAGGGAGTCGATTATATGCAAGCTAGTCATATCAGTCCTTAGCCAGCAACTTGACAACGGCGCATTTGAGAGCATCCTAGTCTCAGCATTGGCCATCATGGCTCTAAACCCGCTGGATGGCAGCTGGAAGACAGCTGTGACATACCCGAGCTACTTTGCGGCAGTGCCGTTGCAACAGTCGGTTGCTGCTAGCCACTGTTCCCGCTGCTGCCAGTCATTGTTGCCGTTGCTGCCGACCGCTATTGCCGTTGCTGCCAGTCGCCATTGCCGTTGTTGCCAATCACTGTTGCCGTTGCTGTCAGTCGCCATTGCCGTTATCGGTCACTGTTGCCGTTGTTTTTAGTCGCCGTTGCCGTTGCTGCCAGTCGCCGTTGCCGTTGCTGCCAGTCACTGTTGCCGTTGCTGCCAGTCGCTGTCGCCATTGCTTCCAATCGCTGTTACCGTTGCTGTCAAGTACCATACATCTTTTCCAGCGCTGCAGTGATCGCGTCACAAACACGCTCGCGTAGTAGCCCCCTCCCCGCTGCCATATCCTCATCATCAACCGCGCCCGGCATGATCCTCCAGGGCACGACAGACAGATAGCCATTATCGCTCGTCGACATGCCCGCAAACACGGCAGCCATGCCCTCCACCCTCTTCAGATGGCCCGCCCCGCGCATCCGAGCCCGGACGTCGGGCTGCCGCGAGAAGTCGAGGATCCGCCCGGCCAGCGCTGCCCCGACGACGGACGAGTACGACGTGCCCGAGAGCGGGCCGACGGCGCCGAGCGTGATGCCCTCGCCGAGCACGGCGAAGCTGTGTCGCGCGTTCGCGATCGGGGACGGGTTGAACTGCGGCGAGCTCCGGGCGTCGGCGTTGGTGGAGAACATGCAGAAGACCTTCTCTGCCCCGTAGAGGCGGGCGGGGAAGGCGATCTTCGTCAGGTTCCCGTTATTGGATGCCGCCGCGAAGATGAGCGTGTGCGCCATGTTGGCCTCTTCTATCGCACGGAGCATGGCTTCGTCTTCTGCCTGGAAGCCCGAGGGCATGGCGATGATGTCGACCTTCCATTCCTGGGTGGCGTGACGAATCGCCTGTTTTTTTGTTATTTTTTTCAGCTCATCCTTGAACCGATATTGACAGCTTATTCTCGCCGAGTCATGGGGCATTATCTCACCTTCGTCATCAGGCTGGCCGTGTGTTGATTCGCCCGGTTGGTTTGCCATACACGGCCGACATAAATCTTGGCATCGCTGTACACCTTTTGGAGGAGCAAGAAGGCGTTGGTTCCATGGCCAGTCCCGTCTTGGAAAGCCGTGTTTCCCTCATTTACGAAATCCTTGTATTCAGCAACGGAGCGGGAATATGCTTGGGATATTCCGGTATCAAGAATGGCAATCCTCACGGGCTCGTAGACGTGATCCCTGTCTTTTGGCTTGAGACGGATGACGCTGTTCAATTTCTGCAGCTGCTCAAACCATCGATCTGACGAGGCGCCAGTTCTATACGACAGAGTTAGCTGCACCTTCTGGGGAGTTCAAGAAGTTTAAGGTTGCCTTGCCTGTTTGCAGCCACGGCATGATCTTGTGCCGGATGATAGGGGAGGGTAGCCGGCAACTGTGACGTGTGGGGGGGGTCAATAGCTGATGGAACCGGGCCGGCCTGATCCAACTCGATGGCGCGAACCTCTGACATATCCGGCGATTCCCAAGCGTTCTTGTAGAATGCCCTGAGCGGGCTGACCACGTGCTTTAAGAGCGTGTCCCGAACCCGCGGGTCATCCCCATGTGGCTTAAAAGGGTCCGGTTTCAAGCAAACCCCGATCACTTCCTTGAAAGTCCCAAAAGTCTCTTTCTCTTCCCAGACATCCTCCTTCTCGAAGAGCTCGGTCGCAGCAATGTGGTCAGCATTGATTGTAAGCTGACCATTGCTGTCGAAGCAGTCAGGGACGTAGTGATCTTCAATCTTGACCCCGAGCTCTATCTCAATGAACATAACGCCAAGAGCGAGGATTTTGGGGAACGGGTGGGATCTGAAGGCATTGTCGTCTTCGTTATGGATCAAAGAGGGACTGAAGTGGGTTGAGAGAAAGGGCTCATTGACAAAAATCCCTTTCGGCGTCTTGCCACGTTTCTCGAACATGAAGTGCACCGTGTGTTTATTCCATTCCGACCTCATCCACTCCGAGTCGTAGAATTGCCAGACCGCTTTAGCAAGTTGGTATGACAAAAGAAGCCGCATCTTCTTGGACAGCCTTGTGTTGTCCAGAATCCTGGAAAGGGGCACGCTGGACAAGCGGAGGAAGAAGCGTCGCAATAAGGGGCCCGAACCCCTCCAAATCAGATGACCGTTGGATGCCACTAGTTGTAGTTGTGACTGTTGGCGGTTTGATATAATTTCGCAGAACTTACTCATTGATATCGTCTTGCCAGTTTGGCATGAAGAGACGACATCTTGGGTATTCTGGAATTTAACTCCTCTGTTGTGAATCATGTTAGACCGGTCTGGTCCGCCCCTGAAATCGTATGCGCGTAGCTGGCTCGTAATTACCTGGTTCGGAAGACATGAATCTGTGTGTCTTGCCACTGGCACTGACTTTCGGTATCCTGATGAGGATGGTCCAAGAAGAATAAGCTGAAGGAGACTGCATCAGAATCGTCTTGATCCTTCATGTACCCGTTTAGTCGAAGGTTCGCTTTTATCTGGCCTCGATAGTCCTGGCTTTGACACAAGCAATTCGCAGAGAGAACGCTGTGCAACTCCTTGACGTATGCCTGGAAATCATCTTGGATTTCTTGCTGTTCGATCGGCCGCAACAGTTCTGACAGCTCCGGACCCTGGGACAGCGTTTGAGGGCCATCAAAAGTCTTCAGGAATCGATGCAACTTGATGCGATCTTGTTTGGCAATAGGACTCGATGCAAAATCCTTGATATTCTTCTTGCCCCACTGCTTGTTTGTGAAGAGTCGGTGGAGATTCGGATACCAGCATCGGTTGAATGCATCGGGAGCTCGAGATTTGTGCGGAGGATGGAATCGTGCTGGCCACTGTGTTTCGAGACGGACACTAAAGTTAGCGCACGACTCGTTGCGACGTGGCCGATAAGGTTAGGTTTCGGGTAGACGCACTTGTAGTGACTTTTCCAGTTGGTCCAAGAGCTTGAGCAAACGTCGGTTGACAGATGGCTCGCTCGTTTTATTAACTTCCCCCAACCACCTCTCGACTTGCTCCAGCTCTGCACCCAGAGCGCTGCAAAACCCCTTGATGCCGTCTTCTTTGGTCAGATCCCGGACGCTGTCGCGGAGCCTAGGCGTGACGTCGAGGGCGAAGGATAATAGACTTGAGCCAGACATCTCGAGCCCGCATCCAGATGAGGAGTGTGCATCATAATAACGAGAGAGTCGGTGGGCGGCTGGCTCGCTTTGGCGCGTAGGTTGTGATCACCGAGCTGGACCCCTGAGGCTGAGGATCGACATGCAGATGGTCTGTGCACAATATCATCTTACCCCGCCCCCACATTCTTGAAGAGACACTAAAGCGCCATCGGCGGTCTTGGAGGTTATTGTTGCTGTCGGAGCACATAGAAATACTTAAGAAACAATGCTAGGCTAATTTGCCTATTATACAAGGAACTTTGGTCATGGAAATTAATCATTGGGAATTTCTCTAGGGGCATGCGCTATTTGCTCTGCGGACAGGCGGTTAGTGCATCACAGGTGGCACTTGCTGTCTGTTGCTCTTGTTACTGCTCTCTATTGCTCTTGCTATTGCTATCTGTTGCTCTTGCTATTACTGTCTATCGCTCTTGCTGTCACTCCTGTCACTCTTGCCGTTGCTGTCCATTGCTATTTCCGTTGCTAGGAATAGCAATAGTGACGGCGATGCAGCTGTTTCCAACTTGCCACCTGCCCGCAGAGCAATTCCCTAATCATCAGCCTCCTTAGAGGACGAAGAGCTCGTCGTCAGCAGTAATCAACTCTGCGCCTCTAATGCCTTCTTTTGAGAGGCTCTCCGTGACCCCTTTCCCGAATTCCTCGTCTTCAAGTCCATATGTTGCTCCCTTTGAAAACGTCGAGTATGACCATTCTCGATCCAGAAAGCCCTTAGAAATTTTAGCCAGTCTGACTGCCCAGACAAAGTCGGATACTTGTTCGGAGGACACAGCAAGACTATTATTTTCTGCCCAGGCCTTAAGGTTCAGTTGCACCTCAGCTACACCGGGAACTTCTCTGTGGGAATTTTAACATTCGGTAGGGCAGGCAAGGGCCGACAGTTGACTTACACCCCGGGTCCTCCTCCGATCCCCTTCTTGCCGCCTTCAGAAGCGGAAACCCTCCCCCCTTTGGCGACTATAATGCCGGTGATCATGAACATTGACCATGTACCGAACTTTGTGTGTTTCCGCACGTACTCGGAGACTTCTTCGGCATCTAGAGCGTCTTCGATATATGAGGGGGTGACCTGCACAATAAACGTATCGAGCGACTTGAACTCGGAGAAATTGCTGACAGATCGCCGGAATGCCACACTGGCGCTGCCCTTGGCCATGACTCCTACGGCTGTGGCAATTGGAAGGCCAACTTCAGCAGACAGATCGACCCCACGATCCTTCTCTGACTGCCAGTTGAAGTTTCGAGCTTGCGTTAGGTAGGCTGGCATGTCTGGCGGGAACTCTTGAGGGCCGTGCCGGTTGATAACGTTGTCGAGATGTTGCAAGTCCGGTATCAAATGACCAAGGCATATTGGGCCCCTTGACTGCCCAACCCCATTGTCGGGGAATGTAGGAGGAGGATAATGGGTGTGCCGTAGAACGAACCAACATTTGCTACTAGCCATTGTCAGTTTTGAAGCTGGTGAGTTGCCTCCGTGATGAGTCCCGTCAGTGATGCCTGGGCATCAAAAAGCATTTTAACTGCCATGCAGGTCGGAAAGATGTTGGCCTATGGGAGAGTCTGCAGGGGTGCAACTCCACCCCCCACCACCTCATCTCATCCCCTCTCATCCTCATTTCAGCACAAAATGCTCTCGACGATGCATCTTAACCTTGACCAGCCGGTTCATATGACGCCATGAAGGGCGAAATATCTCGCCGAACCGAGGCATGCCAAGATGCGTTTGTGGTTTGTCTCTCAGACCCGAGTCTGACCACGCTCGAATGGATCGAGAATCGACAAGGCGACTTCAATCTGTGGGCTTCCAGCCTAAAGGCCACCAGCAGCGGAGGCAGGTCCTCGTTGGATTACCGAGTCAGAGACAGACCCGACGTGAAGGGGGTTATATGTGAACTTTTAGATGGCCTGCTCGAGTCTGTAGAACAACTGGTTACTATAGGTAATTGACCTCACGCTGGCTCACCGGTTTCAAACTCGACAATAATTGTATTGCTAATGAAATGAGTCTAGCGGAATCTGGGAGGTCTCTCGGAACAGATACCGTCCATTTGACACCAGCCCAACATGACACTACTACAGCTAACTCGGATTCCTCCGGGTATGGAAGCGACTCGGGCTCGCTCGTCTCTGATGGCGAGGCCGAAAACCCCTTCTCTGAGCAAAAAGAGAACATTCAGACAATCCTGAATGAACTGGCGAGGATTTCCATGGCAATCCGGAAGTCTGGCTCCAAGTATCGGTATCAAAAGGCCGACGCTTCTCTTCGAGAAGAAGAATTTGACGACTTCAAGAATCACCTTACGGTCCTCATTCTCCTAGCATCCGGCGATGCACAGTCATATGCAAATCAGGATCCAGAAACGAGATTCAGCTCTGAAAGGCTCACATCCGTTCAGAAGCGTCTCATACACGCCAACATGATTCGGAGGAATCGCATACAGTACGCAACTCGACAAATGCGACGGATTCAAGATTTGCAGGCCGAAGCGGTGGCACGAGCCCCTCAAACAAACCTCAAAGCACCCAGGGCATCATCACCAGAGCTTTCACCGATCGAGGTTGCACCCCAAAAGTCGGCAGCTTTGAAAGCCGTCTCGGTGGCACCGACGCAGAGCATAAAATCACTCTCCTCGCTGGCACCGACGGCAACCGAGATTGGCTCCGAGTTCAATTTGCAGACGGTGGTCGCGAAGAAGACGCCGTCCATCATGACGAGAGTCACTCAGACTGGCGCCGTCCAGGACTACCCCCGTTGTCCCAGACCGACGAAGGATGGGATGCTGCAATGTCCCTACTGCGCGGACGTGTTGCCTGCCGAGTACTCGAAGAACGAACCCAGATGGAGGGGCCATGTCGCTCAGGATCTACTCCCCTACTCCTGCATCTTTGATAACTGCAGTTCCAGCGACGAGATGTTCCTGACGAGCGACGAGCTGGCAAAGCACATGCAAAAGGAGCACAGCACCCCCTGCTGGACGTGCGACTACTGCAGTACCTCGACGTTTGCGGACCCAGCAGAGTGGGAGAGCCACATGACCCAGACGCACGCCCACTCCTTTCCCGCAAACCAGCTCCGCATTCTCTCGAAGATGAGCCGGAGAATGATGCTCCCGGAAATGGCATGCCCTCTCTGCGCATTTTCCGTGGACGAGGCCTCGCTCGGCATCAACGAGCACATCACCCAGCACCTCCACGAGTTTGCCCTGAAGGCACTCCCCTGGACAACCCGGAACCAAGACGGAAGCAGCAGCCGCAAGTCGGGCGCTCAGCCAAGCACAGATTCCCACCTTGATGATCTAGATTCCTTGGACGATGACTACATCTGGGACGGTCGACTTTCGGAAATCCCCTTCGACGATTGGCTCGCGGCCGGGGTGCAAGCCCAAGCGAATATGGTGGCCTCAGAGGACGCATCGCTGCTGGGCGCGGCGATTCTAAACCTATCTGATATCAGAGGACGGTTGGTTTTGGTGAATCTTTCTTCGGAAATAGAAACGGAGCGATGGGCAACTTCACTTCGCAAGATTAGCATCCTTTGGAACCAGCTTCTAAGAAGGCTAGAAAGAGAGGAGGCTGTATACCGCGACGAGCTTCGTCTCATCAATGAAAACCTGCTTGCGGAAAAGGAATTCCTCCAAAACGGCACCGGAGACGAGAGCACCTCCGTACGTGGACAGTCCTCACCCTGCCCAGATGAGCAGCCTGATCCCCAGAGACAGCGGTTACGCGAGCTGGAATCCAAATTGGTTTTCATATCCGCTCCCGACTGGTCGTGGGCGGGTAGCTTGACTGAAAGCATCTTATATGAGGAACCGGTTGCAAAGATGTGGCTAGCCCGCCCGGATCGCTTGGACCGCTGGGACCGATGGGATCGATGGGATAGCTGCCGCTTATTTCTTTTAGAGAACTACCTGGTCATTAGCGATGTTGTTGCGGATAAAAACGGCAATGAGAAGTACTACGTCACGGAGGAGGTTTGTGATGTGACTGACTATATTAGAAGCAAAAACCGTTCCAAACTCGGCTGACAATGTCTCTAGCCCATCGACGTGTCTCTGCTCTTCATCGAGCGCTTCCAAACGATGCGGCCCTTTCCCACCCTCGCTAAGTTGCGGAGCCGCGATCTCATGGGCACTCTTGACCCCGAAATCCAAACCCTGTACCCGTTCAGAATCACACATGCTGGCAAGACTGTCTACGAGTTGGGCGCACTCTCGGCTCAGGCGAGGACGGAGTTGTTCGAGAAGACTGGGGAAATGAAGAGACGACACTCGAAAACCCAGCCGTTTTCTTTTGAGTTGCGTGCCTGCAGTCAGGTGTCCATCGATCCGTCTGGCCCGACGATAAATGGCGTTCCCGTCGCTTTAGATGATCCTATGCCCCGGATATTTGAAGCGCCTATAGGTGATGCAAACTGCTTAACTATCGTCGGCGGAAGAATCCTACTCATGGGGACTGATCACGGTGTATTGAGTGTAGTGATGGTGGAGTTGAGGATGGGGACACGCGAAATTCGGAAATGGGTAGGTTTCCAGCGTATATTCTTTGAATGGAACACCTCTGACCGCAATCCTAGGTCTCGAAGCTTCCGAAGGTCACCCAGATGGCAGCCCTGGAAGACCTGGACTTACTTATAGTCCTCGCTAATGGCTCTCTCTTTACGTACCCTCTTCAGAGCTTGCTCGACGGGGAGAAAGAAGCCAAGTCTCGGCGGCTAGCCAAAGAGGTCTTATTCTTCGCAGTTGCTACCCTCTCAGATCGCCGGGTGCTTCTTTACGCAAAGAAGGAAGGCCCTAACACCGCCTTGCATGTTCTTGAACAGAAAAGGGTGGGATCGAGTGCAAACAAAGACGGCTTCTTTTCTCGACTTTCTCGAACACGAACAACAGCACAAGATCTGGGCTGGGAATTCAGAGAGATTGATGCGTTCGTCATGCTAAATGGCTGCAACTCAATCAACATTTTCCGCAAGCACATAGCGCTGGGGACGAAGCACGGCTTCTTCGAGGTCCTCACCCTCGACAGGAACCCAACGCGCATCCCGGACCTCCAAGGCCACGATCTCAGGGACCTTGCCAGTCGCATAAAAGATCTCGCGACAGTCTCCATGTTCTGGCTCGACGGGAACGAGTTCATTCTCGTGTACCAGAACTGCGCCGTCTACGTCGACAAGCACGGCGACGTCAGCCGCTCGGCCATCATGGAGTTCATAAGCCAGACCAAGCCCGTCAAGGCGGCGACCATGTTCGACAAGTATCTGATCTTGTTTACGGACGAGTACGTCGAGATCCGCGACACCGAAGACGGCCGCCTACGCCAAGTCATTGCCGGGAAGGGCATCAAGTGCCTCGACTACGGCATCCGTGGACCGACCGGCGACTTCCACGTCGCGGGCGAGGCGGCGTACAGCAGCTCTTTCGGAAGGGCAGGCCCCAGCACGAGGTTCCGCAAAGCAACCGTCAAGTTCTCCATGTTTCTCCTCGAGCAGCCCGACCAAGCCGTCGTCCTCGAGCTAGTGCTCGACCCGGAAATGGCCGGGGCGTCCAAACACCCGCCAAGGGACGACCTAGGGGAAACTACAGAGGATCTGTCGTCGCACGCCGACGCAACAGCGGCACCGGTCTCGTCCCGTCCCGGCAGGGGGGAGGGGGGAGACAGCCCCGGGCGAGAGGAGCAACTGGGCTCGACCTCCCTGGGACTGCAGCCGTTTACGACGCTGGAAACATTCCCGACTACGACGCTGGGACCATTCCCGACATCGCACCGAAGAAACGCTATCAGTGTCCCGCACGACGAGTGGAATCGATATGCGTCTCCCGAGCCTGAAGGTTCGGACAGTGAAACGTATTGAGAACCACGGCTTGTTCATGCAGGCGGTGTCAGGGGCTAGAGCAAACCTTCAGCAAGAGTGCTGTCATTGTACAGACGGCTCGAGTCAATTCACCAGCCTGGAACGTTGGCTCCGACGGGACTGGGCGGATATCCACCGGCAACATGTTTGCAGTTGACAAAGTTCCAGCTGGCAAGCATTCTACTCAAAAGGAGGGCATCTAAACCAACTCCTACTTCTCTAGCACCAGCTCTATTCATCCCCCCTATTCCAACAACAAGAGAGGGGAAAGAATCCGTCTGCCATCCGATACCAGGTGCAAAGCAGGCCATGCACGACCACATCGCACATACGATATGCAAACCTTCCCGCAGAAGAAGTTTATGCAAAGCTCCAAACTCCACCCCCCAAACCATCTGATCTCGGACAGCCTGTGCCGCAACCTTAAGTGTCATGCTGAAGGACACGCATGCACCACGAGCAGCTGAACAAAAACTCTAAATCACGCCAAGGTTCCAGAAACTAGCATGCCGAAGACAGGGAATGTGGCAGACGAGAGAGAGGGAAAAAAGAGAAGGGACGAGACCGCCAAGGTTCACTTTAGAAATGCCATCATCACCTGATCCAGAAAGTCAAAAAAGACGCCAGAAAAAAAAAGGGGCAAAAAAAGAAAGGCACCAGACTTTCCTTTCCACTCATCTGATGACGGATCTAGAGCCGGGCCAAGCCGCAGACCTCAGGTGAGAGAGGCTCGCCCAGCCTGCCGGGTGCTTTCCTCGTCCCCAGACTCCCGGGGAGCCAGATACCGCTTCGGAGGGCAACGTCGTCCCGACAAAAGGGCGCATCCATTCCGCTCCCCCCCCCACCCCCCTCCCCCCCGGGCGGCACCCCCGCAGAAAAAAAGACGCCGCAAAAGCGTGGCTGATAAAGCTCCCCTTTAGTTTTCGGTGCAAACCATCCCGATTTCTGTTGGTTGTGGTGTGGTGTGTGTGGTGGGGGCCGCTATCCCTTTTGACAGCAACACGAAGCGAGGCCAAGTGCGCGTAGGTTCCATGTTGTGCCGTGTGTCGCGGAGCCCGGCGCGTCGCCACCCCGCCACTGGCTTCCCAATAGCGTAGGGGGGCGAGCCGCCAAGTCTTGGAAACCCAAGTAGGTAGGTATCAATAAGGCGAGCGAGGATGGGGGAAGGAAGAAAGGGAAAGGAAAGGAAAGGAACGAATGTTGCTTTGGCGTGGCGCTTCCGGGGATAGAAAGGAACCCAAGGGAGGTGGGGGCCAGGCTTTGGTGGGTGTGTTGATGGTAGTTAGTGCAGGTAGATCGCGACAATTAAGGCCGACGCTGGCCCGGAGTCCGAATTCTGTTTCGTTACTGTTTTGATTGCGATTGCCATCGTGGCAACATTGGCAAGAGCCGAGTTGGGGCTGACGTAGGTGGTTGCTACAAAAGCCGGAGCGAAGCTCGCGATGGTAAAACCACTGACTGGATCGCTAGGTTGTGTGTGTGTCCCGTTCCCGTTGATCGCCGGCAAATGAATAATGTTGCTGGTTTTTTTATTCTTTTTTTTTATTTTTTTTATTGCTGTGACATCTGCCGCACGAAGTAGTGAAGTTCGCCGCTGATCGGCACGGCAGACGCGAAGCCCTGATCGACAATCAAGCCCACACACTGCGCACTTGTTTGGAGGACGAGAACCTGGAAATGGAAGAAGCGTTGCGCCCGTCGACGGAGGCGGTCTTGATTTGCCGCACGCCGCCATCACCTCCGCCATCCGGGGGGTTTGGTAAAAGGACCGGGGATTAGCACCGATGGTGCTCCGTACCAAAACGGAACGAAATCTGATTCCGGGATCTTGTTTCCCCCCACCTACCCGACGGCGGCCTCGCGGAGAGGCTACTGGAAAATGGCAAAAAAAGCCCGAATGCCGCAAAGTGAATGCATTGGGTGGCGAACGAGGCATTATTCCCGACGCAGTGAGTGGTGCTGGCTGATGGGCATTTTTAGCCGGCCGGGCAGGCAAATGCCAGTGATCGATTGGTCCCCCAGAAGCAGGTGGTCGGTGGTACGGCTTGGTGTACCCAATGTATGTACAACATAACGTTAGGCCCTACCTAATAATCATTCGACAGGTCTTCTCGAAGCTTGGATTGACGTACGTGTATGTCTGCATCGTTTTCACTGGCTGGCCGAGTGGCTACGATTTTCCCACAGAATTGTTGAACCACCGAAAAAGCCGCGCGCGCCGGCCCCATAGCGGCATCGGCAGCCATGCCTCGAAGGAGAAACAATCCGCCGCTGCACTAAAGCTGTCAAGATTCCCGCCTGCAAGATTTGAGATGGCACCAGTCCCTCCCGCGAGTTCGTGCAGCAACTACTGCGGTAGACCTCGATGCCGTTCCGGGAGGGCCTCGGTTATGGTAATATGGGGGAAATTTGGCAGCTTGCTCTTTTTCCCAGTTCCTGAGTGGGAGGTTGTTATTTGGTTATATAACCACCTACACCACTCGTAAGTACGTGCGGCCCATGGCCATTCGTGCACCACAGACCTGCCGCGGGATTTTGAGTGTCAAGGTGACCGGCAGCGGTTCGATATTGGGAACACTGTACGGAGTATCACAGCCGAGGCAGATCATAGGTTCGAGCGGGAAGGCTTCGATGAGACAGATAGTGTACTGTGTGGACTTGGGGTAAGAGCTGGGTTGGGCCCTGTGGCGGCTCTGCTGGAGCCCACCGACCACCGAGCCCATGACCTTTGTGTTACATGTAGTTACAGTCCCTAGTGTACCAGAGCAGAATTCTAGCTACCTACCTATCGTGCGACAGTGTGTGGCCTTCCGCGCTGAAAGATGCCGCGCTCCAACAATCGCCTGTTTCTAATCTGGGCATTTTGATGGACCAGCTCCGTGTCCATGTGGAGACCCTAGTGAAGTGTCGTCGTGTTTATAGTCTAAGACCCCAAGCTACCCCGTGGAGATAAAACGATCTAAACCCCGACGCGAGAGGCTGGGCATCATCTCTTACTCGGTAACTAATGAATAGGGTTGTGTGAGTAGGAATGTTAACTCAGCTAGCTAGCGCCGCACTCTCCACAAGAGGGTTTCGGCACCCAGCCTCTCATTGGTATGCCAGAGAATGCATGCTTGACAACCTATGTAAAGTACATTGTAGATCGGAGGGTGCCGACTGACGATTCATCTGGCTGCACCATCAGTGCGGAAAACGTCATGCTCATGCTCCAACTTTCGACTCGTACCAACGGCGCCATGATGCACCCACTGATTCGTCAGCCATCATCCGCTGAGTGTGACCACATTACGCTAGTCTGCACTAGCTGCGCCGGGCCCAGGATTCTGGGCGGGACAGGGTCTAGGGGTGCTGGGTGTGTGATATTCATAGTGTTGGTTGGGGGAGTTTTGGGATTGGGATTGCGACTTTAGTGTGGTGCAGTCACTGATCTTTTGCCTCTTTAGGTCACCACAGCCGAGAAAGAAGATGGGACAAGGACTACTGTGTAAAGGATCCAGGAGCTAGGGCTCCCAAGCTTGAAGATCGAGGGGCTGGAGCGGGAGCCGAAACTGGCGAGTCTCCTAGCGTGGTCTACTGCATTATATGTACTGTACTGCATAGTAATGCAGTGTGTCTTGTTCCTTCCACATCCTCGTAGGGTCGGTTTACAATCGCCCACCGTGCGGGCGTGCAATGATCGACATACCAGGCATTCGAATCATTGGGTAGATAATTAAAAGTCTGGGGAAGACAGGGGCAAGGGGTGTTTCTGTCTGGCGGTGTTGGCAGACAGACAGGGGTCTGCAGAGTGGAGCGGCAGCCTGTTGCGATCAAGTAAAGAGGGTGTTACCTAGATATGGAGAGAACCTATGGAGAGAGAGTATATGTGCGTGTGATATATGTAGGTAGTGAGTGCGTTGGAACTTGGAATTTGGATCAGTCTTGAATCCTGCATCTTTGTCGGGTCTTGCGGATGATTACTAACGGCTGAGTCGAAGCTCTCGCGCGCACTGTCGGGGGTATTGGGTGATGGGACAAGTCGTCATGCTTTAAGTGGATTCGATGCTGCAGCTTGAACCTGTTAGGGACCAGGCTGGGAAACGGGTTCACGCTAAGTGGAAAACGTGGTGGACTGACAGGGAAACATGCCTGCCGATAGGTGTTTGTAGCTTATGAGCCCCGCGCTGCGATTCGCTCGCAGAATTCCGGGGAGCTCCCTCAGGATGAGTAGGAACTTGCCGAGAGGAAACGAAAGAGTTTGGAAAAGAGCAACAACCAGTCAAGATGAAGATCTCGTCTTGCCTTCTTCCACCCTCCCCTACCCCCTAGTTCGCATGAGCATTTCGTCGAGTCCGTTTCGATCTCTTCCTGCACGCAGCCTGCAGCATTTGACCGTGTAGATGCCGATATTCGCACGGGTTATTGGGTAAGGAATGAGGCAACTGCGGCTATGACACAGTGTGTTTAGTATATGCATACAAGGGCATGTATACACGTGTACATGACTCCTTGATTACACAGTAAACGGCCGGGAGCTGAGGTGCATTGTCGTGCCTTTCTTTGTCTCTCGTTGACGCCTTCGAGACTCGCAGACTCCAGAAACCCCACTGGACCTGGCTAGCTGGCGACTGGCTGGCTGGCTGGCTGGCTGGCTGGCTGGCTGGCTGGCTGGCTGGCTGGGTGTGGAGCGATGGGGAATTTGGAGACTGATTCCAGACCAAGGAGGCTTTGAGAGTGACTGCAGAGTGCAGATGAATCCCTGGTCAAGTCTGGTTGCTAACGGCGAATCAGGAGGCCGCAAAGGCGACAGCGGTTTAAAGTGGCTGCAGACGGCTGTGAAAATGTGGGTCCCATGGGTTGATGCACGGTACTGTGTACGCACCTGACCGGCTTGCTTTTTTTCCATTTTGCTCCTCTCCCCCATGCAGGTCCTGCCTTGATCCGAGAAATCCACAACGGTCGGAAACCACGGGCAGGCATGATTTGCAGTTGGCCGAGATAACGAAACTGCGGATACCTGCTACATAACTGGCTAACTCCTGCCATAGGTGTCAAGCGCGTACCAGATGATATTAGTTGTACCTAGGTGCGCGTCCGTATTCGGGCGGCCCTGCGTCGGAGAACTCCACCTTCCGCCTCGGTCTGGCTGCAGGAGAGAAAGTGAGATGTGCAGCACAGATTAACAGATGGCAGATTGGAAGGTACACTATGCAGCATACCTTAGTGAGCTGGCGATGGAGATGGAACAGAAAACAGGCACAAGAGAGAACAATTCCGTGCAGTTGTGCCACCCACCCTCCAAATATTGGAATCGATCACCTGTCAGTCCTCGAGGAAGGATAAATTCAGGCACTCTACGGATCCGTAGCTCGCCGTTATATCGCAATTTGGGGAAAGTTGGAGAAGCAATCCGGGCTCAGGCTAATCCATTATCCATGTGCCGGACGCGTGGGACAACGAGAGAGAGCAAGGCGTAGTTGCTCAGTTGGAAAACTCCATATTAAAAACCGTCCATGCTTTCCCACCACTGCGGGACGGTGGGAATTGTTCATTTGCTGGTTGTTGCGGTCGTGATGGAGGACGAAGGCTTGGCTCCATGTTCCGTGCTCCGTGCTCCGTGATCCAGAAGTGGACATAAACGGCGCCTTCCCGAATCAGCCCTAGTGTCACTCCCATATCGCAACTCCGTTCATCTCGTCTACGACGCAGTCATCTGTTCTTCCGTTGGTTGACGAGTGGAGGATTCCCACACGGTGCATGCGGCACATCCGAGGATACTCCGGGCGGCATCGTTGCAGTACGGACGGGGCCTGTTGACAAATGCGTTAGGTAGGAAGCAGCCTGGAAGGTCTCAGGAGTGCCTAAGGTACTGTAGTAGTCGTACGATTAGAAAGAATGGCGAAGTTGTATCTCGGAGGAATCCATAGGTGCCATGATAAAACCCACGACCTGCTGGTGATATCAAATTCCACCGGCGCTGCCCCCATCATCGCCCCAGATTCTCTCCCTCATTATCCCCTATTTCCTACACTAGAGGTAAGTAGGTAGGTACCCACATACACGCGTAAATAGTAGATCCAGGGCCCCATCTTTGATCCACCGTTTCAAGTCAGCTAAACATTTATTTGCAAGCAGCGGGTCGTGGTCTCACTCCGACCGTCGGGGAGGGTCTGCATGGCCCCTCGGTTGTCGGTTGATGACTTAGGCCGGGCTCAGCGGTGGGGTTGGCACTGAGTCTCAGAGGCGAGTCAATTACTAATTGGTATCCAACGCGGGATGCCCAAAGTAGCTCCCCCTGACCTCTGAATCTGCAGCTTGGATATTGCCCGAAGGAAGCTTTGGAAGCCCGAGACTTAGCCGTATACTTAACCACCCCCCCAGGAATGGCGAGAAGGGGCAGCATGACCTGGGCCCGATGATTGGTGTCGATTTCTGCTGACTATTCCCTGCTTGGCTGATAACGCCGGACTGAGAGAGATGAACACAAGATATGATTGCGTCAGTTCCGGCGTGTCCTTGTGTCCCTTACTCCATAGTACAGAGCTGCAATCCTCCCACTCGGGAGCCACAGCTTGGCGGAGCGTGGAGCGAGGTCCAGTCTCGCCGTCTCGGGGGCGGGGCCCTCCCGTTGCTGGAAATTCCTGGGTACACTTTTTGCCCCGCCACAGAGGCTAAGGGCGCTGGGCATTTGGTCAGCTGCTAATTACTCCCTCAATTCGCGTATCCGTACGGATTACTGCGTACCTACCTACACATATGTCCCTCTCTGCGCATGCATGTCTTGATCAGAGGCATGGGCTCTGCGCGCGAATGGGAGCATTGCAGGGGATGCTGTTGAACGGGCGGGAAGTCCACAACTGCTGGCTCAGGACAAACAACCTCTGACCAAGTTAACCTGGGTAGGGTTTAGACATCTGGACATTGTCGGCGTCACATCAGGCGGTTGGTTCGATGATGATTACAGCTGCTTCTCATCTCGCATTCTCATGATTCCTGCCTGCTGTCTCCAGTTGCGCGGACCTGTGATTCGCTCCTATCGTTGGCCCCTGGTTTTGACCTGCAGATGGATTGCCCTTGCTGTCGGCCGCTATCTAGTGTACTATCTCCGTTAGGTATCTTGCCTTACAGGTATATATGACAAAGTACAACCTGTCCGCCAGTGTGGAGTCGCACGCAACGAGGAGCCCGATGCACGCCGCTGCACAGCATCTGGCACAGTTGCTGAGATACTGTGACGCCCTTGCCCGATCGCCAGCCGGAGCCGGGACAGAGCGAGCCGGGGACTGGCCAGGATTGCTCTATACAGTTTGAATACTGACCCTTGTGCCCCAAAGAGGCTAGGCGTTGTAATCAATTACTTGCATGGATTTTCCTACGGCTCCTTCATTATATAGTACAAGCAAAGTGCGTGGCCGAGTGTGTGTTGACTGACAGACAACTGCCAGATTAATTCTTGGTGTCCGCTGAAGAAAGCTTGTCGGAAACCAAGTTAGCCTTTCCTCTTATGCCGGAACACCAATGGTTCCGATAGAATTTCTCAACCTTGGAAGGCGGCGTGTGTGTCGGCTCGAAAATGAAAATGGCAGCCCACCTTAACGACGCTCTTACTTGTCTTACTTGCAGGCTACCTTGCGTAGACAGCATGCAATCTATCTCAATCTAGGTGGTGAACAGAGGCATGAACAGTAATGATATCGGAGTACCAGCCGCTCCGAAAGACTTCTCTTCACAAGTCGGCCCATGATTGTCTGTGATACAAGCATTTGGAGTAAATTGCAATTCTCGCCAGACACAGACACTATGTATGTACTCTTCTCTTCCATGCTCCACGATAAACCACCCATGTGTTGGTTTGCGAACGAGTTCTGTTTCATGCGCGGGATGATCAGCGTACAGGGTAGTAGAGCTCAAATCCCTCGACTTACTAGGTATGTATACCGCAGTGTACTTGCTAAAGTCATGGTTCTGGTTGGGTCAACGGCAACAGCTAGATCTCTTGGGTTGTATTTATGGCTGGGGAAATTGGCAATTCTCCCCATGTGCTGCCATACTAAATAAAGACGAGACAGTTTTTGACGCCAGCAGGCAGCCCGGTGTCGCACGAAACAGGAACCAAAGAAACAGCTCGCTCGACATCGACATCGGGAGCCAAGTATGAGAATCTGCAGTGACACTGTGTGCAAGGGAACCGGTCAAGGTGGAGCCCATCTTGCGTCCGCGCTAAACTAAGAGGAGGCACAGCCGCGGCGAGATTGATCAATCAGTAACCCTCTCATGTAATTGGTCCTATCTAATACATAGTAGTGTCGTAGTGTATATGTATGGCGTAGGGTAGGTAGGGTTCACGCAAAATGCGATCGACTCACCCTGGTCTGTTTTCTGCTTCCTTCGTGGTCCCCTTGCGCAGGAGACGGCCCTGGGCATATTGAAGAGTGGTAGCTAGAGGTATCCATGGGTTTCACACTGTGACTGACGCAAAATCAAGGGACGGTCTGAACGGTCTGGAGTTTCTGATGTGAACATTCCTCCGAGTATTACCCTGGTAAAATACTCCGTAAATAACCACACCCTAGGGAATCACGCTGATCCTAGCACCCAAGCCAAGCCCAGGCGCTGGGAGCCTGGTCTGTGTGAAATCATATCCGTTTGCGGTTAGAATTAATGATTAAAAAGACTGGGCCCCACAAAGCCAGTGGGCAAATAATAGGGGGACAGGGGCCTGACTCGTGGGAGCAGCGCGCATTGACACTTACATTGACATCTTGGAGAGGGAGATAGAAGACAATTGTATAGACATGGACGGACTAATCTGCACATAGTGAGCATTTATTGTGCCAGCAACAACCTACCTACCTAAGATAAGCTGGTTAGTTAACCCTACCTATCCGCACCTAAGGCAGGTTAGGTTTACTGAGATGAGCCGCCCGAGGTCACTCTCGCGAGGGAGTGTCGGACAGTGCGGCGTCTTTTCTGCCCTAATCAAGCCTCCCTTGCCAATGGATGTTTCACTCCACAGTCGTCTCATAAACGCTTCCAGGTTGGGGAAGGGCCCCGGCCTCAGGCCACTGGCAGGGTACTGATGACTGCGGGGAACAAGGGCCACACGGTCGTCAAAGTGGTCATGGCATCGGGCAGCCTGCTCCCCAAAAGTAGATCAATAGTACTGCGACTTCGCCAGGCCGGGCAAGGGGGCGTGGCCGGGACCCTATCAGGGCTCGGCACCAATGATGGCCGCTGCAAATGCTGGGTTGGGTCCCGCACTGTGCCGACAGGTCTGGCTGCATCGCACGGAGTTATGTACCTAGCAGTAGGTCGTAGTCTCCATTTTTGCCTCCAGCTAAGAGGCAGGCAGGCAGAGACGGTGGTAGTTTAGTCCCCATTCCCTCCACCATCGGTCGTCCTTTGGTTTTCCCACTTGCAACCTACCACCACCACCACCACGGGCATGGGAAACTCAATTGTCTTACTGGCGACCTCGAGCATCAGATAAGCAGAACCAGATCCCAGGCGTTCAGAGATTCTGTCGAAATAGCATGCGACAAGCGGCCTCGCCGTCGATTCCCTTCTCGCCGCTCCCTCTCCCATAGCTCTGGCCCCGCCACCCGTTCCCCCCCACCCTCACAGCCCAGCTTCACTCTCACTCGCCTTCGTCGTGTCCTGGGTCCTTCCACTCTGATTGATCTCGAACTTCTTCCTCTCTCTGTTTCTCTCACTCGCATCCTCTTTCTGTCCCCGCCTCCTTCCCTCCGCCGTCGATCCCGATTTGTCCTCGATCTGTCCAACCACTGGAAACGGCACCTCTCGGTTTAGCTGGATGACGCGGGAAAGGAACCGAAACCCCCCGCCGCCATGTCCAATTCGTCCGCTTCCCCCTCCGCCGTTGTCGGGAGCGCTCCCACCAGCGATGAGACCGGTACGACGTCCTCCTTCCAATCAAGCAGTTTCTCTCTGCCCACGTCCTCCTGCGACGCTGCACTCGAAGACTGTGTGTGTGTGTGACTGACCTAAGATGCCTCCCCGCGAATAGCGTCGACCATCACCGTGAATACAAAAGGTCCAACCGCCTTCCCGCCGCCCAAGACCGACAAGCCGCGCCCTCACGTCTGCACGACATGTCAGCGCTCGTTTGCCCGATTGGAACATCTGAAACGCCATGAGCGGTCCCACACCAAGGAAAAGCCTTTTGAATGCCCCGAGTGCACACGATGCTTCGCCCGTCGAGATCTCCTCCTGCGCCACCAGCAGAAGCTCCATCAGACGACGACGCCCTCGTCCCGGCCACGGAATCGCCGAGAGAGCGCCAGTAGCACTGCGCCTGGCGGGAGCCGCATTCGGAAGAACAGCGTTGCAGGAGGATCCGGTGCTGCCGCTGCTGCTGCCGGGGTACCGGGAACAATGAGGCCTCGGGCAAATACCATCAGCCACGTTGACGTGCAAATGGTTGCTGCCAGCAACGCTTCGGTTGCCAGAGGCATGCCGCCCACGCACAGTCGCCATCCGAGCCTCGCAGGATTGCCAATCCACAACATGGACCACCACACTTTCGCGGGCATGGCTTCCGCCCTCGGCCATCGCGGCATGAATCACGGCCTGCCGAAGCTGGAGACGCACGGTATCAACCTAGACTTCTCGGGCGGTCTTCGGACGGCTCCTGCCTTGGCCTTGGGTCAGGATTTCGATTTCGAGGCACTCCTATTCAGCCCGCCAACCGGTTCCACCATCAACCCGAACGCCCTCCACTACAGCGATTCCCCACAATCCATGGCCATGGATCCCATGTCGCCCTTCTCCCACGGGCTGCACGACATGCCCGCCGGCCAGCATATGGATGACCACTTCGACTGGTTGACTGGGTTCGAGCAACAGATGTCCTTCACCAACGGTCTCAACGAGACTGCCGTGGATGGGTCCTCCCCTTCGGCAATAAGCACAACCAGCCAGAGCGGTATCAGCGATGTCATGCTGGACGGCTCCAACCACCCAGCAACAAGCGTGGGGACGAGCTCTATGTGGCAACCCGCAATCATGGGCCCTCCACAACTAGCAAACCCCTTTTCGCTTGACCTCGGCGGCTCCGTCTTTCCGGATCTCATGAACGGCGCACCAGTCTCGCCCCAACCTCCACCGCAAAAGAACATGGGCGACGCCTACTTTTCCACACCGCCGCCTTCGTTAAGCTCTCTCAGCCCCTCGGTCATTTCTGGCTTGAACGCCCAAAACCTGAACCAAGCGCTCAATAATTTCGGTGCCGGCCCGGAGACGCCCTCCTCGATGAACGGTAGTAACCATGGCACCTTACCCGTCTCGACAATCACTGATTCAACAAGAAATGCCATCCTAGGTGCCCTGTCGACGGCTCAGCCTTCCCAGTTTGGAAGCCGAAAGTTCTCCTTCCCGACACCGAGCTCGCCGCTCTCGCCTCACTGTCAGCCCCCATCAGCGAGCCCATCCGACAGCGGAAGCAACCTCCCGAGTACACAGGATCTTCAGCGCTACGTCGGAGCGTATCTTCGATATTTCCACCCTCACTTTCCAGTCCTACATCTCCCCACCCTCTCGCTGGAGATCCCTCCGCAAAACACGAGCGGCGGAGACAACGGGGTTGGGGGCAGCGGCTGTCTGATCCTCTCCATGGCAGCCATCGGGGCGCTATACGAGATGGAACACGCGCAGTCGAGGGACTTGTTTGGGATGGCAAAGAGGATGATCCAGTTGTATCTTGACGAGAGAAGGAAGGCCAATGTTAGAAAAGCCGACGGTTTCCGGCGTACTCCAATTTCGGACCAAGGGTCTCAGCAGGCCGACAATCCTGTCGATACGCCGGTCTGGCTGGTGCAGGCGATGCTTCTCAACGTCGTGTATGGGCACAATTGCGGAGACAAGCGCTCGGGTGAGATTGCGTCGACCCACGCCGCGGCCCTGGTAAGTCTCGCTCAGGGAGCCGGGCTGTTGCGGCCGACGCGGATGGAGGACTCGGAAGGACACGACGTCAATATGGGTGATGATGACGGGAATTGGAGCAACGGGGCGAAGACCGAGGCGGATGAACACGGGGAATGGCTGCGATGGAAGTCGATGGAGGAGCGCAAGCGTACTCTCTACGCCGTCTTCATCCTGTCGAGTCTACTCGTCTCGGCGTACAACCACACGCCGGCCTTGACGAACTCGGAGATCCTCCTTGACCTCCCTTGCGACGAGGAGTTCTTCGCAGCCGAGAACGGCGCCGCCTTCTACGCCAAAGGAGGCACCGCCGCCGCCGACCACAATCGGATGACGTTCCACGAGGCCCTCGGCGAGCTCCTGAGGTCGAACGAGAAGCAGCAGCAGAAGTTCGCGTTTAATAATAGCCACCAGCCCTTCGGATCGGCGGTTCATCTCGGCAATCTTCCCGAGAGCGATCTGAAACCCAGCACCTTCGGCTGTTTGATACTGATCAATGCGCTGCACAATTACATTTGGGAGACTCGTCAGCGCCATCACAACAAGGTCTGGACCAACGAGGAGACTGAGAAGATGCACCGGCATATCGAGCCCGCCCTCAAGGCATGGCAGGCCGCCTGGGCGAGCAACCCCCACCACAGCCTGGAGAGGCCGAACCCCTTCGGCATGGGCCCCCTCTCTGCCGACGCCATCCCCTTGTTGGATCTCGCCTATGTCCGTCTCTTCGTCAATCTCTCCCGCTCCAAGGAGAAGTTCTGGCAACGCGACTGGGACGGCATGGCCGAGGAGCTTGCCCGTGGGAGCGAGATAGTGCAGCATGCCGAACAGTCGCCCGCCTCCAACACCGATTCCGCGGGCACGGATCCGTCGGATAATTCCGGGACCAGCCCTGTTTTCGTCGATTCTCCGCCAACCCAGTCATCGTCCCCCGACTTTGCCGCGATGAAGTTCCCGCCGCCTCCGACCCCAAACGGCGTCCTATCTCAACATCAAAGGTCGCAATCGCAAATCCCGAGCCGCTCCATCTCCCGCCGCGAGAGGCACTTGCGCAAGGCTGCATTCTATGCCGCCGACTCTCTAGCAATGTCCGACAAGCTAGGCGTCACGTTTGCCGACTTCACCAGCCGCGAGCTGCCCCTGCAGTCTGCCATGTGTGCATTTGACTGTGCTCAAGTCCTGGCGGAGTGGGTGGCGACCCTGCAAGACCGCGTAGGACGGTATCTCGGCATTTTGGGCCAGGATGACGTCGACCCGACCCAGGTGCCCGGCATCATGCTCCTCGAAGATGATGACGCGAAGCTTCTTGCCAGGATTCAGGAAGTCCTTGCCGGCGCAGAAATGAAGATGAATGTCGAGATGGCTTCGAGTGGCCGCCCCAATGGCCTCAACGGAAACATGGGTGGGGGCGAACTCGGCGGTATCGATTGCGGGCTGCCAATGGACGACCACTCGGGATATGCAGCAAAGATCCTGAGGGTAACAGCTTACATGCTGGAGAAAGCCGCCGTCTGGCCTGGTAAGTCAAGTCACCTATCCAAGTCACGCATCGTGCCTTTGCTGACCAAAGTGGCACATTGAAGTAACCCGGTTGATGTCTGCATGCCTTGAAGCTCATGCCAACCATATGCGAGCCCGTGCCGAGAAGTCCGTCATGGCCATCGAGTGAGAGACTCCGACAAACCTGTCCCGCTCAATGTGTCTGTGTCAAACACGACGGGAAACACAAATATCACCCTCCCAAACAACCCTAGCCCAGCCAGCAGCTAGCTGTCTCCAGCTCATCTCCAAACAACCATCCTCCCGACCCCGTGGATGGGACGACAATGATACCCCCTACACGCGCCGAGGCTGTCCACCGTGGTCTCAGTTGCTGATCCCTCATTGTACAAAGAGTGGTTGCCTCTCCCATGACATCACAACGCAAACTTCTTGTCTATAACTCCCCGTGGTGTGCCTCGTTTGCTATACCTTTGGTCCAAAAGCCCTCTCTCATCCATGGCGTTTATGGGCATATTTGAGGGCAAACATGAGGGTCAGGACCCTTACTGGGAGCCCCCGTGGATTCGCTCTCTACTTTTCTGATACTGGGCTCGCGCTAGTCCCCGACACAATGACGCGCCGGGGCTGCGACCGTTGGGTTGATATTATTCGGCGACTTTGGGTAGACTGCCGCGATTGATCCCAGCACGCCGGCCTGATGTGGGATGAATCACGATCTTCTTTTTATTATTACCCACTCATGAGGTCTACGCCATCCCTAACGACTGCGTGTGATGACGACGCTTTCGATACGGCTCTGATTTTACTTGCTCGGGCGTTTTCTCTCGCACAATTTTAGAAAAGGGGGAAACGGGGTCTGGGGCTATGTCTACTAGCAGGTGGTGGGGGTATATTGCTATTCCTGCGAATCAATCTCTCGCCATTTCTATTATTTCCTCCTCTTTCTCTTTCGCCATCTAAGGACGGATATCCTCAGATTGGGCGATCTATGGTTCACCTGCCTCGTTTTGGGTACTAAGAGATCAGGGCGTCACCTTTTTCAGCCGCCGGTCTTTTCACGAGTGGATGTGTGGGGAACTGGGGAGGCAGAACTCCCCAACTCGGGGAGGCCATGGGTGGACGGGAAGAGATGCCCGCGATGCGAGTAGGAGGCGTTGGAGCGGCAATTCGTGTGTCAAGAGACTCATCCTAGTAATATCCCCTCGTGGCCATGGCAGGGGGCCTAGAAGAAATGGCCCCCAGTGTGGATACAGCTTGGCTAAATGCGGAAGACAAAAAGAGTCCAGGGGGATGAAAACCGGCCATGTTCTGATACCTACATGAAGAGGATTGCCAAAAAGAGGGATGATAGAAATAAGAAGTTGAGAGTGTTGGCGATGCGTACCTGCCCACCAAAACCAAACCAGTGACGATCAGCACAAATCCAGTACACAGTCTGAGTCCCTAGGGATTGTGCACTCTATGACCTAGACGCGCGTTGGCGGCAGCAGCAGGAGTGAGTAGGTGTCTAGCAGGGAATAGTACAGCGAGGTGCTATTGACAGCAACGGCAGGAGCTATCAACAGCAACGGCAAGAGCCATCGGCAGTAACGGCAGGAGCTATTTGCTGTTTCAACCAACAGACACTGACACCATGTCGGTATGTACGTACATACAAATGAACACCCGACTTTTGCCCCAACCCCCCAACACACCGGAAAAGGGGTCAAAGAAGCAAGCATCGAACTCTTGATTAACAGATAGATATCTAACTACTGCGAAATACATAAGATTCTCCGGTACCTTGGACTTGTCTTCCTAGCTCACTTCTTGCGTTCATCTTTCGGTTGGATATTCTGTCTCGTCCGATAAGCGATAGGTGTCTGGCCTGGAGGGGGCCTCCGCGAATCGGTCGGTTTGCCTGGCGTTCCCGGCCCGCCACTACCACCACCGCCCCTACCGCTGCCACCGTCCTTACCGGTACCGCTACCACTGGCACTACCGCGACGAGCTGGAGGATCGAGCTTGCTCTGCCCGTCATTGGCATAAGGCTCGAGGAGCCACCCGAGGAAGGCTTTCCGAAGCTGGTTTCCCTCAGAGCCGGTACGGGAGACGAGGCCTCCGTGCATGGCGTCGGCGTCGCGGTTGAAGACCGCCAAGAAGAGGAAGTCCCAGTTGAGCAGGGCGATGTACTTGGTGTTGAAATCGGAGTCCTCCGAGTAAGCCGTCATCTGCTTGACTATCTTGATAGCCTTGGGGCCGAAGAAGGATTCGGTGGTGAGGGTACCGACCGCGCCCGCTTCTTCTCGACCTCATCTGGCGACGCCGTCATGGGCAGCCGTGCGGGCGTGAACTCGCTCTTGACGACCACGCCCACGACCTTGTACTCGAGCACAGCGAAGGTCCGGCCGTTCTTCTTGAACACAATGTCCGGGCGGGCGCGGGCACCAGCCGAACCGGACTCGGAGAGACAGTGGATCAACACGTCCGGGTACCTCGCCGTCAGCGCCAGGTTTACCGGGTGGAGAAAGTACAGCGCTGCGACACGCACGACGTCAGCCTCGCAGCTTATCCAGAAGGTCCGCTCGAGTGACGGCATGCAGCTTTCGGTGGTTAAGCGATGCACGTTTGGGGCCACTAGAGCCTGGTTGGCCAAGGTTGTGTAAGGCTGTATCGTTCTATCCAGCCAGAATTTCGGAGGATCGGCGTTCATCGATGTTAGGCCCGATACGTGCGTGGTGGCCCCGAGACCTTGGAACCTGGGGCAAAGTGGGCAGAGGCTCGTTGAACGACTGAGCGATGGTCAGAGCCTTTGATTTTGGAATGGGCTGGGCCATGGCTGTGTGTCGATGATGTCGATGATGTCGATGACAGATCTTGGCTTGGCAGGGTACGCGAAAATAGCTATGAGCTGAAGAGATGTTCACGTATCACTCAAGAACTTTGCGAGGATTGAAATTGCAGCGAGACAAGCTGTTGCAGGATGAGACAACGTATGATGGATGACAGGATAGCGGTGCTTCGAGGGCTCAAGATGCTGGAAGGTCCGGACACTGGCAGCTCATGGCCAGCCGATCGAGAAGGGAGAGCCGCCCCTTTATGCATGGTGGGCTACGTTGTCTACTTTGCTAATAATAGGTGGGCTTGGGCTTCTCCTCGAAGTTGAAAAATAGTTGAAACTTCGGAGCGCGCGCGACGTGAAAGTTGAGAATAGTTGAAACTTGAAACTTCGAAGCGCGCGCGGCGTGAAAAGTGGGCATAGCCACGATATACCTGGCCCGTTTTTGCGGCTCAGGTTGGCGGTTGGCGCTGTCGCAGGCATCTGATTGGCTGACCCTCTTTGCATTGCTAACGTGCTGGTGTTGCTGTCGTTGCTCCTTCTGCTCCAGCCATTGCTCCTTCATGCCCGGCCATCGCTCCTTCCTGCCCCTGCGATTGCTTTTTCCTACCAACGCCCTTGCTCACCATTGCCCTTGCTTGCTTGCTGTATTGCCTGCCCTCGCTGGTGCTTGCCGTCGCTAGTGTTCTGGTAAGGCTGCAGCTGACGGAGACTTGGCAGACAGTTAGCAAACACCTGGCATGCGTAGAAAGACATTCACTTGCAGCATTCCCTTATTAACTTGACAAGGACCCAAGGCATCTTTGTCTTGTCTTCCAACCTCAGCCTGCATTGATCATCTCTAATCAACAAACTGGTATATAAACCATCAAATAATCGCTGCCCCCTTCCCCTTCCCCGTACCTGGATTTCGCTAAACCACACAGCAATGCTATCGCCATACAGGCCGGGTGTGACACTCGCTATTCGAGCCCATACTCCCCCTCACCCATTCGGGAGACACTACAGCAACGAAGACACTATTCGCCAGACTATCCCCGGTCTCAAGGCTGAAGATCGGGTTGACCGCCTAGACTTCGCCCTCTCAAACCCTCCGCTCAAGACACCACCCCCTGCACAAGGCACATCACATGTTCTCACTCTCCTTAAAAAAATGGAGCACCGACAAGAGCGATCCAGTGGTGCGCATGTGGTCAGTTGCGATCTCGACTCTGACAAGTCTTGCCGCTACGTAGCCAAGATCTACGACGGTGTTGATTATCCCCTCGTCGACTACAGGGGCTTCGACTACATGTACCTGGCAGACCAAGACTACAGTTGCGAGGCTGCAGCCTACCAAAGCATACCAGAGCACCTCCAGGGATCCACCGTGCCTCGTTATTTCGGCTCGTGGACCTGCTCTGTCGAAACAGGCATTCCCGGCCGCCACCGAAGCGCGCGCCTGATCCTCCTTGAGCATGTCGATGGCGAGTGCATGCTAGACATGATCCTGCATGCAAAAGGCGTGACCAGGGCTTCCGGCGATATTACCGCCCCTGTCAACTACCAGCTTCTGCCGCCCGAGCCAAAGCGTCTCGACGTGCTGGCTAAAATCATCGAGGCCGAAATCGAGCTCTTCCAGGCGGGCATCGTGCATCGGGACGTTGCGCCGCGGAATGTCATCATCTCATGTTCCCCAATGCGCATCGCCCTTATCGACTTCAACCTGGCGCGTGTACACAAACACTACGAATCCGGTCGCAAATACCTGGCGTCACGGGACCCAATGCGTTGCCCCCATCGCCTGTCGAGCGCTACTGGAATAGCACGATATTTATAGATTTTGGCGAGTGGATCCCACCGAGCTGGGTTTTGGATCCTGAAATGAATGCAAGGTTGGAATGGTTGTGGAAACGCTGGGGAGGGTCCAACAAGTTCGCGCCCCTGTCGGAGGATTTCCTGAGTACTTACCGAGATCATCCCCTTGTCCAGAGACTCCAAGAGGTGTTACAGGTAGCACTGGTCCCTGATTAGTGTGGATAACTTGGCCCGTGCTGCACCAGAAAGCAGCCTGCCATCCGGGCTGGCGACGCGCAACGGGCTGCGCCGCAGGTTAAAACAACCAACGTCGAGATTGGCGTATCACAATTGGATGTTATTATTTATCCCTTTCTACTTTCGTCTTCATTTTAAGTCGCTCATTCCCAATCATCGAATCATGCACCTGTTGATCGGCCTGGCCTGGCATTTGCTTGTTCGGACCTGACATTGCCCAAGTTAATCCCCACGCTCCCTTCGACACCCGAATATCCCCTTGAAGTGTGCCGGCACACTCCTTCCTGCTACAGCCTAACATACATACCCCCATATACATACATAATCTAAAGATCGACCCAGAAAGAGGACGAAGAAAAGAAACAAATGCCAACCTACCACTCCCCCTCCTCCTCCCCCTCCCCCTCCCCTTCCTCCTCCCCCCCGCGCCCCTCGCGCCGCGCCTCCCGCCCGGACGCCCTCGACCCGGCCCTCGACCCGGACCCGGAGAGGCCCGAGTCCCTCCTCAAGTCCTCCCTCGTCTTCCTCGGCTCCATCGCCGCCGCCGCCCTCTGCGCGCACCGCTACTGGCCCAAGGGCTTCACCTACGGCGACAAGGAGGACTGGGAGTTGGAGAAGGAGATCCGCCACGAGCGCCGGCGCCGGCACCACGACCGCGAGAACCGGCAGAGGGATGGGGACGGGGACGGGGGTAGGAGCCGGCGCGGAGATCGCGGCGAGCGGAGGGAGGGGTACCGGCGGCGGGGCGGCGGCGGCGGCGGTGATTATCACTCCCGTGAGAAAGAAGAGGTGATGGCTGGGGTGGAGGAGGTGTACGAAGTCAGGGGCGATAAGCATCGGCGACGGCGGAGGGACGGGTCACGGGACGGGGAGAGGAGCAGGGACGGGAGCAGGAGGAGGAGCTACGATGTGAGGGAGTCGCACCGGCATAGCGAGCGCAGATCCGCGAGCCGGGACGGTTCCCGCTCCGGCTCCGGCTCCGGCTCCGGCTCCCATCGGTCTGCCATGGGGCCCACTGATCGCCAGACGCGGAGGCAGACGACGAGCTATTACCCGCCCGCGCCGCATCGGTACGCCATCGACCGGAGCGGGTCGACGGCCGGGTCGCGGCGCTCCAGCGTGGATGGGAGGGGTTCTCGCCCGTTGCGGGAGAAATACCATTATTATCAGGACGAGCAGGATGAGGGCGTCACTGAACAACAGCCGGAGCCGGAACTGGTCTATGCTCGGCGCGAGTATGGGCCGCCGAGGTCGAGGCGATCCTCGGTTGATGGTGGGTTGGCTCGGGGGCGCAGGGGACGGGAATACAGCGATGATTTGTAGCTTGTTCGATCTTGTTATTTTCGAAATAGCAAATGAAATGCAACGCTGTGCTACAAAGCTAACTAACAAAAAGCCGGCTGGCGGGCAAGAGTGCCGTCTTCGAACTGCCCTGAAGGAAGCCAGCCAGGCTGTTAGATCCCGAGTCTCGTCGACCGCTAATCCCTTGCCAGGTTGAGATCACGCTAGCTCATCGTCACTCTCATCCCGGAGCATCTTTCGCTTCAGCTTCCGTGCCCCACGTGCCGCCTTGCTGGCTTTGGGAGAGGGGGACTCTTCAAGCTGCGCAGTTGTGTTGTCGGCAGCAAGCTTGTCCCAACCATCGCCCCCGGTCCTCAACACCAAATGTGGGTTCAAGTCTGCCTTGAACCACCTCTCCCCCCTGGTGGTGCTCCTAGAACCGCCTTCGAGCGCCGAATACGCAGCCCGTGTGGTGCGCATCCTTTTCCCGCTCCGCCCTCCTTCGCTCACGAGGTTGCTGAGCTTCAAGCGCTGCTTCTGGAGATGAGTGTCGTACGCAACAATGCCACGCACGTATGGAGCAACGTCTAGGGTGATTAGCTTCATGGTCCGATCGAATATCGAAGGGTCAAGGTAAGAAAGAGCCGCCGAGGACGGAGGCGAGTCGGATGCAGCAATCGGGTCGAAAGCCACGGCAATATCCATGCGAGAAATGGTGGGACTGCCGATCGTCGTCGATGGCGTTATGAAATGTTGCCGGATGGTGTTCAGGAGTTGGTCCTCTGTGAGAGGATCCAGCTCGGGAGCTGGCTGCTGCGTAACTACACTCGTGCCCGATTGCAGGGCTGCTCTGGCCATGGATCTCATCGTGCATGGCAGAACTGTAAGGAGCGAGTCGTAGTGGACTACCGATGGTGTATCGAGGAGCGGGAGTCCCAGTATGTAGTCATCGTGGGCCTTGCCCGAAACGGCCGGGGGGGTAGCATCGATTGGCGCCTGTAGGTATTATTAGCATCAGGGGGGTAAAAATGACAAGGGGGGCCACCGTACCTCTTGAAACCTTGCAAACGCCTTGCAGGAACAGATATCCGACGCACTCATGACCTCAGCAAACTGATCAAAGACCTCGAGGGCTGCCAAACGACCACTGGCCTCCGATGTCACTGTACTCAGGTTCTCGGCCCAAGGCGCCAATCCAGTGGAGCTCTGCCAGTAGCCAACATCAACATTCCACGAGTTCCAAACTTGCTGCAGAAGCTCCTCCTCGGCCATGCCGGGGTGGACAAGGTTGTCCATGACGTGGTCTCGCACCAGCCAGTTCATGCCTGGCTGGTAAGTGTCCTCGCTGACAACCCGGACGACCTCGTCGTTCTCGTCAAGATCGATACCCTTTGGCCACCGGAGATAGAACCATTCAAACCCGCCTCGACGATCTCCCACGCCAATCTGGCACCAGTAATTCAGGTCCATGGTGGCGGCCCGGAGATCCCGATTGCGAGACTCGAAGAGTGCCTCCACGGCGTCTCGCCGCAAAGAGTGTCCCTCATTCGCGGCAATGAGGATGAGGCGATCCACCGCAAGATCTGTGGGCGGGTGGCTGAGTCTGAAGATTCCATGGAGGTTGAGGGTCTGCAATGGCAAGAGTGTCTCGTCGTTGCAGGTCACAATGAAAGGCCTTTTCGATTGGGCAATCAGTCCAATGACAGAAGTCCAGAACTGCTTGTCCTCTTCAAAGAGAATGTCGGCTTCCTCGAGCAGAATAAGGGATTGTTTTTGACCCTTGGGCAACTCTTTCTTGGCCTCCTTTCGCGGTGGACCTCCAGACGGCGGGTTGGTGGTCTTCTTTGAGCTGTCCACAGTAGCCTTTGGCTTGAAGAAGGAGATCATGGTCGACTGCTTCCCAGACTTGATGTCCTCGGCAGCTCCCTCATCGACAGGATCCTCCTCCGTCTCTTCCCCAGCCTCTGGATTGCTTCGCTGTTGGTGGGAGACGAGATGATTTCTAGTCATGTCACCAATCCTCTCAAGGACGTCCTTGCCACTCCTTCGGCTGGTGGAGTTGATCTCGAACACCTCAAACCCAAGCTCTTTTGCAACGGCGTACACTGCTGCCGTCTTACCGCAACCATGAGGGCCACTGATGACGACAGTGTTGGTCAGGCGGGAAGAATCCTTGGATCCCTTTGCCCTCAAGTCGCCGGCGCGAATGACTGTCTTCTTCACGATTCCGTAGGTGCCGCTAGCAACCCAATCGGTCTCCGTCTCGGACACTTCGTCCATCTGGTCGGCCTCCTCATCGCTCGACACAATAAAGTCATCAAGCTTCTTCTTCCTCCTCTTCTTAGCGGGGCCTGAAGGCTTCGATTTCGACAGACTACCCTTGCTCTTCTCACCATCTCCAGACCCTGTGTCGACAGATTGAACCATTAAAGCCTGCAGCCATTGCTTAAGGAAGAAGGCCTCTCGTCCAGGCTGGAGAATCTCGGCCGCACATCCTGGGGCATACTTTTGCGTCCAACTGAGTGTCTCACACTCGGACCTGTCGACCGCGGGCAATTCGGATTGTATCGAGTTGAACAGGCGAATGAGCTGAGGAGGGTGCTCCAGCATATTGGCTTTCCCTGCTGCGTCCTTCTTACCGGCAGCTTTCTTCTGCTTTGAGCAACGGAGTTGAGGGAGAATGCGGTGCTGAAGTTTGCTTCCACTTTCAAAGTGCTTCTGCGGCAACCGTATCTCAGGAGGTGGTGGCAGGAAGTCGTCCGTGTTTGCATTCCTGACGGCATCTGTGAGGGCCGGGATGTCTATTCTCTTAGTGATGTACTCCATCACTGATTCTCGTGTTGATATCTCCACGGCGCGTCCTTTTGACTTGCGAGAAGCGAAGGTGACGGTTGGCTCGTCAGACTGACAACTGACCAGCGAGTCGTCTCCTCGAATATGAACCATGTCTTTCCAAGGCCATGCTGGCAGCTTTGAGCCTGGAACTTTCAGGCCAATACTCTTCACGCCAAACTGGGGCAGCCTGGTATTGTGGCTGATAGGGCGAACTTTGTTGGGGGAGCAGGGAGTCGAGCTGGATATTTTCGCCGAAGATGGGTCTGTCGGTTCAGGCTTGACATCCACCGGTCCGGAAGTGGACTTTGGAGGTTTGGATTGGCCAAGAAAAAAGGGGTGTGTTGTCTTGGGCAGCTCCTGGTCGACCGGCTTCTTGTCTTCTGCTGACATATCGGAAGGTTGCGAGTTTGTCGTATTCGGCGAGCCGGTGGACAAGGCGTGTGGACCATGCAGGATGGCATTAACTTTAGCCCCGATGCGCATCCGAGACTCGGCATCGGTGTCGTACCTGATCCTAACAATCCTTGACCGAGTCTTTTTTCCCCGGCCATTTAGTGACACCTTCTTCGTCGCTTCAGTCTCATGTTCAACTCTAGCCGGGGTTGGCTTGGGTTTCGGTGGCGATCCAAGTGTGCCAGTCTTCAGATTGAGCCGAATAACCTTCTTGGGCATGGGGGGATCTGGATTCAGTGTGGATGCCAGAGTTTGGTATGGTGCAGGTGTAACTCGGTTGCCGTGTGTAGTCTCTGGTTCCAATCTCTCAGGCCGATCCAACCCCTTTCCCTCTTCATCCTCATCATCCTGTTGTTTGTTCTCGTCGTTGGTGCTGGGGCTGGAAGCATGGCCTCGGTCTAGCCGTGTGAAATGGTCCATGATAGTGCCTCCCAGTGAAGCCTTGTTGCATTTCTTCAGCTGTTGCCTCTCCTCATCTTCTAGCACTCGAGGCTCCAACTTCTGCCGCTTCCTCTGGGGACCATCCCGCTTCCCATGTGTCTCTTCATCCTGGGCTCCATCGAATGAACATATCGAAGTCTGCGCTGATTCGGCTCTGTCTTTTGTCGGAGGTGTCTGGGATGCTCGTCTTCTGGCTTGGAACAATGGGTGTAAGTGGTGCCCCTCACTATGGCTCGCCGTAGGATTGACCTGATCCACCATGGCAAGCACAGCTAAGGACCCCATGGGTGTTGATCTGGCGAGAATTCTAGCCTGAGCAGGTCAGCAAAGGTCGCCCTTGGCCACAAAGAATGTAGAATGTGAGGCAAACATGGAAATTCACATGCGCACTTCAGTGGGCAATCGCGACTGACTGCGAAGAGGGTGCACTACTTACAGTATGTCATAATTGAGGCAATGAGTACCAAAATTGGGGGTGAGGCGAATGGAGCGCCGGAGTGGTGGTTTGAGGTGGAAGATTAGTGGCAGTGTCGTACCTTGGCGACTTGATTGTAGACAAAGGATGCGTGGCCGTCGAAGAGCTTATCGGGGAGGTCCTCGAGGAGGTCGTCGAGGAGGTCGTCGGGCAGTTGTGGTTGAAGTGGTTGAGTTGGTCGAAGTGGCAGCCAGGGATTAGAAGTCGCGTGCATCGCCAAATCGCGTCCCCAATGAATCGAAACCCGTGAACCCGTGTCGCGCCTGCCATCATCGGTTTTAAGAGTTCCCCACTATAAATATTTATCCAATCACCCCTCTAGGGACGTATCTTAGCTCTATGCCCCACCTTCTACCACTAAAATTGACCGGACTTTCTTCGGATAATCCTGACATCTGAACTTTTTTTCCTCTGGTTCTGGATTTTTGGATCGTCACTCAGGGCAAAGCTAGGAACTTCGCATCAGCTCTCAACAAGCTGCGCAGGCTCATCATGGCTTCCATATTTCATATACAGAATCCATACCTGCTGGCGACCCTCCCAAATCCGTCCAGTCGCCCAGGCACGCTTGGAAAATGCACTGTTGGCGAGGTATTTGGCCAACGGCCAGACTCCAAGAAACGGAAGCGGTCAGAACTTTCGGTGGGAATTGATGGTGATGCTGTCAATCTTTATGATGTTAGCTCAATGTCCATTCTACTGAGGATCTCCTACTAATATGAGGACTAGGTGCCATCATCCCGTCTCATCACTTCGTATCCTATCCCACCCCAGTACTTCTTCACGTGCCCTCCATGTTCTGTCCGATGGAAGCCCTCTGCGAGCAAACAAGTCATTCGATCGACCTACATTTGCACAGAAGAAGGTCTGACGGCAAAGAGGCGGGTCACCCTGTTCAAGGATGTGGTTGGAGGCTCAGGCGACACAGCGCCCGTGTCGTCCTTCTCTATCCTGCGACAGAAGGAACCCATCATCCACTTGACTACGACGCCATCCGCCAATTCTGCCATTGTCCCCGACGAAGACAAAACTGGCCTGGATCTTCTTGCTATTACAAGAGATGGGAATATTTTATGCCTTGACGGGGAAACACTGGCTGAGAAATGGCTGGCGCCTGCGTCCACATATCTTCAGGGCCTCTGCCACACAGCAAGCAGAGATTTCCAGGTAGATCTTGCTCAGACCTCGCCGGCAACCGACACTGTGGCAGGTCTGTTCAATGGGAAACATGACTTGTTTGGCCTCTTCCCGCAAAAGATTGAGCCTAGTGGCTTCAATCCTGACGTGCTCTTCATCATTACCTCGTCAAAACCCAGCTCTACCAACCCCGGAGAACGGCATATGCATATTCTTGCGATCATACCTGAGGACCAGAGTCAGCAGCGAAGCAGGCAGAAGGTCATACCCGTCACAACGTTCTCCATTCCGAAGCCCTCGACAACTCACCATGATCCTTCAACATTCCGCCTCGATGTTGAATCCGGCTCTCTCGAGGAGCTGCGTGGGGGTACCCTTTGGACCTACAAGATCCATGAAGACATGCCGAAACTTGCTCACACGCTCACGCTTCCCGAAATATCCTCATTCGTCCGACTTTCAGAGTCATCGGTACTTGCAGCAACGTCGTCATCTCTCGAAGTTTACAACCCAGCCTACCGGTCTCTACAGGCATCCGCGGCCATTGATCTGAGTGGAGACTCTCGCAATATGTCCGCAGCCAAGGGTGACCTGGGTCGGTGGGATCTCGTCACCTACTTCAAAAAGCTGGAGACAGCTGTGGCAATCTCTGGACGGTCTCTGATTGCAGTTCAATTGGAGGCTCCAAGGAGTCGCAAACGCAAGAGGCGCGCCCAAGGGCTACTCATTTCCTCGATTGGCCGCGGGTTGCCTCAAGGCATAGAGCCACACAAGTGGTCAAAGGCACAGCACACATCCTCGGCGCTCACACGTTACCTTGAAGGATCGTTGACAAACACCTACTGGAAGGAATGGGAGAGCGACGTTGCCAAGGCCGATGAGTTGCTTCGTGCCGAGGATATGGCTGGGTTCGAGAGGTTGCTGGCTGGGAAGTTCAAGATCGAGCTCGTCCAAAATGAGAGTCAGCCCAACGGTGTCCATCCCGACAGTGCCGATGTCCCCATGGCCGGCTGGTCGGTCTCGGATTTGCCTGGCTGGCAGTGGCCGTCACGACCCAAGTTCCCACGGGTCGACCGGCGCTGGGTCATCTATGCTATTTCCAGGGTTTTCTCCTTGCAGCGCGGCTCCAAAGCTGGCTCTGGGGAGATGTGGATGTCCCTTCAACTACCACAGACGAATGTGTTGACCTACCTGGCCGTAGGTGGCCACTTGTCAACCCCGAACCTTAAATCCGCATTCAGTGAGGAACGCGAAACCGAAGACATCGATGCGGTTTTCGGGGAGCAGCTACCTGAACTGCTTGCAGACATCGACCCAACCTTTGATCTATTGTTCGACTACCTAGCCGCCACCAAACTGGGGCCGATTGAGCTCCTTTCCAGCATACGACTGATCATGCGCAGCCTTGATTTGGTTCAAGATCCGGCCAAGTTGCCCCAGAAGCAGATCACGTCGGCCGAGCACGAGCCCGCCGGAGACGAGGAGGAGGCCATCGGGATGAAGCTCGACCGGCTGGAGGAGGATCTGGCCATCACGGAACGCCATCTCCTCGACGATTTCAGCACGCGAGAGAGGGGGCTGACCGTCGCCTTGGGCCTGCTGGGCGCCTATCCTGCAATGGATACGGTGCAGGCAATTCATCGCCTGTTCAGACCCGACGAGACCCTGTCGTTGATCCACGTGTTGCGGGTGGAACTCGTCAGGGGTGGCTGGACGACGCGGTACCTGGACGCGGCACATCTTGACGGAGAAGAGGAGCTGGAGCCACCGCCCGACGGAAGCATCCGCCTCATTGCCGACCTGCTCAGCAGGTGCATCGACTCCGTGGGACCGGGCGGCTGGATGGTCAATGACGCGATCCTCGCAAGGTCCGGTGACAATGTCGACTCCACCGGCTTCTTTGCCGCGCTGAAGCTCGAGGTCAGCGCCGCGCTAGAGGGGATCCAGGAGGCGGTTTATCTACGAGGCATGCTGGCCGAGGCGGTGAAATACGGGGTCAACGTGCAGAAATCCATGGCGGGGCCGATACCGCAGGGCAAGGAGGGACAGAAGCCAGTCGTCATGCCGCAAGCGCAGTCCCAGATGCTGCCCCTGGGTCTCGGGGCGAAGACCAAGGTCTCGCACGAGAAGGTCATCTCGGGCGGCGAGATCGTGCAGAGGAGCAAGAGAGAACGGGGCCATCTGGGAAGCCAGAAGGTTGGTTCGTATACGCTGGAGAGGATTGTCATTTAGGGGTCAAGCCAGGCGGTGGAACCGGAAGATGGTCATGGGGAAGAGAAACGGGAGGCCCGACGCTTCGGGCATGTTAGATATACCCATGTGGCTAGGAAGGTCTAGGACACGGGACACAGTTGAACCGCGGCTTGGCAAATCAATCAATAGAAGGAAGTCTTGATGGCGAATCTGCGGTTAGATGCAACGATCTCAAGCCTCGAGGGGCCTCTTGACAAGCCCTGTCAGGGACGCGAAATCTGGAGACTCCCAATGTTTGCCGGTGTGAATGGCCGGTAAGACAAAAAGGAACTACCGGGTAAGGCTGTTGTGAAACCGAGATGGTTGCCTCTTTCGAAACAAGCTGTAGGTAGGTTCGTGGAGCCAGAGCCGCATTCACGAGGCACCACATGCACCCCAAGCTCATCGCTTACATTCGGGTGGAAGGCACGTCGACCTGTCGGGCCCGGCCGTGCTGGCAGCTCCACAGACTCGTCTTTCATATGCGCGTAGTTCCGTCCTCGGAGACTATGGATTCAATATCTGCAGTAATCAATAATGAGGGTTTTAACACTCCTTCTCGACGCTTCCTCACTCGGGCTAGGGCGATTGACTCGTCTCGGCGGCCGCCGTTCAGGGCCGCCGATCGCTCTGGACTGTGCGGCTGTGTGGGAGAGCCCGCTGCTGCTGCCTGGCCCAGACTTCGCACTAATGCGAAGTTCTTGCTTCTTTCCCATTCGGTGCCACCGGATTTCCGCCCCAAACTTGCCGGATTTGCCGCATCCAATCGATCGAGCATGGCGCACAGAAATCCGGGAGAATCTTGCAGCATATGCCTCGCTGTCCAGCGCGCCCAGCCGGGGCGAGCCTTTGTCGATTGCAGCCCGATTGGAAATGGGAATGCAACGTGGAGCTCCGCGGTGCCCGATACGACCACCCAGACACTCGTCACCTTTTTTTTTTACTTCTTTCCCAGCGCGGCATTTTACATATTATGGTGTGGGTAGACATGTTTCACACGCACAGCCTGCTCTACAGATTACAGCCTCGTGTTGGGGGGAGGGGGCATGCCGAGAAGGTCATCTGTCCCAAATGGAGTTTCCCATCTCCTCGCCCGGTATGTGCAGGAAGCGCCGTGTCAGGCCCGATCTCTGTTCCTCAGCTTTTCCAGCGAACAAGCAAGTGTCCCTGCTGATCGCGTCCGACGGTCGGTAATACGGACGGAGGTGGTTCTTGATCTCTTTCGGCTCTGGGATGGACACATCTGGTAGCGTGTCTGAAGTGGCAGTCGATGCAACTTGCCTGAATGCAGCAAATGATCCAGGCAGGTGGCGCAGCATGCAGCAGGGGACACCCTTGGCGAGTTACTAAAGCAACAAGGCCTAACTCATTATGGTAAAAGCGCGACCATGCCAAGTATGTTCATATCCCACGCCTTGGTAAGCTCAAAGCAATACGGGGGAGCCGCCCGGGCCCTTCATTGGACGGCTCTGCCCCGTCTCTTCGAGAATCATAGCAATGATGTTAATTAATGCTTGGGAGCGAATACGTCACACAGCCCACGCAGTACTACAGCCTTTCCTGGTCCTCGACTCTTGGGCGAGGGGGTACTCCCACACCATGTACCAAGTGTACGTCTGTCATGTGGATAGCCTCGATGGCAAAACATTCCCGGAATGTACTCCTCTACATACGTAGCTCATTCGTCGGTGATTCACTCCGCTTCGCTTCCGTAGTGTTGTTCTCTTATCATCCAAGTGGATAGAATTCTTGTTCCTAACTAGATCCTCCTTCTTTTTCACTCGGCCTTGCACTTGAAAGTCTACAACAACTGTATAGGTTACGTGGGACGCCTGGTTCGCATGACAGTATTGCAGCCTTGCAACCAACCGTGACTTTTTCGACCACGTTATCACCACGTCTTGCTTCTCCTGCGACTGCCCGAAACATTGACGGCGTACGAAACGCTTCATCTGTCGGGATTGCCATCCCACCACTCCAACCCCCCCATACAGCTCGTCCACGGGTGGCCACCTCACCCCATAGGCATGACAGCCCAAAACGGCAGCGCTACCACGACCGCCGCAAGCATCGAGCCAGTCGACGCCCTCGCACGCCAGCTTTACCACGGGGCGCGCACCGCCGGACCAGACTTCACCGACGTTGCGACAGCCGTTCGCGCGCTGCATACCGTACTCAAGCATCTCCGCGCCGAGGCTGAGGACCCAGATAGCCTGCTAAATTCGGTTGGCCCGCATGGCGACGGCGAGAACAACCAGTACGCTCGCCAGCTAACACCCATTGTTGAGGACAGCGACTTCACCCTCAAGCAGCTCGACACCATCCTCCAAAAGTATGGCAATGTCGGGGAGAGCGCCGACGGCAGAGATGCCGAGGTCCAGGGAACAGATGAATCCCGGAGTAACAGCAATATGGGGTCGAGAGAGAAGGATATGGTGGCCTTGATCAGGACAAAGCTGGCGAACCAGAAGACAAACATCGACCTCTTCCTCGATACGATCCAGTTGCACAACCCTGTCAAGTCCCGCGGTGTGCTAGAAAGCGCGGATGATCAGCAGCTGGACTCGATCAAGGACAAGGTCGACGCGATCGCGGCGAAGTTGTTCCACAGGAGAGACCCGGCGGGCAGCGAGGACGAGGAGGAACTCTGGCAACAGTTCCGAACCGAGCTGGAGAATTCGGGCTTTTCAAGCGACGTATTACGGAGGAATAAGGTAAGTGCTCACCTGCAACCTCCCGACGTTTGCGAAATACATGTGTGACTTACCAGACGAACAGGAGGTTCTCCGAGCCTACATTCGCGAGCTCGAGTCCCAAGGCCTACTTGATAACAGCGGCACTCCGCCATCTGCTCATGGCCTCCCCAGCTACACTCCTGCGCCAGTCCCCAACATGTCCATTACCCCAGCCTCCTACCCCGGCAACGAGAACATGGATCCGAAGGAGAGCTTTCGAAGTATCGACAACGAGAAATTCTCACCATTGGTCAAGCAAGGCCGCAACGCCGTTGATCAGGTGCCCCCGCCGTTTGATCATGGAGTTCCCCAGTCGCTTCAACCCTATCACCGTTCGCAGCCACCAGCATTGTATAATCAGGATACTGGCCTCAGCTACGAGCCATATCCGTCGCTTCATTCCTCCGACTCCGACTCGGATTCAAACTCGCATACCTCGCCGAGATTAACACTCATCTCCACGCGGGACTTGCTCGCCCACGACCAAGCCAGCCTCATGGCAGCCCGGATGGCTGGCGTGCACCTTTCGCCAAGCTACCCACCCAACTATGGCTTCTCTCCCGGGACGTCCCCGAGTGGAAGACGCCTGCCTCCATCGCACCAGCCGCTCCAGATTGCCGGCAGCGCACCGCCCACACTCCCGCCTGACCACCAGCTCTCCTCCTCGCCGGTCACTCAGCAGCTTCTCAGCTCGTCGCCTCGCTATGTCCCGCCCGTGCAAGCGTATCCCGGCGCTCTCTCGCCAACATCGGCTCCCATGACACCTCCCCCGGTGTACGGCGCCAGTCCGACGTCCCCCTCCTCAGCCACCTTTGCAAGCTCGGCGCCACCAGCTGGCGTGCCTCCCATGTACTACGGGCCGCGGCAGCCTGGCCGTCTGGCGCCTGATAGCCAGGGCAACGACATCCCCCCCGACGCCAAGTGGACCAGGATCAACCGCAATAAGGTCTCGCCGGTGGTTCTCGAGAGGGCCGGGGTGCGGTACGAAGCACGGCCGGACTTCGTCGCCGTGCTGGGCATCCTCACCCGGGAACAGATCGAAGAGTACGCGCAGCAAAGCGCCGAGGTGCGGAATTCCCGGCGGGCCGCCAACGGCGATGCAGCCCACGCCCACGACGACAAGGACCGCGGGACTGGCGGGAGGAGGCACTACCCAGTCCGCCACCATTCGCCCCGCCACAACGAGACATACTACGACCGCGATCTCAGGCGGCGCAGGCACGGCGCCGCCGCCCCCGCCAGCGACTCCGACTCCGACGTTCTGTGGGACGAGAGCGACACCACCGAGGACGAGCGCGACTCCGGGAAGCGGCGGTACCCGTCCAACCGGGACCGCGACCGTAACCGGTACACGCGCAGGGCGGCCGACGAGAAGGACCGCGACACCGAGAAGGGCGGCGACGACGACGATGACAACAACAACAGGAGCGGCACCAAGGTGTACCCCGTCATCGTGCCGGGGCCAGGCAGCAAGGCCAGCCCGGCCAGCACGGTGCAGCCGAAGCCGATCCTGAAGAACCGCAACGTGAACCACGTGCGGTTCGACGAGAACGGGCCCCGCGAGATCTCGCCCGAGGAACTGGCCTCGGGGCGGTCGCCGCGCTCGAGGGACTCGGGCAGGCACAGCAGCAGCAAGGATGACCGCGGCGACCGGGATGGGGAGCGCCGGCGGAGAGATCGCGACGGGGCCAAGGATAGGGACAGGGATAGGGACAGGGATCGTGACCGCGATAGAGACAGGGACCGAGATCACTCTCGCCGATACCATGGGCGAGACCGGGACCAGTATCGGGACCGGGACCGGGCCCGCGACCGGGACCGGGACCGAGATTCGCGCCGGGACGAGCGGCCAGCCAAGAAGAGCACCTTCCGGGAGACCATCGGCGCCGCCGGTATCGGTAGCGCCGCTGCTAGTCTGTTCACCGTCCTGACTGAGGCCGCGGCCGACCTGTGATCGCACGCGCCAGACGAACAGAGACAAGGACTTCCCCAGCGGCCGAGTCTATTGTGTGTATGATTCTGCTAGGCGAGGCTCAAACTGACCTGCCTGTGGACGGTTAGTACGAATGGTGACACTGGAGAAAGCGGGTGGTCGAGGAGGATGTTTTACACGGGTCCCAGATTTGCAGGGAGCTTAGGATCGATTCTATTCGTTGGGATTCCTTTTGCGCGCTCTTTTTCATGACTTGTATTTGATGTTTGTGTTTCGAGGCCTGCTACCTGCGCAACGTCTGTTTGTTGTCATGACGTTTACGATCTTACGATTATGCGTTGTATGTTTTCCGGCAGCACGATGTTACACTGTACCACACACACCCGACCATGTTAGAACGGGACATACCGAGTCAGAATAACGATACCCAGATCGAGAGGGGACTGCTTGAAATATATTATTTTGGACCATTTATGTGCGCCTAGAACATACTCGTAAACACCCGATTCAATGCCCTTCCATGGTGGTGTCATCCAGAAACGCCGACATCCTCTCTCAATCATCATCTCATCTCCTCCTCGTCGACCTCGTCCCAACACCCCTCCCCGTCCCCGCCCGGCCAACCTCATACCCGCCCATCCCAGCAAGCGTCAACGTCTCCTGATCCTCGGCCGGCCCCCTCCTCCCGACCCCCACCCCCCCGGAATCCCCCAACATCTTCCTCACCAGCTCCGCCTTGCACCTCTTCGCCTCCGCGTCCTCATACTCGAGCTGCGTCGCCGGCGGCGGCGGCGGCGACGACAGAGACTGCGCGCCCCGGCCCCCATTTCCTACTCCTCCTCCTCTTCCTCCCCCATCCGCCGCCCCAGCCAGGCTGCCGGCGGCGGATAGTGCCTTGGGTAGCAGGTTCGGGTTCGACGACACAGTCGCCGCCGCGCCTACGCCAGAGGACTCGACGCTGCCGCTGCTGGCCGCCGACACGTTGCTGATGGCGCGGCCGAGGATCTCGCGCTTGCGCCGCGCCGGGGCCGGCCGGGGTGCCGTCGTGCCGGTTGCGGACGACGTCGCCGACCCGGCTGCGTCGGCGTGGTTCCCTCCCGGGAGCATGGGGGCGGCGGCGGCGGACTCGGCGGCGTCCCCGCTCGCCGCCGCCGTGGCGCCGATGGTCGAGTCCAGCAGCGTGGTAAGCTTGGCTGAGAGGGCGAGCCGTTCGGCGGCCCTCTTGGCGGCCTTTTCTTCTGCGCGTCGCCCTGCCGCCTCGGCGTCGTCTTCTTGGGCGGGCGGGATTTGGTTCTGGTTTTCGTCGGCGACGTCCATCATGTTGTCTAGGTCGTCCGGCTCGTCTGTGGCCTCGGAGTTGGCGATCTCGCTGGGGACCCTGCTCCTCGGTTTCCTGGGCGGTTGCGCGTGTTTCTGCGGCGATGAGGACCTGTTGCGTGAGTTGGAGGAGACCTCCGATAGCGGTGCCGAGAGTCTGGCTGGCTCGCGGACTTGTGACAGGTGGGTGGCCGCGGTTTCGAAGTGTGTCGTGGCGTCCGATTCCTCCTTGGAAACGTCCTTTCTCAGGGCGGCTCCGATGTCATTCCCATCTTCCTCATCATGAGCGAACGCGGACAGGTCTACATCGCGAATGCCACCTGCGACCGTGGGTTTCCGGGCAGACTCTGCATGCTTCCTCTGTCCGGTAGTAGTATTCTTGGTTTTCGCCTGCCGCTGCTCGTGTTCCTCACTTTGCTCAGGAGCGAGTCTCTGCCTGAGCTCGGGGAAGAGAAAGTCCTTGATCGGGACTTTGAACCCCGTCGATATGCATGACCACAACCAGTCCGCGCTCACGACGGGGACCCTCCACGCCAAGGCTAAGTCGAGTTTCTGCTTCCTGACAGAGCTCAAGGAGGTGCATACCAGCACCGAGCTCTGCGACGTAAACCTTTCCTCGTAGCGAGCACCCAGCTGCCTGATAGCCTTGTCCACCTGGTTGAGGTCGACGCCCGTGAAGCCGGCAGTGCAGATTGCCAATCTCTCGAAGCCATCGATGGGGAAGGCGGGGAATGGCTGGCCGATGACGTGTTCGTTGGGGTTGAAGAGTTGCTTTTTGTGCATGCACTTCTCGATGAAGAACTCGGTGATGATCTGGACATCGTCCGGGAGGGACGGGTGCGTGTCCGGTCTCGAGTTTTGCGGTACGATGAGGAAGCGGTGTGAGAGTTGTGCGCCGGAGTTGGAAGCCACCTCGTCGAGCGAGTTGCATACCAATCCACCCATGTACGCAACTGTGTTCATCAGGACCTCTGCTTTCTTCGCTGGAAAACCATGGACATAAAAACAGCATGATGCGAACACCGAGACGTCCTCTGAAGTTCCGAGAGAGACGAGCTTCGAACCTTGTGTGTCAAAGGACTTTCCCGATGTCTGGGCGCTGCCCCCTCGTCCCGACGCCTGAGTGTTGGCCTGTGTCGGTTCATCCCCAGGTCTTGAGAAGGGGTCATCGCTGGGTCGAGGGAAGGGGTCGGCAGACGGAGGTTTGCCCAGGATGTCACCCCATAGATTATCCCTCTGGCTGTTCAACTTCATACTGGCCGTCTTCCTCAGCTTCCTCTTCCCATCCTCCTGCGCGGCCGCCGCGCCTTCGCGCAACCGCTTACCCAACGAGACCCTCGTCACTTCTGTCCTCGTCCACGCGCCCTTGCCCCTCTCTTCCTTTGGCAGGATCGGGTCGTATAATTTCTCGTCCAGGATCATGCCCCTCCGGACGCTGTCCTGTAGCCATTCGATGGAGACGGGCAGGACTTCCCAAGATTTCGCTGCGGCGTACTTCCGCCCCTCGGGCTTGTGGACTATCAGGTGAGTAACCTTTCTAGTCATATCGCCCGTATATGCTCCGCCATTGGCAACAATCGTGTCGATGATCTGCTGTCTTTGGTCCACGTCGTCGAATCCGGTCAGACAGCATAGGAGCCTGCCACGCTCACCCTCCTTCCCAGCCACGTTGGGATCTCCGCCACTTGTCTCGAAGGTCCGCAGTCGCCACGTCTCTTCCAAGGAGACGAAGTCAATGTCCGCATCCTGGACCCATAGATCTCGCACAGCCTCTATCCACCCCGCAGCCATGGGCCTGATGTCGGGTCGCTCTTTGGCAACATGGCGGTACTTGGGGGTGTTGTACTCTCCGACAACAAGGTGTGTAACGTCGGGGGTGAGGTCGTATTTGTGGATGCCTCCGAGCTCGGCTGTCTTCGCTGCAATATCGGACTAATACGAAACAAGGTCGTCAGCAATCAACATACGTGAAAGGACACACATTTGTCCCCTAAGCAACGGAAGCAAGAAGGCGAGGATGGCGGGGCAGGAGCAAGTAAAACCTACCCTCTGCTCTGGTGGAATGCTAGTGCAACAGACGACGACTCCTTTGAAGGGCAACGACGGGTCAAACAGGCTCGCCCCGGCATCTGGTGAGTCTGGTGGTGTGGTCATCGCGGCTTTGCCGGCGCTTCGTCAAGGCGTTGGAACATTGATTGTCCTTATTAATGGATTTCGGATCTCGAGTGTAAGCGCGTCGCGTCGAGGGAACGGGCAAGCCCGAGCCTTGTGGAGTGGGGCCTATGAACCCTGGTAGAGTGGGGTGGGGGCACCCTTACTCAGCAATTCAACGTCAACCCATTCATTTGTGAGCCCAAGCACAAATAAATCATCCTCCATGGGCAGTCATGTTTTGCAACGATTCGAAGCCCGGTCCCTGGTGGGATAGTTCCCATCCAGGAGACGATAACAGGAGGCCATTTGTCATTCCCCATTGACCTTGGCCATGAACACCTCCCAGCGCGGGAGCCTAAGACGTGTGCCCCACGTGCTCAAGTCTGGCTACATCTTTCTGAACATTAAATCAAAAGTTAAATGTCTTCGGTGTAGATGATAGATGATATTTCTTGGCTGTGATATTGGAATGCGTTGCACCTCGGTCCCTTTCTTGGTGAATGATAAAACTGGTGATCCCATCATCGAGACCCAAACGCTGGCCGATCTCCTCTAAGTCGGGGGGGATTGGGGGTTACTGTTCAGATGAGCCCAGCGGCTATATATCAACCGTATCAGAACCTCACAACCCTCAGCATGGCGTGAAGGACGGGCCCGACTTTCCAATGGTGTCCCCGACCTCAAGTCTTGTCGCTACCACATTATTTCCGATCTCTGTAAGACTTTTGCCGTCTTCGTGGAGTCACCGACCTGCTGGTTAACATGTGCGACATCGTGCATTTCAAAGGGTCTCCGGCTCTATGGTTGCCGAGATGATGGGTGTTGCGCTGTAGGAAGACGTTTAGGAGGAGTCGAGTTTTGAACCTTACCATTTTGTCCAAATGTGCTGTCTTTTATTTATTTGGCTGGTTGCGCAAAAGTTAGAAGAGCGGATGCCATAAACGTGCGAGTCGGTGGCAAATGGGTTACTTCGCTCGTGATGGGAATGGCGTGTTAAATTTGGGGGCGGGTGATTCCATCAGGAGTTTATCTGGGCCAAGCGGTTGCTTAGGTGGCGAGGGGTGTTTGGATGGCGGTGATTCCTTTCTCAGAAGGGAGAGGGTATATAGGTGCGAATTGGGGACAAAGTTTCCATCGGGCATCCCCCTCAACTTCGGCACTTTGGCGTAGTGGGAAAGTGACCCGGTCAACCGCACGTCTGGGATGTCTGTAAAAGTTACCTCACGAAAGACAAATTGTGGATTCCTTCGCTTCCTCTCCCATCGTGACCTGAAAGGTTGTGAGTTCGAGACCCCGGTCTCGATTTGGGGGTGCCTGATTTTTTTGATTTTTTCCCCCCCTTTTTATATTTTATATCATCCGTCCCCCTCTGCGAAATGCTTGCATACCATGCGATCTCTAGATTTTCTTGGCTTCCGTCTCGTGGGTATGGGTATCTTGATATCTCACTTGACTGCTACAATGCATTTGCAGTTGTTTCTCATTGTCTCTCTCTCCTTGCGCAAAGAACGCGACAACATTTATCTAGCTGTCTTCTTGGTATCTTAGGTGATGAGACGTATAGGACTTTTACTTTTTTGCATATATTGATTGCATATACTGATGCGAGAGCACTGATTGGACTGGAGAGGTGGCGGCAATAATTTCTGAAACTCTATGACGAAGCCTGGCGGGCTTGCTCTTCCGTTCCGCGCGATTGATCGCCCACTCGCAGCATCTCACAGAACCAGGTAATTCTGAGAATGGCACCTTCACGTACCTGGAGTCTAGAACCTAGATGCAGCTCTTGTAAATGCGCCAAGCGTCTCTCTCCTCCTCTAGGCTCTGGCAGGTCTAGACGAGGGGGGAAATGAAAGTAAACATAACAGTCCTTTAGCATGAGGTTAATGTCGTCGACACTGCTAGGCGTGAGGTAGGCAGTGTTTTTGAACAAGTATCATTAGGTCTATAATGATCCATCAATCTATGCACATCGCCTTTCTCTTCTAGGCTTAAAGTGATGCCTCGAAGATCTAGCAACTGGCGTCCCCTTTATGAATGTAAATCGTCGAATCGTTTAGCTAAATACAAGCACCCTTCCCGAGTTTCCCAGGCCCTGACGAAGATTGCGCCAGATCCCATCACACCAGGTAGGGCTGTCGAAAATAATCGAGATGATATATTCCCCAGTCACATCGGCATTCTCGGTCCGCTCCTTCGGCCAAGAAATTTAGGCTAGAAACCCAATTATCAAGGCGGCCGCTATGCTGACCCCCAGCGTCATTCCGGGAACGGAGGTCGCTGTGAGAACACCCATCGATACGGAGTTTGTGCTTCCCGTTGCCACGGAGTTTGGGCCATTCGATGTGCCAGGCACCGTGGCGGCTGAGTCAGATGGAAATCCAGAGTTGGTGTTGTCCGTAGCGACTGCCTTGTTCGTGCCGCAGAGTCCTTGCAGGGTCGACATGACGTTCATATTGCCGAGGGCTGCCGGCGTCGAACCGCAGTTGGCCGCCTGTGTCATCCACACGACGTTATTCTCGAGATCGAAGGTGGCTACGTACGGCACGTTAGCTGGTGTACTGGAAAAAAAAAAAAAAAAAAGGGAGACTTCGTCCGAGAAGGGTTGGAGGTAGTCAAGACAAACGCACTATAAGCTGAGCGCATAAAGCTGTCACCAAGCAAGGTGAAATCATCGCTTGGCGAGATCCCGAGAAAACACGCAGGCGGGGTACCCGGAACGACCCGAATGAGCTCATCATATGGTACTTTGACAGTAGTGCCGTCGAAGGCGAAGTCCAAGGTCCCGTTCACAGTGGTCAGGTCACAGCTGACCTCGTAGAAATCCCCGGTCTTGGGAGAAGTCGAGCCAAAGTCTGAGGCTATCGCGGCCGCCAAGCTAGCCGGCAGCAAGGTCATGGTGGCGCCGCTGTCGAGGAAGACGGGGAAGCTGCTGTTGGGGTAGAGGTAGGACTTGCCACTGGGTGGCGTCAACTGGAGGGACTGCATTTGGATCCAGTAACGGGGGACTTGATCCGGCGAGTCTGCAGCCGGGATGATGGGCAGGCGGGCAAGGGTGCCTGAGAATTTTGACGCGTCGACGCCGCCGAAGACTATCACGCCTTCTTGTATGTGCTTACTCCCCAGGGCGACGGTGAATGCCTTCACCTTGGTAGCATTCTGGGCGCTGAGTTCGTCGATGAAATTTTTGTATCGCGTCGTCTGCCCCTGGCCATAGCCGATACCGAGGATCCCGCTAAACTCGTCAACTGTCGACGTGGCAACGCCAAACTGCACTGACTTCAAGCCCGTTGCTAGAGAAGGAGAAAGCGCGTTAGCATTCAATGGAGCTGCTAGCTCAGCCATACAGAGGGAGACTGTGACGGGCGGAACCGGGCGTTGCGTTTGGGAAGGGGGGGGGGGGGGGGGGGGGGGGTTTACCCAAAGCAACCACCAAAACCAAAAAAAAACGTAAAATAACTTATTTTGGCACTTCCCATGCCGTATTACAAAATCCAAATTTTGCCGAGGGGCCCA